GGGATCGTGTCGTCCTCGCTATACTCTCCTTGGCAGTGCTGGTTGTCCAGATCGAGGGTGGCCCGCTGCCATGCCTCTCGTAAGTTCCTCCTTCTTTGTATGCCGATGGGTCGTACTTGCTCGAAGGGTTCATGACTTCCTGTGACGATCCGATTCCAATTTCGGATGATTCTTGCCCACTCTCCGACCCTTGCCAGGACCTGTGCAAAATCGGGTCTCCTTGGTCTGTCCCAGATGAAAGGGGCTGGGTACGGTACTGGGACTGCGAGGGGGTGTTCGGCTGCAAGCGGATAGATGACAAAGGGGACAACAGACGAGGGCAGTTCGATGCCTTTGACCATGAGCTGGGCATCGGCGAAGTCCTGCAGCTGGCGGCATATATCGCAGCTGGTGTCGGCATTGTAGGTGGGCCCACAGGTTTCGAGCTCGATGGTCGTGGCATGTTCGCGGTCGTCGATGATGACCGGGGTGTCTCGATCCCTTCTGCTGGGGGCAAAGTATGACCCAAGCTGGGAGAGTGTTGGAGTCCGGTTTCGAGCTTGATAATGCCAGTGCCAGGTTCCTCCCGCCAAATTGAGCCTCGGGGGAGACCAATTGTTGAGGGGTCCGGGAAGATCTGGCTGGAGTCTCGTGTTCCACTCTTCGCCAGAATCGTCTTCCTCCTGATCTCCTCCTTCTTCATTGCTATCACTTCCAGTTCCATCTTCAGCCTCTCCTCTTTCTCCCAGATAATATCTAAGTCCTCTTTGATAGAGGCGGTTCCCATCTGAATCATAGCCAGGGAGGGCAGCCGAGAGCTCTGTGGAGGTGGGGGAGACACTTCTGCTTTCGCCTTGCCCTTCTTCTTCTTTGGCATTGAGGGTAAAGTGAAAATATTGGACCACCCCCCTTTGGACGAACCATCTTGGCTCTTCTTTGACCGTATTGATTGTGCCTTCTGGTGGGGTCCATCTTCCCATGTCGGGCTCATTGCTCGAGCTGGATCCACTATCGCTGATGATGATGCAGAGGGGGAAATCGTCGCTGCTTCCATCGTAAGACAAGGGGGGTGTTTCTTCTCGCTCATCCTCCGGGATGGCAGTTTCGGGAGGGACAGTTTCCCCTTGTCTTCGGTATTCATATCCATATAAGAATGTGAGGTAGGCTAAGGCAATGAAGCCCCAGAGTCCAATGAAATTGGCAATGGTTTGTTCGATGGGGTTCATTCGTTCGTCTTCGTCAACGTCAACGTTGGTGAAGAGTTAGGAAAGTCTCGAACTAATTGTTAGCGACTGATTGAACAAACAAGATCAAACAACTACACGTGACTCGCACTTCGGTCAGGCATGTATAAGTTGCTCGCAGGTTCGTTCTCAGGGAGTGCACACGCTTAGTATAAGAGAGTGAGTTCTAGCCAAGTTATCGGGTGAATAAACTTTGGTTCGAGACTGAGGTTTAAGACCTGCAGTCGAGCTACTTAAATACAGTTTGAGTCATTCTAAGTATAGTACAAGAGTCTGCAACAGCGTGTGGAACACGTGGTACTAGCATGGTGCGGTGCGATCAGAGTCGGAACATTAGTATAGTGAGATTACGATGAGTGCGATAAGATAAGATAGCCGTGAAATCGTAATAATATGTCATGTCATAGGAGCAGAATGCAGTTGATAAACACCTTGAAGTCTTCAGAAATACAATATAGGCATTGTAAAATAGACAATAGTGTCGTGCCGTCGTCGCACAGCACGACAGTGGTGGTAAGAGAAAGGGCCGGGGCCTTGCGATCCAAATACGACCACATAATTTTTCAAAATCGGAATTCCACATAATTATGAAAACCGCTGTAAATGCTGCTTGAGAAAAAAGTCAATTGTACACAGCACTCACGATTCCATTTCACTGCACACGTCTGCGAAATATTGAACTCCTTGCTCTCCATTGCTGTTTGTAGCGTGACTTCTGATGATGGTGACTGTATTGGTAATGCTTTCACAAAGCTCCTTGGCCTCGCATTTGTTAGTTTTGAATTTCTACATAGAATGACGGGGTAAGCAATAGTAGGAGACAATGGGATGGGCATACGAACTTCGAGAAGCTCAATGACGACTACAGCCGCCTTGGCCAGGTTCTGCAGATACGGAACACCTGTAGCCTCCGCAAGCTTCACAACGAGCACGTATGGACCGAAAGGGGCCATGGCAATGCACTTTAGAAGGTGGGTCGCAGAGGTAAGCGGTTGCTGTAGCCGGAAAGGCTCAAGTACACCGGACGCACCCTCCTGTGAAGCGTAACCCAGGAGGACGGGACCTTAATCCCCCAGACGTCCTCGATACGGAGGGATATATGAATATACGCTCTGTAGAAGTAAAAAGACAATGCCCTGTGAGGTGCTACTCAGACAATAGTGAAAAGAGTCAAGTGTAACTACAAGGAATGCAGCTTAAATAGAACCATGCTCTGGTATAGGCGCGATAACCGGACCTAAGAAGAGCAATGCTATTGGGACGGAGCCCAGAACACCGAGCTGTAGTGTTTTGAATGATCATCACGGTCCCTGGCAATACAATCCTACAGCAGTTCGCAGCCGCAAGATGGTTTTGCCGTTTGGCTATGCGAAAGGAAGAGAAGCAAGCTGTAAAGATCAAACCTCAGATACATGGGTACAAATACTCAAAGATTAGATTGAATACTAGTTAGATATTAAAATCTTCGAATGGTCCGAGAGCAGGGTCCAACAAGAGTGAGATTGCAATATACGAGCTGTAGGTTTTTGAATGATCATCACGGTGTACGTATACAGTAGTCTGTAATCGCAAGATGGTTCTGCCATTTGCTGTATTGGCGGAGTTGACCGAAGGAAGGAAGGAAGGAAGGAAGGAAGTTGGCTTTGATGAGTACTGCTTCACCATGCGAAGTTCGGAAGAGGGGCTCCCCTGTAAGTAGATGTATAAGGGTGTTGAATACTCGAAGACCAGTGGATATTATTTAAATAAATATGAAATCTTATCGTCTGGGAGTGGCCATTAAGCATACTTATTGCGGTTTAGGCACCAGCATTCGATACCGATTCTTTATCCTCCGATACCAGGATGGGATTGGTTTGAGTAAGCAGGCAACGGCGTGCTGAGAGTGCCAGCGCGGCCTTCCATCGCGCAGAAACATAGTCGGCGGATTGGCCCGGGCGGCGTCAAAATAAAGTGTGCGTGCCGGGTCGTTGTACCTGCTCGCCAACGCAGTGAAAGGATTTGAGCATATGCCAGTGGAGAAACACACGCGTGTTCCGGTCTTCATGTGCACATGAGGGCTGGAGAGAAATCATTCGATCATCGCTGCAGAAGCAATTTGAAGCCCAGGAAGAGTCGTACATTCTACATAGATCGCAGTGCATGAAGCAAGGGGCGACGATCACAAGGATAGCAAATGTCAACTGTGAAAGAAAGAGGGGAATCAGCCAGAGAACCTGAGGCAGTGGAGAGGGTACGGTACCATTCACCGTCCCGGCATAGTCGACTCATCTCACTCCTGTTATCGTAGGCGACTTCCCATTTGTTTGCTATTCCGCGAAGTTTGTAGTCGGAATTACATATGGAGAACAGGACCTGCCTCTGAATATCGTGCGACGCTCCGCTCGCGGAGGAAGGATAGCTCCACAACGAAAAAGAGAAACCCAGTCTTGTTCAACATGCCACTATCGCAGATGCGGACCGTCTGATAATCGACCTAGATCGCTTGAGGTCCTTCTACCCCTCATTCATCAGAAGATACGTCTTGTGTTGTTCATAGCGACTTTCCTCTACGTACAAGGGCCTTGCGCAGTCGTACGGGAGTTGGAAAATGTGCTCTACCCCCGCGAAGAGGATCACGTTCTGGGGTGGGGGGGCCTAGGTCGGAGAGAGTCATAACATGTTCCGGCTCGGGTCTACATGCACCCTTCTCTCACAGGAGGACGCGTGGGGAAGGTCCACTCAGAAATGTTCGATTGTCGGCAGATCAGAAAGTGGGAACCATTATAAGCCTAGGGAGAGCTGTATGCTGTGTCCACAGCTGTAAGATGGCGTTCCATATAGTAGATTGGATTGGTTGTGAAGAGTACATGGTGTGGCGAAGGAAAAGGACCATGATGCAGTGGAGACGCTACCATTCACGTTGCTTTCATGGCGTTGTCTTCCTGTTTGTCAGAGGTCGTTTTGTTGGATGCATATATCACCAGCCACGCGTATTAGACGGCGGGCGTTAAGAGAGGGCAGGGCATGCAGTAGTGGGAAAGAGAACACGAGAGCAGCGTTTGTTTGTACTTCGCCACCACGACGTACTAAAGCTAGCCCAATGTTAATGATCCCTGGCTTTGACTCGAAGCTCTCGAATTTTGTAGTAGGTCTCCCGTTAGGTGATAAGTGAAGGTCCAAGATAGGATTGGATTGAGGAAAGCGTGCTGAGAGCCTGCCAGCGCGAATGGTGCAGAAAACATAGGCCCGTGTACGTGTCGGGATCGTTGGCACACTCTCCTGGGGAAGATATGGGGAAGGGCTGTTCATTCGATCAGAAAGTGGGTAGCAAATCTTGGTAGGTTGTGTTGGGCGTGAGCGGAGACGTTGGATGCATATATCACCGCCGAGGAGGTACTGTTAGCGCTAAAGAATGGAACGATGCAAGGGAAGGCGGTGCAGTGCTTCTGGAGTCGGCGCGCTAGAGGTCGAGATAAAGAACTTGACGCTTAGTCAACCTCATTGCGTCAGCTGCCACTCTGCATTCATTGTTCGTTGACTGTTCCAAACAAGAACACCTCCACATTCATTGGATCACTCCCTCCCAATGCAAGCTCGGCCATGTAAGGACTCGCTGATCAATTTCAGAGGTCGATCCTCTACCATCTTGACTATCAGCGACTCTTCTGTGTTGTGATACCGTCTCCGCGACCACTGTTACCTAGCTTGGATATGCCACCCTAACACTCCGATCTTTCTCGAGTAATATCACCTAACATTCAGATATAGATTCATTCCGAGAGACGGGATAGTACATCAGTCCAGACGGGTAGCAAACTTCAAGTGACCGAGACCTAGGACAGAATCAGTTCAGAGCAAGAACACGGCAGAGAACCATAACGCGAACCTTCCTCCTCTAACAGTTTCTCCGTGACCTCCTCCCGCGGACCCTCCTTGAACTGGGGTATTTTCGAGGGGTCCATCCCTAAGTATCCCTCCGGGAACACAGATCTCTGCGTTACGATCATAAACTCCGCGTCCAGTTCTTCACCCACAAACGAGAATACGCTGCCGTAGGGTATGACCTTGTCTTCGATGATCTCCCACGCCCAATAAACGTCGTCCTTCGTTAATCGTTCGTTTCCGATACGAGAAGCCCATTCGATAGCAGTGTCGCGATCCATGACGAAGCCACCTTGGAGACGCGTTCGAAGGAGAAGCCTGGGCTTGGAGGACGTATTGCTTTCATTGAACATTTGTGCACTGTTAGGGAGGATATCACACGCGGCGAAGGTAGGAAAGCAGTGACACGTCCTTGGGAATGTGGAGGGTCTGTTCGGTGTTGATGGAGGAAAGTTCAGAAACGCAACTGGGCAGTGGCACAACCACATGATGGCGTCGACATAAAACAAGGACAATCAACCTGAAATGTCGAACAATGTCAGGGCAAAGTGGAGAGAGCTCGGCGTGTCAACAGTATGCATTGTACATGGACTGAGAGATTGACAACAACACCGGTTTGAGAGAGGCGGACATAGATCATGAGAGTCGAAGAACGCCTATCTCCGTGAAGAGAATCACGTTCTAGGGTGGAGGAAGGAGAGACGGACAGCAAATATACTCCATATGTTCCGGAGAGAAGAGGATCACGAGGAGTAGGACGGGACACGGGAAGGGCGAATATACGAGAGTATTCAGTACCAGTGTACGCCATGAATGAGAATGGTATCCCCGAGAGGAGGGATCACGTTCTGGGGTGAGGAGAGGAGGCTCATAACAATCGGCTCGGGTCCAAGTGGCGTGTCGTGTATATGGGGATGGTGCACTCAGAAATTGACGACAGCACCGCATAGATCGCATGCCGTGTGGTCTCCTGTACGTCTGGATCACGTTCTGGGGTGGAGGGAGTAGGACGGGAGGAGCGAATATACCTCAACAATGACATGTTCCTGACTCGGATCCAAGTGGCGTACACTCTCTCACAGGTACGCGGAAGACATGGGAAGGTCCATCGGCGGATCAGAAAGTGGGAACTGGAACCATCATGAAACCGGGGAGAGTCGTATGCTATGCTCATATGTGATGTTGTTTGGTAGGATGGTTCATCGAGACTTGAGTTGGCTGTGACGAGTACTTGATGTAGGGAACGTCGATAAAATTAGCGTCATGTGGAAGGAAGGATCATGATGCGGTGGCGGCAGTGTTACCGTTCGTAGTGCTGTCGTAGTCATTTGCTAGATGCATATATCCCTAGTAGAAACCACGCCGAATGTATCAGAAAGGTTCGCTCCACGTCTCAGGATGGAAACTAAGAGCACAATAGTTCCGGGATGGTCACGTACGGAAACGGGGAGACGCAAAGGAAAACAACGGGCTGCGGACTCGACCTCGTCATTCACCTATGGGAGAGGACTACGACCACCTTTGCGTCATCCTCCCGTATGCATCCGATTAGAGGCTACAAAGGGAAGATGGGGCATTCTGTTGGGAGTAGGCTAGCATCGTGATGAAGGAAGCAGGTGACAACAGTCGTGATCATCATCAAAGGTCTGTTTCGTCGCTGTGCATACATGTAGGAGGGTATGAGAGTTTGGCAAAGTGCTCCATCGTCGTGCTGTGGTGATGCAAGGCCAGGAAAAAAGTGTTCGGGGTGTACCGTGATTTGTGATTGCAAGCAAAGGGAAAACCCGCAGTGTCATGAAAGAACGAAAGAGACCAAAACGTTGCCAATTACAGCGCACATATCCGAGACTAACGGTCGTAAGTAGCTCGTGCGTAGGAAAGTCGCATAAGCCAAGTACCGCGGCAAGGAAGGAGGGACACGTCAGCCTCTCCCGTCGGCACATTGTCCGCGAAACCTAAGTGTAACCTCATGCTGGCCTGGGTCTCGCGGCACCTTTTTTTAGGCTGCTCCGTTCCCGGCGAACGACGTCCGAGTCTTTCAGGCATCTCTCCCGCCTCCCTACCCCGGTGATTCGCCCCGTCTGTTTCTTCTTCCTTCATAAAAACGTGTGCGGACCTAATTTTTCAACGGCCACCCTTCGCCTCCAAACACAAGCCCAGAATCGGACCCTTCTCCATCCTCGAGACTGGATGTCTAACAGACTCGTTTAACGAGTTGTTCCAAGAGATATCGGCGAATGCGGGAGAGGTTCTGGTTTCCTGTCCGGCGGGAAAGAGAACACGAAGGCACCGTTTGCTAGGGTCTGATGGAGGGTTGAATCCAAGTTCCGCCAGCTGAATGTTACTTGGACCATCGTACAGCCCCGCCCAGTGAGAACATACACCTCAACTCCGCGAAACCGACTCTGCAAGCGCCAGACACAAAACATGACTATCCCCCCCCATCCTCCGCCAAGACCGTCACATCCCTAAACTTCCGCCCCAAAACTTCTTCCGTCCCCGAAAGATACGCAACCCTCGCACATGCATCGTGCAGCTGGAAATACTGACGGTTGGGAAGGGGGAACCGCCCACCTGTCGCGTCTGTGAGGGCTACTTGGTTGGGGAGGCCGTAGAGGGTGTTTCGATTGATTGGGTGGGTGTGAATTTCGTAGGTGTGCATGTTGGTGTTGTATTATTGTATATAGGTCAAGAAGGAGGGGAGGGAAAAGGGCAACAGACGTACATTATCATCCTCGATCGGACGAAGAGAAACCCGGAGCTCGTCAAACGCGTGATGAAAGTCGGGCGTGACCGTGAAGGTGTTCTCCGCTCGGTGGATATCACTCTCGCCCTCACTCTGGAAATCGACATTGGTAAACCGTTTGATGACAGCTGCAGCAGACGTCACCCACGCCAACTAGCAGGCAATTTGAGCTACAGACTCGAATAGGAAGGAGATTGGACGAACCTTCCTCCGCACGACATCCGTCAGTCCGACCGTATAATCCGCCGTCGACGGGCCGAACACTATATGACCCAGCACTGTACTTCTCATTCCCTCTCCGGCTGCTTCGTTCACCGTCGTCAGGCCGTCGTCGAAGCTGTTGATGTCCACGTTCCCGGAGAGGATACACCTGTAGTTATCTCGAGCCAAAGCCTAAAGAATGTGTTTCAGCCGAGAACAACACGCCAAAAGTGTTTGGCTTACGAGGTTTTTAGCATCACTTGAACTGGTCGTGGGCTGCGAGAATCGAGCTCCTTGGAATGACGGTCCGGGATTATGAGGCGTCGAGACCGAACCTTTCACCTTCAGCTTCGGGTCCTTAACTACGCAAACGTCAGTCAATCTCACCCAGACTTATAACCCAAAGACTCAAACTCACACATCTCAATAACACACACAACATACAGATACCCTAAACCCACAAGCACCTCCCCCTCACCATCGCAACTGCAAATTTCTTTCACCATGCCTTCAGTAGGAGTGTGAATAAGCGCGTAGCCCAAGACTCGCGCCGCGACCTCTGGACTGAACTTGAAGATGACTTCGTTACCCGCGACCGAGCCCCAGCTACCAAGAGCTTCGAGGCAAAGACAAGACTCATACGCAATGTGTTCATCAGAGGATGGACGGAATGGGTTTCGGGGTAGGGGCTCGGGCATGGTGGTACATAGTTAATTATGGGTGGGGTTTGAAAATCGCCAACGGCTTTGCTTAGTAAGATGGGGTAGGTGGGTGCCGTAGGGTGCCGTTCAACCCTGAAAGACGTAAGGAGTGACCTCGAATTAACATGCCTGGCCTTCTCGCATTGGTGCGTTGAGAGTCAAGCTGAAGAACAATCTCCGTGATGCCTGAGAGGGATCACGTTCTGGGGCGGGAAGAGACGGACAGAGCGAATATACCGCATAACGATCGTATCGGGTCTAAGTGGCGTGTGATTGGCGAGAGTGTGCATGGGGAAGACACCAGAAGGGATTGTGATTTGTCGGTGAATCAGAAAGTGGGAAGCAGCAACAACCATCACGAGACGGGGGAGAGTCGCATGCTATGTCCATAGCGCCTGTAAGGGAGTCTTGATAGGAACTTGGGTTAGTTATGACGAGTACTTGATGTGGTAAAATTGACGTCCTGGGACTATGATGATGCGGCGGAGGTGTCACAGTCAAGCTTGTTGGATGCATATATCACTGGTAGAAACCGCACGGGGAGACGCGAAAGGAGGCGGCGCACTGCTTCCGGATCGTGGCTGACTCGACATGCAAGTTGAATTCGCAAAGGCAGTACCCAAGATGAACCACTTGAGGATCTTCACCCACGAGAGAGGATCACCTAGCGGCACAGCCATGTTTTCCTCTATCGTGTGACCTCCCCTTCACCCTCCGTAATCCCACGGTAGGTCTGTCTTCCTCCGGATCCCGTATGCATCCAGACCCGCCGACTCTCGTGGAATCAGATTGCAACGAAGGGCGTTGGTGGGGGGGATGACGCATGCATGGGGTAACAACAGTCACAACCATCTAAGGTTGGTTGCGTCGCCGTGTACACAGGTAAGACTGTGAGGCTGGTGTTGAAGAAGGGAGAGTATCTGGGGTACGTGGGCGGGGTCCTCATTTTGGATGACAGAGATTCGGAATCAATGATGTCCATGGTGCTGTGAAAGAAAGATGGCGTAGACATTGCACATATCTCCTTGCGATCTGAGCGTTTGCATGTAAGATCAAAAGTATAGAAATACAATGGAGAACTCACAAAGGTACAGCTCTATCATAATAAAGAGTCGTGTCGAATGCATTACCGCGACACATTCTCCCTTCGAACAGGACAGTGCGTAAAGAGCGAACCCCGAGATATATCAAATCCTGGAATCGCAAGGATAAACGGACGATTGGATGGCAGGAAGAAAGCTGGGTCATGAAGTGTGATTAACATGCATATCAACTATGTAAATGGAACGAGCGTCGGGCGACGAGGCAGGCTAGCGTGATTTCTCTGAGCATCGGTGAGGACTCGAGGAAGTATCGTGTGGGATAGGTTCATGCTGAAGCCGCCTTGGACTCGAAGGTATCATCGTGTCGAGAAGCTTCTCGCTTAGTCAGCCTTGGTTCTGTCTTTCGAATTCACAGCAATCACGTTTCCGAAATATGGACTCTGTTCCTCTCTTCCTTAGACCGTGACGGCGACACTCCTTCGCGCTTTTTCTATTACCTTTACGACTTTTTCCACTTCAAAATACTTCAGAGTTTCTCATCGGCGTTCGAAGCCACTATTCTCGCATATGACTACCGAACTTATCGAGCATCAATTTCTTCGTGGGCTGGCACTCCTTGCGGCTTTATACATGTCTTCTGTACCGAGATATACTTCTTCTACAACTGCGGAACGCTGATCCCAGCGTGCTTGTTACTATAGGCCTATCACCACGCAAATATATTCACTGCCGCCTTGCCTGTCTTGACAGTCGAACAAGTCTCGTTTATCGCATTGTCATTGTTGTCCTCATACGCGCTCAGGCTTCGCATCCCTGAAAACAGCATACATCCACCGCCCTACACCTGAAATCTCTCGCCGAACATTTAGATATAACTTCCTTCCGAGAAATGCATAGTCACATCCAGGTGGAAAACTTCGGGTGTCCGAGAGCTAGCATCGAGAGACGAAAACACGACTGAAAACGCGTACCTTCCTCATTGCGACCTTTCCCTACTCGCCTTCCTTGCACTGGGGGATCCATGCGCAAGTAGAACAACGGCTCTCCACGTAACGAGGAAAGTTCCAAATGCCGGCAATTGTGAGATCATCGTATAAAGGAGAGCGGTGCAGTATATCTGCAATGGAGGACTTGAGAGACCTAAAGCTCTAGGAAAAGTCGCGTCATGAGGCGTGGAAATCGCCTTATTGTGTGCAGCCTCAATTCATTCAATGGGCAGGACATCGAGCGTATCATCCGTCTCTCTTAGCTTGCGATGCCGAAATCTGAAATCAGGCACCGGTTTGCGTTTCAGGGGTGCAGGGGTAGTGATCGCAAGGGAGAGCGTGGCTGAGTGGCTCACCCAGATATCCTAATTCCTATGCTCGGGAGTCAGAACTCGCCTTCTCCATCTAAAGAGTATGGTTCCGACTCTCTCTAATTTCTAAGCTAATAATCGGTCACGGCTCGACTTCTAGCTAAGGACCACGATATAAGGTATACTGGACATTCGTACCCTGACAAGCAACGTGGTATGAACAGGCACCGGACAGTAGGAAAGGCCGAATCCTTGCACCCATAACTTGCCCTTCTCCGTCTCAATGGAGGAGAGGAACCGTTTGTGAGAGTCGCGTGGTTTCCTAACGGTGCGACTTGCCGGGGGCTACAGACGAACGCGACACACCCAGTTTAAGCTAAACCTGCTGCGCTTGTTCAGACTTGGCTTCCGACTTTCGACCAAGACGCGATACTAAAAAGCGATCTATGCGGCCGGTTCTATGTTGTGCCGACGATGAATTAGAAGTAACCTGGATCAACTGTTAGTCAAAGGCAATATGTGACCAAGGAAAGGAACATCGACTCGCCATGGTACGTACTCTGCCACTGAAAAGGTCGTCAAGCACCTGTATCGCATATCCAATATTGTCTTTTTCGACTTGAACTTCTTCGGCCTGCAGTGGCCTGAAATCAATACACTGTTTACCGAAAAAGTCTCCGCCAGCATCACTTTGTGCCAAATCATGAAGTTTCCTCCGGCACTCATCCCAGGCAGCATCTCGTTGACGCAGCTGCACCAGCATCGTGATGTCCCTGCGAATAGAAATCTCGTCGGTATCCTTGATGCCACGTGTGGCCAGGATAGAGCATACAGTGAAAAGATTACGTGGGTTATGGAGATAGTCCATGTGAAGCTGAAGTGTTGCTGCGTCCACCACCCCATCCGATCCATGTTTCATGGAAAAAATTCCCGCCACATACTCGCTAACCATCGAAACTGAAGCTATATGGAATGCGTGGTTTCCGAGAAACTCCAGACATTGATTGTCAAGGAACACCCTGAAAGCAGCTGGAATATGCCCAGAGAGGAGAGTAGCTAACACCTTGCATGCAGTGTCAGATCGGTAGGAATGATTCCATGCATAGTCCCAGTTTATTGTCATATAATGAGCCATTAACTGAAGGTCATGTAAAGAGCAAGCGGAGGGGAAGGTGGTAGCCAAAGATTCATAGGCAAGGATAGCATCATCGCACAATATATGCCACTGTAACGCAATATCATCATCCCGTTGTGGAATGACATATGGCACAAAGATATCCCCAAGCACTGTCATGACTGCTTTAGCTTCCTGGGATGAGAACTTCTGGTAACGGATCCAGCGAGCTGCAGTCGATAATGACTCATGGAAAGACATATCAGACTCCGAGACAGAAAGTCTATGAAGTAGGAATTCCATGGCTGCCACAACTACCCTCAGAGATTGAGGCAATGATGGCTCATGCAAAGATGGATCTTTGACAAAGTTGGAAAACATGCGGAGGACACGGCCATAGATTTCGTCGAGGAAATAGGGTAACGCATGCTTGAAATCCAGAACCAATGGAGAATCAAAGTCCTGCATTAGGCCTTTCCTTGATCCGCCAACCGTGGATAAGATGGCAGAAGAGAGATGAAGTGCAAACATCATCCTGGCATGATCATCAGTATCAGGTTCCAGGGGCTTGAATATATCTTTCATTTTGCTGGACATTGTAAACCGAGCCCAACAACGTGGTGGAAGCTTTAAAGAACGGGTAATAACGCCCATGAAAAAGTCGGTTGGGTGAAGGTGCTCTGTGTCGAACAAACCGCTGGATATGATTGCAACACTGAGCTCGGACAAATCAATATTGAAAGGACCAAAGGAATTCCGTATCGTGAAGCGAAAATGGAAGCGTAGCAGACGTTCGAGTCTAAGTTCCATGCCAGGGATTGGTTCACGAAATGATATGTGATCATCCGGCATCCCGGATGCAGTGCGAAAGTAAAGAGTGTCGCAAGTTATCCATGGCCCTATTATCTCCCTGAAGTGCGAGTAACCTTTCATCCGACGCTATTGGCAGGCCCCCAATGGACTGTACAACTATGCTTTGGACACTCGGATTAGAAGAGACTGAGAAGAGCCATTCCAATGCTTCGGCTGCCAAACTGACTGATGTACGCCGCACGGACTCAGACTCTATCGCCTTCAGTGGCTTTGTGTTCCTTGTTCGTAGTCGGGGAAGCCAATGCATCATGTCACCAAAGCTTCGTCGCTTCCATGCAAGGAGGAAACGTTTTTGGCCCATGATACTCGTGGGATGATATGATAAAAGGAGATATAGATGAGATCACAGAGAGGCGTACGGTAAGGGCATTGAGGGAAGAAAATGGGAAGGATGGCTGCTACCAGATATGCAACAGATACCAGGGCAGTTGCTGTAAAAATGATCCATGACAGAGCTACCTGGAGAGGATGTAGGAAAACCACCAAGCCGCCAAGAAAAATAGCGAGAGCGAGATGCATAAGGACAGGGTAGTAGTCCTATGATGACCTGGACATGCCACTTTTGGAACCCGGACATATCGGAACTGACGAGTAAAACTGCGGTCGCGCGGTGTCCCCGACGGGAGGGCAACATAATGATGCAGCCACTGTTTTACAAGAACAGCAACGAGGGCGGTCGTCAGACTTAGGAACAGGCTCGTGAACCAGAGCCCGTTCACCCAAACATCCGTGGTGGCGGGAACAAATGGAATGTTGGGGTTGAGGGGAGAAGGGGTAATGCTGTTGACCGAGGAACCGTTGGCGATGGCACGTTGAACCAGGACCGATTCATAGAGTAGAGAAGCCGACATGGCCGCATAGTCTGGCTGCAGACTCTGCGACGTTTGGGCTACAAATGTTGTCACAACCGCTGAGAAAAGACCCGCCTTCGACATGCCTCAGTAACGGAGTAAAGCGAGGCGAGTGCGGGACTCACAAAGACAAGTAAGAGGTCGACGTTATCTCGAGATTCTTCGACCATGTTAGCATCGTGAATCTTGCTTTCATCTTCGTACGTTCTCCAAACCCTCGCATTAGGTGCTGTCTCTTCATAAATCGGATCCTCGGGGTATTTTTCTTCATAGTTGTACGCGTCGTTCCCTATTTGGCATTTTATAAGATAGAGGTAGAAAAAGAAGCATTTGCCGTACCTTTCTTAGCTGAAGGATTCGATTTCCTCATTGTCCCGAAAATCTTCGTGCTGGCCGCTCTAGTGGAATTCTGCATTGCAGCAGCAGCGGGGTCTTCATCCGGCTCCTGCTCTCTTTCATCCTCCTCGATCCCTATCCCCTGGCCATTGTCGGTCTGGTCAAGTCTGTGCTCCCCACTTTGTTCTGCAGCTGGCGGACTTGCTTCCGGTTCAACGGCGCCTGAGGTCGATAAGCCATCGCCTTGTAACGTCGACATGGTGAAACGATGCAGGCTGTGTTCAGGGGGGGCCTGTTCAGGGCGCGTAACCAATTTGAATACTAATTGGAATCAAATTGTCACATGTTCACGGTTATGGGACTGGCCTCGGCTATGGTTACGGCGTAGACGAGCGCTGGCCTCTGAATTAAATATGTCTTGCTGACGAGGCGGAAATGGAGCAGCACTTTAGAATAAAAAATTTCTTTCTGACAAAGAGGAGCCAGGAGAAGAGAGACTGTTATGCTTAATTAGCCAAACCCGTCCCATCAGCCTGAACCTGGTCCCATCCTGTTCCTCCCAAGTTCTGCCAGTTCAACAGGTGTATGGGTATGAATCATTCTCCGTTGGTACCGCAGTTTGACGAGGGTGAACGGAAGAGAGTAGCGAGGAAGCCGCTAGAAGAGGAAGGTACATGTTCTCTATCGTGTTCTCATTTCTTGATCCTGATTCTGTCCTCTAGATCTAGGTCATTTAGAGTTCGCGCCGCGTCTAAGAATCAGGATAGTAGGACAAGCTAAGTAGTTCACGAAACACGAACGCTATAATAGCCCATTCCTCCGGCTGATCCCGTCGCCTCGACACGCTTTACTGCATCAATACACGAACAATCTTCGTCGATCAAGAAATCTTTCAATTCGCCAAAACATCTTCACAAAGTTGTTTCGAAAAGCTTGTAGATATCAATTATTGAATAACATAGATCAGTCGGTAATTCGACTGTGATGTCCCAACACCCATGACACTCAGATAGAACGCAGAATCCCGCGTACGTTGAGCTCTTTGAAGTGCTGACGATACCAGGGTTGGCGAGCGTATCGTCAGCGAACCGCGTATTCTGGACTTGCTCCGCCGAAGTGGCATTGAAGTAGTCGGCCCCGGGATTGGCGAGTATGGTGGTGTAGATCGTCTCGTTGAAGTGGAGGTAGTCCGGGCGAGAGAGCGAGGTATCATGTTTGATGGTCCCCGTGTCTGCGAAGAAGATATTACATTAGAAGAGAGGAAAGGCAATGCTATACATAGACACTTACAGTTTGAGATCGTAGAAATGAAAACACGTGTACCTTCCTCCCTTAGCAGCTGCCTTGCAACCTCCTGGGCCCTCCTTACACCCTGGGCCTTCTTTACACTGGAGGATCCATTCCCAAGTAACCCTCCCTGAACACAGTTCTGTGCATTACAACCATGAACCCCGCGTCCAGTTCATCATCACCCACAAACGAGAATGTGCTATCACGCAGGATGTTGAAAGGATCGTCCGTCCTCCATGTTTCGACATTTCAGAGTAGCTCATCCCACCTCCCCATCACCCCGGTAATTAATAATAGTGCCGTGGATACCGACACCTGACGTTGGACATCCTACCTCCTGAACGAAGGAGAGGAAGGAAGTGCGTTCAGAGACGGCCGGCCGGCGTTGAAAAAACAAGTCATCCACACGTGTGCAGACTCTTTTAATAATTATTTCGCGAGTCAGCATGCAATCGTCGGCGTACACGGAAAATAGTCGTACGCAGAGGTTCTTTTCTGTCGAGACTCGAGACTGCATCAACGAGGGCTCGGGAAAGAGAACCAAGAAAGGGCATGCAATCACCAGCGTGTGCGGGAAAGAGAATTGTACGCAGAGGCTCCGCCCTGGTTTTTCGTTTCTGTCGAGACTACGCGATGGCAGCGTTTGTATGTACCCGATCGAACTAGACCACGTTGTGCAGGTACTCGAGTTACCAATCTGACGTTGATGATCCCTTGGCGGGGCACTAGAGGAACTACCTCGAGCTCGATGTTTGTAGTAGTCCTCTCATTATCCTAGACATATTTCTTCCGGTCCCTACATCGGTTTGACAAGGGAAGGTGAAAGACACGGGAGCTTTGTCTCCAAGGATTGGACTCAGGAAGCAGGGAACATTGTCCTGAGAGTCCACCAGTACGGCTTTCCATCACGCCGAAAACATGTAATCGTGTTAGGGTCCGGGGAGGGGGGGAGGAAAGCGTGTAGGGTTGTCGTGCGCGAACACAATGGGAAGATGATCCTGAAACTATAGCGAGTTCAAAATTCGCATAGAGCCTCAAGCAAGGCAACCTTCAACTCCTGGATAACGACTCTGCAAGCGCCAAACACAAAACATGACCATCTCCCCGATCCTCCGCCAAGACCCTCACATCCCTAAACATCCGCTCCACGACCTTCCTCCGCCCCCGAAAGATACAAAACCCTGGCACACGCAGTCGTGGAGCTGGAAATACCGACGGTTGGGGAGGGAGATCCGCCCGCCGGTCGTGTCTGTGAGAGTTACTTGGTCCGGAAGGCCGTATAAGGTGTTTCGGTTTGGTGGGTGGGTGTGGATTTCGTATGTGTTGGTGGTGTCCTGTTATATGCAGGTCTTAGTAAGAGGGAAGGAAGGGGAAAGGAAACTGACGTACATTCTCATCCTCGATTGGACGAAGAGAAACTCAGAACTCGTCAAACGCGTGATGAAAATCAGGCGTGACCGTGAAGGTGTTTTCAGCTCGGTGGATATCGCTCTCGCTCTCGAATTCGACATTGACGAGCCGTTTGATGATGGCTGCAGGAGACGTCGCCCACGCCAACTAGCAAGCAAATTGAGATGGAGCTAGACTCAAGGAAGAGGAGTCGGACGAACCTTCCTTTGCGCAACATCCGTCAGCCCAACAGTATAATCCGCCCTCGATGGGCCGAATACTATATGTCCCAGTACGGTGCTTCTCATCCTCTCTCCCGCTGCTTCGTTCATCGTCGTCAGGCCATCGTCAAAGCTGTCGATGTCCATGTTGCCGGAGAAGATACACCGGTAGTTGTCCCGAGCCAAAGCCTAAGAAAGAGTTCCAGCCGAGAACGGCGTGCCAAAGATGTTTGCTTACGAACTTTTTAGCATCACTCCAACTGGTAGTGGTGGTAGGCTGCGACATCAAGACCGAACGTGAACCCTTCAGCTTCGGGTTCTTAACTGCCCACCCAACCCAAATGTCAGTCAATCTCACACAGATTTATAACCCAATGACTCAAACTCACACATTCCAATAACACACACAACATACAAATATGCCAACCCCACAAGCACTTCTCCTTCATCAGCACAACCACAAATCTCCTCTACCAGCCCAATAGAAGAAAGAGTATGCCAAATGAGCGCGTAGCCCAAGACTCGCGCCGCAACTTCCGGACTGAACTTGAACATGACTTCTTTACCCGCGACCGAGCCCCAGCTACCAAGAGCTTCGAGGCGGAGACAGGATTGATACGCTGTGTGTTCATCGGAGGATGGACGAAATGGATTTTGCGGTAGGGGTTCGGGCATGATGATGGTGGTGGTCGGGGTTTGAGAATTATGATTCCTGTTGCTTAGTAAGATAGGGATGACCATCGCTCATGATGCATGAAATTTGAACGACGATTTCGATTGACCTCGTCGATATTTGACAGGCTCCAAGTGTTTTAGGGTGTTGTACAGTCCAACTTTCGGCATGGTCCTGAGTGAAGCTGAAGAACGAAAAGTTCTTCGGTGGAGGGGACGACGTGGATACACGTTTCCATTCGTGGCGTTGTCGTAGTCACTTGGTAGATGCATATATCACCAGTAGAAACTGCCGAGGAGGATGAATTGAAACAAGACGCGAAAGGTAGCCTACTGCTTGCGGAACGTGAGCGCGCGCTAGAGATCCTTCGCAACGAAGAGAAGATGGCGGCGATGGCGTGTACATATCGCCGCAGCTAGGATCGTGCAGCAAGCAGGTGGAATAACAGCCGTGATCATCGCAGGTCGCTGTAGAGGGCATGGGGGATTGGCAACGTGTCCCATCGCAGTGTTGTGGGGATGCAAGGATGATGGCCTGGGGTATATGCGCGTCTTGTGGTTGTAAGGACGACGTCCATGGTGCTAGGAGACCGCCATGCAGCGGAGAACTAGAGTGTACAAGCCCGTTTTCGTGGTCAGACACCCCAATCTGTTGTATCTGAGAAGGGAGGTATTAGAAATACAAATGGAGAACTCACCTCGAAGATAATACAGCTCCAAGAATCGTGTCGGACGCACAACTACCGCGGCTTTTCATCAGGACAGCGCTCCATCTGAGTTATATTGAGTGCAGGTATGGCTAGGTCTGGGCTGGAAGTAGGTTGGGTCGTGGAGTTCAGCCGCTGTGTATATCAGCTAGGCAACACAATACGAGCATTGGTATTAATGGGCGAGTCTGTTTTCTCCAAGCATCGATGAGAACTCGGGAAGTCTTGTACGGGATAGGTTCATGCCAAAGCCGCCTTGGAGGCATTACCGTCATCGTGACAGAGGATGTCGAGGAGAAAACCTTCACGCTTAGTCAGCCTTGGTTCTGATCTTTGACTTATCCCAAACACGAACATAAACATCGAAATGGAGCTTCAGGTTTTTTCGTGGGCTGGCTCCCCTCGCGGCCTTGACATCGTTTATACATGTCTTCTATAGACAGTGCAGGAGAGGAGCGAGCAAGACTGCATAGGCGATCTCGAAGGGGTGGGTGAGTGTGATCTCTCTGAGAATCGGCAAGGGAGTATGATGCCAAATATCTCTAGGCAGGTTCATGACGAATTCACCTTGGAGGTATCATCGACGATCGTGGCGGAAGAATATCGAGTCAGGAGGAGAGAAACTTGAAGACTCGCTTAGTCAGCTTCATTGCCGTCCGTTCCGGTTTTCCCGGTGTCTGTCTTTTGCAGCATTCATTTGTCGTTGACAGTCACAAACAATACTGAAAGGCAATCGAACCGTGGCGAGTCATCGATTTCTTCGTTGGCTGTCCTTCCAGACGCATTTTAACACTCTCTCTTTTCTTTCCGTTAAAATGCTGACCCGGATCGCGATACCATGCCGCCCTTGGATCGCGGGCAGCATGAACATAGCTGCGCTGGAGTCTGGAACTATCGGACGACCTCATGATAATATCTTTTCACTTTCTTTCACGGTCTTTCTGGTGTTTGCCTTCAAAGTCTTGGCTTGCTTGAACTCTGCCGTTACGATAGTGACAGCGCTTATGTATAAATTAAACCAAAGCTTAGCTTCATTGACTAACAAAGGTGTCGGGCGAGGGATATGGCACAGTCAAATCTTCATAGACTCACCATACTGGCTATCCCATAGACGTATTCGTTAGACTATGCGGCAGATGTCGATGAGGGCTGGATATACTTTCCGTTATTTCTAGGATTGCGCCTGATACCAATCGCCTGTCTTTTCCGAGCTACGATCCAAGGCGATTTACCAGCATAGCCCAGACTGTCTCGATGCTGTAAAAGACCGGGGGAAAAGGAACATCGGAGTCCGTTGGAGGTACATACGAGTTCTGGGTTTCTATGTTCATCTGTTCTGTGTGCGACTAATAGACCTTCGCATCGAGCTCCGAGTCGTCGCCATTAGCACATAAAGTGTATTATGTAATCTTCACTGCAAACAGGTTATCCGAATCCCTTGTGTACCTTTATCGCACCGAGTTTAAGCTAAACCTGCTGCTCTTGTTCCAACTCAGCTTCCTGCTTTCGACCAAGACACCATCCTAAAAATCGATCTATACGGCCGGTTCTATGTTGTACTGGCAACGAATCAGAGAGAACCTGGATCGACTGTTAGTCAAGGGCAGTATTTGAGCGAGAAAAGGAACATCAGCTCACCAGGGTATGTGCTTCACTGCTGAAAAGGTCGTCAATCACTTGTATCGCATATCTGATGTTGTCTTTTTCAACTTGAACTTCATCGGTCTGCAGTGGACGGAGCTTATACAAAGTTTCTTGCACAAGCTGGGTACTAAAAAAGTCCCCGTCAGTATCACCTTGTGCCAGATCATGAAGTTTTTGCCGGCATTCATCCCAGGCGACGTTTTGTTGACACAGTTGCACAAGCATCATGATGTTGCAGTGAATGGCAGCCCGGTTCGTATCGATGCCATGTGTGGCCAGGATAGAGCATGCGGTGAAAAGATTACGTGGGTTATGGAGATAGTCAATGTGCAGCTGAAGCGTAGCTGCGTCCATCGCTCCACATAATCCGTGTTGCATTTCAAAAATTCCTCTAATGTATTCGCTAACCATCGAAACCGAAGCTATATGAAATGGGTGGCTTCCAAGAAACTCCAGACACTGACTTTCAAGGAACACCGTAAAGGCTACCGGAACACGCTTCACGAAGAGATGAGTCAACACCTCGCAGGCAGTGTCAGATCGATATAAATTACCCAGCGTATGGTCCCAGTGTATCGTCATATAATGAACCATTGATCGGAGATCGCGCAAGGGATAAGGCGAGGGAACCATCATAGCCAAAGACTGATAGGCGGAGGTAGTAATGTAGCGCAACATATGCTGCGAATACGAAATAAGGTCTAAATCTTCTTGAATGGCAAAAGAAACAGGGATATCCCCGAGTATTGTCATGATAGGGGTAGTTTCCTGAGATGAGAATCTTTGGCGCATGATCCAGCTAACTGCAGTGTATAACGACTCATAAAGAGACATATCAGACTCTGAGAAAGAAAGTCTATGAAGTAGGAATTTAATGATTGCAGCAACCATCCTCAGAGATTGAGGTAATGATGGCTCGCGCAAAGATGGATCTTTGACGAATTTGGAAAACATATGCAGGACACGATCATAGAATTCGTCAAGGAAATAGGGTAGAGCATCCAAGAAATCCAGAAGCAACGGAGAATCAAAGCCCTGTGTTAGGTTTGTCTTTGATTCGCTGAGCAAGCGCAAGGTGGCAGAACAAAGATCAAGTGGAAACTTATTGGTATGATCGTAGGTATCAGGATCCAAGGGGCTAAAGATATCCTCTATTTCGCTGGACATCAAAAGCTGAACCCAACAACGTAGCGGAAGCTTTGAAGAACGGCTGACCATGTCCGTGAAAATTTTAGTCAGGGGAACATGCTCTTTTGCGAACAAGCAATGGCCACTGCATATAATCGCAGCCCTGAGCTCAAATGGATTGTCATTGGAGAACACGAAGTTATCCATCGTGGCAGCGCGAGGATAGAAGCGAAGGAGACGTTCGAGTTTAAGTTCCATGCCTGGGACTGCTTCTTGCATAAATGTGTGATAGCCCTGCTGGACGCATTGCCTAACTAAAGAGTTCCGCAAGGTATCCATTGTCATATTATCTCCCTGAAGTGCGAGTAACTTTTCTTCTGATGCCATCGGCAGCCCCCCAATGGACTGTACAACTATGCTTTGGACACTAGGATTAGAAGACACCCAGAAGAGCCAATCCAATGCTTCAGCTGCCAAACTGACTGACGCACGCTGCACAGACTCAGACTCTATCGCCCTCAGCGGCGTTGCGTCCCTTGTTTGTAGTATTGGAAGATAATGCATCATGTCGCTAAAGCTTTGTCGTCTCCATGCCAGAAGGAAATTTTTTTTTTGGTTCCATGATACATGCGGGATGATATGATGTAAGGAGATATAGATGAGATCACAGAGAGGCGTACGGTAAGGGCATTGAGGGAAGAAGATGGGGAGGATGGTTGCCGTCACATACGCAGTGTACAACAGGACAGTTGCTGTGCAAATGATCCATGACAGAGCTACCTGGAGAGGATGTAGGAAAACCACCAAGCCGCCAAGGAAAATCGCGAGAGCGAGGTGCATAAGTACAGGAAGGAGTCCTATGATGACCTGGACAGTGCCACTTTTGGAACCCGGCATATCGGAACTGACGAGTAAAACTGCGGTCCCGCGATGTCCCTGAAGGAAGGGCAACATAATGGTGCAGCCACTGTTTCACGAGGACGGCAACGAGTGCAGTTGTCAGGCTTAGGGACAGGCTCGTGAACCAGAGCCCGTTCACCCAAACGTACGTGGCAGCGGGAACAAAAGGTATGTTGGGATTGAGGGGAGAAGAGGCAATGCTGTTGACCGGGGAACCGTTGGCGATGGCACGTTGAAGAAGGACCGATTCATAGAGTAGAGAAGCCGACATGGCGGTGTAGTCTGGCTGCAGGCTCTGTGACGTTTGGGCTACAAATGACGTCACGACCGCTGAGAAAAGACCCGCCTTCGACATGGCTCAGTAACGAAGTAATGCAAGCCAACCATGGGACTCACAAAAACAAGTAAAACATCGACATTATCTCGGGATTCTTCGACCATGTTGGCGTCGTGAATCTTGCTTTCATCTTCGTACGTTCTCCAAACCCTCGCATTAGGTGACGTCTCTTCATAAATCGGATCCTCTGGGTATTTTTCTTCGTAATTGTACCCATCCTTTCCTATTTGGCACTTGGTGAGATATGAGGCAGAAAAAGAAGCATTTGCCATACGTTTCTTAGCTGTAGGATTCGGTCTCCTCATCGTCCCAAAAATCCTCGTGCTGGTTGCATTGGTGGGATTCTGCATCGCAGTGGCGGGGTCTTCATCCGGCTCCTGTTCTCCTCCACCCTCTTCGATCTCTGTCTCCTGGACATCGTCATTCTGGTCAAGTCTGTGCTCTCCGCTTCGTTCTGGAGCTGGGGGGCTTGCTTCCGGTTCAACAGAGCCTGGGGCCGACTGAGCGATCGCCTTGTAAAATCGACATCTTGGAACGATGCAGGCTGCATTCGCGGCGCCTAACAGGTACCTAGCCTGGCAAGTCCGACTTTATTATATACTCGCAACACTCGCATCTCCTCGCAGCCGGGGCGAGGTCCAGACAAGAACCTCCGACCTCAATGGATTTTCAGGTCCGATAGGAAGGAAGTTGTTTTATTACGCGACGGTGTTCCTCAACAAAAACGAGCCGGGGCCCGTAGGTATGCCGTTGAAGCCGCTCACTCAGATACAACGTCACATCACTGAACTTCATTGAGTACTATATTTCGACGTTGAGCTTGGGCCCACTTTCGGGTTGAAATACTGCAGGCTCGACGTGAAAGAGCAAGGTTCCAGTCCTCAGGCCTCAGTAACTACACCGCATAGAGGAAAGCAGCACAGTGCGTCCGCAATGGAGGAAAGAAACCTTCAGCAGCCGCAAAACGTCAGGCATGAAAGTCACCTTGTCATATATGCAGCCCTTGATTCCTATTACTCAACGGAGGAGAGGAACCATTCGTGAGGGTCGGCGCTACGAGTTGAAGAACGGGTAGGAGATTGTGTGGGTAAGAACCAAAGGGAGCACGGCTCGGGTCCCGTTGAAAAAGTACGCCAGCCACGTGTATAGATATTTTCTCTCGTAGGATCTCTTCAGTATTTCCTGACGGGATCTCGAGAAGATAGAATACGCATGCGCGCGCACGGAAGAGAGAGAAAGTTAGAGGGTATGGGGGAAGCTGGAGAATCCACGGAGAAAATTATGTTTGTTCAATCATCGGCAGGGGAGTAACTTGACACCCAGGAAGAGTCGTTCACTGTGCCGCATAGGTGCTTTGGTATCCCTTGATGTTGACGGAGAAAAGGACTGCCTGGAGCACATCCTTCGAATATCACTGTGATCAGGAGTGCGTGTATTGACGGCCTTGCACTAAGGATAACACGAGGCATTGAAGGTGGTACCAATGATCATGCACTAGCGGTTGTAGCATAACACTCATTATTTCGCTATTCCAAGACAGGAATAAGCTCATAGTCGGAACTGCATATACAGAACAGGACTCGCCTTTGCGTACACTCCCTACTCACGCTTACTCTACAACAAAGAATGGAAGCTGAGTCGTGTTTAACGTACGACCTCGGGATTTGTCGACTAGTCACGAGTGGAGTCCGCCAAGCGAACGTTCCCTTTACTCGAAGGACCCTGCGCAGTCCAACGAGAGTTAAAAAGCGCGTTTTACCCCGTGAGGAGGGGGGTGGAGGGCCTAGGACGGAGAGAGTGAATATTCGCAACACGTTCCGGCTCGGGTCAAAGTCTTTGGGCCAGCCACGTGTACTCTTCTCTCACAGACGAGAGAACTGAGAGATATGGTATTCGTGTGGGGAACGTCCATTGAGAAAGAAAATGGGAACCATCACGAGCCCAGGGAGAGCCATATGCTACGACCAAAGCTGTAAGATGGCGTTAGGTTGGATTAGTCGTGACGAGTACATGGCGAGTCGAAGGTATTATGGTGTTGTCTTCCTGTTTCCTTGGATGTGAGAGATCGTTTGTTGAATGCATGTATCACCAGTAGAAACGGCACCCGCCGAGGAGGTACATATAAGCAAGGTTGACTCCGGAAAGAAGAATGAAAACTACGGGCACGGGAGTTCCGCATGGGGAGACACGAAAGACGCAAAGGAAGATAAGGAAACAGCGCACAACTCCTGGATCGTGGGGTGCAGACTCGGCCTGGTCCACCGGAGGACCCTCACCCACGAGAGAGGATCACCTGGCAGTGCGATCACCCTCTTTCGCCCCCCTGTAATCCCAGAGCGCGTCTGTCTTCTTTCCGCTTGCATCCGACCTTGCTAACTCTCTTCCAGGACAGGGCAGCTACACGGATCTTGGCAAGGCAGCAAGGAAAAACGTTTCGTGAATGGAGGTGATGGCACGTGCATATTTAGGTAGGAGGCAGGGAAGTCGTCGCACTGTTGGGAGTAGGCTAGCATCATGATACATGATGAAGGAAGATGGTGACAAGAGTTGTGACTATCACAGGTCTGTCCTGTCGCTGTATACAAAGATAAGAGGGTATGAGAACTTGGAAAGGTGACGATGTAAGATGTCCAGGGCACGTAGGCGGCTCGCTAGACCACAATTGTGATTGTATGCACGGTAGACCAAAGGGAGGACTAATGATATCCGTGGTGCTAGGTACCGCCATTTACGTAGTCGGACGGCCCGTTTGTGTCTGAAACTGAGGTAAGGTTTGTGACCGGAAATACAGCCGGGGAATTCGGACTCGCCTCGAAGATAGTCCGTACTTCCTCGGTGAAGTCAATGAAGAGTCGTGTTGAGTGAACAACTATCACGACATTTCAGATTTGATGAACTTACACACGATGTGGCAATGCAGGAGTGATAATCTACCGCGTCCTGGAATCACGAGGGCAAATGCAGGTCTGGCGACTGAATGGCAGGAAGAAAGTTGGCTTTCATAGTCGCTGTGAAAAGGATTCCTGGTGCTTGCCACACATGTTAACTTCCGGCGGGCGACGCGACAAGTTGGGCGTTTGTGATCTTTTCAAGCGTAGGCGAACGAGTCTCGTGTGATGTATCTTTAGGAATGTTCGTACCGAGGCCGTCTTGGAGGCATCATCGTGGCAAAGGATGCTTGATCGTTTGTGTTGAATATGACTGTCAAGTTTGAAGTCAGGAAGAGAAATCCTCTCGCTTAGTCAGCTTCATTGCCGCCGTCTGTTCGTCAGCCGGTTCACCCCGGACCCGTCTGTCTTCACAGCATTCGTTGTTACTGTCCGTTGGCTGTCCCAACCAAGAACGCCAAGACGATGTAGCCCGAAAAGGGACCAGTTTTCTTCGTGTTCTGTCTTCTTAGGCTCAGGCGCATGCTAGCACTTTCTTGTCTTTCTGTTAAGATGTCGACCCACTAGATTTGATATTGGGCCTGCACTTGAATCACGAACACAGCATGTGCTGGAGTCTGGATCTGTCGAGCGGACCAGGAGGATATCTTTTCAGTTTCTTTCGCTCTTTTCTGGTCAGAGTAGTCGAATGCTGCCATTACGATGATGACAGTGCTCGTGTATGAATCGAATCGTGGCTCTTCAAAGCTCAGTCTTCCGATTTTGGCTGTGATTTGTTCACACATTGGTCAAGTCTTAACCCACTCCCTCCTTACGAGAGCCTCATACATCCCCTCAGAACACGAAGGACTTTTTAACTAGATTGGCTGGCTTGGATAATTATATACAAGCTTACACCTGGGATCTCTCAGCAGAATCGTCTAACACTCAGATATGGATTCCTTCCAAGAAATGATATAGCTGTACATAACAGCTCTCAACATTACGGCGCACTGTCTAGACGAGTGGCAAACTCCAAGTGACCAAGACCTAGAACAGACTCAGCGCCAAATCCAAAGAAAACACGACAAAAAAAGCGTACCTTCCTCTTCTAACAGCTTCCTCGCGATCCTCTCCTTTTCACCTTCATGAAACTGCAGTATCTCCGCCGGGTCCATACCCAAGTAGCCCCTCCTGAACACGGCTCTACGCGTAACGACCATAAACTCCACTGAGCCTACCTCGCCTACATACGAGAACCTGCTTCCAAACGGCTTGACCTTCGTTTCGATGAGCTGCCACACCAAACAAATGTCGTCCTCTGTTAGCTCTTGGCCTATGATGCGAGAAGCCCATGCAATGGCAGTATCGCGATGCATGACGAAGCCACCTTGGAGGCGCGTTCGAGGTTCGAGCCTGGGCTTGAGCAGGGGTGTGTCGTTTTCGGGGAATATCGTAGAGCTTGTTGAAGAGGGCGTCGCCACACAACAAATGTGTAGATAGAAAAGGAAGACGTTAACGTTGAAGGTCGGACTAAGTATACTTAAATCAAATCCCAACTCGGCACAAACAAAAACAAAAACAATTGGAATTGGCGGCGGTGTTCAGAAAGGCCGCCTCGGTACTACGCAGTTTAATCGAGATCAATGACATCCTTGACGCGGAGTTTATGGACGCGACGCAGCGTATTGGCTACGTTTCCTCAAGGACTGAAGTTCACGCTCAGGAATCAGTGAGAAAAGGCGGCGAGGAAGCGGTTTCTAACATGATTGAGGAAGTCGCGGTCATTTGGCGGTTGCGACGCGTCTAAGAGCTAGTTCATGGCACACGAAGATTCATTAGACTACCTATACCGAAGTCGTGAAGGAAGTTTAACATGTCTTCAGATCTGGACTCGAAGAGACCGTTAGAGGTACTAGATTTAGACCACTACATTCATCTCACCTTCCAGAACCATTTCCGACGGCGATTAGAGCAAGTGGCAGCGCGCTGTGGGGCCACCCAAATCACCTTAAACAATCGTGTTTTATTTTGAAAGCAAAACTTAGGATTCCTTCCGAGAAACGACATAGTAGTACACAGCAGCTTCAACATTAGTACGGCGAGCTGTCCAAACAAGTGGAAAACTCCAAATGGCCAAGACCTAAGTCAGACTCAAAGAGAACGCGTCAAGAAAACGCGTACCTTCCTCCTCTAACAACTTCCTTGCAATCCTCTCCCTTGCACCTTCCCTGAACTGCGGTATCTTCGCGGGGTCCATGCCCAAGTATCCTTTCCTGAACACAGCTCTCCTTGTAACGACCATAAACTCCGTAAAGCGTTCTTCGCCTACAAACGAGAACCTGCTTCCGAAAGGTTTGACCTTTCCTTCAATGAGCTGCCACACCCAGCAGATGTCCTTCATTGTCAACTGCTCATTCGCGATACGAGAGGCCCATGCGATAGCAGTGTCACGGTCCATGATGAAGCCACCTTGGAAGCGAGTTCGAGGTTCGAGTCTGGGTTTGGGCGGAGGTGTATCGGTTTCTGGGAACATTGAAAAGCTCAAGTTGAGGAGGGCGTCACCACACGACGAGTGGATAAGTAGTTAGAAAGGAAAGAAGTTAAAGGTTGGACTGTAAATCAAATGGATCCCAACTTTGCACAAACAAAAACAAAAACAATTGGAAACTGCCCGGTGTTCAGAAATGGACCGACCACAAAGTTGGTGGCGAGTGGTGCTCTGGATTAAGGACGATATAAGACGTCCTTGACGAGGAGTTTATTGTCGTGACGCGGCGTATTGTGTTTAATGGCTGCACGACTCCGTTCCGTGAGCCAAGGCTCGTCGCCTAGCCTCGACACGCGTTTCTGTGCGTCAATACGAACAATTTTCGTTGATCAGGAAACCTCCCAGTTCACCAAAACCGGTTCTCAGAATTAACACGAAAAGCTATCAATTCATATAGGTATCAATGACTCAACCAGTATGCTTACGGGCAAGCAGTAACATTACTGTCAGGACTGGCGCGAATGAAAGGACATTTGCCACTTCCAACCCACTCCGAAGCCTCTTCGATGATATCCGCAATCGGAGAGATCGTCTGGCCCGTGATCAACGTCGTTGGCTTGGTCCACCCTTCCTCAATGGGCATACGCTCCTCGCGGAAAAATATATCCACAAACCTATAACATATTTCAGTCAATACTAATCCGAATGGCGATGAGACGGACGTACTTCTTGGGCGCAACACCCGTCACCGGATCACCCATGAGGCTCAGGTAAAGAGCAGACTCCCGAGTGCGTACAGCGAACTCCTTCGCAGTGTTGACGATACCAGGGTTGGCGAGGGTATCATCAGCGAGCCGCTTCTTCTGCACTTGCCCCGCAGAGGTCGCGTTAAAGTAGTCGACGCCGGGATTGGATTGAGTGAGCGTGGTATAGATCGTCTCGTTAAAATGGACGTTGTCGCCGAGGAGGAAGTCCGAGCGGGAGAGCGAGGCGTCGTGTTCGATGGTCCCGTGTCTGCGAAGGAGATACTACATTAGAAGAGGGAAAGGCAGTGCTACATGTGAACGCTTACAGTTTGAGATCATCAAGGGTGAAACTATCGGGCGCGTCCGTAGTGAGAAGGCCGACCTTGGCGGCAAGGATGAGAATAGATGGGTCGATATTGAACCCTTCTGCTGTGGGCGTAAGAAAACTATGCCAAGTGAATAGCGCATCCTCACCTAGCCCAGCATTGAGCACCATGTTGATGGTGATATTCTTGCCATCTCGAGGTAGGAAACCGTGATTCGCAAGGCTACAGCAAACTATCAACAGATGATACAAGAACAGAGCTCGAATACGAACGTATTCAGGCCAGGACACGGGCCACGCAAATCAGAGGCTCCAGGTGCTTGCCATCCGTGCAGTTGCCAGTCAGTACTGGCATGTGCACTAGAGAGGAGGGCAGCTACAAAAGCAAAGCTGAGATACATCGCAAAGCTTAAGCAAAGGTCGCGACCAGCTCACCTTCTTATACCATTTCTTCACAACGCCGTACTTTGCGAGCGCTACGAGCCTCCGACGGAGATGCGATATCAACCGACGGCGGAAATCCTGAAATTACAGCATGCAATGAGAAGAGTATAAGTCAGAAGGGAGGGAACGGTCTCACGAGATGACATCCCCGACGGTACTGATTGGCTGGGCTGTGTATCCATACGTTTACATAACGTAAAGAAAGACGCGGTGAGCAACGCAGAAGCGAGTCGACGAATGGCAGAGCAGGCAATGAAAGGAAATTCTATCCGATGACTTTGATTTCTTGACTACTACTGTCGGCAGCTCGGATCTTCTTCCTTGTTACGTGCATCCCTGATTTGTCGATTTCTTTCTTGGTAAGTGTCCGTGTTATATAAAACCTGAGCGAGGGCTGCAGAGCTGTGACATTCGTCCCCGCTTCTTTGTTCAAACTATTCGCTGCATACACACTTTCTGTCAGCGTCGGACCAAGACAACAAAAAGGAACGTGAGGAAACTCGAGCTCCTGGTGTGCTTCATGGGCCATGGCCTATCGATGACTTTGGACACCTCTGCCACCAGGCTTGCAAGGCGGGTGTACATGATCTGCGAGCGTCGGGATATTACTAGAGATCGTTAAGAATAGCTTAAAGACGTGGCTAATAAGCAACCTACTCATTCAAACATATTGCGCGTCTTCGTAGCTTGATAGTGTCCCGTTTACCCGCCGCCACTGAGGTAAGGAGATGAAGATAGTGCTAGTTCACTATACCACGGATGAGAACAGACACACAATGGAAAAAATAGATAGATCTTGGGTTAAAGGAAGGGGTAGCGTAGTGAACGGTGAAAATCCATGGCGTTGTCGCACTATTGAGCCATATAGAATGAGCACACTTGATGATAGATGACTTGAAAGGATGTGATGAATCAACGCGAATTGTGCTCCGTTGAATTGATCGGAAGAGAGGAGTTTGGACAAGGGGAGGAGAATATATGCGTATAGAACTACAGGTCATGTTTTTGTCTGTCCGTTGCTACTGTATCGACGTACACATATGCGTCGGGCAGCTATATGTACGTTGATGAGAAATAGTCCATATAAAGAGTCTATAGCACGTACCTCAGCTAGACTAAGGAAAGTCAGGCAATTGTACAGTCATTCGTCTGCATCTGTTCTTATAAATTAGTCGGACTTCCGTCTTCATGCAACGAAATCGTCATCTGTCGTAACGAGAGGACATGAGGAAATGGATCAAAACATCGTGAAACCCCAATGTAAAGCTATTCCTAGCGAGTTTCTGTGCAGTGCGAGTAGCATGGTGAATGGACAGCGAAAGGTATTGCCGTGAGCCATAGAACGGCCAGCTATGCGTCGAAACAAGTTCAGAAGGGCCAGTTTAAAACTTCTGGTAATGGAAGGAAATTGATAGACAAGGGCGAGCGCATAATTTTGGGTAAAACATGTGTTTTTTTCGAGAAATGGTATGATACAGAGCATTCTTCAATCTAGACGAGTGGCAAACTCCAAGTGCCCGAGACCTGGGACAGAATCAGCGTCAAAACAGAAGAACAGGACAGAGAACACGTACCTTCCTCCTCTAGCAGCTTCCTCGCAAGTTTTTCTTGTTCGCCCTCCTTGAACTGCGGTATCAGAGGGATCCATGTCTAAGTAGCCCCCCGCGAACACGGCACTCCGTGTTACAACCATAAATTCCGCATCCAGTTCTTCGCCCACAAACGGGAATCTGCTCCCGTATGGTGTGAGCTTATCTTCAGTGATTTCCCACACCCAATAAATGTCGTCTTTTGTTAATCGTTCGTTTCCGATACGAGAGGTCCATTCGATAGCAGTGTCGCGATTCATGACGAAGCCACCTTGGAGACACGTTTGAGGAGTCTGGCTTGGTATCCGTATCCCTTTCGGGAAACATTGCAGGCTTGAAGAGGACGTCACGGTAGAGAAGCGACGGCAGGCGTGATGTTGGTGTTGGAAAGAAAGTTTGTGTCTGTGCAAACAGGAACAATCAGCTGGAATTGGCGAACAACGCCGCGACCGGCGCGACGTCCCTTCAGGATCTTACTACAATGTCTTCTGAACCAGACACACCCAAGAATCGGCCTCAACCTCGAACATGAACACGTCTCCAGAGTGCCTTCCTCATGGACCGCGATATTGCTCTCGCATGGTCCTCTCACATCGGAGACGAACAGTTGACAAAGGACGATATCATTCGGGTATAGCAACTCATCGAAAAAAAGGTCAAACCTTAAGGCAGCAGATTCTCATATGTAGCTGAAGTGCTCGACGCGGACTCCATGGTTGTGACGCAGAGAGCCGTGTTTAATGGCTTCGAGAGTATGGATTCCTCCTTCATACCGTAATTCCAGAGGGTGAACGAGAGAAGGTCGCGAGGAAGCTGCTAGAGGAAGAAGGTACGTGTTTTTCATCGTGTTTTTGATTCTTGATGCTAATTTCTTGTTCAAGGCCTCGGTCATTTAGAATTCTCCACGCGTCTAGATTGACATTTTCAGTGTATAATACCGTTTCTCCCTATCAAAATAAATGCCTATCCTCTTTCTTGGAGATATCTCACACGAACCTCCCCGAAAGCCTGTATCATGCTATTCTTGATATATTTGGGCAAGCACCAGGAATCCTCCCTCGACTTTCGAATTGCAATTGGCGGACCTGGAGTTATCTTTCCTCGAGCTATGGTAGCCTCTTCTTGCACTGTCGTGTCGGCCATTAAATCATAAGATTAAACGTGCATGTACGGGCACTATGGTCGCCCGTACCTCGAACCGAGTTTCAACGCTCAGACCTGGCACATCTTTCTGTACGTCTACGTCAATACCAACAAAATTCATCGATCAAAAACCTCTCAGTTCACCGAAATTACCTCGCATAATAGGCTCGAGAAGGCTCTCTTCTATTCACAAAAGTATGAGCACCGTTTATCGAATCAGTATGTTTATTAACTGTAACCCTAGGCCTGAGCATGTGACAATTTGATCTCAATCGATATCGGTTAGGCGCCGCGAATACAGCCTGCATCGTTCCACCATGGCAAACTTACAAGGCAATGGTTCATCGTCTGCAAGCGCTGTTGAACGGGAAGCGAGCCTGCCAGCTGCAGAACGAAGCGGAGAGCACAAACTTGACGATGTCCAGGAGATCGAGATCGAGGAGGGTATAGGAGAACAGGAGTTGGATGAAGACCCCGCCGCTGCAATGCACAATCCCACAAATGCAGCCAGCACAAAGATTTTCGGGACGATGAAGAGACCAAGTCCTTCGACTAAGAAAGATACGACAGATCCTCCTTTTTGCCTCGTATCTCACGAAGTGTCAAATAGGAAACGATGGGTATAACTATGAAGAAAAATACCCAGAGGATCCGATTTATGAAGAGACAACGCCTAATGCGAGGGTTTGGAGAACGTACGAAGATGAAAGCAAGATTCACGATGCTAACATGGTCGAAGAATCTCGAGACAATGTTGATGTATTGCTCGTCTTTGTGAGCCTTGTGGTTGACTTGCTTTACTTCTTTACTGAGCCATGTCGAAGGCGGGTCTAAACTCAGCGGTCGTGACGTCATTTGTAGCCCAAACGTCACAAAGCCTGCAGCCGGACTATGCCGCCATGTCGGCTTCTCTACTCTATGAATCGGTCCTCGTCCAACGTGCTATTGCCAACGGTTCCTCGATCAACAGCATTGCCCCTTCTCCGCTCAATCCCAACATCCTTTTTGTTCCTGCCACCACGGATGTTTGGGTGAACGGGCTCTGGTTCACGAGCTTGTTCCTAAGCCTGACGACGGCACTCTTTGCCGTTCTCGTGAAACAGTGGCTACACCTTTATGTTGCCCTCCCTTCGGGGACACCGCGCGACCGTAGTTTTACTCGTCAGTTCCGATATGCCGGGTTCCAAAAGTGGCACATCCAGGTCATCATAGGACTACTCCCTGTCCTTATGCACCTTGCTCTCGCCATTTTTCTTGGTGGCTTGGTGGTTTTCCTACATCCTCTCCAGGTAGCTCTGTCACGGATCATTTGTACGGCAGCTGCCCTGGTATACACTGCGTATGTGGTGGCAGCCATCCTTCCCATTTTCTTCCCCCAATGCCCTTACCGTACGCCTCTTTGCGATCTAATCTATAGCTCCTTTCATCGTATCATCCCACAAGTGTCATGGAACCGAAACCATCTTTTTCTTGATGCGTGGAGGCGACGCAGCTTTAGCGACATGATGCATTCTCTTCCAATACTACAAACAAGGGACGCAAAGTCGCTGAGGGCGATAGAGTCTGAGTCCGTGCAGCGTGCATCAATCTGTTTGGCAGCTGAAGCATTATACTGGCTCTTCTCAGTCTCTTCTAATCCCAGTGTCCGAAGCATAGTTGTACAGTCCATTGGGGGACTACCGATGGCATCGGAAGAAAGCTTACTCGCACTTCAGGGAGCTGATAGAGCAATGGATACCTTGCAGGACTTTTTACTTAGGCATTGCATCCGGATACCGGATGATCACATATTTTTGCGTGAACCAATCCCAGGCATGGAACTTAAACTCGAACGTCTACTTCGCTTCTATCCTTACTTCATCATAATGGATAACTCTCCATTTTGCAATATCGATTCAATTGAGCTCAGCGCTGCGATCACATCCAATGGCCATTGCTTGTTCGAGAAGGACCTCGTTACCCCGACTGAATTTTTCATGGATATTATTGCCCATTCTTTAAAGCTTCCGCCACGTTGTTGGGCTCAGCTTATGATGTCCATTACAAAGGAATATGTCTTCAGTCCCCTGGATCATGATACTCCTAATCATGTCAATATATTTCTACTTCATCTCTCTTCTGTCATCTTGAACTCGCTTGGCAGCTCAGAGAACAGCCTAACCCATGACTTTGATTCTCCGTTGTTTCTGGATTTTGAGGATGCGTTCCTCTATTTTCTTGACAAAGCCTATGGCCGTATCCTTCGCATGTTTTCTAAGCTCGTCAAAGACCCATCTTTGCGTGAGCCATCGCTGCCTCAATCTCTGAGGGTAGTTGCGGCAATCATCGAATTCCTACTTCATAGACATTCTCTCCCAGAATCTGATATGTATCCTTATCAGTTAGACACTGCGGTTAGCTGGATCCACTACCAAACATTCTCATCCCAGGAAGCTACCGCTGTCATAACAATGCTTGGAGATATCCTTGTCTCTTGTGCCATTCGAAAAGGGGATTCACACAATATCCCACCATCGTGGGATATGTTGCGCCACAATACTATCTTCGCCTATCGGTCTTTGGCCACCACCTTCCCCTCTGCTTGTTCTTTGCGCGATCTTCGATTAATGGTTGATCATATGACAATAAACTGGGACGATACGGTGCATTGTTCCTACCGATCTGACGTTGTATGCCAGGTGTTAGCTGATCTCCTCGCGAAGCGTATTCCGGCAGCTTTCACGGTGTTCCTTGACAGTCAATGTCTACAGTTTCTCGGAGACCACACATTTCACATAGATTCAGTTTCAATGGTTAGCGAGTACGTTGCAGGAATTTTTGCTATGCAACACGGATCGGATGAGGCGGTGGATGCAGCAACACTTCGGCTGCACATTGACTATCTCCATAACCCACACAACCTTTTCACTGCATGCTCTATCCTGGCCACACGTGGCATCGATATAGACCAGGCTGCCGTTCGCAGGGACATCACGATGCTGGCGCAGCTGCACCAACAAAACCCTGCCTGGGATGATTGTCGGAGGAAACTTCATGATCTGGCACAGAGTGATACTGGCGGGGACTTCTTCAGTACACAACTTGTATGGTCCGAATGTGGGGACAAACTTCTTCCACTACGGACCAACGAAGTTCGAGTTGAAAAAGACAACATCCGATACGCGACACACGTGCTTGATGACCTTTTCAGTGGCAGGGAACATATCATGGTAAATTGATGTTCCTTTCCTTAGTCGGATATCTTTTTACCAATGGTCGATCCAGGTTACCTCTGATTCATCGTCAGCGCAGCATAGAACAGGCCGCATAGAACACTTTTTAGGCTGGTGTTTTGGTCGAAAGCCAGAGGTTGAGTTGGAACGAGGGCCGCAGGTTTAGCTTAAGCTTGGTGTGATAAAGATACAAGAGATAATTTTTGAGTTCACCAAAAGTGTGTCGCAGAGTTGACCCGAAAAAGCTCTCTTTCATTCACAAAAAGCATATATAATCTGTTATCGAAATAGTATGCCTACGAGCAAGAAGTAACATTGCTGTCAGGACTGACGCGAACGAAGGGACATTTGCCGCTATCAACCCACTCTGAAGCCTCTTCGATGATGCCCATAATCGGAGTGATCGTCTGAATCGTGATCAATGTCGTCGGCTTGGTCCACCCTTCTTTAATGGGCAGCCGCTCTTCACGGAAAAATATATCCACAAACCTATCACACAAATCAATCTACATCCTTCAGTAATTAAAACTGGTAAAGAGACGTACTTCTTGGGCGCAACACCCTTCACCGGATCGCCCATGACACTCAGATAAAACGCAGACTCGCCACTACGTATAGTAAACTCCTTGATGGTGTTGACGATAGCAGGATTAGCAAGGGTATCATCAGCGAGCCGCTTCTTCTGCACTTGACCTGCGGAGGTCGCATTGAAGTAGTCGACACCGGGATTGGACTCGGTGAGCGTGGTATAGATCGTCTCGTTGAAGTGGACGTAGTCACCGAGGAGGAAGTCCGAGCGGGAGAGCGAAGCGTCGTGTTCGATGGTTCCGTGTCTACGAAGGAAAAACATCAGAAGAGAGGACAAGCGGTGCTAGATTTGAATGCCTACAGTTTGATATCATCAAGAGTGAAACTATCAGGCGCGTCCGTAGTGAGAAGGCCGAGCTTGGCGGCAAGGATGAGGACCGACGGGTCGATATTGTAGCCTTCTGTTGTAGGTGTAAGACAGCTTCACCAAGCGATAAACTTGTCTGTTTCTGACCTAACCCAGCCTTGAGTACAATGTCGATAGTAATATTCTTGCCATCTCTTGGTAGGAAACCGTGATTCGCAAGGCTACGGAAAAACTGTCAGCAGACAACAGAAGAACAGAGCTTGAAGACGAACGTATTCAGACCCGGGCACGGGCCACGTAAATCAGAGGCTCCAGGAGCTTTCCACTCATGCAGGTTCCAGTCAACAGTGGCATATGCACTAGAGAAAAGGACTGCTACAAAAGCGAGGTTGAGATGCATTGCAAGCTTGAGCTAACGTTGCGACCAGCTCACCCTCTTATACCACAGCGACCTCAAGAAAATATCCCTCTCCCACTAAAGGAAAGATTTGGGCGCTACGAACCCGTGACGGAGATGAGGTATCAGCCGACTGCGCAAAGACTAAAATTACTGCATTGAATGAGAAGCAGTTCAAAGTTAGAATGAACAGAATGGACCTATGGGATGACATCTTCGTTCGTATTCATTGGCTTGGCTGTGTACATCCACCAAAAGGCCATGCGCTTACCGCAAGGAGATCCTGATGCCCAGCTCTGGAAAAGAAGACTGAGGGTAGGTAAAAACACGAATTCTTGTCCGATCGGTTCGCATAGACTTGTATCCTGTTGCTTCCGATGTCCCTAACTCATCCCGTCGTTTCTCATATTCCAGGAGCATATCCACATTCCCAAGTACAAGGGCAATTATATTGCAGAAGAGTGGCTGTTTTTTCGTGCCTCTGCTCCATTTAATTCTTGCAGTATGACTGTTCCCAAATTCAGCCATAGATCTGCACCAAGCCCGCGCATACGCATAAGCATCCTGAGACGTAAACTCGCTTTGTCATTTCCTAATCGAGAATTAGACCTAGGTGCAAGCGTCCCTTCAGGTGGGGCCTGCTGTATCCGCGTTCTTCTCCAAGCACGTCATCTCTTGCCGTGCATGACATGAGGCTCCGATACCGAAGGAAAGGACTTTCTATCTGAAGTTAGGAGATGGGATTTTGAATAGTGGGAAATCGTAAAGGCGCCACGCATGAGCGCTCTCCTCTCTTTCTGCGCTGATGCCACAGAAATAAGACGTCACAGGGGACGTCAGCAGGACTACTACTAGCGTTCGATGCTGTTTACTACGGACACTCTTCAGCATCGCCCATTAGACCACAATAGACCTTTACAGCTCATCTAGTTTCAGAACCAATAACGAAGCAATTGCTCCCTGTACTAGACTAAGTCAAGTTAGCTCACAATACCTACCTTTCGCCGCCCTGCTGTGCACCTATGTTATACACCGATGCAAAGGGTGTTCTTGTCCGTCCATTGCCACTGCATGGACGTACAAATGGGTCAAAGGATTGTCGGACAAAGCGGCCTGACTATATGCATGTCGATGAGAAACAGTCTATGGAACGAATCGAAGGCACGTACCTCAGAGACAAGCCGCTCGTATTTATCGGACTCGTTTGTATAGTCAAAATTGTGCGCAGGTTTCTGTCCAGTACGATTAGTGTAGTGGGCGGACGGCGAAATGTATCGCCGCAAGCAACAGAACGGAGGGGTATGCGTCGTCAACATCTGTCGAAACGAGTGTATAAGGGCCAGTTTAGAACGTTCGGCTGGCGAAGGGACATGTGTAAACAAGGGCGAGCGCGTAAACATCATGCGCGCCTTCTTTCAGATAATTGTTGTTGAGAATGACCGGCAATTCGAACCCAAAGGGCAGGGTTGGCTGAGGCTTGTCGCAACTACCACTGACTCGGGTACCGGTCCTACAGCCAAAGTGCCCTATGCGCAGCGGCGCCGTAAGGAGGAGGATATCAGGTGGGTCGAGCCTCTGGAAAGTATAAAAACGCATAACGGTGGACGCAAGCCAAGAAATTCGCGAGCTTCTACCTTCTCGAAAATTTTTCACGTTGCAGTATCTTGATGAGAATTCTCCGTATTCGGTCTTCTGCGAAGTAGAGCTCTCTTTTTCCTTTTGTTGCGTGTTTCGATACAGGTGATAGCATTGCCATGGAACTAATATACAGCGGAGCCCTTCATTGGTGGAACAAAATGCGATTTGTCTCGAGTCCTTTCCATGGCTGGAGCGCAAACGTTAATCATCAAATAAGAAGAAATGTTAGGCAACGCACGATTATAATGTAACAATTTCTCTATCAAGTCCACATGCGTCAACACCATCCGACGACAGCAATACCGTTTTAGTTGGAGTTCATCGAGGGCTTCACTACATAGTAATCCATCCAGAGTCAGTAAGTATGTTTGAAAGTGAAGGGGGAAAAAAATCCAGACCCTTCGCTTTTGTCGTTGGACAAGAGCTTCAAGTAGTCATTCCATTTATCGCCAATGACTTTGCCGCAGGAGAAACAGCGAACAGGTATGATCTATGGTCTTGGAATAAGCAAAAAGTTGTCGAAGTAAAAGCAAGCAGATTTGCCATTGGATTGGACAGTGAGCGATGCTACTGGAGCGCGATGATGGATGGTGATACGGAAGAAAGGCGCGAAACGTGACTCGGTCTCCTTCTGACTACCATCATCTATCGTTCTGCCTCCGTGGACGTCTCATTCAGCATTCAGTACCGTTCTGGCGAACCCATTCGTATGACATAGGACTGGACCGAGGCGAATTGCCCAACAATGCTACAGCTTTTTGCCACCCTCGAATTACCGCTATCCCTCTGCTACGTTTGCTCTTCTATTTTGCAAAACCTACCATCAGAAAGACGCAAGAACAGGCCGACAAGAACAATGGGCCGTGCATTCGTGCTGTGAAATCGGCAGCGTCGGAAAGAAATTACTGGTACGTCGTGACGAGTTTCTGCTAGTGAACGAGTCTTGATACACAGTTCAGGCGAGGATTACACGAAACGATACATAACGAATGCATAATAAATACTGCCAAGATTCAGTTAACATCCTTGGATGAGGCTCACAATGAGATGCTTGACATATATCACGACCGGGACGCTCTCCTTCGTTTGTAAGGTAATCATCTGCCTGCCACTAGATGCGCTAACCATGCTACATTAGCTGGTCTATTCTCCGCGATTGTCACCGTCTTCGTTGTTCAAGCATCCCACGCTAATTTTCGTGTCTTTCCTCATCGAGTTAGTCGGCTTTCCTGAAAAATTCAGGAGCCAACAGATCTCTGAACGATGTCCCTCCACCCATCCAACCTTTCAACCCCCCACCGCCCACGAATACCCGGAACAACGGTCTATGGTCCCGGGTCTGTCGCAAGCTCTCGTCGGAATGTTAGTGAATCGGCGGCTGCAACAACATATTTCCAGTATCTCTGACAGCTTCCTTAGGACCGCGGACATATTCCCCAGTCTCATTTATAGGCCTGGTCAAGTGGCAGATCCCTGTGATCGTCGAACTACTACCGGTCCTTCTCCACAAAATTTAGGGCTACTTCGCGGAGTTCGTGGTACTCCTGATTCCGCTACGTCGGACCGTTGCATATGTGGCCGCGGAGGATACGCGATGTGTCTGCGATCACGATCGTCCGTACAAGATGCCCTTGATGTTCGATTTCTGCGGCAGATACCTTCATGGGCGTTTCCACGGAAGAGGCACCGAGTCTCCCAATCTCCATCTCTAAAGAGAGATATGGGAACATCTTTTTTTCTTGGAACGCTACTTCAGGTGGAGATATGGATTCCTGGATCAACTTGGGAGATGTTATAGGAGTGATTCATTGGGTGGCTATCAGACAGCAATTTCCGTGGGATTACGTCACCATCTTCGGGTAAGTTTATTTTGTTCAGCCTTGAGAAGAATTTTACGCGGATGTACAGCCTTCGCGGTCTTCCGACTATCGATGGTGTGGCGCTCTTCTCAGTTCACGTGTATGATATTGGAACTCTCCTATTCCATATTGACAAAACCACTGAATCGCGATAATCGAATGATATCATACTAGTACAAGGGTGCCTCTCAGTTCCTTGTGAGGCATACGTTAACGAACCCTTCAGAACTGACTTGCCATGTGCTACCTCGACATCTCCTAACCAAAGGGAGGTTCACGTTCGTTCCGTTTGGCTCCGCGGATTCCATCCATGGAGTTCTCTGCAAGCCAACTCCACCCGTTAATCATCGAATAAACTATACAGACGAATGGAGGATACAATTGTGTCCCTAGACCATGAGGTGATGGTACGTACATCTTCCAGACCAGCCGAATGTCGTGGTTCCTGATAAACGCTATACACAGTTTGAGTCTACTGGTGACGCGAAATCTGATCGGCCAGATCGGTTGCGCTCATTTATGATTTTTGTGCCCCGTCACTGTGGTGCTTTGGATGAATAAAAAGGTACATAATATGAACCTTTGTTGCCCCTTCATGGTCTCGACCCTTGTTTCCTCCCGGAAGTTATCGGTTGAATAGGTGAAATCGTCGCTAGCTGGCAGCAATCTATATACGATTGAATGTTAGCGGGCGTGTCATGCTTTGACTTTGATTCAAAATTCTGCCGTCGCTCTTGTCCTCATCCCGGAATGCTTGCCAGAGGACAGAGAGAGAAATATATAGGCAGCAATGGTCCAGAATAAAAGCCGTCGGTTGGAAAATTCTAGGTCGCAGTTGCTGATGGAAACTGGGGAGGTTTCCTTTTCCTGGGATATTTATTTACATAAACTAGGGCGAGTATAAAGGTGCGAGACTTCATGGGTGTTTCTTGTCAGCCCAACTCAACTCTTACCATATATGCAGTGCTTCACTCTGCCTTCATTCTCTGCGATCAGGCCTTCCGTGATGTCGGAAGCCGGTAAACCTGTCGCCTGCAACAGTCGTCACAGCGAACCTCAATGCTGCCACTGTGGCTGGCGAGGCGCTCATGCGCCCGGATGCCCATTCAAGTAGTGCATCCACCCCCCTGACTCGTATGTTCATCGTCGTTTTCCTTCTATCGCGATTACTCACGACTCGCTGAACACAGCATCCTTCTTGACACCCAACACGAGCCTGGACATTTTCTTACTTCCTTCCGCATTGATACTTTACGGATCCATTCCTATCCATTCCCCGACTCCGGACGTGTCGTATTACATCCAGTTACTTTACATTTTGATCATGGTAGCAGTCGACTAAATCACAACGTTAAAATAAGTGCCTGAAGCGGGACGCAATGGTTGATAGAATAAATATGACCTTCCATCTACGACCCTCGATCCCAGAGCGAACAAGAACACCGCCAGAGGCATACGATCCTATGTTATCGCTGAAGTTGCTCGAGCTATTCCAGTGGTACATAGTGTATACCACAGTGTGACAGCCTTCTGCACTGATCTGCCATGATGGAAAAGATACAGGAAAAGCACATACGCGAAGCTGAAATAGAGCGCGTCCGAATCCTCCGCATCAGTACTGGATAGTTGGGTACTTGCTGTGCTATCGATATCACTACATCCGAGTTCGCTACAAGTCCAGGGAGTGATTTAAATGTCCTCCTTCGTGCTTTGAGAAGCAAATGAGGAACGAGAAGAAGGAAGCCTGAGATACGACGGACCAGAAAGTGCGGGAACTGCCATGACACAGGCTGAGAAAAAAGAGATAAGTGCAGTGAGATCCATCATGGTTGAGAAAATCAGAAGCCAGGGTGGTTTTATGAAACGAGGGTCAGAAGGAGAAGAGGTGTGAACGATAGTGGGAACCTGTTGATACAATTGAGTACTGTGCGTCTTTATACTTGATGCAATCCGGATATTATCCGAGACAGTACCGCAGGAATATCACCGAGGCTCGGTATTAATTTAATCGCAGTGCAGTGGTCACTCAGTGAACTCGCACGGCACTTGAGAATGGATTGGCAGAACAGTTGAGCAAACGTACCTTCCGCAAGTAGCACCCGGGGGCCAGCTACCTCATGATATGCGATAATGTGAGACTCGAATGCTTCATAAGGATCTGCATGGTTCGTGATTGGGCATCAAAGGATCACTTTATGACGCGAAAATAAGGGAGTCTATAGTGAAAGTCAAGGACTAGATCACGAGATAGACCTTCTTCTACCTTTGCGATCTCAAGTTTCTCGAGAGTATAACCACCTAGACCGAAGTGTTTGGACCTTGACAACGGAACGCCGAGACACGAAGAAATCAGAAATCAGCTGTAGCATCAAGATGGTGGATGCTGTGCGACCGACAATTTACAGCTGAGCAGCTGTAACGTATTGAATTCGAAAATATGGAATCAGGTTTCTCAGTCGTGAGGTGTCTTGTTGTAAGTTGTGCATTTCAGTATGGTAATTTTGTCGATAAGCCAGTTCTTTTGGGTCTGAATATTAAGCAGAAAGCATAATAATACCGTCTACAGTAATGTTTCAATGACAAAAAGATGTCGATTTGAACTAGCACGTACCAGGTCCGACGCCACTGGCTGCTTGGCAATAAGGGAGAAAAAAATGCCGATACTCCTTGCAAGAACATCGACACAGAAAATCAGTGGTTTTCCATAGCCATTCTCCGAATGTCTGCCAAAACGTGATGATAAAACATGTCGAGTTGCCTAAAAGATGTTAGTGGTTCAACTTGGATCAATGATGGATATCCCAACCTCGCAGACCGGTCCGATTTCCGGCCCACAGCGGGACTAGGTTAGCACCAAACCCATGCCATCCTCAACTCATGCGCAACTTGCACCAATGGTCATCTTCTTGTTTCATTTGTGTATCAGTTATCGAAACGACATATTTATGGACAAGGCTCGGAAGTGCTATTGTTAAAACCATGATCACGGCGCCTGTGGGTGACTTTTTCTTTCCAGTGTATGGGTGAAAACACTCCCAACTCACAGAATGCAACGAATACAATCATTTTATTTTCCAAGAAACGAATAATAAAACGAAGGCAATGTAGAAATTATCGGGAAGGGAAAGATACTTGGTGGCTTGCCAATAACAAGCGACACGTTCAAGAAGACGCTCAACCACTGCAGTAACCGACGACTTCGGGCTCGCAGCTGTGAAGGCGTGTGAGATAGCAAATGGAGCAATTACGAACACAATACGCACCTTCCTTCGCACCCGTCGTAGAGCGTGCAAGGGTGGCTCGTATCGCTGTAATGAATCACGCATTAGCTGGGTAATACCGAGATGTGGGAGAAAAAGACGTACTAGCACGAGTCGACAATGGTTGCAGTGTCCTGTTGGTTGAAGATGATAAATAACGGAGAAAATAAGCAATAAAGATGGACGCACGCCGTAGTTGGAGTTGATACCAGCGAGAGTTCCACCTGTGTTGGGGATATTTGGGTTTGTAAGAAGTTATATAGATGTAGGGAATCCTTACCGTCCTCGGCGTAGACACCGGAGATGTACACGTTACGAGAGCACTGGCTCTTGCACTAAATGACAAGTGTCAGCCAAGTCTCTTGGGGTGCTAGCGCGAAATAGCACGCACGTTTCCACAAGAGCGGTACAGCTAGGCAAGTGGGTCAGTTCAAATGATGCGCGGCTTTAAGATGGTAGAACTTAAATCACCTTCCCGTAGTCTGTGTGGAAACGGATCAAAAATCATGTCAAGAAGCTGGAGAAGAGAAGTACGTACCGCTAACGAAGAAGTTGATGATCTTGGGTTGGATTATTAGCTTGGTAGGAGCCAAGAGATGGAAGAAGCGCATACGTTAACAGTACCGCAACCATTGTGTTGGATGACCTTGTCCTCGGCGTGGTAGGCACCACCACCGATGATGTTGGTGTAGTCGCCAGCCTCGTCGTTTTTCTGGGAGTCATGAGATATAGCTTGATGCCTTTCGGGATCATGAGAGGAGAACTTACGATGGTGATGGCATCCTCTAAGCGAAAGAATGTGGATTAGTGCATTGTATCTACTCCAGAGAAAGTCGGCGCACCACAGACATCCTCGAACTAAATCATGTCTTTTATCAGTAGAGGTATGAAACAATCCAATAGGTCACATACCCAAACAAAGTTCAAAGTGCAGTCTAAAGTCATTTAGGTATAGATCGCATATGATAGATTTTAGCAACTTACAACCGGTACAATCTGTCAAGGAGGTGGCTCAGACCGAGTCTTGGAAGGAACGATTAGCTACGTACGAACACCTTCAGCCTGGTTGGCACCGATGATAACATTCTGCAGGGTAGCACCTTCGTGAAGATAGAACACTGGAAATGTAAGAGTAAGCATAACAAAGTTACAAATACCAGAACAAAAATTCGCACCTGCGTCTTCCCAATCTATGCAGCCGCGATGAGAAATACATTAGCACATTACCAAACCAGACAAGAGCTAGCATACCTCCTTCGGATTGATCACTATTATGGTCACATTTTCAGCATGGTAAGCAAGACGCGCAGAGAAGAACTAACCTGCAAGCACCGCTTCCACGGTCATACTTCTTCCAACCACCGTCAAAGGTTTCGCCAGCGGCGACCTCAATGACTGCACTGCTGGAGACAGTGCCAGTGGCTGTTGGCAGACCGCCTGTATAAGCGTCGCAAGCGGCGGAAAGACCTGCCAGAGAGGCGATAGACAAAGCAAGAAGGAACTGCATGATCCTGGGGGCTGAGCTATCCAGGACAGAGACATTTTATAGTCCTCGATGGTGCCCAAGACTTTTTTTTCCTGAGTGCGGTGAAAGTCCGGATACGAATTTTTGTGCGATGGAAAAATTCTCGGAGGAAAGAGCTGCGCAGGCTCGGTGCACTGAACCTATGGTGGTGGCAACGGGTTTGGATTATCAATGTCTAGTAAGATTCTCTTGAATTATTCCATCTCAGCCTGAGTGAGGTTTGCGACGTTCTAGCAAAGTCAGATAGCGAAGGTTTGGGATTGGAGGTAAGGACAAAGCGATATCTACGAATTTCAAATGAATTGGTAGGAAAATGGATATCCTTGGCATGGTGCGCGCCGGGAAGATTCTGGTCGCGACAAGGCCCATGGCGGCCTAAAAGACCAGTTCTCAGTTGGCATTGCATGCTCGCTGAGAAATCGTAGCTCCTGTGGCGTTAATCCGAGTCTGAATATGCCCGATGCCTCGAAGGAAGCTCCCTTGTTTCTGAAACTTGAATCAGTATTTTTGAACAGAGTTCAACTACTACAAAGGACCTACTTACAGTGTGACCTTCAGGGTTCAACCATACGAACAAGGGCCCGAACAACGTGGCTAAGGTCTAATCGGCCACTTAGAAAAACGGGCGTTGATCATTGATCGATTGTAGGGTCCATGCCAAGGGTCCATGGCTTTCCAGGAGACCCGAAAATTCACCTGCACGCTAGGTTCCTAGATAGTGATACGTCGCACGGTGGGGGAATTATCTGTGGACAGATGGAAGCGATAAGAGACGTTCCGTTCTAGAACGCTAAGGCTAAAAGAAATTAAGTTGGCAGAGCAGCACGTGGGGACTGATGTGAGTTCAATCCCGGATCCCCCCATGTATTTTTCTTGAACTGAACCTTCTCAATCGGACACTACGTACAAAACCTCTAGCGGTTAAGCAATTGTTACCTACTCTTTCTTTTATATGCGACAACGGAGATATGATGATATCTATAGAGTCGGTCTGTTAGCCTTCTTCCTGGCTGTGGGGCGTCCTTGCAGGCTGCGCTGAGATGCTTGTGGTTGGCTTGTGGCTGAAGGGACATTGTCGTCCAGAGCCAAGTCACGCAGGACTTTGTTGGGAAATCTGTCGGTGTCAGGCGCTTCCACAAGTTCCAGTGGGTGATCTTCGTTAATTTCTTTTAGTAACCGGTGTTAAATTTGCCGGGAAGACAGAGCTGCAAGTACATATACGCGCTTCGAGCCATAAGTTACAACCGTCGCCGACTGAGTACAAGCATTGGATTGAGAGTAATTGGAGAGCATATACATACTGACAATAGCACGGCGGAGTAACGAGGGAGGCGACATCAAACTTAGGAAAAAGCAGGACAAAGAATCATAATGCAAACCTGCCCCTGGACAATATACTTCGCACAGCACCCTAGGACTTTATGAGATAGCGGAAGACCAGGACCCATGTTTATTCCCTCAGAGCTTAGGTACGAAAATCTGCCGTTTTGAAAAATTTGTCCGGACTTTGCGTCAGCGCCTTGTCCAAAAATTTGTCCGGATTCCTAGGGTAACCTCACCCCATCCCCAAATTTGTCCGGACTTTCGAAGTAACATCGCAAAAAATCGTCAAAAATTGCGAAAAATCGTTAAAAATCGTCAGAGCCTGTATTGTAGCATAAAAGGCAGTAAAATAACATGGATCATCCGCATCGACCTTGTCGTCGGAAAAGACATAGTCGGTGGCCATAGAAATCAAGCAGGCACTAGTATCCGTGTAAGGTCAAAAAAGTGGTGCTGTGGAATCTTCGGGAGACTGATATTGTAGGGTAGTAGACAGAGTAGATAGCCTTAATATTTAAACGACAGGGCAAATCTCGTTGAAGCAAAATATATTACAATTACATTTTTTATCAAGTGGGGACGCAGTTGGTTTATACTTAGTATGACAATGCTAAATATCAGACAATGTACATGCCAGAGACAATAATAGACCCAACCTTTGCTCTGTCATTCTTGCCTCAATCGCTGCCACTTGTCCGGACTTCGATGTAACCTCTAAGTATTGTCGCATAGTGGTCCGGATTTCAGATTCGAGCTTGCAGCGCGGGGGGGTCATTTTGTCCGGATTTTGACCTAAGATCGGGTCTCGGAATCCAAAATTTTGTCCGGACTTTTGACCGAAGCTCTCAGGGAATAAACATGGGTCCTGGAAGACCTCTGTACCAGCATTCTTCATCAGAGCTTGCATGACATGTAGGGATTTCTCAGAACGCCGAGAATATGCATCCTGAAGTAAGTCCCTCAGCAGCTCGTGCTCATCAAGCACGTCAAGATCATCGAGGGATTCCTCCCGGACCAACAAAGTGAGCGTATTCCGAGAAACGGCATACACCCTCTGGGGGAGAGGGGGAGGGTCGATATTCATCAGATTGCGCCGAACAGTCTCCTGCGTCTTGGCGAGATACTCGTTACGTGCTTCGTCAGCAATCTTTATGAGATCAGCCCGCGGGTCAGCAACCCTCCGTTTCTTCTCGGCAAGGTCCTCAATGTGTATGTCGGATTTTGAGCGAACAATGTATGTGGGGATACTATATCGTTTGCAATTCTTTAGAATTGCAAGATCCGACTCTGTAAAACGGTCGCCCAGAAGAACGATGATGGCGTCAAAGATATAGAGACCTTGGTCATTGAAATATGTCCAATCAGGGCAGTTGACCGTTCCCGAACCTGGAATGTCGAACCAGATAAAAGGGTTGGCAGGATTAGGGTCAGGGTATGGGGTAACGGTGGTAGTGCTTTCGACGACATCAGTTGAGGCAGATCCCTCCTCTCCATCCCAGATGCCTCGAAATGCATTAATGAGAGACGACTTGCCAGTTCCCGATTTTCCAGCGATAGCGAGATGGAATTTCCGGTCCTGGTAAAGATGCCGTTTGACCATGTCGTACCGCTCTTTAGAAGGCCATTCGGGTGAACGCCCTTCTTCCATTTGGCCTCCGTCGCCACCTGAATTTCCATCGTCTCTTCCATCACCTTTTCTTTTGCCTTCGCATTCTCCTGTGTGGCCCCCTTCTCTTTTGCAGCTCTATCGGCTTGCTCTTTCTTCTCTCTCTCCAAATGTGAGTCGACGTGACGACGATAAGCTTCAGCTTCCTTTCTTTTATGCTCTTTCTCGATCTGGGACATCGTCGGGTTTTCTTTGACCTCGTTGCCCCTTATCACTTCGAGAATTACGCGGATTGCGGCAGCGGCAGCGGAAGCACAATAGGATACAGCAGCACCCATTCTGCAGAGATAGACAATCAGAGACTGGAGCAATTTTTTGGCGTATGCCACAGACCTTGTAGCGAAATAGATAGAGATCACGACTAAGCAGTGCTAAACTGACTTGAAAACCTAGGAATGATAAGTATATCAATTGTGGGAGATCGAATATGTATTACTTACAGAAGAGACAAGAGGCGAGATGGAAAAGGTGGATGTGAAAGATACGAGATAGGTGCAAATGTTGTCGTAGAAAGACAGAGATTGACAGGAGGACCAACAGAAACAGTGGCCTTCTCCGACAAGTGTTTATGTGAAGATTGTAGCCAGACTCCAGACTCCAGATCTGTACGTTTCCCTGGGTCATCTGTGTTACCTCGTTGTGATAGACGCCCAAGTCAGACTGCGGTTCCTCGAACTTTGAAGAGCATGATCAAAGAACCAAAAATACGTTGAATTGCTAGAGATTAGATGGAGTATGGCCATGCTGCCACAGAAGCCCTTTCAGAGATGGTTGTACGGTATCCTATTCACTTTATCAAAACCGGTGACGCGTTCCATGATGCAGGATAGCACGGAGAGCCGGAAGGTTCACGGCCCCAGACGCTTTGTCAATTCAGTAGGCGGAGAAAGGGCGAAGCGCTGTGAAAAAACTCACATCGATTTCACACCAGCGGTAGGTGTTGTGAAGAAAAGGCTGTTCGACATCCTAGAAAATGGCTGAAAGCTTTGCAGGAGTACAATGATTCTTGTAGGTCAGCAAAGAACCTGGAAATACAAATAAGTACCCCATTGGTCGTAATTGTCATTCTAGCATGCATGTCGCGGTCTCAGTGGCTTCCCACTCATAGGCCATTGGCACCGCGCCCTTAAAAACCTAACTTGTATCTTAGGTTCACAAGCAGAGACGTCACGTAACAGCACTACTCACATCCACTACACACCACGTTCGTCTGAAATCTCAATTTCGTAAAATTCGTCGGTCCAAGTTTGCTTAATACTTACGACGAAGATACATATGACAGTGGAGATATCTGATATCTATATCATATGCAGCAAGAGATATTATGCAGTATGTAAATTCTTTACGGGCAAATGATTAGCAGCAAGAACCAAAGGCAGCAGAATCGACGATGCCCGTGTCGCGATAAACTGGAGGAGAGCCCAATTCAAATTCAATTCCCAGATTGCTCGATGAAAATGGAATGAAACGTACAGAGCTCAGCAGCTTCCTCTCTCGACAGCCCGTCATATCGTCCTTGGCCTGCAGGCGGATATCGGCGCTGGGGCTGGGCTGCTGGTGATTTGTAATCAGGCCCATACACTCGTTTTGCGACAGCCTGTATGACTGGATCTCAAAGTCATAACAACAAAATCTGCGCAGCGACGAACCTCAACCTCTTCCCGGTCATAGAGGTGCATCGTCCGACCGCTATACTGGGGGTGAGGCTCTTCAAATGCCATTCCTTGAGCTAAGAGCAATGTCACATTGGGAGGTAGAAGCAAGGTATTCGTTGGGCACATTGAAGATACTAAGGGCATCCGTCCTCGTGATCCTCGGTCCGCTAGCCTTCTTCCTCGTCGCAGAACGTCCTTGCAGGTTGCACTGAAGACGTTCGACATCCCCAGTATTGTAGTATGTGACCCAGCCTCCGTGAGGATTTCGCTCCTGTCGAACTGGACTGATACTCTCCAGGTCGGACGGTTTCAGATTATAAAGCTTGGTCGCGCGAGAGTGTATCTTCAAATAAAAGGTCATGGATCGCTCAAATAAGATGGGATAGAAGTATTAACAATTTGTACAGTACCGTCAGGCTCTGCTCTTCTGGAAGTATACTTGGGCATTGTGGTCAAAAGTGAAAGTATTCCAGGAAGTCAAGTCGAATCGGTCCGAGGTCCGACGGCAGAGGACGGCAGCTGTGGTCGCGGCGTGACGCCGTGACCGCTTACGTAACAACAAAAAAGGCCACGCCGCCCACAAAAAAACAACCGGTCGGAAAAACCCAAAAACTTACCAGGAGTCACAACATCGCGACGGGGATTAGGGATAAGTATCTGCGCGAGATAATAGTAGTCAAAGGAGAGGGCATTTGTGGTCGTCGTGCAGTGTGGTTGTTAGTGGTGAACGCGACTAGTAAGTAGTGGAGGTGACTAGTAGGTGGAAGGGTCCACGTCGCACGAGGACCGAGGTGATCCTAAGGTGGCGGTATTGATGGTGGTATCGGCGCCACTCATAGCCGAGCCTTGGGGCTGTTGCATGACTGTTCACTCTAACAGTTTTATAAATCAAAGCTGTCAGATAAAGACAAAGATTGATACCCACTTCGAGCTATCGCTGTTGAGGACAAGCATTTGTCTGCAAACAGAGAAGGTATGTAGATATTGAATTGGAATTTGGAATTAATAGTGACAATTTCACAACACAAGGAGCGCGAAATCGCGATAGGTCAGTACAAAAGAAATATATGGCTGGATGAAGATATGTAGTCAGGACAGACTCAAAATGGACATATTCGGACTACCAAGACGTCGGGACCTCGGCTCCATAGTCGGACTGAGATAGCGGAAAACCTCTACACCAGCCCTCTTTATGAGATCCTGCATGACACGCCAGGACTTCTCAGAACGTCGAGAATACGCATCCTGAAGCATGTCCTTCAGTAGCTCGTGCTCATCAAGAACGACAGCATCTTTGCTGATGGGCTGTTCTTTGACCACCGAAGTGAGTACATCCCGAGACACGGCGTAAACCCTCTGGGACGGAAGGGGGGGATCGGCCTTCGACAAATTATTCTGGACGGTCTTCTTTGTTTTGTCAAGGTACTCTGTACGTGCCTCGGCACCAATCTCTAGATCAGTCCGCGCACCAGCACGTCTCTTCTTTCTCTTGACAAGTTCGTCGATGTGTCTGTCAGACTTCGAACGAACGATATAGGTAGGAATGCTGTATCGCTTGCAGTTTTTCAGAATCGCAAGATCTCCATCTGTAAAACGGTCGCCCAGAAGAACAACGATGGCGTCGAAGATATAGAGACCTTGGTCGTTAAAATACGTCCAATCAGGGCAGTCGACCGTTCCCGAACCTGGAATGTCGAACCATATAAAAGGGTTGGCAGGGTTAGGATCAGGGTATGGGGTTACGATGGTGGTGCTTTCGACGACGTCAGTGGCGGCGGATCCCTCGTCGTCATCCCATATACCTCGAAAGGCGTTGATAAGTGATGACTTGCCCGTTCCCGATTTGCCAGCGATAGCAAGGTGGAATTTCCCATCCTGGTAAAGACGCCGCTTGACCATGTCGTACTGCTCTCGAGAAGGCCATTCGACTGGGTGAACGCCCTTCTTCCACTTCGCCTCCATCGCCTTCTGAATTTCCATCGTCTCTTTCACCACTTTTTCTTTTTCCTTCACCTCCTCCCGCAGCTTGTTGGAACGTCGAATCGCCTCCAATGCTGCCTTTTTCTCCTTTTCAGCTTTATTGGCTTGCTCCTTCTTCTCTCTCTCCAACTGCTCAACACGACGGCGAGCCTCGTTTTCTGCAGCCTCAACTGTTCTATGATGCTCCGAGATCGAGAACAACGTGGGGCTTTCCTGGACTTTGCTGCTCCTTATAGCATTAAGAATGAGGGGGATCACGGCTGCAGCTGCAGTAGAAAAAGCGGAGATAACAGAGCCCATCCTAGAGAGATTGAAAGTGAGAAACTGGAACAGATGTTTAGCATATACCACAGACCTTGCGGCAAGATAGGAGAGTTACTATGATGAGGCGCAATATCGCTGAATTTCAAGAATTTATGAATCAGTACATCGATACTAGTAGACCGAACACGTATTTCTCACAGAGGACTCTTGGTGAAGACAATTAAAAAGGACAGCGATGTGAGACGTAAGACCAGCGTTAACGTCGTCGTGTAGAAGGTTCGAAATTAGCGTGAAGAGCCGATGGGAACCATAGTCCCCCTAATGAACTTTATATGCGAAGATCGAACCAGACTTCCGGTATGAGTGTTTTCTGTGCCATGACGATATAAGTGGGGTCAGACACCAGGCTTTCGAAGTTCCGAAATAAGATCTAGATCAAAGAACGAAAAACACGTTGAAATGCTGGTGTTTGGGTGAGGTAAATTTAATGTCCATCCTGTCACAGAAGCTCATTCAGGGGATACTAGGACAGGTCATTTTTCACCGTATCACGACCGGTGACGTGCTTCAAGACATGAAGAACCACAACGTTGATAGTGCTGTCCCGTCGGGTGAAAAAAACTCACGCCGATTTCACGCCGGCAGGCCGCAGCAGTCGTTGTAAAGAAAGGCTTGTTCGACGTCCAAGGAAAGGACCGAAATCTTGACAGGATCCAAGAACAACGGAGCCTGTAGCCTGTAGGTCAGTAGAGCCTGCAAATACAGATACCCTATTGGTCTTCCCACTTGTAGGATATTGGCACCATGCCCTTGGAAACCTGACTTTTATCTCAGAATCACAAACAGACATATCACGGAACAGTACTGCTCACATTCAGTTTCGCAAGATTGGTCGATGGGAGTTCTATGGAAAGTCCCGGGCCGAAGTCGAACCGAAGGGATCGCGCTTGTGGCGTGAGAATTTTTCTACTTTCGAAACCACGCTGATGCTGACATGCGCGCCGACGCTTGTACCAACACGTAGACCCTGTTGTATTTCGGACTGTATCCTAGTACAATGCTTGTAAGACCTCTAGTCTCTGGGTTACAAACTCGTGAGGAGTTTGCCCATTTACTTCGCATATTTATACTAAACTACACCTATTCTAGTAATTTCTATACAATCATTCTCTTACCAATCTCTTACTCAGCATGCCGGAATGCCGGATTGCCAGAATTATCTCCCATTTTCCAACAGACCCCTCCAAATGTGTAGCTTCAAGCTTGGGGATGCCATTGAGATGGATATTTTAGCAAGCTTGAGTAACCAAATCACAAGAGGGAACGGAAGGTAATCAAGTCACCCTTTAAGGGCTCTTTGAACTCATCGGCAACGGCGTCTAGGGTGTTTTGCGGAAAGAACATCTCTACGGTGATGCTGTTACCCGGATCAACTGACAGAGGGTGGAAGACACCGCTAAGTATATCTAAGACTGCGTATTTCTCAATATCTTGATGCAGATGCAGCAGGCCTTGACTGTCCTTGTTGACGCTACGTACCATGCACACCTAAAAGGAACCTGGTAAGGTATTTCTCTCCTATCAGTCATTTATTTAATTGCGATGCATCTCCTGTCAGGAAGCATCATGAGGTTCTGAACATGAACTAGAACCAGGCGCCTAGTTAATATATCTTCCATCATCACCCTCATTTTGTCCTGTCTTGCTTCGGTTATCCCGTGGCTCCTACACCACACGCCCGAGGATCGTGGATGTGCGCAGATTCTTATCATGAAGTGGGAAGTACCGTGTGAAGAGAGCGCGCCTAATCTACGCCTCGTGTTGTTATGGACGCTGTCTGGACTAATGAAAGCTTCTTCCTGTGATAGTCACCTAGTATTGCACGTCCGTCACTATACGTCATGTGAAAATCAATGAGGAGATGTTGCCAGGCGCGCGAATACAAGCAACAAATGACTTAACATCTCTAACACCAAAGGACCTGGAAAGAATGGCGGTTGATATTCTCATGAAACAACACGATGCTCAACCTCGGAAGGTATATCTTATATATCTACTGATTCCCTGTAATGGTGACCATTTCCTTCGGTGCCTTGGTAGTATTTAAGACTTGTGACGAACAATCGAATTTGGAGAGAAATTCTCAGTTTGGGGTCCAGGTCTGAACACTGAGAGTTGCATTCCGAGAGGTATAGATACGATAGAGATTACCGTGAAATGCCGAAATGACTCACAGTTGAGTGGAAGGAAGTGTTCAACGAGGAAACTTGAAAGAGGCTTGACCTGTGAAGAGTCCTGTGGAAATATGGCCCGCAAGAAATGGAATTCTCTATAGGATGCTGTTCCAAGTTCGAAGGAACGTTAAGTGTGAAGCGCAAAACGTGTATATTGAAATTCTTTTACTTTGAATCTAATTGATGACTGGCAGCGAGCAACCTTTCGAATTCCTTCCCTCCCTCATCTCGAACTTTTATCACGTCGCTCGCTAAACGCCTCCGAAAATCCTCACTTTCTCGAATTCCCTTCCATGCTGTCTCCTTCAACGTATCCCACCACTCTTTAGCGTATGGATGACCCGGGGCTCCCGCATATCCCCACGGTTTGGCAGTATACGGCTGAACCCATGGATTCAGGACGATAGCCATTGGGGGACTCACGGGCCCGGTGAAATGCACAATTACCGGATCTTCAAAGTCTGCCGCAGCAAACGCGGCATTCCTCTCCGGTGTGGAAATCTTGGCATACGTACCCAATCCCTGTGCATTGTAACGCAGGGGAAAGGTTATCCAGTCGCCCTCAAAGTGAAGGTTAAGGTAATCTTGGTCTTTGAATGCGGTTTCCGGCGTCAGCTGGGGCATCTGGGGGAGACGGAGTCGGATTTTGGCTAGGTCGAGTAGCAGGACACCAGCATTAAAATAGCCCTCTTTCACAGTGATGGTTTCGTGCCCTTTGGGGAAACCAACATCCAGCACTGCTCCGAGTGACTTCCCCTGCAAATCGGTGTTCCATAAAGGAAGGAGAGGGCCACGAACGAGTGTATCAGAGTCGAGGTATAGAGCTCGCTCAACGGGGAGCCGTTTCATGAGATCGAGCTTCGCCCACGTAGGACTTGTTTTGAAAGACAGGTCGTCAATGTGTTGGGGAATGAAAACGTGGGTGATCCTTGACTCCGTCGGGATCGAATAACTGATTCGTGACTTATCCTCCTCCGTCAGACCACAGTCATAGATGTATACAGTGCATCGTCCAGCGACATTCTTCACGGCAGTTCGTATTGCAACTGACGCCGCCATGGCATATTCGGAATCAGCAACGATGGCAAGGTTTATGCCATATCCTGCAAATGCTACGTTAGCTAGGATATCGAATTTTTATGAAGAACTACATACCAAGGACGTCTTCGAGAGCTCTCCCATTGCTCGTGCCATCCAGCAAAAAACCAATTCGCATTTCCATCACCTTGCGAATGATCATCTGGTAATCACCGGGCTTTGACAGACGCTCGTATTCGCCATCATGAAGTCGCAGAAAGCCGTCGATGCCTCTCTTCGGATGCTCCACATTATCTTTAGCCTCCTTCCCCCACTCGTAATCATCGAACACGATCACGGCCCCTTTCCTCGCCAACCGCCATACCAGTTCCCCGTCCAAAAAGGTATCATCTGCTCGATGCGAGCCGTCGACGTAGATCCAATCGAACCCAGGCTCCATGGCAGCCACCTCCTCGCGTAGGAGCTGCATAAGCCCTGGGACACTGAACTGGTCTAGGATACGGAAATTCTTGCCCGTGAGGCGGAGGTTGTATAGCACCTTTTCATGTCGAGCTCGCCCATCAGCCGTTTGCATTAGATCAAAGTGGTCGATGGTGACGAGCTCCCCACCGTCTTTGCACAGCTCTGTGAGAAGGAAGACAGCTGAACGGCCTTCCCAGGCCCCAATTTCCAACACGCGTGGACGTAGGGACTCTATATGGCAGAAGAATGTCCGCCATTCTGGGATGTGGCCTGAGAACCAATCTTGGGTAGAGGTGAAGTGGTAGTCGGGTGTCATGATGCAACTAATTCTAAGGATCGCGTTCCGAATTATATAGAGTTGTGCTTATCGATGATTCGTTCTCATTGGGAATTGTTGGCGCTAATAAAGTTGATTAGGTTTTACAACCGCATGGAGAGGAAAAAGGGCTCGAAGTGCATCGGACTTTGTAAAGGACAAGCGCCTTACAGCATCATGGAAAAGAACCCTGTGAAATAAGAAACATTCTTGAGATGCAATTTCGATGTATATAGACAAAAACAGGACAGAATACTAGACGTTAATCCAAGCAATGCTATTATTGCATATAAGCAACAGCTCAAAAGAGAAAACAGGTACTCACTAGATCAGAACCACAAGGATGAATCTCTGCACACTGTTCTTCCTTTCATTTCTCTTCGGTCCATCCCCCCATCGTCCAGTGAACCAGTCAAATCGCTTCCCAAGATAATACCATTGCCCTTGTTTTAAAAGCCCAACAGTCTTTCCTGCCTCGCTGGACATCCTGATAAGGGTGCTCTCCAAAATCGCGACAACTCTCGCATATCCTTGGACCAAATGACGCTCTCCTGGTTTGGCCGGCATCGACATCTCATCGAATGGTTCTGCCCAGAGACGCCTGTAGAGATCATGCAAGAGATTAACCAGGAACACGACCACCGCTAGCTTCAGTCCCATCCAGACAGGAGCAATATGTCGGAACACTGCACCGGAACTAGAGATGAAGGCGGCGCAAAGCAGAAGCTCAGGGGAATTCGGAGCGTAGTCCCATGAGACGAACTGGGGATACATCCCGATGAGACTACTATCTCCGAACCCCCATCCATAGAAGCGCCAGTACGAGCGGCGACCATCGGACCACCACGGATGCATGACTGTAACGTCTGGTGCGGAATAGAAACCTTCTCCTGAGTGATTCAACTCTTTCTTCCTAGCGCAAAAATCTATATCTTCTCCTCCTCCTGTCTTTGGGAAGCGGAGGTCAAATTTCACGCCATCGCTCATTCGACGAGAGATCAGATTAGCCGTCACGCCCCACGGAAGGTCATCCTTGATCTTTTCGGCGATATTCCAGAAGTAGGTAACACCGGAGAGGTGAACAGCTGTTGTGAAGATCGAGTTTGCAGGAGGGAAGTGCACGTTTCCCACGAAGCCCGCAGCGTTGGGATGAGCACGGATGTGAGCCTCTGCACAGGGAATCAAATCAGGATCAGGCTCAACATCATCGTCCAGATATATGATCCAGTCACCCGATGACTCGTCCATCCCGCGATTTCGAGACGCTGAGGCACCTAGATTGCTATCATTCACCCTGATGCGCACATCTACTCGATGCCCGTATTTCTTCTGTAACACATCAATAGCAGAAGAGCCAGGATCATCAATGATGATGATGAACATGGTACTAGCTGTGGGGGATGGCCGTAAAGCAAGGATACGCTCCAGAAGAGAGAGATTAACGCGGAAAGAGGGAACGACAATGTCGATAGCGAGCTTGGACTGGATGTCAGGATTCTGGACTTGTAACCATTGTCTCGCAACGTCGACAGCTCTATCGAGGGTTTGGAAGGACCAGCTTGGTGTAGGTAGTTTTGCATATCGAGCGTCCCCACTTCCGCCAAGAGAGTTTTGAAGAGTCGCGTCCTCGAGCATGGACGAACATCCCCATCGGCGATACAGCTGAAAAAGAAACGGATCACCGTCCTGATTAACGAAATTTTCAGGAATGACTTCTCCACTGAAGATGTCCAGGTGGGTGCGATGTACAATGGGGAAGGTCGGCATTCCAGGAAATGAGAGGTCTTTGAATGCGACACACCCGAAACCAAAGGGGGTATGACATTCGTGCGAAATGGATATGAAGGAAGAATGGATCTTGGCCATCCAACCCTCATCCAAAATCTCAACGTCATCTCCCATCAGAACAAAGTAGTTAATCGAAGGATCACCATACGCTGCTCTTGCGCAGTGACGCCAGAGACTGCAGACATGACCGCGAGGTTGATGACATATAATGGTCGACACGTTGAGCCCGAAAGACCGAAGAATCACTTCTGCTTTGTTTCCCTTCACAAGGAAAGTATCGTCGTAGTCGATCGCAAGGATGATCTTGATACCGAAACTCGTCTCCGTCTCCGGGAGGAAAACATCTCGCCAAGTAGTCCGCACCAATGAATCAGCAAAGCGCCGAAGATTATCGAGGCACTGAAACTCTGATTCCGTACCACGCGAAGTGATAGGCAGCAGGATGGCAAAAGTCACGGCCGTTCGCAGGTTTACGACAGTGCTCGATCCAAGGCGATCAAGGATATCGGTACCATTGACCCGCTGTAAGACGGCGTCGAGCTGACTTGCAATCCAAACTCCCGTCCTCTTCATTCCCTCCTCTAGAGGAACGCGGGGCTTCCAGGGATGGAGGATCTTCAAAGCCATGTCATTGTTAGAATTGCGTGCAGCAACGCCAAGGGGTCTCTCCGTCTGATACTCAAATAACACATCATCTGGCAATACCTGGGCACAATCAAGGGCCAGATGCGCCAGAGCCTTGATCGTCACGGCACGGTCCGACCCAATATTGACGGGCTCGGTGTGGTCCGACCTGAGAAGAGCTAAAATCCCCTCTACACAATCATCGATGTAGAGGAAGCTCCGACGCTGACTCCCATCACCCCATATCTCGAAACGAGCCTTGGATCCTGCTTCGGTAGCACGCTTGGCGACAAAGGCTTTTCGAAGAAGGGCTGCTGGGGCTTTCTCTCTTCCGTTGAACCAGGCACCGCCAGGGCCAAATATATTGTGGAAGCGCGCGATGCGGATAGATAGTCTGTGGGAGAAATGAGAAAGGATGAGCTCGGTGTTGAGCTTGTCGAAGCCGTAGAGGCCTTGGGGGTTGGGATAGAATCCTTCCGACCACACGTCTCCTTCGCGAAGTGAAATATCGCCCTTCGAAGGGATGATAGATGGATATACACAAGCGGAAGATGCAAAGAGGAAACATTCGATGGCAGCATCGATAGAAGCAGAAAGGAGATGGAGGGTCATGAGATGATTATCTTTATAGATGGCGAAATCATTGGCGTCGTGAATTGCGCCCATGCCTCCCATGTTGGCCGCAAAGTGAAGTACGGTTTTACAGTCGCGAACGACGTTAGCACACACCCCTGGGTCTCGCAAATCTCCAATGTAATAGTTGGTGCAAATATTCATATGATCAAGCAGTGGACCATGAATATCCACAACGTGAACGACGTAGCCTTCTTGGAGAAGATGACGGGCGACGGCAGAGCCCTATGAACAATCTGGTTCAGCAACGGAACATTAGGAAATGGAAAGAAAAAAGACGAACAATAAATCCAAAACCACCGGTAACAAGAATTGGGTCCTTCATTCTAGCAAGACAACTCACTATGGATAGGGAAATGTAGCTCTTTGCATAGCCATTATATCCAAGAGATGCGTATGTTCTTCCCACCGGGCACAACAATGTCGGTCCGATGGCAGCATATCTAAGCGCCCATCATCGAAAGACTTGAGCCCGGGCTGTAGTCGAAAGACCACTGCGGTCAATTTCGAAGCCTCCGGTGGTATAGAAAGCCCAGATGACAACATAAAGTTGTTGGTCATGCGTGTACAATAGGCGCGCTCTCTTCACACGGACCTCCTTCGTGACCGTAATGCATTCGCATCTATGAATTTAGGGTTCTTTTCCAAGTTGAGAATACGATGGGCGAATCTCGAGACGCCGTGCAGGATCCTTGAGATCATCAGTGCAAGTAGGCGTCATGAAGTACTTCGAAACCATGAGGGGCCTAGAACGAAGGCCACAAATATGTAATGAAGGACAGCTTTGACGAATCGGCTCTGGTTTGGATATGTTTAATAAACGCCGTCAAGATATCTAGATGCTTACCTGTTAAACAATATACGGAATGAGAATCTCCTGAACATTATCACGGCGTGTTCCAGTTCAGAAGCCGCAAGAGCGTGCTTAGAAGTGTATGTAAATGGAAGGGGTAACGGAGAGAATAAATTTGACGCTTGAATGAATATGAAGGTAGAGTACCCATCCATCTGGAACATCTCTCGAGGCTCCAGCGCAGAGGGTCCTCCAGCAATTTACTTGTATTTAGGTGCCTCATTGAATGTCAACGGACCGTGGATGAAAACGAGAGGGAAAAACAGCGGCACTACTAAATGGGAATAGTCTATGTTATCATTTATTTCGGAACTGACAACACGGAAACAGCAGCGTGAATTACCTCAGAATTAATAAAATCATGTGGAAAGTTTTGTCTGGAAATCCAATTAAACGAGTCGTTGAGCGAAGCGAGAAAGATACTGACCATTATCCTAGCCGCGCCCGGCCTACGTCATAAAACGACTGAGTAAGCATATGCAGTTGACTCCTGCCGTTGGAGGTGGCGAGACCCGGGTTGCAGGCAGACGGATAGCCGTCTGTCTGAGAAAATAAGAGCCTGATACCGCTGAGGTTACGATGAACAGACATGGAGTTACCAGGCGCCACTCGTTGACCTATTGCCACGTAGTTTCTCTTTTGGTATCCCGCATACCCCAGATATACTTGCGGAGGTGTTCTTGAGCCCTGTTGAGGTCAAGCATTACTGAAAGAGTACAAAAAGAAATCGGATATACGCACAATAAAGCCACGAATTGCCGGGTAGAAACTGCTTAGTCACACATACTCCACGAATTCTTGCCCTAAAACACCTAAAAGCATATTTCCCGAAGATCATTCGTTCACGTAGTCGCGTCGGTCGATCCAACAGGTTTTTTCAGCGATTACTATTGACATGCCCGCTAGGAATCTTGGTGGTAGGTCGGAGAAGGATGTTAACGATTAAGAGTCTTGGAGTGCAGGGAAATGGACTAGATCCGTTGTTAGTTAAGGATAGGCTCAGGGCATTGAAACTTACGATTTACATAGAAGAACACACACAGGGGACATACAATCGAACACGAAGTTCTCAGACCATCAGCTTCACATCAGCAACAACTGCCATGAACCTCTCGTAGCCTTCCTCTGTTGTGATATCTAGATCCCATCTAGATTTTGGAGCCGTGTTCGTAACATGAGTGGACGACGATGGGATGAACTCGGGCATGACAGAGCCATCATGGGTGATATGCATGGTATAGATGGAGAACCTGTTTCCAATGGTGCTGACACCGTACAACTTCGGAGTACGACACAGATTGTACAGGTGAAAGAACGTGCTTCTTATATGGCTATCCGCTTCAGTCGATACATGCCGCAGGTGGGTGGGAGGTTTGATCTCTAGGACGAGAACAGGTATGTCGTCGACCTCGACTACGAAAGTGACGACGAAATCGATAGCACCGACACCGCCAGTCTGGGCTATGGGCAACGCGTACTGGGGTTCCACGAAGAAGATACTCTCTGTAAAGCACTCGTCTGTAAGGATGGCGTTATAGACTCCGTAGTACTTGTTTTCGATGGCGGTATCATCAGGAATATGCGCAAAGCGACTGAGGATGCGTTGTGTCCACATGAATGCATGTGGTGGTGGCGGTGATGGCGACTGAGAACCAAATAACGGAACACAACGCGATGATGTACTCAATCCTGTAAATATTGAAATAACAGGTTTACCGTGTCGTGACGCGGCTACAAGCTTTCCCCTAGCCTAAACGCTACGCCGTGTCATCATTAATAAAACAACTTCCTTCCTTCTCCGGAACAATCGAAAAAGTAATCAATACATCAGTACAACCGCTATACATTAGAGTCGAGAAAGATATAGAAGAATGTAAGGTATCACAAAGCGCTTACGGATATCACGGTCTATATACACTGGGGCATTCTGATTTCATTAGCCTCACATTGTGGCAGGCGCTCGTCGGAAGGTGTTCCGCGAAGGGTTCTTTTCTGTAGCGAGCTTATGAATTGCGTTCATTAGATCTCCACGGCGAAGAGGTTCTGCGGAATTGTTTAATATGACACAGAATAGCCAGTCAAACAGTATCTTACTAGTGATATGATCGTCCTGATGGAACTGTCAGAATAGTTATGTATCACAAGCATCAAATACTCACCATTCCGGCTTGTAGGCAACGCTCACGGTCGCCGATCACTTCAAAAGACCTGTGAATATGCCAGGAAAGACGTACTGATCAGACGTACTGGCATGTGCAGTCAAAGCTATGATCGGTATTCGCGACAGTCCAGTAGCCAGTTCATAGGACCGAATGATTTCGGTTGCTTCTATGCCGCCCATGAACGGCATCGAGACGTCCATCTACGGCTAATGAGCAAAAGCCTCAAACGAACCATTAAATAGACACCGACAAGAATAACGTCAAACGGTTTGCTCTGAAGCACGCTGTTCTTGTACGATTCCACCGCCTGGTTCCCGTTTTCAGCAATGGCAACAGAATGTCCATACTTTTCCAGTATCTTCACCGCAAGCTTCTGGTTAACCATGTTATCCTCCGCAAGGAGAATATCAAACCGTAAATCAGTTGGCACTGTTACAGGATTGACCGTGTTTGATTCCAGAGCGGCTACCAAGGCCGAAGAGAGGTCTTGGGTTGTGACGGGCGTGGTCAATTGCGCCGTGATGCTGTTATCCAGGCACCACTTAACTGTTGAACAAAGTCTATAAGCAGCACGTTAAACATAAGGCACTAAAAGGCGTACGATTCAGTCGAGATATAGAAGGTGCAATTAGTACGATGGGTAGATATCTGAAATGGTCAAGTTCCCTTATACTCTCGGTCTAGCAGCATGTGAGCTATAGCTCGACAACACATGGAAAAGACATACCACCAGCAACGAATCAACCACAATAGTGTCGATGTGATGACCTGGAGGGTCGGAGCCAACTTCCGCCACCGAATGCACGACATAGGGCTTCAATCCCAATTGAAACATCTGTTCCCGAACACCAGTCTGGTCCTTAAAGGTATCCACATACAATATGGTCCGGTTCGCAAAAGGCGCCATTTTTGCCATGATGGTCTCCATTGAAACACGACTTATCCGCGAGCTGATCGTGAAGAAGAACTTGCTGCCTTTGGTCACCTCGCTCTCAACCCACATATTGCCCTTCATGAGCACCACTAAGCGTTTCGATATCGAAAGCCCAAGCCCAGTTCCTCCGTATTCCTAGATATACCTAAGCCTCGAACACAAGTAGTAGTGAAATGCATGAACACACCCTAGTCGTAGACCCGTCTGCTTGGGAGAACGTATCGAAGATTATGTTCTGCTTAGCTTTGGGTATACCAATGCCCGTATCAGCGACGCAGAACTCAAGCACGACGTTCTGCTCGTCAGACGCCACCAGGCGCACGCTGACCGCGACAAGTCCTTTTCGTGAGATCTTCGGAGGCGTGAACTTGATCGCGTTGCCGACAAGATTTGTTATCACCTGTCGCAGCCGTAGTGAATCCCCGATAAGATGATCAGGGATATCAGGCGCAATATCGAAGGTCAAATCTAGGTTGTTCTGCGACGCGCGCGCGACTAAGGTTTTGAGCATGCCAAATACGATGTGACGAAGAGAAAAGGAGACGGCCTCCATTGTCATACGACCCGCTTCGACTGTGGATTTGATACATGAATGAAGATCATGTGAGCATAATGATAAGGTATGAGCTCACTCTTTGAGATATCCAAAATGTCGTCGATGATCAATAATAATGATCGTGCGAGACTGTGAACTAACAGCAAGCTCTCCCTCTGTGATCGGTTAAGATCGCTGTCTAATGTTAACTCTGTCATCCCAATGATACCATTCATGGGCGTCCTATAATGACTTCGTTCGGTACGAGAAATGACAAAGAGAGTTCGAGCGCCTCACCTGATCTCATGTGACATGTTCGCTAGAAACTCGCTCTTGCTTCTGTTCGCTAGCTCGGCAGCTTCCCTCGCAGCAGTGTTCTTCTGGATACTATCCCTCAAATTAAATACCATGCTGTTGATATGTGACTTCAAAGAGTCCATTTCGCCGCTCGCCTCGACAGTTATGAATCGAGTGAAGTCGCCGTCCATAGCAGCAGCCGATATCTGAGCAAAGCCACGTACTTGAGTGGTCAGATTACCTGCCATGGCATTGACAGACAGTCTGAATCAAGTCAGGTAAGACCAGACGAAAGAGCAAAGAAAAATGTGACCCACGTAATCTCTTGCCAGATCCCCTGCACATTACCCACATCGGCAGCACCACCTAACTTTCCTTCTGTCCCAACCTCCCTAGCGACCTTCTTGACCTCGACAGCAAAGATGTTAAGTTGAACAATCATCCTATTGATCGTCTCAACAAGTTCCAGCATTTCCCCTGAGACAGATAGCCCATCAATCTTCTGCGTCAGATCTCCATGCGCCACGGCGGACTACAAAACACGAAAATCAGGAACGGCCAGAGCCACAACAGAGAGACGTTACACACTGTGGCGATTGCAATTGCCCGAACTTGGTTTGTCAGCTGTGAAGTGAGGTAAGAAAGGGGAGAAGACAAAGTAACAGACATCGCATACATTGCTAGCCATCACATTGACATTGTCTGTCAGGGCCTTCCACGTTCCCGCCACATTCTTGACCTGCGCTTGACCACCCAATCTGCCTTCAGTACCCACCTCCCTGGCTACTCTTGTTACCTAACAAACTGGTTACGATGGTGTGCAGATGTTAGCTAAGGAACGTACCTCATCGGCAAATACACTCAATAAAGAAGTCATTTGATTCACAGTATCTTTCAGCTCGAGGAACTCTCCCTTCACATCGATCTCCACACGCTTGGACAGATCGCCATTTGCAACGGCCTTGGTAACTTTAGCGATCGACCTTACTTGGTTCGTGAGATTCATCGCCATCAAGTTCACGTTATCCGTCAAAGCCTGTAATAAAAATGAGATACTCGACCGATCAATGCAGACAACCGCGTACCTTCCAAGTTCCAAACACGCCAGGGACAATGGCCTGCCCACCAAGCCTGCCCTCCGTGCCGACCTCCAAACTGACACGCGTAACTTCACTCGCGAAGACGCTTAACTGCTCCACCATCTGATTGACCGTGATTTTCAGGTCAAGCATCTCGCCCTGAGCGTTGACGTCAACAAGCTGTGTCAGGTTCCCCATCGCAACGGCCTTGGTGACCCTTGATATAGAACGAACTTGGTCTGTCAAGTTGGTGCCCATCCTGTTTACGTTCCTCGTCAAATCAGCCCAGGTGCCTTTGACGCCCTCGACTGTCGCTTGACCGCCAAGGATACCCTGTGTACCGACCTCCAATGCGACCCTTGTGACTTCACCAGCGAAAGCGTTCAGGTCATCGACCATGGAGTTGAACGTAGTCTTCAGCTGCTGCATCTCGCCCTCAACCTCGATCTCTACTTTCCTTGTCAAGTCTCCCTGAGCCACGGCAGTCGTCACCGCAGCGATCGAACGAACTTGATCCGTCAGGGATAAACACATCCGGTTCACGTTCCTAACCAATTCGAACCACACGCCTTCAACGTCGGGTACGTTAGCTTGTCCGCCTAGCTTCCCTTGGCTGCCGACTTCCAGAGTAACTCTGGTGACTTCAGCAGCTAATGCTCTAAGTCGAACGACCATCCCATTAACGGTGTTCTTGAGATCGAGGATTTCACCTCTAGCATCAACCTCAATTTGTTTCGAAAGGTCTCCGACGGCGACAGCTTTGGTAACTGCGGCAATTGACCGCACTTGACTGGTAAGATTACCCGCAAGGATATTGACGACGTCTGTTAGCTCTTGCCACGTCCCTTCGACTCCAGGGACGAAGGCTTGACCTCCAAGTTTCCTGGAACATAGTTAGTAGGTAGATCACGTAGCGGAGGGAGATGCGCACCCTTCCGTTCCAACTTCCTGTGATACACGCGTGACCTCTTTCGCAAACTGACCTAGCCTTTCCACCTAGTGAACATTAGAGAAGGAAGGAGGATCGTGAAATCATTTGATGTACCATGGTGTTGATGGCATCCTTCAATTTAATCATGACCTCGCCTCTTACGTCGACGGTTATCTTTTGGCTGAGGTCACCGTTAGCGACGGCATTACAGACACGAGCGACATCCTGAACCTGGTCCTTGAGGAGCTTGAGTTCCTCGACCGCACTCATCCCGCTCACCCGGGCTGCGATATCGAGCGGTCCGCCAGTTGCTACCACAGATGGTGAACCGGGTGGTATATGTACGGATGATGATGATATCCTGTATATCGTCCCAGAATCGGTGGTCCAAGTACCACATCTCGGACATTGCATGGTGTCCACGATAGGAACCGGAGGCGTAGACAAGGTTGGCATATTGTTAACGAGAGAGGGGCCCTGGGATATATGGAGGTCGATGGAAGGGGGACCTGGTGAGCGGGGCTTCGAGATCGTCTCGACATCGGACTCCAGGGCAGACACGAGCGACGCCTGCTTCTCTCGGGCATAGACGCTGCTGAGAGCATGCTCGGCGGTATACATTCGCTTGGCAAAGTCCTCCAAAGAACGTAGAATAGATCCAGTTTCCCAGTTTATGGGGCCATCGTACTTGGGAACTGGGGTACTGGATGGACCAAGAGCGTAAATGGAGAGTAAGGCAATGAGATGTTTTCGGAATGGGTCGGTATTCGCCATCTTTAGAGACGCGTACCACTAGAGATGCTACACACTATTATCGGACTGAGACGGGCGGCAGTGGTTGAATGTAGCAGGGATTAGAGAAGGTTGCCTGCATTGGCCGCCCGGTACTTTCAATTCAGAGAATTTGCGCGTCAGGGTGATGGAAGACTCTGAGTTTGAAACAAACATAGGAAGCCGGCATTGCCGAAGCCAGACAGCAGCGATAGACGGGACGAGGCTCCGAATGGTCCCTCCACGTTGCGACCCTGATGAGCGCATAACTCCACCAGGAAAGGTCTTTTTCCATCAGAGAATGACCATCTATAAGCTTGGCTTGAAGAAGTTGGGTGAAAGCAGAGTCATACATACGTGCCTTCAATTTCAAAGACCTATACTGGTCGAACTACTAGTTTGTGCCGTATATAAACTTCAGTTCTACTGATTAATGTGCGAAGAATCACTGGTCACCTGTTGTTTTACAATACGCTACGAGCCTGGCTCGGTGCGAGTAAGGCAAGCATGGTCATGGAACAATGTTATCAACGTATGGGCTGATCGCAGTAGTACGATTTTAATTAGTGATAATAAAGTAGAATGGAGGATCATGATTGTCACCTTGAAGGACAGACGTACATGATTCCAGTCATGGCGGAGTATGATAGAAGCTTACAAACAGGTAAAACAGGGGCGCAGATGATGACTGAACTTCCTAGGTACGTTTATCTTACCGGTAGTGAACGGTGAACAAGAAAGAGAGCTCGTTGAGAGAAGGCTCTTTACAATAAATTGCAACCCAAGGTAAATTATTCACTTATGACAGAAAATGTAAACATTCAGCTTGAACAACAGTGACGCGAGACGCACCTGGGTAAGATCCTCCGTCCAAAACGGCCATATGATCTTTGGGTTTTTTTAGATTCGTTGGTATATATCGATGCAACTATTACGAAACATATTCCCAGTCAGTTCAACAGCTAAATAGCTAGCAAGGTGGCGTGCCGTTTGATACATATGAAGTTGCAAACATTGGCATAGGACTTGAACAGGTTTCCTGTAAACTCCCACTGATAACGCGAATGAATGAGAAGAATACAAGCATACCATATAAAGGTTTAATAACTTTGAAAGGAGGGGGAACTATAACTCGTGGCCCAAATGGCGAAGAATATCAAATTTCTTCGTTGTAGGACAGCATAGCACCCTCTCGACCAATCACGCGTCACGTTGCAGACTGTAAATCCTACGCAGCGCCAATCAGACCTGCAGCCGTTATATGCGTAGAAACCAAGGCCAATAAATTACGAAGTGGCGCTCATGCTCGTCGCGGTGGAAGGTGTATTGGGTTCGTGCACGCTTGTGACGTGACAGTCACGATGCTTCCTCTTCGGGAAACTCAAATACCCGGCTTTGCATCGGCCCGGACCAACAACTTCTAACCAGAACTTCCACTTGGATTGTACTTGAACTATCGAGTATTGTAAGTACAAATTGGTGACATTCATTCGTAATTATGGACTCTCCTTGATTTATATTCCCCTGCCTGAAGTTATTCGGCTTGCGCTTATCTGACCTGCGTGGGAAGGCTGGGGAACTTGACGCATTGTCATTCTTCGGCAACTGTCTTTCCAGGTTTCTCGTCCGACGCGTTAAAATATATATCAGCATATGTACGCTTAGCGTGGATTACAAGCAATGTAAACGTCACAAGAGTTTGTGTCGGTTAAAACTTGAATCGCACTGATTGAAGGAAAACTGACAGGATGTTCGCTTCAAATGCCGGAGCTGTGAAGAGCGGCAGGCAAAATTTGTCCGATAAAACACACCATACTTTATTTATCTCTTCCTTATCGGAGAGATCAAAGTTATTACTAGTAAAGGCGGCGCCTCGTTCAATGTTCCTATGCTGGTCTCCATTTACTCCCCTCGGTCTCTCCTAATGGAACACCTAACACACGATTTCATACCTGTCCTAGGGAACGGCGGACTCAATTAGGTCTCGACACCTGCCAGGAATTCGAAAGAAGGGAAGCTTGGTGACGTCAGGGACACCCATAGTAAAGAATGTGAGCGACACCAATCAAGTAAGGCTGCTATTTTCTGACCTTCAGCCAATGAATGCACTGTTATTTTCCGTTCTTCTCGACTGAACGTTGTACAGCTCGGTGCATTTTCTTTGCGGTAATCCGAGGCTATATCTAGTGAACGCACACCGTCCAGCAATTCGATACTACCCGGTGGAAATATCATCTCGCAAGACTGGTCTGCATATTATTCTGACTTGCATTCTTCTGTTTCAGGTTGTACGCTGTCAGTTAATAACTCATATCCAAAGCTCAGGTACTCTCAAAGTCTCCTCGCGAAGTCCGGCCTTCTCACAACGAACGCGCTTGATACTCTCGATGATCCTAAACTGTAGGCATTCACATACAACACCACCTGTCCTCTCTTCTGAAGCGTCTCCTCGGTAGGAACGGCACCATCGAGCATGACTCCTCGCTCTCTCGCTCTCGCTGCCTCTTCGCTGACAACCTCCACTTCAACGAGGGTGTCTATACCGCGCTGAATGAGTCCAATTCCGGCGTCGACTACTTCAACGCGACCTCCGCGGAGCAAGTCCAGAAGAAATAAGTCGCCGATGAAATGCTCGCCAACTCTGATATCGTTGACACTATGAAGGAGTTTATCATACGCACTGCCAAATCTGCGGTTCATCCCAGTGTCACGAGCGATCCGGTGACGGGAGTTGCGCCCAAGAAATACGTCTCTTCACCAGTTTAATTACTGAAGGATGTAGATTGATCTATATTATAGGTTTGTGGATATATTTTTCCGTGAAGAGCGGCTGCCCATTAAAGAAGGGTGGACTAAGCCGACGACGTTGATCACAAATCAAACGCCCTCTCCCATTGCGGACATCATCATAGAGGCTTCGGAATGGGTTGATAGCGGCAAATGTCCCATCATTCGCACCAGTCCTGACAGCAATGTTACTTCTTGTCCATAAGCATACTAATTCGATAATAGATTACCTATACTTTTGTGAATGAAAGAGAGCTTTTTCGGGTCAACTCTGCGACACAGTTTTGGTGAACTCAAAAACTATCTCTGGTGTATCTTTATCACATCAAGTTTAAGCTAAACCTGCGGCCCTCGTTCCAACTCAGCCTCCGGCTTTCGACCAAGACACCATTCTAAAACACGATCTATGCGGCCTGTTTTATGTCGTGCTGTCGATGAATCAGAGGTAACCTGGATCAACCATTAGTCAAAGATATCCGACTGGGGAAAAAAACCAGTTCACCATGGTATGTGCGCTGCCACTGAAAAGGTCATCAAGCACCTGTTTCGCATATTTGATGTTGTCTTTTTCGACTTGAATTTCGTCAGTCCGCAGTGGACGTGGTTTGAATCCGGGTTTCGCTATAAGCTGTTTACTGAAAAAGTCCCCTGTAATATCAATTTGTGCCAGATCATGAAGTTTTTTCCGACATTCATCCCAGGCAGCATCTTTTTGACGCAGCTGCACAAGCTTCGTGATGTCACTGTGAATGGCAGCCCGGTCTATATCGATCCCACGTGTGGCCAGGATAGAGCATGCAGTGAAAAGATTGTGTGGGTTATGGATATAGTCGATATGCAGCCGAAGCGTTGCTGCATCCATCACTCCCCCCGATCCGTGTTGCATGGTAAAAATTCCTGTAACATATTCGCTGACCATCGAAACTGAAGCTCTATGAAACACGTGGTTTCCGAGAAACTGCAGACATCGACATTCAAGGAACACCGTAAAAGCTAACGGAATACGCTTCGCAAGGAGTTTAGCTAACACCTGTCATGCAGTGTCGGATAGGTAGGGCCAGTAATGCAATGTATAGTCCCAGTTTATTGTCATATAATGAAACATTGGTCGAAGATCGCGCAAAGAGCAAGCGGAGGGGAAGGTAACGACCAAGTCGCAATAGACAGAAATAGCATCGTGGCACACCATATCCCAGGGTAGCACAATATTGTCAAGTGAAACCCAGTGTGGAATGACATTAGGCGCAAAGACATCCCAAGCACTGTCATGACCGCAATAGCTTCCTGGGACGAGAATGACGAGCATCTTTGCTGACCAATCCAGGTAACTGCAGTGCATAACAAATCTTGAATAGGCATATTAGACTCTGAGCGGGAAAGTCTATGAAGCAGGAATTCAATGACTGCCACAACTACCCTCAGAGATTGAGGTAACGATGGCTCGGACAAAGATGGATCTTTGACAAACTTGGAAAACATGCGAAGGACAGTTTCGTCAAGAAAATAGGGTAATGCATCCGCGAAATCCAGAACCAACGGAGAATCAAAATTCTGTGTTAAGCCTTCCTTTGATTCGTTGAGCGAATATAAGACGGCAGAAGAGAGATACAATGGAATGGTATCGGCGCGATCATCAGTATCAGGATCCAGGGGAGTAAAGATATCCTTTATTTCGTTCAACATCATAAGCTGAGTCCAACAACGTGGCAGAAGTGCTAAAGAACGGGTAACAATGCCTATGAAAAATTGTGTTGGGGGAACGAGCTCTTTCTCGAACAAGCAATGGCCACAGGATATGATCGCAGCGGTGAGTTCAAATGAATCGATATTGGAAAACAGAAGGGTAGGCACCATGGTGGAGTGACAGTGGAAGCGAAGCAGACGTTCGAGTTTACGTTCCATGCCTGGGGCTGGTTCATGAAAGCGGTTATCGTCCCTCCGGATGCAACGCCAAAGTAAGGAGTCCCGTAAGGTATCCATTACATCATCGTCTTCCCGGAGTGCGAGTAACCTTTCTTGGGATGGCATGGGCAGGCCCCCAATGGACTGTACAACTATGCTTTGAACGGTGGGATTCGAAGAGACTGAGAAGAGCCAATCCAATGCTTCAGCCGCCAAATCAACTGACGCACACTGCACAGACTCTGACTCCATTGCCCTCAGGGACTTTGCATCCCTTGATTGTAGTGTTGGAAGACAATACATCATGTCGGTAAAACTTCGTAGCTTCCATGCATCAAGGAAATGATGCTTTCGGTACCATGATACTTGTGGGATTATACGATGAAAGGTGATATAGATGAGATCGCAGAGAGGCGTACGGTAAGGGCATTGAGGGAAGAAAATGGGAAGGATGGCGGCCACCACATACGCAGCGTACACCAGGGAAGTTGCTGCACAAATAATCCATGACAGAGCTACCCGGAGAGGATGTAGGAAAACCACCAAGCCGGCAAGAAAAATGGCGAGAGCGAGGTGCATAAGGACAGGAAGTAGCCTTATGATGACCTGGACGTGCCACTTTTGGAACCCGGCATATCGGAACTGACGAGTAAAACTGCGGTTGCGCGGTGTCCCCGAAGGGAGGGCAACGTAATGGTGCAGTCACTGTTTCACGAGAACAGCAACGAGTGCAGTTGTCAGGCTTAGGAATAGGCTCGTGAACCGGAGCCCATTCACCCAAACGTCCGTGGTGGCAGGAACAAAAGCAATGTTGGGATTGAGGGGAGAAGGAGTAATGCTGTTGACTGAGGAACCGTTGGCGATAGCACGTTGAACGAGAACCGATTCATAGAGAAGAGAAGCCGACATGGCCGCATAGTCTGGCTGCAGGCTCTGCGACGTTTGGACCGCAAATGCGGACACGACCGCTGAAAAAAGACCCGCCTTCACCAATGCATCAATCACGAAGTAAAGCGAGGCGACCGCAGGACTCACAAAGACAAGTAAGACGTCGACATTATCTCGGGACTCTTCGACCATGTTGGCATTGTGAATCCTGCTTTCATCTTCGTACGTTCTCCAAACCCTTGCACTAGGTGCTGTCTCTTCATAAATCGGATCCTCGGGGTATTTTTCTTCATAATTGTACGCGTCGTTTCCTATTTAGCACCTAGTGAGATACGAGGCAGGAAAAGAAGCCTTTATCGTACCTTTCTTAGCTGAGGTATTTGAAGGATTCTGTCTCTTCATTGTTCCGAAAATCTTCGTGCTGGCTGCATTGGTGGGATTCTGCGTTACAGTGGCGGGGTCTTTGTCCGGCTCCTCGATCTCCTGGCCGTCGCCGGTCTGGTCAGGTCTGTGCTCCCCGCTTCGGTCTGCAGCTGTCGGACTTGCTTCCAGTTCAACGGCGCCTGGGGCCGATAAGCCATCGCCTTGTAAAGTCGACATGTTGGAACGATGCAGGCTGTATTGCGCCTAACCCGGACCGATACTGATTGGGATCAAATTGTCACATGTTCAGGCCTAGGGTTACCGTTAATAATTTTAAACATAATAATTCGATAAACGATACTGATACTTTGTTGAATAGAAGGGAGTCTTCTCGAGCCTATTTTGCGAGGCAATTTTGGTGAACTGAGAGGTTTTTTGATCGATGGATTTTATTGGTATTGACGTAGACGTACAGAAAGGCATGCCAGGTTTAGGCGATGAAACTCGGCTCGAGGAACGGGCGACCATAGTGCCCGTACACGCACATTTAATCTTATGATTTAATGGCCGACACGACAGTGCAAGAAAAGCAAAGCAAGAAGAGGCTACCATAGCTCTAGGAAAGATAACTCCAGATCCGACAAGTGCAATTCGCAAGTCGAGAGAGGATTCCCGGTCCTTGCCCAAACATCTCAAGGACAACATGATCCAGGCTTTCGGGGAGGTTCGTGTGAGATATCTCCAAGACAGAATGTATTTTGACAGGGAGGAGCAGTATTATACAGCGAAAATGCCAATCTAGACGCGCAGAAAATTCTAAATGACTAAACCTTGAGCACGGAATTAGTAAAAAGAATCAAAAACACGATCGGATACACGTACCTTCCTCTAGCAGCTTCCTCGCGACCTTTTCTCGTTCGCCCTCCTTGAGTTGCGGTATGAACGAGGGATCTGTATCCAGCCATTAAACCCAGTTCTCCGCGTCACTAACATAAAATCAGCGTCGAGTACTTGACTTACAAACGAGGATCTACTGCCATAAGTTTCGGCCTTTTTTTCCGATAAGAGTCAACCGTTCGTTTCCAGTGTGAGAGGGCCATGTGAGAGCACTGTCGCGATCCATGATAAAGCCACTCTGGAGATGTGTTCGTGTTCGAGGTTGAGACCGGTCCTTGGGTGTATCTGGAGCAGAGGACATGGCGGTAGTAGGATACTGAACGGACGTCGCGCCGGTTCGCCATTTCCAGCTGATTGTTCCTGTTTGTGCAGACACAAACCTTGCTCTCTCTCCATGCCTGCCGTCGCTTCTCTACCGTGACGCCCTCTTCAAGCCAGTTATGTTTCCGGAAAGCGATACGAATACCAGGCCCAGACATCACCTCGAACGCGTCTCCAAGGTGGCTTCGTCATGGATCGCGACACTGCTAGCGAATGGGCCTCCCGTATCGGAAACGAACGATTGACAAAAGACGACATTTATTGGGTGTAGGAAATCATTAAAGATAAGCTCACACTCTACGGGAGCAGATTCTCGTTTGTGGGCGAAGAACTGGACCCCGAATTTATGGTTGTATCGCGTAGATCCATGTTCAGGGAGGTACTTAGGCATGGATCTCTCTCTGATACCGCAGTTCAAGGAGGGTGAGCAAGAGAAACTTGCGAGGAAGCTGCTAGAGGAGGAAGGTACGCATTCTCTGTTCTGTTATCTTGTTTTGGTGCTGATTCTGTCCTAGGTCTCAGGCACTTTGGAGTTTGCAACCCGTCTAAATGGAAAATTACTGTATTTACCATTTCTCCAAAGGAACGTATACTCTCTACCCAAGATTATGTGCTCGCCCGTGGCCACCCATTTTCTTCCACCACCAGAAAGTTCTAAACAACTTGAAGCTCTTATAGACTCATTTTGACGCATATCCCTCCGTTCTATGGCTTGCAGCAAACCCTTTCGTCGTCCGCTCAACACGCTACTCGCACTGTAAAAATAGCTTAACGTTGGGGTTTCCCGGTTGTCTGATCCGCTTCCGCAGGTCCCCTCTCGATCATGATAGACGACGGTCCCTTGTATGGAGATGGAGATGAGACTAATTTACAAGAGCAGACAGACGATCTTACTATTCAAGCGAGTCCAATGATGTGAACGCAATTTTCTCAACCCGGCCGAGGTACGTGCCATAGAGTCTTTATAGACTGCTTCTCATCTATGTATAAATAGCTACCCAACAATCCTTTCAATGTAGTAGTAATGGCAAGGCGAAAACACGACGTGTAATTCTATACTTCCACCATGCGCACGTTCCTTTCATGAATCATGCCTATACGCATGGTGTGCCTGATATCTCGCTCTTCTGGTAGGTGTCCGTTCTAGGCGTGCATCTGCATGAGTTTGCTGACTGAGATGCGCCGCAGGTGGATTTTCGGGTGTACTGGATGCTAAGAGGTCTTGGCATCGGTCTCGCGTGGGATTCTGTTGATCGATGACCAGGACCGTTTCTTGAAGGCTAGTCTCGGTATCCATTCTCCTGGCCGGGTTGTTTGTAGCTTGACACTGTTCTTACGGAACTGGCAGATACTCAACTTCTTCTACGTCTTATTACAGCAGCAGAAACACGTTTGAATACTGTCCGAATGGCGCCACAGAATTCGTTTTCACTGCTATGAATGCTCGGTGAACTTGTAATGCCAACTTGGAACCAGACCTCCAGCGTATCCATGTCCGTCGGTGGCCGGTCTGTGACGAAGAAATACATTCTCCTATCAATTTGTTTTATAGATAATCGCAGTATCCGAGTCTCTGCGTCCCTAACGCTGGCTGATTGTTATCTCTGGAACTTGCATTCAATTACCATAGTTTGGTCTCGTCGCTACACTTTGGACTCAGACTGAGGCATACTGAGCCTTTTAATCTTGAGCTCTTCAACCAATTCGTATCAAATAATCGACAATTCAAGCCCCGCCCTCTAGTAGTACACTCAGTGCGCAGCCCTTTCCCCCGAGAATTTTACCGTCGCACAAAAATTCGTATCCGGACTTTTACCGCGCTCAAAAAAAAAAGTCTTGGACACTATCGAGGACTATAAAATGTCTCTGTCCTAGATAGCCCAATCCCCAGGATCATGCAGTTCCTTCTTGCTTTGTCTATCGCCTCTCTAGCAGGTCTTTCCGCCGCTTGCGACGCTTACACTGGCGGTCTACCAACAGCCACTGGCACTGTCTCCAGCAGTGCAGTCATCGAGGTCGCCGCTGGCGAAACCTTTGATGGTGGTTGGAAGAAGTATGACCGGGGAAGCGGTGCTTGCAGGTTAGTTTTTCCCTGCGCGTCTCGCTTACCATGCTGAAAATGTGATCATAATAGTGATCAAGCCGAAGGAGGTATGCTAGCTCTTGCCTGGTTTGATAATGTGCTAATGGATGTCTCGTCGTGGCTGCATAGATTGGGAAGACGCAGGTGCGAATTTTTGTTCTACCATTTGTATCTTCGTCGTGCTTACTTCTTACATTTCCAGTGTTCTACCTTCACGAAGGTGCTACCCTGCAGAATGTTATCATCGGTGCCAACCAGGCTGAAGGTGTTCGTACGTAGCTTATCGTTCCTTCCAGGAATCACTCTGAGCCACCTCCTTGACAGACTGTACCGGTTGTAAGTTGCTAAATTCTATCATAGGCGATCTATACCTAAATGACTTTAGACTGTACTTTGAACTTTGTTTGGGTACGTGACTTGTTGAATCGCGCCATACCTCTACTGATCAAAGACACGATTTAGTTCGAGGATGTCTGTGGTACGCCGACTTTCCCTGACGTGTATACAATACACTAATTCATATTCTTTTACTCAGAGGATGCCATCACCATCGTAAGTTCCTCTCTCATGATCCCGAAAGCCATCAAGCCATATCTTATGATTCCCAGAAAAACGATGAGGCTGGTGACTACACCAACATCATCGGTGGTGGTGCCTACCACGCCGAGGACAAAGTCATCCAGCACAACGGTTGCGGTACTGTTAACGTATGTGCTTCTTCCATCTCTTGGCTCCTACCAAGCTAATAATCCAACCCAAGATCATCAACTTCTTCGTTAGTGGTATGTACTTCTCTTCTTCAGCTTCTTGACATGATTTTTGATCTGTTTCCACACAGACTACGGAAAGGTGATTTAAGCTCTAGCATCTTAAAGCCGCACATCGTTTGAACTGACCCACTTGCTTAGCTCTACCGCTCTTGTGGAAACGTGCGTGCTGTTTCGCGCTAGCACCCTAAGGGACTTGGCTGACACTTGTCATTTAGTGCTCGAGCCAATGCTCTCGTAATGTATACATCTCCGGTGTCTACGCCGAGGACGGTAAGGACTCCCTGCACCTATATAATTTCTTACGAACCCAATTATCTCTAAAATAGGTGGAACTCTCGCGGGTATCAACTCCAACTACGGCGTACGTCTATCGTTATTGCTTATTTCTCTATTATTCATCGTCTTCAACCAACAGGACACTGCGACCATCGTCGACTCGTGCTAGTACGTCTTTTTCTCCCACATCTCGGTATTACCCAGCTAATACGTGATTCATTACAGCGATACGAGCCACCCTTGCACGCTCTACGACGGGTGCGAAGGAAGGTTAGTGTTGTGTTCTTAATTTCGCCGTTTGCCATCTTACATGCCTTCACAGCTGCGAGCCCGAAGTCGTCGGCTACTGCAGTGGTTGAGCGTCTTCTTCAACTTGGAAGTAGTCTCGCCTGTCATTGGCCAGCCGCCAAGTATCCTTCCATTGCCGATAATATTTACAATACCTTCGTTTATTACTTGTTTCTTGGAAAACAAAATGATCGTATTCGTTACATTCTAGTTTCCGTGTGTTTATCACCGCATCCTGCGCTTACCGGAAAGAAGAAGACGAGACACGGGCATTAAGTTTTCGAAAAGAAACAGTACGTAAATCGCACCCTCAAACGATTACACCCCTGAGGGCAAATCTGTTTCAAGCCTCCATAATGAGTGACATGAAGCATGGAGCATAGGCTAAAGACCCTTCCTACACACTCTCTTAACGAGTCCGGTCAGCGTCTTTCCACAGGTCGCCCCACTTAGACCGTTGTTATACCCAGATGGCATGATCCTAGGTTATATCTTCCCACGTAACGCCCTTCCCTCTCTTCCGAAGTGGGTCTCGCTAAAGCCAAGAGAGCCTTGGCAACGGAGATGCTCTTCGACTTCGTTCGCCTGTCATCCAAGCCTTTTTCGCAACGATCGTCAATGGCGGCTGAGTAGCGCCGAATTCGTAATGTATTGATTATAAGAACACTGTGTAGGAACTATCGAGAATGCGGCAAATGTATGATTGTAGGTGTCGCCAGAGATGAGAGAAAAAATAGATATACAAAGTCCATGATGCTGATGCCGGTTTGCGTGCAATACTTAGTAGGGTATACTGTAGAACGTGACAGTTCGAGGACGTAAACGAGAAAGACGTGACGAACAAGGCGGAAAGGTAGGACGAAGTCTACGAAGTAACGTATGTATGACAAGAGAACAGAGATGACAGAAAGAACGAAGGGCATTACTCCGCACCCACACCGCTTTCCGTTATCACCGAGCGTATGTAGGCTCTTCATATTCTGGACGCCGCCGTTCTGACTTGCTATAAGCCATATCAGCCGCGTACTCGTCGTTGAAAGGCGACTGCGGCTGAGCTACCGGTTGTATTGAATAAGCCTCGGTGGTTTTCTCGTCGGATCGTGAGCCTGCATCGACAGCCGCAGTCGCAGCAGAAATGTCGCCAATGCCTGAGCGGGTACCCCAGCCGGTCTGAAAGTGACATGAGTACATTTTTGCTGTCGTAGGTGTTGAATACGAACCTCGTGAAGCGTACAGAGAGCATAAAGCTTCATTATTGCGAAATAGTAGCCAAAGACAATGAAGGCCGGCACGTATATGATGTGTCCTGGATTGTACCAGAGATGCGGAAGGAGCTTTGCCGTTCGTGTTGCGAACAGCCAAACGATGTACGAAACAAGAACGTTCCTGCAGGGGTCCCCAGTTAATTGTGACATAGGGCCGCAGGATCGATCACGTACCACCACGGTAAATGATATCCCCCTTCGTCGACTGGTATAGTACTCTTGTAGATAACATATGCTACTAGGCATGGACCAACCAGTAGCGTGAAAGGATTGAAGAGCTTGTCTACCTATGGTATAGCATTAATACAGCATCTTACGGAAAGGACAAAGAATAGACCCACCATGGTATAAGCCACATATGGATGCGATGTCCAGATATATCGCTCGGTGAAAAGGCTCCGGAGATCAGAACGCCATGTGTTCCTAGTCCATCTCAAGACTTGCTTCAGGAACCGCCAGTTTGGCTTCATTGTGCTGAGCAACTCGGCCTCCTTGCAGCATTGCACGTACGTGCTCCATCCATGGCTCACCATCCACCGCGTCAAGAACTTGTCATCGCCTGAGTTGAGCTGGTATTTCCCTAACCAATAGTCATGTGTGAAGCCGTGGAGAAACTCTGGGTCCTTGAGAATGATGGTCCGGTAAGCGGCTGTTCGACCTGATAGACAAGGAATGCCACCGTCGATGTGCGTGGAAGAAGAGATCTCGATATTACGGATTGTGAGCCGAAAGGCGGCGAGGACTTCCCATACCGTCATCTTGGAACCAACAGCTTGTACCCTCTGACTGGTACCGACGCCGCCGACTTTCTGATCTTCGAAGCAGGCGAGGATGTAGGGAAGTAACGTGGGAGGCCATATTGCATCGTCGTCAGCGAAGACTATAATGTCGGTGGTGGTGTTTTTGATGCCATGGCTCATCTGCAATCGCTTATTAGCGAATGGCACCGTGAGAACGCGTATTCGGGAAGGGTCGACAGCATTAGCGAGTTCTTGTAACGGGCCAAGCATTTTCTCTTCGGTGATGATGAGAATTTCTTTGGGGTTGCCAACAAGCCAGCTGCGCGCCGCGTCCTTGAACTCCTCCCCTGCATCTATTGTCGGCACGATAATGGTAACATCTTCAGAAGCGATATATGTCGGATTTTCGGGAAGGGGAACGGGGCGGTAAACAATGAAGGCGGAGAAACGGATGAGATACCAGAAATAACGATAGAATCTGTCGGAAAATTAGAAACCGTGTATTCCCAAGGCCACAAAGGCGTACCCAATAAGCCCAAATGGTACAACTGAGAAAACATGAGTTCAACGTCAACCAACGAGCATTCCAGCCACGTACAGATAGGAAATAGGTCCGACGTCAGATACAACATCTGACCAGACAAAAGAGTGAATACGACGCCAGAGACGAAGAGGAATACGACGCGCTACGGCCTCGCCACCCAGGAGGCAGATGGATGGAAAAGAGGAAGAAGATAGAGAAGGAACGGTGATGCAATACCTTCTAAGTGCGGAGTTTCAAATATGTTACCAAATTCGGGGCCCGTCAGCCATGTCGCCTGCCCACCTTTTGATCCGAGCTTCTTTCCTTTTGTGTTTCCGCGATGAGTGATCTACCTCCGTAGACATATTTTTCTCGTAAAGAATACCTGCTTACTTGTAAAGAGCGCGAAATAATAATTCTTAGCATATTATAACGTGGCCTGTGGCCCGTTCTTAACGTGACAGTAGTCAGGAGGAATTGATCGTATCATGCCAAGTCTTTTTTTTCTACCAGTCGATGCAAGGTGGAGGTTACTATCAATGCCGTTGGGGAACTTAATATCGATTCTTAGGCTGACTTCGACCGTCTCCACACGTTCCTGTGTCGTGTGCAGTGCCTCCGAGTCTACCAAGTTCTCAACTTCCGCTTCACAAGCTCTAGATTCAAGGCCAGTCATGGCCTTATACTCCAGAATGACAGCAAATCTATTGCTGGGGGAGCGGGATGTTTCAAATTTTTATATCCACTCGCTTCCATCGACGAAGTTTCTCAGTCTGATTTGTTTCTGTCTGCGCCACACTTTGAGCCTCCATTTCCGACGCTGCAATGCCTTCCATACCTACCCCTCCGCCGTCATCAATTATCAAAGCGGGATTTTTTCTTGGCGTCGTCATCACATGAAGCGCACTTAGGGGACTAGATGTATTTATAAACTCCTTTATGTGATGCTCAGATCAGGGTTCATCAACATTATTTGTCTGCCATATATCGAATTTTTCGGAGACTAGTATCATTTCTCTTAGTAAACCGTCCGGCGGTAGATGATAACTGACCGGTTCGTTACTTACCGTTGTTGACCGAAGTTCCCGCACGGGATCACTATGCTTGCAAGAATCCTGCTCTTACAGTCAGTGCGTCTGTACTATGCAGTCTTCCACAAACCTGACAAGGTCGAGGCTCAATGATCTGCTGACACCGCGGTCCCGACACCCCCTGGCGTCCCTTTCAGATCCAGGCGATCTTCCAATTGATATCCTATTGACCGAGAACAGTGTATTCCGCAATAAACCTATGGATTACTGGGCACACCACCCATTGAAACCTTGACTCGTACAAAAAAAGATCAAAAGGCGACGTAGATCTGGAGAAGACTGTTATGGAAAAGACAGCGTACACTGCGAAGTAGAGACATGTGTCGCTGAACCCAGTGGAATCTACGAAATAGACCAAAGGAAACGAGTGGACACTTTTGGAATTACAATTCCGAAGGGTCGCTCGGACCTGACAGAACAAGTGACCTCGTATAGATACCGAACATAGAAGGATAACTTTGGAGCCCCGATGAAACGCGCCTTGAAAGAACCCAATGGACACTTGCCACGTATTAGATAGGCGGGATCTTCATCCTGCTCGCCAACTTGTCCGTGCTGCCGAAATATTCGCTGCAAAGAATTCCCAAGTGCCGGGACTGATGCACAGCTGATAGGTACGTATCTGGGCAGGGCAGACTGTAGTTCTGATCAATTCTAGTCCAGGAGGGACGGACCGTGTGGTAGAACAAGGATAGGGGAAGGTTCAACGCGGTCGAGAAAGATAAAGAAAAAGAGCAATTCAGGTACTGGAGGGTACTGGTATCGGATAACTGCATCAGTCGACGGGAACTTCCGGATTTCCCAGCACACGACCAGTTTTCAAATTGCCTGCAAGACGCGTTGCCGCGGCGGTCCTCAGTGCTACTTGACTGTGAACGATAGTTGAACGTTTGTGCCAGTCTGGAGAATTCCGACTTACAAATTCCCATTGTCCGGCAGATTGCGCTGTCGAATTAATGTCGAGGGCAACGATGGAAGGTAGAAGAAGAGTCTCGAAGCAGGTAAGAACGAGTGATGATTGGATAGCTGAGGAGGCGGTTCGGCGTACTGAGGTCAGATGTCCATGGCCACGTCGAGATATACCATCCAACAAAATGTTTTGGGGAATCGTTATGCAACGTTGATAGTATGACACTCCCTTGGGTCATCCGCCTGACCTGTGGCTGCGCCTTGAGGCGCATTTACTCCAGAACGCAAGACAGTGGACGGGAAATCCAGTTCTAGCCTGCGTAACCTGCGCAGTGGATCGTTTCGCCTCTTCGTGTGGATTTGGACGTACGACTATGTTCTAGCAAAGGTAAGCAAGCTGAGTAGACAACTACTTTGTAAAACTCAGCGAGTTTAACCAACGTGTCGCGATTGCAGCAACCGATTCCAAAAGCCGGTGGTAGCGGGATCGGAAAACGTCTCATGTTTTGGGGCAAGTGCAGCCGAGTCAAGGGTCCAGAAGGTCGAAGAAAGATATTGGGAACACCTGGCATCATTCACACCTTGCTTCTACAGCTCCTCCAACCAGGGTAATACGTTACTGGTGGAGTTCGAAATACGAACTCAATAGGAAAGAGGATTTACGCACGTCGAAATATCGAGAGAAAATGCAAACGGACATCCAGGAGAGTTAGACTGTTTTAGGGTACTGAGCAGTCACCCAGTCAATGTGCACCAGTCAAACACAGTTTACAGTTGAACAGACTCGGAGGAAAAGAAGCAAACCGCGTTCGATCGCCCGATCTAGATCACGCAATTTTACGTAACCGTTATGTCACGCTTGCCCGAGCGGCCCAGTTTGGACATGTGAGTCGGTCTGAACAAATTTCTTATAGGCCTTTTATCTCGACAACCCATGATCACACTGTTTCCCCCTCTTTTCTTATTGTGAAATATTTTGCCATCAAAACTCTCACCTGTAGCATGCAAAAACGAAGAAAAATTGCGGTTCTTGGGACTCGTTCTGTCGGTGCGTTATCCTATCGAGGACCCGTTTGAAGGACGGCGCTCATTCTGGCTTTTTCGTCCTGCAGGCAAGTCTTCACTCGTGAAGCAGTTCGTGGAGAACGAGTTTCCCCAGTCATATTACCCAACGATTGAGAAAGCCTACGTTAAGGTGGTCGTTCACAACGGGCAGGAGTATGCTTGTGAGATATACGACACAGCTGGACAGGTGCGCCACCAAAATCTTTCGTGTGTCCCTTGGCTTATTGAAGGTATATGTGTAGGATGAGTATTCCCAGCTCAATGTCCAGCACGCCATCGGCTTCCATGGATATGTCTTCGTATATTCCATAACGTCTCGAGCATCGTTCGACTTGATACAAATAGTATACGATAAGCTCCTCGACTTCAGCGGTAACACCGAATTACCGTGCGTGATAGTGGGCACCAAGAGTGACCTTCATTACAAGTACGTTTTTCGTACTTGGCACTGGTTCTCACAAACAACTCATGTATATTCTAGCCGTCAGGTAGACATGTTAGACGGGAAGGCATTAGCTGCAGCGAACAATGCTGCATTCACTGAGGCCAGTTCAAAAAACAACGTCAATGTCGGTGAGTAGATCGCATTCCACCGCGTCTTTGAATTTTCTCTCCTCTACGTTCCGTCTTTCTCTAGCCCGGGCATTTGAACTCTGTCTAGACGAAATCGAGAAACGCTTAGCCGTGACCCAGGGTGGGAATGCTCCGGACCATCGTTGCGTGACTATGTAAATGAGCGCTGGCGTGATTGGTGCGAAAGCTAAGGTCATCTCATTATATCTATTATATCTGTTTTAAGTATATCCAAATCTGTACGTACTAGCTGTGGAGGAAAGTCCGGATGACCTTGACTAGTTAAGATAGTATGTGAAAGGCAGAAGGGACCAAACCTCGTATATCATCTCGCGAAAGCGCGTCTAAGGTCTCCCAAAGGGGCACATACGGTATTGAGATCTCGGGGAAGAGAAATCGCCAGCTTGTCGACATTGTACTAATCACAACATGGAGCATGGATACAACAGTCATTATCATGTCTATCTGGTTATATCGTATACGCCCCTTTTAAACTCTCTAAGGTACAACAACCGGTGCTGCACCTGCAGTGACGTCCGGCTTCATAGCTGGGAACAATAGAACTTCCTTGATGTCTATTCACTAAGATCAGACGCCTGTCACCTGAGTACAAAAAGGGTGTAAACTGACTTATAGAATCTGTCAAGAACATCACCAGACGGTCGATGCCCATGCCCCAGCCACCAGTAGGCGGAAGACCGTGCTCGAGACTGTGAATAAGGTTTGAGCAATTGTCATTGGACAAACAAACTATAAAGAAATACATACGCATCAATGAAAGTCTCGTCCACACCCTGGGCCTCGTCATCGCCTTGTTCCTTCTGTCGTGACTGTTCATGCAAGCCATCAGAAGAAGTACGATCCCATGATGCAGGGCTATCAGCTAACCTGCTCCTCAAATCTTAAACGTTGCTCGAATGGATCATTCAACTCGGTGTATGCATTACAGATTTCCTTGCCGCATAGGAATGCTTCGAAACGCTCGCAAAGACCTGGTCGCGAACGGTGCCACTTGGCCAGAGGAGACATCACCTGAGGGTGCCCAACTGAAAGGAGTATGTAAATATGGCATACATCATTCAAGCCGTTCAACGTACCAATGAAAGCTGGGGATATACAGAGAGGTTCGATAAACTCTCCGACGAGCTGGGTTTGATAATATGAGTTTCCAGATCCAGCTGACAAGAGACAGCTATACCTTGTCTAACAGACGTGCGTTTGTCCTTGGCTCGCTGCAATCTACATTGTGCTACACTTGACGCGTCAGGACGCGTAGAATGGATTGAACACAAACACTGACCTTAACGCAAAGGGCCCTCAAGAACTTGTTCGCCTCTTCGGTGTGAAGAGTATCACCCGAAGGGAACTTGACGCCCAGCTTTTCTTCCAGCGTCTCGATCATATCGTACCTCTTCCATGGCTTCTTGAATTCAAGCTCGTACACCCTCGCACCTTCTTCACCTTTATTACCGTCAGGGTGGTATGCCAACTTGGTACTTCCACCGGTGAGGTACTTGACCATCCCTTCCACAAGCGACTCCGTCATATCCATCAAGTCATACATGTCCGCATATGCCATATAAAATTCACAGATCGTGAATTCGGGGTTATGAGTCATATCGATACCCTCATTGCGGAAAACGCGTCCGATCTCATAGACACGGTCGAGACCACCGACAACGAGCTCCTTGAGGTAGAGCTCGGGCGCGATACGAAGGAACAGGTCAAGGCCAAGGTCGTTATGGTGGGTGACGAATGGCTTAGCCGTAGCGCCTCCCGCACTCATCTGGGTGATCGGCGTCTCGACTTCCATGAAACCTAGGTCGTCGAGGAAGCGACGAACGTAGTTGATGATCTTGCTGCGACGGATAAAGATGTTTCGCGTATTTTCACTGATGATGAGATCAAGATAACGCTTTCGGTAGCGGGTCTCTTGGTCCTTCAAACCAAAGTGGGAGGAAGGCAGCTGATGGAGGTTTGGAGAGAGAAGAGTCATGGTGCTTGGTGAGATACTGAGCTCGCCCTTCTTGGTGCGTGATGGAGTGCCGGTGACACCGACGACGTCGCCACGCTTGAAGATGGCATGTGTAGCCTCAAAGGAAGAAGGATCGGAGGCATCTCTGAACGAAAGTAAACATCAAGGCAGCCAGGGAAAAAAATTGATACACACTGTTGAGTAGCCATAACTTGAACCTTCTTTCCCTCCCCATGCAGGTCATAGAAGACAAGCTTAGATCCACTCGAACGGATGTTGTGGATTCGGCCAGCAAGGCTTTCCGTTGTACCCTCCAACTTCGTCCCAGACGGAATCTTGCCTTCGGGGCCGTATGTATCGATGTACGACGTGATAGAGGATGTTACATTGAACTTGTGTGGGTAAGGATTGGGATTTTGGCTGGCCTTCAGAGCCTGAATTTGCCGCGAGCGAAGCTCATAGTATTGCTGGACTTTGATCAGCAATGGCACAGGAAGCGAGCTACATGGGCACTCACGTTAGGGTTGAGGTCGTCGTCGGATGGCTTGTTCTCCGCCTTAGCCTTAGCTGCAGGTGGAGGTGGCTTGGCTGCCTTGCTTGCTTCCTTTGCTCGTTGTTTTTCCCGGCGCTTGAGCTCCCTATCGCAAATCAGAACCAGCAATGAAAAAAAGGTAAATCCACTAACGTCTTGGAGATCATCTCCCCTGTAACGGGGTCTTTGTGCGTCCCAGTTGCTTCTGTAGCCATTTTTCGGTATACGGGATTGTATATATGCGTGTGAGGCGCGTATCGGGGAATCCTAGATGTCAGAGGAAGAGCACGAAAAAGTCGGTGCATGCACCAAATATAAAAAAATATATTCCTGCTACGTTAGTAGTAGGTCTTATAGAGGGATGGTGGTAGCCGAGTTTTGAGTTTAACCCGAAGTCCGATGTCATAAAAATTTCTATTTGTGGAAGAAATTCACGGCCCAACGCTTCAAAATTTCCGTTTAAGTCAGAGTTTCGGGGTGGCACAGTCACCGCTTGTCACTGTTTACATGTGACCCTCTGTTACTATCACGCTTTCTGCGGCGTTGTTCGGCCGATCTTGCCAAGGATTCTGACTCTGAGAGAAAATGCGAGCTGGTGGCGGCAGAATGCCGCCACCGAGCGAGTCTTTTTCTCTCAGCAGCAGAAGCCACCACCGCTGAGTGAATCATTTCAAGGGGTAGTTGTCGAGGATTCAACCATAGCCCGTATACGTTCGTACTATTTCTTCTTTGAACTTACCTTCTATATATAGTTTCACAACCCCTTTACTTTCGTTGGATATACCTATCGTTTTACCCCTCTATGCACCTCAGCCGTTCACTATCACTACGAGTGACTGACTGAGGTGTGTATACCATTCATATCATCTTCACCTACGTATTTCTTACGCTACATACTTTTAGCTGTTCTATCCTCAACAGGTAGCGTATCTAATACAGCCGTTCACTATCACTACGAGTGACTGACTGAGCTGTTCTATCCTCAACAGTAGTACTCTCTCATTCATACTACTATTTTTTGAATGCTAACTATTATTGATTATGACCTCGTTTTTTTTCCGCAAGCCAAGATTTGAATAACCCTTGGGTCTTGATTCAATCTCTCCTGCAGGAATTATAGCCAGTAAACCTCGCAGGATCAATCAATTATACATAAGTTTGGTTTATTATAAACTATCATAATTATATAAAAAACGAGGTTTCAAGGGGGGTCAATGTAGCAGGCTTTGCCCCTGATGTGGGCCTTGCAGGCGTTATTTATGACTCGAATTCTGGAAAACAATATTTTCATACTTATTACTTTCGATCATCTGGTTTACCTAATTGAGTATTCGGTGGCTGTTGTTCGGCATGATTGCACGGCTTGGAACTTACCAGCGCCGATCGGCAGCACCGGGTTGCATTGGTTCAACGTTCACGTTCATGTTTCAGACAACGATACTAGGTCTTATCTCAGCTTTATCTGAGCTCTCTGGCTTTCTGTTCTATTACTTCAACCATTCAACAACCAATAGGCATTGCTGGGAGCCTGCTGAAGATCCAATTTCTTATCAGCACCACAGATAAATACTGGCATAATTTGGGCATAATACAAGATAATACAATGACCGCGATGCGACACCCATCGAACTGCCCAGTCTTCAATATTTGCTGCTTTGCAGGGTCCACGATGTTCGAGAGAGCATTTGCGAATATGCGCACGCTAAAAGGGTCCACGATCTCCGCAAACCGTTTCTCTCCCTTACTTCCTTGTCTCTGTCTGGGACCAGGTTCATTCGGACAACGTTGCTCGATCTCATGACCAGCGCAAGAACCTCGTCCTTGAGGTATTGCAAATGTCCTTTCGTTCGTGAATCGTCGTGGGCATGGCTTCAGGATGGAGTACAGCTAGGACGCTACTGCAGTGGTGGCTGCACTGGCGGGAGTGCGCTTTCTGGTGATGTGATTGGGCGCGTTATGACTTGCTCAGAACGTTGGCTTCGTTTGCAGTTATTTTCTAGGTAAATGCCTGCTTTAAATAATTTCTGGGCGTCTGGATTGAAGTTTTCGTGAAGGAGTGGAATACGGCACGCAGAGTACGTCACTGAGTGATGGTCCATGACGCGTTCAAGTTATCACGCGCTTTTTCCTTCCTTGCGGGCAGGCCTTCCCGACGAGTATAAAAGGGCGTCGTCTACGATTCCATCCTCCGTCGCTCCTTTTCTTCTTTCCCCCATCATCTCTTTTCCCCGTGTAGCGTATTCCCCTCGTCGAAGTCATCCACTTTCAAAACGACGTCATAAGAAGCTGTGGGATCTGCATTGCATCTCCGAAAACCTTCTTACACATACCCGCCATCGTTCTGCTCACTCGACATGTGTATCTCACATAACCGAAGCAAGGAGGTCCACTTCATGGTGAATTATCGTACCTTCTTTCTACACTGGTCGGCGAGATCTCCTTTTCTCTCTGTTTTGACACCATCTCACCATTTATCGCAGGTCTGCGAAACTGCGACACGTTCTGGAATAGTGGTCATCAAGGCACGCACGTCCACGCTACGCGCCGACGCATACAAGATCCTATGCCCTTACACCGACGAGCCCCACTGTGCGTTGCTCCGACCGCCACATTTGGCATGGTGGCCAACTAAATCACCAACTGGTCAGTTTGGTAGGCTGTGGCAGCATGTACGTGATCGGGCGTGACAACACCATAGACATCGTGAGCGAAAATTCGGAGACTCGCTAGGTGTCTCTTCTCTCGTAAGGCGACATTTTGGCTTATCTGTTCTTACAGAAATTCGAAACGTTCAACTGTGCCTTGCAGAGTGGGCTTCGCTTACTTCAACCTGTGCTCGAGTTTTCGTGGAGCATCTTGGACAAGCCAACAACGGCATTCACCTTTATCGAATTTGACCAAAAAACCTGAACGCAATGAATCAAAACCAGGAAGCTATGATTTCGAATAAGGATCTAGGTTGATGTTTTGATCTGAGGTACTTACGGCACCAACTCGGATATCGCAAAAGTTCTCTGGCTCATGAGGTTAGCTGTGCATGCTTTTTTTTTTGCATCATCTACGACAGACTCCTCCAAAGAAAGGAGGGATCCTTTTTGAGACGCCTATCACCCAGGGTCCTGGTGTTTCCCCCCAAGTGATTCATTTGGAATGCTTCTATCACGGATTTGACATTCAACGACTATCTTATGCGCTAGATATCGTCATTGCGGCTTGGTTTCCTTGGAATTGACAAGGCGGTGAGTGGAGTCTGCTCGCTCTGACTGAGAAACTCTCTGGCATAACATTCTGCGTAACCCTCATACCGATTTCTTCAAATTCAGAGCGATCTGAGGACTTATTGGTCTAGATAGTCAGCATACAACGTTTCCTCGCGGCGTTCTGGCGTTCTTTTCGTTACAACAATCTGCTTCTCTTATTTATCAGCGCCTCGGATGTGCTTCAGTGTTGAACAATTCTTGTGCCGAGCCTTTTCCCAGAATGGAATCCGCGTTAACGGTATGTACTCGTATACATCTGGTGCTGCATTGTGACCTTCTTGTTATCCTGCTGTCAGAAGTCAGCTTTGTTTCCATGTATACCCTCGTTTTCACATTACATCTAGCCTTATGTCCTGGGGTAACGACTCAAGTGGCTCCATCCGAACTATGAACCCTCACCGCTAGGCATCGGGCTGCCTTTCCATATCGTGCTTCTAGACAACCCAGATGAACAGCATATATTCAGTATGACAGGCAGCTTCATTACTGATCTCATTCGGAAATTAAAACCCAATCTCAAACGTGTGTGGTACAAGGCATTCCCCGCTTTTAGGTTTCTGGAATGGTTCCGGTGGTTGTCAGCACTCCTCGGAACCTTTCATTTGCGACTACTTCCTGATTAGATGCAGCATTTTGGCGCCTGGCGAATATAAAACTAGGGGAACTTGTATATTATGTATGAATTAAATATGTTTCGTACATCACCAAGAACGGAATGAAGATGGCTTGCTGTATCAGCAATCTGAAAGGAAGAATATCTAGAGAACACAATAAGAACCTGTAAAGTACAACAACTGAGGCCAAGTAAAGACCTGAGTTGATTCGGTAGTGGTGACACACGGATCAAGGGCGAGGCAGACCACATGTTTCCTTCTACCACACTGTGACACCATCCATATCTCGGCGAACGTAGGACGCTGACGGTGAGCTAAGCGCTAAGCGGAAGCAAATTTCTGACGGATGCAGGTGCAAACAAGGCTGGGGACCGGTTCATGTCAGCAAGACAAAACAAGAAACAGCGCAAAGGGCGGAGTAATCCCAACAACCGCGAACGAACAGTCACTACTCTCACGGAGGATCCCAACTCATCCTATCTCGTTCCTACTCCTAGCGAGGAATCGCCTGCTGTCCTCATGGGATCCACCAATCAAGCGTACACAATGGCCCAAAATTTTCCTTTCAACTTTCAAAACTTTGTACAGCAACAACCTTTTTATCAGCAGCAACAGCAACCCCTGCCTGGCTCGAACGATCTCGAAATCCTCGAAAATCTCAAACAAAGGATAAAGGCTGGTCAGCACGAATTTTACCGTGCAATTCCTAATCCTGCGGCACTTGCCAGCATCTACAAGGGTCCAAGTTCTTCGTCGCTTCATTCAGAACGGGCACCAGACTACCTCGACAGCTCATCGCCATCCAAGGCAGGCCCGCTCTCAACGCCAGACGCTTCTCAGAGACCGCGGAAGGAAAACTGGGAAGGTTCGAGGATGCAGGTGGACAACGTGCGTCATCCATTTATTTTCTTTTCTTTTTTTTACTCATTTTTTTCTGGGACACAGAACAACGGTGGTGGTCGATATGCTGATGATCTCTCCAAGTCAACACCTGATCTAAATGAACACAAGCCTCAGACTCCCTCAGCAGATCCTGGACCACAGCGCTCAGCAACGGCCAACGGTTCCGTTTCTCGCAATGGCTCTTCTGGGAATCTCAAATCGGACCCCCAGCGAGCAGAGTCCAGAGGACCGCCACCTGAGGAGCGGTCGAGGACGAGTTGGTCCCACAGAGATGACGGGCCATCCAGTGATGATAGGCGCCTATCCGATGCTCGTACTAACCGTGGCGGCAACGATCGCACTCTCCTCCCGGCAAAAGAGACATCACGGCACTACGAGGGAAGAGACTCAGACCGGGAGCGCGACCGAGATAGAGATCGGTTCCGGTACAGAGACGACAGAAGAATGACGGATGCACGAAGACCACCTCCAGATCAACGACACTACGAGCCAGACTATAGCAGAAGTGGTCTCCCTCCTCGTCGTTATGATTCGAGAGACGATATAGCTGATGACCGCCGTCCGCCCTCTGCTGACGAGCGCGGACCACGTCCTTCTTTGTCTGACGACCGACTCTCTCGCCTTCCTGTGGATGTACGTCCGACTGCTGATTCTCGGCCTCTCATTTCGGATTCTCGACCTCTCATTTCTGATTCTCGAGTACCACCATCTTCTCGTCCAGCTGTTGATGACCGCGATTTACCACTGCCTTCCGGTACGCCAAGACCTGCCCAGCCAGCTGCACGGATTCCAGCTGACGATAGGGCTGCCCGTCCTGCTACACTTGAAGAGCGCATCAGTCGTCCTTCTTTGCAAGACCGTATCACTCAACCGAGGGCCGAGCCTTCTCATACGGGACCTAGTCTTGGAGAACGTCTTTCTCAATCGACTACAGAACCCGTCAATGGTCGAAGCTCTCAACCCGATGATAGGCTGACACGCTCAACTTCAAGCGTTCCCGAACGTGGTCATGACCGTGCTGATACTGCTCGTCCGCCTCCATCGACGCTAGCCGTAGATGATCGTCCCCCTCGACAAGATGATCGTACGCCTCGTCCAGGAGGTGAACGATATTCCAGACCTGCGTCTCCACCTAGGGCAAGCACGTACAATCGTGCACCTTCGGTAGCTCGTGATGAGACACGATCAAAAATTGCATCACCTGTTCCTCGTTCTGAGTCCTATCGTCCTCCTCCCAAGCTTACGCGTCCAGTTCCGAACAACTACCGTCCAGGTGAGATTCAAGACGAGAGGGATAGGGAGAGGGACAGAGAAAGGGACAGAGACAGAGACAGAGTGGACGGATACTCTGGCCCCGGAAGATTCTCCCCACCTTCAGCTGCTGACCTCGCTAGAGATCGAGACCGCTTGAGGCGACAGTTTGCGCCGGACCCGCCTTCCAGGGAAGCCTACGATGAAAGGGACCGGAGGTATGTCCCGCCTCCGCCCCCAGCAGAAAGACGAGACTGGCCATCTTACTCTCAACCGCCCTATGAAAGTCGGGGCCGTGATTGGGATGACGACTATTGGAAGTACAACAGAGGCGCCGATCGAGACCGATACGACGCTCCTCGAACTACCACTGCGAGTGCATGGGAGACACGAGAAGAGCGCGAACGAAGGACGACGTCTTATCCTCCTGCTCCTCCTCCTAGGGCCCCTTCTCCAGCACGATCATCATACGATCCAGCTAGACCTCTGAGCACAAGGTTGACAGACTACCCACCGGCTACTGCTCCTGCAGCTGCAGGAGATGATAGGGAGCGAACGTATCCTCCTCCTCCAGCTAGGGATGCACGGTTCACGGGAACCGCGACGACTCCCAGCCCGGGATATACTGGTACTAGACGTCCACGTAGTCCGAGCCCAAGCCCACTGAGGAACCGACTGGCGGGGGCACCCCCTGCAGATGACTTGAGGCCTCCCGTGAAGCGCTCGAGGGAGGACTATGATTACTATAGTGGGCGTGCATCGTACGAGAGACCGGTGTCGCCAGCTCAGGCACCTCCGACGAGTGCTGGGAGTAGCTATTACGACTCGTCGCGCGGGCCTCCGCCAACTACTGCGAGTACAGCGGGGAGCGGTGCTCCTCCTGAATATTCGAGAGATTACCCAGCGACGTATGATAGGCCAGTCAGGCAGAGCTATCCCCCGAGAAGTGCGGGGTATGCGAGGGATCTGAGAGAAGAGAGGCGGTATATGCCTCCTTCTCGATAAAATAAGCTCTTGAGGAGGTATGTTTTCTTTTCATGAGGTTTTCTATCGCGTACTGAATATTCCTCTTTCAGCAGCACTAATCTTTTAACAATCTATCATGATCATACCATTATTATGGATATCGTTTCATTTTTGTACTTATGCCCTTTGGGCACCTTTATGCTCTATGCAAAATATGCTTGGCCTGGGCGGATAGATGATCTTATTACCCCACACATGTATTTTGTAGAACTACAAACTTCTATGCTTCGTTAGAATGGAGTATGGTTTCTCGTTCGGTTCTATGTGTCTCGCGAACTTCCAGTGTAATCGAGGAGCTGAAAATAGGAACATTCTGGGTCTAGTCGGCTGTCAACAAACTTGATGCACATAAGCATACGATGAGTTTGTTTTGAGGGATAAAAGCGTAGCAGTGTAACCATTAGAATTTACCGAGACGAGAGATTTAGCATAGATAACAAATAGATAAGTATAGACATTATAGACACTGTTGCTGCTGGGAGATCTCGAAGCTTGTAGTGTCAGACCAAAGTTCATTCAAAATTCTTTCGGCGGCACTTAGTACTAATTTGATAGGAAACTAGGAGTCCGTGCTTGAAAACTACAAAGAATTTATATCTCTCCCTGGATATCTTCTGAAGTATATCTTCGAGCTCAAATTTAATTGACCAATCATGATATGCTCCAGGTATACAAGGAGATCGAACTGTTCTTTTGTCATTGCCGTAGTGAAAAGCGAATGCCGGCTTGCTGGTTTGTCCAAAAATTTCCACGAAGACTCGGATACAGGCTGCGGCAAGCGAAACCCACCCTCTTGCACAGCACAGTTGGACGTTGGACGTATTTCGAATTTCTGTAAAAACGACTGAGCCAAAATATCTGGTAAACTTGCAGATACACGTACCTGCTTCGAGAGATCCAAGACGATGACTATATATGAGTCTTCACGATGCATCGGCGCGTACATGATCCTATGCCCCCACACAAAGGAGGCCCCACTGTGCATTGTTCCGACCGCCCATTGGGCAGACGGCCAAAGGGTAGTACACAGCCGACCAAACCACCATGGTTTCAGTCTCAGTTCGGTGGACTTCGGTAGCTTATAGGGGATCAGACGTGACAACGCCATCGACATCGTGAATAAGAATTCGGGGATTTGTTAGGTGTGTCTTCTCTATTGTGTCTTTATAACCACTGTTCCAGGATGTGTCGGAATTCCACTGAATTGAGATTTATGGTGAGATAGCGTCCAAACAGAGAGAAAAGGAGGACTCACTGACAATCGTAGAAGGGGAGTAGGGCAATGTTTAGTAGCTAACCTCCGACCGTGAACTATCATTGACGATACTTCGTCTCTTTTGCTGTACACTCGTCAGGAATATCGCTTCATCGACAACCATGCCGTCCTATGAACAGATCGATATCAAATGCAGGGAATTCTCTCGTCTTCGAGATATCGGCGAGACCGATGGCGGAATAGGCGGTGTCGAGGCGATGAGCTGAGTATGGGAGAGATATGACCATGGCTGGGATATAATACATGGTTCTGCATCGATTATGTGTGAGATACACAGATAACGCGACTCTGAGGTGAATCGAGTGAATCGAGTGATAGCGGGTATGTCGTTTTAGAAGACGACGGCATCGACGCAGGGAATGCGCTGCATAAGAAAGAGATGATGGAGGAAGGAAGGAAAGGAGCGACGGGGGATGGAATCGAAGACGACGCCCTTTTATACTCGGCAGGAAGGCCTGCACGCAAGGGAGGAAAAAAGCGCGTGATAATTTGAACGCGTCATGGGCCATCATGACGTACTCTGCCGCCGGTCACCGCACGTGCCCTGAGTCCCGAGTCCCGTATCCCGTCCCTTCACGACAGCTTCAATCCCGATGCCCAGAAATTATTTGAAAAGTAGCCTTTACGGTAATGACCGCAAACGAAGGCAAAGTTCTGGGAAAGTCATAACACGTCCAACCACATGACTAGAAGGCGCACTCCAACCATCACCACAGTGGCGACCTAGTCTTGCTCCATCCCGAAGCCGTGCCAATGACGATCCACGAACGAAAAGACTTTTTCAGGTACCACAAGGACGACATTCTTGCGCTCATGACATTGAACGACGTTGTCCGGATGGATCTGTGGGTCCCAGAGTAGAACAAGACAGACGAGGAGGTAGGCAAGGGAGAGAAGAAACGGTTTGCGGAGATTGTGGATGCTTTCAGCGTGTGCATATTCGCAACTGTTCTCTAGAACATCCTGGACCACGCACGGCTGCAAGCATTGAAGACTAGGCAGTTCGATGGGCCATCTGAGGCTGGAAATTTTGGGTAAGTGTCTTTGAGCGAGAAATACACTAGCTAATCTTTTGCAGGCTAAGGATCTTTTCGGGCCTCGTTGCTAAACTTAGATTGGGACATGCTTTACGACGAAGGAGGGAACTGTAGGTATAAGCGATCCGTCAATAGCGATACATATGGTGAGTTGCACGTATGCTTGGTTTGTCTTCGTCCCTTGAGGTGCCTGCAGGAGTCGACATCTCAAGAAAAGGATATCTATGACGACGAATGATTGGTCTGACGCCTTCAGCAACAGTTCACGTCGAGTCGAATGCAATATACTCGGATGAAGGGCCACAGGACGCCACACTGAAGGCGACGGATGTTCAACATTGGTCTGGTGATAACGGGAGGTGGTCTATAGTCGTGAGGGCATGTAGGCGGGATGCTTCACGGTGACCATGCTCATTAATCACCAAATCACTTCAGGAAATGTATTAGCATGAAGTGACAGATATCAGTAAGTACTCCAATGTGAAATCTAGCACCGTTGCTGATCAAAAAACAGCCGCCTGTTTTACACACGCTGTTTGTCACCCTCGCTTTTTCACTATCAGGCGCCATCTCCCTTCGTACCATCGTGCAGCAGGCCGCTTATCGCTTCCATCTCCGTGATGCTCCTGTGATGGTGTGAAGGATAGTAACGTTTAACTTTTGTGTGAAGGCACAGGAAACCGCCGTCGTTACGCGAGGGGAGCGCCCGGCTCTCAAAGTGAACAGCTTCTGAATCATCACACAATGCACTCTTCTACCGTCAATCAATTTAGCTCCTGCCATGAGATGTGAGTTTCTTGACAGTCTTTCACTATGTCGCGGCTCATCGACTCTCATAGCAATGGAACGCCGGAGCTACAGTGCGACCGGTTAACGCGTGTAAACATGCCTCGACACTCATTCAAAGGTCATGACGAGAAACTGGAACGACCCCGATCACTGCGAGGTACCTTCGGATTGCAGCTCGAGTCCTGACATTGGGCGCTTCCCCAGAACTTCTGTGAAAACCTACGGGCCAGGGTGCACATCTTCACAAGTGGCTAACCAAGGGAAGACCAGTCAATACACGCAGCTAGGCGCGACAGCAGCACTTGCTAGCGGCGTACAAATATCACCACAGACAACTAGAGACCCCCTCTGCATCTTTCCGACCTCAGTCTTCCGGCCCTCATCTCTGGTCGTTGCATTTGCGTTGAAGTCTTCGTCAGAGTAACTTTGCATCTGTATACAAGGTATTCGATACCGCTGAAGCCGAAACCCTCATTGCTGACATTCATGCTCTCTAGTCCTCAGATCCATTTGCAATGGGTGGTGCGGTATCCGCAGTATCCCGGGTAGTCCCCTTTGTAGGGGGTGTCATCCCGGCAATCCTTGGTGCAATCGTTGGCAGTAGAGTCAAAGAAAACCCGACGATGTCCGTTATCGATGCGCGGCTCCGGAAGGCAGAGGCAGAGGCAGAGGAGGCCCGACGACATATGGAGCAGCTCGAACGAGAGAAGCAGGCGCAACTGGAGATGATCAGAGTCCAGCAGGAGGCTTCACAGAGAGCTGCTCAACTCGCCGAGCAGCTTGAGCAAGAGAAGCAGGCGCAGGCTGAGAGAATCAGAGTCCAACAAGAGGAGGCGCAAAGCGCGGCTCAAAATGCCCAACAATTGGAGAGGGAGAAGCAGGAGCAGATGGAGAATGCCAGGAGGGAACGCGAAGCAGCTCAGAGGGCGACCCAGGCTGCTAACGAGTTGCAAGGGCAAGTACAGAAGAAGGAGGCGGAAATGAAGAAGATTTTAGAGGAGCAGCAGGAGATGGAGGCAAAGTGGAAGAAGGGTATTCATCCGGTTGAATGGCCTTCTCGCGAGCAGTTTGAGGCGAACAAGCGACGTTTTTACAAGGAGGGAAAGTTCCATCTCGCTATCGCTGGAATTTCGGGAACGGGAAAGTCATCTCTCATCAATGCCTTTCGAGGTGTCTGGGACGATGAACCAGGTGCCGCTGCGACCGATATCGTTGAAAGCACCGCCGTTGTCACTCCTTACCCCGATCCCAATCCCGCCAACCCATTCATTTGGTTCGACGTCCCAGGTTCAGGCACTCTGGCGTGTTCTGATTGGACCTACTTTAACGACCAAGGTCTCTACATTTTCGACGCTATTATCGTCTTGTTTAACGATCGCTTCACTGCCACTGACATCGCTATCTTGAAGAACTGCGGGCGATACAAAATCCCGACCTACATCGTTCGCTCCAAATCTGACATCCACGTCGAGAATCTGGTCAAGAAGAAGCGGCGTGGAGCTGGCGCGAGGCGGGACCCTGCCAAGGTATATGATGAGGCTTGCAAAGAGTACATCACGAAGACGCAGGAGAGCGTCAGGCTGAATTTGATGAAGAACGATCCTCCTATTCGGTCGCAGAAGATGTATGCTGTCTCCCGGGATACGCTGACGATGGTTGTCCGACAGGAGGTGCTCGATGATAGTCTCGTGCTCAGTGAGTATGAGCTCTTGAGGGACATCCTCCAGGACGCGTATTCGCGACGATCTGAGAAGTCGTACGGCACGATGTCGGATCTCATGAAAAAGGCTGGCATGGATATCCTCCGTTTCTTTACTAGCTGAGGGTGTACTTCCTCTACTGCCCCCTGTTACGGTCATTTGCGGACGCTTTTGTTACAGTGGTGTTCTTTGGTATCTTTAATATTTTAGGCTGACCTTTTCCCGTTTCATTACTCATGTGTTTTACGCGCAGTTCGAATTGATCTTGAATTTACCCTGGCCTTTTCTTCGGTACAATCCGTTATGACTGTCTGCTCTGCTCAAAAACTTAGTATCTAAGTATGATCCAGAGCGTCTGTGCATACTCCGTCGCATATCAGCCGCGTCATCCTGCTCTGTCAGCGTGCCTACCGTTATTCATGTCCATATTCAGGGAATTCTCGTCATCTTGATCGATTTAAAGCTGTTTTCTGGGCGTTGAGTTCAACTCTCGAAGGACAAGACGGCAATATGCATCCTCAATCATGTGGGAACTGTCAGATACAAAAGATGGATGCGACAATTCATTCACACTGTGCGGGTTCCTCTTACTTCCTTTCGGTTCGCCTTCCACATTCCCAATCTAACTACTCAAGGTAATTCAGTGACTCTGCCCTTGGTAACGAACTTATTTTTTCTCAGGTCCATATGGCATTCGCAAAGCGCTTAGAACATTTCTCACAGTACGCCTTCAAGTTCACACTATCACTTCGTTGTGATCAGGTTCTTATGGCGCCTCACCCTTTCTCCGCTCTGTAATACAATAAAATGCTGTCCCATGTCAACGAAACTTTGACTTTGCTGTGCTTTTCACCGCTGTCAACGTCTAGCGCCCTCAGGGGCTTGTCACTAGGACCATGAAGATCTCCGCTTTCATCCCCACACAATGGAAACATATCTTTTGTCTCGTACTTTTCCTGGTTCTAGCGCGCCTTTCAATTGATGATGACTAATAGATTTCCACGATCTGCGAGGCAACTTGAAGATCTGTGATTCCGTATATTCTTGGCTATTCTAGAGCAGAAAAAGATCAGATAGCGGCTATCTTGCGAAGCTCTTCAGGATTGGTTGCGACGAAGATCTAGGTTCATAGTTATATAAGAATTTCTACACAGGATTCTGGTTTTTCGTCGGTTCCCCACTTGATTCACCGCCTACTTCGCCCTCGACAGTATTGCTCCTGCATTTTTTCCCCGTGTATTGCTCGAATTACCGCCATTCAAGTTCGTTGTAAGTGTTCAGGACAAGTTAATATGATACTTGCTCTTACTCGCTCGTCGTAGATACCAAAGTTTGACAATTTCGACACCTCGTTTGGACATCCTCCGTTGAAAGGTACGCAGCACCAATCAGAGATGGTCTCTCACTTCTCAACATAAAATGTCGTAGCTTGCTATCTCTAAAACATGGGTGCGGCTGTCTCTATCATTGCAAGCGTAGCTGCAGTTGCGATCCCCGCCATTATTGGCGCAATCAGAGGCAGCAGAGTTGAAGAAAACCCGACTATGCGAGCTATCGAAGAACAGCACAGAAGGGAGGAAGAAGAGAGAGCCGAAGCTCAACGACGCGCCGAGCAATTGGAACGAGAGAGGCAAGAGCAGGCCGAAAGACTCAGGAGGGAGGAAGAGGCAGCCCAGAGAGCGGCGCAACATGCGGAGCAGCTGGAGAGGGAAAAGCAGGCTCAGGCCGAGAGAATCCGAGTCCAGCAAGAAGATGCACAAAGGGCGGCTCAACACGCACAACAATTGGAGAAGGAGAAACAGGAACAGGCGGAGAATGCCAAAAGAGAGCGAGAGGCAGCTCAGAGGGCGGCACAGGTTGCCAACGAGTTGCAAGAGCAGATGCGGAAGAAAGAGGCTGAGATGAAGGAAGTTTTGGAAGCCCAGAAGGCGATGGAGGCCAAGTGGAACGCAGGGATTCGTCCGGTTGAATGGCCTTCCAAGGAGAAATACGAAGCGATGAAACGACGTTTTTACAAGGAGGGAAAGTTCCATCTCGCCATCGCTGGAATTTCGGGAACGGGAAAGTCATCTCTCATCAACGCCTTTCGAGGCATATGGGACGACGAACCAGGTGCCGCCGCGACTGATATTGTTGAAAGCACTGCCGTCGTTACTCCTTACCCAGATCCCAATCCAGCCAACCCCTTCATTTGGTTCGACGTCCCGGGTTCAGGCACTCTAGCATGTTCTGATTGGACCTACTTTAACGACCAAGGTCTCTATATTTTCGACGCTATCATCGTTTTGTTCAACGATCGCTTCACCACCACCGACGTCGCTATCCTGAAGAACTCTGAGCGATACAAAATCCCGACCTACATCGTTCGCTCCAAATCTGACATCCACCTTGATAACATTATCCAGAAGAAAAGGCGGGGAGCTGGTGCCAACGCTAATCCCGCCAAAGTCCTTGATGAGGCTCGCAAGGAGTATATTACGAGGACCCAGGAGAGCGTCAGGTTGAATTTGATGAAGAACGATCCTCCTATTCAGTCGCAGAAGATGTACGCCGTCTCACGAGATACGCTGACGATGATTGTCCGGGAGGAACCGCTCGACTCGGATAGCCTTCTGCTGAACGAGTATGAGCTCTTGAAGGACATCCTTCAGGACGCGTATTCGCGACGTTCTGAGAAGTCGTATGGCACGATGTCGGATCTCATGAAGAAGACTGGTATGGACATCGTTAAACTCTTTACAAAGTAACAAAGCCAAGTTCTTTCCGTATTTCATATACTGTCCATGTGCTTTTTTGGTTCCAAAATATCGTTCTTTATCGCTTTTGCCTTATTCAATTGATTCGCCATTCTGTTATTTATCTGCTGTCTAAATTTGCTTGACTTTATTTCAGCTTCTTCACAATATCCTTCAGCAATCGCTCGCTGCCTTTTCTGTAAAATTGAAACCAGGGGTTCTCTCCACTGGCACAGATTAAACAGCAGCTTCGTATGCGGTGAAACGTTCCTGGCGGTCCACTTGGGTGTTCCTTTTTGGGACTACGTACCAGTTTTCTAGCCTCTAACTTCTTCAATACGAACCACTTCCGATGAAACGCTACGGCCTCTTCCGACGGTCACATCCCAACTGACTATGGCTCCGCGCGCCAAAGGCCGTAGATTCCAATCAGTGAATCTTTTTTTCATGTTCATAACAGGCTTCTCTCTATGGTACTGTCAGATTTCTTGATGGAAGCACGGTGTCCTCTCTTTTGCACCTTCACGAGCTCTTCTACAACAGACACCATTCACATTATGCTACATGCTAGCGATGAAGTCCTTCGTGGCACTCTGGTGGGCGCTTCATAGTGGCAACGCCTTCACCGCATCTCATGCGCGTCCACCCATACGGACGTCTTCCATCCCTCACCGGCACCTCATGAACATGTCACCTTAACTTGGAGGATCAGCCCATTCATCTCGTGTTCTTGTGGTGTGCAATGTGAGGATGTGCGGTCATGCCGAGTAATGACTGCTCATCGATAACTATACTGCGACTACAATTTCGGTGTTGAAGCTGTAGGACGGTCCCCGAATTCCACACCTTAGCGCCAGCGCATTGTTTTGTATCTTCTTCTGTGAAAAGAGATCAAGTAGCGGCTACGTGTGACGAGACAGTGCAATGCGCAGTTCAACGACACGTTGAAGCTGTGGTCATATTAGTTTTCTTACGAAAACTATAAGTATCTTCATGGAATGTCTTTTTGAATCAACACTTGCTTGGTCGCTTTCTTTGTCTTTGATCGTGTCGCCATCAGCAAAGGCTACGTTCGCCAATAATCACCACTTTTGTCACTTGGCGCCATCGGAGCTTCATTGTATGGCTCATAAAACAGCCTGGCATGTCACATACTAATTCATTGAAAGGTGCTGAAGCTCGACGGTTAACGTTTCATCCCTAAAGGACCTTTGTTATTTCGCAGAAAGGTACGCAGAACATGTCAAAAATACCAAAATATCTCACTGATGTCGCCTTCATCAAAGTATGGGGAGTGGCGGATCCGCTCGTAGGCGCCGTAGGGAAGAACACAATCGGGCGATGGCGGCTATCGAGGAACAGCACAGAAGGCAAGAGGCAGAGAGAGTTGAAGCTCAACGACGCGCTGAGCAATTGGAACGAGAGAGGCAAGCGCTTGCTGAAAGACTGAGGATCGAGCAGGAGGCAGCCAGGAGAGCGGCAGAACACGCTAAGCAGCTGGAAAGAGAGAGGCGGGCCCAGGCTGAGAGAATCCAGGCCCAACAGGCGGAGGCGCAAAGGGCGGCTCAACACGCACAACAATTGGAGAAGGAGAAACAGGAACAGGCAGAGAATGCTAGAAGAGAACGAGAGGTAGCTCAGAGGGCGGCACAGGTTGCCAACGAGTTGCAAGAGCAGATTCGGAAGAAAGAGGCTGAGATGAAGGAAGTTTTGGAGGCCCAGAAGGAAACGGAGTCCAAGTGGCACTCAGGTATTCATCCGGTTGAATGGCCTTCCAAGGAGAAGTACGAGGAAACCAAACGTCGTTTTTACACGGAGGGAAAGTTCCATCTCGCCATCACTGGGATTTCGGGAACCGGCAAGTCGTCTCTCATCAACGCCTTTCGAGGCATATGGGATGACGACGAGGGTGCTGCTATGACCGATATCGTTGAAAGCACCTCGGTTGTTACTCCCTACCCAGATCCGAATCCCGATAACCCTTTCGTCTGGTTTGATGTACCGGGCTCGGGAACGCTTGCGTGCTCTGATTGGACCTACTTCAACGATCAAGGCCTCTACATTTTCGACGCCATCATCATCCTATTCAACGACCGCTTTACCGCCACCGACATCGCTATCTTGAAGAACTCTGAGCGATACAACATCCCGACCTATATCGTTCGCTCTAAATCCGACATTCACGTTGAGAATATCATCAAGAGGAAGAGGCGAGGAGCTGGCGCGAGGAGAGACCCTGCCAGCATTCTTCATGAGGCTTGCAAGGAATACCTCACGAGGACGCAGGAGAGTGTTCGGTCAAATTTGATGAAGAATGATCCTCCTATCCGTTCGAAGAAGTTGTATGCTGTTTCCCGGGACACCTTAACGATGGTGGTCCGAGATGAGCCACTCGAGGATGCTCTCGTTCTCAACGAACCAGAGCTGTTGAAGGATCTCCTTCAGGATGCCTACTCACGGCACTGAGTCGTCGGCGGGTACGATGGTGGATCTGAAGAAGATTGGCGTGGACATCGTTGGATTATTTACAAACTAGGTTCTCCTTTACGAATTTTTTCTTTTTTCCATATGCGTTATAGGGCAGTGTTTTCCTTGAATTTGTCTTTGGTTTTAGTTCAGCTTGGTTCTGTACGTCGTAGTTCAAATTCACTTCACCTTGTTATTTAATTTGTCAGCATGCATTGATTGACTTCTCAAATTCAGACTCTGTATTTCAGTTACATGTCCAATGCTTTCTGAGGGACTAGGGAGGGAGGAGAACTTCGAAGGAATGACTTGGAAGAGCGGTAGGTGGCGTGGGAATAAGTGAACTCGCCTCTTTCCGTCTACCACGATTTCGAGGGTTATCTCAAAGGTGCAACCATACACTCGATTCCGACCACGAAAAAGATATATATAACTACCGGAATTACTGCAGTTCCTTGTGATTAAGGAAGGATGTCGATTTGGGCTTAGGGTCGGGTGCGTCTGTGTGACTTACAATTGATTCGCTCTTTCTCATTTGGTATTCGCACAGGCGATGCATGCATTTTACCGAAGAGTCCCAAAAGAATTGCCAGGTGCTCAGCGATAGAATCTACTCAATGGAGGTCCCACTCTTCACGCCGTCGCGCATTGTCCGTACTTCCTGACTGCATATGCCTTGCGCTTCCAATGTTGCTATATTTGCTGTCCAGCCTGCAGGTGAAACAACATGATTTCCGTATCATGCAGTGCTGTATATGTAACGATATCCATGAAGACAATCAGTGAATCAACGTATGCGAAATCACATTACTATTGTTACTGTATATCATTGGTATCCCGCCAGAACAACGAGGACATTTGAGGCCTGTCAATGTGTACTTCTAACGTCGCGTTCATCGTTCCCCGAAAGTGAGGCAATAATATCGATTTTTGATCTTGGCTAATCCAATCTTCTCTGCAGATATCGCATAGCTGCACGGCGAGACATCACTAAGGCGTATCGATATACACGTTGGGTTCATGTTTTTGCATTCCGTGAAATGTAGAATGAATGTAAGGATCGTCACTGTTCTTATTCTGTTTGTGACGTACTTTCATGCTAGGCGTAGCATATCCTGCGAACATTTGAATCGATCTTAAGAAGCACACCTTCACCAATTTCACCTTTCTATGACAAGATGTGCGAAACCTCTCACTCTTATGCGGTCCTAAGCAAGCGTCTATCATCCTCATGGCCGTTTCATCACACTAGTGAAGTGTACTCGTCTCTAACAGCCGACATTGCACCGCAAAGTGGCACCCTGCAATTCTCTGGCTCTGGCGCAGTTCCGCACCATCGATACCCAGCATACCTAACGTGATCCCTGGGAGGCTGCCCTCGTGTCTCAAACTATAGGGTCTAGAACTTGGTGTATCTTTGGTATTTCGGGACCATTGGACTAGCACCGATATCTTAGCCACTACCAACACGCTTGAAACGAAACTCAAATGTATCGCTGTAAGTTTTCATATATATGTGTGTGTATGCATATGCTCACCTGCTCTCAGATCCTCAAGTTACATTTCGTTGGGCAACCTCTTGCAGTTTCGCTACTTGGTACGTGGCCCTTTTCCAGCTCGATCTTCTATTTCTAATAGTCATAATTCTTAGTTATCATCCTCACTTGTCAAATTATGGGAAACGCCCCATCCAGTGCCATCGTCGGTGTTGCTGCTGCGACTTTTTCTGCCCTCGGGGCCATCCGAGGCAGGAGAATTGAAGATAACCCAACAATGATTTCTATTGACGAACAGCTCCGGAGAGCAGAGGCAGAGCAGGAGGAATCTTTACGTCTCACCGACCAGTTGGAGAAAGAGAAGCAGGAGCTAGCTGATAAGGCCGCAAAGCAGCGAGAGACAGCAGAGAGGGCAGCTCAAGCGGTCGAAGAGCTGAAGAAGAAGAAGCAGCAACAGTTGGATGATATTAGAAAGGAGCGTGAGGCAGCTCGGAGGGCGACTCAAATGGCCGATGAGATGAAGGAGCAAATACGGAAGAAGGACGAAGAGATGAGGAGGATTCTAGACGCGCAGAAGGAGTTAGAGGCAAAGTGGAAGAAAGGGATTCACCCGGTCGAGTGGCCGTCTAGAGAACAGTACGAGGAGAACAAACGACGATTCTACAAGGAGGGGAAAATTCATCTCGCCATTACTGGGTCATCAGGAAGCGGCAAGTCTTCCTTGGTGAACGCGGTACGAGGTCTCTGGGACGACGACGAGGGCGCTGCTTCTACCGATGTCGTTGAAACCACCTCAGTTGTGACTCCCTATCCCGATCCTGACCCCGCCAACCCTTTCATTTGGTTCGATGTCCCGGGCGCGGGAACACTCGCTTGTCCTGATTGGACTTACTTTAATGATCAAGGCCTCTACATTTTCGACGCTATCATCATCCTATTCAACGATTGCTTTACGGCCACAGACCTCGCAGTTCTTCAGAACTGTGCACGCTATATGATCCCCGCCTACATTGTCCGCACCAAATCTGACGTACACGTTGCCAACCTCGTCAGTAAAAAACAGCGGAATGCTGGTCGGAAGGCTGATCTTTCGAAGATCACCATGGAGGCTCGTAAGGAATACGTCGCGACCTCGCAGAAAACTGTCAACCTTAATCTGGCCAAGAACGACCCTCCTCTTCCGTTACAGAAAGTGTATGCTGTCAGCAGGGATACGCTTACGCATATTGTCCGGAGGGAATCAGAGGACCTCGAAGACTGCATAGTCCTCGATGAACACGAGCTGCTGAGGGATGTACTTCAAGACGCGTATTGGCGACGCTCGATGAAATCGATTCCGCTTCATCCACGATCTAGGAAGGAAGACCCCATTTTGTTGTAATTTTCTACGAAGTATCCACTATATGTACCCTAATCGCTGTCCAAGTGTGCCCTGCCGCCTATCATTCCGGATCTTTGACTCACAAACTGCTCCTGGAAGCTCTGCTCTACGCCGATCGTCAAACCTGTTCCCTCTTGAACATCCGTGGTAATTTCCAATAGCACACCTTCACATTACTCCCTAGGTTCAAGTGAGTGTAAGATATAGCCGGTCATTGGTCATGAAAGCGCATCCCAAGGGTGTATGGTTGTGGCCTTGCCTCCACGATGTCAGCGTTTACCAGCGTTGAACTCGTCACATTATATCGATAGAAAGATGGTCCTGTGTCGTCTTCACCCGGAAAGCTAGCACGAAGCGTAAAAGGAAGAATTCACACAGAGTGGGCGTGTTCGGTATGTTCCTTGTAACAACTGCAACTTGAATTGACTACGTAGACCCCATAGCGCCTTATGTGAATTAAGGGGCCTCAAGTTCCAAGGCAGTTATTAACTTTCCTTTCACACCGGCCATCCTACCTAACAGCGTCAATAAGCCTCTCGAAGTCCCTAAAATTGCCAAGATCACCACTATCATAACGCGCCGTTCTATGATGTTTCAAGTTCGCCATACGCAGTGGCTGCTCATAGGAATGAGGACTAAACTTCTGTGATAGGGATGAGTCACTGTACATCAGATCATGAATGCGGTCTCTGGTAAGTATATTCCTGGCTCGTTCATGAAATCAGATAATCAACTGGCGTCTACTCACTATACAGTACGAGCTACTCGAAGTGAAATCCCTCAAGATGGAAACTTCGGATGAATTACTTCGCACACGTTACAAGTATCTTCACAGTGGACTAATTCTCCCTCAGTCCCTCACCTGTGCCTCCATCCATCGCTGTAACGTCTTTCATCGTACCACGAAGACTCTTCTGTAAGTCTGAAAGACACACTATCGTAGTGCATATACTCAGTCGCCTTCAGACCCTACAGTTATAACATTTGACCCATCTCGTTGTAATGTAGCCAACACATAAATGAACGCTCCGTGTCTGATTGTAACGTTTTTAGCTGTCACCATGCCCAAGTCCGGGTCAACGTCCAAGTCCGAGTCAACGCCCAAGTCCGAGTCACCGTGGGGTTTCGCTCCTACACTTGTGGCAGCTGCCATTCCAGCCATCCTCGATTTTATTCGGGGCAACGAAGTTGAGGAAAACCCGACACTGGCCCTTATGGAAGAGCGATTTCGAAGAGAGAGAGAAGAATCCGACCGCCGCATCCAGAGGTTCCAGGACGAGGCGAACCAAGCTCGCAGCCATTCTGAACGGCTTCAGAGGGAGCAAGCAGATCTAGTCAACAAGACGAGGTTGGAGATCCAGAAGTTCCAGGACGAGGCAAACCAAGCTCGTGTCCACGTCGATCAGCTTCGGAGGGAGAATCAGGAGCAGGCGGATATAGCCAGGAGGGCGAAGCTGGATGCCGAGAACGCCGCCAAGGTCGTTAGCAAACTGCAAGACCAGGCAAAGCAGAAGGATGAGGAGTTGAAGAACATACAGGCAGCTCGGGAGGAAATCGAGGCGAGATGGAAAAAGGGGATTCGTCCTGTCGAGTGGCCTTCTCAGGAGCAGTATGAGAAGATCAAGCAGCAGTACTACAAGGAGGGGAAATTTCATCTCGCTATCGCCGGAATATCTGGAACCGGCAAGTCGACTCTCATCAATGCCTTTCGAGGTATTTGGGATGGCGAGGAGAATGCCGCTGGAACCGATGTTGTCGAAAGCACTTCAGTCGTGACTGCATACCCTGATCCAAATCCCTCTAATCCTTTCCTTTGGTTTGACGTCCCGGGATCAGGAACACTCTCGTGTTCGGATTGGACATACTTCAATAACCAAGGACTCTTCATCTTCGACGCCATCATCGTTTTATTCAACGACCGCTTCACCGCCACAGATGCCGCTATATTGAAGAATGCTGAGCGGTACAATATCCCCACCTATATCGTTCGCTCCAAATCCGACATACACATCGAGAACCTCGTTAAGAAGACACGGCGGGTGCCTGGCGCGAGACGCGATCCCGCCAAGGTTCTTGACGATGCGCGGAAGGAGTACATGAAGAAGACGCGGGATAGTGTTCGCACTAATCTGATGAAGAACGATCCACCACTTCGATCGCAGAAGATGTATGCCGTCTCTCGAGATACGCTTACCCTGATGATTCGGGAGGAGCCGCTTGAAGACAACGTTGTGCTCGATGAGTACGAGTTATGGAAGGACATTCTTCAGGATGCATTCTCACGACGATCAGAGAAGTCGTACGGCTCGATGACGGAGCTGATGAAGAAAGCTGGTTCTGGACTCTTAGGGCTGTTCTCGTAGTAGTGTGGCAAGTCTCGGGCATAACCTTCATCCACCTTCTTGCTGACGCTTGTTGATTTAATTTGTTCATGATTTTCTGTCACGGATTTTTTTCTTAGTTTGGTTTCGGGTACAGCCTGGTTCTTACCCTGTGGTATATTCGAACTGTAATTGATTTCCTCTTCCTCGTTACTTGTATTTGAAGCGCATCCTTCTCATTGGACGAAAAGCACGAGTTAGATTTTGTTTGAAATTTGTGCACCTCTACGCTCTTGAATGAATGTCACCGGTTTAACATAAAAATGTAAAAATGCGGCAAGAGAAGCACGACATACAATATATATTCAGCAACATTGACGTTCGAAACGGTTGAACTTCTGTTTCCTTGTGCATTACACAGGTGCGATATTGATCATTTGAGAATTCTGTGCAAATACGACATATCATCCAATCGTGTCCAGTGAGCGTGGCACGCTGTGGATTATGATAGACTCATGCAGTGGCGGGCCACTGTTGCATTGGCTTGGAAGTCACGAGGCGCGATCGCCGTGAGTCAAAAATACCATTCCTACGCCACAAGCGTGCTCCCTTTCGGTACGACGGCCACCTTCATCCGAAGGGACGAAGGGAACAGACTTTGCCACAGGCAAACCTCGGAATCGAGAGAGTGGGGGCTTGATGGAAGAGAACGACGTTCAGCACAAAGGCCGTCTCAGCACCGGTTATCGGTCCGATAGATAACCGGCTGGTAATGAAACGGTGCAATTTCGGATTGTTCACTTCGTTGGCACCACCAAGCATGCTGGCAACAGCGACTCTCCCAGACTCTCCCTCATTCTCTGCTCGTTTTTATGTCACCTCTCGCGATGTCGCTAGCAATTATCGACACACCACTGTCACGATCATTCCAACAGTTCCTGCCTCGCTCCCTCAAAATGCATCAACCATCTGCAATCCCGGGATTTCGCAGCAAGATTCAACGCGATGGACCCGATCTCGCGCTCAAGAGCGGAAGACAACTCTTCTGGAGTCTAGGACGAGTGGACGCGTACCAGATGTGGCACTGATATCGCTGATGGAAGGCCCTTATAGGCAGAGGGCGTCGAAGACAGCCCATTTCGACTCGGGGAGCACAGATGGGGCTTCCCAACGTATGTTCCCTTCCTCTGGCATTCTGACAAACTCAGAATCAGATATATGCATCTCCGATGACATCAACACCGAGGAGGCTCATGCTATGTTTTCCGACAGTGCAAGTCCAGCACCGGTCACATCGTCTGCCCCGCGACTCTCTCCAGGCCTTGCACAAGCCACCACGAAAGACCGTGCTCGATCTCATGCGCAAAAGCTGACGGTGCTGCTTCTGAAGCTTGGGAAGGCTGGACAAGTGCCGGATGAGGCGGAGTTATCGCTGATGAAGAATCGTTTTGGGCAGAGGGCGTCGCAAGCAACCCGTTTCAACTGGGGGAGCACAGATGGGGTTCCTCGACATATTGGTGCTCTACGCCCCCTCCTTACGCCTCCTCCCTCACCTATGGTTGTCTCGCCACCAATGTCGATATCTTCTCTTCACTGTTCTCCAGTGCAGGCACGAGATTTGACTCCAGCCGGTGACATAGGACCTTATTCTACTGCGTCGTCGACCTCCTCCATGCAACCTCATCCAATGCTCAGGCCTCTGGCCCTTTTCCCTCACGCGCAGCATCCCGACACTCAAGATCCCTGCTGTTTTGTGCATCAAAACCTCGCAAGGTCCTTCTGAGCAAAGAGAGGATCTCCCCTTACCGGATGAAGGGGTATCACTGCCTACTCTCAATGCTACAACTTTCGCCCAGTTTTCCCGTGAGGTTTTCCTAAGCAAATATCAGTCTTCCGCAGATGCAGACCTTGTCGTCAAACTCTCCCTGAGCGGCGATCTGGATTTGTCTGACGGGGGGGAGTCTGTCATCAACGATGAACCTTTTGACCACGGATATGTGGAATGGATCGAGAGCCAGCAGGACAACGACTTGCCGCTGGAGGAACCAGGCGATGACGCCGAGGATTATTCGGCCGGTTACGATGCATACGACAACTGCTACGAGGGTCTGGTGAACGATACTTACTAGTCCCAGGAGGACGCTGCTGATGAGGGTTACGATAGCCCAACATCGAGTCTCTGCACGGATGATTGAGTTAGCCCTGTGTATTTATTCTGCATGGTAAATATACATATTTGCTGCCACATTTTTCTTCTGTTTCCTGCCCGGTTCCAGTAGCCTGTATCGTATGACTGGTATCCAACTACCGCTTATCTATCAAGATGAATACTTCCCTTGCAAGTCACCTGCGATTGCGGTTCTCCTCATTTATTCCGGGAATCCCGATATCAGGGGAGAACGCACTCCAACTTTTCCTATAGTCAACATGTTATTTGTAATATTACCAGGTTTTGTTACTCAAGCATTTCCCCCTCTTCGCGCAGGACTCGGATATGCCACGCCTCGCGATAGCCCACCACTTCATCCCGAGAGTATATGGTTGTGGCCTTGCCTCCGCGATGTCAGCGCTTACCAGCGTTGAATTCGTCACATTACATCAACAGAAAGATGGCCCCGTGTCATCTTGATCCAGAAGGCTACTAGCACGAAGCGTAAAAGGAAGAATTCACACAGAGTGGGCGTGTTCGGTATGTTCCTTGTAACAACTGCAACTTGAATTGACTACATAGAACCCATAGCGCCTTATGTGAATTAAGGGGCCTCAAGTTCCGTGGCAACTATTAGCTTTCCTTTCATACCATGCCATCCTACCTAACGGCGTCAATAAGCCTCTCGAAGTCCCTAAAATTGCCAAGATCACCACTGTCATAACGCGCCGTTCAATGATGTTTCAAGTTCGCCGTGCACATTTGCTGCTTATAGCAATGAGGACTATACTTCTGTGATGGAAATGAGTCACTGTACATCAGATCACTGTGAATGCGGCCTGTGGTAAGTATATTCTTCGCTCGCTCATGAAATCAGATAATCAACTGGCGTCTACTCACTATATGGTACGAGTTACTTGAAGTGAAATCCCTCAAGATGGAAACTTCGGATGAATTACTTCGCACACGCTACAAGTATCTTCACAGTGGACCAATTCTCCCTCGGTCCCTCAGCTGTGCCTCCATCCATCGCTGTAACGTCTGTCATCGTACCACGAAGACTCTTCTGTAAGTCTGAAAGACACATTATCGTAATGCATATACTCAGTCGCCTTCAGATCCTACAATTATAACACTTAAACAAATTCTGCCTGTCTCACTGTATGTAGCCAACACAGAAATGAACGCCCCATGTCTGATTGTAATGTTTTAGCTGTCATGGCAGCATTGTGGGGGTACGCCGCGGCGACTGTCATTCCAGCCGTCCTCGGATTGATTCGGGGCAACAAAGTTAAGGAAAACCCGACACTGGCCCTTATGGAAGAGCGATTTCGAAGAGAGAGAGAAGAATCCGACCGCCGCATCCAGAAGTTCCAGGAGGAGGCGAACCAAGCCCGCAGCCATTCTGAACGGCTTCAGAGGGAGCAAGCAGATCTAGCCAACAAGGCGAGGCAGGAGATCCAGAAGTTCCAGGACGAGGCAAACAAAGCTCGTGTCCACGTCGATCAGCTTCGGAGGGAGAATCAGGAGCAGGCAGATATAGCCAGGAGGGCGAAACTGGATGCCGAGAACGCCGCAAAAATCGTCGGCGAGCTGCAAGACCAGGCGAAGCAGAAGGATGAGGAGGTGAAGAACATACAGACGGCTCGGGATGAAATGGAGGCAAAATGGAAAAAGGGGATTCGTCCTGTCGAGTGGCCTTCTCAGGAGCAGTATGAGAAGATCAAGCAGCAGTACTACAAGGAGGGGAAATTTCATCTCGCTATCGCCGGAATATCTGGAACCGGCAAGTCGACTCTCATCAATGCCTTTCGAGGTATTTGGGATGGCGAGGAGAATGCCGCTGGAACCGATGTTGCCGAAAGCACTTCAGTCGTGACTGCATACCCCGATCCAAATCCCTCTAATCCTTTCATTTGGTTTGACGTCCCGGGGTCAGGAACACTCTCGTGTTCGGATTGGACATACTTCAATAACCAAGGACTCTTCATCTTCGACGCCATCATCGTTTTATTCAACGACCGCTTCACCGCCACAGATGCCGCCATACTGAAGAATGCCGAGCGGTACAATATCCCCACTTATATCGTTCGCTCCAAATCCGACATACACATCGAAAACCTCGTTAAGAAGACACGGCGGGGGCCTGGTGCGAGGCGCGATCCCGCCAAGGTTCTTGACGATGCCCGGAAGGAGTACATGAGGAAGACGCGGGATAGTGTTCGCACTAATCTGATGAAGAACGATCCACCACTTCGATCGCAGAAGATGTATGCCGTCTCTCGAGATACGCTTACCCTGATGATTCGGGAGGAGCCGCTTGAAGACAACGTTGTACTCGATGAGTATGAGTTATGGAAGGACATCCTCCAGGATGCATTCTCGCGACGATCAGAGAAGTCGTACGGCTCGATGACGGAGCTGATGAGGAGAGCTGGTTCTGGACTTTTAGGGCTGTTCTCGTAGTAGTGTGGCAAGTCCTGGGCATAACCTTCGTCCACGTTCTTGCTAACGCTTGTTGATTTACTTTGTTCATCGTTTTCTGTCACGGATTTTTTCTAGTTTGGTTTCGGATTTTGCCTGGTTCTTACCCTGTGGTATATTTGGATTGTAATTGATTCCCTCTTCCTTGTTACTTGTATTTGAAGCGCATCCTTCTCATTGGACGAAAAGCATGAGTTTGATTTTTTGATATCTGTGCCCCTCTACTATGTTCTTGAGTAAATGTCGCCGGTTTGACATAAAAATGTAAAATACGGCAAGAGAAGCACGACATACACTATATATTCAGCAACACTGACGTTCGAAATGGTTGAATGGATAAGTTTCCTTCAAGTTGTGCATTAGGTGTGATATCCATCGTTGAATCGTTCGAGAATGTCGTGCAGGTGGAAGTCCAGAGGAACTGTACTGTGACACATCATCCAATCGTACCCAGCCAAGCGTGATGCGTTGTGGATTATGATAGGTTTATGGAGTGTCGGGCCACTGTCCGATTGGCTTGGACTCAGTCATGAAGGACCGGGTCGCCGGAAAATGCCAACATTCCCACGCCACAAGCGCGCTCCCTTTTGGTCTGACGGCCACCTCCCCGTCAGGCCTTGCGGTCTCATAACGAAGGACGCATGGTGAGATGGATGTCATTTCAGTGAGCGTCAGTATGTGATAGATCCTGTATTTTAATTCTGAGGGAGCTCGAGTCAAGGCTGCGGCACTGCACAGGCAGGACTTGGCAACATTCCTTGACTGTTCAGCGTCGAAATGACCTTCCAATGGCATGCCTTCACGGCTACCACGTCAATGATCAAACGAGGGCTCTTCATAGCGCTCCACCCTTTCCCCGCTCAGCACATCAAAAATGGAGTTTGATCATTATGATATATTCCCTTTCTTGCCACTTAAACTATCATTAGCAGCGTCTATCAGCCTCATGGTATTCCTCAACTCGTCCGTGGAAGGTGTTACGATTGTGTTATGTTTTTATCATCACACGGCGCGCGCTTCCAGTACCTCGGTCGTTACAGCTCACCTTGTGAAGTCACGAAACGTCGTGAGAGCTGCAGGCGGTTATGTGTGAACAGCCCTATACCAATCATTCGTTCCCAAGGTTTGACGTGTTTCTGATCTTCTGTGACAGAGCACTTACACTTATATAGGATAGTGAGGAACGTGAAGAAGCAGGTCTGAGCCTACGTACCCACCCATAAAGTGCACAGGGAACACTGCAGAGGTGCTTGCCCTTTGTCTGCGACGTGCAGTTTTTGTTTGCTTTATCTAGCTCTCTGATTTTCGCCTCTGTAGCACGTCTTCATCTCTGTCAGTATAGACGCAATACTTGTTTCTCTTTTTCTCTAACTTGTTTATGCCTAGATTTCAAAGTTGAGCTTCCAAGGCTTCGACTAGCGAAATATATTATTTGATCTTTAGGTATGCATTCTGTACGGTGACATCGACTCCTGGTTCCTGACTGTCATTCAAAGAAAATTCGACGTTCGACGATGGAAGAGCAACTCCGAAGACAGACACAAGATTCTTATCGTCGTGCCGAACAGCTCCAACGAGAGAAGCAGAACGAAGCCAACAATGCCCAGAGAGCGCAGCTGGAAACTCAGCAAGCGGTACAGCGCGCTAACCAGCTGCGAGAGGAGGCTAGAAAGAAGGATGAGGAGATAACAAAGGCGCTCCAGGCTCAGAAGGAAGTAGAGGCGAGATGGAGAAAGGGCCTCCGTCCTGTCGAGTTGCCTTCTAGGGAGCATTTCGAGGCGACCAAGCGACGTTTTTACAGAGAGGGCAAGTTCCATGTCGCCATCGCCGGGATATCAGGAGCCGGAAAATCATCTCTCATTAATGCGCTCCGGGGCATATGGGACGGCCAGAAGGGTGCTGCTTCAACTGACTATGTGGAGAGCACCTCGGTCGTTACTTCATACCCTGACCCTAATGCCGCAAAGCCTTTCATTTGGTTCGACGTCCCAGGATCGGGGACCCTCGCATGCTCGGACTGGACCTATTTCAATGACCAAGGACTCTATATCTTCGACGCCATTATTGTCCTATTCAATGACCGCTTCACCGCCACAGACGTAGCCATCTTGAAGAACGCCGGTCGATACAAAATTCCCACCTACATCGTTCGCTCCAAATCCGACGTACACGTTAACAACCTCTTCAAGAGGAAACGACGTAGGGCTGGTGCGGGGAGTGATCCTGCCAAGCTTCTTGACGAAGCGCGCAAGGAATTTATCACGAAGTCGCAGGAGAGCGTCAAACTGAATCTGATGAGGAATGATCCTCCTCTTCAGTTACAGAAGATGTATGCTGTCTCTCGGGACACGCTTACTTTGATTGTCCGAGAGGAGCCGCTCGAGGAGAACCTTGTGCTTGATGAGTTAGAGTTGTTGAAAGAGATACGCCAGGATGCGTGCTCGCGACGATCCCATAAATCGTACGCTTCGATGGCGGGTCTGTGGTAAATGGCTGGGCCTTCCACTATGATATGGACCGAGACATATTCTCATAGATTCGTTGCTATGCTCTTTATTTATCACTTTACCAATGTCCTCGTCTGCGATTTTTGTTACGGTTTTTCTATTTGATGTTTCCAGAATGATTTTGTTTCTTGTCGCGCTACTTGTCATTACCTTGTTATAACTAGTTCCTGTGATTATGTTCGCGTGCTTTCAATAAGTCCGTTTGTTTTTCATAAGATGCCTGCTTCAATGTGGCGATCTTTGAGACTGGTTCATTGTTTAGATCGTGTCTAGAGTTTCTGGAGGGGTAAGTTATGAATGGTCAATGACAGAAAGGTGAACTTGGGCCGTATAACTTACGGGTGCGTTCGTACTGAGTTTGATGCTACCTTCGGTATAAACACCCATGCATATCGCTTGAACAAGCTGTATTTGAGCTGCATGGTACATTGGGGAGTCGAACGGCCAGGGGCTCTTATTATCTGGAAAATTGCGTCAAATAATCGTCACCGAACTTGCCACGACTTATAGAACAAAACAGAAGCATCGATTCGCAGAGAGACCCAAGAGTTGTGAAGGTGTGCCAGACAGAGGAACATAATCCGTGATCGTTTCCTCGCGACGGGCCCTGAATAATACAGAACTTACTGAAATTTGAAAACGCGTCCGATTTCAATTATTGCTATTTCGAAAAATGATGAGATTCTCAAAATAAAATAAAAAAGCTTTGGCGTGACCAAAACTATCAAATACCAGCCCGATCTCAGCGCGCGCCATCTGAGACAACCTATGACGTCGATCGTCATAAGCCTCTGGGTGCGGGTTCGGAGGTGGCCAAAACTTTTTGATTCTTTTCAGGAATCTCATCATTTTTCAAAATTGCTATAATCCTTAGGCCAGTACGATTTCAGGCCCGGTGGCTACAGAAATTTCTTGATGTCCGTGGTTCTCAGAAGAGCTGACGTCATGAAGCAGAAATGGAGCATCGTGATCGGATTGACCCAATAAGGCTTCCTCCGGGCCACCATCTACACCACGAATCAACTGGCCCTACTAGTACCTTCATTGCTTGTCGCGTTGCTACTAGCTAGCATCCCTCAATGATTGTGTTCTTCTCGCTGCGAAGTAACCCAAGGACAGATTCCACCGAGAGCAGTAACAATTATCATGACCACGAGTATGGTAGTCGTCTGAGGATAACCGCCCCTTATCCGGAGATACAAAGAGAGGAAACACCAGAATATTGTACAAGACTAGGATAAATGCAGAGAAAGACGGTCCGAGAGCTGCGTATGCCCCGTTTATTACCTCTGACTTCATCTTACAAGGAATCCTACCTACAACTGATCTACCCGGGAAGATGCCAACTTTCTTATGAACATCAATACCTGCGAATGATAGACCATTTGTCAAGGATAATTGATGACCCTCTATGGACTACTGATCGTAGGTCAAATTTTTCGTTTTCCTTTCCATACAATATCTAAAAATATGTCAATCAGCATTTTTTTCCTGCGAGTCTGTTTCACTGTCAATGTCACCATATATCAACTTCTGAATGTCGAATCCGGAGTCCGTTTTCTATGTCATTCTATCTCGTCTGGCCAAGAATCGTCTAAACTTGACATCAAACACCATCCTCGGCCTCAAAGCAAGTCCCCCTTCCCCCTAGTCCCGCAAATTCTAGTGCGAATAGAATCTGGGCCGGCGGGATCTTTACCATCTTCATCCGTGCATCCACGTACGTTCCGATGCACACACCGGTGCCTCGTCGCCTCGAACTTCGCAAGAGTCCTTTTTTGATCAATACATTTTCATTTGGACTCCAGCTTCCCCGCTCAGAGTCCGCATTCAAGCTCACCTCCGTCTTTATTGCGGGCATTGCCGCGTTCCTGTAAGGATACAATGTATTGATGGCCTCGGAATGAACCAACAATACGTCGAAGATCGTTGTGCTCTCGGTGATCTTTTTCGTGTGTTCGATTCGGGCTTCATACTTAGCCTGGATCGCATAATATGCGATTTCTTGGTCTGGGGTCGCCAATCATTGGGTTTATAATTCAGACATGCTACTGTGACTGAGAAAACTACGATTTAGGGTCAAAAAGTGTGGGCAGCCTGATGTTGATGGAACGAGGAGGGAATATACCCTTTTTTTTTGCGCTTCTCCGAGCAGATATACATCGGTGTGGTGTCTCTATTTAGTTCAATAAGCTTTTTTATGACTGAACCTGTTCTTATCCAGTGATTCTCCGTTCAGTCACGAGAAAGGCTTCGAATAAGCCATCAACACTGTTATCGGACTATCGTCATAAAAGATAAAGATCGCGATCTCAATAGAACACCTTCTCTTCCTTTGTCCCGCTTTTGTCGTCAGAATCAGGACAAATCGCTCCACGGTGATGAGATGACATCTTGGCATCAACATCTATCCTAATATCCAGCTATACATTATCCAGTGATTTGCCGTGCTGAGACCAGCGACAGCGCCAACACTTTGTTCCTGGACTGTACGCTCAGTCGCATGTCTTCCAGGTACATCTTAGATAACTAAGAGGCCCAGACAAGACAGAAGAACGTTGAGTAGGAAGTCCGGACCCTCATTGCGTCACCTCGCCTCCAACGTTCCTGTCGAAAATAGGACTTCGTGATTGTTTATATCAACGCAAGCTCATAGCGCAGCTTGCCGAGGGGTTCCTGCTGTTCCGTCGTATGTTTATGTACCCACTGGAATCTGTCCCGACGGCACATTCCATTCTTCCTGGGAGACAAAGTATAGTAAACCGATCTGACGAATGAGGGGATGAGAATGACTTGTATCGCCTCTCGAGTCTCGCCGGAACCGGAGATCATAACGTTACAGAAGGTGGCGTTTCAGTCATAATTGAATGCTGCGATGGGGTTTGGCCTATCCCGTGGTCAGAAGATCGCAGGTCAAAGCGACTCCATGGGGCAGTTGGACAACGCACTAGTGCTGTTGGAGAAAAGCGCACCCCACCTCCGCAAAATGGACGTTCTCTTCACCCTGTGGCGCCGCGTTGTTAATCAGTTGGAAGCGAAGCATGTCTCGTCTTCGACTCGTGTACCCAGTCCGCGGTGTGTTCGAGGAGGTTTGACGGCGGAACTTCGTGAGATGTGTACGCCTGGAGGACCGCCTTCCGTGGCGTGATGCTTTTTGTATCGACCTGTATTTCTCCGTGGTTCTATAAAACCTTTCCCGAGGATATCGAGTACATTCTGCTTCCCAAATACCGATTTTTTGGGGAAACTCTGCGATGTTGTGGAATCATTTTCTCCGGTCTCGACGTTCAGCCCGGCTCTTCTACTTGGACTTGGCCTGGCCATGCTTAACTGCTTAACCTTCTAATAATTAATTTTGGGTCTCGGCCGAGGTTAGGCGCGCCGAGGTAGGCCTTCTCCTCGTCTTTGATTGCGTACGACTCGCAATAAGAGTCGTATGTCCTGACACAAATAGTAAAGGTGAACCAAGGGATAGGTTTTCTACAATTTTCGGAACTTCTCTTTGGCTCAATAGCGTAATCGGCGTGGAAATTAGATTGAATGGGAGGAATAGCTGCTTTAGTTGCTGCTCCCAGGAAGCTGCTGCAGTTATATCTTCCGGAATCATCGCCTGTTCAATGTTCCTGCATGTCCTGTGCACTCGGCCTCCCGAACCTCCGATCATATAATTGAGGCAACTTGGGCCCTGTGGCGTCCGGACCGCTTCCTTCATGAGAGAGGGTTTCATTGGCCATTATATATTGTTTGTACATTTGCTATTGATATACATTCTGCGTGACGAGAATAGTTACCCGCTGGATATGTACAAAACGATGGATAGAAAGGAAAAATGGTAAGATAGCACACAGGAAGATCTGACGAGCAGCGAGCATCAAAGATCTAAATAAAATCGCAGAGAAAATTAGCCCGGGTTAAACCAGATCAGCCTGGTCTGGCTCGTCAAAGCCTTCCACCCGCGCATTCCATTTCCAGCGACCTTCCAAGAATCCGTTGGCTGTATCCTCCAAAACGATCTCGTTTCGCTTCTGCACGTAGACCTAAATAATATTAACGATCTGCTCAATCCCGAACAGCGTGTACACACCGTCTTGTCAGTCACCCTTTGCCTTAACGTCGGGATTGTTTCTGCTTCTATCGGCTGCTCAAGTAGCTCGGCGAGGTCTTCTACAGCCTGCTCCAGATCTCGCTGATTATCTTCGAATAGTTCCTTCTCATTCCCTCTCGCGAGGTAATATGCCATGGCATAAGTCCATTTGAGAGTCATACGGCATTTGTCGGCCTCTTCCACCGCCTTCTTCATGAATTGGACTTCAATCCAAGTCAATGAAGATGTAATTTGCATGTCCTCCATCTTTTTCTCGGTTTTAGCGTACAAATCCAGAGAAAGCTTGGCGGATTGTTCATGGTTAGCCCAACGATTGTAGTACTAAACAAACAGGTTAAAAATAACAACGTCAAAGAACACGAAAACGCACGTGTAGATATCGCTCCAGCGACGCGCGGCTTTTACTCTGCGCATCTCGAGCATCACTCCCACTCTTCTCCTCGTATCGGTTGCAGGAATACCACGAGGTCCCGTGTTCCGACCATGGACCCATGCAAACCCAACAGAACTCGTGTTTGCACTTTTTACAAGTCATATGGCTGATGAACCATCAGTGCAAAAGATTTCGAAGAGAATTATAGACACGCACTTGCAGCCCCCGTTCTTCTCTATCGTACTCTGGCACTTCGGACATTCTTTCGTGTTACTCTTGATCCAATTGGCTGTTTCGCTATCATCCGCGCACTTCTTCAGCCACATTTTCGCAACACTGCATACCACAGGACGATGATCACTGTCGATCGGGCATCCAAAACAAAAGTAGTGCTCCTTTGCCGCCACAGCTGAAGTAGACGCTTCTGGAGCGCCCGGAATTCCCCGCGCTCCACACGATACGGTTGGTACAACAGTCGTCAAACTAGATTTAGATGCTGCGGCAGGGCATGACACAGTATTGGTACATCCGGGATGAGGGCAATATTTCAAATTTGGGTTACACGAGACAAAGTGGCGGGCGAGCAGCTCCTGGAAGCGAGCCCATGTCGGTTCCTCCTCGCCCGCGAGGACAGATTGAATAAAATCGTCTGGGGCTACGAGGGCGCACCCTTCAGCCATGCATCGAACACAATGTTCGGCCTCGTCGCGAATTTTGGAGGAGACGTATGCCGTCCAACACCCCGTGCAAAAGAGATGACCACAATCGAGCGACGCGGTTTGAAGATCTGATGAATCGTCGTAGCATATAGGACAGACAAAGGGCTCGTCCTTCGGTCTGGTCTGTGTTGGCTGATAAGAGGATGATGAGGGTTTAGAAGATGCTTTAGACGATGGCGACAGGTTTGAAAACATTTTCGATGACGATCTCGTGGTACGACGATCACCAGCGTGGGTCCGTATAGGCGAAGCCGCTGATGGAGGCTCCGGTACGGCAACACCTGCGGCGACGAGAATACCGTTGGGATTGTCCATGTACTTCTCGATTAGTCGTTCCTTGTTCCACGACAAGTGGCGCAACAGCCGAGCAGCGACGCCAGACTATTTCTGCGTTATCCACGGCATTCGAGAGTAATTACGACAGACTCACATCGACACCCAGAATACCAGTGATATACTCAACTTCTTGCTGCATAAGCTTCTCGACAGCAGATTGGCTGAGTGATTCATACTCAATCTCGTACGATTTCCGTTTACTGCTAGTGTCGACCTTGAAGTCCTCATTATAGGCGTCCATGTCCATGTCATCGTCGTCGTCCACTGACCGTAAATGAGTATATGGGGCATACGGGCACTACTAAGCGCCGCGCTCACCATCGTCTTGAGTTCCATCTAACATATCTTCATCATCGTAGTATTCGTCATCAGAGAAGCTATAGTCGGACATGATGGTAGGAGGATGAGGAAGGGTACGAGGTCGTGGTGGCCGACGAAGTGGGCCCTGGGTGAGTCAAGGTCACGTGCCATCCTTTCCAGTCGTTGCAATGTAACGCGACGCCTTTGTCTCCTACTTTGTCACCCACATGCTTCGCAGTATACTGAAAAAGAGATGAATTTCGTTGGAGCAATTCAGGAACTGATCCAAATTCCCAGCAATTTACTAGCAACGAACCAAACTGACGGCAACCTGATCTCGTGTTCGTAGTAAGTTTTCCTTCCATGACATAAGTAACACAGAAGTATTTCTGTGCCTCATCGTCTTACAGTTCTGGGGTTTTGCCTCGTGTCTTGGTTTCATAAAATAGAAGCTCTTCGCCTTTCAATTACTTTGCCACATAGCGTCGTGATGTTCGGGTGTTCTTCTCCCGTTGCGCGCAATATAAGAATCACCCCTTGGGCTTTTCCGCAAATCTCAGACTCGATCTTACTGGCCGTGGCACTCTCCATCGTTCTGGGCTCCCTCATTGAGTTCCTCACTATTAACCTTAAGCCTATCTCCCGGTGACTTTTCCTTGGTGAAAGTGAGTCTCTTCTACGGACCCCGGTGTGTAGAAGAACGCTAATCCCTTTCCCTATACAGTCCAATATGACACCCCTAGAAAGCTTTGACCATCAGCAACTAAACGCCTCCAACGTCCCTTCGTCAAACAGGAGCATTGCCCAAAGGCTGCGGCGAGAACGCGAACGAGCTCTAGCTCGTCAATCTCCAAACCAAAAACCAAAGGTGGATATTAACCCCCCCCCCTCGTATATCAAGCTCACATAGTGTTACAGAGGAGCCACGTAGATCCAACAGCCGGATTACCGGGGTCCAGCTTAGTTCAGCCTGTCAATGATGCGGTATGGCGCCGTATTGCTTCAGAAACACAGAAGCTCATTCATTAAAAAAAACCCGCTTTCAGGCCCAAGGTTTAATGGCGACACTGTCAATAGGCACCGATTTACCCTATTCGTCCGCTTCATCTTCGGATTCGTCCAAAGCTGTTCAGCTTCCCCGACACATACGTATCGCCCCCGCCCCGTCTATTCCTTACCAAGACGCCAAATCCGAGGTACTTTCGAGTTTCAACGCTCCAGGCGCATGACTCATCTAAGCCAATCGCATGGAGCAGGCGCAGATGGCAGTTCGGAGCAAGATGATTCCGTTGTTACCGTCACGCAGAAGTATGGCACAACAAGCGAGACAAACGCGGAAGCGTGCTGAAGAGATGCGACACCAGGTGGGCCTGTCATCTTCCTGCGATCGAGCCATGGTTAATGAAAACTTTTTTTGAAGTCCTCGCCAAGTCAAGATCAGAACGGGCCGTCTTCGTCGCGAGAGCAAGTTAGAGACCTCCATTCTAACTCTTCTTCCAGCGCGTCGACCCACAAGAAGAAAGAGCTCTTCGTCAATTGATTCGTGGTCGAAGGGAACGTTTATTGATGTCAACAAGGTATCTAAAATTCTAAGTTGATACCTCCCGATAAAGTTCATTACTCTTACAAAGAGTAGCACGCTCAATATTATAACCTGGTGTTCGTCGAAAGAAGGATCAAACTTGCCTCCGTGCACGCCATCGTTCGCCTAGTTCAATGTATGTATTTATGATATGCTCTTCTCGCCCCGCATGGTGCCAAGTATTGGTGAGAACACCGTGGATAAATAAGTGCACTGCTGAAGAGAACCAGATCATCAGGAAGTCCTAAGGGCCATCTGACATCGGCCAAATAGTCAATTTACCATGAGAAGGAGAATCGCAAAGGGTTCATGGTTATGAAGTACATGCCCGAGAGACTTTTGGAATGTACGCCGGAACTCGCTTCGCCCCAAGCCCGCAAGAAGACGGCCCATCAATGTCAAAATTTTGAGAATCAGAACTAGAAAATACGCTCGTCGTTCCACCCCTATTTTTGCGGAGGTTCCGAGGTCCTCCGTCATAGGATCCTTATCTGCCTGCTTCGCGTCAATCACATGCCTGTAAATGGCGTATGTTGATTCAATGATTGCACCCAGACTCAGCGTGCATTCAGAAAGTGCTTTGAGTGCACAAGTATCAGATAACAGCGCCGGAACCGAACGGGCCTTCCCCACCTTCCATTCTCTTTATGTCTGTAGATCTAGGGGTGCGTGTCGGTTCGCTGAAGTCGAAGGTTCGCTACCGGGGCCGATACTAAGCCTCGGTAGCGGTGGAAAGTCTGGTGATTAGTCAAAACATTCCATGTGAGTCGGCTGATGGGGTGTAAGATCTCGGTTGAAGATATAGATTCCCTAGTTGTGGTAAGGTAGTACACTGCGTACCGTCGGGTACTAATGCCCAGATACAGGCTCTTCTTCAACAATACGAGAATACGGCTACATGTATATTATCCACATCACTCGTAGGTGCATAATACCGACAGTGACGCGGTGATTCAAAACTGATACACGGACCAGTAATGAAAGACGGAAAGCCTTATGAAAAGGCCGCCGGCGTTTGAGCATCGCCACGACCAAAGATGTGTGACCACAAGGTTTACGGGAGTACTCTTTTTTTGCGTCCCTGTGCTTTACGCCAAAGCTTTGTTTGTCCGAGCCAGGTCCAATATCAGGTTGCCAGATATAGGTTTTCAAGGTGAGAGCAAGGTACAGATCACCTCACGTACCCAGTGTACTATGATCTCTCAAAACCTCTGACCCATAGAAGTTCCTAGTTGTGTGCAACCATATAACGCGCCAATGAGGAACCCCGAAAATAGCGCAGAGGCGGGCCGACGCTCCGCAAATGCGAGACACGTGGGTGGATAAAAAATAAATAAGTATTGGCTGAGATCTTGCCACAACCTACATCGGGCAACAAGTATACATGTACTTGATGAAGTTTTTTGTCATATTGTTAAGTATAAGTTCTGTCGTCCCCGTTCACCAACAAAAGAGCGAATCCTCCGATATGGAAAATAGTTCCGCACAAAGAGGCTGGACTCTCGGCAATCTATGCCCGAAATTTTGACAGCGTTGAGAGGGAGATGCATTCCTTGCGGATTATGGCTCTTCCCCTTGTTTTTACATCTCCTCTGCAATTTTGGACATTACTATCAACCCTGGTGCTCTTCTTACCCAACGTCTATTCCTATGTACCTGCGTGGGCAACAAATTCAACGCAAGACGCTATCTCTTCCGGTCTGAACGTGACGGATCCCTCCACGCTGCATCTTCAATGGTACAATAACGGGTGTGTACTTGATCCTGGTATCACACCTGGAACTGAAGTATGAAAGAATAGATCATACATGGACACCGTGTCTTATACGTTGGTCGGACGTAACAGTACTGGTGTCAGTGAAGTAAGTGACAAAAACGAAACACCAAGGTCTATGTACTGAAGGATTTAGGGCGCTCTAGAGCATTTCTCCGAATCCAGCGTGAGCGAAGATACGCCTGGAAGTGTGTCATGCAATTTTTCTTCGTCTAGATCACTAAGTCTAAAACTTCGTCAGCGGAGACGCCATGGATTGCACTGATTTCCTGCGACTTCAACACTACCAATGCTAGTCAGGAAATTGATATTTTTACACTTGCTCGCGATAAGGGCGCACTTTCAGCGGTACGTCTGATTCACTTTGTTTATGACGTTGTCTAATATAGAGCTCCGTGTAGCTTCTTTACTCTGTGTACTCTTCAGCCTGTGTCATCGCTCCCAGCTACTCGAATTCGAAGACTTCCGATCCTCCCTTGGATATTTTCTCCACCCAGAGCCTGACCTCGTCGCTTCTGGTCGAAAACCAGTTCCGCCAAATAGGGCCCACCAATGGGACATATGACTCCCAAATGCTAAACGATTCCGCCGCAATCATAAAGGAGGCCCTGTCTTCCGGGTCTGGTACTTTGCCGACTTTCTTATTCGCGACCCTGGAAGCATACAATGCTGCTAGCACCAACGGCAGTCATTCAGGGTCAGCCAATGGCAAACAGGGTTCTCCGGCCACTACGATAGGCAATGGCTCGGGGTCATCCAATGCCCTACGTAGGAGTCTTCCAAGTATGTTCACTGCGTAAGCCTCTGATCGTCTAGACTATCCCAAGTATATTATTGACATCGCGTTATCAGTATTGCCTGTATACTTTTTGAGGGCGTTTATTTTCACTGAGAAAGCACTATCTATGAGGTAGTAAATCATCTTCTTTCCTTGAAGATATCCGGTGCTCTGGACCGCGCTAACTCAGTGCAAGTGAGGTTTAATTTTGTCCTGTTGAACTGCCCTAGAAGGGATCCAGTTGTATCAGATACATGGACCCGACGGAGGTTCTTTGAGGGTGTTCGGTATTATGACAAGACTGTGGAACTGATAAACCAGTTCTTTGGGTGAAGTGAACGTAGAGATATAGAAATATCGTAAGTAGTCCACGAAGTAACAGTATCTGAAGAATAGAAATATGTTATTTCGGGAAACAGCATAATTTACACTCTTCACCCTCCTTTTCTTCCATCTCCTACCCACGCCCGCCTTCTGTGCCCGCATTCCGGGCTAAGTACGGTTTTCTCTCATCCACTGACTTGCCGACACTCCGGTCCTCAACAAACAGCCCATGCCACGGAATGTTACCTTGTAATACAAGGAAACGCGAATCCCATGCGCTTCTGGAAAGAGATAACCAGGGTCGAGTGGATGATTCGACTAATATACGATCGACAGAGACTGGACAACAAGATGCGTAGCATGATGAGGCCTGGTATTACTCGCGTAGGAAACCTTGTCTCTGACCTAGCCCAACGAGAGGCCGTCCTTTCAAAGACATAATTCAGAGGGTGCCTTCCCTTCATCAATACAGAGAGTGCGTTCTTCACGCACTCTACCGGCGCACCTCAATGACCAGCAAGCAGATTAGAACAACGCAACGGCACACAATTTCGTTCCCATATGCCTTCTTTGCTGCCGGCTTGTATTATGAAAGACCTGTCATTGTACCGTAAGGGTCAGCGAGAAAAGGGAGAGAATAGACCTAGTGTTGAAAAGTCTGTCTAACGGGTGCCTTAGTCCTTGAAATAGGACTCCCGCTGCTGGCGTCCAAGCGTTGGATGAGCAAGGAATGACTTCATTCTCTATTGGACTCACTGGGGTGTCCCGTCATCGCTAACGGACAGATGTAGTTATCAGAACACAAGCGGTTTTAGAAGCATCCCAAAACATAGCTATCAAAACTGATGGAAACAAGAATAATTCAATGAGATCACGTAGGTCTGAAGTACGAGTCATCAGTTGCGCCAATTTTTTGTCTATGCCATTAAATGGACCTGTATCCGCTGTCAGTGATCATGGTGGGTACAAATTGAGTGTCAAATTACCATTGAAACGAAGAGACATTCTAATCAGTCATAGGAGAAAGGAAACTACGTATATTATGGAGTACCGAAGCGTCCGCGGTTAGTAATACAGAAACAGGGAGATCAAGCCTCTCCGGCTAAGCCTTCCAAGGCGACTGCGGCCTGCCACATGCCCATTCTCCTAACGATGCGCAAGGCAGCAGGAGCAGGTATAACGAGAATTAAAGAAGGAAGGGCAATGATAACGACGAATAGCGAAAAAAGCAGGGTGATAGGCGGCTTAATGACGAGGAAGTAGAATAATGAGTGGTAAGATGTGGGATCCGTAAACTAGTGAGACATTAGTGGGTAGTAGTTTGAAGAATATAGGTAGTACATACCATTGCATATGTGTTTTTGTAAAAGGAAGTCTCGTCGAGCAAGATGCTCGTAGCAAGAGGTGTGGATTCGAGGTCCTCTCGAGAAGGTGAGCGCTGCCGCGTAAATATGACTGGTTTACGGCGGAGCGAAGTTTGAGGGAAATGAAATTTAGTTTGAAGGTATAGCTGCCGATACATCAGCCACAGCTAGTTAAGATGAGAAATGTGCTGACCTCTCCTCGAGCTAGGATCCGGGCTACTAGCAGATCGATAAAACATAGCAAAAGTCCCAATGGCAATGCCACGAGGAGAGTTGTTCCGAGCTACTGCCATCAACACCAAGTATAGCACAGATAATAAGATGACGCACTAACGTAAACACAAACAGGAAGACCCATGTCAACAGAGCGTAGGGAAAGTTGATGACAGCTAAATGGAATAGCGACATATAATAGGCCTTTTTTCTCAGCGGACGAAAGTAGGACCACGGCGTCTGCGGCAGAGCGCATCCGTCATTCTGACTATGCTGGTCGTGCTCCGAGTCGTCGAACATCGTGACCATCGTCTGGCCCAACGAAGGCGACGCTGAAATGGATGATAGAAGGCTGCCGTGCGACAACGAGCGGGGCCGTGTCAGAAAAGGCGTGGTTTCGTTGGGCAGCTCCGGTGACGGCGCAGCGGATTCAGTCGACGATAGCTGAAGATGGTTGCTGCGCCGCGAACGATTGGAGCCTCGCATTCTTCTTGGATGGGAAGGGTATGGTGGCGGTGGGTCATTCATTATTGAAGGTGCCGTATCGAATTCTAATGGTACATCGGAGATGGTCATGGTAAGGACGAAAGCGGTGAGTACGCTGCGTGTGATCGAAAAGTAGGCGCCTTCCTTTCTGGGACGCCTACTGTGCCATATCAGGTAACGGGTCACGCATGGTAACGGGTCAACCACTCATATCTCGACGACTATGATACCTTTCCATGAGCAGTTTTTTTCAGGTTGGAGGTTGGGCTATCTGGCATCTATGTACAAGAGCTTTTGTTCTTCCATGTTAAATTTCCCTCTCAATAAATTTTTTGATCTGAGAAAAATGTCAAATTGCTATTTGCAAGCAACTTCATGCAAACAAGGCCGTTTTTCACCTGTTATCACAGTCATACATTTCCACAATGTAATTCAAGATCATAGCTTACTTTCTGGATGCTCCTGGAGAGGATAACAGCATAACAGCAAGGATAGTTTGCTTTAAATTATGTAAAATACTGGTTGACCCGTTTCCATGCTTTTGAGACCATCAATTAGGAAAATATTCATAGTGTAAGAAGCTCCCTTTCATACAGGCTCAAAACCTCATACAATAATAGAACAGATATTTCTCTTATTACAAGTGGTGACTAACATGGAACAATTGTGATGCTAGATTTTTTGCAGTTAAAACAAACCAGTTCGGCCCGCTTCCCGGTCAGGCACAGTAGCTGCTTCTTTTGCTTCCTTGGCTTCTTTTGCAAATAAAAGGTCTGGCAAAATCGAAAAAATTGCTCTTAGCTCGCCGATAGACGCCACCTACGAATGCAGTGGACCTTGGGCGGGAAATGACCATTGCTGTCGTTTGATATTCTGCTGTCTGGAGAGCGGAGTAGCCCTTTTTTCACTTGATATCTCAGAATTATGTTCTCACCATAAAACAATTGATTTGCTGACGCTTTCAAGTCACAGTATATCTACCTTTTCTTTCATTTTGTTTTTGGGCGTTGACGTCGACGTGGCAATATGACAACGAAATGTCAATGACGATATATCGAAGCGTACTTGTGAAACGACCCTTATTTCTTCCTTTTGAGGTCATTACTGGGATAGAGGCATAGAACTGAAGAACAACAGGACCTTTGGTAGTAAATTACCCTAGCTTCACAGAAGGACTTGAAGAATGACGTTGGGGCCACAATTTCATATTCTGGACAGTCTTACTACATTTTCGCAGCCGAGGCTTGATGATTCCGAAAGAAGGCATCAACACTCCTCGTGGTATGCGGCAGGCTGGCGTCGGTCCCGCGTTCAACATCACTAGCAGTAGCAAATTCTCCGTCTCCGTCTCTGGTCCTTGACCCATCACAGATACAATGAGCCTTCTGACCGCAATGGCACAGGTGACAGGTCCTGAGAAAGGTTACCTTTTGTGATTCAATAAGCGCATCACTCGTAGGCACAAGACAGGAACCATATAATTCAATTGGCCATATTCGTAACTCCTTAACGGTGTCTGGAGCATTCCTGGAACCTTAACCTTGTATACTATCTTGGTCGTCAGGTCGATCCGCCACACCACGATCATGATAGAGCCGTGGCGGGTATAACAGTCCAAACAATTTCACGGCAACGTGTCTTGCAGACGAATGTTGAAGAGCCGAAGTGGATGAGATATTAGTAGTGATAAGAAGACAGTGATTCCGATGATATAGTATCCGACGAGGGTCGGGTCCAGATGAGCGCCTAGGATAACCATGATGGCCACTGCTATCTCAGATTCCTTATCGTTGCCCAGACCGGCATAGATTCTCTGAAAATCCAGTGCGACGACGAATGAACGTCATAATCTATGCAATCAGAAATTAAGCAATAATGGGGCCGGGAGGTCTTACTTGTGAAGGGCGAAATCTTTTCAGAGAGTAGAGGCGGCGGGCCGGCCGCCTTACAACCTGACCTCTGTAAATGTCCCGCTACTCCAGACAAAAGACCCCGAAAACAGGCGCCATATTAACAGCTGTCTCCAATGGAGTGAGCTCGACGTAACCGATAACCGTCGATCGCCGTGAGGAAAAAAGAACGGGAGAACGTAGGAGTAGTTGGTTGAGTCGACTCGACAACTCTCGTCAGGCGCCAAGTTTGAATGGGATAACGACAATGGCGATTAAAAGGTAGGCGATGGCCAAAACCCTCTTATTGTAGCCCGCAAGATGACTGTCACTATCACACTCTGCTGTAAGTTTGAATGAAGAGTAAGTACCATATCTGTGGCTTGAAGGCGACGAAAAGGCGAGAGACAATAATATGTATCCACAAATTTTTGCGATCCAGATATTAATTGTCAGTGTCATGCCTCTGGCGGGAGCTGAAAAACGGGCACCATTTTTGTAAATTTAGTAACCGGTGTAATGGGGTAAGACCAACATACCCGCTGATCCCCTTTAAAAAAGAGAGAGAAGGGTGTATCCAGGTTGGGGCAGCCAGCTCTTTGGATGTAAGAGTTTAGACGTTGGAAAACCGATACATGGTCCCAATAAGAGATGTCGGGGGAAAGGCCAATCGGGAAAAAGAGTAAAAGAGGAGATGGGTAGACGACAGTGGCACCTTCCGGAATAACCAGGCCGGGTACTGATCCTTAATGTCATGCCACGGCTCAACCCTTTCTGCGTTATTGTCCACGGTGCCATCTCGATGGGCGGAACAGACTAGGGTGAGCAGCTTCCGGTTCCGATATTCCCATTCAATATGCTCCAACTTGTCATAAGCTAACTTCTCAGGATAGAACAAACCACCCGCGGCAATAGGAAGCATGCGAACTATGGTATGGTATAGGATGCATTACGATCCATGGGAAACAGACAAAGAAAACAATCCCGGTTTCCAAAAGCAGGAGGAACCAGCCATTCGATTGTTGATCAAGAAAAAAAAATTACACGGGTAAGCTTGTGTCCGTTGGCTGATCCCGAAAGGCGATCTGCTGCGGTGTTAAGTCGTATACCATGAATAAAACTATAATACCACTAACCTGGTGACTGAATAGCGCATGTCATCGCTGACATCCGCCATGTTCAGTGGAAGACTATTCAGTGACTGAAAATATAGAACGTGTAGGCCGGAAAGCGTAGGAAACACCCATGGTTCCCTCCGATAAGCAGCCTGGAGGATGAGCCAATAATTGAAGGGAGTTCGCAGTACCGAGTGTGCACCACGAGAATAACCGATAGAATAGTCAGATTTATTCTCGACTACAAGAGAACCTCCTAGGAGCAAGTAATCGAGTCATTATCTACTGCTGCCGTCCTGACAGGAGCTTTCTGATTGTAACTCGATTCCAGCCTTGTGATCCATTCAGAGAAGACCCACTTCTCAGTTCGGCCCATTTTGCAAACGTCGTCACATCTTGATAAGCCAGTCTTGCTGCGGCCATCTGACCGTCTTCATCGGGACATTAGCCAGTCATACGCGCGAGGTGAACCCTCTCGATGTCGGCTACTCTGCATATTAATGATTCATTGAGAGAAGAAAATTAAATTAAAGCCGGACAACCTACAAGCCCTGTGTATGCCCATGGATAGCGAGAAGGACCTTCCTCAAAAAGACTGGGAGTGGGAGAAGATCACAACCAGTTCGGCGCCGAAAGTCCTCCTCTTGTTCAAATATAGTGGAAGCTTCTCCAACAACGAGATGGATCTGGGAGGAAAAGAAGGCGGGTCCTGACAGCTAGATGGGAAGACACCTCCAGCTACGTTTCCTATATACTCTGAATAATGTCAAGAATCATTGACAGAACACTGGACAGAAGTCGCGTCACCCAACACCAACTGAATTGTCGTGTCCTTTTTCAGGCCCGCCTTTAATACCGAAACGATAACACCGACAATGCCCTCATAGTTATCTATGAAGAAGACAGGCCGTAATATTCTGTCGCCACCCCTTCATCAATGGGGAGAAGGCTCCGGAGCAAGAAACAACACACGCCCAAGCAAGCCCGTGGGAACACAAAACGCGAAGATGCCGTTGAATCCTCACTTTGGCTAGTCTATCTAACATGAGAACGTCATCTGAGCATTTTCCTGCTCATTCACGGAAGAGAACGCGAAGCATAAGACACCATATTCGAGCGTCGACCTGAATTCGTCCTTTAGATTTTCACATATAATTCGGAGTGCGGAAAACGGGATGACGTACATTGCCTTGTCCCTCTTCCCCATATGCATTTACGCCGAATCCCGGAAAAGGAGAACACAGAAGATTCCGCCGCAGCCAGTAGATCTGGCATTTCCAAACACGCTCGAAACGGATGCCTCGGAGTCGAGACCCCTTTAGTTATCGTCACGTTAGACACGGAAGCGAGCAGCTATTTGGTTTTTCGCGATGAAAGATTGCGAGCGAGAGCCAAAACATGAAAATCGCTATAGCCGCGTCTCGAAGCGCTGAAATGAATGCCTGCCTTTGCTTTCCTGCAGCCCGGTCACAAGGATGTTTTTCTGAAACATGATATCTCAGAAACAGAGAAGTTGACTGAGCCCTCATCCAGTAAGTCAAGTAATGACCAAGCTAGGGGTCTTGTACTAGTGCACATTGCCACAAGGCACGGTTCCTCAATCTAGCTATCAAAGGCTCGTAAAAAAGCAGGAAAATCCCTGAAAATCCCTACGCTCTCGCTCGATTTTGTGTTTAATGGCTGGCGGCGTAGAAGATGTGTAGTGTTTGACCTAGCCGGTTATAGTGCTGAGAGGGGGGAGAGAGATTTTCAGAAGGCAGGCCCAGGCTCTTTGGGCCGGTTTGTCGGCCCTGAACAGCCTTGGACCGGGAGTCGGGCCTGAGAGTCACATGGCAGCCACATGCGAAAATCTGTTGATGGGGCTGTGGGCGCTCACGCCTATCATTTCACTGACTCTACACCTACACCAATAACTCCTGTAAGGCCCGCTCTGGGGCAAAGCCTGCTACGTTCGCTCCTCATGAAAGTATCCATTGTCCAAAAACTACCTCACTTATACACGATTGAACCTAAGAGTTGGAATCAGAGCCGATGCCATTGGTGATTGTGGGTGAATTGAATCAATTAGTAAATAGTTATGATCAGGACTTCAAAAACTAACAGTAATAAGGGTGCTGCTCGAAAAAGCCTCGCTCGGTGGCGGCAGATGCCGCCACCAGCTCGCATTTTCTCTCAGAATCGCTGTTTGGAGAGCTGAATGGAAGTTCGGCCGAGCAACTCCGTGGAGAGCGTGATAGTAACATGAGTCACAGTAAACAAAGTGACAAACAAAGAAACTGCCACACCGAGAATCTGACTTTAACAGAAATTTATGTGTGGCACGCCGTTCAAATTTACCACACATAGAAAGTCCGATGACATTCGGCTCGGGGAGCTGTCAAAAACTCGGCTACCATCCATCCCCTATAAGACCTTCTACTAACGTAGCAGGAAAAACATCTCTCTCTCTCTCTCCGTGCCATGGGACCTATACAGGTACGTCGACTGCACGCTTCTGAGTACTTAGAAGTCTTAACCATTCCTTAGTGTGGTTTTTCAGGTTGGTGTAGTATGAGTTCATGCAGGGATGGAAACCAAGTTTCGGGTAATTTTTCACTCAGACTAATGGGCGCATCAAAACACAGGCTTTGTGACCCTGCACAGTGATAAACTATCGTCCCTGATAATCGGCGGACTTTGTTTGCTGTCAGTGTAATCAAGATTTGTTAGTTTCTTACCACCATAACGACCTTTCCTTCCTCAGACATGGAGAAACCTCTTCCTCTTCCAAAAATCAGTATAAACGGAACCGATGCAGGCAGTGAAGACGTTCCGGAGGACTTGCATCGCCAGCAGTCCCTTGATACTGCGTACCACGCCGCGTATTCAAAAACGGAACTGTCCAAGACGCAAAAGAAGGTTGACAAGTTCAGTAAGCAACTAGCAATTGTTAGTTTTGAGCTTGCGCTAATAATTTTTAGTGGACACCCTTGATCTGTCTGGCATGACAACATCCTACGCATCTTTCAACACCTGGTATGCAGCAAACGAATCAGCGATCTCATCCGCAGCTACAGCGATTTCTTCGCTTTCGCTGGATACAAAATCGATTGATAGCGCATTAAATTCGTTTGCTGAGACCTCTGAAGTGGTGATGAAGGGTTTGGATGCGCTCGGTCAATTGCATCCGTTCGTGGGCGGTCAGCATGAATCACAAATGCTCAGGTGCTTATTTTGATGCATATCCTTAGTGGCCGTCCTCGCCTTCAAACTTGTTATTACGCTCGATATGGCGCGCCGAGGCAACAACAAAAAAGTCCTCGCTGTGAAGCTTCAAATGCAGGACACAATGACCGTACTATTTCAGTAAGCATATTACGTATCCCTTTATTTCCAAAATTTCACTCAAATGTTTCTCCAGACTTCGTCATATCAAGGATCCTAAAGAAGTTGGGCCCGACGGCACCACGATCGAAGATCGCATGGGTTCCTTGATGGAAGCAATCGCAAAGGACATCCGAGAAACTGGCTCCGCTTGCGACCATTACCTGAAGAAAGGGTTTTTGGGTGGGTCTCCTACTTTCGAAGCTCTTCAGAATTCATCATTTATCTTCGAATTAGCCAAGACAATCAAAGCCAAGATTTATGAAACTCGTCTCGCAAGTTACGCCGCAAAATTCACGCAATACCGGGAGGACATCGATTTCGCTCTTCAGATTCATACAGCACTCGGTGTTGAATCCGCCAACGCTAAGCTGGATGGTCAGGACAAGACACTGAAGTCCATGGATCGCAAGCTCGACCAGACCATGGAAGTAATGATGTCGGTGTTTAGGAAGTTGGACACCTCGAGGGAACGGGACGTTCAAACGTTTATCAAAGAGAAGGGAGGAGTCAAGGCGTGCATAGATAATGAGCAATTGTTGCATGAACTTATCGACAAAAGCGGGGAGGGGATAGCGGGTGTACTTGGGCATCAGTCGGGGACGGGGCAAACATGGACTGGGGTCAAGGACAAAGTCCAGAAAGAGATGCGGAAAGAATTGGCCGAGGATGTCGAGCAAGCTTTAGAAAGGAATATCGCCCACTTTGAGAAGAAGCTGGAGATTCAGAACCGACAACTGACGTCGATCTTCAAAGATTCATTGAAGGACACCGAGTCTCATATCCTTACCGCCATGGCATCTGGTGCTCATGACCGAATTATCAATGAAGTATGTTGTTCTGTTTCGTTTCATTCGTGTGCTCATTTTTTTTCAAGGATTTGAAGGAGCTTTGGAAAGATATGGTATGTGTATTCTACGATATTCTCTTCATCCTTGTTGTGCTGTATGGTTGATTCCCTTCGACAGGCCTGGAGGGGTAGTGTCAAGGCTAAGCACCTCATTCTTGCCCTTCATGACTATTTGATCGACAAACTCGGCGCTCTGAGTGCCTCGCCTATGATGTCGCCCGGTGCTTCTGAACTTGGAAGTCCCATCATCTCACCGACGAGTGCTGTTACCAACGATTTTTTCTCTCTCAAATGCAAGAATGATCGCTGGGCTCTGGCGTACTTCAATGTGGCCCACGTTCAGCCTATCCTCGAAGCCGTAGATGATGACGCAACAGGTTTTATCACCACCAAAGAGATCAATACCTTCACAAAGTCTATGCCACCGGGTTGGACGTGGGTTCAGTCATCACCCGTCACTTTTGCAGTCTATTGACTGAACTCTCGCAGACTTCCCCAATGGATCGCGTACTGGGCTGAAGGTATGTTTCGCAGCGCACTCGGTTCATTCTTGCTAACGAGTCCCACAATAGGCTGGCATGTCAGTTTGAATCAATACAAAAAGAAGATCCGCATGATTCTCTCTACAATGTACAGCACATTTCCCCATGTGTTACCAGCCAACCGTGAGGCAGTGGTCCTGTATCTTCAGCACGATGCTATCTACCAGGTCGATAAACTCCTTCAATCTACTCGAGACCTACCTCCAAACGCTTCAGAAAGTAGTGAATTGCGAAGACTCACTGAAGCGTACACTCAGAGTGAGGAAGCGCGTCTGATGCGTAACCTTGAAGATGTCCTATATGACATTGATGCAAAATCCACTGTGGCCCTGATAACCGGACCTGGGCGTATCGAACGTGTAGGTCGGCCGGTTCTCGGTCACCGTTTTTTACTGATTGCTTTTCAGTACATTTATCCCATGCTCTACCTTCTTCTCAGGCATCAGCTAAGAGTGGTCCGTTTATCTACCAGATTAGTTCTGGACCCGTATGAAATGTCGAACATGTCCTCATCCTTGTGGAACTTGTTCTCGGTAGTCGATCAGCGAATGCACAACCTGGCGTGTACGTTCATGGCTCCTAAGATCTCTGGTTTATATTGATGACAGTTCTTATCAGCAATCTTCAAGCAGAGTAATGTCGATGTCATTGAAAAGCTCGAGAACTTTGCTTTTGGCATGGTAAGACATTCTCCTTCTTGTACATCTGAAGTTCTTATATGTCTCGTACAGTTCAAGCTCTCCTACAAAAATCCCGAAAAGCGACCATCCGATAACTATATCTCTGACTATATCAATGAAGATCCTACCATTGATGATGAGGGCACCGAACCTCTTATGGACATCCCTCTCAGCATTCTACGATATCCTCTTCCCGATACTTCTGGATCCGATATGTACCACCTTCCCTCTGACTTCACTGAAGACCCCCCCGAAGACCTAATACAAGGACAGTGGACTGGTCACCTTTACTATGAACGTAAATCGGATCTATGTCTGGTACAGCTCGTCATCGATTCCGTGATAGATGGCACTTTAACCGGGAAAGCGGCGACATGGAAGTGGACTATGAATATTTCAGGCGACATTAAGGAGGACAACAAGGTGTACATCCGCCTCGCTTTCGAAGATGGCGACTTTGTGGACCTTACCGGGGACCTTGATACTGAAAAGGGTATAATCAAGGGGTGGTGCAAATACATACGTGCCTCCGGAAATGAAGACGAAGATGACTCAGACGAGGAGTCGTCCGATGATGAGGGAGGTGGCGGGCAAGGTGACGACAACGGTGACCAAGAAACCGCCGAAGAGAACAAGGACGGAGATGCCGTGTCCCAGGGGGAGGACCGGGCAGCTTCCGAAGAAGGTACAGATGGGGAGCGCAGTTTGACTCTCCAGAACGACGAAATCGATGCGGCTGAAGAAAGCCAAAGCGGCGCGGCTTACCCCGAGTCTAATGAAGCTGACGTTGACGATAGTGCTTCACAAGCGTCCGATAGTTCAGGATCTACCGATCCAGAGTCAGAGAATTACTATTACAAGTTTATTTTCCGTCGAGTCCCTGCTTCCTTGTGCAGATTCCTTCCCGGTGATCCGCGAGATCTCCCAGTGGCTGACGAGGACGCAGGAAATCGCGCTCGGGGACGATGGAGGTTTGCCTGCGCCTCTGTGCTGGACCGATTGAGGAGGAAGTCCTTTTCTTGGAAGTTCCTGAAGGACAGGTTCAGTGAAAGACGTCGCTTCTTGGAATTGGCCGTCAGAGATCGATGTATGGACGAGAATTATTGCCCGCGTAACCCCTTGTCAGAGGAGGAACAACAGGAGTTGTATCTTTTGAAATGCACTGTCTGTCCAATGGATAGTCGGTATTACTACTCCTTTGTCGACGATGATATAACCCGGCGCAGATTCATGTGAGTCAGCTCAGAAGCCTTTGCTTTTCCCCAATACTGATGATTCCTGTTATACCAGTTATTATGGTTGCGACTCATGCAATGGTCTGATTTTGGGGAGTAGGCTGGCATGCCTCACCTGCATGAACGATTCGTTTACAGACACGATTGATCTATGCACGAATTGCATCGACACAAGTTGCGAACGTGGTGGATTCATGCATGATCCGTCCCATGTCCTGCTGAAGTTCGATAGTGTCGTCTTGGATGGTCGTCTGCGGTGGATGATTCCTGAAGCCCGTTCTATGGTAGTCCGCATCAAAAAGGAGTTCCGATCTTCTCTCAAGAACCGTATCGAGCCTATGGAGAAGAGTGGCTCGTCCCATAGCAGTCAGTCGAAGAAAGAAGCTTCGACCGCAGCCTCACCCCCAAAATGTCGGTGCTGTGGGAAAGTTATATCGTTACCTTGTTGGGTATGCTTGATCTGCAGTACGTTCTTTGTTTTGCCGCCCGTACTCCGAACGCTCACTCACACGGGCTCCAGCCATCGATGCGTATGTTTGCGACGAATGCGATGCCGAGAAGAAGGAACCAATGCCAGGTGATCCTCACGAGCTCGGGGAGCCCCTTCTACGAATCGCCGATTGCAATCCGCCGGCGGAGGTCGTCGCGACCGAGGTGAAGCTTGCAGCTCTCGAGAAGAAGTTCGACAAAGTTGATCAGCGGCTTGCGGCACTTGAAGACAGAGTCGAGAACCGATTATCTGCGATGGAAACGATACTGAAAGAATATTTCAGCAGTTCAACCAACAGAAATATCTAAGTGATTGATATATCTTGGCTGTGGTAGTCGGGCCATAGTATTTGTAACTTGATGTGTACAATTGCAGCGCGTGCCGACATGGGCTTTCTCATACCAACAGTAAAAATGTATAACCATCAGTCTAAGTATGAACTAGATTCTGATAGGGCAATCGGCATCGTGCGTCGGTTTTGACGGCCATAGGAAAGTTCCGACCTCCAGTTGTCGGCGGAGACCTGCAGCATGACCGTCAATTAAGTACACGGCTATGCTCGTGATGATATCAAACCTATATTGATAGGATGATAGTGAGAATGACGCAAACATCCAGCAATCGCAAGGAAAGAAGGAAGGTAGTGCTTTGAGTTCAGCGTCAATGAGGGCAAGGATTTATCTAAAAGGCAGGTCGAAAGAGATGAGCGATTAATTAATGGTACCGTTACCCTAGTTCCCAAGACTATCAAAAAGGACGAGCGCGTGTTGGAAACAGTTACAGGAGCAGGCATCTCGACGATAAAGATATTCGCACACGAACTTGATGACCAAAGACCAATCAGCACGGGGCAATCGTGGGGTACTTTCGATTGTGTTAATCCATATCGATATCAACTTCTCATCCGCACTAGATCCTTCTAAAAGCACAAATCTCGCCTCCAGGTCGATCCAGCAGCCCAGGAGAACCATTCATCCCTTGACGGATGATACGACGTTTGCGGGTGTGTGAGATCAGAGCCAAGGCCAAATTCAAACACGCTGGCGATTTCTGCGTAAGGATTAATCTTTACATCTTCGGACTTAGGCGTTTTGTCGGATCTTTTCCTGGAAGAAACACACTGACACTGGCATCCGCCGCCAGTGAAATGAACATACTGGACAGGATAATAAGCGGGTCGGAATCCGCCGATCAATGTAACCTAATAACTGGAGATGAGAACGTAAGATTGGGGGGAGAAGGCGCACATGCTAAATAGGTATGTCAAAAGTGGCGGTGATGTGGAGGAGGTAACTAGCACTAAGTGCTAATACTAGTGTCTATTTCAGATTGAACGATGTCCCCAGTAGGCATCTCTCGGAGACGCCCGAATAATGTAGCAACGCTGGCAAGTCAAAGGCCCTCGATACACATTTTTAGCGGCACCACATGCGTCTTTGATCGCCGCCATAGGTACCTTGCGAGGGGTCAATTCAAAAGCGAGAGCCGGGAATCAATTCGATCGGAGAAAGCTCCACGGCGGGATGTACAGAAAGGTTAGAAGTCTAATCATTTTGTGTCAATTTTTGAGGGTGCTGTAAATCGAAAGGGTAAGTGAACATGGACATAAAATGAATAAATTCGACACTTGCAATATGCTGGAAAAACTTCTGTGCCGCATGCCATGAGGCGCTACTTGCAACGAGGACGATTCGGACGCCACCTAGCCCAGGACCGACCCAGTACTTATAATGTTCGTTGATGCGTTGTCGGAGCTTGCCATTGAGACGGCTATAGCGGCCAGGCTACCACGGACGGAAGTTCCCGAGGTGGTGAGGGAGCACATATTTAAGCCACGTATTCCGGAGTACTTGTCCCCAGTTCCAATCTTCACGTTCGACATACAAGTTCACACCCCCTTGGTATCCGAGAAAGAAAAAGCAGTCCGTATGTCACGTGCCCGTTCCCTTTTGGTTTTTTTACTGATCTACTTTATTTCCCGGACCGCCATGGCTCTCAACTGACAGATTCATGTACGTCCCCTCAATCCAGTTTTTACGCGCAAATACTGAAGAGATGGATACGTAGGTCAAACGTATTCGTATGTATATTATCAATGGTTATTTTGTCCATGTCTCGACGCGTCAACTTGTAGTTCGACATTACCATCGATTCCCGTCCTGCGGGAAGGCTTGTGATCCGCCTATACGATGATATAGTCCCAAGAACTGCGAGGAACTTTCGGGAGCTGGCCACGGGCCAACATGGATTCGGATACGCCGGCTGTAGCTTCCATCGCATAATACCAGGCGTGAGTATCTTCTTTATTGGAAGATATTGTTTTCGTCTTATCTTCGATGCTTGGGATTGACCGGTCATAGTTTATGATTCAGGCAGGTGACTTTACTGCACACAACGGGACGGGTGGAAAGTCGATATATGGCTTGAAGTTTCGAGGTGAGCGTCGAGTTGTCTAATTCTGGCCTAGGGTTTGACTGGACTCGTCTAGACGAGAGTTTTAGAAGAAAACACGACCGACCTGGGCTTTTGTCTATGGCAAATGCCGGTCCAAACACTAATGGTTCTCAGGTTTGTATCTTCTCTAGATGGTATCTAGACATATGACTTACATCGATCCAGTTTTTCATCACGACTGTAAAAACTCCTTGGGTAAGTCTCACGATGTATGATTGTCACAAGGTGTTTACCGCTGTTCCCGTTAGCTGGACGGACGACATGTGGTGTTCGGAGAAGTTGTAGAAGGTATGGATCTTGTGAAGGAGATCGAAATGATAGGTACTGCCAGCGGCGCACCAAAGAAGAAGGTGGATATATCAGCGTCAGGCACAGTTGAGTGAGCCTTCTTTCTTTTTAATTCTGCTGTTCTGCTTTGCGTTGTTATTTGTTGTCTTTCTGTTACACCATATCTACTTTACATAATGCTACTACTGCTGTTCTGTATTTTCTCGGGCTGTACTCGGTATTTTTCGCTACTCATGGGAGCATGTGCATCATCCTTCGAGCTAGTTGCTGAGATCTGATCATTTTTAGGTGTTAGAACAAAAGTGACACTTGGAAACACCATGGTACATGTCTCCCGATCTGAGTTGCTACTAATCCAATAAGACTACCTAGCAACTTTCCGCGATGTTACGCCAAGAGATGTCAATGAAGAATGATTGCGGCGCCGTCGCCACGGGTCCGGGCGTTCTCAAGCCTCCCGAGGTCCTGGGAATAGCAGGAGATTGAGATAGTTCAAGGAAGATCTCTGCAGCATCACATCTCTAAAATGGCATCCCATCGCCCCTCCATACCAAACTCGAACCTTTCTCCTACGGTCTTGTAAGGCTGACGCAATACTCCCCCACTTTCCCTTCCCCTCTCGCCACCAATCGGACCTCAACGCCTGTTAAGGTAGAAACTGGTCTCTGCTTGAGCAATCTTGTCATTTAGCATCCTGTGGCTGCTAACGCCATTTGAGGGAGTGTGTGTATGACCCTGCCTCAAGTACATAAGGTCTGTCTCTACCAGGATCTTCTTTATTGTGTGCGGTAGCTGGAATGTGCTGGGCGCGGTCGGTGTCGAGTCCCGGAAAACACCGAGAGATTTCTCGATCACCCTGAGAGATAGTCCACGCTCAAGGACATATAAATGTGTGAGAAATGGACATCCTCGAGCAATGCTTCTGACAAGCATTTCCCCACCCGAAAGTGTAGATATGTGTAATCGCCGGAGGGAAGGGATCGCTTCTCGATCCGTGAAGGTGTTGAAGTGACCGTACAGGGTTAATTCTTCGAGATGCGGGAAGGGAAGACCTTGTGGAAGTATAGGATTACTGAGGAATAAGAGGTGAGTTGTTAGCGTGACCAGTGTCCGTGCAACGAGCCGCAGAATTCTCGTCAGAGAGTCGTATATTTGGGTTGGGTAGATCCTGGTGTCTGGATCAGGATATGTGGACGCGATAAGAAGGTGATACACTGTTCTTTCATCCACCGACAGAGTTTCCAAATGTTCTCTGAGCCCAATAATCTGCCTGGCGCTTGTTACACAAAGTGAGTTCAACTGGAGGGGCTGGACAAGGTCGCGCGCCAACTTGCTGACAAGTGAAATTGAACGACCCGTTTGCCCCCCATCTGTACAGGTGAACTCGAATATGTGTATCCAAATTTCGCAAGGGAAAGTATCCATGTCGTGGTCAAGCGCCAACTAAAATGAGGGTCCGGGTTGGGCCCGAGTACGCCACCCCCTAACAGACACAAATTTCGATGCGTCATCATTTGTGATCATTCGAACTTCTTTCTTGCCGCCGGCCAACAGCACAGGGTCTTCCTAGTATCTCGTAGAGGGGTGTTATTGCAACGTTTCTTATTAGGCATGATGCTGTTGAATTCCGGCTGATCGACTCATGTAGTATGGATCGGCTTAGTGGTGGATCGCTGTTATTGACTCGCTGTTACGGTGAGCGATATCGATGTAGAAGACGCATGGGGTTTAAGAAGCCAATAATACCATCCGGTTGATTGATCTTTCTTACACCGACATTAAAGCCCTACATTTTGTCGGGACCGTCGCTATGCTGTTACCGGATAGTAACTCGGATGATACCAAGTATTCATCCGTGTTGATATGAATCTTGTTCGCCCATGGCTTTATGTATGCGCAGTTACGTTCGCATGCGCAGTCATTCCAATCGAGGCCACAGTGGTATTTTTGACCTTTACGCGTTGCAAAGACTTGTCAGGAACTGCTGTTCAAATTGATGTGTGTAATGGATGCGCACCAGTCATTGACCAGTAGGTCAACAATTAGTAAGGATAATCTACTTACGAAGGCCCAGATGGAAACCCAGAGCGAAATAACGGAGAAATGGACCTTAGAGAGCATAAGGTATCTTGACGTACCGTATTGCTTCATCTAGACGGTGGCTAGATCGTTCGTGAATCAACGACTCAGCTTTGTCTGCGGTTGTGGCGTGGTACAACACGCCTTTGAAGCGTGTACCGGAGGAGGAGTCAGACCGCATCTCCTGATTCGCATCTAATAGACAAGAAATCATGGATCCATCTGCGTTGTATTGCTATAAAAAAACCACTTTTCTTCCCACTGCACTCGATGTAAACATGTGTGTTCCCATTGGAGCCATCACATCATTGATACGTACGCAGGTGAATCGAATCCTGAAGTAGAATACTAGCTTCACTGTAGATATACACCTTACTGGGTAAAGTCAGAATACACTATCTACCTTCGTGAGCCCGTGGCATTAAGTTGAGGCTCATCGGACAGGGTAATATGGAGGGAGCCTGGCTATTGAATACGTACGATTACATCAAGTTCTACAAGCATCCAGTTGCGACACCGTATATAACCACCTATACTGCAATCGCCAGCTCTCGATTGTTGATGTAGTGAGTTTATCAGTCATGCGGCTTGGTTGACTACTAAGGAACCCTTCGTTATAGATGTCCAGAGCATCACTTTCCCATGAACCCCTTTTCCTGGCCGGAGGTGTAGTCTCAGTTCCAAACAGGCGACCGTGACGAGATCTCTCGAGAAAATACATTCGTGGCTTCACGTCTTCTCTAGAAGCACCGAAACTCGTGTTTGCATTTAGTGCGGTTCCTGATAACGTACGAGAACTAGTAATGCTTACCTTGTTGACAGAGAAACAAGTACAAAGATAATGAGCGTGTTATCCACACGAAGACGATACATGGTAGTAAATTGGGTCCTGCATTTAGCCTCATTTAATCTTGTCGTTCTGACTCGCATTCTTACTCGAAGAGCTCATTTTAGATTTATATACCCTCCAAGTCGCTTTTTTAGTCGAAAGCCGCAATGCAACACTAGTAGGCAAACCAGGTATCTGAATCACTCTAAATCAGGTCGTATTGAACATCTCTAAATGGGCGCCACTCACTCTGTTGCGCATGCAATAGAAGCAGATTTGTGGAATTGGTGACAAGGAGGTTCAAATTCCGTGCGGCCTTGCTGGGAAGAAACCGACACTGGCAGGAAAAGGCCACAATAGAAATCGAGGCAGAATGGTCGCAAAGGCACATGAGCCAGAAAATGACGAGATATCTTTATTAGAGAATTAACTTATTCTCGGACAAGCATGGCAAGGCGACGTGGATGTCACTAGACCTATGAATGCTAGCTTATTTGTAAAATAATGTTGCCTTAATAGGGAGCGTAAGGGCGGATTGATCTATGCCTGAAAACTTTTGTGAATAACAACATTCAGTTGACTATGGGGACATTGATAGGTAAGTCGAACAAGCTTACCCAAAGCCACGTTTAGTAAATCTGGTAGTGATGCCCTAGGCTCTTGGGAGGATATCCGTGTTTGTATAAGATTGCAAGCCTTGCATCTGAATCAGATGTGGAGTAGGGAAAAAAGACAAGTAGATATTGAGGTCCTTTCAGGTCGGAAGACGTGAGTGCGCGCCACTGGTATTTACATCGGTGAGTATAAATATTGACCGAATGGAAGACGAAACGAACAGAGAGTACCGAGGTACGTTCTTTTCAATGATGACGAAACCCCATTCCAAGCGGAGTATTTATATTTCCTGAGTTTGAGTGAAACTGACAGCTCCAGATTTTACGGTCTGGCCAGCTTTTGTCACAATTCACTGCGCATAAAGCCATAGACTAGAGCTTTGTAGGCGAGTTATAGAAATCGTGGACCGGTGCCAGGTGGGAGGATATGCCGTAGTATCGGAATTTCCTCTCCGGGATGGACTAATCTCGATTTTTATCGCATTCTAGCTCAGCAGCAATGAGAAGATACCGAGCACAATGGAAGTGTACAGATCATCCACCAAAAAACAAAGAACCACAGTCTGTAGGAAGGAAACGCAAGCATCAGGCGAGCAACAAAGGAGGTCCGCCGTTTCGCAGAACAACGTGCCTGCAGCAATGCTTGTGCCTTAGCCATGAATACCACGAAGCGAAAACCGAGAACAACCAAACGGGCAAGCTCCTTCAAAAGAGACTGCCTGCGGACGGAACACCGAGTACCACCAAACTGGTGAGCACCTTCATAAAGGAGACCACCAGCGGACGCAACTGCCGACTACCCACTGCACAGGCGAGATCCTTCACAAAGAATAGCACCTGTGGACGTAACAAGGAATACGAGCAGTCAACGAGCAGTCATATGGTGGGATACACTGTATAGACCCTGACTCACCCGAATGGTTATCTAATCGCAGTGTCAATAAAGGGTTGAAGGATAATGTGCTGTACAAGTGAGTATCCATCGAACAGACGAACAATTCTTTTCATCAAGGTTGGCACAAATTCGATAGTGTGGATCGTTTCAAGAATCGACGGGCTTGATTATGTAAAGTGCTTTAAGACACTTAGACCGGTCCCAGTCGACAACCCCGCGACAGGTAGCTAAGAAAACCGGAGCAGGCATCGACGCATGGGGATTACGCAATTTGTTTGTAGAGTGAGGAGCTTGCGTCTCAACAGATTCAGGGATCGTACGGCATAGCTGAGCGGATGTCTATCAACTCGTGCTCCGAACCGCTGTTGAGTACTCTTCATATCACGCCCGTCAAAGGATGGCGTGTTATGGCAACGCGATGTCTGAAACAGGCATGTTTTGCTCGTAATCCGAAGTGTCTTGAACTCATAGCTCGAGCTCTATGGAAGGCACATGTGTCATGGAGAGGTGTATTTTGCGGCTGGAGAAGGTTTAATAGATGAGGTGATATCTGTTCCTTGATGAACGGATGTTGTACATGATCAACAATTCGGAATGTTGTCGTCGGTCGCTTTCCATTCAATTAAAAAGAGGAAGAAGCAAAGTCATCATCAGCGCTAAACGCATAAAATTTTTGCTCGCTACGTAGCCCTGAATCAGTATACATAGTAAACCAGAGGCGCGCCCACCATCAGTGATCTTCCAGATATCCCCAGAAGTCCGGCAGACCTCTCTGAACATCCTCCCAATACGTGCGGTATTCTTTAGGATGGTGAAAATACGGAAGTATTTTAAGCCGCCCGTCATCTATCTCCTCGCTGACACGTTTGGTGAACTCTCCGTGATCCGAAATCACTACCAAAAAGAGCAGTGATTCACAATTCGCCAGCAGTTCCTTGAGCAGGAATAGATGGTGGCTCCCCGTTAAGTTCCCGATTGAGATATGCGTGAGTTTGGGGAGTTTATACAGGGCTGACCAATCAATATCCACCGGCGAAGTTGGAGGTTCGGTAATATCCAAGTGGGTCAGCGCTCGGAAAGCCGGGTGGGAAAAGTCCGGCTTGTGTGTTTCACACAGTTGCATAAGGGTAGCGGTATTCACGGACAGTCGCTCTAGTGGTTGCCGAGGAAGGGGAAGTAGCTCTAGACTGGAGGTAGCCGCCCAGCAGGCAAGGTTGGTTACGCCGGTACATACGGAGAGAACCTTCTGGGCTTGTGGATAACTCACGAAGGTGAGGTAGAGATTTTTGACGTGAGAGGCGAAAAAGCTAGCAGGTCGAGAGTCGACTGTCTGTAAGAAGAGATTCGTTCGCGACTTGGGGAAGTCAAGGACGACCGTTCGGTATATGAGAATTTCCATCCTGGACAAACTGTCAGTAAATTTTTGCAAAATGAGAAAGAAGCTCACCATATTTGGACCCGTTTGGAGACTGTAGTTAATTGGTAGGCGCTACCAGGATACAGTGTCGCTGTGAGCTCGAAAATTTCTCTTTCGAGTTCAATAGGCAGTTCGGGAATCTTCGATGAACCTTCCTCGCCCATGGCATGGATGTGTTCGGGAAAAAAGGATAGTGTAACGCCCAAGATCAGGTACATACTAAATAGCTCAACAAAGTGGATAGGGTCTAGGTTTAGGGGCCGATTAGCACGGTATGAGCGAGAAACGTAAAAAGACTTTGAGCCCCATGGAGAAAGAGTTAGTTGTGGGCAATCCCCAATGCTCCAGAAAATGGGGATGAAGTATTGGTGTTGTGTGTGGAGAACTAACAAATATAGGGGGTATCGAAAACACTTCGTTGATATCATATGACAAGCACGTGATCTAAACGCGACGCGTCTTTGAAAACTCTTGACCCGCTACACCCACTGGCAAGCTTGTCTGAAGGTATATATCGCCGAATGTTGCGTTCTTACAGTTAAATTGCTTTGCGGATACCGTTGTTCTTTGTCAGGAAGTCATATACGTTCGTCGTTGAGAATCTGTCAGTTTCTTTCAGTTCCTCCTGCCTTTCTCTATTTAATACTGCGCATGTGTTGCTCATAAATGTCAAAATTGACATGTCACAGGGAGATAGTCGAAGGCATATCTAGCCTTACTATAGCCTCTATTTCCGGAAGCAATCCTGTGTCCCGTAAGCGTGGGGCGGGAACGGTCCTGCTGAGACAAGTTGACCCACTCCTCGATCCACCAGATGACATTATGTCGCTTTTGCAGTAGACAATCGCCGTCACGGAAGTACCAGACTCCTCCGCTAAATGTTGCATGGGTGCATCATCGTTGTCACCATTCATTGTCACCGTTCAGGTTGTCACATAAGTACGTGGGGAGAGCGTCGACAGCTCAGTAGGCTTCCGATATACTCTTTTCTCTTCGTTTGAAGAGCTCGTCTGTAGTTTCACGTCAAATGGAACGGAGTACGGAGTCAAAGAGATCCGCTAGAGAAGCATTAACCCTGCGGTCTCTTCCTTCTTTGGGATCTCTGTGGTTTCGAGGTACTTTTCACGGGGCATACTTTTGTGAGATTGCCGTGGCTAAATCTCCTTAAATTCTAGAATACAAATACAGGGTGCCAAAACGCCACAAGAAGCCCCGAACTTCTCAGAAGTTTCCGGGTAAGTTACCTGCAGGAAGACAAATTCAGGGACTAACTGCTTCTTGGTTCGCAAGTGAGTCCAGTTCAAATAAATCTCCCACCGGCGGCTTATCTCTTCGACGATTGCTGAAATAGAACATATAACATTGTGGACTGTTGTTGTATACCCAGCCTAATACTTGAATGAGGTGATTTCGGCTGCATGAACATTGTTAACCTGTTCAGCGTCAATTTGGACCGACAGCCAGCAACTGGGTACGGCGTCAACAAGAGGATACGGATGCTCGGGCCGAGCGCCTCGTGGTCATTTTTTCGACACGGAGTGCTGTCTTTGCTTGATCACCGATCACGACATGGACCCAGTCGTCCCTCCAGAAATCACTGCTGAACTGACGCAAATACTCTCCAATCTCGTACTGGGTGACAATGAGATCAGATCCAAGTTAGTTTCCATGTCCACTTCACTAATTGGTACTAACATGGAAAATCTTGTAGTGCCGAGCAAACAGTCAACGACCGCCTGGCACATACGCCAGAGCTTTATCTTCTGGCGTTAGCTCAATTTTCGATTGTAGCAGATACAGAAGTGGTGCGTAATCATTTTCTTGGCACAAGTGGCGACTTGCTAGAATGTCATCTAGATGCGTTCGTTTTCCCTTGTTCTCCTTAGAAGACTGCTTTTTCGTCAGTCGCAAGCGAGCTCACCGACACAACCACGCCTCACTTTGTATGACCACCTATCGTCGCAAACCCTGACCACCCTCGAGCGGCTCCTTCTGCACTCCCTTTCCCACGAGCCGTCATCAGTAGTGCGCCGGAAATCCGTGGACTCAGTATGTGATCTCGCAAACCAGGGCATGTCTCGAGGCCGGCCATGGCATGCATTACAAGCCCAAGTTTTTTCTATGGCGCGAGATCAAGACCCTTCCATGCGGGAAACAGCTTACCGTGTCTTCACGGGCTGTCCTAACCTCGTCATGGACCTCCAAACCGATGCTGTGCTCAATGTTTTTAGAAACGGCTTACAGGATCCATCATCTATTGATGTTCGACACGCGGCCCTCCTGGCATCTGTCGCTTACCTTAATGCAGCAGACGCAACCCAGCTTGCCCAATCGTTGTCTCTCATGTATCCTATCCTCGAGACACTACCATCTACTCCCCATCGGCATCTCACTTCCCTTTTGACTGCATTACACCCTCTATGTTCCACACATCCAACACTTTTTTCAATCCATTTACAAGGTTTATTATCCTTCCTTCCTTCCTTGGTTCTACCGGCTGCCGACAGTGGCCCAACTCCAACGATGAAACAACCATTTACGTTTCCTCCTTCGTCTTCATCCCAAGGAAAAGACTCCGATCAAGATGACGAGGATATCAAAACCCTGAGACTCGCTGCCTTGGAGATGATGGTTAGTCTAACGGAAGCCAAGCCGAGTATGGTCAGGAATGTCGAGGGGTGGGTAGGATTACTCGTCCGTGCTTGTCTCGAGGGTATGGGCGAATATGATGACGATGAAGACAGTACGATAGAGTGGCTCAAAGAAGACGTGAGTTCATAGCTTTATTGCCTCTGGTTGTCGTTTCTGCCGGCTGAAGAGCAATTTGTTTTGCCATAGCCATCTACAGGGACAACGGAAGCAGATGACGCCGCACCTGCTCTGTATGAACATTCCCTTGATCGCGTCGCCTGCGCGTTGGGAGGGAACGCAGTCCTTCCGCCGGCATTTCAATATATCCCTTCTATGCTTGCAAGTTACGACTGGAGGGCGAGGCATGCTGGTCTTATGGCTATTGCGGCCATCGCAGAAGGTACCGGAAAGGTAATGGACTTTTACACTTCTCGGATGTATCATTTTTGACTTATAGTACTGTCCAGACCATGCAAAACGAGTTAACCAAAGTAGTAGGGTAGGCGTGTTCCGTTTAATGATGTCCTGGTGTCAGTCTGACCCTTCATTCGACAGGCTTGTGACCCCGATGTTCGCAGACACACACCCTCGAGTGCGCTGGGCGGCATGCCAATGCGTGTATGTCCGCACTAATCATTTGGCGTGGTCAGGGCTAATGTCTCTTCAAGGGGTCAACTCTGCACTGATCTCGCGGACCTTCTACAAGAAAGCCACTATGACTCTCTTCTGAACGTCCTCATACCCACACTAGAAGACCCTGAACCTAGGTGATCGTCCTGTCAACGTGTTCATTTTAAGCTAACTATAATTGTAGAGTTCACTCTCACGCCTCGGCGGCTTTGATTAACTTTTGCGAGGGCGTTGAGCGGGATACCCTTTTGCCGTACCTGGATCCTATCGTGGAACGATTGCTGAAACTGCTTACCGGCACAACAGATAGACGATATGTTCAGGAGCAAGCTATCACAACACTTGCAATGGTGGCCGATGCTAGCGAGAGGACGTTCGGGAAGGTATGTCACTGGTTCGTAGTGCTGCGCTCTGACTCATGTATCCATAGCATTATGCTATCATAATGCCGCTGTTGCTAAATGTACTGCGTAACGCTGATTCTAGCGAGTTCAAACGGATGAGGAATAAAGCTATGGAGTGCGCAGGGCTGATAGGTATGCCTTCTGTCTCCATTTGATACTAGTTTATGCCTAATGATTTGAGACAGCTATTGCGGTTGGACCGGATACTTTCCGACCAGACTCCGGCACGCTCGTTGAACTTCTCATCCGCATTCAAAGTGCGAGTTTTTGACCTATCTTTGCTATCTGTGTTAATTCACGAATGTATCGCAGAATCTCCTCCGGATCCTTCTGACACACAGGTAGCGCATTATCTCATGGGCACCTGGGCCAAGGTCTGCCAAGCTATGGGGCTAGAATTTGAGCCTTACCTTCCCGTGGTTATGCCGGGTCTCTTGGCGATGGCGAGTAAGAAGGCGGATGTCAGTGTTTATGGTGAGAACGAGTCCCCGATTCGGTTTTCTTTTTCTCAAATAATGGTTTCTACCCAGACGCACCGGCCTCCCCTACCGAGACCCCACCGTCGACGCCAGGCTGGGATATCATCTCCATGGATAATCAGCTCCTCTCTGTGCGTACGTTAGGTATAGAGGAAAAATGCCAGGCTTTGGAGACAATGCTCATCCACGCCTCGACCCTGGGAAGCAAATACGGCATGTGGGTCAGCCAGAGTTTGGAAGTCGCTCTAGGGGGATTGAAATTCTATTTTCACGATGGTGTAAGAGAGGCATGCGCCATGTAAGTTAAGCTCGCTCTCCGTCTTCCTTCCCCATACACCCCTAATTCATTCTCCCAAATTCAGGCTCCTTCCAATTCTCCTGCACTCGGGCCATACTTCCGGTACCCTCACGCCTCAGATGATCCATGCAACATATGCTCAGCTCATCTCGTGTGTGACGTCGGAGCACGATGCCGGATTCCTCAGCTCGCTATTCAAGAGCCTAAGTGACTGTTTGAAGATCAGCATACAGATGTCTCACGATGTTGTGACACCGGAAGTGAAGCAAAGCATCTTGGATGCGATTAAGCGGCAACTGAGCCGGATCGCGGAGGTACGTCGGGGAAGGACAGGGCGACAACTGGACGAGGAGGAAGACGAGGATTTAGCGCTGATTGAGGAGATGGAGGATTTCGCATTGGAAGATATGGGAAAGCTTTTGGAAGTGTTGTACGAAGGGAGAATACCGCCTGGGCCGGACGGTGAGGCTCTGCTGGTGGGACTGGGAAGTGTCAGGGATCTAGGAACCTCGAAGTTGAGGCAAGAATGGGAGCTGTGATTTATGGCTGTTAGAAGGAAAGTAAAATTGTATTCTATGACATCTTTTGTTTATAATGTATGTGGTGTCTATGCAAGCTTTGTAATTTATCAAGTGCGTAACCTCTTCGTCAAAATCCCTTCTTGCTGACTATTTTCCAGTCATGGTCCTTGTTTTATACCGATGCCATTGTCTCTATGAACTGACGGGTTCAATTTGATCCTTGCTTTCCCCCTTTCATCATCTCGGCGGATCATGTGCACGGTAGAACCATTGATTTATGCCGGTTAGGGCTGTTAGCCGCCACCCAATTTAACAGAAGAATCAAAGTGATGTTCGGTGATTTTCAGGCCATCACCTGGATCCCGCAGCACCTAAGGATCCACAACCCTCACTGTATGTTGCACCACATTCATCTCCGTGGATACAGTTAAACATGGCTGTACGACGAACTGCAAGTGCAACATGACATCATGCAGTGGTAACGACAAAGGGGCCTGGATGATAATCTATCAATCCATTTTGCACCCTCAAAATCTTCACAGGGTTCTCCATCATGCGGACATATGGTGCCTCCATTACGCCCGGTTATTGGCCTCTTTGCTTTCCTACGCTTTTAGAGCTTTGGGACGAAAAGGTCTGTGAATCATTGGAGCGCATGTAATCGTAGTCATAGCAAAAAGGCAGTTTCATAGCAAGGGGTTTCAAATCTAAATCTAAATATAGAACATGGTCGCATGAATGGCGCTGCATCTAATTTTGCAATTCACCTTTCCTTTTACTTCTTACCACGATGATGATTCCAAGGACGCGGTCAATATCGTTCAGGCTGGTCGCCCTTGGCGGCATATTGACACTTTTTCTCGTTCTCTATACCTTGACAACTACACCATCCTTTGAATTTCTACCATTCTTCTCAGAAGGAAGAATCAGATCGTCGTGTCCACCAGAAGAGTATTCCAACGGGCAATGGGTCTATGATACCTCGGCCACAAACCGCAGCATGACGACCCAATCGGACGCCATTGAGTTTTCCGGCTTTCAAGGCTGCGCAAGCTCACGGGAATTCTACTGGCACCTCGGCGCCGGAGAGAAGGAGGAAGAGCAACGGCGGTTCCCACGAGTGACTAACTGGCGCTGGCAGCCCTCACCGCAGTGCACGACGCGTGAATTCACTGCAGAAGCGATGGTACGGGACTTGGTAGAGCAGGGCGGATGGCTGCTTCTTGGCGGTGAGTACGCGGCCGTTCTTTGATGCGCCAATCATTCTAATGAGGAATCAGACTCCATAACGGAGGGCCAATTCTTCTCTCTTTCTTGCATGCTCTTTCCGCACGTAATTGCAACCCCGGACTATGTCAAGAACCCTTACTTTGACCGTGCATGGCCTCAGAATCTTTACCTTAACCCAGAGTCGCCGCTTATTCGCAAGCTTCGGTTCCCACCAGGCTTCGACATCACTATCACACCGCTCGTCACTTTTCGCCGAGTCGATCTGCTGCTCGAGCAAGAAGAGCTCGTGCAACTTCACCGTGCCTTGTATGATCCTCCGGAGGATTTTAGCCTCTTTAGTGAGGAACAAGCATGGAACCTCAGTCCGAATTATTATCTACAGTTGTTCGCTGCCCCGTTGCCGGAGGCCAACTATGGAAGCATGATTCTTAGCACCGGCGGACACTGGACGACCACTCTTTTTTCTGGTTACCGGGATGAGTCGAAGGAGCAGGAAGGGTACGGAATCGACGGAGTTATCCAATTTTTCAGAGAGGCAATGTCTTTCTGGGCCGATCAGGTACAGAGTGGAGTGAGGAACATGGGTGGCCAGGTACTGGCCAACGGCAAAAGAGGTCGAAGACAGGTCATTGTTCGAGCGTACCTTCCGGGACATGAAGACTGCCATAAAGCTGAAGAACCCTGGACAGGAGATCCAGCCGTGGATTTGGAAATGGTTCAACTGGGCAAATATAGAAGAGTACAACGCAGTCTTTCAGGTATGTCTTCGTAATTTCACTTTCCTTGAGGGTATATGGAAGTCCGTCGAGCACATAGTGGCGTGCATTACTCTTCTAAAGCTCAATCCATTCCGGTTCTGCAAAGGATTTCAACTGACTTATCTCTGTTCGTCATGACAGGACGTGCTTTCGAACACGCAATACTCCGACATACACTTCCTGCCTATTGATAGACCAGCGCGTTTACGCCCTGATGCGGTGAGTTTGGTTTTGTCCCCCGATAGTGTCTATACATCTTCATTACGTTCGGAACATGTGGCTGAAGAAACGTCCTTCTGTCTGCCGCAAGGGAAGGGTAGCCACATTTTCATGACCGAATGACTAGATGTGGACCTTTGAGTATTCATAAGAGACATCTGACTTGACATCTTTCTAGCACGTTGCGTCCGACTGCCTTCATATCATGACAGGTGCTGGCGTCTTAGAGGGCTGGTCGCACTATACCTGGCACTACCTCACTCAAGAACTCAGATCGCAGATTCAATGATCGACACATACTACCATCGGACAGCTTTAGGATATCAGCATCATTTACATTATTCTTCCTCTATATCCTTTATCACTTTAAAAAGGACATATTGTCCTATACAGACTTCGCATAGGTGAAGGTATAATATGAATACGGGACATTTTTTTTTGTTGGTACATAGCTGGAAAAACTAGTGCTTTAAGGTGCTGTACACACCCTATCGCCGATATTTGCTTTAAATGCTGCCCTGAGCCATGACTGTTGCGGACTTCTGGTGGGTGAACTGTCAATGTGTTGGCATGAGCTGGAATTTATGACGCATTATTTCGGCGATCTCGGAGAAATTTTATTTGGTTTAGTGCTTAAGCGCTTACTAGTACTGGTCAAGGCGTCCCTCGCTACCTCTTTGGATACTTCCTATCTAAGTTACAAACAGCAGCACATAAAAAGAAACGAAACACTTTCAAAGATCACGATAACCTTCTCCGAGCAACGACCATCTCTGAGTCATTTGTAATGCTGTTCTACTCAAGCTCGCCTATATCTTTCTTCAGCCAGCAAAGCACTCCAGTATTCGTGGTAAACGCCCTTGTATTCTAATTCCTCTGGCACGGAATGAGCCTGGTTGTCGAACACTGCACCTACGCTTCAGGAACAGCAGGCAATTGCTATGAGCAATCACTTCGCTGCTGCCGGACAGATCTTTCGGAGGGGTGCTGGGACAAGAAGATGCGCAATGACGGAGTCGGGGTAAAGGGAGACTTGAGTGTTTCTTGCGTAGAACGTTGCTAGCTGCCATTAGACAACGAACGGGACGAGATTCGGCGGTTCGGCATGGTCGGCATTTACCTATATGGAGAATGCCGAGCCTACCCATTCCCGGCGACACAACTCCGAATCATGGCCTTTCTGAACTGTCTGCTGCTGCTGCTGCTGCTGGGCGAGCGGACGTTCAAACGTTCATGTCCCTTCTGTCCAGCTGTATGCGCCTCATATTGGTGAGCTGATCTCACTGCCCGGCTTCCGGTCTCCACTGATGTGACTAGTACCTTTTTAATTCGGAAAGTCATGCAGCAGATTGCTATTAATGCACATTCGAAGGGCTATACCAGATATGAAGGCCAGAAAAGCCTAGAGAACCGCACATTATGCACATGCAAGCCATTGAACCAGTCCTAAAGACCACAGGCTCCAGGTATAACATCTTCAAACGCCAAGTGCCCAACCTGCGCAATCAGCGTCATTTCCGTGTCGTTCACCACACGGTTCCTCTCGTAAACATCTTCTCGACTGGAGGGTTCCATCTTCATTCAAACCTCACGCAAAAAGAACGCGTCGCTAGGATCTGTTTCAACTCCGTTTCCATTTGGGACCGTCTCAAGCTTTCTTACGAGCCCCGTTTCCTCTTCCGTGTTTTGGAAACACATATATTGAGCTCCAAGGAAATTTCGGTAAACTCCTTCTCAAGGGTTGCTCTTCCGCGAGGTCAACTGCGTTCCAATTACATATTTCGTCCAAAAGGTAGACTGTGCGGCCGGGTCTGGTTCCATATGTGGACTCGGAAATGCCAAAATGACATTCACTTCAGCTGAGCACCTAGGCTTCAAAGCGGGGACAACTTTCTCCCAGAGTTCACGGATCCGTTTGTCGCTTGACTTCTTTCTGCCCAAGAACGTCGGCTTTTGTTTCTATGCCGCTTTGGACGGTATCAGTGAATCAACGATGTTTGAATAGCACCTGCGAATGGCCCCCAGCGATGCAGAATATGTATGTATCGCATGCTGCATGTGTTATATTTATCTTTATACTTGTAGGACCACACCATAAAGCAGCACCCTGGAACGTGGCCTAGACCTCAGTGGAGTAGCGATCCTTCCGTCACCACTCATTTCACAAGTCGCGCAGTCACAATGTGCCTTCGTCATCACGATACTCGCAACGTGTGTCCGGCGCGTTCGCAAGTAATTGTCAGTTTCTAACTCTATGTGATGTTGCTGCTGGTTCCGTACCGGGGTGCATACGCTTTTAATAAGGAAGTCCCGAAGGTTAAAATGCGTCCCCCCTCACCCGAGCCAGTACCATAACCTATCTCCCACATGTCGGTATTAGACGCATTCAAGCTCAAGTCGTACGACCTCGAACCTGTGTATGCGGCTTGGGAGAACCCACCTTTGTTCTCTGGGGACGGAAGAGACGAGTCGGTTGATGATTGGCTGAAGAAGGTCAAGGATGGATGTCAGGAGAAGAACGTACCGAAGGAATATTGGCACAAGGTCGCACAGAAATACATGGGCGAAAAGGCGAAGGCAAGGTGAGTACTGAGTGGTTCCTGTGGAGGCTGATGAAGGCTAATATTGTGACGCCCAGGTTGGAAGAGCTCAAGGTCGTTATGCGCAAAGTGCATGGGGGAAACTATCGGTGGAATTGGCAGAAATTCAAGATCGCTATGAGGAATTTGGAATGTAAGTGATTTCTTGTAGGTTTCGCGAAGTTACTGACGTATCACTAGGGCATATCGATGCTACGGCGACGACAACCGTTAAAGTACATGCCAAGTCGTCTGGGCATTGGTGGACGACGCGGAAGAAGGATGAGCCCGAAAGTCCGATAACTGAAGAACCGGTGAACGATCTCCAGATATCGAAAAAGGAGAAGGAAGTGAAGAAAGAGCGACCCCCACCATTAACTGGCGCGAAATCGACGTCGGGTGATTTTTTCAGACCTCTACGGAGAGCATCAACGACGGATGCAGCAAGACCACAGGTGCAGAAGGCTAAGTCAGACCTAACGGTGACCTGCCCTTCACCAACACGGTCGTCGACGACTGATCAGAGTAAGTTTCGATCTTAGTTTATACAGTCGAATCAGGCACTGATCTACTGCTTAGCGGTCACAACGGTGGCCAACGCGCCGGTTTGGCTGCTTAATGCGTGCAATGCACTAGATTTCTTGACTAGTGAACATCCCAAAGTGATGAGCACGATTAGCGCTATCCTTATAACGGCTGGGAGTTTGCCGGCCATTCCAGCTGTCGCTGCGGGTGCTGGTGGTGCCGTATTGGCTTCTGGAGCTGCGCAGGCTGTCGGTGCTATTGCTGTTGGGCTCGGAAGCTGGCTGAGAGCTCAGCAGGATGGACACACGATGCACAGCCCGACTACTACGAGCTCGGTGAAAGAAATATCATGAATATTCATATGTACGTCGCATGTATGGTTCGCACTTTGTACATGTACAAGTAGATGTCATTTTTTCGTCGCACTCCTAGTCCTAGAATACCAAAGTGAAAATTTAGCATATAGAAGTTTATCATATAAATACTAAATTATGTCGTCTGCAAATGATTATTAGTAGCTAGACTCGTGTAACGCAAGCACCTTTACTGATAAGACACGGATACATAGGTATGCGCATGGCTGATACGTCTATCGAAACCATTGTTCGATCTCTGTTTTGCTATCTAAAGCTAGATGAGTCTCAAGAATTACACTTGATAATTGCTATAGCTGAAGACCATTTTTTCCATCTCCACACAATGAGCTGCAGTTCGTCAAACGGACCATAAGCGATTCGCGATCAAATTATATAAGTACTACAACCGTTCACTCGCGAGAGGCTATTGCTACTCTTAACGGCAGTTGTGCACCCTTCTCCACCGCTCCCTCCACAGTCGGCGTCATAACAGTGCAAGCCTCCCGTCGAATCCTTTCAGCCTCCGTAGTCATAGAAAACTCAAAGTTGTTGATGGCCTCGACTAAAAAGGCGTGGAGTTCGAGGACCCTGTGAAACCCTCGAGTTAGCGACGTTAAAGAACCGTACACAATAAGATTCTCCATACGCGAATCTCCAGCCGATACATGACCTCAAGCCCCCAACAAAGCTAAATCTAGGATACCGAAAGGTCAGCACGACAGCACGTCACAGTGGACCTAAAACTCACAGGTTCCCATAGACACCGACTGGGACCTCTTTGTTCATGCTTCCTCGGAACCATCGCTCAGGATTGAAAACGTGAGCATCTTCTCCCCAAATGTCCTTGTTCCTTTTCATTACGCAAAATCAACGAGGTCACAATGGACATCATAGCTTATTCTCACCTGTTATATCCCGCAACAGAAGCAAAGATGAATGTACCTCTCGGTACCGCTACCTCTTGCACCACTTTTCCCGTTGTTAACGTCACAGGCTTGCTCAAAGGAAGCACATCATCTCGAGGCGCTACCCGAGCGGTATTATAAGCAATGGGATGGAACCGAAGCACTTCCTACAGGGAGATGAGCCCAAGAAAATGTGAGATGAGAAGGCCCCGGATCTGACCTTCACAATGGCAGTCAAATAAGGCATGTTGTCCAAGTCCTGCACAGTGAACTCGGTGTCACCACGATCAAAAACTATTCGTTCCTTCTCCCTGATCTCCGCTCTCAGTCGCTCTTGCACTTCGGGACGCTTTGAAAGTTCAAGAAACGTCCAAGAAAGCGTATTAGCAGTTGTTTCGTGGCCAGCGAGAATGATGGTGCTGTCATCAACTGAATAAAATTTGAACATCTAATTGAAGAAATACCCTTACTTCATTTGAGCAAGCAATTCGTCATCGTTTAATCGAGTCTTCGGATTTTCCGAAACATTTGCTTTCACTGCCATGCGAAGTTAGATTCATGCAAACAAGCAGATGGAAAAGAGTCAAACCTAGTAAACTCATCTTGGTTTTCCCGCTATAAGTACTTGGTGCTTCTCATGCAACAGCTTCTTCGCAACCTGACCAGACAACTCATTCGTCATTCGGGCGTGTCTCAATCGCTCGAAGGGTGCCCTTTGAACAAGGAATCGTACAAGCCATTTTGGTACCCATTCCATCAGAGCCAACGATAGAGTGCTGTTGTCCGTTTGTACGGCAAACGTGTCGAAACTAAAAAAACGGATGTATCATCAGGTCGGAAAGCATCACAAGAGAACTCGAACTCACAATAGATTCGTATATGCGATGGTAAGAGGGTTGGCTGAGTTATCGAGAGCGCCAAATTGGTAATCAAAAGCCGCTGGAGACGTAACTCAATGAGAGTACTCAGGGCTCAGGGTACGACCGCATGGACAACATACCTTCGCCTATAGCATCCAACGCTGCGCGCGATGTCCACGAAGGCATATCAAGAACGACCGACTGGTTGTCAGAGGTGGAGATCAGCTCTTTCCACTTTGATGCCATCTTCAAGTAGACGAAGAACTTAGTGCGAAGACCTAGAGAACAGAATGTTTTACAATTACCTTGCTAGCGTATGTGAAAAATACTGGTACATAGAATTTGGCTTCAGGTCCTCCGAAACCTGGTAGGAGAACTTTACGGTGTCGCCTGTGGTCATCACCTATGAAAATGATAAGAAAGAGGTCGCGAAGACTTCGATATTACAGTAGCAGACCTTCGGCGAACAGAATTCCCGGCCCTGTAATTAATCGTCCGATCTCCTTGCGGCCTGGGGGTTTGATAAATCTGTAGCCGCTAGTCTGATATATATACTGAAGCGCCTTGGGATCAGACACCAGAAGACGATCTTCCTGCATAACCCCATTGCTTAGCGAATGAATGGGTGCTGCGTGGAAGATAACTTACACCCAAAGGTGCCCGGATTCGAACGATATCGCCATACATGGCTTGCCATTTGAAGTCGATCTCAACGTAAGATGAGATAACCGCAAAAAATTAACAAGTATAGATTCACCTCTCCTGCTTGGCCTTTAAGGAGCTCTGGTAGGTTTCCTGGATAGGCCAACGTGAGCAAGAATGAGAGGTCGGAGTTAAATCATACCATAGAGAAAAGATTGCGATGGCGGTCCGGGTACACTAGCCAGCGAGATGCGAGTGAATCGCCTGAACACAAAATAAGCCGCACTAAGCAAGCAAAGAGACGACAATGCAATAAGGAAGGCCATTGTTCTAACGAGCCTGAGGATTCTTTGGGTTGACTATATAGCAATTCTGAAGCCTTTCAATTACCGATCACCGGGGGAAAAGGACAGAAGCAAGGTCTTGAGACCTTATGATAGTCATGAACGCTCAGTCATGATACAGGCTCAGCCACTGCGTATGGCAATCTTTTCTTAGTCTACGCTCCGATTCGTATCGGAATTTGGGGTAAATGAAATCGCTATGGGTGTAATTCAGTGTTAGTTAAATGTCAGAGTCAAAAGTATGTGGCCACTCACGATATATGGCGAGTGAGATATTAAGACGTTGAAGCTGTAGCTGAAGCGGCATAAGGGCTCTTTCGCCAGCACTCAGTTCTTGCTCTTGGCGAATATCCGCGTTGCCGATAGAACTTTACATAGAACACTTCAACGTCAGATACGTTTACGGATACGTGAATTGCTAGTAATCCTCTCTTACAGTTCAGGGCAAGGTTAACGTATTCAGAAAATCGTTGAGTTCTTTGAGGGTTCGGGCATTGTGAATGACCGGTCGAGACCATTGGATATAAACAACCGGAATTGTCTGAAATGAAGATCAGAAATTGAACACAAATGGTATAGCATCGCGACGAGCTATCACTAACTTGTATTGTAACAGTGTTCAAGCTAGGGTTGAGGTGAAGAGTAAGCGGCAAAGGCCGATGCTCATCCGCGGCAAAACCATGCCGGACGCAGCTCGCCGCCGCAATATTGTTCGGTCTCAGATGCTTTAGTGAGTGTCAGCGACAATATTATAATACGGGATTAAAACCACCCTAAGCAAGAAGAAATCAATGCCTGCTTCATTACCATGAACGACAATCTATTTGAGGCTTGAACTCTGAGCATGCCAAAATCGGCTTAACTCGGCAAATGCCGGAAAACAACGGGCCGCGATCTCCGCCACGCAGCCTTCTCCTAACCAACACCACCGCTACCGCTACCGCTACCGCCACCACTACCACGACCATTACCGCCACCACTACCGTAAAACAGCTCGTGGCACACCTACTGAAGCCTTGTCCTGGTTGCCAGTAGGATGGTACGTTGGTCGGTACCCAAACCTTATTGGTTTACCAGTCATTCGCGACATGAGCAAAGGCCCCACGAATAACCACCACCACAAATACTCTATATCTCGCCATTTCTTTATCCCCAACTCTCCCCTTCAGCTCAAACTCGTCATTGACTTTGAAAAGCGCTCTCCTTGCAATGTCTCAGCAATGTCTTACATGGCAGCTCTCTGTCTTTCCATGATGCTGCACCATTTTCGCCTATAGCACGAGTCCCTTGTCCTTGTCAAGGAAGATATCACTCTCCTTTGGCTTTGAGGAGATCACCTTAACCTCGAAGTCGCTAGTGATGTCGTTCAAGGAGCTGACTATTCCGCGGACCTCCCCCAGTTCATTTCCTCTCGTTTCATGTATCCTTGCAACCTCCATTGGCATTTATCACTCTGTAAAGCCATTGCAGCGTGACAGCCATATTTCTTGACCCTTCGTTATCCCGGGTCGACATCATCTGCAGCTGATGTCAGCGAGGCGCAGCTGGTCTGCGACGATCAGGATTACGGTAGTCGGAAGGATTCAGAGGGAATGTGCATATTCGCTGTCATTTCGGACTCATGCACTAGTAGATAATGTTGCTACGACTGTCATTACTTCTCACAACGAGCCATCGAGGTCGGTAGGAGTAGTTTACTTCTATTTACCTGAGCTGTATCAGCGGAGATGGCCAATCAATCCAGTTTTCCAGTTTTCTCCTGTAACTCTTCCACACAGTGAAGCATCATTATGATCTGTCTTGAAGCGCTTGTACCAACCAACTGTAACTCGTCAAGTCCACTATTTTCTCCGCGGTACTTAATCTGACTCAGGGATAGTACTGCTTCGACTCTGTTAGATTTGTGTCACTGTTGCACTGGTAATGATAGCGATCTTAGCAACTACAATAACACTGGCGAAAACCCGTGTCATTGACGTGCACACACGACAGCCTTTTTACTATTATTTAACTGTGAAGTGGTCTCTTCTGGTATCTACCCCACAATGCTTCGCCAATTCATCGATCGCTACTTCCTCAGCAAGGGCGGGCATACAGTTACATTCCTGGGGCTTGACTACGCTGGAAAGACAACACTCTTGTACCTCTTAAAACTCAATCAGGTTCTTCCAACCATTTCTACCTTTGGGTTCAATGTGGAGACGGTGGATGTTCCTCTTGCTGGGCGACGCCGTCGAAGGCTTACTTGCTGGGATGCCGGGACGGGCTGTGGTATTCACGGTGTTTACCCTCTGCTGCGAATGTTTGTTGAGACATCAGCGGGAGTTGTTTGGGTCGTGGATAGCACTGACAGGGAACGAATCGACGAGAGCATCGAGACCTTCAGCATCTTGGTCACTGGTGTCACCAACAATGGCATTCCTATCCTCATGTAAGCAAATACTTGTTCACTCAATGAATTATCTTTGATGGCGGATGAGCATAGATTGGCAACGAAGCAGGACCTTCCGGGTGCGATGTCCGTGGACGAGATTCGTGTCAAGTTTGCGAGAGCCATCTCGGGGCGGAACGCTTTTGTATTTGGTGCAGCTTTGGTTCAGCCAGACGCGATTGCTGCGTTATCGGCTCCATTTGAGTGGTTCATTGCAGCCATTCAAACCCCTTCTACGACGACCGCGAGCAAGCAGCCGCCAGTTGCCTCGGAAAATTCTGACCCGTTGGAGCTTGACAAGAAATTGAGCGCGTGGCTGGCACGTACCGAAACTGACACTCCTCCTGAAGAATTCATAGCTCAATTCCTTTCGGCAAAGCTTTCCGCCTGGGATCATTACACCCACATTCGCATCGCCTATGTTATTTTGACCACCTATGGTCGACAAAAAGGTCGGTCTAACGTATTTTCCCCTTCCAACAAAAGTCTGACTTAGTCTTTATCGTACAGGAAAGGATATGATTTTCGATGGCATCGAAAAGTTCATAGCCCGGAGCTCTATTGCCAGTGGTCGCACGTATCATGTTACTATGACATATTTTTGGATACAGCTCGTGCATCTCGGTATACGCAACATGCCTCCATCCAGCGCATTAAATGCGTCGGACATCACGCTCGTCGAGTCATTTGAACCATCACCAGAAGATTTCATCCGCTTCCTTTTGATGAATTCGCATCTCTTGGTTGGGAATCTGAGTCTATGGACGGTGTTCTATTCGAAGGACGTCATGATGAGTCCGGAGGCCAAGGCGGGTGTGGTTTTGCCAGACAAGAAACCTTTGCCTAATCTTGTCGTCCGCGACGCAATCTCAAGAGTTCATGTAGTTTGACTGGGTTGGTCTGCATTAGAGGGATAATTGGTATCTGTCTTTAGTTGCAGTCCTAGGACTTGGCCCATTGCTGTGAATACATACAGCCTCTTTGTAGTTCAGTGGTTCTTCCATCAATTAACTTTCTCAGGTCCAAAAAACTATGCTGTTCTTCCGGTTTTTTCCCATTGATGAGAGTACCATATGGTCTACGAACGCTGTATCATTTTTTTGATAGAAAACCTGTGTAACGCATCCTGTATGTCTTGTGCTCCTTTGGGAAGTGTTGTTGAGGGGGCACAGGCTGTATCCAGATGTCTCACAGCAGTGCTGCGGCTTGCTGTTGGGTGTAGCGCCACGAAAATGCCTCACAAAGACTTCGAGGGTCTCCTTGGATGCTGGAGCAAGCTAAAGTCCACCGCAGGGATGACTGCTGCATTTTCTGGGTCGGTGTAATACCCAAAGCATACTAAATTAATCATGTACGTCCGGCGAGTAAGTCTAATTAGAGGGAATATGACTGTTCTAGTTCTAATGATATGCTTTGATTCTTCTGTACCGGTTACTGGGCTTCTTGACCGTCTACGATTAGAATAGACGCGTCCTGTAAGGTCCTGTATCGCCTTCACTGTGAGAGACGTCGTAGAAGGCTATAGAATCATCCAGAAGGGTACAGAATCCGAAAATAGCAGTCAAATTGGCTTGTCACCGGCATTCGTCACGCCCTTACCTCTGCTTAGATTTTTTTCTCTGTACGACCACGATCCACTAATTCTCTATCGTAATCGCATCTTATATCCATCATGGCCGTCGTTGGAGTTGATTTTGGTTGTCTGCATAGCAAGGTGCGTCGTTCGACATCGCATACGAGATCGATTTTTTCTGATATTCCAAAGATTGGTGTGGCCAGGCATCGAGGCATCGATATCATCACGAATGAAGTGTCGAATCGCGCAACGCCGTGCGTAGCTGTGTACTGAACAACGACGAGGATACTGAACCGGTTTCTTGCAGATCCTTGGTTGCGTTTGGTCCCAAACAGCGTTCCATTGGCGAGGCTGCTAAAACGCAGGAGACTTCAAATTTTAGAAACACCATCGGCTCGTTGAAGCGACTCGTCGGGCGAACGTTGAATGATACAGATGTGCAGAATATTGAGAAAAAGTTTATCAATGCAACCCTCGTCGACGTCCACGGTTCTGTTGGGACTGAGGTATGTAGCTTTTTTATCTTATTTTTCGTCTTGCTCATGTTTTGTAGGTCAAGTACCTTGGAGAGAAACAGACCTTCTCATCTACCCAACTTGTCGGCATGTATCTCGCCAAACTCCGTGATATTGCTGCCAATGAGCTCAAGACGGGGGTCACCGACATTGTCATTGCAGTCCCGGGATGGTACACCGACATCCAGCGCCGTGCTGTCCTTGACGCTGCTGCTATCGCTAACCTTAACGTTCTCCGACTGATCAACGACACCACCGCTGCTGCTCTGGGCTATGGCATCACCAAATCCGACCTCCCAGAACCCGAATCACCTCGTCATGTCATCTTTGTTGATGTCGGACACTCCGGCTTGTCGGTCGCCGTCGTAGCTTTTGCGAAGGGACAACTCACCGTCAAGAGCACTGCATACGACCGTAATCTCGGCGGTCGGGATATCGACTATGCCCTAGTACAGCACTTTTCGGAAGAGTTCAAGGGGAAGTACAAAATTGACGTCATGTCGAATCCCAAGGCTACTTTCCGTCTCGCCGCGGGATGCGAGCGCCTGAAAAAGGTGCTTTCTGCCAACGCTGAGGCGCCCCTTAACATAGAATCCATCATGAACGACATCGACGCCTCCTCGAAGCTCACCCGCGAAGAGTACGAAGGCCTCATTGCCCACGTCCTCGATGGCATCGCTGCGCCGCTTCAACGCGCTCTGGAGGACTCGGAGCTCACCCTCGACCAAATCGACGCTGTTGAACTCATCGGTGGATCCACGCGTATCCCTGCCGTCCGGGCTCGCATTCAATCAGTCTTCCCCGGAAAGGCCCTCTCCACCACCCTTAACCAGGACGAGGCCGTTGCCCGTGGTGCCACCTTTGCATGCGCCATGCTTTCCCCAGTCTTCCGTGTCCGTGATTTCCGGTTCACAGACATTGCCACGTACCCAATTAAAACGATTTGGGAAGCGTCACCCGACTCACCTGAGGAGGATACCGAGCTTGTGGTATTCCCCCGTGGTAATGCACTTCCTTCATCAAAAGTCATGTCCTTCTACAAGAAGGAGCCATTCACTGTTGAGGCTGTGTATGCCGAACCTGCTTTGTTGCCCGGCAGCATTAACCCTTGGATCGCCAAGTTCACAACCAAGGAAATTCCTACCGTCAGCGGCAGTGATACTCCTGTGAAGGTCAAGACGAGGTTGAATGCGAACGGACTTCTGTCATTCGAAGCTGCGTTCATTGACGAGATTGTGGAGAAGGAGGAAGCTATGGATGTTGATGCCGCTCCCGATGCTCCACCCAAGAAAAAGAAGGTTAAGCATGACGTTCCATTCGTTTCGGGCGCGTCTAGCTTGGACAAGAGCATCGTAGAATCCTTGAAAGAGCAAGAGGCCCAAATGCACGCCAGCGACAAGCTTGTGATGGACACCGAGGTACGCCTGTGTGCTTATTTCACTGCCTCACTCAGACTGACTCGTTTCCTCTAGGATCGTAAAAACGCTCTCGAAGAGTATGTCTACGACACTCGCGGCAAGCTCGATGATAGATACGCCCACTTCGTGAAACCTGAAGAAAAAGAGAAACTTCTCGCCGCTCTCCAGGAGGCAGAAGATTGGCTCTACTCCGAAGAAGGTGAAGACGCAACCAAATCGGCCTACGTTACCCGTCTGGACGCCCTTAAAGTCCTTGGCGACCCTATCACCTTCCGTTGGCGCGAATCCGAAGAGCGAGCCCGAGCCATCACCCAGCTCCGTGAAACGCTTAACAGCTACATGTCCCAAGCCACATCCTCCGATGACAAATTCTCCCATATCGAAGAGAAAGACAAGCAGGCCGTCGTGGAGAAGGTCGCGACTGTACAAAAGTGGCTTGAGGATCAGATCATCAGGCAGACGGAGCGTCCAAAGAATGTGGACCCTGTGCTGACGAGCGCTGAGATTTCGAAGAAGAGGGACGAGGTTATCTACTTTGCGACGCCAATCTTGACGAAGCCTAAGCCTAAACCGCCGGTGGTTCCGAACAGTGGGACCGGAACGCCCAAGAGTGGTAATGAAACGCCGGCGGAGGAACCTCCCAAGAAGGAGGAGCCTAACGGGCCTTCAGAGATGGATGTAGATTAGTTCATAAATTGTGTGTGTAGGGATACTTGATAGTAGTTACGCGTGCTGTATGTTTGGTATAGACAAAAATTCACATCGCTACGGGCCGGGTTGCGAAAGAATTTTCTGGTATGATGTGACGTCACGCTGTCGCGCAGTCACCTCCACGTCTTGGTCTTCTTGGTCTGCCAGCCTGCTGTGCGTGTTGACTTCAAAGTTTTCTTTCTATCTTTAGGTCTATCGGTAACACAGGCCAACTGCTGTAAATTCAGTAGAAATGCGCTAATCTCATAATAGTGTTTTACTCGAACGTTACCAGCTTTGGCCTAACTTGCGGCTTCGGGACTGGCTTTGGTTGTCTAATTAACCGACAAACTTGAAGATTTCCGTTGTGGGTCCGCCTACGCAACGTATACTCAATTACTGTACCAGCCTGGTGTACGGCCGGGAATCCTAATCGTGTGAATGATTCCAGTGCGGTGATCGGGTACATTAGGCTGCTATAAATGCCAGTCTTTGAGCTCGGAGGTTCTAATCATGGCTTTATTCCTCACCTTGTCTTATATCTGCCTGCTCAGTGCGACATATCTTGTATACAAACGATTCAAACGTATTTCGATTGCCAGTGTTCCAGGGCCACAATGGAAGTCTTGGGTATATGGTGCGTTGACTACATGTTGCATTTCCAATGTGTTCTCATGGTCGTGTAGGAAACTTGTCTGAACATCGTAAAGGCGAGGCAGGAGAAGTGAATCTATATATCTCGACTCGTTCGTCTTGGAATTTACGCCGCGATTAGGTCGACTTTAAATGGCAAGCCCAATATGGCGACATCATTCGAGTCCGAGCACCATTGGGAGTAAGTCGCCTTCTGATAATTAGGTCCAGGTGCTGACGGCAGGTGATGATGTCGTCCTGCAGGAAGACCGTCTCCTGGTTTCCGATCCCAAAGCCCTTCAGTATATATATCAAACTAGCGGTTATAGATTCATCAAACCCCCAGGTCGTAAGGAGCTCGGACGACTACTCACAGGAAACGGAATACTCTTAGCAGAAGGTCTGCTATCAGCTATCGAAAACCTACCGTATTTGCATGCTAACCACCTTTGGTCTACACAGGCGATGACCATAAGAGACACCGTAAAGTTCTCCTACCAGGTTTTGGGGGGCCTGAGGCGAAATACTATGTACCAGTGTTTTTCGCACATGCTAGCAAGGTAAATTATATCTATTTATGAATGAGTTCTCCATTAATTTGTCTGGGTTTGTTTGAAGATGGGGTCGAAGTGGAAGGAGCTGATCTCCACAACTGACGAACAGTCTGTCATTATCAACGTCCCTTTATGGACGTCGCATGCAACATTGGATGCCATCGGCGTGGGTACGTTATTTGTACTCATATTTTCTTTCCCTTTCCGTGTTTAACAACAGTCGTAGCGGCGTTTGATTATCAGTTTGGCGCTCTCGACAACCTGGAAAATCCTCTGACTGTCGCATATACAAACATGCTGTTAGCTTTCTCAAATTTTTGATTACGACGACCCTTTGTTCTAACGATGAATCCGCTTTCTAGATTTGATACTTTTGCCGTGCCTACCGACAACAGCACCCTATCGATGTGTCTGATGGATTGGTTGCCTAACTGGTTTATTCGATTTATGATTGAGAAGGCGCCAATCGATCGACTGGAGCATGTCAGAAAGACGCGAGAATTAACCCGCCAGGTCGCAAAGCAGCTGGTGAATGAGAAATACGAGGCACTTGCCGCGGACAAACCTAAGAGGGACATCATGAGTTTGTTGGGTACGCTTCTTCTTTCCGACTTGCTTGTTTCCACGTGCCTTACCTGTACTATGATAGTGAAAGCGAATGTTTCCGAAAACCCGAAGACACAACTCGACGATGAAGAACTTCTTGGCCAGATGAAGTAGGTGTAATGTCCTGGCTGGTGTCTAGTCGTTGATCCTGAACACAGCACGATCATGTTTGCCGGTCACGAAACGACTGCTAATACACTCTCGTGGACGTTCCTTGAACTCGCGAGACGCCCTGACGTTCAAGACCGCCTAAGAGCGGAGATCAGAGAGAAAGAAAAAGCAATCTTCAAGCGCGGTGATACCGAGTTCTCCGTACAGGATCTGGATAGCATGTCTTATCTGACTGCTGTGGTGAAGGTTAGCTCACAGGCGTTAAACCTCACTCATGATTTCGAGCTCACCTTTGCATAGGAGGTGCTTCGCTTCCATCCTGTCGTCTATAATATTGAAAGGTCGGCAACTCGGGACGACGTGCTTCCTTTGAGCAAACCCGTGACCCTCACCACGGGCAAAGTGGTACAAGAGATACCTATACCTAAGGGAATAACTATCACTGCATCGATCACCGGCTATAATAGGTGGGAGCCTTTATCTAAGACGTGCGTTGTCATAATCGCTGATTAAACGAATAAAAAAAGAAACAAGGATGTGTGGGGAGAAGATGCCCATGTTTTCGATCCCACGCGGTGGTTCCAAGGAAATATGAGTAAGGAAGTGTCAGTTGGCGTCTACGGGAACTTGTGCGATCTAGCTTCAGTTGTGAAAGTACTACGCTGACTTTCCTGCCGTAGGTTCAATTTTGCTGGAGGACTCAGGTCTTGTATCGGCTGGCGATTCGCGTGCGCAGTGTTAATTATGTCTCTTTTGTCCACACTAACTGGAAATCCATAGTGTCCTTGAACTCCATGCATTTATCACTGAAGTTATCAATAATTTTGAATTTTCGTTGACTAAAGAGTCGGAGCGGATTCGGCGGGAGGCTTGTGGCATTATGACACCGACCGTGGAAGGCGAGGTGGAGAAGGGTTCACAACTTCCACTGAGAGTAGCGGTTGCTTCTCGCGATTGAACATTTAATTTTACATAGGCTAATGATACATAATTTCAAGATGCATTAGGCTGGGCGGAGAGGCGTATTGTCGTTGTCTGAGTGATGAAATGGACGAACGGTTCCGAGAAAGAGGAAGGGACGCAAACGACTCCACCCATCAGGCCTAAGGTCCGATGTGGAATAGTGTTGCATGTCACTTTACGACACGTGATGTTGATGCCGGTCTGGAATTAGATGTCGCCTATTAGTCGCCTATTTGTATCATCTGCTCGGTTCTTCTTCTGAGTCCTCTCCGTTCTGTACATTGCTGTTCGACATTCCCATGGACCTGTCCGTATTGCTCTGTTCACTTAAACTCTTTGCTAGACTCCAAACCATCGGGACCACCGATTCCCCCACTTGTCAAGAAATTGAACTTTGAACATCCGCAACCCTTAAAGAACTATGATTGGATTCAGATGTCTTGTGTCAGCGCGTTTGACGTTCAAGTTTTCCATTCTTCGGTAACACGGGTCGTTGACAAGAATATGCATTACTGTACACTTCAGTTCACCCAGGCAGTCCAGTGCAGACGTTATAATATCGGAGTACCTTCGTATTTTTACAACCACCTAATTCCTCGCCAGCTTCGATGTTCCGTGACATAGAGAGCGTTGCCATAGCGAGCCTTTTCTCGTAACTTTTGGCGGATTCCCAACCCTGCATGGCTGACGATTCACAGTGGGATGGCTTGGATCCGGTGATCCGTTACTGGACCGCTATATATTCTACGCGCAGTTTAATCTTGAAGGCCCAAGTCCTGATCATGGCACTGCTCCTCACTCTGTCGTCTTTCTGTTTGCTCACCGCAGTGTACCTTGTATACAAGCGACTTAAACACATATCGATTGCGACTGTTCCTGGACCGCAATGGAAGTCTTGGCTTTACGGTACGTTTTCCCTACCGTATTCACTGGCTGTTTCTTAGCTTCGAATAGGAAACTTGCCAGAATTGGTCAAAGGCGAAGCAGGAGAAGTAATTTGATCAATCCCAGCTAACCTCGTTTGTGATTTCACTGCACTTAGAGCGACTTCAAATGGCAAGCCCAGTATGGCGACATCATCCGAGTCCGAGCACCTTTGGGAGTAAGCGATCTTCCTTTGACCACATGGGCAGTTACTAATGGTATTATCGTGTAGGAAGATCGTCTCCTTGTCTCCGATCCCAAAGCCCTTCAGTATATATACCAGACTACTGGCTACAGATATCTCAAACCCCCAGGTCGTAAGGAGCTTGGACGGCTGCTTCACGGGACCGGAATTCTCTCTGCTGAAGGTCTGCCGTCAAAATTTGTGGTCTCTGCGTGCTAATCTTTTCGGTTTGCTCAGGCGAGGATCATAAGAGGCATCGTAAAGTTCTCCTACCAGGTTTTGGAGGACCCGAGGCAAAATTCTACGTGCCGGCGTTTTTCACGTATGCTGGGAAGGTAAATATGTATAATATTATACTGTGGTACAGATTGCTGAACATTCCATTTGTTTGAAGATGGCGTCAAAGTGGAAAGAATTGATCTCCATGACTGACGAACAGTCTACTGTTATCGACGTTCCTTCCTGGACATCGCGTGCAACATTGGATGCGATTGGCGAAGGTACGTTACCTACACTCATACCTTTTCTTTCACGCCCAACAACAGTCCTAGCCGCATTCGATTATCAGTTTGGAGCCCTCGACCACTCGTCCAAACCTCTAACTGTCGCATACACAAACATTCTGTTAGATTTCTTAAATTTTTTCATTACCCATTATTCTAATGACGAATCAACTTTCCAGCTTTGATACTCTTGGCGCACCTACCAACAATGTTACCCTATCGTTATGTCTGACGGAATGGCTGCCCAGATGGTTTGTACGACTTATGGTTGAGAAGGCACCGATCAAACGACTGGAGCACCTCAGACTGTCCCATGACTTGACCCGCCAGGTTGCAAAACAGTTGCTGAATGAAAAATACGAAGCCCTTGCTGCGGACAAACCTAAGAGGGATATCATGAGTTTGTTAGGTATGCTTCCTCCTTTCGGCTTGCTTCTTTTCGTGCGCTCAATTTGTACCTAGTGAAGGCAAATGTTTCGGAAAACCCAAAGACGCGACTTAGTGAGGAAGAGTTGCTCGGTCAGATGAAGTACGTACCATATCCGAATCCGAGCATCATCACTAATCTTACAACTCGCAGCACTATCATGTTTGCCGGCCACGAAACGACTGCCAACACGCTCTCCTGGACATTTTTCGAACTTGCGAGACACCCCGAAGTACAAGACCAGCTGAGGGCCGAGATCAGGGAGAAAGAAAGAGTAATTTTTGCTCGGGGTGATACTGAGTTCTCCGTGCAGGACCTGGATAGTATGCCTTATCTGACTGCTGTGGTGAAGGTCAGTAGCTTATAGTCCTTTTCTATGATCATGGACTCAACGTTTCATAGGAGGTGCTTCGATTCCATCCCATCGTTTACAATATATCCAGAATGGCAGCTCAAGACGACGTTATCCCTTTGAATAAGCCCGTGACTTTGACGACAGGAAAGGTGGTGAAAGAGATACCCATATCCAAGGGAACATATATCATCGCGTCTATCGCCGGCTATAATAGGTAGGGGCTACTCGTGAGGTGTCTTGTGATATTGCTAAATATATGAAAAGGAACAAGAGCGTGTGGGGAGAAGATGCGCACGTCTTCGACCCCGCGCGGTGGTTCCGAGGCAGTATGAGTAAGGAAGTATCGGTTGGTGTCTACGGGAACTTGTGCGTTTTATTTTCGACTTGAAGCTGGATACTATGCTGACTTTCCCGTGATAGGTTCAGCTTTGCTGGAGGACTCAGATCTTGTATTGGATGGCGATTCGCGTATGCGATGTAATTTTAATCTCTTTGGTTCAAGGCCTAACTGTGAAAATTCCTAGTGTCCTTGAACTCCACGCATTTATTGTGGAGGTTGTCAACAACTTTGAATTTTCTTTGACCAAGCAATCCGAACGGATTCGGAGGGAGGCTTGCGGTGTAATGGTGCCGTCCGTTGAGGGCGAGGTAGAGAAAGGTTCACAGCTACCATTGCGAGTAACGGCTGCTTCTCGAGACTGAACTTTGAATCGTATACGAAAGAGCTATATATATTTTTGTTAACGTGCTGAATTTCTTGTCAAGTCCCAGAGGGTCGGTGTTTTCATAGGACAATGGTAGCTCTTTGCCGGTGGATATTGTGCCACGAATGCTACTAGGTGTAATCTCAGATAATGGAGTATTCCCTCTCTGGAGGACCTGTTCTCATTTCTGGTACATGCTCGGGCTGAACAGTGAAATCGTTCCAACAGTACTGTACGATGATCAGTCTTCAGATCTGATGTAATTTAATCACAAGTCATCACTGACTCTTGCAGAGTCGGTCTTGCCCATTCCAAGCTAGTAAAGTGGAAAGCCGATTCTATTTCGCCCCCCGGACTTGTTGTCCTATTTTTAGCTTTCCTGGCTTTATGCCGGCTTACGCGTCGACTCTCGCTTTGTTCCGTCACCTCCGTGTGCACTTCCCTCATTACGTGTCCTATGTCGTGTCTTGGCCTGCCACTGCCGCTGTACGTGTCCTGCTTTTTTCTCCACGTCTCGTGAGTCTCGTTTTTTCTATCGGTTCGGGAAGCGACGTGCGTACTATTAGCGTGTTTCCATCGTCCGTTGGTAGCACAATTCAGTTCGAAGCGCGCAGGTGACACGCTGTTTCTGACACTTAAGCAAGCTACATACATGCATATGCGACTATTCCCAGTGTACTAAGTTTTGATGGTGGCTAACAACTCGGAACCTCATCCATTGGTCACTCGAGTCTCGACTGGAGTCATGATGACGCTTAGATCTGGTGACTGGCTGACGTACCTCGACCGTTATATATCCTATGCGCGTTCTGCTAGTACTCTTGAGATAACTAGATCCTGATCCTGATTTCACTCCTCTTTCTGACATCTTTCTGTCTGTCAATTGCAGCATTTCTTGTATACAAGCGACTGACACGCATATCGGCTGCAAATGTTCCTGGACCACAATGGGAATCTTGGCTCTATGGTACATTTTTAACGTACCGCGCCCTCTTGCTGTTTTTCATATTTCAAAAGGAAACTTCTCAAAGGCGAGGCAGCAGAAGTAAACCTATCAACTTATGAATAGTTCCTCTTGTAGTTTACGTTGCTTTTAGGTCGACTTCAAATGGCAAGACCAGTATAGCGACATTGTTGAAGTAAACGATATTGCTCTGGCTACCTGTCAAGTTGCTAACAGTCACATCATCATGCAGGAAGATCGTCTCTTGGTTTCTGATCCTAAAGCACTTCAGTATATATACCAGACTAGCGGTTATAGGGTTATCAAACCACCGGGCCTAAGGAAATTGGATGATTAGTTATTGGGTTAGGAATTCTTTCTGTTGTAGGTCTGCTATCAAGATGATTAAGGTCTAGTATCTACACTCGTTTATATCCTCATTTACGTAGGCGAGGTCCTCAAGAGACATCATAAAGTTCTCCTACCTGGTTTCAGTGCTCCTGAAGCCAAATTTTATGTACCAGTGTTTTCCACACATGCTTCGTATCTGCCTATTGCGCGTAGCTCAGTTGAAAAGGAGCAAGTAGTTGAACCGCCAGCAACTGAAAGGTGGTGCTAGATTAATTGGCTGTGCACGGTCCCGCCACAGGGTCCGTTGAATCTTGTGATCGACGCCGGTTGGTGCGAAAGTTATCAGGTTATAGTTTGGTCATATATATGTTGTCGCTCTTATACGATATGTATACTGTAGCTCGTATCATGCTTTCCATGTTTGCTGTCCACTGTACTATAATGTTGTTCGACCACTTATCAGTTTCTCATTTTGATTTTCTATCGTGTTTTTATTAGGAAACCAGTAATAGTCCACGCGAGTATATCAGTTCTCACAAAAGTCTATATCTGGAGACCTCACAGATCGCGTCTCATACACTCACTACAACCTTGACAGTCCTACCGTAGTCGTGTATGTAGTCTGTCTACAAGTGACTATTTGTGACCCTTGAATGGAGATTCGGCACTGGCATCTAGTCGGAGTTCCAATTTCTGCAACCACGAGCGAAACCCTGGCAGGCTACAGAGAGACCTTGATCGGCAAGGTAATCACCTGCTCAGTTCTTCTCCGAGCTCCTCACGGTTTTGTACGTTGCTGTCACCTGGGTTTGACATTCCCATGGATTTGTCCGCATTTCTCTGTTCACTTGAACTCTTTGCTGGACTTCAAATCATAGGCACCACCGATGCCCTCACTTGTCAAGTAAGTAATTGAACATCCCGAACCTTTATTTAAAGGCATCTCTTGCGATTGAATCCAATCATAGTTCTTGTGTCAGCGCATTTGACGTTCAAGTCTTCTATTGTTCGGTAACACGGTTCGTTGACAAGAATAGGCATTACTGTACAATTCATTTCACCCAGCGCAGTCCAGTGCAGATGTCATAACATCGGAGTCGCTTCGTATTGTTACTACCTAATTCCTCTATCGCAGGCTTCGTGGCTTAGAGAGCATTGCCATAGTGGGCCTTTTCTCGTAATTTTTTGCGGATACCCAACCCACGCTTCATGCATTCATTGCTGACTCGATTCACAACGGGATGGCTTCGATCCGGTGATCGGTTACCGAACCGCTATATATTGTGTGTGCAGTGTAGCCTTGAAGGCCTAAGTCCTAATCATGGCACTGCTCCTCACTCTGTCGTCTTTCTGTTTGCTCACCGCAGTGTACCTTGTATACAAGCGACTTAAACACATATCGATTGCGACTGTTCCTGGACCGCAATGGAAGTCTTGGCTTTACGGTACGTTTTCCCTACCGTATTCACTGGCTGTTTCTTAGCTTCGAATAGGAAACTTGCCAGAATTGGTCAAAGGCGAAGCAGGAGAAGTAATTTGATCAATCCCAGCTAACCTCGTTTGTGATTTACTCTGCACTTAGAGCGACTTCAAATGGCAAGCGCAGTATGGCGACGTCATCCGACTCCGAGCACCTTTGGGAGTAAGCGATCTTCCTTTGACCACTCAGGCAGTTGTTAATGGTATTATCGTGTAGGAGGATCGTCTCCTTGTCTCCGATCCCAAAGCCCTTCAGCATATTTATCAGACTAGCGGCTACAGATATATCAAACCCCCAGGTCGTAAGGAGATTGGACGGCTGCTTAATGGGACCGGAATTCTCTTTGCTGAAGGTCTGCCGTCAAAATTTGCGGTCTCTGCGTGCTAATGTATTTGCCTATTTGGTTTGCTCAGGCGAGGACCATAAGAGACATCGTAAAGTTCTCCTACCAGGTTTTGGAGGACCCGAAGCGAAATTCTACGTACCGGTGTTTTTCACGTGTGCTGGGAAGGTAAATATGTATAATATTATATTGTGGTACAAATTGCTGAACATTCCGGATCCGTTTGTTTGAAGATGGCGTCAAAGTGGAAGGAAATGATCTCCACGACTGATGAACAGTCTGCCGTTATTGACGTTCCTTCCTGGACATCGCGTGCAACATTGGATGCGATTGGCGAAGGTACGTTACCTACGCTCACGTTTGTTTTTCCCGCCCAACAACAGTCCTAGCCGCATTCGATTATCAGTTTGGAGCCCTCGACCACTCGTCCAAACCTCTGACTGTCGCATACACAAACATGCTGTTAGCTTTCTTCAATTTTTGCTTACCCATTATTCTAATGACGAATCGACTTTCCAGGTTTGATACTTTTGGCGTACCTACCAACAATGTTACCCTATCGTTGTGTCTAATGGATTGGCTGCCTAGATGGTTTGTACGACTTATGGTTGAGAAGGCACCGATCAAACGACTGGAGCACCTCAGACTGTCCCATGACTTGACCCGCCAGGTTGCAAAACAGTTGCTGAATGAAAAATACGAAGCTCTTGCTGCGGACAAACCTAAGAGGGATATCATGAGTTTGTTAGGTATGCTTCCTCCTTTCGGCTTGCTTCTTTTCATGGGCTCAATCTGTACCTAGTGAAGGCAAATGTTTCGGAAAACCCAAAGACGCGACTTAGTGAGGAAGAGTTGCTCGGTCAGATGAAGTACGTACCATATCCGAATCCGAGCATCATCACTGATCTTACAACTCGCAGCACTATCATGTTTGCCGGCCACGAAACGACTGCCAACACGCTCTCCTGGACATTTTTCGAACTTGCGAGACACCCCGAAGTACAAGACCAGCTAAGGACTGAGATCAGGGAGAAAGAAAGAGTAATTTTTGCTCGGGGTGATACTGAGTTCTCCGTGCAGGACCTGGATAGTATGCCTTATCTGACTGCTGTGGTAAAGGTCAGTAGCTTATAGTCCTTTTCTATGATCATGGACTCAACGTTTCATAGGAGGTGCTTCGATTCCATCCCATCATTTATAATATATCCAGAATGGCAGCTCAAGACGACGTTATCCCTTTGAATAAGCCCGTGACTTTGACGACAGGAAAGGTAGTGAAAGAGATACCCATATCGAAGGGCACGTTTGTCATCGCGTCGATCGCAAGCTATAATAGGTAGGAGCTACTCGTGAGGTGCGTTGTGATATTTGCTAAATATATGAAAAGGAACAAGAGTGTGTGGGGAGAAGATGCACACGTCTTCGATCCTGCGCGGTGGTTCCGAAGCAATATGAGTAAGGAAGTACCTGTTGGTGTCTACGGGAACTTGTGCGTTTTATCTTCGACTTGAAGCTGGATACTATGCTAAATTTCCTGTGATAGGTTCAGTTTTTCTGGAGGACTCAGGTCTTGTATCGGTTGGCGATTTGCGTACGCGACGCACGTTCATAATCTCTTTGGTTGGACTAACTGTGAAAATTCATAGTGTCCTTGAACTCCACGCATTTATTGTGGAAGTTGTCAACAACGTTGAATTTTCTTTGACCAAGCAATCCGAGCGGATTAGGAGGGAGCCTTGCGGTGTAATGGCACCTACTGTGGAGGGTGAGGTGGAGAAAGGTTCTCAACTTCCACTGAGGGTAGCGGTTGCCTCTCGCGACTGAAATTCGAGCTCTGTATGAAAGAGCTGTATGTATTTTTACTATTCACGCGCTGAATTTCTTTGTCAAGGCCCGGAGGGTCGGTGTTCTCACATGTCAATAATAGCTTTTTGGACATTGCAGCACGAATGCTAGGTGTAATCTCAGATAAAGAAGTACTCACTGTTTGTCCCATTCTGGCGCATGCTCAGGTTGAACAGTGAAATTGCACCTTGGACGGTGCTGTACGATGATCAGGGTTATCGCTGACTGTTGTAGAATCGGTCTCGCTCGTTCCAAGCTAGTAAAATGGAAAGCCAATTCTATTTCGCCCTCCAGCTCTATAACTCGTTATCCTATTTTTAGCTTTCTTGGCTTACGCGTCGACTCTTGCTTTGTTCCGTCACCTCCGCGTGCACGTCCCTCATTACGCGTCCTATGCTGCGTCTTGGTCTGCCACTGCCGCTCGTACGTGTCCTGATTTTTTCCCCTTGTCTCATGAGTCCAGTTTTTTGTATCGGTTCGGGAAGCGAAGCGTATCAATCTCAAACGTTTCTATCGTCTATTGATACCACAATTTTAGTACGAAGCACGCAGGTGACACGCTGTTCATATTTATACTCTACCGTGCCGATGCAAGCTACATACAGATGCATATACGACTATATTCCTGTACTCGGTTTTGATGGTGCGCTAACAAACTCGGAACGTCGTATATTGGTCACTCAAGTCATGATGACGCTTAGATCTGGTGACTGACTGATGGCATACCCCGACATACCCCGACCGCTATATATTCTATGCGTATTCTGCTAGTAATCTTCAGATAATTGGATGTCTATCATCACATCAATCGCCGGCTGTAATAGGTGGGAACCCTGGTGACACGCGTCGTGAATCGTGAATCTACTAATATGCGAACGAAAAGGAATGAGAATGCGTGGGGATAAGATGCCCACGTATTTGATCCTGCAAGCTGGTTCCGAGGAAGTGTGAGCAAGGAGGTATCGGTCGGTGTGCCATACGGTAACCTGTGCGTTCTATTTATTTGAAGCTAGATACTAAGCCAATTTCCCTCGATAGATTTAGTTTTGTATCGGCTGGCGATTTACATACGTGATGTGGAATTCATCATCCCTTTGGTAGCGCTAACCACGAATATCCATAGTGACCGTGGAAGTTAATAATTTTGAACATTCCCTGACTAAAGAATCCGAGCGGATTCGGAGGGAGCGTTCTTTTCTGAAGACACCAACTGTAGAAGGGGAAGTAGAGAAAAGTCCTCAACTGTCATTGCTAGATAAATATGATGATGATGAGAGTAGCGATAGCCTCTCGTGAGTCGCGACTGATTGAACTATATGTAATTTGATACAGAAAGGGCGCACAAAACACTTCACTTATTGTCACGCGCTTAATTTCTTGTAAGGCCCATACTGGTTGGGGGTTTTCACAAGTTACTGGCGGCTCTTTGAGTTGTTGTTGGAAAAGTCGTTTGAAATCAAAGCCGGCATGAACGCGTCTTTCGGACCGGGTGGGTGTCCGAGTAACGCGTGACCGCGGCCGAACCAACTCAACCATAATCATCCAACTCGACCTACAGTTGCCGATGGCTAGCGCTGAGCGCTGAGCATTGACTCCAGACTTGATTCTCGATTTATTGTAAATCCTAAGTTTGAGTGGAATGCCAATGATGAAAGGTACTTGTCACTTCGAGTATTACTTTGATGTTGGTCTCACGTTGCCTAAATGCAGTCGAATAAACAGCGCGAGCACCAATGTCGCCTTTACATTCCTCGAGCTCCCCTTCATTTTTATACACAACGGTATTGCCTCGATTTGGTTCTACCGACGGGTTGAGCTCAGGCCATGTTTTAGGACTACGCGCCTGCGCCACGGATCGGACCAACGATGGACGAACCAATATCAACAAACCTTACCACCGAGCCAGGTTTTCCTTTAGGAGACTATGGATTATTTGAAGAAGAGACACCATGGGATGATAAGAGTCAGGAAGAAGTTGCATTCCTTGTTCAGCCTCAGGTACCTTGTTGTTGAATTCTGTGATATGATGCTAGAGCAATCTTGCTTCGAACAGGACAAGTCATCATCACCGTTGCCGGTTAAAACGTCTACAGATAAGCCTGCTGTATGCGTCCTTCTGCAACTGTACTCGATATCGCATTCTCATCTTGCACCAGATATCGGTCTCGTTCAATGAAAATGTTGACCTTTCGCCTATTCCAATGTCTAAATTCCAACGCGCACGCGCAAATTTCGCTCCAGAAATGTCGTATTTGGCACTCCTCGAGTCACGCCTTGGATTTTTCCCTCCTTCAAAAGGTCGTCGGGTCTGCATGTCTCATATCAGCGTCCCACCTTTGCCTCACGATAAATCCGAATACAGAACATTGCGTTTTCCCAATCGTGCAAGTTCAAATTTTGCGAAAGCCAAGAGTCCCGGAAAATCCAAAGCCGGCCTCATCCAACGGCACGAGCACATTCGAGCCACGTATCAAGCAGATGGGGCAATGCTTGTGAACAAGCCCTTCAGCGGTAGCCTAAGTCCATTGGCAACCAAACCTCGACGGGGTCCAAGCCACAGTTCTGATGACGCCGCTACCCGGCGGAGTAAAAGTCAAGAATTCGAAGTGATACCATCACCCAGAAAACGGCGTCGACTCTCAATCGACAGCATGGGATCGTTCCCTCCTAAAAAGAAACCAAAGAGGTATCAAGTACGGGAGGTGCGCCCGAGGAGTTCAGATGTCGACGAGAAGGCGAGTGTCACCGAGGATTCCGATAACTACTCTACGCAGGATGACGAGTATGTCACTGACTCTGAGGTCGTGTCTGTAAATTTGCGTCCCAGGACCCGCTCGACATGCCGACATAATTCCGAATCGGATCGTATGGAGTGGCACGACACCAGATCTGGCTTGGAACTGGATGTCGATATCCAGCCCACCGCGACGCCTCCGCCACCTCTCATGTCTGCAAAGGCTAGAGGCAAGCAAAAAGCTATACCCATCCATCATGAAAAGGACTCGCTTTCTCCCCAACCCCATATCGACGTTGATTTCAGCAATGATATGCACCTCGAAGACAATCATTACAGCGATCCCCATACCGTAGTCTCTCCCTCTGCACCTGACAGCTATGCCAACGGCCCCACTTCACCGCCACATTCTGCATCCCCTTCTGAGGAACACCTACTTGATTCCTTCCCGGATCTTTCTTTCTTCGAGAAGTATGCGCCTCTACAAAAACACTCTCTTCCCAATTTTTGGTTTCAAGGATGCTCTATCCCGCACGGCCAGACGCTCGATCCGTCACTTTTAGGTGGTCTTGGGTTTACGGACCTCCATGACCTAATGTCGCCTTCGCCATTACGGTTGGGTTCTCCTGGAGCCGGTGTGCCATTGCCACAGCCTTTACCGGATTACCGACCTGGCAGAGATATATCCCGTTAACCCTTACCACCTCTACAGCATCCTATTGTGCCAGGAAATCAGCTATTACTGAAGCGGTCGGACGCGAATGAAAACAGGGCTTTCCCGCTCGTAGGAGGTTAAGCAAGTGGTAGAAGAACCTGCAACCAAATTGGCCTAATTCGTTACAAAATGTCCCCCGATGTTGTATATCTCCTTCGTTACCTTGTAGGTCAGCATTACCTACAACGAACGTTCATCCAGTCAGTCACCTTAAACGAACATCCTCCAATCCTCCTGATGTAAAAAAGATGCATCAATTTTTGTCCGTACGATTGCAGAGGAAAGGTAGAATAAGATGTCCTCTTTTATGGAGAAATAAATACATAACCGAGATGTATGGGTATGGTGAATAGCAAGACAGTGACGATAGCTTGAAATGGTATCAGCAAAGCATGTATGTAAGAAGGGTTCGTGTCTATCAGTAATAGAGCGTCACAGCCAATGTAAGATATAAACAGAGGAATGATGGATACAATGTTGAGTGAATGAGTTGTTCTAATGAGTGTGCTTGCACAGTAACCGAGTCCAACATAAACCAAAGTGAAGTGAAAGCAGTAATAAGCCAATAAGGCAGAAATTGATGGGACGAGTCCAAAGCTTGTCCATCAATATGAGAACACCATCAACCACGGGTTGAGGACGATCTAAAATGGCGATGGTGAGCTTCAATCTGGAAAGTCATGTATGAATACTAACCGGGAAAAGTATATGACAGCCTGCAGCCACGCCTAACGGGAAGATCACAGCCCACGCAGAGCCATCAACCCTCCAACCTAGAGGTACTAACGACGTGCTGAGAATGATCATCCCTACGATAAGAAGGAAGCTGACGATAAGCGGGAACCAGAACCGCTTAGCAATCTTCGGAATCTCCTTGAAGAAATTTGACCTCTGGACCTCCTTAATGGTGGCGCTCCACGTAATGTTGTACGAGAACAGATGCGCAAGGAGAGCTTGAGATACTGGGATTGATAGGCCACCAAAGAAGAAGAAACTGGACGTAAGATGGTGAGCGATTGAGGAGGAGATGAAGAAGACGATAAGAAACGTACAAGAATGGAACCCACATCACATTCTCGAGGAACCCCTTGACTAACGGTTTATGGCCTAGTCGATACTCGAGAAGAGTGTAACCAACGTTTCCAGAACCGAAGAATACGACTGTTGTCGCTAACCAGACCTCGAAGGAATGCATGTAGAAACCATCCACAGGAAACTGGAATCCAAGAAGGGCATAGTTGATAATACCGATAGTGACGGAGGCAGCGATACCATAGTAAGAAAACATGTCTGCAATAAGGATTAATGAATTATTATTATTAGGGAAATGAAGCAGGACGTACACGCCATCACAGAGATCTTGTAATGGATGGGAGCTTTACACCACATAAATCGGTTAATTTGATGTGCAATCGGACCCTTCTTAAACCATTGAACCAATGGATTGAAGAGAAGCCTAAAATGAAAACGTTAGTCATAAGTACACCAACGATCAGGCTTGACTCACTCATTACAGCCATAAGCGTATTTCTGTAAGAAACATCAGGACCAGAACTTGAAAATGAGCGGAGATTAACACACCTGCCAGCGATTTAATTCATCATCCACCGTCAACGAGACACCCTCCTTGAAACCTCCATTGGAGTACGTCGCCCACCGAATATCATAGCCCCTCATTAACAGCCTCAACGCCATATCGAAATCTTCGGAAACGTTGGATTCACTCCATATCCTCTCCTCGCCCGTGGCTTTCGCAACTTTGTCGTCTGGATCAACGAATGCCGCGTCCTGTAAGGCCTTCCACCTGAGGAAAGCATTATGCCCAACGAAAGGCGCCACTTCTCCGTTAGCGCAGGCCATGGATATACACCTATTAATCCGCCGTGTGAAGTACGCGATACCGTTCTCAAAATAGTGGTTGGCGACCTGCATGACGTCACTTTCATGCTGGATAATGGCAACGTTGGGGCAGGCTGCCATTTCCCGCGCGGCATCTCGTAAACAATCCTGAGGGATATCACCAATAAGCTTTAATGAAAGGTTGATAAGAAATTTTTACCTCGGGAACAACCGTGTCACTGTCAACTAGCAAAATGATTTCACCGATACGCATTCCCTTTCCGAATGCTGCCCAGGGTCGGAATCGGGAGCCGCTCTCTTCGTACACCTGTTCCATCGCCATTTGGAGCGCCATCTCCTCTGTATCCTCGTCGCCCTCCATATCCAGCATCCGTGACATATCATCGCCGTCTTTTCCCATATACTGCATCCCATATGTGCCTCCGTGAGTGCCAAGGTGGGCATTGCTACCGAATTCCGACATTGCTTGACTCGTTGCCGCCGAGGCTCGACGATAATGCGCCTGTGGCGGTCGGTTCGCCATCAAGTGATCCAGATGATTCTCGACCTTGAGGGATAGGCTCAAGCCATAGTTCATGTTACTGGCCTTCTTGAAACGACCAGCTCGCAGGAAGGGAGCTCCCCTATGGTCCTTAAGACCTTTCTCAACATCGCCAGTTTCTTCGGTGTAACCATGTCGAGGACGGGCAACCCAAGCGATACCGTGCGTGGCGTAATACGCTATCCGCTCGTCCCGATCGGCCATAGAAATGAGCCGAAGACCATCGTCGTTAACGAAGATGCTGGATGTTCCACCTTGGCGCGCGTACGTCCGCATGGCGCGTTTTATGGAATTGAACGAGGGGTCAAGTACGGAGTCGAGGTTCTCCTTGTAGACTGGCATTTGGATAGTGATATGAGGCAAGCGGTTATCGATGTCATCGTTAGGGAGAGGAGGGATAGCAGAATAATATTTGCTATTCATGTGGTAGTGAGCTATAGGTCCGATCCTTTAAAACGTTCATCCAATGTCAGGACATATACGAGAAGAGCATAATAGTATAAAACTCACGCCATGGTAACGTTTTGGACAATCTGGATAGTAAAGAACAACGAGACACAGAAGAGAAGCGGGAGGATCGCAAACAAGGACGAACCGCATATAGGTGCTGTCGAGAAGCGACTCCGTCAGGAGAGTCTTGATACCATTCCCCATGAAGATCAAGGCCAATGCTGCAGCGAGACCGTTGTAAAACGGAGCATAGAGCTTCGCATCCCGAATCTCTGCTTTCGGAGCAGACATGCCAACCTTTTTCCCATACCAATTCCGCTTGACCTTGCTCTTGAGGATAGGGGAGGGTTCGACGAGGCTGTGGTTGGAAAGAGATGGGGAAGCGCTACCATGACCGGTGACAGAAATCGATCCCTCTCTAGGAAGAATGGACCCGGCAGATATGGAAGATGGTGCTCCGGGACGAGATCGCCACAATAGCTTTATGAGTCGGTCTTCAAAGTCCTGACAGGTAGGTATGATGGTGTCGAGGGAAGAGGTGAAAACGACAAGGACACGCTCGTCCCGAATGAAGGCGGCACACTGCTCCTTGTCGGCCTGTGGCAGCTGGAGCATCGTGTCGATGATCTGAATGCGGGTATTGTTGTCCACATAGATGCTCGTCGCGTCGGGAGGTACATCTGCAAGTGCAGCATGAACAGCGGCGCTGCGAACCTTGACTGCAACGACAGGATTGAGTTTCTGTACAGCAGCCTCGAAAGGCTCTAGGTAGATGTTTTCATAGGGAAAAACGCGGAACTCTGGCGGTGAGTCGTTTACGCGTAGGGCGACACCTGAGGTAAGGCTCTCTTCCTGGGGACGAAACCATGCGTCGCCCTGCGTTTGCTTGAAGATGTGGTGAAGGAGAGCGTCCCACCTGTCGTAGTCCATGGCCAAGGAAGACGGTGGGAGAGAATCTTCTTACGAGCAGACGCATCGTGGTGATAAGAGAAAACCAGGCCGATCGGGTGACTGGGGTCCATGGCAACGTCATAGGTTACCAAATCCTCTCGAATTCGAAAAATTCAGACGGGAATACCCACACTCCGTTTCACAACACCAGGGTCAGGAGTGGCTGACATCCAAGGCCCCCATCCTTGAGCCACCAGAGGGGTTATCGGTATTGAAAAATAGGATTGGCGATAGGCCCTCGGATAGCCTGGGAAGAATTGGGACTGTCAGCGGAGAAAAGACGCAACTTCGTCTTCGAACTTCGAACTAATTTCCTGCCGCTTCTGGTGCGCAGTGTGACAGCAACAGGCGCTACTGGACGATGAATCGCTAGGGGTACAAAGTGTACTCCCGGACTAGACGGCTTGATCCTCAGCCCTGCAAAAAGCAAGCAATTCGTCTCAATTTTGCCACCCTTTTTTTCCGGTGTTTTTCAATTCCTGACTGCGTGAGTGAGCTATGAACTGTAACCGCCCATCACCGGCCTCACGGTCAACATTACTTTGCAGTGCATGATGAATGCTAAATACGTACTCCTCTTGCAAGTTGCAACCAACCATGACAGGCAGCTGCCGCCATGTTGCCGTTCGTCACTCTTCCAAGCTTCATGAAATGCCTTCTATTGTTATCGCTAGGAGTTCTTATCGCTTGCGAAGATCGTGGAGGGATCACGTCGGAACCGTAAGTGGACTCAGAATCTGAGGAGCCGTCGGTCAATGATGGCCATGGATAGGCTTTTACAGCATCAGCCTCGATGATAGCGAAAACGGAAAAGTAACGGTCGCCTCAACTCCGCCTTATGACATATAAGTGGGCAGAACCCGTCCGGCGATACGTGTATCGCTAAATCGTGAGAGAGTTCTGACATCTATGGGGAACAGCCGTCTCGAGTGTCAAGTACGAAATGCGTATCCATGCTGCGTTGTTGTTTAACCGAGGGCTGTGCTCTGACAGGCTTTCGAGCTTCACTGACGGTCTGCCAAGACCTCGGATTCGTATGTGCGTCACACAAAGCATTCTTCTGCCAGCAGATATTAGTGATGGTGGTTAGAAGCTAAAGAAGGAAAGCAGCGCTGCACTACCTTTCCGTTCCCATCACGGCGACGTACGAGGTTTTGGAAATCAGATACTATGAAATGATATTGAAAAGCTGGCAGAGGCGCAGCATGCCGTTGTCTGACGGTGATTTCGGAGGGAGCAGCGACCCGGCTCCCGACTATATGCGAGTATATGCGCATCCAGAAAATCGAATGATGATGTGGCGGGAAGGAAAGCGCAAATTGGCACCGTGCACAGCATTAGCACTCGACGCGAAGGGCACATGATATTCACGTGCCAAAGGTTCTCACGTTGATGTATCCTTGTAGGTCCGCCGCCAATCTGTCCGGCTTGCTAGCCAGCTCTTCGCGTTCCTGATCGATCTTAACCCCCTCAAGCAAGTAGCAACTGAATGCGGCAAGCTTAAGCTTTTCTAGAGCACTTTTAAGACCGCCAGCAAGCTCAGGTCCCAGTCGAATAAAAAGTCATATTTGATAGAAACTTACAATGTCATAGAGACATAAGACATAACGAGTACATGGAGATATACGCATCCTGAAACTTTTGGAACAACATAATACCCATTTTGACTTCCGGCTCAAGTCATTTACGGCGCACACATCTTTACCACCCATGTATCAGCACAATCCTTATCCCCCGGCAGCAACCTTGCTTTCTCGAACGTCTCGTCCCGGTCAAGGCCCTTCAAACAGGTATTCTCTCCCAACCAGTCTATCCTCTTCATCTTCTTGCTAGATCCATGCCCCTCAGCCTCGATCCTCTTCTTCGCAGCCTTCTCGACAGTCGCCCGGAGCTTCTTATCGCACACGATGATTCCCCATTCCGAATCCATAATATCCTCCTGCATCGCTGCATGCAGCGCATCCCATATGGCCTCAACAGTAATCGGCAGCGTCGACTTGATATCAATGGTCCACGGGAAATCCTGCGAGACGAGGCGCATAATCATCACCGGCGATATCGTAGCCGGGACCTGCGCATTCGTATAATACGCATTGGCTGCTATTGACGAATGGGCCTTCTTCCTCAAATCATACCGAAGGAGCGTGGTATCCACAGCGAGAATGGGGTGCAAAGTCGCGTGCTTGCTCCGGCCCTTCCAAGGTGCTGGGGGGAAGGGGTGGCGGTAAGCTTGATTCTGAATTCGAAGAAGAGAAGTAAGACACGCACTAGGTCCCAAATCCTGCGCGTACGCACTGGCCCCGGCCCACGGAGTTTGTTGGAACGGGACCCCTGCGCCGCCGTAGATATTGTTCCCTGCGGGGTTAAATCCTGGCCAGCCCCAGTTGTTCATGACCGCTCGTGCGAATGGCTTGTCAGAAGGTCGATTCTTGATAAATGCTTATGAGCGAGCTGAGGCGATGTCTTGATCAGGTGCTTATCGATGCGTTGCGATAATGCTGTGATTCAAATTCCGCGGGCGCTTGCCGTTGTAACCCTGCGTATCAGTCGGGCGCGCCTATTGAAAGTGTTCCATCCATCCATTTCGTGGCAGACGTGATGCTCATCTACTATAGAAATGTAGAAGCTTGATAAGACCACATTACGCGCGTTGAACCCACAAGCACAGGTAAGGACAGCTTTTCACATCGATGTGGGCTGAGGGCATGGGCTGTACAGGCATTGTGACTGATTTATACGGCATGCTACAGCGGTGGGAAATGAGTCACTTTGACTCGAAGATCAACGAATGATACATACATAACGCGAAATTTTCTAGGACCTTACACAGCGCCCTCGGACTTTTTATGCTTTATGTTCGGGACCTCCAAATGCTAATTACATGTCGTAGGACAAGTAGCTTGTATGTAACTCCCTGAATAAGTGTAGATCCTACTTTTCCGGGTGCCTTGGTCGGTGCTATAGTAACACTATCCAGAGCCCTTATTTGATCTAGCTGGAGCTCGGAGTTGCCACACGTACGGGAGTAGTGGACCCCAAGAGCACTCTGACTCTCGCGGACCCGAGTTAATCATGACTAGGCTTCTGAAGAATTGTTCGAAGATAAAAAAGTGAGGGGATTTCATCATATCATGTCATTGTATGATGCGCGCCAGTGAGTGATTCGCACGGCAACGGATATAGTAGTCGGTGTCTCTGTCAGAGAATTACACGCCGCCACAATCTTGGGCGAAAAGAAAGAAGGAAGGAAGGAAGTAGAAAAGAGAATTTGTTCTAATCAGTGAAACAGGAAAGTGCGGGAGAACCATCGGTATGATCGTGTCGGGGGCACGATGCTCGTAAAGCGCCCTAGGACCTTTTAGAAGTTTACAGAATGATAAGAGACCATTGAATGCAAGATAGTGGCTTTCTATATTGTTGTTGTCCTTTACGTTGTCTCTCCAGCCGGGAAAAGTTGACCAGTGGGTAAAGACTCGTATTGAGAAGGTGGACCGCGAGCCATCTGATTTCCGATGTCAAGCACCGTATGCGCCCCACATCCACCTTCATTATCGCTGCAAGAATAAGCTGATGATGTCTACACATTATCGTAGCCTGTACGTAGATGGTGATCGCGCTGAAACAGCTTGTCAATCTAACGGGACTAAGGTAAATGAAGAGAAGGAAAGTGCTCATGGTAACTTACCTCGCTATCTCGACCCGATACTCCAATATACGAAAGAAGAGAGCTCCAAACCATCAGTATCACAGTCTTTAAGCTCAGAGGCAACTATATGCGCTCGATCCTCTATGTCACCAAGGGTGTCCGGGACGCCAGCCTTCCACGCGACACTGACAGATCTTAACTGAGCATAGCCATCTGCCGATGCGCACCTCGACTTGACCATTTTAATAAAATTCGCCGGTTCGAATCCCCATGCGCCATTGATATGAAGTGTATGCAGTTTTGGAAACGCTGGCGGGGTCTTGTCAATGGCTGTGGGCTTACGAAGAATCGTGTTGGTGATTGTGTCGTTGCCCACATTTGCGAGGTGCAGTTCTTCGAGGGTTGGCAGTCGGATAAAGAGACTGCGCATGTCGTATGATGTCATGCGAACATCGTATAGTGTGAGCGAGGTCAGCAAGCACTCGGAGCGCTCAAGTAATCCGAGAAAGGATCTCATGATATCTTGGTTAGGCATGGTGTGGCCGTGTGTACTGTCGGCGCACTCGACGACCAGTTGACTCAATGATGGCATGTCCAATCTGTCAAGGAGTGCAGAGAAGTTTCCAAAGTGATTGATCGACGTGGATAACTTCAAAGAACGAAGACTTGGTGCAGTTGAAGGACTGGTTATGCCTGGAGAGACTGGGGATAGGAGGGATATCTGTAGCTCGAGGTCTTCGATAGTTGTCGCTATGTTCAAAACCTCCAAGATGTCTTCGAACGCCGTGTAATGATGAAATTGCACTTCAAGACGATTGATAATCTTGAGATGCTTGATGGCACGCCAAGGAATGGATAGCTGGTGAATGCGTGCGTAGGCATCCAGAAGCTCCAAACGTTGTAAATTTTCGGCGTCGCGGAAGGTATTCTCGAATGGATTAGGGAAAACCAAGTGAGGAGTTACAGAAATATCAGTGGAAAGGATCGATAGAGAGTGAAGAGAGACCAAAAATGAGCTAAGTGGATGGAAACGAGGGACGGAGGCATGGGAAACACTGAGATGCATTGTTTGAATCTTGGAAGCGAAGGGGATTAAAGACACAATGAGATGCGAAGAAACAACAGCACCGTCTTGAGGCTGATGAATGAAAATGGATAGAGGGTGGTTTTGGGCACGCTGCAGCTGTCGGCCCAGACGTATTACTTCCCTGTATCCACGATCAAAAAGACTCGCATCTCGTATGATGACGTGCGACCAAATCCTCGCATACGATAACAACGCTCTGCGCCACCCCTTGGAAACAAGTTCTATATCCCATAATGATGTCATCGGGGAAGAGTCAAGAAACCACATCTTATACATGGACTGGTACATCCGTGGGGGAAAGTCCACTGTCGCTAGGAAGATTTCCCGGAGAATCTCCATTGGAAGCCACCTGACGGCGCTGAGAAGCTTCCTGTGCTCTTGGATTCGCGTTTCAGTTTCTTCGCAGCGCCGAGTGAGCGTGGATATCTGGGCATTCATTCGAGTGATTTGTCCATCAGGGCATCCCTTGAACGAGTTAGCTGTGTGATCTGCTGTTGTATCTGCACGAGCTGCTGCTCCGCATCGAGAATTACACCGTTCACCGCATCAACTTCACTGGGAAGTGGTACATCGTTGGTCGATTGGAGACGCGATAGGTCGACGTTCTGGGTAACTGGAAGTGGATATATGCTATCTAAATAGCGCGCAGATGTATGATTTGGGCAGGAACAGCTGGGACGCGGTTCCCAGGCTGATTCCATGAATTCCGTTGTCCGCGATATCTTGTCCATGGTTAGCTGGAATACAACTATCCTTGCACGTTACTCACAGACCGTTTGGTCACTATTATTGAGGGACAGATAACTTGCAGTAGCCGTCACTGCCGAGGCTGGGATTGAGAGGGAGACCAGCGAGTTTTAAAACGAGTACAAAGTAACTTTTTGAGTCACTTTTCACTTTCCCTCTTATTCTCCTGCCCGATTTGGCATTGGCGCTTTCCTTCGCTTCTATCTCGCTGTTACGCATCAGCTTTTTAGCTACTATCGAATCAATGGCTTTGCCTACCAACATTAAGAGTCGCATCATGTTTGCATAATGTTTCCAACTTGCTGTCTTGTTTGGCTGGACAAGCATGTTGTATATTAACGTTACAGTCATGCGGGTGGATATGCTGGTCCATACGGAAGGAAGGAGGGAAGTAGATTTTCCTAGTCATCAGTGCTCCTGAAAATAAACGTAACGACGCCCGTACTACAGCACTTAACTTCTACGAGAGCGAACTAAACCCTATGCTCTGCTGATTTGGTCAAGTCTCATCGTGAGTACTCCCTCGCAGCATCGGTTATAGAGGTTAGAAGAGGTTAGAAAACCGGTATGCGGTCCCGAAGGTGAAGAAAATAACCTTCAACAAGATGCTATGCGTTAGACAGTCCTAAGGCACCCTTACAAAGTGGTTCGTCAAAGTGCTGCTATACTAAATGTATCTCGAGATACCTCAGGGATGGATGGACGGTGCGCATTAAAGTGCGAATAGGGGCTGCAACATTTCTCCACTGCTTTGCTCCAAGCATCAACGTACGCCGGTGCTCCATAGTTTCTGCGCAACGGTGATATTGGCTGGTGACTGAAATACGTTCAATCGTGCAGCCCGCCGCCGCATTGCTATGTCCTCCAGATTGATTTATTTCATTTTGCCGCAAAGCACTGCAGCGAAGGGGGGTTGTCGCAAAGCTTCTGTGCCATGACTCCCTCATATACTTCATTATGTTCATGTTCCTGAAAGGCTACTGTCACCACGGATTCAAATCTCGACTGTCTTGATTTGAGAGTCTGCCTAGGGGAGACTACCACACAACGTCTTCATGTTGCGATGCCCTTCCCATGTCCACCCCTATATTTATGGGTCTGATTCTTCGTTCTTTGTCTCTGCCCATGGGAAGGGTCTTCAACCCAGAATGAGTACGAATCAGGCATATATTGCGGCTTGTCAGAGTAGAACCAAAGGCACGACATGGTGGTGAAATCCTAGATAAAAGTAGTGAGAAAAACTGCGTAAACGTAGTGGTCCGAAGGCATAAAGCAAGAAATGACATAGCGGCGAGTTCATAGAAATTCGTATCCCTTCCACACTTATTTTGCGTTTGTCCTCTTCCCCGATTCAACGTTAATGTGCCCAAAAGCACTTATATAGCAACTGGATAGTATGCACTCCACTTGGGAATCTACTCGAGATAAACATGATACACTACGTCGGGTCGGTTACCCATTAGATGGGTGGCTGAAGTACAAAGTATCGTAACTTATGAGGTCCGTCCGTAGAAGAAGTATGGAACAATTAGAAAAGAGAAGAGTGAATGAATGTTGGTGGGAGTGCCTATTTCGCTTCCTCCTCAGTTTGCTTCGTATCCGCATCAGCATCAAAAATAACAGGAGCCTTTTCGTCAACATAGATGTAGGTGGGGGGTGCAACGATGATCTCCTCAGCGTTGCCGTACTGAAGGTGAGAATACTCATCGGTCTCACGCTCACCCTTGAAGGCACGGTAGGAGACAAGGGCGAGTACCCAGATCATGCGGAGAAGGACACCAATTCCGCATCCTGCAAGACAATTAGTGAAAGAAACCCAAGGCGAACAGAAAGAACATACCGAGAACAAAGGCAACAGCCCTGCCCTCCCAGGGACCGAGCATCATCAAGGCGTAGTGAAGGCGAGAGGTGAACGACTCCTGAGAGTTCAGGCGCATCCTATGGTGACGGTGGTGGCCGTGCGCAACAGGAAGGGCATTGACAACCTTCACACGGTCACCGCCCCTCGTCTTGCCCTCATCGCCGGTCTCATTGAGCTGAACAATGGTGGGTGGACCACCGATGAAAGGCATGATCCTGACCACGCCACCATGAACAGTAGTATCGGCTTTGGGGTCAGATTCGATGAGAGGCAAGCCAAGGGCCTGACGGAAAGAATTGGAGAGTTTGACAGCCTTTTCCCGGAAGCGTCTTCCTCCGCCGCAGGGTCGTCCGTGAGTTACTGCGGGCATGCTGGTCGGTACAACAGCATCTTCGTGCGCCACCCCTGGATGGCCAAAGCGAATTGCGGGAGATGCATTTCCGTCACTGCTGCCGGTGAGCATCACGACGCGCATAGGGACAGCGCTGACTTATCTGCTGTTCAGTCGTTGATATACAGCTAAAACGAACGGGAACATACCGAGACTGGCACCAGCCACAAGACAGGATATAACTGAAAGTTTCATTGGGTTCTCTGTATCAAAATTGTCCTAAGTTCGTTTGAGTGAGCTGCGACCGCCTTGAAGAACGTACAGAGGATGTATATGAGTCACAAAGGTGGAATTCGAGGATAACCAGCATCAGCGCAGCGCAGCAGGTGCCGTATGACATTTGAACTCCGCTCGGCAAAATGCGGATTTTACTCAGCTGCCGTAACGGGCTTGCTCGGCAAACGACCATGTCCAGGTCCTCGCTGCGGAAAGAGTCAAACGCACCTTCTCTGTGCTGTCGCAGTACCGATAATGGGTTACTTTGGGCGGCCCCCTTACCAACTCCATTGCCATCAGATGGTTACTTCTGCGGGGATGTCTGACTACTAGCGTCGCTCCACTATGCTGCTGACAGCCCTTTCTTCACCGCTACGTAGCGAGGGTTCTAATATACTATGACTATGTGAAATCTATTGGCTCTCGCGATCTATCATTCTACTGTTTATTGATATCTTGCATGCTTTATGCCATTCACATATCAACTTCGCACGCTGAAACTGATTTGAAACCATCTTGAGGTATTCTATTCCTGGGTACACGATCGATTTCCCAACGCATAGCATCTATCCCATTCCATTCTTCGAGTCATATATATGATGATGCCTGCCTGTCGAGTCGTGAAACAATGAATCCTTTTCACCCTACATGCTTTGTTGAAAGCCTAAGCCAGGACCGATTATACCCCTGTTTGACGAGACTCGCACCCTAACCGCCTAGATTAAGACTATTCCCTACATCTACTAGGTCCTAGAGTATATCATCAGGATTGCGCGATGTATCCCAAATCTTTGACGTAGGTCTTTTCTGTCGTCATTGACACCCAACACCTGCGAGCTCTGTGAAACGTGCTCATCAATCTCTACTGTCTCAATGTTACCAAAGCTTATTCCTCTCCCACCTGGGTATCGAGAGTATGCCGATACGCTGATAGTTCAATCTGATATTGACGGAACCTTTCTATATCCACATTGACGAGGTGTCCTTCCTCCGCAGTATGTGGCATGCTGATTTCTAACAGCATGATGGGGAAAGTTATCCCCGGATTCAACTAGTATGTTCAAAGAACCCTCAAATACCTGTACAGGTACCACCTACTATTCCCTGATCACAGAAACTCGGCTGACAACTTCGGCACCAAAACTGGTGCTCTAGTTCAATGACCTGTCGTCACCAGCATCAATACGGCTTAGCTCTTCTTTGGCGAGGAGTTTTCCAAGCACTTGATGCTGCACGATCCGGCGTGCTGCATATACAAGAACTAACAATAACGCTGATGAATTATCTCCCCCGAGTTGAATGTGGTTCCCATCGATGGAGAGGAGTAATCTACTGTATATTATCGGGTGCCCTTATGAATGTGGGTGCTGATATTGGTTCTGCCCGATATAATACCTATTTACTTGAATACACAGCATGCAAGGACTTTGGAGAGAGAATCTCATGAATGTCAACGTCGCCGACGGCATACTCGGAGTACGATGTTGCGTCCAGCTATTGCTGATTCGTCATCTAGTTCTCCGAGCTCAGCTCCAGCAAACAATTCCGCGTCTCCTCCAATCTTTAAGGCAGTTCTCCTATCTACCACTATCCAGTTGGGAATAACTTCAGTAACTGTCAAGGTACGGACGTCGGAGTCGAGTTAGGCGCTGAGTATACATAGCGCAGATTGTCGCGATTCATGATCCTCGTAGATGTTAGGAAACGACATCCGTTCAACGTTGTGAGTCCATCTTCTCCCGCCCATGTTCCATTGTATGATCACGGAGACTGCTCTTCATAATGAATCTCGTTTACAAATAATTTCTGTTCCGAGATGGCTATGGCTACAAAGTAAATTTCCCCGCGACTAAGACATAAGTATCAATATATCAACGATCCGTACTAAATGTTTATTAGACCACACTATCCATATCATATATTGGACATATCATTTAGGCTACGCCGCCTCGTTACTGGCCGGACGGGCCTCCCCAGAAAATTGTTCTAGGTACTAGGGATGATCTCCAATTGATACACTAGCTCGAAATCATGGCACACTCAACGTGCTTAGATATTATATGGCTCTCGGAGTAACTAAGGTCGCTCTACCAAGCAGCTGGGGGACCACTATGAACCATGTGTGACGTGGTAGTAGTCTAATTCATTCAAGCCTGACTTGGGATTACCAGGTTCGTTTGAGAAGGCCGATCAGGGAGCTATTTTTACAGAATGTGGCCAGTCCATGATGGTATTCTCCTGTAGCTCTTTACAACCGGAGCCTGTTGTGTTAGACCAGGGTACGACTTCACGGGGTGATGGGTAAATTTGACCGTCCATACAGTCCGCTTTGGGTTATGTGGCTGCCAAGGTACCCGCCGAGGCAGCAGCTTGGACTTTTGCTAGTGAACATCCTGTCTTATACCTTGCGATGAGTACACCGTTCAACACGAGTCATACTAGTTCAGATCACATTTATTTAGTCAATCCGCCACTCATCCAGTCCCTTTGACTCCGGACGGCTTAAGGGCAAACCGAATGAAATAACTTATGGTATCAAGCTTACATGTTGACACGTATATCAGCTTGCAGAACACGCTCTTTAATACAATTACCTCCCTCATCACCGCCGAACAGAAATGGATGTAGTTCACATTTATCAATCAAAAGGATTTGGTCAAGATATCTACTTCCAGGCGCAGGCGTCAATGTCAGCATTCTCGGCCTCTTGTATAATGATGTCCCTTGCTTGAGAGCTTCGAGGCTCGAAGTAGCACTTGAAAGGTTCTGGCCGTGTCGTGAGGCCAGTCGTGAAGCTGTCCGTGGACGGTAGCACTTCGTTACCTTTTTCATCGACGGGTGGCATAACATTGAATACCCATAGTATTCTAGACACAATGAGCATCTATCTAAATTCAAAACGGATCAAAAACTTGCCTTAAGACGCTAATGAAGATCGACTGCCAGGCCACGTAATTACCAGGACACTGACGTCGCCCGAAACCAAATGGCAGTGTGAAGTTGACCATCTGCCGATCCGAAGCATTAAAACGTTCTGAGATAAATTCCTCCGCGTTGGCAAACACCGTTTCATCCTTAGTTATAGCGCTTCAAGTCGATGTTAGAGCTGTCAGTTGAACATATATGTTAGACGCTCACTGTATGTTTGCATAGACCATGCTGCCCTTCGGAATAAACATTCCTTCATAGAACATTGTCGGACATCACAGCATGCGGGACAGCGATAGGTGCGATGCAGCGCCATCTGCCTCGTGTTAATGCATTGTTGAGCAGAAAAGAAACAAGGAAGACGTACCTCATCGTTTCTTTGATCACCGCCTGGACATATGGGAGTGCGTCGAAGTCCTTGAAGTCAGGCATTCGTTCTGATCCGACAACTGAATCTATTTCAACTTGAGCTTTTTTCATTACGGCTGGATATTGTAGCATCGCCACTGTAAAGTGAATTGTATGTTTAGTTGGTATTGCCATTTTCGTAGAGTGGGAGAGGTTCCGCACGCAGGAAAACCTCAATGGTCGCGACAGTCTGAAAATATCATTACCAAGATATCAGGATAATATAGTAGAGACCTTACCATCCCTGTTCCAGCGGCCCATGGCGCAGATAGCGCATAAGCTGTTTCTACGTCCGTAAGTCCAAGTTCTTGTTGTTTTTCTAACCCGCGGATAGCCACAGATGGATGGGCGATACCATCCTTCATCTGACGTTTAACATCGTTCTGATTCAGTAGGGTGAGGTATATTTCCGTGTCTACAGCGCGACGTCTTTCAGGTTCCCATCGGAACCACTGCAGGAATTTCTGCGGAGTTGATCAGAAAATACATTGATAACTTTGCTTTCCGAGTTCTTACAGGAAGATATAGAAGGATCGGTCACTGGAGATGTTGAGGAAGGGTTAGCAAAACTCCTAGAATAGTCGTAAAGGCTCACCGAATCTACTAAGAATTTGCCTGGAACACTAAGGTAAGACGTTAACAGAAGTATTAATCATACTAAGTGTTGCCTTTCACCTGATCCTTGAAATGGCGTGCCAGATAAACATAGGGTCTAGACGGAGGGAGGGCTTCACCCACTTGCCAAAATCTAGTATTCCGAGGGATCATCAGCACCTGAATATTGATTGGAATGAGGAAAGGGTAATACAGGTAGCTGTTTTCACGTTATTGACGACGATTTCACCATCTAGAGTCTTGATGCGACGACCATAAGCAACACAGCACACGATTGATGTAGCACACCTTGGTAAATATCAACAGCAACACGCAATGACCCGTGAATTATACACACCGACGCAGACGATCTTTATATTGCAAAGGGTCTTCATCCTTGAGAAGATCTCTCAATAATAGATACGACTCAATGGACTGAAGACGTTGGTAGTTAAGTGCGGCCGTATTGCTCAGGAGTCAGAGTCAGACCTGATTGCATCAGCTGGAAGAGCCTATCAGCGCACGTTGAATTACGCGAGAGGGCCCTCAGACCGTCTTCCATTTTCTGTATTGTGGTCCATCGGACATTCCGATACCACGCATCCCGCCAGAGAGGATCTCATGCCTATAGTATCCTCGTGAAAAACATAGTATTGTCATTGAAGGAAGTAGGATAACTTACGCCACTATGCTTCGTGGGCGTCCGGAGTATGTTTCCTCGCACCACTAGCAAATCGGTGGCGGCTTTTATTGTTCCAAGTACTGTACCCGATCAGGAAGCTGGACATATATGGAAGCTGGACACTCGCGATTTTCTCAGCAACCACTGACCGGAATTGTGAGCGGCTTGTTGCAGTGTCATCCCACATCTCTGGAGCATCGTTTCTGATGCAGTTGTTAACCCATTTTTAGATTTCTACTCTTTCATTTCAATGTTTCTTACTTGAAGTCCCGTATCTGGACCAAAAATACGATATAAATGAAGTTTATAGCACATTATAATTCCCATAGGCACAAAGTAAGGACATGTAAATATATTCTGAACTGGTATTATTTATTTGACGAAATAGAAACCGCCCAGATGGTGTCATTGAGTAGAAGAAATATAGTAGATAGCTCTGGTAAGGTATTTTCTCTCTTTCTGATGCCCTTCTTTATGAGGGATATAAACAGCTCGTTGCCCACTTTAGTGATGCCAAAAAAATCGAAATATATGCCTATTCTATTCTACATTGCCCATTGGTCCCTCCATGCTCTCTCAATAACTTCAGAGTCCATGTCCAGCTTCCCTGTTTTGGGTGTTGTGTGACTATTCAGTAAGAATTTATTTCTGCAGCTTGCCTGTAGACTCTCAATTCTGCAGCTGCTATTGTATCTACTGTAGAATATATTTAGCTTTCAAACAAAAAAAAATTCATGCAAAACGGAGCAGGAATGGATGCGAGACCCTCAATTCTATTTAGAGTGTCCAGCTTCCTGATTAGGCACAGTACTGAGACGAAGATGTAAAATGCGCCACGGTTAGATTTTGTAACACATCCATACCGATCACTCTCTTTGTTCCAAGGCGGAATGACACCACTGGTCTTATACGGCAGTCGTCGGTCAGTTACAGGATTGAAGATGGCCATGCTAGTGACCGTACTACATTCCACCGACAGAATGTTTTCCAAGGCTGAAACTGAGGCACTTTACAGCCGAACAAACCTCCTGGGGGGCCTGGAGGTAGATTTGAATATCTATACCAGCGGAGGCATGCGAACAAAAATATGAGGAGGCTTCCAACTATCAGTGAGTGTAACATGTCGATAGGAAAGGACGTGACTGAGAATAGCTTCGTCAAAACTGCATGGGGTCAGCTGGTTACAACCGGGTATGACGGCCACACGTGTTATAATTAGTGGAGGTTGACAGAGGGACGAAAATAGTAACAGAAGCTTCTCTCGGCAAGAGTCCTTCGGGCTAGATGAGATAGCACTTGGATTGTGATATCAGAAAGTGTCCAAAAGCATCCGTACATGAACACACACGGTACAATTTACAACTTCGTGGGCTAGAAATCATTATGAAGATACACTTACCCAATATCTCTAATAATCATGCATGAGGCTCAAACCAGCTTCATTTCCTTCCAAAGGAGCGAAGAGGTAGTTCAAAATTCCTGCAAGCCTAATCCCGCCTTGCGCAAGCAATCTCTCAATGATCCACTGATCGTAGATGGCGCCGGCGTACTCGGGAGTATCGAGCTCCAGGTAAGGACCACCCGAGCCTCCTGAAGCAAGCTGGTCGAACATGGCAAGTTCTTCCTCAACAGAAGCACCATGCTTGTGTCCTCTAGTGAGCTGATCAAACTTGGTATGGCTGTAAGGAGGTTTGTCAAGTGCAGGAGGCCATATGATCTCGCAGTTCAGCGCGTGAATGGGAGTAGCCCAATAGTAAGGGCACAATGTATCATCGTCCGTATCATCAGCGCTCCAATCCGAACCTCTCATCCAACTCCAAAGAGAAATGGCTTGTTGCCAAGTGGAAGAAACAAGACCTGAAGGGGAAGAAGGGATAGAGTGGGAAGAACCCTTGGACTCGGGGCAGGTCAACCAGCTGGAGACTTCATCCTCCCATTTCCCAAGGATACCCTCCCACATGATACGACGGATGTAAGAGTCATAAATAGTTCCTCTGAGATTATATTCAATAGTTCGAGAGGGAAGGGGCCGCGTATAGTTGTGAGGGATTGTGCGCAGCGACTTGGAGATGAGGAGACTGTCCCAAAGTGAATGAAGGTCTGAACGTCAAAGTTAGCTGCATGTATGCATCGAAATTAGAAGTTGACTCACTGGTCTGACGACCATCGAATGTTACTTTGACAGAGTTACCGCCACGATCCCTGCCAGTCAAATGCAACGGCATATGCATGTCACCAACAAAATGAACCAAAAACTTGAGGGCCTCGTTCGCAACATCATCGTCTCCACCAAATCCAGCCTGCTCATTCCGGACCCATTCTTCTACCAAGTCTGTAGTATTCCTGACACTCCCAAGCACGTTTATGTCTTTCTTACCGGCCCAACCGCGGTCACCGGGAAATATGCAAGAATCGGAAGGATGGTCTCCAAGAGCACCAATATAGTGTAAGGAGGCGGACCAGCGCTTCTGATAACGGATACGATCGGCCCAACCAGCAATGGGCGCAAGATGGCATTCGGGTTCGTTAGGGTTAGTTGACGTAAAATTGAGTATGCGACAAATGCTGGGAAGGACGGCAGGATGGAGATGAATTTGGGCGATGGTTGCTACAATTTCGTGGCCTAAAAATCTAGTTAGAGATAGGCCAAAGCTGCATATCATGGTAGTTCTTACCTACGACGCCCCATCCTACAACACCAGGAATGCTGGCTGAGCCGGCAGCAAGGAGAGACAGCCAAGCGGGTATTTTCATGGGGAGAAAACGACTCTTGCGACTACAAAAGCTGGGTGCTACGTGGTGATGATGATGGTAAGAAAACAACAGCGTCTGCAAGACGACAACGACCTAAAAGAGGCTGCCCTGCCCAAAAGAGACAAAAGACGCGTGACAGTGTGACATCATAAATGTGCGCGTTGTGGCACGTGATTCAGCACTTCTTCAGAACCTTTTCTTAATTCTTCTGTTTTTACAACTTTTACAACTGACACTGTCACAACAGTATATACTATATTCTGATGTTCAGATTTGATTTCGACATCGACGACCCCGCAGACGACCTCGAAATATCGACCTCTACCCCTGCAAGCAAAGCGGCGGTGAAGGGTACAGAAATCAATCAGGAACCTTTCGCCGAGGTATCGATTCAGCATCTCGTTCGTGATGATTTGTTTATTGGATAGAGGTCACTAATAATCGGCTCTTTGAAAAGCATAGGTAGATTGTCTGCCATCGCTTATTTCGTGCTCGCCGCTTTCAATACCGCTGTCTTCTGGCGGCGATGTGATACTTGCACGGAGAGATCTATTTGATGCACGGTTCCAGCTCATAAACGAGGAAGTGGATGACGAACAGAAGGATAACTCGCCAGCATTAAGCTTTCTTGATGCACCTTCCGATCTTGTTCAAGGTATATATGAAGGAGGTCTGAAGACATGGGAATGCAGTCTCGATATTGTTGATTATCTGCATGCAGAAAATCCAACATTCGAAGGTCGGCGAGTATTCGAAGTATGTGCTATCCTCTTCCGATAAAATTCTAGCTGACTATTGTCTCATTAGGTCGGTTGTGGGACGGCGGTTCCGTCTGTGTATATCATGCAGAAACTATTTTCTGGTCTGCCCCACGGGAAGGAAACTCAGCTTCATTTGCAAGACTATAACGCGATGGTCTTTGAGCTTCTTACCCTTCCCAATCTTATCCTTGCTTGGTGTATGCTTTATTTTTTGCTTGACTATATTTTATCTCATCTGCGAACTAGACATGTCGCCAGCTTCAAAAGCCTACCGTGATGTGGCGACTACGAATCTCGACGAGACCCCGTTGCCACCCGCCGACCCTTCCATTCATACAGAGATTCCGATAACACCAGAACTGAAGACGGCATTTCTATCATCACTCGAAGCATATGCGATACAGCTGCGATTCTTCTCTGGATCGTGGAATTCCTTCGACCTTCATCAAAGCGGTGGGGCGTACGATATCGTCCTCACATCAGAAACCATCTATCGTGCGGATAGTGTAGGGTCCTTGATTGATTTGTTGCAATCAGTATCGCCCACGGTGGACAGCTTGACATCCCGACTGTCTATCTCTGATGGAGAGAATAACTCGTCATTCTTGTGTCTGGTTGCAGCTAAAATTTTCTATTTCGGGGTAGGTGGAGGCGTCACAAATTTTGTCGAAGCTATAGAAGAGAAGGAAGGAAGAGTAGAGACAGTTTGGGAACAGAAAGTGGGTGTTGGGCGGAAGATTATGAGAATTCAATGGCCATAAGGTGGATAGTAATACATTCTCGCTTTATCCGGTGATACTGCGTGGATTTGGGGTGACGTAGTAATAAAATATACTTCCTTCCTTCCCGAGTAAATCTGAATACACGAAATTGAACTTGAAAAACGTTCGAAGGCTTGGCAAGGAGACTCAAGAGTGGTGGTTGTCGCGTGATCACCATGTCACCACTGACGGCATCCACAACAGAACTTGCTTTCTTACTTCCACCATCCTTCTTTGCACCTTCATTGTGCATCGTCTGGCGACATCAAGGACGACATTGATGCTGTAGAGGGCCTCAAGGTGCGTGCATGCGTTGTGGTCACGGTCGCGACACCTAGGAGCTCACCAATGCGCCAAGATATCCCTTTAGAATTCGCGACCAATTCTAGGCCCCTTCAACTCCTGAAAATGTCTTCGGTGACCAGAGACCTCGAGGACTTGAACCTCTCCCACTCATCGACATTGCCAGCAGCAGTGGCACGAACATGGTCCGCTTCTGCTGCTCTCAGTGGAATCCAGCGGCAATTCGTGGGCTCACCGGACCAGATGGACCAGAGCAATGCGCAACCTTCATCTAGCACGGCTGCACGCCCAATTCCTATCATGCCGCCCTCAACGGCGCGACCCGCCATGAGTCGAAGTATTTCGTCATCGCACACCGCCCGCCCTCGAGCTAGTACTGCGTCCCGTGCCGCGTCTGGCTTTCTGTTCCCCGCACCACGAGAGCACCAGTGGTCTGTCTTCGGACAACTGATGGAGAATGAAGGCCAGCTAGGAAGTCCAAGCAGTAGCAGTCAATTCCATCGTCGGATAGGTAGGAGGAGCAATACTCCTCGGTCAAGCAACACTCCTCGATCCTACACTAGTCGAGACTCCAGTCTTTCATCGCGGCGGAGTTTCATAGATCCCAACAACCCAGCCCAAGTTCAGTCTCCTGTTGCGGAAGAGGATTCTTACCGCACTTTCTCAGTTGCCTCTGATCATCACGACGACAGTGACTCAGACTCGGACTCGCATTCAGACGAGTACGACTCTGATTCTGAGAGTTCCACGTCAACGGTCACCAAGAACCATCTTGCCTCATCTGATACACCCATATCAACGAGAAAATGGTACACGATACCCACCATACCACTAGTATACCGTAATATCTTTAAATGTGCATTGGCATATGTCCTTGCCTCTCTTTTCACCTATTCCCCTCATCTCTCTGGCTTGATAAGTGATCTCGTTACGTACGGTTCGAATGACCGCATACCTCTTCCCAGTGGACATATGGTTGCGACAGTGTAAGTATATTTCGTTGATTTATACCTTGTTTTGCTGACTTTCTCTGTAGCGCCGTCTATTATAACCCCGCAAAGACAATGGGCGGTATGATCGAAGCGGATACGTTCTGTATTTTTGGCTTGTTCTATGCGGCATTCGTGTCCTTGGCTAGCATGTCCCTGTTCTGGTGGCTCGAGCTCAAACCTGGCTGGGAGTGGCTCGCTGACACATTCGTCATCCTTTGGGTCGGTGTCAGCATGAGTATTTTGGCTTGGCTGAAGGTCTGGATGGTATGTCGTTCAGTCTGAAAGGGTCTGCAATATTCACTAACCATATGGGTATTAGGCTAATCCACAATTCAACACAGGTAAGCATATGACTATGAATCTTACGAACATCAAGTCTCATCTAAAATCTAGCCTGTAGCATGATTGCCATCATCCTTTTCGTAGTGTACGTGTGATAGTCAGGTTTTCTTCCTTTACTGAAGGGAAAACTGCAGGCTCGTCAAAGAAGGAGGCTGGCAGACACTCCTTCAAGTCTCTTTTATCGTCTTCTGTGGCACCACAATCTCTAATCTTGTTTGCTTCTTCATCTGGCCTCAATCTGCTACAACTAATCTCCAAACGAACATGACGAAAACGCTTGACTCTTTCTCCACTCTTCTGGATATGCTAACAAACACGTTCTTACTAGAAGAATCCCCTCACCATCCCAGTCAAGAGAAAATCCAGCGCGCTGTCGAAAATCACCAGAATAGCTTTACGAGCCTGAAGAAGAATCTAAAGGAGGCAAAAAGTGAATGGCAGTTTTCGGGGCAAGTCAAGTTTCCCGCTCCTGGAACAGGAAATGGCCACGCACTTCCGACATTAAAGAAGGGTGATCAAAGGAGAAAAGCATATGAAGATACTGTGGATTGCCTCAATCGTCTCGCCCAGCACCTCAACGGTTTGAGGAGTGGCACACGGCTGCAATACGATCTAATCAAAGCTGGAGTCGTCCAGCGGAGAAGACATGGTAAACGAAGCGGAAATAGCAAGAGCAGAATGATGGATTATGGTGGTGCTGAAGATGACGAGGAGACTGCAATGCTGAAAGCGGCGGCCGTGATGTTTGGCGATCTTGTGCAGGAATTGGGACCGCCACTAAAAGCCCTTTCGGTAAGTCTGTTTTGAACGATTTGGGTTCTCCAACTGAATTGTCATGTCCAGTCGGCGTGTACATCGTCGTTGAAGCGTTTGCGGGAGTCGGTCGTCAAGTCCCGTGTACGTGAAAGTGCGACAATGGAAGCGATTCAGCCTCATGAATTCTTGGAGTTGATTGACGGGATCGAAAGGGCCCTGATGCGCTTCGAGAGCACGTCGAACCATGCCGTCATGCGGATATACAGGAAGAACGATCCGTCTTATGATGGAGTCGACACTGACACTGGAGGTTTGAGTGCGAGTCGAGCCAGCATCATATCCGGGCTTGGGGATAAGGAGAACGTCATGCTCACCTCGTCAGATAACGAACACATCTTTTTGGTGTATTTGTGAGTGTTCACTGTCTACTTTCTTGCTTCACTTTTATTCATACGCGCTGCAGCTTTATCTTTACCCTGCAAGAGTTTTCCACAGAGTTGATCTCTCTCGTTGATGCTGTGGAGCGGATTTATACCTTGGAGCAGCAGCATGTGAACTGGAAAGGGTACTGGCACTTGGCATATACCTCAATCGCGACGCGATTGGCAAGCTTGTTTACGCGGTCTAAATCAGATCACACCTCAGACCGAAGGAAGAGGAGCTCTACCTTGAAACGGAGGATATGTAAAATATCGTTTCCTCTCGTCATTGATGCATTCTGACGGTTTCTGCAAGCTTCATACATCACTGGTGCCGCTGAGAGCCGTAGACGACCCTCGTTCCCCAAAGTACAACCTCACGCTCCCAACACGGTTCTTACACCCGCTCGGAGTAACTTGAATTTCATAGGCCGGGTGAAGCAGGGATTGTGGGCTATCGGGACGCGAATGACAGAAAGAGACGCCAAGTTTGCTGTTAAGACGGGTATGGCAACCGCTTTGCTCTCTGCACCTGCCTTTTTCGACACAACCCGGCCTATCTTTTTGGAGTATTATGGCGATTGGGCGCTCATCTCGGTAGGCTATTTTCTTTGGCCGTTGCTTGGGCGGGGACCTGACTTGCATACAGTTCTTTGTTGTCATATCGCCTACCATCGGTGCGGTGAGTAGCCCGTTTCTCTCGCGTTGCTCTACCTCGGCTGATATTGGAATGTTGTAGACCAATCTCATCAGTTTTAATCGTGTGCTGTGGACTTTGCGAGTATACATGTTTTTCATGCGCTTTGTTGTCTTATTCTGTACGCAGAGTTGGAGCGGCCGTCGCGGCCGCCACGTACTCGTTATTCCCAGAAAATGCAATTGCCCTTACGATATTCGGAGGGCTCTACTCACTCCCGTGCTTCTATGTTATCCTTGTGAAGCCCGCACACCTCTCTGCAGCTCGTTTTGCGCTCCTCACGTATAACTTGACTTGCTTGTATTGGTGAGCAGCATCGTATTCCTTTCTCCTATGTTACTAAGCTGTAGTGTAGCTTCAATATACGGCAAAGAGATGTGTCGGTAGTCTCCGTCGCGTGGCATCGTGCTTTGGCTGTCACTGCAGGTGTACTCTATGCGGCCCTCATTGCGCGATTCTGGTGGCCGTCTGAGGCCAGGCGGGAGCTTAGCAAGGCATTGGGAGAGTACGTCACTGCGACGACATATCAGAAACAGACGTCGCTGACGTTTTCAGCAGATTCTGTTTAAATATCGGATGGCTCTATACCAGGCTCGTAGCGGCGAATTCTTTTGCTCCCGAATATCGCGAAGAGTCTGATGATGATGACTCGCACGCAGCCTCAACTGAGGACGTTGCGCTGCTTGCGTCTGGTCATACATCTGGTCGTACGACGTTGAACAATTCTATCCAAGAGTTCATGGCTATGTGAGTGTGCCGTAACTGTCGATGATCTCATCTCAAGAGGCTTCAGGGAACTTCATTTGCAGATCAAGCTGATAGAGCTGCAAGGGCTGTTGGCTCAGACGCAGCATGAACCTCGGTTGAAGGGACCTTTTCCTGTAACGCTATATCGTGGGGTATTGACCAGCCTGCAAACGATCATGGACCGATTGCACAGCATGCGATGTGTTACGACACGCGAAGAATGGTACACGGCAAGTGAAAGATACGCAACATCCTCAGCAGCGAATATTGATGTATATATTCTCACAGAGTGTCCGTCAAGACTTCATCGTTCCAGTCAACAAGGAACGACACGAGATGGTCGGAAACATCATCTTGTACCTTTCAACATTAGCTTCGGCGTTTCGACTAAAAGCCCCGATGCCTCCATATCTCCCGCCTGCAGAGAAGTCCCGAGAACGATTGGTACGTTATCGTCTTATTTTATACCAACATTTTTTTGATGTTCCTCGAAACAGGTGGATGCTATCAGGAGGTTGGACGTTGTCCGAAATCGCGATATCAAAGGATCAAGGCAGCTGCTTTTCTTTGCGTATGCTTTGACGATGAAGGGCGTTACTCAGGAACTCGAGTCGTTGGGGCGTACCCTTCAGGATGCGTTCGGAGTCATAGGACAGACACCAGAGGAGTTTAAGGCTCTGTTCATGGATGAGGAGGAGAGTCGCAGAATTAGCTACGCTGCCTAGGATACTTATTAATGATTAATGGACACTGATTTGAGTGTACTTGACCAATTTCATTTACATTTTTCCTGAGCCCTCTTGCGAGTGTAAATTTAATTTTGACTCTCAGAGATCAATGAGTATTTTGGATCACGTGCCCAGACTTTCTGGAAAGGCTGTCGTCGTCGACCTAGAACTCAATCTGCAGGACAACGTTGACTTGTCTTCACATCATTCCGTGAATATTTCCTCTCGCAGGGCTTTTCGTATCGCTCGACCAGCTGGAATCTATTCAAACGTCCAAAAATAGGGGGTAATTTTGCAACAGGACGCCGCTGCGATTTGTCTCGGAATTCGAGTGCATCATGGCCACGGAGAGAAACCAGAAGGATCAGGAACGGGAGATAAATTGTCTGTCAAAGCTACAGGATTACGGGAATTGTCGCTAACTTCCTCGCAGTGTTACTCCGACGGGCTAAGGAGAGTGCTGAGAAGGGTTCTCCGGTGAGTTGTTTCTTAGTTTTCTCAGGCTTGAGCTGATGGTATGACAGCCCAGGAAGGCAGCCCTGCAGAAACTTATCGACCTCGCCCATTCTTCCAGTGCTTATTTCAAGATTCTTGCCGCTCAGAACATCAAATTTTTCTTCGCCGACTTCCCTGAGCTCGAGGAGGATGCTATCAATGCGGTATATGATATCTGTGAAGATCAGTCTAGCAAAGTACGTTTCAGTGGTATTTCAAACCTTAACGCGTTTATATGAGAGGTTTAGGTCAGAACCGAAGGATATATCGCGATTACGGGACTTTCAGCGGCCGACAATGACTGGGTGAAACGAAATACGGACGTGCTATTGCAGTTGCTTCAGAGTGGTAGCTATTATTTCTTTACCAAAGCATCCATTATTTCATCTCACGATTTTTAGAGGAGCTGGAAGAAGTAGCTGTAATCAAGACTGCATTAAGGGAGCACTTGATCATGGCACCTTCCGTTACCCTTGGCGTACTATTTGATCAAATTGTCCCCGCTGACGACAGTATGGACGAGGAGGAAATAACCATACGGGAGCGATTACGTGGACTCGTGCTCGCTTTTATGACGAACGAAGCCAAAGAAACTATCAATCAAAATCCCCAGCTCAATAACCAATTTGCGGAGGGGCTTACGCTTGTATGTCATCTTTGCATTTTTCCTCCTCTGTTACCCATTTCATCAGGCCATACCGCGATTGGCCGATAACGAAGCCGCATCATTCATTCGAGAACACATACTCCCTTTGTCTATGTTTAGCTCGCGCTCCCGCCAGGGGGATCTCCTCCTTCAAGCAATGATACGAAAACTTGAAGCATCAGACCTTAAGCGCTCACCTTTGACCCCGACGACAAGATCCTACCTCAGTTTAGCCCATCATCTTACCGTCGACAAGAAGATCTCATCACCTTTGGATCTGCTGAAATTTTACTATGGCACCCTGACTTCAAAAATCACCCTGATGAGACTGTCACAAGATGATCAAACACTAGTTCTTTGTCAGTTGGCCGAAATTCTAGCAGCTTGCGAAGAAGATCTCAAAAACTCCCGACTACCGGAGCGAGAGCAGCTACAAAAACAAGTTTATGCTGTCATTGATGTTTCTCCCATTTTCTTCGAGGTTATATACTTGCTCAAATAGGTGTTTTTCTTCTCATCTGTTCTCCTTACAGCGCCTAGGCGGTTCCATCGACACAAAAGAGCGATCAAGGAAGGCCTGCGAGTTGCTGTTGAATTCATGTATACAAGTGAGTGCACTTTCATGCCCAGATTTGCATTCTCTAATAATGTACTTGGCAGCGTAAAGCGCAGCAAGCCCCACAATGGACTGTACCTACATCAATCAACTCTGCTGTTCAAGCCTTGGCTGCCAAGACGTCAAACCAGGCTCTTCAATTGCTCATTAGGGTTCGCCGTGGGCCACTTTTCATTTCTGTCGCTTGTGTCCGACATTATCTCTTCTGTTTCATCAGTCTTTAGCACCCACAGTGGCCCCGACCTCCACCGCCACTACCGGACCATCCAATGTAACAAATATACCCGCATCATTGCCGCCGAGACCAGCTGCTAGGGCGTCGGTAGACGTATCACGCAAAATGAGGATATCCGGTCGAGATGCCGACCATATAATAAAGGACGCGTCTCCCCAAGCGAATCCAAGCAAACGCAATTCCCCTCGTGAAGACCCGCCAAGGTATCAGAAAAGGGCAAAGATGGGGAACGGATCCGGATTATCACTACTGAATCGTTTAGCTGATTCTGCATCGCATCCGTCACAGGGATCAATTGAACGAAGACCAATTTCTGGGCGCACTCCGCAGCAGCGACCACCAGATAATAGCATGGATATTGATACCCCTCCCCAAGGTGGTTACAGCATTAAAGGTGCTGCCAAGATGGAATCAGCGAGCGCCGTGGGGACAGATCGACAACCGCCACGACCCCCGCCCTCACTCATTGATCGTCTAGAGTCCGAAAGAAACCACATATCTGGAATGGGAGATGCGTTCGGGAGTCGCGGCAAACAGAAGCGTTGGTGAGACATGTGCACTTCACTGCCTTTTCGTGGCGCCAAGTAGTATATTAGATAGTATGCTTTTTGTATGCCTATGTGGGAAGGGAGATTGCTGCGGATCGATATTTCGTTCGTAAACGAAACGGTGGAAGGCGATATTTGCCTCATGTTTGTCCCTTTTTGATGATGATATCGAACAATGTGACAGCGGAAGGAGATAAATTGAAGGTCCTCGATCATGTATAGAATCCGCACTGACCGAGGACAGCAGTGCATGTCAAGCATGAAGGTTACCGCCGCGCGAGCCAATCAGTTCCGCCGTATATAAAATGGCACGTAAATTATGATGGTACCCATGCATTTCCCTTCTCTTCCTCTCCTGCTCACACTTGTTGGTGCAGTGGCTGCTATCCCTCAAAATGTGCATTTTTCTTTGATTCGATCATCCCCGTCGCTGAAATACCTTGTAGGATCTTGAGGCTAGACAGTCGTCTGTAACCGGTGACTCCAAGTGTGGTACTGTACGTACTTTTCTGCCCAACTATCTGTTCATCTTTCTTAAGTGTGACTTTTCAGACCATGTGTGTCGGAGTCACGGTGAATGGATCCTCCGTACAATGTTAGATCATTTCTTTCCATCACTGCTTCGTGAGAATAATTGTCGTTCCTAAGACGTTCTATCCAGTACGCAAACAGTTGGATGGATGGGGATGTAAGTCTCCTGTGCGTCGAGTTGGTAGCCATCTTATTGACATATCTATCGCTAGGGGGTTTGGTACCCAGATGTCGGGTTCGCCAATGGTCATCATGTGGTCCAATAGCGATGGAACCATAACGGTGTCCCAACGGCAAGCCAGCGGTCATTCGGAGCCCCAAGTAGTCAGTAATCCCCCTCGAGTCGCAACATTAGCAGAGAGCGCCAGTACTGTAAGCGTCGGCGCTCAAATGCCTCTGTTTGCCGCTAAAGAAATCACATTCTTCTAGACGTCGGGATCGGAAACCAGATTCGCGTTTACCGTTGATGTGCGGCATATTCCTCCTCAATTTTTGCCGGACCCCTTACCTGTATAATTTTTCTTTCCCCTCTAGGCAAACGGTGATACGACCGAAAACGTCATTTATGCTTTCGGGAGCACCAATCCGGGATCTTCGAGCGCGAGCGCTAATATTCTGCAACATATCGACGATGGTACCTTTCAATTAAACTTGGAGGGAACTTTGTCTGCGACGTCGACCGGTTCTGCGTCATCTCCGGACAGCACTTCTGGGACAACCCGACCCGCTTCACTTAGTATCCCTTTACAACCGTACCAGCGCATGATCATAGCACACGCCATTCTTTGCGTCATAGGCTTCTTGTTTTTCCTCCCCTTCGGATCGTTACTTGCGCGGTACTTTAGAACGTTCACGCCGAAATGGTACACCGGACATTGGATATCCCAGTTTGCAATCTGTAAGTTGCATCATACCGCCTTCTACCTCTTATCTAAGAAGATCGTGCAATTTAGCTGGTCCTCTAATCATTATTGGGTTTGCCCTTGGCGTGCAGAGTGTGACGACTTCTGGTTCACTTCATTTAGATGATGACCACAAGGTATGCCTCGCTGCCGACGGTTCATTTTAATGTTCTGACGGGCATTTTTGTAGCAATGGGGCGTTGCCATATTTGCGCTCTACTGGGTTCAGTGCGCTTTAGGCGCGTTCATTCATTGGGTTAAGCCCAAGAGATCTACCGGTCGGCCCTTGCAAAATTATTTCCACGCTATCTTCGGGTTGTTCATCATTTCCTTGGCCTTCTATCAAGTTCGGACGGGATATAAAACTGAATGGCCAATGACCACTGGGCGCGGTGATATTGCCAATGGGGCTAACGTTATTTGGTATATTTGGGTGGTGGTATGTTCTTGTTCCTTATATCTATACCGTGTACTTGACTGCTGGCACAAATCAGGTGGTGCCTTTGTTGTACCTAGCCGGGTTGGCATTCCTTCCAAAGCAATACAGACAAGAAGCAGCCGCAAGAGGTAGGACAAACCGTTTACAATATGAATTCGACATGTCCGATGTTCAACATCGATACCGAAATTGACGCTATTATACCTGTTTTTTTTTTTTCCCTTTGTTACTTACCCGTCGGTTTTCTCACCTTTTTTGTTTCTTAGCCGGGTACAAATGATCACAGACATCAGCCATTCAAGTCGCCGCTTCCATTTATTTCAAGCCGCGATAGCGGTTCCATTTCACTTGTATTACGTGTAATTATTGTATGTCTTGTAGTTATCAGTAGATCTTCCCTGTCTGTTTGGAGGCCGTTGTGACATAGAGGTGTAGAAGGCGAGCTCGCATACGTACCTGATTACGGTAATGTAGGTCCTTTGGGTGGGTACCGGACGGCTGGACCAGGGGGGTAATCAAGGATTCTGACTTATAAAATTTATCGACGTATCTCCTATGGAACAATGAGTTCAGGATCATAAAGATGCCAACCTTCACTACGGCAGTTAGATAAGGTATGCTACCCAGGTCCTGCGCGGAGAACTCGGTATCACCGCGAGGAAGAATGATTCGTTCTTTCGCTCTGATCTCTGCCCTTAACTGGACTTGTAGGTGTCTCGCGAGTTCAAGAAACGTCCAGGAGTGTGTATTGATAGTCGTTTTGTGACCGGCAAACATAATGGTTCTATGGACACCGATATCAGTAACGACGCTTTACCTGAGATATTACACTTACTTCATCTGAGCAAGCAGCTCTTCGTCGCTGAGATGCGTCTTCGGATCTTCCGAGACATTCACTTCCATAGGACAGGTTGACCCATAATAACAGTTCAGAACAAGAAACATACCCAACAAACTCACGATGTTCCTACTTGCCTTTCCCGCGGCAAGTGCTTCGTATCTCTCGCTCAACAACTGCTTTGCGACCTGGCCGGTTAGATCGCGTGTCGTTTTAGCGTGCTCGTGGAATTGGGATATTCCTGACAACAAGTCGTAAAAATCATGTAGGAAGCCATTCCATCAAGCACAGAGATAAGGTGCTCTTGTTCGTAGCTACGACAAAAATAGGAAATCTCTCAAGTGTTGGAAACAACGTGTCACCTGGGCGTTTCAAACAGAATTGTGCTACCAATGGGCAGTGGAAACATTTGAGATTGATCACGCTGATAGTACGCACGTCGCTTCCCGAACCGATAGAAAAAATGAGACTCGTGAGACGTGGAGAAAAAAGCAGGACACGTACGCGCAGCAGTAACGGCAGCGGTAGGCCAAGACACGGCATAGGACGCGTAATGAGGGACGTGCACGCGAAGGTGACGGAACAAGGCAAGAGTCGACGCGTAAGCCGGCACATAATGCCAGGAAAGCTAAAAGTAGGATAACGATCATAAAGTCGGAAGGCGAAACAGAATCGGATTTCCACTTTACAAGCTTGGAACGAGCGAGACCAATTCCACAAGAGTCAGCGATAACTCTGATCATCGTACAGTACTACCGTTCAAGGCGCGATTTCACTGTCACTTCAGCCTGAACATGCGCCAGAATTGAGAACAGGTCCTCTAGACAGCGAGTACTCCATTATCTGAGATTACACCTAGCATTCGTGGCGTAATGTCCACCGGCAAAGAGCTACTGGCATTATCCTGTGAAAACACCGACCCTATGGGACGTGACAAGAAATTCAGCACGTTAACAAAAAATATATAGCTCCGAGTCTTTCGTACACAATTCAAAGTTCAGTCGCGAAAGGCAACCGCTACCCTCAGTGGAAGTTGTGAACCTTTCTCCACCTCACCCTCCACAGTCGGTACCATTACACCGCAAGCCTCCCTCCGAATCCGCTCAGATTCCTTGGTCAAAGAAAAGTCAAAGTTATTGACGACCTCCACAATAAATGCGTGGAGTTCAAGGACACTATGAATTTCACAGTTAGGCCAACCAAAGAGATTATAAAATTTACATCGCGTACGCAAATCGCCAACCGATACAAGATCTGAGTCCTCCACCAAAACTGAACCTATCACGGGAAATTTAGCATAGGATCCAGTTTCAAGTCGAAAATAAAACGCACAAGTTCCCGTAGACACCAACCAGTACGTCCTTACTCATACCGCCTCGAAACCACCGTGTGGGGTCGAAGACGTGGGCATCTTCTCCCCAGATGCTCTTATTCCTTTTCATATAATTAGTAAATATCACGATCCTCCTCACGAGTAGCTCCTACCTATTATAGCCGGCGACCGATGTCATGATATACGTCCCCTTGGATATGGGAATCTCTTTCACCACCTTTCCCGTCGTCAACATCACGGGCTTATTCAAAGGAATCACGTCGTCTTGAGGGGCCATTCTGAATATATGGTAAATGATAGGATGGAATCGAAGCACCTCCTATGAAACGTTGAGTTCATGATCATAGAGCAGGACCATCCAGCTGCTAACCTTCACCACAGCAGTCAGATAAGGCATACTATCCAGGTCCTGCACGGAGAACTCAGTATCACCGCGAGTAAAAATTGCTCTTTCTTTCTCCCTGATCTCGGCCCTTAGCTTGTCTTGTATTTCGGGGTGTCTCGCAAGTTCGAAAAATGTCCAGGAGAGTGTGCTAGCGGTGGTTTCGTGGCCGGCAAACATGATAGTGCTGCGAGTTGCGAGATCAGTGATGAAGCTCGGATCAGGATATCATACTTACTTCATCTGACTGAGTAACTCTTCTTCACTGAGTCGCGTCTTTGGGTTTTCCGAAAGATTTGCTTTCACTTGGTACAGATTGAGCCCATGAAAAGAAAGAAGCAAGCTGAAAGGAGAAAGCATACCTAACAAACTCATGATATCCCTCTTAGGTTTGTCTGCAGCAAGGGCTTCGTATTTCTCATTCAGCAACTGCTTTGCAACCTTGCGGGTCAAGTCATACGACAGTCTGAGGTGCTCCAGTCGTCTGATTGGTGCCTTCTCAACCATAAGTCGTACAATCCATCTGGGCAGCCATTCTGTTAGACATAACGATAGGGTATCATTGTCGGTAGGTGCGGCAAGAGTATCAAACCTGAAAGGTCAATTCATCATTAGAATAATGGGTCCTCGTAATCAAAATTTTAAGAAAGCTAACAGAACGTTTGTGTATGCGAGGGTCAGAGGTTTAGACGAGTGGTCGAGGGCACCAAACTGATAATCGAATGCGGCTAGGACTGTTATTGGGCGGGAAAGGAAGAGTGTGAGTGTAGGTAACGTACCTTCGCCAATCGCATCCAATGTTGCACGCGACGTCCAGGAAGGAATGTCGATAACAGCAGACTGTTCGTCAGTCGTGGAGATCAATTCCTTCCATTTTGACGCCATCTTCAAACAAATGGAATGTTCAGCAATTTGTACCACAGTACAATATTATACATATTTACCTTCCTAGCATACGTGAAAAACACCGGTACGTAGAATTTCGCTTCAGGTCGTCCAAAACCTGGAAGGAGAACTTTACGATGCCTTTTATGGTCCTCGCCTGAGCAAATCAGAATGGATTAGCACGCAGAGACCGCAGATTTTGACGGCAGACCTTCGGCAGACAGAATTCCGGTTCCGTTGAGCAGTCGTCCAAGCTCATTAAGACCTGGGGGTTTGATATATCTGTAGCCACTAGTCTGGTATATATACTGAAGTGCTTTGGGATCGGAGACAAGGAGACGATCTTCCTACACGATAGTACCATTAGCAACTGCTTGAGTGGTCAAAGGAAGATCGCTTACTCCCAAAGGTGCTCGGACTCGAATGATGTCGCCATACTGAGCTTGCCACTTAAAGTCGCCCTAAGTGCAGAGTGAAATCAAAACGAGATTAGTCGGGGTTGATCGAATTACTTCTCCTGCTTCGCCATTGAGCAATTCTGGCAAGTTTCCTACCCAAAGATAAGAAACAGCCAGAGAATGCGATAAGGCAAACGTACCGTAGAGCCAAGACCTCCATTGCGGTCCAGGAACAGTCGCAATCGATATGCGTTCAAGTTGTTTATATACAACATACGCTGCGATGAGAAAACAGAAAGACGGAAGAATGAGGAACAGTGTCATGATCAGGACTTGGGCCTTCAAGATCAACCTGCGCGTAGAATATATAGCGGTTCGGTACCGGTCACCGGACCCGCATCCCGTTTGAATCGAGTCAGCCACGAAGCCAGGGTTGGGTATCCGCAAAAGGTTACGAAAAAAGGCCCCTTTGGCAACGCTCTCTATGTCACGGAGCATCGAAGCCTGCGAGGAATTAGGTGGTAGTGAAAATACGAAGCTATTCCAATGTTATGAGCTCTGCCCCAGTGCACTGCGCTGGGTCTCAGGGTGAACTGAATTGCGCGGTAATGCCTATTCTTGTCAACGAACCGCGTTACCTTTTAAATAAGGGCTCTGGATGTTCAATCACTTACTTGACGAGTGAGGGCATCGGCGCCGGTCCCTATGATTTGAAGTCCAGCAAAGAGTTTAAGTGAACAAAGACTCAATGCGGACAAATACATGGGAATGTCAAACCCAGGTGACAGCAACGTACAAAACCGTGAGGAGCTCAGAGAAGAACTGAGCAAGTGATTACCCTGCCCGTCAAGGTCTCTGTGTAGCTTGGCAGGGTTTCGCTCGTGGTTGCAGAAATTGGAACTCCGACTAGATGCCAGTGCTTGAACCTCCATTCGAGGGTCACAAATAGTCTCTCGTAGACAGACGCTACATACACGACTACGGTAGGGCTGCCAAGCTTGTAGTGAGTGTATGAGACACGATCTGTGACGTCTCCAGATCTGGACTTTTGTGAGAACTGATATACTTGTATAGACTATTACTGGCTTCCTGATAAAAATACGATGGGAAATCAAAATGAGAAACTGATGAGTGATCGAACATCATTATATTACAGTGGACACCAAACGTGGAAAGCATGATACAAGCTAAAGTATACATGAGAGCTGCTGAAGTACGCTGTTCAGCTCAGATAAGCGAGACCCAGTATTAGCAGGGAACCCTCGCAAACGCGCAAGGGGCTCAATTGTAAGGTACTCTACTTATATACTCCTGTAGGCTATGGATAGGGGAAATGGTATCAAAGGGGGATGATAACGGATGTACGACGTGTTTGGTAATTCAACAAAAATGAGACTCATGAGACGTGGAGAAAAAAGCAGGACACGTACATGCAGCAGTGGCGGCAGTGGCAGGCCAAGACACAGCATAGGACGCGTAATGAGGGACGTGCACACGAAGGTGACGGAACAAGACAAGTCGACGTGTAAGCCGACACATAAAGCCAGGAAAGCTAAAAATAGGATAGCGAGTCATAGAGCTGGAGGGAGAAATGTAATCGGCACTAGCTTGGAACGAGCGAGACCGATTCTACAAGAGTCAGCGATAACCCTGATCATCATACAGTACCGTTCAAGGCGCGATTTCACTGTTCAACCTGAGCATGCGCCAGAAATGGGATAAACAGCGAGTACTTCGATGCTTGAGATTACACCTAGCATTCGTACCGCAATGTTCAAAGAGCTATTATTGAGCTGTGAGAACCCGACCTTCCGGGGCTTAATAAAAATGCATACAACTCTTTCGTACGGAGCTTAAAATTCAGTCGCGAGAGGCAACCGCTACCCTCAGTGGAAGTTGGGAACCTTTCTCCACCTCACCCTCCACAGTCGGTACCATTACACCGCAAGCCTCCCTCCGAATCCGCTCAGATTGCTCGGTCAAAGAAAATTCAAAGTTATTGACAACCTCCACAATAAATGCGTGGAGTTCAAGGACACTATGGATTTTATAGTTAGGCCAACCAAAGAGATTATAAAATTTACATCGCGTACGCAAATCGCCAACCGATACAAGATCTGAGTCCTCCACCAAAACTGAACCTATCACGGGAAATTTAGCGTATCCAGCTTCAAGTCGAAAATAAAACGCACAAGTTCCCGTAGACACCAATCGGTACTTCCTTACTCATGCTGTCTCGGAACCACCGTGTGGGGTCGAAGACGTGGGCATCTTCTCCCCACACAGTCTTATTCCTTTTCATATAATTAGTAAATACCGCAATCCACCTCACGAGTAGTTCCTACCTATTATAGCCAGCGATCGACGTCGTGATATACGTCCCCTTGGATATGGGAATCTCTTTCACCACCTTTCCCGTCGTCAACGTCACGGGATTATTCAAAGGAATCACGTCGTCTTGAGCTGCTATTCTGAATATATGGTAAGCGATGGGATGGAATCGAAGCACCTCCTATGAAACGTTGAGTTCATGATCACAGAACAGGACCATAAGCTGCTAACCTTCACCACAGCAGTCAGATAAGGCATACTATCCAGGTCCTGCACGGAGAACTCGGTACCGCCGCGAACAAAAATTGCTCTTTCTTTCTCCCTGATCTCAGCCCTTAGCTGGTCTTGTACGTTGGGGTGTTTCGCGAGTTCGAAAAACGTCCAGGAGAGCGTGTTGGCGGTGGTTTCGTGGCCGGCAAACATGATAGTGCTGCGAGTTGCGAGATCAGTGATGAAGCTCGGATCAGGATATCATACTTACTTCATCTGACCGAGCAGCTCTTCTTCACTGAGTCGCGTCTTTGGGTTTTCCGAAAGATTTGCTTTCACTTGGTACAGATTGAGCCCATGAAAGGAAGCAGGCTGAAAGGAGGAAGCATACCCAACAAACTCATGATATCCCTCTTAGGTTTGTCCGCAGCAAGAGCTTCGTATTTCTCATTCAGCAACTGCTTTGCAACCTGGCGGGTCAAGTCATGCGACAGTCTGAGGTGATCCAGTCGTTTGATCGGTGCCTTCTCAACAATAAGTCGTACAACCCATCTGGGTAGCCATTCCGTTAGACATAACGATAGGGTAACATCGTTGGTAGGTGCGGCAAGAGTATCAAACCTGGAAAATTGATTCGTCGTAAGAATAACGGGTCCTCGTAATCAAAAATTTAAGAAAACTAACAGAACGTTTGTGTATGCGACGGTCAGAGGTTTAGACGAGTAGTCAAGGGCACCAAACTGATAATCGAATGCGGCTAGGAGTGCTGTTGGACGGGAAAGATAAACGTGGGCGTAGGTAACGTACCTTCGCCAACCGCATCCAATGTTGCACGCGACGTCCAGGAAGGAATGTCGATAACGGCAGACTGTTCATCAGTCGTGGAGATTAATTCCTTCCACTTTGACGCCATCTTTAAACAAATGGAATGTTCAGCAATTTGTACCACAGTATAATATTATACATATTTACCTTCCCAGCATACGTGAAAAACACCGGTACGTAGAATTTCGCTTCAGGTCGTCCAAAACCTGGAAGGAGAACTTTACGATGCCTTTTATGGTCCTCGCCTGAGCAAATCAGAATGGATTAGCACGCAGAGACCGCAGATTTTGACGGCAGACCTTCGGCAGACAGAATTCCGGTTCCGTTGAGCAGTCGTCCAAGCTCATTAAGACCTGGGGGTTTGATATATCTGTAGCCACTAGTCTGGTATATATACTGAAGTGCTTTGGGATCGGAGACAAGGAGCCGATCCTCCTACACGATACCATTAGCAACTGCCTGAGTGGCCAAAAGAAGATCGCTTACTCCCAAAGGTGCTCGGACTCGAATGATGTCGCCATACTGAGCTTGCCACTTAAAGTCGCCCTAAGTGCAGAGTGAAATCACAAACAAGATTAGTTGGGATTGATCGAATTACTTCTCCTACTTCGCCTTTGACCAATTCTGGCAAGTTTCCTACCCAAAGATAAGAAACAGCCAGGGAATGCTATAGGGTAAATGTACCATAGAGCCAAGACTTCCATTGTGGTCCAGGAACAGTCGCAATCGATGTGCGTTGAAGTCGCTTGTATACAAAATATACTGCGTTGAGCAAACAGAAAGACGACAGAATGAGGAACAGTGTCATGATCAGGACTTGGGCCTTCAAGATCAACCTGCGCGTAGAATATATAGCGGTTCGGTACCGGTCACCGGACCCAAGCCATCTCGTTGTGAATCGAGTCATCCACGAAGCGTGGGTTGGGTATCCGCAAAAGGTTACGATCTCGAGAAAAGGCTCGCTATGGCAACGCTTTCCATATCACGGAGCATCGAAGCCTGCGAGGAATTAGGTGGTAGTGAAAATACGAAGCTACTCCAATGTTATGACATCTGCACCAATGCAACTGCGCTGGGTGAACTGAATTGTACAGTAATTTTAATGCCTATTCTTGTCAACGAACCGCGTGACCGAACAATAGAAAACTTGAACGTCAAACGCGCTAACACAAGAGCTATGATTGGATTCAATCGTAAGGGATGCCTTTCTGGATGTTCAATTACTTACTTGATAAGCGAGGGCATCGGTGGTCCCTATGAATATTTAAAGTCCAGCGAAGAGTTTAAGTGAACAGAAAAATGCGGACAAATCCATGGGAATGTTAGACCCAGGTGACAGCAACGTACAAGACCGTGAGGAGCTCGGAGAAGAACTAAGCAGGTGATTACCTTGCCCGTCAAGGGTAGCCTGCGCTTGTGGTTGCAGAAATTGGAACTCCGACTAGATGCCAGTGCCGAACCTCCATTCGAGGGTCACAAACAAGGCTAGTCTCTCGTAGACAGACGCTACATACACGACTACGGTAGGGCTGCCAAGGTTGTAGGGAGTGTATGAGACCCGATTTGTGAGGTCTCCAGATCTGGACTTTTGTGAGAACTGATATACTTGCGTAGACTATTACTGGCTTCCTGATAAAAATACGATGGGAAATCAAAATGAGAAACTGATAAGTGGTCGAACAACATTACAGTACAGTGGACAGCAAACATGGAAAGCATGATACAAGCTACAGTATACATATCATATGAGAGCGACAACATATGACCAAACTATAACCCGATAACATCCACATGAGCCGGCGTCGACACCTCCCACTGCATCACAAGGTTCAACTGACCCTGTGGCGGGACCGTGCACAACCAATTAATCTTCCCATCCTTACCAAGCGCATCAACATCGATCCCACTCTCATCCGATCCCTCCCATTGTGCCACTACACCCTCGCTGACCTGAACGTGCGGAACAGCCCTCGGCGTATTCGTCATCGAACTCTTGATTGTATGCGCATCGAGAAGCGACAATGCAGGGCTGACCGGCTTGACATTGATCTGCTCGTCTTCAGAGACAGGAATTTGGTCGAGGATCTTGAGGTTCTCGATGGCGACCGTTGCATTGGTATTGTGGATAGAGATGCGTTGGCTGTAGATGTAGATGGAAGATTTAGTGTAGAAGCCGCTTTGGGAGGCCTTTTTGCTTTGAGGGTGGTAAGTGATACGGAGAGATGGGTCCAACCTGCGAACGACGTAGGTAAGGAAATATTGTAGTATAGTTGTATTTTTTGAACATACCCAAGGGGACAATCAAAGCTCTCTTGAGCGCTGACGGCAGGCAATAAAGACCATGAGATAAAGCTACCGTCAACGTAGATACTCGCCCAACCAGCAAGCAAAGGATAGTCGGACGCGTTGGTGATTTTGGCCTACGGTTTGTTAGAAAGGCATGTCACGACAAGTAGAACCGCTACAAACCTTCAAATGAGTCTTCGTGTCAACCTTTGGGACTGAAACCCACGACATGGATGCGTCAAGATTCAACTGGACTATCGTAAAGGTATGCTCAACCCCATCACTGGGGATAGTAATGCGACCAGGAACCCTGTGAGTTGCACTGACATTTCCTTTTGAAGTGATGGCCGATCCGATATGTGCCATGCTGGGACGGGGTCCCACTGTGTCCATGCTTTGAAATTGTGCCACCCCAGATCTCTCGTGGAAATCACCGGGCGTGCCTCGACTCATCATCTGCGGAATTACTGACTGAGGTTGAGGTTGTAGAGGATCGAGCCTAAGGGGGAATAGCTTCCAGGGATTGAGGGTGGGAACGCCAACACCATAAGTCGGTGTGACGGTCTCGAGAGTGAGGGGGACGTCTTCCCAAGACTACGGGACATGAGATTGGAAACAGTAACGTCAATGCTGCTCACCTCGCCAGTGGCCTGCTTGATATTGGCTTTATATATAAGAGTAACCGGAGTCTCTCTTGTCTGTGTGTTGACTCGAACATCATAACCAGCGTACCAACTGGCGTGATTAACAGCTACGCGAGATGAGTACATACAAGTCTGGGATTTGAAAAGAACGTGCCATAAATTAAACTGATTTCGACCTCGCCGCCAGAATCTGCAAACACGCCAATGGATACACGGTGTTTCAAGAGGCTATTTGCCTCCGGGGGACGCGACAGCGCGACCTGCCCAGTTCTGATAGCATCCTCAGTGTCTTTGAGCTCCTTTTCCAACTTCAAGACTCGGTCATCAAGTTTCTCAGCGGCAGAGTCGTAGCTGTCCACGACGGCTGTGAGCTTGGTGGAGTCGATGTACTGCACGTTCATTGGACCAAGGTAGCTCTCGAGCGACCCAAGGGCCTTCGTGACCCTACTCAAAGCTTTTTGTAGCTGATCGCGTTTGCTCTGGAGGTCAACGAGTTTGGCCGATGTGGTCGCGATAGAAGGAGGGAGGATCGTAGATAGAACAACATCGTGTATGGTAGCGGAGCCCCGTCCTTCGAACTCTTCAGCAGCACTGTAAGCATTGTGTAAACAGAGAAGGAAAAGCGATACGCACCTCAAAAACGGGGCCTCAATGGCATTCGGTAATCCATTGATTTGCACCAAGTTTTGTCCAGTGCTTACGGCAACATTGCAGTGGCTAGTAATCTCCGCGTGGTTGTTGTAGACGCTGACTTTGACGATTTTAGTGTCCTTGAAGTAGGAGAGCTCGATATTGTTGTCGGGTTCGAAGGCTGGAGGGCTGTCGTTGTTGGGTTGGGTGGTAGGCATTTCAGAGGCCGCAAAGAAAAGCGGCAGCGTGGTGATGGTTGTAGGAAGGAAGGAAAGTTATGTTCCAAGTGCAGTTCACTTTCACGGACTTGGCCAAGTATAATGAGGAAGCGAGGAAAATATTACTTTTTGCCAAGGACCTTTTAGAGCAAATACAGATCGTGGTTTATCCAACCAGGTGGTGGTGGTGTCCCAAGGAACGGCCGGGTCCATGGCCCGGGCACAGCGAGCCAGGTGCTGTGGCTGTGCTGCCGGGTGACCCACGTGGCTCCTGCTTTCGGTTGCCGGCCCGAACCGCGAAGATTACCTGTTTCGGACTGTTTCGGACCGTGCTTCGCCTTACCTCTTCAACCGTGGCTTTCATAACGCACTGTTTTATCGACTGGCTTCCAAAGTACCTCGTTCTACACGATATTACTTTGATTTCGCCAAAAAATTTTGGAATTGGTGATATGTTACGTTGCGATCTGTCCCAAAAAGCTCGGCGAATGGATGAGGAGAATCATTCGCATGGCATCGTAACCGTCACACGCTATAGCTTTCGCGAAGAGAAATCGTACGTTTATTATGGCTAATTCCAGTGGCCTGATCAATTTTTTAATAGTCGTCTGACGGTCGACAACGTTGAGCATAAGGCAATGATTGGCCGGAGTACTAAATTGTTATCAGAGCGTGAGATCATGGAACTACTTTCTGGTCAAACATTTTCGAAACAGAAACAGAAAGAAAGGTTACCGAGCGGATAGGCTTGGCCCGGTTGATCATTTCGCTCACATTAGAAGCGCAGGTACACTCGCATCATGCGATATATTTTTGACTTTAAATAGGTTCACTATGCTGCTATGGACTATACATTATTATGTCTCTGACCGGAAAAGTCTGTATCTTCTCTACCCAAGCAATCACGGTCACTGACTTTTCGCCAGGTCGCTATTGTCACCGGTTCTTCCAGCGGAATTGGGCTCGCCACCACCCAAGCACTTCTCCGAGATGGATGTTCAGTTCTCGGCGTTGATCTACTCCCCAATGATATATTCACGAATTCGCCAGCATTCTCTTTCTTCGAAGGCAACATCGCTGACCCCCTTGTCCCTGCGGCCATCATCGCTGCGAGCAAAGAGGCATTCCCTCAATCCAGCGGTGTGGATATACTCGTGAATAATGCCGGGATCATGGATAACAATGCAGGCGTGGACGCGCTCAAGGACGAGGTGTGGGAACGAGTCATTGCAGTGAACTTGACGGGTCCGGTTAAGTTGATGCGGGAGGCGGTAAAAGTGATGAAAGTGAAGGGTGGTGGTGTCATCGTGAATGTCACGAGCAAAGCAGGTATGAGCGGCGCTACGGCTGGTGTCGCTTATACCGCAAGTAAACACGGAATTGTAGGTTTTTCTTGTTTATTGGAGTTCCGCTGTGATTGAGGTTATCTTGTAGGTCGGCGCGACGAAGAACACCGCCTGGCTCTATAAAGAGGATGGCATAAGATGCAACGCTGTAGCGCCTGGAGGTCCATCCATCTTCACGTTTCTTGTCTTGCAGCCGTTGATGATCTCTTTTCTCCTCAGGCGTGGCTACGAATATTGCCAACACCATGCGTGATTTGGACATCACGTCTAGCATGAGAATTAAGTCAGTACAAATCTCTCTGATATGTGCCTCATTCTGAACATTGCATGATCTAGACCCGTAGTTGATGTTCATGTTAATCCCGTTACCGGTGAAGGTATAGCAGCACCGGAAACAATTGCTCAAGTCATAGTTTTCCTTGCCTCTGACTCGAGCAAAGGCATCAACGGCGCTATACTGCCTGTGGACAATGCTTGGAGTACAATCTAATAACGCTTTGTCTTGTGAATTTGACCAAGCAAACTATATTTTCTAATGGTCCTGATGCATATTCGTAAAACAGATTTCACTTCTCTCATAACTCTTCAAGACCTTGAGGTTCTAAGCGGTCCAAGATGTGATCTCTGTTTCATTGATTTATAGAGGTGGTAATTAGGTCTGGGTTTCCTTTCGGAGATTGTGCAACAATGCAGAAGTGCGGATTCATAGGAAGGTCTTCAGACCTAGTGCGTAATTTTGATTGTCTCATTTCACAGGATTTCTCATGTCATCTAGGAGCCGTCATTTTGGGGAGGAATCAGCAACGTTGTTACCGTCTGCTGTCTGCCGCGCTGGGTTATATCTACTGTGTGTTTTCGCCGCAAAGGTTTTTGAGTTTCCTATATGTAGTTCCTTTTCATCGACGGTGTTCTTCGCATTACCGGCTCAATCAACGCAGCCGGGCTCGCCGATATCAAAGTGTTTATAACAGCTGAAGGACGTGGTATAGGAGCGGATCAGTGGGTCAAATTTGACGGCGTCAGTGAAGGTGATAGATGTGAAAGACAAAGTGGCGAGGCTGTTGTATGTAAAAAACGGGAGTTGTCACAGCGCTTGGAAGGAGGTTCTAACCTGTTCTAACCCTCATTTCCGGTTCATTTGTACTGACAATTGTGATCTTCAGGTACCGTGACAAAAATAACTGTACATGTACACCCGTAGACGCCCGCGCCCTTCACCCATTACGAGGCGTGTTGTGGTCATCAGTCTAGATCTCGAGCACCTATTGAATGGGTTGAATGCACGGAAGCTACCGAAGTAAGCACGTACACAGCTTCTGGTTATAGAGCGGCCCATGTTAACCCCTAGGCTTGACTTATCATTTTGCACCATGCACACTTAGTAGGGGAATAAGGCTATAGCGCTAGCTGACAATGCCTGACATATGGTCCAAAACCTTGTCCCAATTTTCATCCATATTTTGCAAGTCCCTTTTCAGGGTTTACAGGTTCCGCTGTCTTGATTCAGTCTCAGATGATGTTTTTCGGCTTAAAACCCTCATCCCCAGTAGAAGGCGGTGTTCAACCAACACCAGTTGGCTGTGATTCTTAGTCCAATTACTGCGGATTGGTTACTGCAGCCCTCTGATTGGACAGGACCTCAATGATTAAAACTTCTCGATCGACCCTGATCCGCTGTCGCAACGTGGGTTGTGGCCGGGTTCCCTATATAACCAGTATGAGTCTGATATGTTCTTTGTCTCTTGTTCTAATGTATCTTTCTCGTGTTACACCGTTGCTTGCGCTCTATGGCCTGGTTGCCGCTGCGCAGTCTTCGAACGTACGTCGTTCCTTCCGTCTTAGTCAATATGCTTGCTAAGATTTAAGACAGTCGTCGTCTGTGACTGGCGATTCCCGATGCGGCCAAGTAAGCGCCTTTTTCAGGATTTCCTTCGCCAAGCTAACAGATATGCGCAGTATATGTGTGTTAAGGCGACTGTGAACGAGACTTCGGTGCAATGTTCGACCTTCGCTTCTTTCCCCTGTACTGTAAAAATTGATCGTACGACGGTTAGATGCTTTGGCAAGTACGGGTTCACAAACCGTGGGGTGGATGGGCATGTATGTCTTCGTACATTTCCTTTGTTAGGGGTCTTCTTTTGCTTATAGATGACAAATAGAGGATTTGGGAGCCAGATGGATAACACGCAAATGGTTATCATGTGGTCTAACAGCGATGGAACCATTACGTTGTCCCAACGGCGGGGTGACGGCCATAATCTTCCCCTGGTCGATAGTAATCCTGATCGAGTCGCAGCCCTCGTCGAAGCTGCAAGTTCCGTAGGCATTTTCTCACAACGCCTTGTATTGCTGTTCATTGTTTTATTTCAGACGTCTACATCAAATACTACATTCACATTCGCTGTTGACGTATGCCATGCTCTCGTCCCTTTCGAATAGGCGTATTGACAGACAATCTTCTAGAAAACGAACGTTACGACTCAAAGAATAATTTTTGGATTTGGATCCACCAATCCTAGATCCTCTAGCGTTGATGCCGACCTCGAAGAGCACATTGGTTATGGCAGTTTCCAGTTGAATCTGAACGGGAATATAACCTCTGGTTACTCATCAGATCCTCTGCAGCCTTTTGAACGCATGATTGTCGCGCATGCCATCCTTTGCATTCTGGGCTTTCTATTGTTCCTACCCTTTGGATCTTTGCTGGCTCGATACGTTAGAACATTTACCCCAAAGTGGTACACAGGTCACTGGATATCTCAGTTTGCTCTCGGTAAGTCCCAAAGACGCTTATCAACATTTTAGCTTATAACGCGGCTTTAGCTGGATCTCTCATCGTTGTGGGTTTTGCTTTAGGCGTACAGAGTGTGAGCTCCCAGGGCGTACCTCATCTGAGCGATGACCACCAAGTATGTCGTCTTTCATCTCCGTCCCTTCTTCGGTTCTAACGCATCATCAGAAATGGGGCGCTGGTATATTTGTCCTCTACTTGGTACAATGTGCCCTGGGTGCTTTTATCCACTGGGTAAAACCCAAGAGATTTGTTGGCCGTCCGCCCCAAAATTACTTCCACGCTCTCTTCGGACTGATCGTCATCGGTCTTTCATTCTACCAAGTCAGAACAGGATATATTACTGAGTGGCCTAATATTACCGGCCGAGGAAAGGTTGCAAATGGCGCGAATATTGTGTGGTATATATGGGTTGTGGTGCGTCTTCCAATTTTACTTATCCTGACCACTCAGTGAACTTTACAAAACTAGCTGTTGCCGGTTCTATACTTGGCCGGATTGTCGTTTCTGCCTAAACAATATAGACAAGAAGCAGATAGTAGAAAAAGGCAGATGGACTCGAACGAGAATCTAATGATGGACGTTCCACAGCAGTATCGCGATTGATTTTTTGGTACATGGGACTTTGAACTATTACTGTTGCATATATTATTGATGAACATGAGAGCTTCAAGGACCTTCATCTAAGCTCGTATCCTCTTCGAATCCTTTTGTAGTAAACTGACTTGGTTTTTGTTTCATTTTGTCCACTTTTGGTCAACATCGGGTTAAGACGGCAACACCCGAGTGGCTGTGCTTGTCGATCCGTTGCACGAACTGGGCCCGCTGAATGGCCACCTAGACTCTCCTCACTGCCGGATTACGGCTCGGAACTGTATTCCGGAAAGGTTCGAGCATATATAAGGACTCGTAGAGCGAAATAATTTCGAGGCTTTAAGATGACATCGCTACTGTCCAAGTTATTCTTCCAAACACCTGTAATATCCGATGGAGGATTGGTGAGCTATGTGCTCCATGTATATAATTGGTATCTCAATGATGGACCAGGGAACTACGCTTGAAACTGACTTTAATGTCAATATATCTAATACACCTTTGTGGTCCTCCAGAGCCGTCGTCGAACAGCCTGATGTCATGATTCAAGCACACCTCGCATTTTTCCGTGCAGGTGCGGAAGTCATCCTCACGTCCACGTAAGTTTCCTGTATGTATTTCCTTCCTATCGTTTAGTTCATGACCGTCAATTTTTAGTTATCAATCTTCGTTCAGTACGTTTTACCGAGCTGGATACCAGAAAGAAGAAGCAATCGCAACCATGCGTAAATCTGTGCAGCTAGCTAACGAAGCTCGCGAGATCTTCAATAGTGAGCGACCTGCGGGCTCATATGGCGTCCGGATTGGTCTTTCCTTGGGCGCATTCGGTGCGAGTCTGGAAATTGCGCACGAATTTGACGGGTACTATCCACCTCCATATGGACCTCGCGCATACCAGAAATCGGGAGATAATCTCAACTCGTATAGTTCGGATGAGATTGATCAGGAGCAGGCATCCATCGATGCTCTTGCTTTATTTCATTTCGAGCGAGTTGAGGTCTTCTTGAACGACCCGGAAACTTGGGGCCAGATCGATTGCCTTGCTTTTGAAACCATTCCCTTGCTTAGAGAGATACGAGCGATCAGGAAAGCTATGGAGAGGGTAGAGGCTCGGATAAAGTGGGACGGCCTCGAGTCAAAGCCGTGGTGGATAGAGGCCGTGTTTCCTAATGGCGTGTTTCCCGAAACGCCCAGAGCGGGAGGAACGCTCAGCGTTGGCGACGTTGTTGCTGCTGCGCTGGGAGATGACGCTTTACCCACACCGTCTGGTTTTGGGATCAACTGTACCGCCATGGAGCATGTACGGGCTCTAACACCCCAGGTCACCAGTGCTGTGAAGGAGCTCCATCTAGTTCAGAAACCCTGGTTTGTGGTATATCCAAATGGGGGCGACGTGTACGATGCAGTGACGCAAACATGGACGGTAAGTGACACAAAGACTGCGGCTGAAAAGCACGACGAATGGGTACAGAATATGGAGAGTATCGTGAAAGATATCGAAAGCGAAGCCCTATGGGGAGGAATAATAGTTGGTGGATGCTGCAGGACCAATCATGAAGATGTCCAGAGATTACGTTCCAAATTCAGACTAGAGGCTTAAAGTCTAAAATATCACAGTTTTGTGCTAGGACTATATCGTATCAGAATCAGAACCGGGACGCGGGTGAATTTTGTATGCTAAAGATATCTACAGCACCAGCAGCTAAATGAGGCCAAGAAGAGATTGCTGCGTTTCTGGATTCATCACATTGACTGCGACGAAGGGGGGATCATCAACGGTCGAGGAATCGTAGGCAGTGCCTTCTGCCAGCGCCGCAGAAGAGGAGGCTTCCCGATAGGTATCTTACAGCTGAAAGGAAGGATGCACGGCTTGCTGCGCAAGTCAGTCTCAAGCACATACCCATTCAATGTAGGCGCTTCCAGGAAGAGTACAGCTCTCGCTAGCGCAGTAAAGAAGACACTAAGCTAGATTGGACATCGCTCACTTACCAATCGGAGCTAGCTGGTATTGTTGGTGCTACCTTCGAATAACCCCCTTCTACATGTAAGCTTTTCCAGCGGCATCTTTGCTGTTCCACCGGTTGGCAGTTTACGCGGCCTGTTTTAAAAGGAGGAACCCGAATCTTTCTCCACGCGAAGTCTTCGGAGTGTCCTCGGTGAGAATGAAAGCAACGGCATAGCTAAGAATTTGAGAAGCGCTGATCATTTCAGCATAACCTCTATCCTGAATATCCCGAGGCAGATAACTGCTAGCTGAGGGTATCACGAACGACAAAATATTAGCTCAACTGTAGCTGCATAACTTACAAGATAATACATATACAACGATAACTTTGCGAATAGCAAGAACAGAACGAAATATTTGTCCGTGTAAATCCCGCCCCAAGATAGATTGATAGATAGATAGATAGAGAAATCCAGCAGAATCGCTTTTATCACCTGTACAAATCCGGGGACGCCGCAGATGAGCGACCCAAAGAGTCTGTGGAGGCCATGTATCCCGCTGCCCGTACTGGACCGGAGAACAGCATCACAGGATCCGTTCGAGCGGGAATGATACTCTCGCTTGATAGGTTCCTCTGATGCGTCCGTGCCAATGGGTGCAAGGATGACTCTGGCAGCGGGAGCGGGCGAATCGACATGGGCGTCGACATCAGTTGAGGGGGCGTCAGTGGGGGAGGAGGGGTATTGGGAGGGGGAGGTGTCAGTATCCTCTCGTCTCGCAGGGGAGATGCGTGGTATGGCGGAGAAGAGATCATGGGAAGGTTCTCGTCGCTGTAGTTGGATGAGGGAATAGCGGAATGTGTTGTAGGGTCGGAGGGAATGCGGAAGTGGGACGTGGATGCGTTTTGGAGGGATTCGACGGAAGGACGGTGGATGAAGAGAGGGGAAGGTGTGCGAATGGGGAGATGGCTGGAAGAAGCCATGGGCGTGGGGTACGCTCCTCCGTCACGAGACGGTGGTGGTCCTGTGTGTAAGCCAAGCATGTTATCTGATGATGGCTTGCGAAGACGCTGTGGTAAACCCCGTGGAGGAGATAGAGGAGGTAAAGGAGCGGGATATGTCGGTGCCGGTGGAGGTCGCAGTATTGGTTGATGCTGTTGGATCCGAAAATTAGAAGTATGATATTTATAACATGTGCAGGCACATACCTTTACATCAGGAGGTACCTCTGGAGGACGTGAGCTAGAGGCAACGGGGGCATGTACTTCTTGTGCATGTTGTTGCTGGGAACGGCTTTCGCCTGATTCGAGAGTGAAATCATTGCCGCCTCGAGATATCAACATGACACTCGGTGGAGGATCAGGGAATTCTTCGGAAGGTGTGATAAGTCGTTCTTGTTCACTATCAGCTTCGAAACCTGGTTGGTCTTCTCCGTTATTACTGATGAAGCTTTCAGTATCCTCCAATGGTAAGATGTTGCCGTTACTCCGAGGGAATCCGCTAGATCCAGGAACGACCTGGGCCGTGAACACCTGCTTTCCCGCCGTGCGATAGTTCTCAAGCGTAGAGTCGGTTTTTGTGCTGATTGCGGTGCCATCTATGTCAAATACCATGCCGCGGGAGAGTTTTCCAACATGCACAGGCTTCGTCTTCCACGGGAGAGGTATGGATTCCGCAATGTCAAGAAGTTTTTGCCCTGTCTTTCGAAAGAAGTCCTGGGATCGTATATACCATGTCCGCCGCATTGGTCCACCGTACATTGGGCCATTGTAGGGCGTCGGATAAGATGATAGCCGGATGTGTCCATGTCGGGACGTAGATGGTGTGGGCACGACCTCAAAATCTTCCAATGCTTCCACTTCACCGTCAATGGCCCAATCATTGTCCCTGCTGTCACTCCGTACTTTCTTCGGCCCGTGAGGGAATCGAGGAAACTTGAACGAGAAGCCTTTCAGTGATACACCATGGTGTCGCGCCCACAAGTTCCTCCACCGGAACAAAAAGAGTAAAATCGCGGCCACACCCACAACTGAGCAGGATATAGCCACTATGGTGATGATCTGATACTTTGACCAGCCACCGCCCTGATCTTCGGAATCTCCAGCTGCGAAGAATAAGCGACAAAATATATGCTCCGAGGAAGACTTGCTTACAGTCGGCACCGGCTTGGCGAATATTGAAGGTCTTGTTAATTGGCATCTCAGCGTAGGCCCACACAGGAACATGATCTTGGTGTCCTACGGAGCGCTTGAATGTGCTAACACGCAACTGCTGCTGCTCGCACTGGTTCAGCCACTGATCCGAGGTCAGCGAGTAGTTCCCTTGGCTCATCAGACAAGCGCTCCAGATGTTGAAGAAGACGTTCGTGCTGTGGCAATTGAGTAACATAAATATACACCAGAAGCAAACAACGTACCATGTACACCTGCTTGGACTCGGTTCTACACTTCGTATATGCTGTGGAGGAGAAGTTCCCCGTCCACCAAGCACTGATCCTGCTGTATCCCGCCGAACCGCCCTTGGCAGTGAGCATCGCTCCATCTCCTCGACCAGCTCACACGGCGTCTGACCCTGTTTGTTGTTCAACTATATCTAAAATGAATTCTGAATTGATTTGCAGCGCGAAAAAAGCGACCCACAGCTGCGTAATGATCATCCTGGGAATTTTCGGGTAAGATGTTTGTAAGCCGAGAAGAGGCTATAGCTCACCTGAGCAGCGACGATGAAGGATAACAGAAGAGCCATGAAGCTCAAAGGAAAAAGACTTCCAAGATTCATCACATACGGGCGTTTGTGTCGTGGATGGGCGTGTCGAGGACGGATTGCTCAAAAGGGACAGCGGAAAGGAAGGGTCTTAACGAACCATGTGCATCAATTCCGTGTTCGAGATTTCGATTTCGGGATACGGTCACAAGTTCACGTTGATGCCAGACACGGGATCAAATTCCAAGTTGCTTTCAATGCTGGTGGTCATAGTGACTATACATATCTTCAGCCACTACTCATAACCTGAAAGGGTAGAGCAGAGATGTTACTATCCACTGGCTATGGCTGTGTGTACATGCATAGCTATCCCGGGAATACACAACGGGGATCTCCACTTAATTGAACACCGGCAGCAATTCCATCCTCGAGGCGCAGTTGCTTCGATAGAGAACGTTCTACGCAGAGTTATCATTACCACTGGCGGTTTGTAAAACGGCCGAGCTTCCAAAGACGGGGGAAATTACAAGCTCGTGCCAGGGAACGAATAACACGGTAAATTCTCTGAATCCCGGGTCTGGGGAACGTCAACTTTGTCCTTCTCCACTGGTAGGACATACGAGAATGATGACCGTCGTCATGTTCAAAGTGTCGTCATCAGAACCTCGTTTTCGAGGAACTGACAGTTCAAGTGAGCGATCATTTCGAAATCCCCAAGCTTTTGACGTATGTTCCTCGAAAATTTCACAGGAAAACTGCGACGAGGAGCTGTGATACTCAGGTCTGGCTAGAACTACACTACGACTCACGATCATGACCGGGGGTTCTGGGAAATGCTCCGCAGACGCGCGCCGAGTTCAAAATAGCAGTTCCGTCATCTGGGAACCTCGTCAAACACAGGACAACGGGCCGGACGCCGAAGGAGCGTCAAACCTGTGGTATAATTGATTCTTGAGTAGGGCTTACAAGGCCTTTTTTTCTCACCGAGACTCGGACATGAATATGTGAAACGGGAGAGAAGATAGGCCTTTATATGTCAAAGCAAGGTCGATCAGAAAAGCCTGATAGAAGTCAGAAAAAAGACTCACGAACGGGTGGCCACCCGAAGACTACTTTGATCTTTATCAAACAAAACTGGTGCATCTTAAGAGACGGGGAAGACCTCTTTCGGGTCCGATTACTTGAAGCTCGGCCAGTCGAGAAAGTTCAGCAACGCCTTTGGCTTACAGCTGTTTGCATATAGCTTGATAGTAAACGCGTGATTGGAGAGAGAGGTCTGAACTTTGTCATAAACAAGAGTCCATAGTGGTTTAACACTACTTTGCCGGGGATCTCGGAGTGCCTTGAGCACCTTAAAAGCCCCTTAGTCTCGGTTTATGACCAAGTCCGAGGCTTCGTTCTCAAAACCACTGACTGTCAGCTTATCTGTCAACAGCTGTGATCATTGGGGAAGATTTTGATTGCTTCCCGTCAGCCTTCATACAAGGAAAAAAACAGTCCCGGTGTTGCCATCCATGAGTATTGAGTAGACCACGTTGAAGGCACCAGTACAGCGAGAGGTGCAGAGCATTCAGGGGATCTTGGCTGGTAAATTCGAAGTTATCGGATGCGTGAAGGACGGTGGATTTAGCCTTGTCCTTACGTGCCGGAAACACGATGTTGCGAAGTCGGCAAGAATCCATCGCTGACTGTGACCGTTATACTCTATAGCCAATCGTCCTGCTGTGATGGAAGCAACGAACATTCATGATGGTATCCAGAGAAACGTCAAGGTAAACGTATCTACAGCAGGTAAGAGATTCTTCCTGCCGCATTCCACCTCGGAGCCATTATCTCTGGTACAGGCAGCTCGAAGGGCGTCCAGGTCGTCACGACCCAATAATACAGCCGTTCGGGAGATAGCTCATCCGGCTCCGCCGAGTTTCGCTGAACGTCAAAAGATCGCAGCAGCCGCAGACCCGTGTCCACCTTTTAGCATGTAGAGATGCGCTCTCGGCTGCGGTGGACTTGGTACACGCTAGCAAACACTTTATCTTCCAATATCTTGGTCGGACGTAGTGCCTACTATGATTGGCCGCAAGACGATAGTGCAAGGCAAGAACAAGGAGAGCAGAGTAAGTGAGAGGGTGCATCAAGATCGTCCCTCGACTCCGGTCCCTTAAGTCCGAGTAGTGTATGTGGCGCTGTGTGGCGGGAATTGACACTGAGACCGTAAGACTCCATCTGACGCGTCGCGTCGCGTAGCACGTGACTTCCGGTGTGCTTAGTCCTCGCGAGACGTGGATTCTGGAACTCAAATGTGTTACTTTAGATAGAAGCTATCCAAAGGAAAATAAGTGCGTAACGTTTGAAAATTGATTGTTGAACATACAGACGGGATAAACGGGCATTATACCCGACGCATGATAAAATTACGCAAAACAAATATAAAATATATAGCGGAGCGTTTCGATAGCATGTAGAAAGCATGTGCACACATTAGTCAAAGAAGAATTAAACCCAATTAACCTTGTTCCATTCTATTGAATTGTTCCGTTTTGTTCCAGCTAGTTTGTTTGAAATTTTCAGCCTTCAACGCCTTTTCGACCGCGTCCTTCAGCGTCGTATCGCCGTATTCTCGTAGACGCAAAAGAACCGTCACGAAATGGTAGACCTCAATGGGCGAGGAGATATTGAATGTCCGCACGTTGCGCTCCACAATATAGACGCTCTAGAACGAGGTGAACATGACATACTGCAGCGAAAGAAACGAACTTGCCTCCGAGTCGCTAGAACACCACGCCATGAGAATAGCCCCTTCGACACCATCTGTAGCCAGGGCGAAAACGGCTTTTTTGGTGACCCCCAGACTTGCGAGATACCTAACCGAAGCTTCCAGGTACATTTTTGCTTGCACAAAGGCCTTCGCATAAGTCTGAGTCGGTTTCTTGTACTCGACGACAAGAACAGCCAACAAAAGCTTGGTGAGGAGCTCCTTGGCGTTCATCACCATATCGGGAGGGAATACCATCTTGGGCGCTGATTTGGTCTCGGAGCATGTCACCGCAAAAGGGTGGAACCAATCTGATTTGCCTCGATTGTTTTCGTTCACGCCAGCAGCCTTCTTTCCTTTCTTCCGCTGCTGAGGCGCCTGACCAACACCTCCCCGATCCTCTGCAATCGACCCAAGCTGGCTTCGGCTCTTTGCCGACCACGTATGTTTTGAACCTGGACGGGAAGATCTGGATGTTGGGCTGTGTTCCTCAGTTACGACAACCTCTTCCTCTGGCTCAGCTATGTTGTCAGCACTGAGCGTCTTGGTACTAGCCTGGAGCGTTTGACGGGTCTCCGCCACACGGATCAACGGCTCCGGAATGGGCTGCTTGGGTTCTAACGGTACTGTGAGGATCGCATCAACGATACCCACCTCCGGTTCATCGCCGGCACGTTTGAGAATGGCATTCCTTGCTGTTTTGATATTGCGAAAAAGGGATCTGACGGCCGATAAATGTTGAGCAGCCACAGCAATAAAATCTGCTGACTGAACGAGAAGGTCGTCGGATGTAAGGTCAGAGTGAGAGATAGATGCAGCATCATCTGCGGCCAGGGAAATCTTATGTATCTGTGCCGCAAAAGTCTTGAATTCGGCGCCATCAGAGTTAGGGGAGGCCTTCATCGTATCCGCGGCAATATTACGAGAGAGTAACATTGCTCTTTCGAGCCTAAAGCAACGGTAAGCACATAATACGAGTTAATCCATAGACGGTACTTACACTACTCTCCCGGAAGCGAGCTCATGGGCAGTCATAGATCCGAAATTCAGAAGGGCATCCCAGTCATGACGGGCTTCAGCTTCGTTGGGTGATTTACCAGCGAGTTCCTTCGAGTATCCACCGACCGATGCCCACAGAATGGACGAGAATCGGCCCAAAACGACCTCCCAAAAGAGGTGCGGAAGCTCGGGAGTGTTTTTATCGCCATGGCATGCACCTACTTGCATGAGAAAGTGATCTAGAACTTCTTTAACCCCCTTGTCAACGACAGGTAATTCGTTCTAGAAAAATTGAGCATGAAAGGCCGCGCGCGCTGATAAATAAAAAATGCATGCCTGTTTGATAGGTGGCTTCATATACATCGTCATGTCCTCATAGATTTTCAGCATCTCGTCAATTTCTCCATGAACACGAGCATCGATGCCCTTTCCAGTTGCACCTGGCCCTATCGGTATGTTGCTTAAACTGACGATTTTGCGGTCGTGGGCATAACTGGAGAAAGACAGCTTGGCAGTAGGGGATATCCCAGCCAAGGACTTTGCACCCAACCTGACAATAAGGTATCAGAATAGGAATTCAAACAATCGAGACAGAAGGCATACGCTGAACAAGACAACGCATCCGCACTCTTTGATCGTTTATCGGTCTTTCCTTTATTGGATGATCCACCGTCTGTACTTGCTCTAAGAGAAGTTAGAAGGAAAGTCAAACGTCCAAAAGCGGTTCTTGCTTACTCTTGCCGTCCACGTTCTGCAGGCTGAGCAGACGCTCTATCCGACGGAGTCTTCGAACCTGCAACTCCGAGGGAAGGTTCCTGAGTGTGTGGGAGACCGACATCCTCCGCTGGGTGAGGTTTACGTTTACTGTCCGCAGACATAGAGCGCCTCGGACGAGGCGCAGATCTGGACTTTGACGAGGTCCGTGTCGCACGCCGTTCGGGGTCAGCCATGGTGGATGAGCAGCAGTTAGTGGAGGAAGGTTCGGGGGGTTCTCTGTGGTCCGCGCAGCTGTTAAATACATGAGCGACAAGGGTAAAGCCAAATAAAGGAATACCAACCATCTTTCAACCGTTTTAAGCCAACTAACGATCCTTTGTCTCCATTGTTCTTCGGACCCGCAATTGTCATCATCGATAGTATCTGATCTCCACGAAATTCGTTTGAATGCCGGTGTCTGGCACTGGGTCACGATTCCCTCGACATGCGCGCGGAGACTGATAATAAATTGCCCAAATTTAAGAGCACTAACTGGATCAGTGAGATCGTACACTCCCAACGACGCGTCTGTACGCGTCTCATCTCCATACGCAAATCGAACTTCCGGCTATTCAAATTCAGTCAGTGGCGGTAAAAATGAGTCAGGAGAAGCCGACAAACTAGAACGTCAGGGTCGGTGCGCTCTTTGTCAAGCCAACCCAGCACTACGTGGCCAACGAATCCTGTGTTTGACAGGATAATTCCAATTACAGGTGCAGAAATTCCCCAAGTGGCCCGCTGATAAACAACACCGCACATTAGGCTGAATATGTCTTCCTCATCGGTCACACAAAGGTACGGAAGAACAACGGAGTTCGGATGTTTCCAATAAGCGAGGATGTGGGCATCTAGAGGAACGTGGGATGACTGAGCAGACGTCGGATCCGTTGAGGGCTCTGTGCGTTCATAGCTAGTGGTGCTATTCGATAACGACTCGTCACCATATGATGTTTCTGAGTCATATTCCTCCCGCGACTCTTCGTTCGAGCGCTCCACTGTGATGATGGACGGCCGCCCCGAAGCTTTATCATCCACGACTGGCCTTGGTTGTTGGATATCTTCAACGAGATGAGATATCAGCAATGAAGCATGACCGTCCTCCATAAAGCTTCGCGCGTATGACAACCGGGGTCTAACGAAAGCTGCTTCTTGCCTATCCACAATTGTGTTAGCAAATTAACATAGCATCATGTCGTTCACACCTACATTGCATACGACTTATCGTAACAGACAAGTGCCAGAGAACGAATCAGTAGAGACCAAAAGGGTATCGTTGACTGCTTCATATCATCCTCGGAGAGTGCTCTGAGCGTGCGAACAGTTGAAAGCAGCAAATCCAGAATATCCAGTACTTCCGAAGTTGAATCTGTGAGTTGTTCTGGTGAATCTGCAAGGGAATTTCTGAGCTCTTCTAGTACAGGAGAAGCGCGCGAAGAGATGACTGGGCATGGACCGTTGACAAGTTGTGAGGGGATTGGAGAATCAAGCAAACACGCCAAGTCCTTTATCTCAGAGGGCCATTCCGCAGCGGACGAGATTGAAGAGTTAAAGGGCAACATAGCAACGTTTCCTCTACAGTTTCTTGCTGTGTAGGGCCGTCGAGAGAAAGACGGGCGTCGCAGTGGCAATAGATCAAGTTCAAACTGTGGAGGGCAGTGCGGGCCGGCAACCGAACATGATTCACGTGATCGCCCATTCCCTGCCACTAAAACAACGATTTTCCCTTTGTTTTCCCTCTCTTAAAAGATTCCTTCGATTGCTGTCGTCAGCGTTGTTCGTCTCCGCGGATATTCAAAATATGTCTTCGTATGCCTCGAGGCGTTTATTATATTAAGGGTCGATTTTTTCGATTGCATTCGCATTTCTCCTTTACAATATCCAGGACCATCCTCTCATAAACACCTTTGTAGCCTCAGTGCAGCTTTCTCTCTATCTTTCAATACCTTCCTCGTCTTTGGAATATTTGAATGTTTACGTTCTAAAGGTATAATAATTAATAATAATAATACAGGGACACTAGACGCAACACGCTGATCGCGCGGACTCCCCAAATCGTATGATCGGAAGCAACAGCATAAAACAATACATCGTACTGATCCCCTCGGGATGCTTTTGGTGCCCTCTTACGTCCATGTATACATACCATTGAACCTACATGTTTAACATCTATAGAATGGCCCGCGGCGACCGACTCTATCTGGTAAGTTGCGACCTCTGAAGCCAATAACATGTTGTAAAGTGGTACATTTATACTATCTAATCTATTTTTTTGATAATGATTGACCTGGGGTGTTCTCCTGGGCTCTATATGTGCGGGAGTCGGTAATTGCTCTGATGCCGTCTTCTATTCCCGACACCGGTTATGTGACATTAGACTAAAATATATGAAGGTCCTTTGAGAATAGAAATCGATTACTTAGACTTCGTAACAGTCTTCAGTATCACATGTCGTTTGAATGTCAGTATCGTTCCGTAGTCTCCCTGAATTTTTGAAATCGACTCTTCGACCCACCCTACGGGGAGATACTCTCAGAGATGTGATCGTCTCTCCCATCGATTTTACGGCCGTCCCTCTCGCGAATCGTATGATGATCAGATTGAAAGTAATCCCCTGACAATTCACTTGAATATCGCTATGAATTTGGGAACGTGAAGCATATCTTACGATGATTTGAACTATCTAATTGATACGTCAGATAAACGCAGGACTAATGGAAGTGGAAGAGGAAGACATACAGTACCAGTAACGACATAGAGAGCATCACTCCCGATGGCATAGACTATAAGCAACACAACAGCAGAGGCGGTATATACGGCTGCTGACTCGATCACAACAACAAGTGCATTTCTCAATGGATGATTCTTGATCGAAGAGGCGAACTGTCTGACAGCGCTGTGGACCGTCCAGATGCGGTGCACAATCAGACCTAGTAGGAAGATGAAATCAATTGAAAGATGAATTAGATGCAACAGAAGTACCGACTCACTTGTTGTAATGACATTGGTAGCCAGTGTTAGAGACTGGTGTGTTATGATGAGAGGGAAAATTGACGGATCTGTGATAATAGAGTCATGGCTTAGCGAGGTTTCAATACACACCCCAGCAATGCCACAACCTAAAGATCACGATTCATCATGGGCATCGGGTTTCTAATAGAGGACCTACCAGTCTCAGCAATGCACATGATTACCGGGCAAATGACAACCATCCACCGTCTCTCATATATAACCCAGCATCTGTAGAGCTATTGTTGATTTATAATAAGTGAGGCCCGCTGGCCAATGTCGGAATGAAGCGCAAGACATACAAGAATACAATCTCCCATGAAGGTCTGCGCCACGAAGGTGACCAATTGCATAACATTAACTGGATAGGGCATATCTTGGAATGTATCGATGGGCTCTCCGTTGGAATAGATGAAAGCATCAAGGACGAATCGGAGGTGGCAAGCAACGTGCAAAGTTGAAAAGACAAGCATCCATAGCGATGCAGCTACCATCTTGTAATTGATGGTGTGTCTAGACTTTAGGTTCCCATCGCTGGTGGACAGAAGCCCGTGGAAACACGAAAACAAAGTTATCAGGTAGAAGCCTAGACGGAAAGGTTAGTAGACAAATTGAATGCAATCCAAGACAACTGTGATTACTTTAGGACCATTTAGCCAACGCCGTTACTTGTACATAATCTACGAAACTCACCCGTAGAAAACGCTCTCCACAAAGAGACTGACGAGTTGGGCCTCATCAACTGGGAAGTGGGAAAACATTGTCTGATTGTCGAACTTCGATCCTTATTATATACCTCTTGGTTTGCATCTGACCGTAATCATCGGAAGGAAGACCTGTGTTCCAAACAAGCACCTGATCCGCTGGCAGAATATTTTCTATTGTTGCCGGAATGAATGTATAAGAGGTAGGTAGTCGCCATACTCCACACAACTTGTCCTTCGAGGATAATTGTCCAGGTTGTAAGAATAGGAGTCCGGACTCTCCGAAGAGGTGCTTTCTTTAAATTATCGCGGCCAACTAATGAGGAGCCAGCCCACAACAACCTGAGCATCCGGTTCATCAGAGACCCGAAATTCTGCGCTAAAGCGAAACGAAAGGAGGATCCAAGAAGCAGACATCAATATAGCGGACCGGCTATTTGGCTGTGTGGTTAGTCAGTCGCCACGGTCCATATAGGCGATGAGGCTCTCCACGGCTAAGGCGGAATCTGTTGTATTGTGATATTTTTGGCCTTTGGGTACTCCTTGTTTTCTTTCTTCTGGTCTGTGTACGTCTCTTCTTGGGAAAGTCGCAATTGATCCATAGTCTAGCTGGGTAGATGATACTGGAGTGCCCTTGTACATGAGTTCACGAGGAATATTTCAGCGTCGAGCAAGCTGAGATACGTCAGGACATGGATACCACAGGTGGCAGTGATACCTCCTCGGTTACTCAAGATGATTAACACACTATCGATGGACCCATGAGGAATGACCCATTGTAGCGCCTGTGCGTATCAAGTGTGTTCAGTACCTGATCAGGAGACGCGGTATGTCCTACCTCCCATCCAATTTGGGAACAAGAACGATTCTGAGCGCTGATCTCTCGCATAAGCATTGTGGCCCTGGTGCGTTTGGGAAATCACTCATCATAACGAGAGAATATTAAATAGCAAGCGCCTATGGTCTGTACTCAGACCTCCCGGCAATTATCTTCAGAATGGTACTGTGTTGTCGAAGATGCAAAATCATCTCTCTTCCATGACGCCGCCGGCTCTAGTTCTTCCGCCTGCACCGTGTCGGGGGGCGAAGCCCTGAAAGATATTAGCGTCTCTTGGATTGGCATCGCCACGGTGCCATTCACAAGACGTATGATAATCAGATTGAAAGCAATTCCCTGTCACCTACAGATCAACACCGCATGGCTTGAGAAGACTGCGGTGGGACTCACAATGATTTGAACGATCTGTTTTCCGTGTCAGCTCGACTCGAATGGCTTGAAGAATGGAAAGAGATAGGCTCACCGCTTGGGAGACGATATAAGTAGCGTTACTTCGGAGCACATACACGATAAGCATCACGATGACAGAAGCGGTATACATAAACGCGGATTCAACCAATACGTAGATCGCGTTTGGTAACAGGTGATTCTTGACTGAAGGAATGAGCTCTAACACTGCTCTACGAATCGTCCAGATGTGGATAAGGATCAGAGCTATAACTCAGTTGTATCAGTAATACAGCATACGCAGAGGGTTAGACACACCTGTGGCGATGATGTTAGTAGCTAGAGTCAGGGCTTGGAACGTTGCGATAAGGGGGAACATCTTTGGGTTAATGACGACGGAGCCGCGCCTGATCGCGGTTTCGATATACACTGCAGCAATAGTCACATCTTATAGATGGAGTACATGATGAATGATAAAAGTAACCGAGTCTGATTGGAAGACCTACCTATCTCGACCATGTACATAAGCGATAGGGCAGGTGACAACCACCCACCGTCTATCGTATATGACCCCGTCTATAGAGCTGCGAGGAATCACTATGGTCAACCATCCAGGGAAAGAAATGAAGCGATATACAAGGATGCAATCCCCCATAAATGTCTGTGCTACAAACGTGACCAGGAGCAAAAAATCCGCTGGATTGGACATATCGAAGAACGCAACGACAGGAATTAATCCCGGAGTATATGACAGTGTAGAGAACGAATTGAAGGCTGCAGACTATATTGACGGCTGCAAGGCCATTCTGCTGCGGATGGGACTATAGAATTAAATGGAGACATTGTAAGCATTTGCTGTACAATATATCGCAAAGCAGAGGCGTGGAGAGTGAGAGGATGGTCGTAGTGGCAAGGTAAGTCGAGGATCGCGGTTCGGGCCGGTAACCGAACATCATGCACAGTGATCGGATCCGAAGGTTGATCCAGGGCCGCGGGCTGCTCCTCGACTGGATTTCTTCTTCACCTCACTGTATACAAGATTGTATTCTTAACATTGGCGAGCATTCTCTTCGCCATCTTCAAAAGTTGTATTATTTCATAATGCCGTGCCTAGTATTGTCATTGCTTTCAAAAGTGCAATCATCCTTCTAGTCTTGCAACACCTTGTGTCCTCATACACAGCAAGTTGTACAATACATCCGCTCTTCCCCTCAGCCTCAGAGTCCATCTGTTTCTTCAAAAATACTTGACGGTTTTCTGATTTACCGACGTTGGGAAGATAAATGACCCTTACAACGTTTCCATCAAGAATTAACCTCCTTGGTGCGATAAAACGTTTAAGCGTAGGGAGGACACTTCCCAAGTCCTCCATTCTCCAACATTGGCATCCGTCCAGACACTTGCTGATAAGACACAAACTTCATCATGATTTATTACAAAGTCCATTGTGTCCCGACGTCAGCTCACATGTCAACGCGTTAAACCTGGAATGGAGCTCAAGGTTGGACATTTGTTGAAAGGTTCATGCGTCGGTATTTATACATACGAATCGGGCCCGCAGCGGCTTTATGTTAAGACTCCGGACATCATGTATGATGTCGAGTCGCAGCTTCTCGAGGCAGCCATCACCCTGCCGGGGGGTAAATATATACCATTGGGCCCACTTCGACCAGGGAATCCTTCGGACGTCTCGTATACGCGTTGTCTTCGATATGCTTCTGCCTAGGGGTGTACAATCTTACGTTGTAGACAGACAAACATTGGAGTGGAACAACAAATTCGGAGGTGCGGCAGGTATTCTGTATGATTGCGAAGGGCGTCACTCGGTGTGACGCAGGCACCGTCTTCTTGGACTTCCAAACCCGTTCACAGGATCATAGTGGGCTGCGATAACAATTGGCGTGTGAGCGAGTACGTTAGTATTGCAGCTTCGAAGTTAAGAACGTATCTGTCAGTGCTATGGGACCTTTAGTCGCATTTCTCCGTGACAAGTTAGGAAACGCACCCATAAAGGACGCTAACCACAAAAAGACTGCTGCGCTACATCAATAGGGAAAGCAGAAAGTACCGTCTGCTTCAAAGAGGCAAAGAGAGATGGGTGCTTCTTCAGGTGCATATGACTCCTCTTGGGGTCTCACCGTGTCCATCGGATAGAAGACACAAGTAACATTAAGCAAGCAAGCGCTTGAAAGTTTCTCCATCGCCACCGGAAGAGAGTCTTGCACTCCTGGCAGCTGACTCGTTCACATCAGTCAAGACTCAAGACGCCTTGGATTACATTTGGTGAAGCGCTGTTCAAGATGCCTCACAAAAGTTTGTTTGATATCCCTGCATTTTCACAAGTACTTGGTTGACTCGAAGTAGATACTTACCAGGAGTGAATTGGGAATTCGCTAAACTTGGACGACATGGTCGCAGGAGCGTTTCGTAAACCAAAGATGTCTTGAGAATCAATGGTGAGATTTTAGCCAAGTAGAGGTGAAGAACAATTCTTTGGCTTGATAGAGTTCAGATCATCTAAATGCAATGAATGTCACAAAATGCCAGCAGAAGGAGAAGAACGGAGTATATGTTTGAGCGGTACGATCGCGGTAATCCTGGTATTTCTCAGGGCACACTGGTTATTTTTGCTTGCAGGAGCTGAAAACCTTAAACTTGAATTTACGAGCAATGGGTTCAAGTGAGACGAGAAACAATATTGCCAGGAAAGGGATCGATAACCATTCCCAATTTTCGGAGCCTGCTGGGTATTCCGTTCATCCTCTGCAATAGCTCTGTCTTCTTCGAAACGGAATTCAAGACTCACACCGCAGCACCCTGAGTCCTTTACGCAGACGAAAGGGAATTGGAACGTCAAGCTTCAAGAGTGGCACCTGTGAGTCTGGTGAGCCGACCACTGTTTCACAGAAGCAGCATCCCGGCGTTACTTTGGAGCAATTCAGAAAACTGAAGGCGCCCGTGTCAGAATACGACGACTGCGATGGCCTATGAATCGTTCTGGGTCAACGTTAGCACTGCGATGTTTAATTATCATCGTTTTCACCTCGGAAGACATGTATCACTGCCTACAAAAACGCTTAATGTCTTCGTCGAGTCCCATCGCCAAGGGCCTTGCCTAACGTTGCCTTGAAATAACAGTGTTGGTCGACGCGAAGTGGCAGGAATATCGTCGACATCTGATGGTAACGGTTAACGAATACCCGGAGCCGCATTTGCCATCATTTGTACCTCGCCCACCATCTTCAACGTTCTCCACATGAATAATCGCCTTTGCTGCCGCATACTATTCTCATTTTTTGGCAGATATTGACAAGGATCTTGAACAACAATGCCCTGACTCTGCAGAATCATATGGCGCTGCGAGTTTGATAACAGGGAACATAATCCTCATCTCTTATCTACTATGGCGACATCTGCGACTCTTACGACCACTCAGCTGCCTCGTTTTCGTAGACTCCTCGAAGAATGGGCAGCAAAGCAGCCCCCAGCGACAGGGTTCAGTGTGCCATTCGAGGACGTCGCCTAAAGCACCGAGAGCCAGCAAGGATGTTGTCGTCGCATTTCGAACCCGTCCTCCGCTACCTGGTGAAGCTACGAGCAAGTTCCAGTCGACAGTCTGCAGATGGGGAAAATGACTTGCCAGTAGAGGCCTGTATCGGTATTACCATTAAGAGCTGCTGAGCCAGGAGTCTTTGTTGCTCATGTACCTGGAATGAAGGTGTGTCCTCAGATTTCTTGCCGGTGGTCCTGACGCCTAATGACACTGGATAGTGGTCTGTATTTACACTCACACACAAGGAGTACATCGCCGACCTCGCCTTGGGACCGGATACGACGAACGAAGAAGTATATCAACGAACTGTCGTTTCTAATGATGTGCGTCTACTTTTTCAAGGCCTCATGACATAGTCGGTCTGTTTTTAGGTCCAAAAACCTGACATTTTCTCGCTTTCTGCATTGCTATGGGCCAATTATAACCATTACCAAACGAAAAAAAAAACAAGCCCAAGTGGGGGAACTTCTTTATCGCGTCCGGAAGGTTCTTCGGGGCCTGGGACATGATAAGGAGCTTTGAGATGTCAGTTGCCGGGTCCTAATTACCTAACTCACCGACCCTGTCATTGATGCATGCGTTCTTGTGTTCTGAGAATCCTCACTGACAACATGTATAGCTCCTCCATCTGGCACTATCCGGTGGCGTCGGATGCATTCTCGCTTACGGTCAAACAAGCAGTGGAAAAACGTACACCATGGAGGGAATCGAGTCCCGTATCGCGCGAGATCTCTTTGACACAGCTCGTGTTGTCGGCAACCGCCTTTCTTATCGCGAAAATGAAGCGGATTTTTTCGAGTTCAGCGTGACATTCCTGGAACTCCTAGGGGAAACACGCGACGGATTTAGTTGAGCCGAGCGACAAGGTAGACGCGTCGGGAAATGCTGTGCGCAACGACGTTGCTATCCACGAGGACAAGGCTGGGAATGTTAGGCCAAGGCTTATCTCCACGATTGTCCGCACGTCCAAAGAGCTAGCAAGAGCTTATCACGTCTTCTCTGTCGCACCGACGCACTAAGTGCTACTCTCCGAAACGCAGCTAGTAGCCACAGTCATGCTGTTCTCACCATTCATATCAAGAATAAGTCTTTACCGTACGCTGAAGATGGACGGCTTGTTCTCGTCGAGTAAGTCGCATTAGTTGACAAAATATGAAAAGGAATCACTAATCCCCACCCAAGTTTAGCGGGCAGTGAGCGTCACGAAGACTCCAAAGCCCACGACAAGCAGCGCATGAAAGAGTCCCGCGAGAACAACGAAAGCCTCATGAATCTCAAAGAGTCTGTTCGCGCCAAAGCCAAGATGGCGGCTGAAGACGGATTTGTGCATATCCCCTAGCGTTCGAACAAGCTAACTATGTTGCTCAAGCCTATCTTTGACGTTGAATCCCGTCAACCGTCGAAAGCCGTCATTATTGCGCATGTCTGCCCGCACATCCAAGATAGCATTCATAGCACCAACACACTCTCATATGCAACTCCATTCCGCACAGTACCCGCCAAACCGCGCGGGCCTCGAGCGTATGATTCCGAAGACCCGCGTACGTGGGACCGGGCGCAGATACATGCATGGCTTACCAACGAGTTTGCGAAGCGCGCTGAGCAGAGCCATTCGGGGAAAGCAAACTTTGCTACGAATACGGATGATTCTACTAAGGGATCAGATCTGGGTTTGGATATTGACAAAATATGCCCTGAAGGATACACTGCTAGGAATCTTGGCACACTATATACCACGGAGTTCGTCGAGCGTTGCCTCGCTGCGCGGACTGAAGGGGCTGGAGATGCGGGAGTACTCAAAAACAGGGCCGCTGAAGTTATCGGACAGTTGTTCTACCTGATAATGAGCGCCAAGACCAGGACACGGACCCAGATCATGAAGAGCCGGAAGAAGGTCAAGATGCAAGCTTATGGTAAGTTTTTTCGTCCTGCGTGTGTTCACCTTGACATGTGAATTTCAAGGTGAGGCACCGAAACGGACCGTAGGATATGGGGACGAGGATGATGACCCTATGCTGATGATTGACGCCATGGAATATCATACCCTAGAAAACTGGGACGCGACTATAGCTGCTGCGATCGCAAAAGCTGTCAAAGAGAAGACTGATGTGCATGAAGCACATTCAAATGCGACTAGAGGCTTGATGGAGGCATGGAGGGTGGACGTGGCTCGGCGGCAGTCTGAGAGCAAAGCTTCGATATAGTTCATCCAGTGCGAACGGCCGCAACACTGAACGGCGCTATCCCACCGCAAATCGTATTCATTTGTATCAACCGTAAACCTTTTTTTATCAGAATCACGGGGCATCTTCACGTTTAGGTGTCTATCGCATTCACTCGTGGTATTCTAGTCTTGTGGTCCATTCGCTCTTATGGGCATATAGCGCGGGAGAATTTGTTAACCTCAATCGCCGCCCGACATGCAAATCCGGAGGATTTCCCAATGTGAGGCCCTTTTATCCCCTGTTGGATCTTACAGCGGTCGTGTGCTTATTCTACGCGTAGGAATTACACTAATCCCCAAAAACCTGTGTTTTCCAAGTGGGGCCGCCGTCACCTTCTGTCCATGTTGAAGTTGAAATAACTTGTCAAAACCTGGGAATGCAGGGTACCTGGGGTATCGTCTGATGTCGTTACGACCAGGCGTATACTGTTTAAGCAGTCAGGTAGTCTCATTTATCGCAGTAATGAATCGCGAACAGCAAACCCTTGCAGCGAGGCATTCACATGCCCCATGCATGAGATTTTGCCAAGTTAATTACAGAAATATCGAACGCCACAATTGCGGTTGCCGGAGCGAAAAGTAGGCACCTAATGGGTCACAGCCACCGGGCTTCAACATGTGAAAGCTACTCGATCAGCGATCCGTCATTTCTTTGCGGCGGCGGGGCAATTTACTCTTCCTATTCACTGTTCGAGTGACCAAATATCTTTGGATTTTAGGGTACATGGTAAGCAAGTCATTAGTCAAATCCTATATCAAGTAGCTCATCTCGGTATTAATAGATTTGCCGTAGGTCATAACGCGAATAGAACAGATCAAAATTTGTCGAACCCGACAAGCGAAAGAGTTATCGGAGTCTTACCGCTGCCTCATAGCTAGCCAGACTGCCGGAGGCTGTCGAATGTGGAACGCATCATTTTCCCTGACCTACGTTGCGCTGTTTTTGATCTTGTACGCTGCACCCGACTCGGCTTTAATTCTGCCTTTTCATGAGCCAGAATTTCAGCAAGTCGTTTCTTTACCCAACCATCATCATCATGTCTCTGTCCGCTTTACAAGAATTGGCTCCTTCCTTCGACCTCGCTGGTGTTTCTACTGCTGCTGCTGTGACCGGAGCGGTAAGTACTCGTCGATGTCTCGCATCAGATGCAGCGCGCCTAACAACTCTTCTAGGCAACGACTTTGTATCTCAATCGCCATGAATATCGTGGAGACACCGCGGTCGCTGTTTGTGCCCTGACTTGGGCGTCGCTGTTCGGCACAGGCGTTTACAAGCAACTAGGGATAAGCCAATCCTTAGGTATAGCGGCTAGTGGAGTCGCATCGTTCTTGGGGACAATGATCGTACTCGCTGTTGCTTACCGCCTTTCACCTCTGCACCCCCTCTGGCGCTTCCCCGGCCCCTTCCTCAATAAGATTACCTCATTCAAAGCCATGCATATGGTGTCGACCGGCCACCGTTACCTGATAATCAAGGACCTGCACAAGAAGTACGGAAAATTCGTGCGAACCGGTATGTCAAGCTTCTTTCATGCTTAGTAGAGGGGGAGCTAACATTGGACAGGTCCCAACACGCTTTCCATTGCTTCTGTCGAAGCTGTCCACCCGATCTACACCACCGCACAGAGTATGGACAAGAGTATGGCGTACCGTCCTGGACGTGCCCCCGTTGGAGGATTGTTCTTCACCCCCGAAAGGGATTTGCACAACATTCGTAGGAAGGCGTGGGCTGGTGCTTTCAGCTCCAAGTCGTATGTTCTTTTACCCCTTCTTGCTAACGAAGAATTCACAAACTATTTTAGGCTGCCTAAGCTTCTCGCTGTCGTTGATAAGCGGACGAAGCAGATGATTAAGGTCATGGACAAGCGACGCAGTCCTGATGGTGTCATTGACATGTCTGAGATAATCCGTCACTGGGCATATGACTTGATGGTCAGGAAATGGATTCTCATTAGAGTTCTATATGCTGACACTGTTTTCAGGCTGAGATGACTTTTGGTGCAACCAGCGATGTTGTGCGTACTACTTACTCAGTTTTTGTCTTTTTTTATAGTTTTAACGACGTTACACAGGAACTCATGGCTAACGGTGACCCGGAGGACGTCTCTGAGAACGCGCAGAACGCCACAGTTGTCTTCGAAGTGTGAGTCCATTCTACATGTCCGTTCATTTTGAATGGACCCTAACCATCACTATAGTCTCGGTGAAGCACCTTCCATCTTCGACATTGCATGGAACTTGCCAGCTTCTGATGAATTCCACGTTTTGGAAAGGACAGCCACGAAGCTCATGGACGTCCGTAAGCACATCACCGGTGACGATATTGCCTCGTACTTGGTGAGCTATTTTCTTCTGGGCGCTGGTGCGGCTTCATCATTCCGTTTGTTTAGCTTGGTGAGAAGGGTGGCGAGTGTCTCGGTGATGAGGACCTCAATATCGACTCTGCCTTTGCTATTGCTGCCGGTGAGTATATGAAGCACCTTGTGAGACTTGTCTGATGAATGAATGTGCCTGTAGGATCCGACACCACCGGTGGAACACTAACGATCCTTCTCTTCTACCTCCTTCCGTGACCGCACCTGTTTACAAGAAACTCCGTGACGAACTTGATGCACACTTTAACAGCGTCGACGAGATTGACGACCCTAAAGCACTCCTTGATCTACCCTACCTCTACGGTGTCGTCTGGGAGGGTCTAGCGCCTCGGGACACCATTTGGTGGTCTACCTCGTGTCGTGGGCGAGGGAGGGTCGATGATTGACGGTGAATTCATCCCCGAGGATATCATAGTGGTACGTTATATTGATTGTTGTGAAACTGCGAAGAGCTCATCTCAAAGTGTCATGTAGTCGGTTCCCCCATACACCCAACAGACCGACCCGGAGAACTTCTACCCCATGCCGATGGAATTCTTGCCTGAGAGATGGCAGCCGGAGGGTCTCGGGCCGGAGACCATCACGAAGAAGAACGCGATGCTGTGTTTCTCTTACGGTTCGTGTATCGTTTTCATTGATTCAATAATGGGGTTTGTTGATCAGTTACGACATTGACAGGTGCATTCAGTTGCCTGGGCAAGGTCTTTGCCAACCAGGAACTCCACCTCACTGTGGCCAAGCTGATGCTTGCCTATGATATGGACCTTCCGAAGTCGTTCGATCAGCAGAAGTTCATAGATGGCATTCTTAACATGCGCACGACACTCTTTGACTATCCTCTGGCTATCACGGCTACTCCCCGAAACTTGTAATGGAAGAGGGCTTATTTAGATGTACAGTACAAATAATTGCCGCTACTTAAGTATCTCACCAGATCAACTTGTCCCAAACTAATAGCATGTTTTAATTACGATGCCTTAAAGTAACATGGTTTTCACCGTGATTTCAATACAAGCTAACTTGTGATTACTTGTGATTAGTTGGCGGCAGGCAGGGTTATCTTTATAGTTCGCCAATATGTAGACGGCTTAGTATGTTAGAGTGGGTCAAGTTCAAGCCAGTTGATGATGCATCATTGTATGAAGAAAACACGGCGATCAGGGATATACATATGCTACTACGTGGACTCGTAATAGCAACGGAGGATATTCGACGCCCTGGACCCATTCGCGGCCGTAGCATCACTGAAGGGGAAATTAAAAGAAGTCTTCCGTGCCTCGGAATGAATTCTTCCAGGATTGTCTTGTACATGAATTTGCCTGCTACAAGTACTGTCGCTCAGGGTGCCCTACTGTCTACAGGCAAGTAAAAGGCAAAAACCTAAAGCTGTCGATGATTTATAATTCTAAGTGGCCAGCCCTAATCCAATGTGACTAGAGGGCACGGTGACCGGTCAGCGCATCAGTACACCTCGTCAAATGGCCTGGTATCCTTAAAACAGCTCTCGAAGACCTCATTGACGACCTTCCTCGCAGTTTCTTCGTTCGGGCATAGTGGATTTGCTGCCAACGACCCAATCGCTCGTCTCCTCACGCACTCCTGGTGTTGACCCGCCACTCCAAAGACTCCCCTCGCCAACTCACTGGCATACCGGCAATCCCCACTCAAACTGTTCGCTCGTATCTCCGAACATGCCTGGTGCCGCAAATTCGACCAGTCCACGTTAAATTTGCAGTCATCGTACATATGCACGAGTTCATGGGCCATGGTGCGTTCCATGTGTCTCCGGCTGTAGAAATTGGACGCACAAAGGATAATGGCGCCACGCTCGGGATCATATCCCCCTGCACGTGTCTGGTTGCATGGACCACAGATGAGATTCCGAGCTGGGACACGACAACCGCTGAGGGAAAGGTGTTGGAGCATAAAAGTAACGACCGGTGAATTGTCGATGAGCCATTGCTTGTTTTTTTCGCAACGCGCAATATCGCGAGCTTGTCGTGATGCAGAAGGCGTGCCGCCGGTAGACAGTCCAATTCCGGTCATTTCACTGGCCCAGCTGCGCCACCGTTCAAAGGCAGACGAGGAATCGGAAGTACTAGGTTGTGAAGTCGAGGCGGAAGACTTGGGCCCACTTTCTGAATCCATGATGGCTCTGGAAGCATCGGCGAAACAATGAGAGGTAACTTATTTAAGGATATTTGACATACATACATCTATTCACAGGTGTGGTCACTTAGAATTTGTGTGCTGACCAGCACCCGGAGGAGCTGACGAGGGGCGGAGGCAGAAAATGTTATGTATATTACGTGCAAATTTTCAGAATAAGCATATCCAAATCTGTATATTATATATTCTCTCGGCTTAATGTCGGCATATCGGCACAGTAAGGCTGTTTTTGCCTATACTTTGAGGAACTGAATTACACGAATGACGTAATTGATCCGTCGGCGGCACGACAATTTTAAAATAACCTACTCACACGATGCACACGATAGAATGAATTCAGTGTCTGTGACCAGTTTATATTGGACAAAGCTCCCGTGTATTTTGAAACAGCTATCAAACCCTGCGCATAATATTCAACGTGTGACCAGGTTACCATCACATTAGTACGAAATGGGGTCAATTGTCGATGACACAATCATTTTTAAAGAATTGTCAAATAGCTAAAAATAGCCACTCCGTCATCGGGGTTGACATAACTCGATGGCCATGGCACGGCAAGGCCTCGGTTCTGTACTCCGACACTGTCGCTTCAGAGCCGCCCAGATTTTGCTGTTATATCCGGTTTCCTCTTCAATGCATATAATCGGAAATATCTAGACATCACTGATAGATTCAGCGCATTGCTAACAATCGCTGCAATACATCGCCCGCGTCGAGTAGGTAAATGCCACATTAAATATACTTACTCGACTCGGATGCCGGGAGTCGATCAAAGTTATGTAAACGTAAGCGCGGCCTAAAAATAAACTGCTACATGCCTCTCTAGCGCTATGTAGTCCCTCTACCTATAACCCCGTACGATACATATACATTCTGCGACGGAATTAAACTTTCATTCGGGCGGATCTCTAGCGTAGGCTCAATGCAAGGTAACTTCGACAGCTTGCAAAGTAACGACCCCATGTTTCGGCCGCAAGCTCTAATATACATTTTTCTTTTTATGTGAGCGTCCTAACAACTAGAGAGCAACAACACAAGAGAGCAACAGTCCGGAACAATAGGTACAGGGTAAGTAACGATAAAACTACATTATAAGTAAAGTGTGTGATAAAGTGGGGGGGTAATAAAGATGCAATGCCTATTAGTACAAGTCCAAGTGTGCGTAGTAGTCCAGAGTCCATGGTTCTAATGCGAAGGTATCGTCAAAATCGTCAAAGAGCGTGAAAGGTACGACCAGGCGTATCCGTAGAGTAAAAATGTCCAAAAAGTGCGAGTCCGAATGTATAACAACAAATGTTCAAGTCCAAAGCAAAACAATGTCCACACATTACAATGTCCATGCAATGGGCAACGTCTTTAAGAGAGTCCTCGTAATGTCCAAGAGGGAGGGATTAGCATCCTCGTACGTCGAGATTGAATCCTATACTTCCAGCCTCTTCTGGATTTTCGCTATCGGAATACCTAGTTGAGATCAGAGGTAAGCATCAAGAAACGTACGAAAGGAGTGAACACACCCAGGATAGGGAAATGGGAATGAAAGTTGGTCATGGCATATAGGATCGTACCAAGTTCGCTTCGCACATCAGAACTATTCATGGGTGGCCATGCTGACTCCAAAGTATCAAGTTCACGGACGATGATTTCCGCCGCTGATGTCCAACAAGTCTAAAAAGAGTACGACATAAATGAATAACCTTCTCACGAGCATGGGAACGACTTACGCCAACTATGGGATCCAAGAAGTTAAAATCTGAATCCGTCATAGATTTAATAATCGAGGCGCAGGCTCTAGCAGCCCGAGAGGACCGGTCATACGAGTGGGCATCATCGCGGGCGAACGGTTGGTGGAGGATTATTATGGAAGCATGCGCCAGAGTATGTACTGTGATTAAAAGTTGTCTATCGTCAGCCATCGTTGCATCCAGCGAATGTACTGGAGGAAGTGTTGATAAAAACCGCGTGATCGTAATCTCTAGCGCTCGTATCTGTTCTTGATTCCCAGGTGAAGGTTTTCCTATGCGGAGTAAATTTAGCATGACAATGATGATCATATGGAATAGAACGTCATACGCGAGTCCCACGCCCGGGATAGCTGGTCCGCATGGGCGAAGAGGGTGGAGGCCTTTGCACGCAAGGTCTGCAGCGAGAAGCTCCCTGAGGCCACATCCCCATTCAAGAAACTCGCAATGGTGTGATATGGAGAGTTGGACTCAATATAACCCTGGCAAGTTTCGAGATCAGCGTACGCGAACAGAACGGAAAGTTTCAGGGTACGGACCGAGTCATACTCCGCCATGTCTTGTGGCCAAGGGCAGGTTATCGAGGTCCAGGGATTTGACCCATCCGGAAGGACAGGAGGCTTCCTAAGCACAACTGACCAGCATCGATCCAGGTTGTATACTTGCCAGAATGCCAGGACTCGCTCGCCCCGCCTCAAGTCAATCTTTTGTGGCTTAAGGTCGAATGACTCGGTGGAGTCATTCATCCACTGATGAGGCTCAGGTGAGACATCCATGTGCAAGCCTACTTGGACCGCTAGGGCGGCTGCAGCGCTGGCGTGGTAACTCCCCTCCAACAGCCGTCCATTTGCGAGGAAGTACACAGACAGGAGGCACGAAGCTTGTATGATGTCCAAAACTTTGTCTGCAAGCCTAAGGCCTTGCTGATGCGCCTGGATGGCCTGGGTCAGGAAGTGCTCCTCATGCTCGCAGAGGGGTTCCGGCCGTGAGACAAAACAGGCCCACAGATAGATGGCGTTCATGAGGGCCGGATGACGCTGTTCCGACATGGGCAGGTTGAGGCTATCCCTGAGGCTGCCCATGTGCACTTCAAAGCCGCACTGGTGACGATGAGGGGCGAAGAGATCCAAGCTAGATGTGCCCCATCAGAGATCAGATTGGGTGATGGCATGCATGACGCAGGACTTACAGGGCGGGTGCGAGGTCGAATGGAGCTGAAATCTGGGGCTCGTCGAAGAATATCTCAGAGGAAAAGGGAGTGGCCGAAGGAGATACGCCCTACGAGGATCAGAAAGAGGTATTAATGACAGACCTAGACTTACTGGTAAATTTGTCCATGGTCGTGGCGGTGAGCTAGTCGTCTCTAAGGCCCTCCGTGTCAAACATATTCCGCGGACAAATTATCAAAGGTACTCACCAGAGGGGAAGGGCGAATGTGATGCGGAAAACGAAGTACTGCCCGGAGAGCCCAACGAAGATGATGAGGACTCAGAATGATGATAGGCATGAGGGTCGTGCAGTGTGATGGCAGGCGATACATATTCCGGATCTTCGAGCTCCCGTATACGCTGTTCGAGTCGAGCTATTGTCTCCTTGAGAATCTGTGTCCGCGTCTTGCCCTTGCCATCATCATATTCACAGCAATCTGCCTTCTTAGCGCGCACACACTGCTGACACGCCGGTTTCGTGCCATCACATCTCTAGGCGCGAATTGATCAGATTCCGGAGCGCTCAGAAACAAAATGGAAGAATACCATCTTTCGTTTCCTGGGGGGAGACTCGATAAGAATTTCTACCATTTTAGAGAAGAGACGAGCACTGACCTGCACCGTAAACACGCCTTACCCCTTTGCAAGGCACCCTGTGCACCACCGTTCACCATCGCAGTCTTGTTGGCCATCGAAGAATATAAAAACAATGTGGGGAACGATCTACAATCCAAAGAAAGACTGTTTTTCCCGGAAATACCGCGGTCGGAGCAATGTTCAAAGAACAGAGACAAGAAGGAAAGAAAAGGGGGTCGAGCCTAGTGAAAAGACAGATGCACAACGATCCAGTTATGCATGAAGGCCGGAAGGGCTGGCGGAAGCGAAACAGAGAAAACGAAGGCAACTCATATGGATGCTTGTCTGTTAATAAAGGAACATCAAGTGTTTTGGGCCGCACAGCCAAAACGGAAAGCACGGGGTACGTTTACAGTTTACTCACATTTGGCAACACACAGGGTCATCCCGATCTGAGATCTACTCATTGATTTTCATATTTCTTTTTCCGTTTCCAATCCGGTAATTTCTGAAAACGCGTCGCAATTCTTGACATACCGCCACACCTTTCTTACGCCTCTTTTATCCCCGTCTTCTCTGTACATGTGGTGATACTACTTCCTGGGGCAGGGGGGAGATTTGCTGTTGCCTTTAGGACTACCATTTCGTTCTGTACCTTTGTCTGTACTAGGCGAACGCGTTTTCTCTCACATCGGCCAGTAGAACCCGTCTGCCAGTTCCTCGTCCATGGCTCGGAGGATGGGCTCCGAATGGGCATTCCCTCGGCTCGTCCGTTCCGGATGGATCAGAATCCTCTTGTTCTGGCTCCTTTATATCATCACTGACTTTTTCTTTCAAAGTAGAAGAGGCTCTGACTGTACATCAATTCATCCTGGATCAGGTTCAATAATAGTCAGGAGCATCTCTACCCTGACTGCTTGGCAAATTGTTCCCTGCAGCTGGCAGCTCCTTGAATCATCGGACACCTTTCCGTTGATCCTATAGCTAGCGTTTCGGGTTTGAGCGGAGAGGAACCGACAATCATAAGCCATAAGTATGATGGGCCGGAAATAATTGATTACTCTCTGGGGCTTCTCTTTCAAGCTTTAACCTCGCGGACGTTTGGAATTTCCAACGCCGAAGTCGGCCCGCTTCTGGGCATGACTCATTGCACGGAAGACGATCCCTGTGCTCGCTCTGGAACTCGCTATCTTACCGATAGACTGGCAACAACATACGCGGCCCGCTAACTGTGCATTCGAATCTGATATCATGTACGAACTTGTCGGAAAACAGATGCGATGAATCGAATCGTTGATGTTTGTCTACCATTCGTGGTGAAGCAATAGTAGTGGTCCGCACTCAAAACACCTCCGATGTTTCTTGGGGCAGCCACAACCGTCTAGTCTAGCCCTTTACTCTTTTCAGACCCAGTCTTCTCAGGCAGGCCCGGATCCATAGGCTCTTATTATTCAAGGCAACCGCCGTGATAGATAATTTACTTCCTCCAAATGGTCATAACCAGTGCCGAATACGTTGTACCCGTGACTGGGGGAATTGTATGTACACGCCCGTCCACAAGTGGCTGCGGCGCTTGAATGGGCCTTTGCTTCCGTTACGGTGATTATCTCAATTAACCTGTGGAGCTGCGCATGTTCCGTTTCGAGGATTGCTATGAAGATCATAGGTACAAGCTAGGTACGCTTCTGCGCAGCGTTCTTCGTGACGTCGTTCTCGAGGCTTATTTGTCGAAGCGGGGTGCCGAGACGCTTGCGAGCCAGTAAGATTGTCTTTCTCGTTTTAATAGTGCTCATGGGGACATATGATGCAGGTTGCCATCACATCCTCGTGGTCCTTTTCTATTTGTTTCACCCAGGCCTACTTAATTCTTGTCCTTGTATTTAGGAACAAATGACGTTTATAAAGCTAGAAAATTTCTACGGCCTGCCAGATTGAACCGTCGGTTACCGCGGCAATTGCGGAATTATTAAGGCTTCAAGCCTGAAAGTCCACACTGTCGACGGAAAAATGTAGATCAAGCACTTCCAGACCAACAACTCAGCTTTGTCATTGGCAGGTGTTATCGGAGACGGTGTCTCCAAATGCCGCTTCATCCCAACGAATCTCAGAAGGTCGAATTTCAACGAATAATAATATTAATATGTTTCAGGTCCAAAATTTCCAACGCGATTGCTCCAGCACCCGTTCTAAGGATCGACGTGCGGATATAACACAGACAAGTGGGAGAATAAAGTACATAGCTAACATGTAGGTGGATTCCAGAACGACTATAGAATAACTGGTAACCAGCGAGAACACATCAGCCTAATCTGTTCGGAAGCAACGTCATCTCACTCACGCATAAACTACAATGATATAGATCAGAATGCACCATCCACATGCATCGAGGAGACGCTAGCGTTGGAGTGTGTGCGTGACGGTAGAGCAGGGGGGAGCAGCGACGACGTTTTAGCGTCGTGCTGCTGCTCAGCTACCCGCTTTTCTCGCATGTGTGCTTGCCTCACATACGCGTATCGTTGAAAGTGGTTAAGTGTTTGTAAGAACAACACGCCCACCTACGGAACAAATTTTAATATCGAAACACACCGACCGGCTCGCAACGTACCGGATATGCACGGAGCTGATTGAACAAATCTACCGTCTGATCCCTTATTGACTCCTTTTGGTGAAAAAGCCCAAAGGCGAAGGGGAGGAGACCGCCACTATGGGGCATTAGATAAGACAGAAACTGTAATAATGGATAAATAAATTATCCGACATTCACAGGCAAAAAATTAAGCATGAGAGACCCACCTCTACTACCTGATCGTAGGTCTTGACATTATCAATAAGCGTACGCATGACCATAGACACTTCCGCGTCTGGGATCCTTCTGGCATGCCTCAGCCGGAAGATTTGATGTACAACGTCAAAGCCTTTGATGGGGTTTGTTGTCAGTGACTTTTTGAAATCCTGAAATTATATGACAAGGGTCGTCAGGAAGGCGGACAACGAAAACAAGATGGACGGACCAATGCATAGTATTTATAGCTGTTGGTCTTTTTCCACGCCTCTACGCGATGGTAGTTCGCAGCTAGCTCCTTGTGACCCAAGGCCTCGTCATTGAATACGATACCACTTCCTAGCTGAGGTCGAGACGAGGTCCCGTCCATAAAAGGCGAGCTAGGGTACCCGATACTTGTAACGCTAGTAACCTCCTCTTCGTAGCGTGATGCCAAGCGCACAAAGCGGCCGACATATTCCGTGAATCGTGCGCGAACCAGACTCTCCCCGTAATGATACTCAATTGCAGATTTGATCTGCAGACGAAGAAAGATCTTCATCAGGCATATTCAATGATGGGACGGGAACATCACATACGTCTTCGATGAACACTGTATCCGTGTTATTGTCTGCTTTGGGTACAAAGTCGGCCTTGTCTTTGGTAGGGACTTTCGGGTAGTCTTCCTCACTCCCCAAGGATGATTCAGCTTTCAATGTTCCGCTTCGGGTTATTAAAGGCGCAATGAATCCAGGACCACTGGTTACTGGGTAGTTGGTATGGATATCCTTCGCCACAGTGACCGTACCCGTGCCAATATCCAGGAGAAGATCCCAGGCACCTAGTGCTTCGAAGATCGGGTTTGTGACGCCGGCGATGTACGCAGGTCTGAACTTGAAGCGATTAATCGGACCGTGACGTGAACAACAAACAGAAAGACGTACACGGACTCCCATTCTTCTCTATTATTGAGATTCGCGTATGGAAAAGCTCTTTCTATGAAACCTCGGAGAATAGCACCACATCCAGACGCCAATGCACATGCGGACAGTACGAAACTTGACACTTCGCCCGCGGGTCGTTTATGACCCAAAAATATTATCCGCTTACCAGTGATCAAAGCGTTGAAGAGAACGATTATCGGATGAGTTTGAGGACCGTTTGTATGGAGATGGGGATGTAACGGACCATTCACAGTGGCGCCGAAAACTTTAATAAGTGTGATCAGGGAGTACTGAGAAAGAACAAATATCAGTCCACAATGCACTGGATATGAAGTAAGAGTTTTGCCTACATCACCAACCTCTTCGGGAAAGGTCGATAGCGGCATTCTGATAGGCAGCTGGTGATCTCGATATGCCACAGTGGTATGAAAGAAATGGGTATCTTTAGTCCGTAGGTGTGGGTCGTAAGATGGATGGGCTGGATGTAACGGCGGCGGCCTAAGGGTAGATCCAATGAGAGACGAGGCCGAAGATGCACCCGTTGAGCGTCTCTTTCGACTAGAACCTACGAGCGTGCTACTGTTAGCCAGCGACGCGACGGTCCCATCTTCCCCTTCGGTAGAAGCATTCTCCAAGCCGCTTTCTTCCCCTACCCACACAGCACTACCACCTAGTGTGAACGATGAATCGGAAGGCGGTGTACGTGATTGGCGCTTCTGTGAAGAAGACGCGGTTGTGCTCTCTGTATCCGCTCTGTCCCTAGGCCTCACTGTATGATCCCATTCCCGCACTCTGCTCTCGTCAACAGCTCGCTCCTTCTCCTTTGTCCGCATCAAGATACCCTCTTCAAAGCTAGAGTAAGAGCCAGCAGAAGGCGTCGTTCTATGCGCATGGTTCTTGCTGCCACTTGCACTGAGGGACATGGACGAAGCATTCTTGATATTAGCGAACTTTTCAGCAAAGATATCCTTTCGCTCTGAAAATCTCATGACCATCTTCTCGTGTCTATTCAGGATTGGTGCCCCGGAAAAGTCCATTGAGTTGACAGCATCAAAGAGACGTGCTAGGCAGTCTTGTGAGGGATCAACGAGGTAGTCGTCAAGAGCCATTAGCAGAACAGGCTAGAACAACAGAGTTAATGAATCCTCTATAACAGCAGTAGCGCACTTGCCTTGAATATTTGGATAAATGGATGCCGTGTACATATCGCCAAAGCCAGCACCTTTGCTCCTCTATCCACCGCCTAGCATCAGCATATATCCCTAAATAAACCACAGCGAACGCACCGATTCAGTGATTTATCATGCTTGGTCCTCACCAAGTTCAGCACGCAGAGCAAATCCGGCTGGTCCCCTCGCGACGCCTGCTCCTCTCCCGGCAACCCCACTGTCTTCACGTCTGGCGAGTCCAGGCCGACCACAGGCGAGATAGTATTGAACGGTGTTTGGTTCAGGAAGAACACCGTCCAGTCGTCGACCTGCATTTCAGCCCCGTCTGGGAGCATCGACATGGCGAGAACCCTACCGATGATGAATACCTGGTAGCCACCGATTCGAGTGGGGCATGGACTCACGATTCATCGACACCGAGAGGTTGAGGGAACTGGTACTTGAGCTGTGCGCCTTCGAGGAATGTGAAATTCAGCCAGGAGGACGAAGGAGCAGTGGTTTCCTTGGCTGCTCATCGTGGACTCATGCAAGCTGTTGGTGGCCGCCAGAGAGCGCCGGTGGTGCTGCGATGTATTTGCCTCCAATTGTGTCAATCCCAAGGTCGTTGGTGGTAGGGAAGAAAGTGGTATAGGTATCGTTGAATGCGTTAGGAGATGGCCGCCGGAAGCAGATGCATTTGTTATGTAGCCATCACGTCAACATTTACCAGCGCCAATCTTTTCATTGCCTTGTACCATTCTCGACGACACTAACGGTGCCTCATAAATTTAATTTGGCAGTACTCAGAGCTGCCTAGCATCCATTTTTCAGGACATACCCGTAAAACATCACTATTATTACTGGTACGTGTTTATTATCCAGATCAGTAAGAGTCCATTAATTATAAAAACCAGAAGCAAGACAGGACCACCAGTCCTGGAATCAATAGGCCTACTATCCGAGATATATTGACCACTGCTGCCGCATTAGTGCTGTTTGTCGTCGTTCCACTTGGCGCCGCTCCGGGGGTGCCTGTGGTAGTCCGAGCCGACGAGGTGAGGGATGGTTCAGAAGAGTTGGAGGAGGGGCCCGCACCTGATCCCCCTGCTGCACTCGATAGTTGGGCAAATCCAATTGCTGGAGGATTCGAGTCCCTGAACACAGAGTATACATTTTTCTACATCGGAAACTTTAGTCGATACTACAACGTCGATAAATGCGGATACTGACCAAAAACGTTGCACCGACAACCCATCCCGGATTCCCAGTTCCTTCCGGGATGTTGCTTCCGGCAGTGAGGTCAAAGATTCCCCCAAGACACATACTGCTGCCAGTGGTTGCGGGGCCCAGATTCATGTCCTGGCTACTGATCGGCCACGACTTGCCACCAAACGACATTGTCACCTCGACGTTGGTGCTACATGCTGAAAATTTATTATTATTCCAAACGTCAGTGCCCTAAGTATGTAAGAGAGAATGCGCCACTCACGGAACGTGTACAACCCTTGCTGTCCTCGGGCCTGCTGTGCACCTTCAACCTGAGCCCATATGGCAGCGACGTCTTCGGACGGGCCACCAATCAGAGTGGTTCCAGTGTCGATCGCAGATAATGCCGTAGTTCCGCTCGTGGTTAAAGCGACGCTTTTGCCTTGGACGGTGAGGGCTGGAACGCGAATCAGGTGGAGCCTGAGGGTATAGACGACGATAAGAACTTGCCTTGGAGCTCTAGAAGCCAGAATGACGCCGACGCGGGCATGTTCAAAAACTCGATATCTCCCGTGAATAGGGTGGAGTTGGTTCCTCCGAGCGTAAACACGCCTCCAGATTCTTCTGATTGCACATTTGTTTCACCACGGTGCCGGGCGAGCCAAAAGCTCATTTCCGGAGATGTCAACTTGTTTCCATTGACGAGGGCCTGCCAAAAGGGCGTTGCCTGCGTAGAAGCAATCTGTTCGAAAGCGAGACCCATGATACCAGACACGGAACCGCTTAACAAACTGCTTGTTGTCTGATCAACAGCCACTGCAACTGGGTCAATGTTTGAAAGCACAAGAGCGATTTTAACATACAAAAAGTTTGCTGGTTCACGGTGAAACCTCCCATTGCCACTGTATCAGAGGAGAGAGTTCCAGCCACGGCGCCCGAGCCATAACGTATGGTAGTCTGAGAGTTGCTGCCGGACGCCGTTTGTAATGTTGATGATGACTGTGAGTTGAACAAAGGCGTCGAAGAAGAACAGCTCAAACAATTCGTATCGGCGACCCAGAGATCTGCAGAGCCTGTGTCGAGAATTACATTGAACGGTTGGGCCCTGGAGAGATGTCAGAATTATCCGAAATTGAAAAAGAAAACCACTGGGACGTCGGGACGATCGTGGCGTCAAAGTGAGGCACCGAAAGCGCTGCCGACGAGCGGGAACTCGTTTAATTTTTGTCGACATCGTAGCCGGGGCCGTCTATCATATGCGCCACCTGCTCCGCGACGTCGACCAGGTGGAAATGACACTCACGGCGTTCCAATGTCGACGGTCGCAAAATAACTCGCGTCGGTGTTCTTTCAAAGGGGAAAAGTCAGCTCAGGGTCCCAGCATCGGGCAAAGAAACGGCGACAGACTTGATCCACAATACCAATACCAGCAGTACTCTGCCTTTTTCCAGCCCGCCTGCTCTGGGATGCGGGGAAATAGCCGTACTTTGCCCTGAGGGATTCCGCAGCAGCTGCGTAATCAACATCGCGGGGGCCGTTGTTCCTTATGGAGACATGTACAGGCTCTGCAGCGACGGAAAGAAGAAAGAAAAATAAGGAGACGAGGACGAGGAACATGGCGGTCGTGAGTAAGGGAATGAAAGAGCCTGTGGCCAAGCACAGATGAAAGCCGGAAACCTGTTCTGCGGTAGCGTGTGACGTGAGGAACAGATTTATATCCCATGCACGTGCCTTTCCGAAACTCTCATCTGAGTCATCATCGAATGTCTTGGTCTCTATTCAATAAACTGCAGCTGGCCTTTGCAGTGTGCCCAGAAGAATCGTTGTTAGTCTCTTTTTTATTGTTTGATTCTTGTGGCCAGCGCTATTTCCTACCTTTTTTTTTGATACGCCAAGAACTTTTGTGTTACCGGGCGCTACTTTCAAGTGCTTTATCATCCTTTCTGGCCAGGACCCATCGAATGATGTCCCCACCTTTTCGTCATGTTCAACACACGACCCTGCTGCGTATCCGACTTGGCCGAGCTGATCAACACTTTTTTTGTACTTATTGCCTATTCTGACGCATCTTATCAATACCAGCAGTGCCCCCTGACAATACGTCTTCAGCTGCTTTTTCGTCTCCTCATTTGCCATCGCGTAGTAAACTTGGCAATCTCTCAAGTTTCATTCCGCCAAGTTCCGCCATCAGCAGGTGTGTCGGGAGCTTACCGATTAGGAACTAGCCGCTCTGTTCTTTGCGGTAACGGCGCACGATGGCCAGACTAAGACAAGACGCGTAATTTTTAAGCACTCGAAAGTTACGCGTGAATTGATTGTCAACAGGAAAACGGGCAACTGCCGCCGTGTTCCCATGAAATTTGGCTACAATGTCGGGTTGACGCGTTCCCGATCATTGATTTTCCGCTATTCACCCGGACCCTCAATGACCTGTGTTACTTGCTCCGAGTGCGCCTCTTTTCTACTCTCTCTAGGCTCTTTGTGGTAAGTGAATCATGGTCCCCAATGTTGCCTAGGCTCTGGTTTCCCCCATCAGACAGTGGTATTCTCATCCGTCGTACGCTTTCTGTTGTCGGTGTCAAAAGTCCCATCTATCTCTTGGTTTCCATCTTCATTTGCTTGTCGGAATGATTTAACTTCCTTGATACCAGGCTTCGTTTAAAAAATGCTCCGAAAGCATTCTAGGGTTGTGATTACAGAGTCCGACGTCACCCGTGTACCTAAGTAGGAGGCGATACAACTATCTTCGACGCCCCCCACTCAAGCCTATCGAAGGATATCACCGGCCTTGGCGTTACAGCTTTCTCCCATCGTACTTAGTGTCATCAGTCTGCGATTCATCATTTTTTGCGTTCCGGCGACTGAAATCCCGTATCGTATCAAGTCCTGATATTGATTGACATCGTAAGTCCAAGCAGAAATGTATCCGTTACCTTCGTTCTTACTACCTCTGCATAATAGGTCCATTGGTAAGCGTCACCGCGTCTCGCGCGACTGCCTTGCGCTATCCCATGGGCCGTGGATCGGATACTCCAAATCGCCTGCGGATGATATAACGTTCACCTAACTATAAGTACGTATCCTCCCCATATCGGGGACATCCTTTCCACCAACTATCAAAAACGCTTACTACACAAATACATTCCCTCCATCAATCACAATAGTCTGTCCAGTCATATAATCCGAGTCTGGACCCGCTAAGAATGAGACCAATTTTGCTGGATCCTCCGGTACGCTCGTCCGTCCCAAACAAATCGAATTGGTAAACCTAGAAAAATTCTGACCTAGCGGGAGACCGTTTATCTCGCTCATTCCCCTGTCTATCTCTTCCCACATAGGTGACGCCACAATTCCGGGGGCATAGGCATTAACGGTGATACGATGACGACCGAGCTCCATAGCGAAGGAATGTGTTAAGCTTCGCACCGCGGCTTTCGTAGCACTGTAATGCGCGAGGAGATGATCTGCTCGGAATGATGTCCCACTGCAGAAAATCCGGGTGAGAAGGTAAATGCCATTGAGAAGCTCGAGGGCCTACCTAGCGGCATTGAGAATCTTCCCGCTGGTTCCTTGCTTCATGAATTGCTTCGCAGCTACTGTATCGCTGTTAAACACTCCCATGACGTTTACCTCGAATATTCGCCGAAGGTCATCTTCGGTTATATCGAGGATAGGCTTGGAGTGGGCGATACCTGCGTTGGCGACCATGACCGTGAGGGGTCCGAGGGTATCAACAGACATCTTCACAATCTCCTCTACGTCGGCACGTTTGGATACATCTCCAAAGGCGCTAATGGCGCGTCCGCCAAGCGAAGTGATCTCGTCTACTACCTACATGAAAGTATTACTACATAAAAAGGTGGGACGGTAGGGGGGGCTTACTGCCTTGACCTGCTTAGCATTTGATGAAAGATCGTTAACGCAGATATCGAATCCATCTTGGGCGAGGCGTAGAGCTATTCCTCGTCCGCTTTGGAAGATATAGAATCAGTCGATGATCAGATAATGCGCCATCAAGCATGGCTGGGACCCACATTCCTTGGCCGGCGCCGGTGATGATTGCCGTACGCGTTGATGCTGTGGTCACTGATCGGGTGGCCCTGTGTATATGCCGCGAAGGTACGAGGTGCACTAGACCGGTAGTGCGGTTCACGATGGACGGGATTCTGTTTATCATGACGTGAGAAAAGATATACCTGATGCGAGTCTAGCATTGACTCCGAACTTCGAATTTATCCCATGGTCAGCCGGAGCTTAGGAAGTTGGGCTCAGAGGGCGATTACCGGTTCCGGTAAGCATCTAATAGATAATATTATATATTTTACCTCAAATGAACAAGACCCCTTAGCTCAGTGGTAGAGCGTGTGATTCCAGCGGTTTGTGTATGAGTTGAATATATAACCTCAAGCTTCCACAATGTCAAGTGTTCAACTCGCTTAGGAGTCATTTTTTTACGCATATTCCTCCCTCAGGAATGCTCAGTCTCATTATCCTATTTTTAGTGTCCACATACTGGTGGAAATAAGCATCCTGAATTGTGGAAGAGGGGATGGAGGAGCAACGACTTTGATTATATCATCTCGATCATCGGAGAAACCCGAGCGGCGCTTGAATCCCCACCTAAACGCGTTGATTGTGACACGCGCTTCACGTGATCTTACTGCATCTTATCACCAACCGTCATGTCCTTCCCTTCTGTGTCGACTTGGAAATGGTCGACAGGTCATCGCGTTCAATATTCATCTCCCTCATCGTCGCCACCGTGCTCGTCGTCCCCACCAACATCCCCGTATTCCGCTTATTCTCAATATCAAACTCGTATACAGTCAAGTCCCAGTCCTGGGTATTGCATCGACATTCACGATCCGGGCAATGGCGCGTCGAATTGGTTCCGGAGGGAATTGCATCCTCTCAAATTTCCTCATCCTAAAGTTCCGTGCAAACTACCAAGTTTTCATTCCATGTTTGGAGATTTACCGCCACCCATATCTGATGTGGAAGAGTACTCTGACGTCGTCGACACCCACTTCTTTCACAACGACGCAGTCAGCGACGTACCACCAAGTCATGCCTCTGTTTTCTATACGGATAGCGAGGAGGAGGACCATGATCCGGAAGACGAAGTTTCCGTCGAGACCTCGTCCAGGGCCACGTTCTTCCGGGTCTCTGAGGAGCGGGGCCAATGGAAGAACGACCCTATACCTTTTCAGCTGCAGCCTTCGCATCACCAGCGCAACTCAATGCCTACCTCATCTCGCCCCGTCCCACCAAGTCCTGACCGACGACTCGCCTCTGAACCAGCAGAATTATCCATGAACCCCAACCACTCCGGCTGCGAGGATTTGGATTTCACCTCTGAATTCTCCCCAGAGTCCGATGACAGACAGGCTTCATACGACGCTGATGTTGATTCAGAGCTAATAACATCAGAATCAGAGATGCCAGACGACGATAACCGACCCTACTCACCACTACCCCCTTCGTCACCACCTCTGTCACCAATGTCTTTTTCTGTATCGCCAATGATCGGCCCTATGTCACCGTCAAGCGTTCCAGCTCTACCTCCACTGTCGCCTGTTATCATACCTCCGCTTCCCTCGGATGACGCCGACGTCGAGAGTATTCACCTCCCGGTAGCCATAGACCCTTCTTCGTCGCCCCTTGTACGTGTCTTGGTCCATGGAGCTTGTTATCGTTCACGAGCTCACCCTTACAGGTTCAGACCAAATATGAAATTTCTCCCTTCATGATACCAGAAATGTCGATCACATGTGGCGCCGAGTTGGATACTATCACCGCCGTCATATCAGCACCCTCATCTCCGAGTCCCGACAGTGGCTTATTCGACAAGGACCAACAGCTAGACCCTTCACCACTAGCCTTATCTGTTGCAACCGATGCCGATGTGAATACTAATATTCAAGATTCTGCCGTGCCCAAGGAGGATTTGTCGGACGATGTTGCCAGAGAGCAGGTTGTCATAATTAGTGACGTTCCGATGAAGCAGGAGGTTCCAGAGATAGATCAGATGGTCGAGGTCACGTTGAAGGAGAAGAATGGAGCTGACGATATCGCGGCAGTAACGATGGGGCACGAGAAGCGCAAAAAGGGTCAAGATGATGGTCCGAAGAAGAAAAAGGCTCGGTTGGGTAGCCATTCGACGTCTTCAGGTGCTGTCGGAGACGACGAAAATACTAGGTCCGCCTCAAAATCCAAATCGAAGATCAAGACCAAAGCAAGGAAGCCGCGAAAGCAACCCCAGTCCCAGCCTCCTCAACATCGACGTCGACAGCCATCGTATACATCCTCGGACGAAGAGGACGAAGAGCCGGTAGAACGGCAGCCACCACCCCCACCACCCTTGAACCTCTCGGTCGAGGACGCCGAGCTATGCGGTATGATCATCGAAATCATGGCCACATCCCGGGCTTCTTCGCATCGAGCCTCTTCCATCTACAAAGCTGTTGTACAGAACCGCCCTGCACTCAAATCGCAACGAGAAGATCCGGAGTGGATCGCGGCCATCGGGAGGATACTGGAAGGGGCACATCGTGTGAATGGGATGTTTGGTAAGGTGGAAAGCAGTGGCGTGGTGAGCGCATCTGTGAGGCTGTGTTGCCGGGCGCTAATCTCATCTCGTCTGATATAGGATGATTCAAATCGTCCCCTGGAAGCACAGTGGTTCTATGTGCCGGAGCGGGATGAAGACCAGGAACGCGCGTCATTAATGAGAGCAATGATGCCTCGGCCGGCAAAAAGGTCTGAAACGAAGAAGTATAAACAGTATTACTACCGCCCTCTGGACAAGATTTCGCGTTGGGATTCTGAAGACGCTCTCTAGACATTCTTGCTTCTTTTAATTGCACTTTTTGACGCTACTATCATTATTCTAGTCTTCGTTCTGCGTTCCAGCTTGTAGCACTATAATTTTTTTCTCTATTTTCGGTTTTTTGTTCCTCCTTGCAACTGCATTTTTTTAGTGTATTGAGAGAGCATGACGATCGCAGTTCTTTGACGGCAATAATGATTATCGTAATTGCAGATACAAAATACACATCTAAATGTGAAAAGTCGTGGAGCAGGTGAGTAAGAAAGAAATAGAGCCTGTCTAACGTCTTTGGGTCTTCCCACCCTTACGTTTACCAGCAAATAGATGCTTTGGCTGAGAGAAAAGGTTAGACATCTGCGTATTATCGCAACCTGTAGACTGCTCACCATTTTGACTTTGATTGCACGGTCGCTCTCTCCAGCTTTGGCAAGTTGGTTTCGTGGCCGTTGTCCAAGATTCCGTAGCTTGACAGCCTTGGATGCTTGCTAGACATATATGAGCAAGCAGTACCGTAAAGCTTAGCAGATAAGCTTACCCCTTCATCCCGTAAACCAGCGAGTTGTCGATTCGTCTTCGGTGCCCGTCTGTCTATCGCCACCACTGCACCAGAATTGCCCTTAACGCGCTTGGCAGGTGCCTTCTCCTCACCATCGACGTCCATCCCGTCATCGTCCTCGCCGTTATTCTCCATGTCATCATCATCGACATCCATCTGGGCTTCCTCGGCTCTCTTCCGCTTCGCTCCCGCCACCTTGGCCAGCACCGTTGCACGCTCTTGTATCCGACTCGGATCCAAGCCTGCTTTGGTCATCCCTTCCGTCAAATCTGACAGCGACCGCAGCGTCGCTGTCCGCGGCATACGAGCCTGGTTCTTTTTGCTTTTCTTGATGCTCTGTGAGTGAATCTTGTGTGAGAGGGCAACTTGAGCTTCTTGGGCTTCGCGTTCGTCGTCAGAGTCGTACTGTTACAGGCCCCTTAGGTGTGGGAGAAGAAGAGGAAGCGAGTGGTGCTTACCATCTCCTCTTCACTGTCATAGAACCCTTCTGTTTGTAGGCGCTCTTCTTCACGTTCAAGTGCGTCGAGCTTCTCTAGAATGTCGGGGTCAATGAAGTCGGCAATGTTCTTGCCATCCATGATCTCGGGTATGATGTCCATCTTCCATTCAGGGTCAGCAAGGAGGTAATCCTCTGTTGACGCAATCAGTCAATGCTGGAAAAAGGGAAGGGAAACGCGTACGTTTGAGGTTGATGTTGTAAACACCAGGTCCACCCTCTTCCAACTCAATATCCTTCTGCAGTTTTCGCCTGTTAGGATCGTCCTTATCGAATTTCTTCTTGCTCTTAGCTGCCTCCGGTATACAAGGTGCACGAACCACGTCGTCACGCGCTTTAGGCTGCGCAACGTGTATACGATTAATGATGGAATTAATTTTGCTGCCCTGAACTTTGGTCTCAACGCGGTGAGCGAGGAGAGCCTCGCAGGCCTTATTTTTAAGCTCCATCACGCCCTCCTCAGAGTAGCATGATACCTGGACACATTGCACACCTTCAGAGTCAATGATCTCCTGGACGAGGGCCTGAGAGTCGGGGTGGATGTCTTCAAGACGCATGACATCGATTTTGTTGATGACGAGGAGAGTCGGCTTGCCGTTGAAGAGGGGTTTAATGGAATGGAAGAGTTTGCACTAAAACAATGTCAGATAATTTGCGGTCATGATTCTTGACTAAGGCTCACTTGGGCTTCGACTGAATAACCGCACTGCTCACTCAGATCCATGAAATAGAGGACAGCACTCTTCAGATGAGCCAATGCTGTGATACTCTGCATCTCAATCGTGTTCATCTCTTCCAAAGGGTGGTCCAAGACACCGGGAGTATCGATGACCTGCCATCGAAGGTATTTATAATCGAGATGCCCCACAAATAGGGATTTTGTGGTGAATGCGTAGGGCTGAACATCAACGTCGGCCCGAGTGACTTTGTTGATGAATGAAGATTTTCCGACGTTAGGGTAGCCGCATATAAGAAGGGTTCGGGTATTGGGATCGATGGCAGGAAGACGGGATATATGTTGGCGCACTTGTTCTAGGTATGCGAGGGGATCCTTCTGACGACGCATGATCGTAGCCATCCTACAGCAAGCCTCAGTGCTCCGCGAAGTAGAAGAAAGAGCTGAGTTGCTCACCGACCGAGAGCAGCCCTTTTTAGCTGCTTGCAGCGATACAAACTGTCACCGTACTTGATCAGTCTCACAAAGTCCTTCGCTACATTGTCAATAAGATTTTGAGCAGTGCGCAGTTGACCGAGGGCGAGTTTGTAATGATTTTTGTCGTAAAGAACGTTCATAAGAGAAGAAAGGAAAGGGTGTAGATCCTGTCTTGAATGTGAACTTTACTTCGGCATTGATGAAAAAAAGTAAACGCACGTCCAACATGGGGAAGTCGTTCAGTATCGCACCCAGCTTTTCGTCAAATGTATCTTGCGTAAATTTGACCTTTCTCATATAGAAATTCCGTATGCGGCTAATTTTGAAGTTTTTGTGAATGATCTATACAGCAAATAAGTCCTTTCTTGATGATAATTAGACGAATTGAGCTGACCGTTGGTGTCTTTCGCTGTGTCTTGGACAGCACGATGTCCAGGAAATCAGCCGCCGTTGGTACGGGCGCAATGGCCTTGAGCCCACTGGTCGACATGGTGGCGAGATGAAGGGTGGGAGACGGTCTAAGGTGGAGAACAGTGTTTACAGAGACTGGAAAGAATTTTTGGAAATTTTCCCACGACCTTTTCCACGTGTCGAGCTGGATCTTATCTTATATCTTCTCAACCAGCCCCTTCTACGTCTCAAAAACAAGTAAATACGAGTGGGATTTGCTTAATCCTATGCATATATGCGGCCGTCGTAGCTGTTCTGGGACTTCAGGATCCTTACTTCTGTCACGGTGGAGGGTGTACCAATACTCGGGTCTCTGGCAGCACTCGTCACTTCGGTTCATGTGTGGTCTGCCAGTATTGGACTTCTTCGAGGTCGAGTGACATGGGAATGCTGATGCCTAATCTCCAAAATTTACCACACGAGTCCGAAACCTAGTCGATAACGGTGTCGCCTTACCGAATGGTTGATTTTATTTCGATCCGTACGCAGGTGTGTCCGTCCATTTCAACATATATAAGTCCGATTTTCAAATGAACTCTTATTCAGTACTCTCGCCAATTGTGATATTCGGCATAAGACGCACGAGCTGGCTTTTTCTTACTGTGCACGGATGGGTAAGAAATGTAATGATACAAAGCGCAGTAGCATGTCATGGTTACTACGTTATTCCAGTCGGGCCACACGGGCGTATATTCCGTTCGTCATCTTCTCATACTGCAGCTTCAGTATCAAGATGTCGTAACTCTTCGACCTTATTGGCTCACTTCAATATCACGCAAACACCATTGGATGATCAAAGCACCTTCTCGGAACCGCTGCTCCTTCATCATTGTGTACGAATGACGGTTTCCGGGCATTTGTTTCCGGTGTCAGACAAGAATCTTTTCAGCTCCTTCTTTCTTTCGAATTCAGTCTTACACGCTTCCGACGAGCACGGTGAGACACAAGAGAAGCGTTATATGCAACTCGATATAACATCATGAAAGACTCCTATCTCTAATTGCCTCATCCTATCGGATATGTTTGCCTATCTCCCTGTTGATGTAGCCCAGCTTGTTACTCTCTTTGTAGATAGTGTTTTATATGGGTCAGCTTTCTTTCCACGAGAGCGTTCACCAAACAGTCCGATAGTAATGATCTTCTCTTACTCAAACTATGTCGCTATTGCTAATTAGTTTGTACGCAGGTTTACATCTAATGACGTTCATCTCATGTTTCCGCGGATCATTGTGGTCCAGTGACGGAGTCCTGAAAGCCAAGAGCGACATCAATTATAAGCTGGTAGTCGCTTCGCTCTGGATGCTGGTGTTTGCAACCGTCAATATAGTCTGCAACCTCCAATTCGTTCTCTATGCTTTCATATACTCCGGGATCAATCCTGTCGTTGCGTTCTTCGATATGTCCAATCCGGCGAATCTTTTGCTCCTGGTCACGGTTGTGGCACAGACATTTATGGGGGACTGCATCCTTGTATGCATCGCTTCATTTCTTTCCCTGGATAGTTGACCATAGTGATTCCTCGCAGCTCTATAGATGTTGGGTCATATACGATAGACGGTGGATGGTTGTCATTTGCCCTATCGTTATGTATATTGTCGAGACAGGTAGGTCTTCCAATCAGACTCGGTTACTTTCATCATTAATCATACACTCCATCTATAGGATGTGGTATTGCTGCAGTGTATATCGAAACCACAATCAGCCGTGGCTCCGTCGTCATTAACCCGAAGATATTCCCCCTCCTCGCAACGTTCCAAGCCCTGACTCTGGCTACTAACATCATTGCCACATGTGTGTCTACCTTCTGCGTCTGCTGTACTACTGATACAACTGAGTTATAGCTCTGATCCTTATCCGCATCTGGACGATTCGTAGAGCATTGTTAGAGCTCATTCCTTCAGTCAAGAATCACCTGTTATCAAACGCGATCTACGTATTGGTTGAATCCGCGTTTATGTATACCGCTTCTGTCATCGTGATGCTTATCGTATATGTGCTACGAAGTAACGCTACTTATATCGTCTCCCAAGCCGTGAGTCTCTCTCTCCATTCTTCAAGCTGTTCGAGTCGAGCTAACATGGAAAACAGGTCGTTCAAATCATTGTGAGTCCCGCCGCAGTCTTCTCAAACCCGTGTGGTGTTGATCTGTAGGTGACAGGGAATTGCTTTCAATCTGATTATCATACGTCTGGTGAATGGCACCGCGGCGAAGTCAATCCAAGAAACGCTATTGTCTTTCAGGGCTTCGCCGCCCGACACGGTGCAGACGGAAGAACTAGAGCAGGCGGCGTCATGGAAGAGAGATGATTTTGTATCTTCGACAACACAGTGCAATTCTGAAGATAATTGCCAGGACGTTTGAGTATGGACCATAGGCGCTTGCTATTTAATGTCCTCTCGTTATGATGACTGATTTCCCAAACGCATCAAGGTCACTATGCCTACCGATGATGCGAGAGATCAGTGCTCAGAATCGTTCTTGTTCCAAAGTTGGATGAGAGGTAGGACATACCGCGTCCCCTGATCAGGTACTGAATACACTTGAGCGCACAGGCGCCACAATCGGTCATTCCTCGTGGGTCCAACACCATACATTCGCCGTCAATAGTGTGTTATTCATCTCGAGTAACCGAGGAGGCATCACTGCCACCTGTGGTGTTCATGTCCTGACGTATCCCGGCTTGTTCGACGGTGAAATATCCCTCGTAGACTCACGTACAAGGGCACTCCAGTATCGTTTACCCAGCTAGACTATAGCTCAACTGTAGCTTTCCAGAGAAGAGACATAACCGATAAGAAAAAAGAAAACCAGGAGAATCGGAAGGCCAAAAATATCGCAATACCCACAGCCAGTCCGCTATACAGATATATGCTCCTTGGCCTGTCCTTTCGTTTCGCTTCGGCGCTGAATTTTGGGTTTCTGATGAACCAGGTGCTGTCGTTATGGGTTGGTTCCTCATTAGTCGGCCGCGATAGTTTAAAGAAAGCACCTCTTCCGAGAGTCTGGACTCCCATTCGTACAACCTGGATATTATCCTCGAAGGACTAGCATGTTAGAATCGTGGGGCTGTTCCCAAACGAAGTGAGTGGCAAAATGAATTTACATCTGTGGCAAACGCGACATGGGGACTAACTACAAAATATACCAGCTTATATACTACGAAATCCCCTCGGAAATAAGCAACACATAAGTAACTCGCTACGAGAACCCAGATGGCGACTGACTGTCGTGCCATGAAAAGCTCGAATATCTCACATAGTAGTGTGGAGAATGCAGTGTAAATCGACTGTCCACCTCTTAGGCATTCATCCCGCGGCAATAGAAAAAATGATGCTAGCGGATCAGGCACCAGTTTAGAACACAGCACCTCCTTCCGATGACTACGGGTAGCCAAGGAGGTATATGTAGCTCAAGATAAGGATGGACTTTCGATCCTCTTGTTCAATCGGACGATGCTTTCCCAGTTTCCAGTTGATGAGGCCCAACTCGTCAGTCTCTTTGTGGAGAGCGTTTTCTACGGGTGAGTTTCGTAGATTATGTACAAGTGATGGCGTTGGCTAAATGGTCCTAAAGTAATCACAGCTGTCTTGGATTGCATTCAATTTGCCTACTAACCTTTCCGTCTAGGCTTTTATCTGATAACTTTGTTTTCGTGTTTCCATGGGCTTCTAACCACCAGCGATGGGAGCCTAAAGCCCTGGCGCACCATCAATTACAAGATGGTAGCTGCGTCGCTATGGATGCTTGTCTTTTCAACTTTACACGTTGCTTGCCACCTCCGATTCGTTCTTGATGCTTTCATCTATTCCGATGGAGAGCCCATTGATACATTCCAAGATATGCCACATCCAGTTAATGTTATGCTATTGGCCGCCTTCGTGGCGCAGACCTTCATGGGAGATTGTATTCTTGTATGTCCTGCGCTTCATTCCGACATTGGCCAGCGGGCCTCACTTATTATACGTTGACAATAGCTCTACCGATGCTGGGTTATATACGGTAGACGGTGGATGGTTGTCATTTGCCCAATAATCATGTGCATTGCTGAGATCGGTAGGTCCTCTACTAGAAACCCGATACCTATGATGAATCGTGATCTTTAGGTTGTGGTATTGCTGGGGCGTATATTGAAACCTCGCTAGGCCGTCATTCTGCTATCACAAATCCGTCAATTTTCGCTCTCTTCATAACACACCAGTCTCTGACACTAGCTATCAATGTCATTACAACAAGTGAGTCTGTACTTCTGTTGCACCTAATTCATCTTTCAATTGACTCCCTCTCCCTACTAGGTCTGATTGTGGACCGCATCTGGACGGTCCACAGCGCTGTCAGACAGTTCGCCTCTTCGATCAAGAATCATCCATTGAGAAATGCGCTTGTTGTTGTGATCGAATCAGCATCCGTATATACCGCCTCCAATGTCGTGTTGCTTATAGTCTATGCTATCAGGAGTAATGCTGGCTATATCGTTTCTGATACTGTATGTCTTCCTCTTCCTCTTCCATTAGTCCTGCGTTTATCTAACATATCAATTAGATAATTCAAATCATCGTAAGATATGCTTTGCGTTCCCAGGTTCATAGCGATACTCAAGTGAATTGACAGGGGATTACTTTCAATCTGATCATCATACGATTCGCAAGAGGGACGGCCGTAAAATCTATGGAAGAGACGATCACATCTCTGAAAGTATCTCCCTGTAGGGTGGGATACTGAAGACTGCTACGAAGTCTAAGTAATCGATTTCTATTCTCAAAGGATCTTTCTATGTTTTAGTCTAATGTCACATAATCGGTGTCGGGAATAGAAGACAGCATCCGGACAATTACCGACTCCCGCACATATAGAGCCCAGAAGAACACCCCAGGTCAATCATTATCAAAAAAATAGATTAGATGATATAAATATGATATAAATGTACCAGACTTCACAACATGTTACTGACTTGAAAGGCCCGCAACTTATCTTCAGATAGAGTCAGTCGCCGCAGGCCATTCCATAGATATTTAGGGATGTATGTTCAACGGTATGTAATACACGGGCGTAGGATAGCGTCAAAAAGCATCTTAAGAGGCTCAGGACCGTGGCTTGTTTTATGCTGTTGCTTCAGACCATGGGGAGTCCGCATGTTAAAGTCGGCGAACACTAGCATGCTTCGCCCTTTGAACTAGGTTTTGTCCGTGGGCACAAGCGATCTCAGAAGCAATGCCGAGTGTCAGAATGAGTTGCTGGTGCTCAAAGAGGGGGACAATGTAAGTTGCGTCAAAAGAATGTGTATTCAGAATCACAGCAGACGCTATTAGTATCATCAGTCCAAGGTGGTCGCATATACAGGGTCACGAATACCTTAACATTGCGATGAGGTTTGTACTGCGATGCTTGTAGTTGGACAGACGTACCCTCTTCTTCCAATAGCTTTCGCACGATAGCCTCCAGCACTCCTTCCTTGAACTGAGGGATTTCCGCCGCATCCACGCCTAAATAGCCACGACGGAATGTCTTCTGTTGTGTGACGGTCCTGGATTGGCCATACTGTACCTCTCCAACCATTGAGAACCTTGCACCCATACGGCTGACTCGTAGTTCGATGGCGCAAGAGATTTCGTTGCTGGCCTGTTTTCGAGCCTTGAAGTTCATTCGAAGGCTGTTTGCGGGCTGATAAGGAAGTCTCCTTGCCGATGATATCGAGGTACACGCTTTGGCTGGGGATTGTACGTCGTTCAGCATGAGATCAAGTCAAGCAAGACAGAATGAGGTATCCTAGAGAAGGAAATTGGAAGAAAAGGTACTCGGTCCTAATGTCAACAAGCTTGCGGCGTGGGACTATCGTGTAGGGAGACCCGGGCCGCGCTTTCGAAGGTCCCTGCGGCCTGCATTGTCTCTTTTCTTCTCTCAGTGGACGCCTACGGAATACCTACATTCTTGGATTCAGAAAAATCGTCCTTCCCATTTCAACATAACGAGAGTAAATCTTCCAGTGCCAGCGCTCGTAAATGGACACCATGCATGGAAACACCTTGATCATCTATGATATTTTCTGTCCTGGAAAAGGCTCGTCAACCATGGCTTTACTTTTTGCTCGGCGATTGTGTAACCAGATGCCTGTCAAGGTATGTTTCATTCGAATCTGAGTCGACATGAGGCCGAAGGGAGGGAAATAGACACCTTACAACAAATTTGGTCCTATCCTTTGAAGAATTGAAGGTGAACCTTGATGATGAGGTCCTCCGACAAGAAGTCGCCGCAAGACGAGAACCGGAAGCTCGAATACTGCACGCCGCGTGTCAAAGCGGAGTCTCAGTCTGACGTTTGGCTGCAGGGGAACAAGTACGTGGGATCAACAGAATCAAATCTCCCTTTCAAGACTTTCTAATTGCATGAATAAACAGAATGTTCGCGTCGTCTTCTAATATACTGTCTATGCCCTTGTGAAGTGTGGAAGATTTGATTCGAGGAGTGCCATTCTGTGTGTGCCAATGCAGGAAATTTTCAGAAATAATCTGACACGCGATATAGCTCATCCCGCCTGAACTTATTGAGGAGATCGTTGATTAACTCTGGGATAACAAAGCCGCGCTCGTCGCCCGTTCTTTCGTCTGCCGACTGTTCTGCCTCCGCACCCGTGTACACCTTTTTCACAGCATCGAGCTGAACCGCAGATCTACCTTTGAACCGTCCTTGCAAAATATCCTCCCGTACATCAAGAAAATTACGATACGCCGGGGGTCTGATATTCCTGGCCTGACCCCATTCCTATCTTCTCTACCAAACCTCACTGCTCTCGTGGCACCTCGATAGGCTCAAATTCCCAGATCTATGGTCCTTGCACCGCCTCGTGTGCCAGCTTCGCGGTTTGACGAGTCTTTATTTGAGCTATATACGATTCCGTCGAGATGTTCTGGTAGAACTTGGGAGCCTCGCGGGTTCGCTTCCAAAGATAACAATGCGTGGGACGTTGTTTCATGTCGCCGTCGTGGGGTTTCTCATCCATCGGTGGCGCTACGACGGGTATATGCCGATTCCCTCCGCGAGCTTGCATCAAGCACCCTCCTGTGTCTTCCATATGCACCTTTGTGCGTGCGGCGTCGAGGTCATTGAAGGGCTTGGATATTCGGATTCGTGAAACGGGTGGGCGAAGCCCTTATTTTTCTGTATAGCGTATACTGATGATGAAAGATCTAGCGTGAACGTGATGTTGAGTTGGTCGACGTGCTTCCCTTGACTATGCCGATATTGCAGATGGAGATGACGTTCGGTTGCTCATCCTCTGACTGGCGCTGATGGACCCATCACGGTGGAGCCCAAAGCATCGATGATCTATCAAGACGTTTAGTGTTCTTGGTGATTTTTGCATCGTCTCAGGCAGGGGTACACAAATGACGTTGGGTTTGAAGGAGAGAATGTTTCCACACGTGAACGGCCCGATGTCAATCACTTCTGGGCGATAATCGATTGTACAATGTTTTTCCTTCGCACCAACTGTCCACGTTACATGTTACCCACGACCTGCCGCCTCTGTCGTATGTGCTGGTACATATTTTGCTCGGGAATGTCCCACTGTACTAAGCCGAACAGCGAGGAGGATCGTAACGGAGAGGATGTGTTCCGCAGGAAATGGTACGGAACAGGATGGGTGTTGTTCTCTAGTATAAGAGGTACGTGCTTTGAATTCGAGTTGTTGTCTTTCGAAGCTGATATCGTTCCAGTCTCCGTCGCCGAGAAATCGCCTGAACATCTATATTGAACAGTAGGTGCCTCTATGCGTTCGTCCGGGCCTCAGCTCAAGCTCGCGAGCAGATCACGCGCCTCAAACCAGATCAACGCAAGCTCAATCGACGGCAGCTACCATTGGACTCGACTCGATTGACAGGCAGATATTTTGTCAGTATATTCAAGCTCTCGTCATTGTTTCTTGAGCTGATTCGATGCGATCACTGACACAGGGTGGGGATGAAGAACTTCTTTTTCTTTTCCCATATTCAAACCCGGCTTACAAAAGTAAACTGGCTTCAGCCGTACAATCTCTCATTACCCTAGTCTATATGACAGAAAGCTGATTCTGCCGCTATCGGTGGTCATGGCTGGAACGGACCAGGAAGACACGGCCCCGAGGTGATCTTGCTGAAGAACACAGCGAATTTATCATTCGCCCTGGTATCCCATTATGAACCTGACCGGAAGGTTAGTTCCTTTTTCATGTCGAAATCAAGTGGCTTATCGAAAGTTGCCAGTGATTGATGAAGAGGCGTTGCCCTCTCCTCTTCCCCTGGAATGGGCAAAAAGGCAACCATTACAGTGCCCAAGCAATGGTCCTACATCGGCAGGAAGCTTGTCATATCGTCCACTCTCGCTAACACTCACCTCACCGTTCGTGCACTCTTGAGGATCCTCAACGCCATCCTCGGCACGTTGTATACGCTGCGCACAGCATGCATACGCTCCACTTTCGAGGACTTCATCTCGAAACGTTATGACCTTGGTACCGCATACGCCTCTCTTAGCCCTTTTTGGTACATCGGCTTAACCGCTGTGGTAGCTACTCTATCCAGCACAAAGTGCAGGACCAAAAGATGCGGCAAGATGCACTCGGCGATAAAATCGTCTACGCAGATGTCCCCCCTCGACGTGTCTGAGGTCTGTATAGTAATAGGGTGGTACCGTGGCGGGTTCCTCGACGAACGTGGCGGCTGTGGCATGTCACATGCATGGATGGACAAAGAATATCGTGAGGATGTGATAACCCCCATCAATGGACACGTCCATTCAACCTAAGCAACTGACAATTGTATCGGAACGCCAACTACCAAGGGCATTCGTTTGACGACACTTCCTCGAATTGGACTCGATTTCTCACTCTTCCTTTTGTCTACCGTGGCTATATGCGAATGATGAGGCCTATTAGCTCTTCGTGATGGCTGTCAATGTAAACCGATGCTCGGTCAGCCGGTCAGACGGCCCTTCCCTGCATCCTGTCAAAGGCTCGAACTCCAATACAGGTGGACGTAAATCATCGATGCAGTTTGTATTGGAGGCGTCTTCACTCGAAGTCATAAGACGCGTCTCTGCCTAGATCATCTGTTCTCATGAACAGTAAGAAGCAACCTACACAGTTTGTACACTATCCATTGTCTCCGTTGACTCCGGCATGTTTTCTTCCGCTACGTAACACAGCTTTCGATTCAGAACGCCTTACCTCTATAAAGCTGGCTAGGGAGCATCCTGCATCAAATATCAAGCACCCGAAATCCACTCAATGCAACACACTTTCCTCACCATCCTTTCTCTCCTTGCCACAGCCAGCGTGTGCGCAGGAGAGCCAGACCAGGTTCCTCTCCAAGATGGCGCCCTCGGCGACGTCAAAGTGGTGGCGACGCCCGTGGTCGACGACTTCAACACGCCCACCAAGGCTAGTGAACAAGTTCTAGTCACAACTACGCCCTCGCCCTCCTTCTACTATGGATTCACTCAGTGTAATTGTGATGGTGCGTCACGGAACCTATCCTAATAATCTGAATTAGGGATGAATTCTAATCACCTGGCAGGCGACATATATCGCAGGGGAGACCTCAACTTTGTCATCATAAACGGAGCGATGGCCACCCCCATCCCTATTATATACACGTACGTATATCCGCCTGTCCCATAACATCTGGCAGAGTGTCGATAACTCGTTCCACTTCCAGGAATGATCCTAACGGGTATGCTCCCCGTACCCCGCACCTCTTTGCCGACAGTGAGAATCAATTCGAGGGAAAGTGGAAGAACGTAGCATGCAGCAGGACTGGCGCTAATGGCAAGACTAATCTCGTCGAATATGCTATCAACAACGTAGCTGGCACGAACGGGTACAAGTTTGATCGTGTTGTGTACACAACTTGGAACGTCGGCAAGGACCAGCCTATGTGAGTTTTATTTTTATTTTCGGGGTTATATATGGTTAACGTAGTTGCGCCATGTAGATTCTGTGGGTGTATGACCCATAAGGGCTTGACGGGTAACAAATTCAAGTTGTGTACGATGTCCTAGACCCCGTTCGGCTGGAAGATACCTCGAAACTTGTATGAGTTTACATGCCGAATCTGAACCTACCTTCCGGTAGCAGAACATTCGAATTCACCAAAAAATGTAATAGATAGTATACAGAGACAGAAAAGAATGAGAACGATGGTGCGACACGAAGAAAGTCGTGAAAGTAAAATATTCGAGGCCATTTACTAATGTGACATATCCCGACCGTTCATGCCTCCTGAGAGCTACATCGACAGTAATAATGGCCGCTTGCAGCTCCTCATGATGAACCCTCGTCCTTCAGTGTGATGGTTATCGATCCCTTTCCTGGCAATACTGTTTCTCGTCTCCCTTGAACCCATTGCTCGTAAATTCAAGTTTAAGGTTTTCAGCTCCTGCAAGCAAAAATAACCAGTGTGCCCTGAGAAATACCAGGATTACCGCGATCGTACCGCTCAAACATGTACTCCGTTCTTCTCCTTCTGTTGGCATTTTGTGACATTCATTGCATTTAGATGATCTGAACTCTATCAAGCCAAGGAATTGTTCTTCACCTCCACTTGGCTAAAATCTCACCATTGATTCTCAAGACGTCTTTGGTTTACGAAACGCTCCTGCGACTATGTCGTCCAAGTTTAGCGAACTCCCAATTCACTCCTGGTAAGTATCTACTTCGGGTCAATCAAGTACTTGTGAAAATGCAGGGATATCAGACAAAATTTTGTGAAGCATCTTGAACAGCGCTTCACCAAATGTAATCCAAGGCGTCTTGACTGATGTGAACGATTCAACTGCCAGGAGTGCAAGACTCTCTACTACGTCTTGTGAATAGCAAGAGACGTTATTGTCTTTCAGGGCTTCGCCGCCCGACACGGTGCAGACGATAGAACTGGAGCAGGCGGCGTCATGGAAGAGAGATGGTTTCGCATCTTCGACAACACAGTACGATTCTGAAGATAATTGCCAGGAGGTCTGAGTATGGACCTTAGGCACTTGGGCGTTGAGCATCAGCCGAACGTGTGAGGCAAGGCGGCCGCGCCAATGCTCATAAGGTGCTGACAAAGCAAACGAGAAGGGCTCAATCTTGCCTTCATCCTTGACTCTCCTCGTTCGCAGTCAGCACCTCATTCGCACTTTGCAACTTCGTTGCGTTTTCAGTCATCCAGAAATACTATTACTTTATCATATCATCCACTATGTCTGCTCAAACCAACAATGCCCCCTCTACCTCCTCCGGAAGACCTCATGGCTCGGCAAATCAAGGAACTGGCTTCGACGTCACCATGATAGCAATGACTGCTCAGATGATGAAAGAATTGAAAGGAAGAAATGCTAGGCGAGCGGAAAGGAGAAGGCAGGCCAATGATGCTAGCGAGGTTTCAGAAGATGAAGATGAAAATATTACCTTGCTGGATAGCAAGGTCTACCCATGACATGTTATCTTTTCGGTCGTCTGCAAAATACAAATATGTACAAATAAATAGGGGCAGAACGCAAGGGTGTACACGTGTTATCATTCGACATCCACGCTCCGCTCAGCATGACTTGGTGGTTGCAGCTGTGCAGCCTTACCTGAGACTTCGATGACTTTCGACACCGCCTTCACCTGAAGATTTTCTCCAGTGACCAGTCCGAAAAATAATACGCTTTCTAGATCTCAAAAATTCGCATGGGTCTGGGATCAATGGAAGTAGCGAAAGCCCTGATGACAGGCGCGCAATTACTCACGCGTCGAAGGTCCAAAATGATGGCAATATGTTGAGGCAGGAACAGACGAGATGGTGCTGTATTGCAGGAGCATGGTGGGACTACGGTGCGTAAATTTACCCTTCATACACAAAGTGAACTATACCTTACGATGACAGTGAGGAAAGGACTCAATGGGAGGGAGAATCGTTCTATACGCGGGACAACATGCATACACCTGCGAATTTTTGCAAGTTCAACAACAGAATTTTATATTGTCATTATGTGCGTGGCTTCGTGTTCGTGTTGTTAGAAGACATACGAATCCATTTCTTCGCAGTGTCAGCTCGGGCCAAGTAGGGCTACCTGGCGCTGGAGACAAATGCTGCCAAAATGAGGGCATTCCAGAGTCTCTTCAAGAAACCTACCTGCCTGTTTTTCGCTCTTTCCATTCGACTTGCCAGATGAATTTGCCTGATGGGCAGAGGAGGCGCAGACCCCAGAATCTCTCGCACCCTAGCACCGACGGCGACATCGCTTATCCGTCAAATCAACGATGTCGCTCGTCACATCGTGTTACAAGCTTATTCGTAGTATGTCATTTTTTTCGGCGGAATTTTGAGTCGATCTTAACTCTCATGCAAAGCCTGCTGGGAACCAACCGACTGAGATCTTTCCTCGCCTGTTTTCACGAGTCTGTCGAAACAACATATCATCCCAAGGTGTGCAAGCGCGTGATCTAGGAGCGAAAAGTGCTGACGTTCCAGTTCTATCTTAGTGATCCTATTGCGAAAACACGGAGATTACAGGAGGACAAGAAAGCGGCCAGGCTTCCGTAGCCTCTCGCATGGACGTGACTTGTGGATATTATTTCACTGCATCCCCACACCGTCCATTCATCGAGATCTCTTTAAATGTATTAAACACCTTCTGAACGCTCGTGGCGGAGATTGGCGGGAAAAGCCGTAATCATCAGCACCAACGACGACGAAGAAAGCATTGAAGTCAGTGATCCTTCTTCATTGGAAAGGGGGCGCCTGTGTTACTACCAACTACTACTACGTAGCCTGCTGCTGTTCTTCGTTATTCCTGTTATTCCTCGACATCAATTAATATTACATGTTTCGGTGATCTCAACCTGGCGAATGCGTCGGGTAGCCGCGATGTTCGTTTGTTCAATAATTATCAATTATCAGCTATTCGCGAGCTCGATCAAATGACATGGCACCATTACCATTATCAAATCCAGCAAGGTCATACACGCCCCGGCACGCGGCAGGCACTTGTTTAATATCCTCTCGTCATGATGACTGATTTCCCAAATGCATCAGGGCCACGATGCCTACCGAGGATGCGAGAGATCAGCGCTCAGAATCGTTCTTGTTCCAAAATTGGATGAGAGGTAGGACATACCGCGTCCGGTACTGAATACAGTTGGTACGCACAGGCGCCACAATCGGACATTCCTCGTGGGTCCCAACACCATACATTCACCGTCAATAGTGTGTTATTCATCTCGAGCAACCGAAGAGGTATCACTGCCACTTGTCGTGTTCATGTCCTGACGTATCCCGGCTTGTTCGACGGTGAAATACTCCTCGTGAACTCGCGTACAAGGGCACTCCAGTATCGTTTACCCAGCTAGACTATGGCTCAACTGTGGCTTTCCAAACAAGAGACGTAACCGATAAGAAGAAAGAAAACCAGGAAATCGGAAGGCCAAAAATATCGCAATACAACAGACTCCGCACAGCCGGTCGGCTATACAGTATGCTTCTTGGATTGTCCTTTCGCTTCGGCGCTGAATTTTGGGCCTCTGATGAACCAAGTGCTGTCGTTGTGGGTTGGCTTCTCATTAGTTGGCCGCGATAGCTCAAAGAAAGCACCTCTTCCGAGAGTCTGGAATCCTATTCGTACAACCTGGACAAGTATGGCGACCACCCACCTCTTATATCTTCATTCCGGCATCAATAGATAAAAATCTGCCAGCGGATCAGGTGCTTGTTTGGAACACAGGTCTTCCTTCCGATGATTACGGTCAGACGCAACCCAAGAGGTATATGATAAGGATCGAAGTTGGACAATTAGACGATGTCTTCCCGGTTCCCAGTTGATGAAGCCCAACTCGCCAGTCTCTTTGTGGATAGCGTTTTCTATGGGTTAGTCCCGCAGATTGTTTACAATTCACGGCGTTGGCTAATGGTCCTCAAGTAATCGCAGTCGCCTTGGATTCCATTCAAATTACCTACTAACTTCTCTGCCTAGGCTTCTATCTGATAACTTTTTTTCGTGTCTGCACGGGCTTCTGACCACCAGCAATGGGAACCTAAAGTCCAGGCACACCATCAATTACCAGATGGTAGCCGCATCACTATGGATGCTTGTCTTTTCAACTGTGCAAGTTTCTTGTCACCTCCGATTCGTCCTTGATGCCTTCATTTACTCCGATGGAGACCCCATTGACACATTATCGGATATGTCACATCCAGTTAATGTTGCGCAATTGGTCACCTTCGTGGCGCAGACCTTCATGGGAGATTGTATTCTTGTATGTCCTGCGCTTCATTCCGACGTTGGCCAGCGGGTCTTACTTATTATAAATTGGCAATAGCTCTACAGGTGCTGGGTTATATATGAGAGACGGTGGATGGTTGTCATTTGCCCGGTAATTCTGTGGATCGCTGAGACTGGTAGGTCTTCTATTAGAAACCCGATACCCATGATGAATCGTGATCTTTAGGTTGTGGTATTGCTGGGGTGTGTATTGAAACCTCGCTCGGCCGTGACTCTGCTATCACAAATCCGTCAATTTTCCCTCTCATCATAACACTCCAGTCTCTAACACTAGCTACCAATGTCATTACAACAAGTGAGTCGGTACTTCTGTTGCACCTAATTCATCTTTCAATTGACTCCCTCTTCTTGCTAGGTCTGATTGTGCACCGCATCTGGACGATCCACAGCGCTGTCAGACAGCTCGTCCCTTCGATCAAGAATCATCCATTGAGAAATGCTCTTGTCGTTGTGATCGAGTCAGCAGCTGTGTATACCGCCTCCGTTGTCGTGTTGCTTATAGTCTATGCCATCGGGAGTAATGCTCTCTATGTCGTTTCTGATACTGTATGTCTTCCTCCTCAATCAGTCCTGTGTTTATCTAACATATCAATTAGATAGTTCAAATCATCGTAAGATATGTTTCGCCTTCCCAGGTTCATAGCGATACTCAAGTGAATTGACAGGGGATTACTTTCAACCTGATTATCATACGATTCGCAAGAGGGACGGCCGTAAAATCGATGGAAGAGACGATTACATCTCTGAGAGTATCTCCCCGTAGAGTGGGCCAAAGAGTCGCCTTCGAAAATTCAGGGAGACTATGGAATGATACTAACACTCAAACGACATATAATACTGAAGACTGTTACGAAGTCTAAGTAATCGATTTCTATTCTCAAGGGACTTTCATATATTTTAGTCTAATGTCACATAATCGGTGTCGGGAACAAAAGACAGCATCAGGACAATTACCGACTCCCGCATATATAGAGCCCAGAAGAACACCCCAGGTCAATCATTATCAAAAAAATAAATTAGATGATATAAATGTACCAGACTTCACAACACGGTATTGACTTGAAAGGTCGCAACTTATCCTCAGATAGAGTCAGTCGCCGCGGGCCATTCCATAGATATTTGGGGATGTATGTTTAACGGTATGTAATATACGGGCAGAGGATGGCATCAAAAAGCATCCCAAGATGTTCAGGACCGTGGCTTGTTTTGTGCTGTTGCTTCAGACCATGGGGAGTCCGCGCGGTCAGCGTGATGCATCTAGTGTCCCTGTATTATAATTTATTATACCTTTAGAACATAAACATTCAAGTTTGACAAATCAGTAAACTTTCAAATATCCGAAAGACGAGCACGGTATTGAAAGAAAGGGAGAAAGCCGCGGTGAGGCTACAAGGCTATGTTGTCAAAAAGTGCGTATGAGGATATGTAAAAGGACAGATGTGCCGAATGCAAACGAAAAATCGGCACTTGATATAATAACGCCTCGAGGCATATAAATACACATTTTGAATATCCACGGAGACGAGCAACGCCGATGACAGCAATTGAAGGAGTTTTTTGAGAGGGAAAAACGTTTTTGTGGTGGCACAGCACCTCTTCAGATCCGATCACGTGCATGATGCTCGGTTACCGGCCCGAACCGCGATCCACAACTTACCTTGCCACTACGACCATCCTCTCACTCTCCACGCCTCTGCTTCGCGTTATACCGTGCAGCAAACGCTGCAATGTCCCCATTTAATGCTATGGTCTTATCCGCAGCAGAATAGCCAACTGAGATAAAGGACCTGGCATGTTTGCTTGACTCCAATTCCCTCACAACTTGTCAACGGACCATACCCAGTCGTCTCTTCGCGGTCTTCTCCTGTGCTGGAAGAGCTCAGAAGTTCCCTTGCAGATTCACCAGAACAACTCACAGATTCAACTTCGGAAGTACTGGATATTCTGGATTTGCTGTTATCAACTGTTGGCATGCTCAGAGCACTCTCCGACGCGTCAAAAATGGTGTAAAGCAGTCAACGATACCCTTCTGGTCTTTGCTTATTCGCTCACTGGCGTCTGTTTGTTATGATAAGTCACATACAATGTGGGTGTGAACGACATGATGCTATGTTAATTTGCTCACAAATTTGTGGATAGGCAAGAAGCAGCTTTCGTTAGACCCCGGTTGTCATACATGGGAAGCTTTATGGAGGACGGTCATGCTTCATTGCTGATTTCTCATCTCGTTGAGGACATCCAACGACCAAGGCCAGCCGTAGATGATAAAACTTCGGGGCGGCCGTCCATCATCACAGTGGAGCGCTCGAACGAAGAATCGCGGGAGGAATATGACTCAGAAACATCATACGGTGACGAGCCGTCATCGAATAGCACCACTAGCTATGAGCGCAGAGCCCTCAACGGATCCGACGTCTGCTCAGTCATCCCACGTTCCTCTAGATGCCAACATCCTCGCTTATTGGAAACATCCGAACTCTGTTGTTCTTCCATACCTTTGTGTGACGGATGAGGAAGACATATTCAGCCTAATGCGCGGTGTTGTTTATCAGCGGTCCACTTGGGGAATTTCTGCACCTGTAATTGGAATTATTCTGTCAAATATAGGATTCGTTGGCCGCGTGGTGCTGGGTTGGCTTGACAAAGAGTGCACCGACCCTGACGTTTTAGTTTGTCGGCTTCTCCTGACTCATTTTTACCGCCACTGACTGAATTTGAATAGCCGGAAGTTCGATTTGCGTATGGAGATGAGACGCGTACAGACGCGTCGTTGGGAGTGTACGATCTCACTGATCCAGTTAGTGCTCTTAAATTTGGGCAATTTATTATCAGTCTCCGCGCGCATGTCGAGGGAATCGTGGCCCAGTGCCAGACACCGGCATTCAAACGAATTTCGTGGAGATCAGATACTATCGATGATGACAATTGCGGGTCCGAAGAACAATGGAAACAAAGGATCGTTAGTTGGCTTAAAACGGTTGAAAGATGGTTGGTATTCCTTTATTTGGCCTTACCCTTGTCGCTCATGTATTTAAAAGCTGCGCGGACCACAGAGAACCCCCTAACTGCTGCTCATCCACCATGGCTGACCCCGAACGTCGTGTGACACGGGCCTCTTCAAAGTCCAGGTCTGCACCTCGTCCGAGGCGCTCTATGTCTGCGGACAGTAAACGTGAACGTCACCCAGCGGAGGATGTCGGTCTCCCACACAGTCGGGAACCTTCCCTCGGAGCTGCCGGTTCGAAGACTCCGTCGGATAGAGCGTCTGCTCAGCCTGCAGAACGTGAACGGCAAGAGTAAGCGAGAACCATTTTTGGACGTTTAACGCTCCTACTGACTTCTCTTAGAGTAAGTACAGATGGTGGATCTTCCAATAAGGGAAAGACCGGTAAACGATCAAAGAGCGCAGGTGCGTTGTCCTGCTCAGAGTACGTCTCCATTTTTTATCCTTATCAATATGAATACTCATACATTTTCAGACTGGGTGCGAAGCCCTTGTATGGCATATCCCCTGCTGCAAAGTTGTCCTTCTCGAGCTATGCACACGACCGTAAAATCATCAGCTTAACAAATGTAAAGTTAAAAACGGATGTTAAGAAGGAAGACAAGGCCCCAGATACCAAGGAATCAGGGCCCGACAAATTGGACATCATTACATCGGAGATCGATGAGATGCTGCAATTTTATGATGAGATGACCCGATATTTGAAGCCACCTATCGCTGAGGTAAGTGCATCTGGCGGCTATCCATGGTCCGTATTACTTAACCCACCTAGCATGGACTGCCTGCCGTTGACAAACGGGTCGAAGTTGTGCGAGAGCATTTTCTTGGACAAACAAGCGAATACTCTAATGGCAGCAATACTCCCGAGCTTTCCCAGGAATTTTGGGAGATTATCTCTGGCTGTTTCTCGTCTCTCTTGTGGGCATCAGTTAGTGGCTACTCAAAAGAGCGGGGAGGTAAGTCTATCAATGAGGCTGAAGCCCGCCATGAGTGGGATATTCTGCTCAATTTTGGATTTGTGAACACCGGTGAACTAGCCTCTGGAAGAGTAGTGTAAGTCCTTGAGCAATGCCTGTATATTCTGTGCTCATAGATATTCCAGTTTGGAAAGAGCGCTATCGCTGTCTCGTGATATTGCCGCAGATTTAGCAAAAGCATCCACCCGGCTCAACGGCGAGGTATTCGAGGATGTTGCGGACCAAGCGTATCAGATCAGTCTACAAGTTCAACAAGCCTTGAATCGCCGTCCCAGTTCTTCTCGAGCTGCGACCAATCTTCTCCTTCAGGCAACAGATGCCGTCGGTGTTGCTCTGAGGAATAAAGTGGCTGTATCAGAACTCTTCGAAAATGCGAGAGCAGCCAAGAACGCCATTTTAAAGCATGCTGACGCAGAGGCCGGAGCTAGGTATTGTTGATGCGGTTCTGACGATACCGCTGGAGCATGGCCAAAAAAAATCCGGAATCCCTTGTTCGCATCACAGAATCCCGCGAAACCGTTCAAGCTGCTCGGACACTGAATGCAGATTACATTGCCGAGCTAGATAACAAATCTATGTCGGAAAAGCGTCCGTCGAAGTCGAACAATCACACCAAAAGTCCAGGTCACCCCGAGTTGGGACAGCAATGACGGTGTCGACATCGAACTGAATGGTTGCGATCGAGGAAGAGCAAGAGGCGAGTGCTCAGGAAGTTCCCCAGCCCGAAGAAAAGGATCGTGTTACTCAGACAGGAAAAGTTGACTGGATGCACCCCTTTGCGATGACGTGTTCCGAGACCAAACTTGTAAGCAAGTGGGTTTCCCACCTGGTGTGGTGATGGACGTCAAGGAGCTTCTCACTAAACTTTTGTTGGCCGTTCTGGTCGTCGAGTACAAGAAACCGACCCAGACTTATGCGAAAGCCCTTGTGCAGGCAAAGATGTACCCGGAGGCTTCTGTTAGATATCTCGCAAGTCTAGGTGTCACCAGAAAGGTGTTTTCGCGCTCGTTACGGATGGCGTTGAAGGGGCCATTCTCATGGCGTAGTGTTCTAGCGACTCAGAGGCAAGTTTTATTTTTATTTTTTCGCTAACTGTACTTTATATTTATCTTGTTCCAGGCCGTCTATATTGTTGAGCGCAACGTGCAGACATTCAATATCTCCTCGCCCATTGAAGTCTACCATTTCGTGACGGTGCTTTTGCGTCTGCGAGAATATGGTGATACGACACTGAAGGACGCCGTCGAGGAGGCGTTAATGGCCGATGGCTTTAAACAGACTAGCTGGAGCAAAACGGCGCAGTTCAATATGATGGAACAAGATTGACTGGGATTTATAGATGCTTTACTTGTGCTCTGAGTGATGTGTGCACACGCTTTCCATTTGCTATCGAGGATTTAGATGCTACGCTATATACCATGTACTTGAGATAGGAATTCCACAACCACGCTATCGACCTATTGAATATACTGAGAATTACCTCTGAGCAAGCTACCTCGCCGTTCAGAACATTCATCGTTCAACCTTCGCTGCAGTACCTATGTCCACAAACCAAGGTGCTCGGATCGGACATCCCTGCATGTCTTCAGCCATGCGCATCGTTTCTTTCCCGTCCGGCTGTCCCATCAGGTCAGAGTGCTAGAGAAAGTCTACCATTACATCGACGCACCTTTCTCTAGAGATAGCTGGGCCCTACGAGAAGTTGGTACAGAGATCAGACAGAGAAACGGACAATCTCAGACGTACTATTTCTTCCAGTATATAACCATCAGTCTTATATTTCTTCCCTGGCATCTCGTCGTAGAAGCCTATTAAGACTGCGAGCCTGTCTTTCAGTGAGCCCCAAAGACTCGTCGTCTGTGGCTTATACCAAGGCTTGGGCTGCCATCGCGTCGGATGCATACGAACCGGTCCATCTCGGCTGTCGAACTTGGGCATTTCGGCAGAGACTATAAGCTCTCCTTTGCTCCGAGGAATACAGAGATGATGCTGGATGAAGCTAAAGGTGTGTAAGACGGCACGAGTGAACGCGTGGAGATACCAAGGCTGGGCTGGTTGCCTGTGAATATAGTCAGAAGGGCTAATGTATGGGAGGGAAAGGTGGGCTGACATCATAGTGATGCGAACACGGTCGTCGAGAAGGCAAATTGAGATCCTCCGAGCAAAGTTCTTGATCCCGAAGGATTCGGGAACGACGTGGAGGAGCTCTTCTGTGGTGAGAGAGGCTACATCGTGATTGGTCTGTGCTGGGACCATGTTCTCTTCGTATTTCTGTTCATTCTGGTGAGTGCGGATTCGACCAATAGGAATACGACGCGCCTGTGACCACTGAACGAGTTCTTCCCATGTTTCTGGGATGTCCTTGATGTTCATTCTATGACCAATTTCGGTCCAGTACATCAATAATGCCTTGCGGGATATATTAGACTTATGACGGAATGAATTCTAATTATCCTTACCGAACGTTCCAGCTCGGAGAGGGCCCGCCATCCGAATCTTTCGGCCCATCTCTGGAGAGAGGATTGAAATCATTCCGGGAACAATTGTAGGCTGTGTCTGCGTACCACGGGTTCGATGATGAAAGACACAGCGTATATAGATAGTCACCATTCGACTAGTGTTGAGATTAAATATATCACTTATAATGCAGGGAAAATGGATCCATACAATTTTATAACGTGAATGCAGCCAGTTGACGCGAGAGATGGTAATATTCGCTCGCGGGTCCTCTTCGTGACACTTTTCATCTTCGGGAATATTCGTCATGGGTTTTCCTGATATTGGACAAAACATCCATGTCGCTAATGGGAATTGGGGTTACGATACACCAATGTTAACAAGATAATAACACTTACAGATGCAGATCTCGGTCTAGAGCAGCTTCGAATTGAATTAGGGGCACTGTGTCGGGGAATGGAAGCACTCACGTCCGCATACCGTTTTGAGATCTTGTCCGGGTGGGACAGTTCTTGGGTATCAAATAACAATTTTGAGATACTTGGCTAAGACATACCCCTTGATCAGCTGCATACATTACGAAAACAAAAGGCCACACACGATAGCATAGGTTTTAAACAGCGCAAAAGCCAGCGCATAGTTCATAAGCGCTGGCATGTCATACATCATGGAGACACTTATGATTTCCTGCGCATCCTGCAGTGTCAACGTCCCAGCCTTGTACTTGGGTGTGTATTTCTCGTGCACGGTGTTGTAGCGTCGCCATCGTAGGAGCTTGACAAGAGAAAGGTATCCCAAGCAAGCGAGTCCAACAGCTTGCAGGTTTCCGGTGGGCCAGTCAGGCATTGTTGGGGAAGAAACAACATGTGTTGATCAACTAGATTGATTTTATATATTGTCGCAGTTTCAGGAGCTTCTATATTTAAATTCTCAGGGTCTGAAGCGCCCGAATACGCACGGAAGGCGCCGAAGAAATATAGAATGCACCAAAACATACACTGGCTGTCGCTGATTACAAGTAAGCTTGGTCTACATATCGTCATACTCTTCATTTCCGTGGCATGCATGTCAGAAGCAATGAAGATTGAAATCTGGAGTTATGACCATGCCCAGTAGGACCGAAGAATCAGTATTGAAACATAGATAGTGATGACAGACTTGCCTTTTATATATATAATAAACGTGGCCACTTTCTTGGCCTAGGTTCTCGTGCTGGAAAATGGGTTCAAGCTTCTGCCGTCGACCTTAGCAAGTATGGTCTTTTTGTTCGGAGGCATTTCAAGTCATCAGGGGGAGTATCACTAGCTTGATCGGAGACTGAAGGTCATCGTACCTAAAAAGAACTTAGAAGATATTGTCTTCACGAACACGTGGACGGAAGTGCTCAAGAGTCGCATCGGATGATTGTCTGGGACTTGTGGCTTCTTCTGAAAGCCTGAAGGTTCGTTAGAAACGATGATGAAGCTACGGCTAACCTGGAGTGAGAAGGTGAAATGTCTCGACTGCTTCATGAGTGAGGAAGAAGGATAAACATCCAGTCGTGATGACAGTCGGTGCAAAGGACGTAATTATAAGATGCCGGAGCTCAGGTCCGGCATTCAAAACACAACACACAACACAAACTAACCACTTGGATTTTTCGATGATCTTTCGGCTACTTATTCTCATTTACCCTCCACAGACATAATATAATGGCCCAGATATATGTGCTTTTGGACAAGTCGTGAAGCACTACCATTTGTGCGAACTCAGCTGTGCATGGGCAATGTCTTAGCGACCGTAAAGATAGATGCGGCACCTTCAGTGGACTAAGACACCCATACTTCTCTTGCATTATTTTTGGTGTCTGTCACCCTGATTTCTGGAGGCTTAGCATGTGAAATCTGGTCTGTTTTTTTTTTCGGCCCGATAATACATACCCGATTGAATTTTTTGCGCGCGCCATTCCTCAAGAACCTATGGTCGGTGAAGCATACGTGTTCCATTCCAGTCACTGATACCAATCGTAAATCTTGGGTTATCTTATAACTTCGGAGTCGTCGACACAGACCAGCTCACGTTCCCTGCGGTCATGAACGTAGACTATCCGAGTCTATCAGGTGCTTCATTTTCATCGTTACCTTGTGTCTATCTGATTTGGTGTGTAGGACCCGGACAAGATTAATATTGGCTGCGATCCAGAGACTTCTCGATAGCTGCATACATACGTGCGTTGTCTGCCTTTTCCACTACGTCTAGGTCTAAGGAGCTACGATTCGGTTGTGGCCGCGTGCTAGTCCAGAACATTCTTGGCAATTATTGAGCCTGCACCACTGATACATCCTTGACCAAGTTTTTACGCGGTTCGAATGTTGGGTATATTGTTGAATAGTGTACTAAAGCGGTGTTTGCCGCCTTCGCCAATCCAGCGATTACTATTTCGGAGGCGCGCTCTAAGTATGGCGCCCTTCTACGTTTATGCCACAAGTTGATGTGTCAAGCAAGACGTTTGGACCAATGAAAACACGCGCTGACAGTGATACTCGTACAATCGAGGACATAGTTCGCGTAGAAAGAACCCTTGAGTTTGATATAGATAACATTGCATCTAATGCACATGCAAATATCAATGAATAAAGGAGGGAATGAACAAAACGTTCGTCCCGTAAAGTAACATAAACACTGGAAATATCACCACTCCCCATCACGAGGTATGAGACCGGGAATATCTGCATTTTTGAACAGATATAATGGCCAATTCATTGCTGTAACTTTCCAAAAGTAAGATAAGTGTGCCATTTCCGCCATAAAAACAACGTAAGGGGAGGTCATAATGCATGACCAGGTGAAGACACAGAAACAGTGGAAACGTATCTTGTAGCTAATTCTTGAGACTCTCTGCCTCAGGGTTCCATTGAGAACCTCGCTCTTCTTCTGGAACAACCTTAAGGAGGCGGGCAGGATTTCCTACGACGATGCTCCTGCAAAGGGGATGGGTTACCATAAGTTCGGACCATGATTTTTGGGGGCTACCTACCAATCTGGAAAGCTCTTAGTAACGACAGAACCTGCACCGACGGTACATCCTTGACCAAGTACGACACCGGCTTGGATGTTTGCTATATGGGCATTGAGCGATAAGTCCAGAGATTCGAAGGCCACGCTTACCGCCGCCGCCGATCCAACAGTCATCTCCGATGATTATTTCTGATGCGCGCTCCAAGCCTGTTTGGCGTTCTTTAACGCTGATGCCGTGAGTTGCTGCGTAAAGCGAAACATTCGGACCGAACATAACACGTGTACCAATAGTAACAGTCGCACAGTCGAGGATAGTCGTATTATAGTTCGCGTAGAACGAGCCATTGAGCTTGATCTAGATAATAATATATGAGACTCAGGCAAGTATAGACAAAGAAATGGAAGGATAAACAAACGTTCGTCCCATAATCAACATACAAACTGGAAATAACAAGTGATAAGTCGCAGCACGACAGAAATTTCAATGGAATCCTTACGGCGGCTCCACTAACACTGAATCTAGGTCACACACAGGTACGTTGAGGAGCTCTGCCAGAATCTCCCTTCTTTCTCGTCCATCCAGAGTGGGCGGGGAGATGTTGTAACGATGCATCAAAACACGAGCACGGTGGCGAGCGGCAACTAGCGCAGGTTCCATGCAATCGTACAGTGAGTTATCGGAGGCTGAGGGAAGTGGGGGAACATAGGACGAAGACATGACTCTGGTTTCAGTCTTCGAGGTATGTATACGAAGTCAACTTAGGATTGTACCGAGTCCTGTGTATACAGGATTCGGTCTATGCTAACCTGAGCATCTCGGTGGTGGTGCGTGATGGTGATAGTCCGACAATTTGCTGTGCCGTGCATGCCGTGGTAACCCACGTTGATGTCACACGTCACACTTGTTATGCGTTCTCTTTTGAGCATTGTTGCTCTTCCTCAGCCATCTCGTTACCAAACGAGGCTATGTCCATAGTCCTGATGCCTCTCTCATGAAATCAATACTACTGGTAGGAGCACTTCCTTAGCCTTATTCCCCAATCCTCATCTTTTCACCGTCCATAGGCATCAACGTCAAGTCCGCTGTTGTCTGCCGCCAAGGCCTACAATACGAGACACGGTTTCTGGATACTGTTCTTTGATATCACACCCAATGGCATCTGGATCGTAATGTAAACGAATGCTGAAGGCATTTGCACTCTCGAAAATGATGTGAACTCCAGGCAAATCAAGTCGACGAGAAGGAGAAGAGGGCGGCGAAAAGGTTTGGCTAGCAGAGTATCCATGTATTCAACGTGTGTACGTACTGCTTATTGATTCTGGTTTGATTACTGACCGTGTACTTGTGGGGTAGACCATCGTCAATGGCGGCATCTTGACCGACTTTTAGTATTACGTCGGACATCGTCTTAACGACACGAGTGGGAGCAGAACGAACGTCTTAGGTTGTCTCCGGCAAGTATAGTAGAAGTACCTCAGGTACGTTCTTATCGTTGGCGTTGTGGATGGTCCTGACTTGTTTTCGTAGTGTTCTTGTACTTTGTTAAGCGGCCTCGTTCGACTCAGTATCACTCAATGCCCTGTTCAACCTACCACTGATTGCGAAGGTGTGTTCTTTCTTCTGTATGTTTTGTTTGTTGTTTTAGGATCTGGAGGTGAATTTAGTCTCTGGGAGAGACGGCATAATCACTACTGTTCCATTGTTTAACTTTATCGTGTTGTCACTGTGTCGAATATGAACCTTGTGCCACGCCCATGCAGAGCAGCCCACCCCAATTTCAGGGCTCGGACATGCCGCGCCCTGCGATGGCCCACCGCTTCATTGAAAGATGATATCATACCTGTTATGGTAGATCTGTGATAATTACAGCGCTTCCGGAAAATAATGGGAATGGCAGAAAATTGTAATAGTAAGTAAACATCCGGTCACGGTAAAAAATTAACCTATTCTGCTCGGTGTCCTGCTGCCGTCACTAACTCAAGGGAAGACGTCGCAAAAAACGACGAAATGGTCAAGTACCAAAGATCGGCCCGGGCCAAGATACCGGCTTCCGGACCCGGACCCTGAACGCGATCATTAGGCGGCTGATATGTTGGACTTCACCGCGATGGATGCTTCTGGGGTTCGTTATCCAAAATCTGACAAACCTTTGATAGCAATGGCTCGGTGGTCGCTCAAACGCTTATGGTTGGAAATGGGATCACCCTTTTACTCCACCGATGGTGCGACAGCCTGCTCCTCAACATTACTCTTCTGTTCCTCAGACTTCTGCTATGCCTGTCAACACTCGCTCGCCGTCGTCAAGGCGTTCCCCCGCTACTGCGCAGTCTGTCTCTATCACTCAAGGCGTAGCCAGTGGCGCCATTGGCGCGGCATACGGTCCTTACTCTGTATGCTTTTTTAAAAATTTACCACCCTCCCCCACAACTCTACTGACCTCTTGTTGTAGATGAAGTCTTCGAGTATAACCGTGAGTGAGAATTCACGGTTTCTTCGAACGCCTTCGCGAGCATCTCCGGCCACCAGACCTACTGCCACAACAACGACTGTTCCTCCGTATGTTTGGGAAGATGATCCAGATCTAAATGATACTCTCCACAATTTCAGTCCCGAACATGACGATGATTCTTTCACCATATATTCTCTGCGAGGCTGGCTAAATGCTGGTGCCTTGGTGGTTATAGTTGTTGGTATTGTAATGCTCTTCGTCGGGTATCCCATCATCGCGTACTATTCCAAAACCATTCCCTCGGTTTCAGGATATAACCTAGGCGGCATCAATGCCACAGGCCAAATACCTGATCTCCCTGGCTTGCCCTCCCTCATCGATGTGGATACCCCAACGGATGCTTATTCTCGCACCGGTCAAGACGGCTTGAAATATAACCTAGTTTTTAGTGACGAGTTCAACACCGATGGTCGAACATTTTATCCTGGTGACGATCCCTTCTGGGAAGCAGCCGACCTTCATTACTGGACTACGGATGACCTCGAGTGGTACGATCCCAGCGTAAGAGCTTCTGTTGGATATCCTGCTCCTGTCCTCACATCAAATCTCCTAGGCTATTACCACAGTCAATGGGAAGCTCGTAATCACCTTCAGCATGGAAGACATACACGACCTCAACTTCAAAAGCGGTGAGTCTCGAATCAGTCCTTCATCATTGTCGCCCAACAAACTTAACGACCGGGTTAGGTATGCTTACATCGTGGAATAAGCTCTGCTTTACGACGGGCTACATTGAGGTATCCGTAAGCATGCCTGGGGATTCCAAAACGCCAGGTTTTTGGCCAGGTCAGTAATTTACACGACTATTTGATCTTGCTCATAACGCAAAATGTCGATTGTAGGTGCATGGGCCATGGGTAATCTGGTGCGTTTCTCAACAACCATTTTATTAACACTAGCCCAACATGATATTACTGTAGGGCCGACCTGCTTATGGCGCTACCACAGACGGCATGTGGCCATACAGCTATGATGCATGCGACCTGGGGACGTTCCCAAATCAAACGTCGGCAGATGGGATACCGGCTGCTGCTCTCACTGGAAGCCCATATGGTGGGTCCCTCAGCTATCTACCAGGGCAACGTGCATCCGCGTGTACTTGCGAAGGGGAAGAGCATCCAGGTCCCAGTAACAATATCGGCCGCGGGGTTCCTGAAATCGATATCTTCGAACATATGATTGACGTCGATGTCTGGCAAGGCGTTGTGTCGCAGACTTTTCAAGTAGGGCCGTTCAATTATCAGTATCAATTTGTCAACACGACGCCTGCGACGACTATTACTGATCCTTCGATCACTCATGTCAATACGTACGTCGGTTCGACGTATCAACAATCCGTTTCTGCGTTGACCTATATCGATGAAACGTACTACAACGATGAGGCGTACGGGACATTCGGAATCGAATGGTTCTCGGATCCTGACAATAGAGATGACGGTTATATACAGTGGTATAGCGGAGGTGTGGAGTCGTGGAAGATCACCTCCGCTTCGATTGGTCCTGATGCCACTGCCGAAATCAGCCAACGACTCATTCCTGAAGAACCCATGGTATGTCTATTTTCGCATTCATTTATTTCTACCTGCTCAACTCAAGCATTTTACAAGTACCTCATATTGAATCTGGGGATGGCAGAAAACTTCCAGCCGGTAGATTTCAAGCATATCACCTTTCCAGGAAAGATGTACATTGACTATGTACGGGTGTATCAACGAGCGGGAACGAAGAATGGCATGACGTGCAACCCGCCTCTGCGGCCTACTCAGGATTATATTAACGCGTATGTAAACCTTCTTTCCTGCAAGTTTCAGTCTCTTAACCATTGAATTTCAGCCATATCGAGGCCTACACGAATCCGAATTTAACAACATGGGAACAGACTGGATTCCCCCAACCAAGCAACTCCTTGTATGATGGTTGTTAGTTCACCGGGTATGCTCATTCACACTAAGCTGAAGCGTCATGCAATGGCTTACTTGTTTCTAGTCAACATGTCCATTCCTATACACACTGACTTACCGGCACCCAGATGATCCCGGCGACATTCCGTAGTAAGGTTTACATCGAGCTTCTTTTCTTTAGTACGACATTTATTTGTATCAACCAATGCGATAGAGCTTTCCGAAAATCGCCCGAGGATAGGTTGCTGTAAGTGTCAGTGGGACTGCGCAAAGGGCGCCGATAACTAGTGGGCTATGCATGGGAAATATTGCGGTAAATCTGTAAGCGGACATTTCCTTCTGTCTTTGCCCTTTACCTAATAGATGTTTTTATCTAGTTGCTGGATCGGTCAAGCTCTAAATTTCAGTCGTACGAGTTTCTCGGGACGCGTCTTTGTCGTTACTCGAGCTATGCCAATGTTCAAGGTTTTTTACGTCTCCGACTTCCAAGCGCAGTCAGATTTACATAACTAATGTCTTATGTGCGAACATCGATGACTCTCATAAAGACGCTTAGCCTACGAGATTCACGGAAATAGGTGGGTGTATGGTGACTGTGAAAAAAGGAACAGGAGAAAATGACTGTCTTGCTCCCTCTACCTCCCTAGGACATCGCTCTCGACTCAACTTTTCGATATTATCCACTCAAGTTCCAAAGCAGCGCGACGCGTCGCATATTTATCTCACTTAACCACGATGAATTCTAAATGAATTCCGTAACTTATTTGTCCGCCGACAGATACAACTTTCGACGTTCGGGACGTGGCGTCAAGGTCCTTACGATCTTTCTAATTTTTTGAGCAAGGCTTGGCCGTTTACCAATCTTTTGGCGACTGAAAGAAACTGCTGCTTCTCTTGTTGCTTCATATCTGGGGCCTCTGAAACAGGTTGGAGTCGCCAGACACAGTTACCCGTGTCTATTGATGGATTCGGTGATCTCGACAATCAGGTCCGACACTTTTCTCATATTCATATTCAAAAAGGCCTCGACTGTCAACGTCTACTGCCATCCCAGTGCTTCTTCGTTCAGTTACGACCTCACTTTCATTCTCAGTTACGTGTCCCGAGGAAATCAGACTTCCGAAATTCGCCAGTCAAACACCAGCCGTCTCGGCAAAAATGCTACTATGCTCCTCCCGCGAAACTTGAGCTTGGCTTTCGGGACATTGTGCACGACATTATGGCCCAGTTTGCGAAAGCACCGCCTGTTTTCTTAGTGCTTTCAGCTTCTTACCACGTCTTCCTTGGGCAACTTGAGGGCCTGATTATGGGGCTGAGCTGCGGCGATGGAGGTTCTATCAGCGACGACTTGTAGCTTCGATTCTCGCGACTGGCAGTTCATGCATAAACGTGATATGGCGTTTATGCCTCGTATGCGAGATATCGATAATCGGCGAGAATTTTATCAGGAACCTATGGTCGTTAAATGCATATAAGCCCTCAGTTGTTGGTTTTATCTTCGTCCGTCCCTTGTCGGTATCTCTTCATGGCATCTTGCGGTACATTTGTGCGGTTTACACTCTTCTTGCTCCTTGCTATGGGGTTATATGACTCTGGCGTGGATGCAAAGCCTGTATCATCAGCGTCGACTTGGTGGTGGCCTCGCCCCCAGCCCCGATGTACCTCTCCGGAGACGCGTGTGGAGTGGTGAATACATCTGATCATTACGCCATTCATTCTCCTCTAATCGTTCATGTACGCAGGACGACACTGTCGAGCGAGCAAAAAACGGCTTATTTTAACGCCGAACTATGTCTCTATGCGGCGCCTGCTCGAACTAGCATTCCCGGCGTGGTTTCACGTTATGATGACCTCGTATGCTTTCTTTTCCTATACACGTGAACGTCAATATTTATTTATTCTATGTTACCTAGGTCGGTGTGCACTCCACACAATCAAATACCACAGATCTGGGTGATCTTTGGCACCCAACTGGACAGTTCGTTGTTTGCATTCACCTGGAGTACGCAAATTTTACTAACGAGGTCGTTGAACAGATTCCTAGCTGTGAGCTTGCCACAATCTTCAACCTATGAAAGTCATTTAATAACATATCCCACAGGTCCATCGGTACTACGTCCATACTCACGCAACGCTGCTTCGTCGAGAATGTGGATACAGAGGTCCCGTAAGTCGTCTTCTCTCCCTCAAACCTCCTCATTCACAACATGCCCAATAACAGATCCCTTACTGGAACGAAGTCCCCGACGCCGGCGCTTTCGCTAATTCGACTACCATCCTTGATTTCGGTGGCGAAGGAGAGGAGTCATCGGGCTATATAGTTCCCTCAGGACCCTTTGCGAATTTGACAGTCCATCTCGGACCCGGGATGAGCAATACCGATCATAGGCTCACGCGTAAAGGGGACGCGAGGAACTCTCTACAGGTCAACCAGACCTATGTTGATAGCGTTATGTCTGCGACAACCTTTGCGCAGTTCCAAAATTCCCTCTCTCGTAGTTTGCATGGAGCTGGACATGGAGGTATTGGAGGAGACGTGAGTTCGCCAGTGTTTCTGAATGAGAGCGCCGCAATATAATACTTCCTCTCTAGATGATTAACATTTTGACTGCTCCTAACGATCCACTTTTCTGGATGCATCATGGATATTTGGACTATGTGCGTTATTCTGATTGATTTTCTTGGTACCGGTTATTGAAGGCACTGGGCAGGTCTGGTGGAAATGGCAAGGCAGGAATATGACGAGGATCCATGACCTTGTAGGCGCGGGAAATGAAACAGGCAAGGCTCCCCCGACGGGATTCGTTGTACGTCTCGCTATTTCTGTGATCACTAAATCTTGTAACATCTTGCGTTATTGTAGGCAACTAGCGAAGCTACGAAGCTGTACGCCTACGACCTTATTGCTAATGCTACGGTGAGTTGCCGCGTAGTCTCGCTGCAAGGTATATAATTGACGTTTTCTGCGCGTGTAGGTGGGAGATGTCGTGGACACTCAAGGTGGATTCCTGTGTTATACTTACGTCTGATAACCTGGCAGACACGGATACCTCACAGCCACATATATCCCCCTCATTGTTCTATCGCTATTATGTATTTATATAAACCCAAAGGAATGTCTCTTGCTAGGCACACACAAAGAAAAGTGTTTGGTGTGCAAGGGTGATTTAGCGATTTGTGACTTCTGAGTGCTTGCTTCATCATTGTTCACCGGGGCTCGTGCAAGACGTACCCAACGACTGTCGTGCGGTTTTGAGACCTACCTTGACTTCAAGGGGGGAGTTGACCATGACGAAAGCAGTCATGGAATCCTGCACCTGGGATCGCGGGCCATATTACCATGGTTGTAGCGTAAGCGTATGTTGCTTGGTGCATACAAATTGCAGCCTTCCCAGCAATGTTGACCGTAATAATTCATGAGAAGAGGCACGAGAAACCAAAATTGAGGTCAAGGATCCGAAAGGTAATAAGAATGGTATATGAATACAATTATCTGAATAGTGTCCGATGTTAATCATGTATAAAACTTGCGATTCTCGTTGGGTCCAAAGAGATCTTTCCTGATCTCGGGAAGCATCTACCGCATATTTCAGTATATGATGGAAGAGAAGGCAAGTAAAACGAACTCGATCTTCGAGGAGTCTCAGACGTTCATCCAAAGTATTATCGATAGTAATGCGGCGCGAACCACTGACGAGTTTGATTCCGCCAGCGCTACATAGCCCGTCAGCGCCTCATCTGGTAAAGGAACCTGCTTGAGATGGACTTACCTATCTCCAGCTAGAGATCCTTCGATATCATACTTCACTTGCCGCCCACTGATATCCTTGTATGTCCGCGCAGCGTTCGCGGCAGCCTCCTCCACCAAAGAGACGTCCTGCTTTCTAGCGAATACTGTGACGGAAGGCTCGAGAAGCTGCAAGAACCCCTGGGAGATAAAGCCCTCAAGGAACTGTACGTAGCGCCCTTCATCCTTGGCAAGAGTAAGTACTGATGCACGTGAAGTAGAAAAGAGGTCCTGAAGGTGCTGTTCGCGTTGATGGAGCAACTTGAGTCGGGATTTGTTAGTTAGCGTAGATTGGGCACTGTACGGCTGATGGTCAGAGTATCACGGTAGAAATTAGAAGACACCAACATCTTTTGGGCGACTTCTGCACCCTTCCTCTTCTTCTCATATTGCGCGTCAATGGCTTGTTGTTCCTGCTTGACAAGTTTCGCCTGCAACGATGTTAGTTAGGGACACCAACCAAGCGCAGGACGGGCACCTTCTCAATAGCAAATTCCTCATCTGCCTTTATCCTTATTTCTCTTGCCTTCTCCAGAGCCTCCTGCTTGATGAAAGCAACCTATCCAGTCAATTAGCCGACGGCCCACGTCATGAAGTGTTCCACCGGGTACCATTTTATTCATTTCAGTGAGGACTTCATCATCATTAAGAGGGCGGGTCGACATGTCGGCAGAGGGATATGTAGGTAGTCGGTAGGCGGTATTGGCTGGGCGAGGAGGTGGTGGACGGGATCCAAGTCGCTACGCTCGTAGCAACTCAGCGGGTGTGAACAAGCTTCCTTATCTGGCCACCACTGATGCCGCTCGCGTGGGAAAAAGTCCCAGATAGGACATCCAAACTTCGTGCCCGCCTACACCGTGAACGACACAAAGCGACTCCAGGGCCCGTCGACATCGTCAGCAAGCCGTCGAAGATCACCGTGAGTCTCTTCCCTGCCCTTTTATGTTCGTCCTGGAGAAAGAATGAAGGCAGAAGCTACTATTTGAGGCTGGATTCGCCGGATGTGATTTGGATGTACTGACCCGTCTCTCTGCAGGTCAAAATATGGCTTCGAAACTACCATCCGTCCTGGCCGCTACCGAGGAGGAGATCCAGCTCCTTCTCGCTGCCCAATGCCACATTGGCACAAAAAACTGCGATAAGCAGATGGAACCGTACGTCTGGAAACGACGGGCTGACGGTTAGCAATTCTCCGAATTCCTGCGTTTCTTGCCTTAATTTTCTGGTAGGAATCCACATCCTGAACATTGGAAAGACCTGGGAAAAGATTGTCCTCGCTGCTCGTGCAATTGTTGCCATCGAAAACCCCAACGACGTCTGTGTTATCTCGGCGCGTCCCTACGGACACCGTGCAGTCCTGAAGTACGCCTCCAACACTGGTGCTCAGGCTATTGCCGGACGATTCACCCCCGGTTCTTTCACCAACTACATCACCCGGTCGTTCAAGGAGCCCCGTCTCATCGTCGTGACTGACCCCCGCGTTGACCACCAAGCCATTCGTGAGGCTTCATACGTCAACATCCCCGTCATTGCCCTCTGCGACACCGATGCTCCCCTGAAATTCGTCGACATCGCCATCCCCACCAACAACAAGACGAGGCATTCGATAGGTCTTATCTGGTGGTTGCTCGCTCGTGAAGTCCTGAGACTTCGTGGCACCATTCCCCGTACGAGCGACGGCTGGAATGTCATGGTCGACATGTTCTTCTACAGGGACCCCGAAGAAGTCGAGAAGCAGCAACAGGAGGAGGCTGCGGCCAAGCTTGCTGCTCAGCAGGGTGCGGAGGAACCTGCCATTACTACAGAATGGGATGTGTCGAGTGCACCCCAGGCCGGCAGTATCAATCCTGCTTTGGTCGGTCAAGAAGGTAATTTGTCTTTTTTTCCACAAAAAATGGGTTTTTTTCTCATGTATTATTCCTTAGGTGCCCTCGACTGGGCTGCCGACCCCAACCCTTCGACCGACTGGGCTGCAGAGCCAGCGACTGGTACCGGAGGTTGGGGTGCTGATGACGCCGCTACTGGCTGGAATTAGGTTGCTGAATATACATACTTTTGACTTCAAGCATGCACTTCGTGGTCTTTTATTGCACAGAAAAAATATGATATATTCATGACTTTCATCAGTGTTCTCTGGAACAACGTATCAAATGCTGAGGCGTCTGGTACCAGTTCCTGGTACATGTACAGTGCGAGGGTATTTTGACGAAATGGCGGTCTTTCGCTGAATTTGGTGAGCATATGTTGTGTCCCCAGTCGGCTCTTCCTTGCTGCGGTTCCAATTTTTTTTTTTTCACAATTTGGAAGTTTGCGTCATTTATGGATTTTCCGGCGATGGGAGAATCGTACTTGTTCCCCTGCTGTGCGACTTGATATTTTGTTTGAACTCACAATATCCTATGTACTATGAAAAATCCGACCGTCTGGGGTTTTTGGTTGTACGCGTAAGCCACGAAAAATGATGGTCTCTGGAACGGTAGGGAGCGGTCCAGCGGCGGAGATTTTGAACATCGGCAATTATCATGATCACCGTAGAAGCTAGAAGGACGGCCCGCTTCGGCATTAGTGTGAGTCGTTGAGATAGTGATGTGAAATTTTTGGTTTCTGGCCTTTTCTGGCTCCTTGTTGGCTTCGGTCCTTCGGTTTTCCTGGCGACAGAATGAAAATAACTAATAGTGCACACTGCCCAATAATTTTATTTGTTGGTTTAGAGAAAAATCGCCGTTGTGCCGATATTGAATCTCCTTCCTAACTTCAGTAGCATCCAGTGCCGGCTTGGTGCCGACCGCCTTAGATTCAACCAAGTTCGTCGCTGAAATTTTCACGATAACCTCACACCAAACTGCATTCCCTTCGGCCATATTGCCAGTGAGGTCTACACCAAAATTTGCTGACGGTTATCTTCTTTCAGAGCTTGAATATATTCCATCAGGTTCTCAGGACGCATCTACTACTAAATGCCAAGCGAGCGGTATTTTGAGATATATTCCGAATCTTTGACACTAGCTTGCTCTAGTTTGAGTATCGTTGCTCATTTTCAGGTCTTCTACTCGTCACAAATTAGTCCAATTATATCGCTAACTGTCTCATCGGCATGCCCAAGTACCGTTGGATATGCGTAATCTACGAGCGAAGTGGCATGTTTGAACTGGTTTGCACTACTACATTCGCACAGCTGTCCAATAACTTGGCACGAAAGATGGTCCATACATGTTTCACAATCAAAGCACGCGACTTTATGACGCGTTGTACCCTCTTATGTCCAGCACCAAGGAAAAACCGTAACAGTTTGTCTGTGGCGTAGTGTCAGTGAGTACGATGCCTTTCGCATGCATTCAAGTATTCTTAAAATTTTTGGAATTTCAATTAAAACATCTAGAATCGACGTCCTTGAATGGTCCGTCTCCTCGGCGAGCTCTGCCTGAAACAAGCAGGCAATGGCGTCGCGATAACCGCAAGAAGGAGTTCACCTTGCTCAGCCAACAAGAGTACTATCAGATTTCGGGTACACAAGGGCTCGTATTCTAGTCGAGGGCGGATGCTGAGGGCGTACCGAACCTCATGCCTCATATCTCAGACTCCGCATATATCAGAACGAATTATCGTGATCCATTCGTCCTTGTGGAACCACAGACAGTCACAAGGGGTACCCGGTGCCCTGCTGTACGCATGGATGTGCTTTTTGTTCGACTTGACATCAATCTACCGGTTTATATGGTAATGTAGAGATGCTTCGATCCTTGAAACCACGCTCTTTGATACTGATAATCAGTTATCAATAGATCCTATATGCCTAAAGGCATTGAGGAGCTCCGCGCTGACATTGAATCGGTCGAGGCGTCTGCGACTCGGATCCATGCTTGGTCTCGGGTTGTGAATGACTCGCCGAATATCCAGCGTACCAACCGAGTACACTGATCAGCTTACGTGGTCTTGAGCACCCTTGTACTCTTCTGCGGCAGCCCGCTGACCCTAAACTACATTCGCTGAGTGGAAGAAGCAGAGGCCTGGTATTTCAACTGCCTCAACAGTGTTGCCGTCTTTGGAGAAATTTTCTCAAAAGCTTTCTCACAAGAAATCTTACTTGTTACGGGTTTGTACACGGCAGCTTTCTGGGCGTGAAGACGTTTTCTGATCTGCCCTTCTTCTAGCTGGTACTCCGACTTCGGCTGAGATGAGGGTGATATCCTGCCGGGCACAGTATGGTTGCACAGGTGGGCACCTTAACTTCCTTCTTGGCTCTGATGAAATATCATAAACGTCTCTCCGTCTACGCATGCCTCAGCCACCACAACCAAATTTTCCAGCCGAATTTCATTGCGTCTACTTGGTGATCAACTCGAGCTCACGACTCTCTTTGGAAATATGTCGTCTCACTGCAACAGCGCCTACATCAACAGCAACAGACAAAGAGCGTTCCGCGATCGGGCCTATTGGTATGACCTCTATTAGGGTCTGGGCGCACAAGTCGGAGCCTGCTCAACTTAAAACAAGCGTTTAAGGGAGTAGCTTCAAACTTGCGTCACTTTTGGAGTAATCATAAAAGCCCGACGTGTATGTCAGCCCAGTGCGTGACTTCTGTGTACCCGTCGAACCCGAATGACATGTTCCAACAGTTTTAATTTCGTGCGTTTCGGTGTTTGTGCTGCCGCAATAGCATACGATGAAGGCGTGCTGGTAATACTCGCCACAGTGAACACTCTATTCTCAGTTATCAGACCGTAAGGACGGCAATCTACTGAAGATTTTCACCTTCCTATTGTTATGTTTTTTCCTGAAGCTCCTTCCAGTCTGGGTGACTGGGGATCATCGATTGATTCCGGGGAGAGCTTCGACCAACACCGACAGTACGGTGACGTACCGAAGGGACTCGAACAGCCCCTTCGATCCACGACTTAGGCCTCAGGTTCAGGGAAAGCTCTCCAGAAAACACCTTGCAAGACTCTGGCACCGCAGGGATGGTTTGTTTTTGCCGAAGAGGAACTATCGATTGCGATCAGGACATTCGCGGAGCTCTACGACCATGACAGTGACCGTGGTGACTTTTTCGCCCTTCACGCTTCCTCGGGTGGTCTATTCTGTCTGTTGTGTATCCGTACTACATCTTCAAGGTTCGACTTCGAGCACTCCGCTTATCTGATTAAACCTTTTTTTACGGTACTCGGATCCACCAGGAAGGAAACAATCATGTCCGTGGGTTTCCAAGGTTCGGCATCTATCTCGTACCTCAGTGTACAAACGTGGCGCATCCTACCGCTCCTGGTATCTCAGAGATTATTTCCAATACTCTGTCGAAAAGAGGAAACAACTAGCACAGCCAACGGAAATGGGTCCTCCCCCCCATGCCCGTTCTGTGCAATCTATCGAATCTCTTGCATTTCCTCGTTCTCGCACAGACCAGGAGGCGTACTTGGTACTGCCATAAAAATAGGCTTCAATCTTTGACTTATGGGCAAATGACGTTTCTGATGTTATTTCCATTGATGCGCCACGAGTCTCTCGTGAGTACCTGATTACGGCTGCAGTCATCTGGTATCGCAGAGACCACCTATGTCCTTTTGGCGGTGTCCCATTCTAAAAAAATGGAGTCTATTACTTTAATTTCCCTCAAGCTTCACCGGTCATCAGCTATATGCATTGTTTCTGAATCGTTTGACATCAGTCTTGCCAGCTTCAAATTTAATCACTATCCGATGGAGGCACATGATTGGCCTGCGTTCCGAGTTCCGAGCTATCAATTACATATCTATGGATGACGTGCGCGAGAATTAAAATCATATCGACGCTGCGGCGGCCTTTCGGGATACTCTGTTACCTTCTGTTACATGGACATCTCGCCTCTTCGGAAGCCAAACAAGAAGGAGAGCCCTGTAAGTAACTATGGCGACTTTCAAATCTCCCAAACACTGACGACTGTTGAAAGATCTGTGTTATCTTCAAAGAATTTGGGTTGCAGCCGTGTGATCGGAGGCACTTGTGAAGCCCTGCCTGGCTGCTTCTGTGCACAACTACCCGGTCAGAATTTGACAATAATGTTCCGGATGATAAAAATCTCAGCTACAAGGGAGGGAAAATATTAGGATGGAGCCATACTCTGGGATATCTTAATTTGTGTAAGTCACTCACGAAGTGTGCGGAGGGCGTGTTGTTATTGACAATTGTCTCTAATGAAAACAGATACACTTTGCGGTGCAACAAGGATGCCGTGTTCGGGGTAACCAAAGGGTCGCCGTGGATCCGTACTGGCAAGTCCCTGCAAGGCAAGAACGTATAAAAGACTTCAAAACACCTCCCGGTCGACTCACAACTCCACACCACACCCAGTTCTCTCCCTGCTTTTATAATCGATTAATCCTACCGATGCCTCCTGGCGAAGCTACACACATATGGGACATTGCAGGCCCGAAGAAGAGCTGGTCGAAGGGGGAATACTGTGTTCATTGGATTGTAGTCAACGGACGACCAACAATGTTTACCTTCGAGTGTCTTCAAGACCGTAAGTATTCCTTCTCCTTTTGACTCCACCTCGTGACTTTGCTGACTTGCGTTACTTGGCATCGTAGATAATACATCACAGTCCACTTGCGTGGGTTTGCCGACCCTTACATGACTTTGACCTGCTGACCTCGTTTTATTAGCCCATACCGGGGAGAACCACAGCTTTTTGGACGCCCTATAATCCAAAATGATCATCATGCACGATGGAGTACTCCGCATTGACGTCAACAATTGATGTTTGGTAAGTATTGACGCTTTGATGGACTAAAAATTCGTAACTTACGTTCATTTTAGTTTCTTGAAGGTACCGGTGCTGAAGATGTTATGTATGGGTTGTTGCATGTTGGCGGTTCAACCCGACTGGTCCTTACGAATTGATCCTATCTCTACCTCCGACATCGAGTATGTAACATACATAGATATCTATGGCCCGTGCCTGTCTCGCAAGTAGTGGCCCTTTTAATTTCTGCGCAGACGGCTAAACCTTGAAGTTGCCATATATACATGATAAGTCACCCCCCTGAAACAGCTATTGCAGCAATAGTATATGGCTCCAAGAGGGACGTAATATTCTTAAAGGGCCGAGGGATCAAGTCCCGGTAGGCCAGGATCATGATGATGCTGGGGCGTAGCCTGCGCGAAAACAATAACCGAATAATAACCCCCTACCGACCGCCGGAGTATAAAATCCGAGGCCACCTTTTCAACTACCATCATGGCGTCCAGCAATCCTTCTGCTTCCAGCCCAAGGGCAGACTCAATTGACGAAGTGACATTGAAGTCCCGTATCGAGAAGCGTCTCTGCGACGAGTGTACAAAACTCGAGCCCTTTGAACAATGTACGTTCCGGGTTGATTGACAATTTTCTTGTTTTTCTGACCTCGTGTTTCTGGGAAGGTGGAAATCATATGGTAAGTCCGTGGCAGCAGATGTCCCGAATTGAATTTTATTGAGATGTTTACAGACTTACATCGCACATATGAAAAAAGGGCAACAAGCAGTGTTCATCCGAGTTCAATGGTCCATCCTGAAACACGCAGGCTGTGGTATGACCTCTCCTTTGGCCATGCGTTCAGAGGTAAGCCGCGAATTAAGCCTAAAGTAATATTTATTAAACTGAAACGTACTTAGGTTGCCACCTTGCGTTTCTTAAAAACCAAGACCAAGATCTCGGTTCCTGGAATTTTGTATCATGACGTTGATGCCGATAGGAAGGTCGGAGGTGAATGGATGATCATGGAATATGTAAGTACCGGTGCCTCGCTATCGGGATAAGCTTATCGAGACCAAGGATAGGTCGACGGAGACAATCTCTCTACGGTATGGAGAGACCTCGATGCAAAGCAGCGCGAGCAAGTCTGCCTCGCTATCGCGGACGTATGGGTGGAGATAATCAACGTAACTTTCGACTCGATTGGAAGTATTTACGAGAAGGAGAACGGGGAGTTTCATATCGGACCCATGACACGTCTGGCATCAAATCGAAACACCTCCATTTCCCCGCCAAAGTTCGAAAAATGCGGCCCATTTGCCACCGCAAAGGACTGGCTCCTGGCGACTGCACGACGAGATCTAGACTTTGGGGAGAAGCCTCAAGACAATGCGGCCCAAAAACAACCCTTCATCGATAGTGCAGTGGCTAATATCCAGAATCATGACTTTCCCGATCGACATGAAGACTTATCCATCGTCCTCGAACATATAGACTTTGCGCCTCGAAACATCCTGGTTAGCCGGACAGACCATACGAAGATAGTCACCGTTGTAGACTGGGAAGCCGCCCGCACCGTACCTATGTGGGCTGCCAACCCCAGTTTCAGTTTCCCCCCGCATTCAGTGACAGACGAAGAGAGGAAGCATCTTCTCACGTTGTTGACCAATCGCATAATTTCCAAGGCTCCTGCTTGGGAAAAGGCGATAGGGCAGGACCTGCAGCCTCTGCGAATTCTGCATGATCGCGCGATATATAGTAATGTAGATCCTAATATACTACTCCCCGCTCCATACCTAGCGTTGTCAGCTACATATTGAGTCTATTAGATATTACCTCGTATTAGCACCCTTATAAAATTGTCTCAGTTGAGAATCGAGTGCTCCTCCGTCGAGAATGAGGCCCTACGACGCCAGTGTCGGTATTGGTAGGTCCTTGTATAACACTATGGACAAGTCGTCGGATCGAAGTCTTCGATCGAGAAACTTTAACGGGTGCGGTTTAGTGCGGTAACAAGTCGGCACCTTCGAGATCCCGCGGATGTATTATTGCATAGTCAATACGAACCCCAAAAATTTCGGTCTGTCGCTGAGAAATAGCCAGGAGTCTTATCAATTCTTTTCGAAGGATAGAGCTAATAGGACAGTTCGAGACTTTACCGCTGAACTAGACCTCGAGGAACACCAGAGCGGGATAGTCATGAGTGAGCGAAGCAGGGCTAGCTTGTCGGACCAGTTTCGAATCCGAAAGGTGGGAACTTTAATGCGGTGCCTGAGAGCGAACGACGTCACCCTTCTCTCTCACCAGGACGCACCCCAAAATTTAGAATCTCAGGGAAATCATCGATTACTCTCGGATTGGCCCTAGATGGCATAGATAGTTTAAATCTGTAATCAATTGAAAGGAGGTACACACCTGTACACAGATCTAACAGGAAGATTGAAATTGGCCGAAAAACATACGTAATTTTTCTCTACAGAAACATTGAATTTCCAGATTGTGTCTGACAAAATATTTACTAGGAAGACGATCGATGCGAATGTGATACACTGGGGTGGGGTGGATAGGTGCAAGGAGTCGGCAAATGCCGAGCAACCGAGTGCTGGTCCCGATACTCTCTTAACTCTAGATAAATTGTTCGGACCTTCCTATTATCGGTGCAGACTTTAGAATCTAAGTGATACAAAAAAAAGGTTGATTGCAATAGACCAATGTAGATATACACAGATTGATTTGGTATAATAATGGACGATGTACAAGTCCGTGGTACTGAGATTGAATGAAAGAGATAGCAAAGGATCTACAGAAAGAGCATTAGATCGCAGGGAAATGTGATAGATAGCATAACCGGATGAGACCACCAAGAAAAAAAAACAAACCTCGAATATACATCTACTCTTGTTTGGGCTTTGCAACCCGCGCAGATCGCCTGGGTGGCCGGACCATCTCGTTCGGCACGTGCGGTTGCACCTTTTTACGCGGGGGCGGTACCTTTCCCTTCCCGCTCTTCGCAGAGGGAGGCGCTTCCTTCATCATCTCCTCGCTTCTCCCTCTCTTCCTCGGAGAGGCAAGGTCCATCGGCTCGGCCTCGCCGTAGGCCTCATCCACTTCAGCCACGGCCTCCAGGTCCGAGAAAGGTCGCTTTTTGCTCGATCCCTCAAGGGCGTCGATGCGTGCAGGTTCACTTTCCTGCAACTCCCTCTGCTTCTCTTCACGGGACACCATCTCTTGTGACGGTTGCAGAAGTTCCCTTCCCTCCTCCTCGGCGCGCAGCAAGACATCGCTCCTTCGCTCGAGGCGTGAACTCTGTCGAGGAATATCATTCTTAGGTTTGGGAGGGGTAGGTGCATCAAGTTGGAGATTGTCCATCTGACTGCTGACAATCGCTTCTCCATCGGCGTCTCCGTTGGATTTCATCGAAACATCGAGTAGTACAGGTGCCTCACCGTTGGTTTCATTGTTTGCTGGCGTGGAAGCAAGTTCTTGGTCCATAGGAGCGGAATTCTTGTTCGCAAGGTCATAGACCGGGGTGTAACTGTCAAACCAACGGTGTTTGCGAGAGTCCTGCATCGTCATACGCTTCGCAGGGTCGGTTTCGAGTAGCGCTTTGATGAAGTGCCGAGCTGTGGGAAATCGTTGGATACGCGTCTGTTTCGAAAATGTGAAACGCATACCTTCTGGACTATGTGCCTCCAAAGGCTCCCAATGTATCCGTCGCTCAGCAATGCGCATTCGTATATCAGGCTGGTTTTCATCCTCGATGAAAGGGGTGGTGTTCGTGAGCCTGCAAAACCGCTTGGCATCCAGCGACGAAAACGAGCACTTTGTGAACTTACATTGAATACACGATAACTCCAACACTCCAGCTGTCCACGAGATTATCATAACCTTGGTGGTTCTCTTGCTTGACCACTTCAGGAGCAAGGTAGCTAGGAGTACCACACATCGTCTACGGGAGGCGAGTGAGTGATAAGGAGGAGATTAGCAGTGTAAACTTACGCGAAGCATTGTAAGACTGTCGACGACCTTGGCGAGACCGAAATCTGCTACCTTGACGATGGGGGGATCATCTTGGGTCAAGAGAACGTTCTACTGGCAATTAACAATCGACAATCCAGAGAAATCAGCAGCACATACTTCCGGCTTGAGGTCGCGATGAGTGACGCCGAGACTATGGACATACTGGGCATATGATGAGTTACTGGTCGAAACTAGGGCCAGTTATACATACCGCGAGTGCATCGCACAACTGCCAAGTAATATGGCGGGTTAAGTCTTCCGACAGACCGTCGCGTGAAGTGATGTAGTCAAGGAGATCACCACCTTCGACAAGTTCAAGCACGAGATCTGGGTGACTTGTTAAAGCCAATGGGCATGCGAAGAAACCAACAATACAGACTAATTGAACCATCCTGATGGTAATAGACGTCTTTCATCGCGCAAATGTTGGGATGCGAAAGACTGGTCATAATATTGATCTCCCTGTTAAGTTGAGTTTGCGTCGTCGTTACAGATGTTGATCCCTGTGGGCGTTTCTGGATCATTTTCACGGCAACCCATTCACCAGTTTTACGCGACATTGCTTTGACGACAGTGGCAAAGGCGCCTTTTCCCAGTTCATGTGACATTTCGTAGTCGACATGAACGCCCTCAAGTTTGTCTCCGCCAGCGACCATACGAAATATGTAGCCTTCAAGGCAAAAGCCATTAGGTTCGGCAGGGATTATAGATGAAGGACATACGATAGTCTTCGTGACTTTGTGGTCCTTGCGGGATGACCGTGCCAAACGAGATCTCATTCCCATCATGAAGGAGACCTTGGTGCCCTTTCCCAAGTTTGGAGCCGTTAATCTGAAGGCTGGGTGAGACGGACCGGGACGTGTTTTTTAAACGATAGACTCACAAAGGTACCATTAGTTGACATATCCAGTACGGTGACAGTAGCAGTGTCGTTGTCGCTGACGCCGTTCCATACTATCTCACAATGCTGATTGCCTTTCGCACGAAGATGAGCGACCAGGGGGGAGCAAACGAGTTGAAAGTATACTTACTAACTCTACACCCCGGAAGAACAAAAGTATTCAGTGCATGACGTCCAATGCGAACCGTAGGGCTCGTCTTTGGGAAATCCATGCGAGTGTTGTTGGCATTGCAGGGTTGGAGGATACCCCATATGTTGGTGTCGACAGGATTCGCCTGCGAAGGCTGCTGAGTCGACTGCGTCGCCTGTTGGGTCTGTTCGTCGTCGTCATCGTAGGCGTAGTCGTTCTCCATTGTCGTGCGCAAGGCTGAGTAGTAGATGGTGGCAGAGAAAAGAGAATGGGAGCTCTTTTATACGTTCTGGTGCCTATTTCCTGTTCGGTATGTCTTTGTTGAGTCCTAGCTCTTTTTGTGTCTTTGCTGGTGGCAGGACAAGAAACTGAAGCTGGGTGGCAAAGGGGCCACCCCAAGTAAATTGCCCAGGCAACCTAGACTTTTAGCGCCTCGCCAGCGCAATGAGCATTCGACGCGTAATTCCCGTAGTAGAAGGCGTATCCGATACCAGCGCGATTCTTTGGTGCTCTGTACGCGAGAGCAAGGGAGAAGACAAGAGTAATTTGTCCCGGGCCCGGGAGAACGACCGTGACTGTCACACAGCATGTACCACATGTCACCAGTCACACACGTGACTGTGACGGGCAAGCACTTTGAACTCTATCCTTGTTATTTGGAATCTGGATCACAAAGGTGAAGCTAAGCATTAAGCCTTTGTGCTCCCTTTTACGTTTCATTCATAACAATTCAAAAGAACTGCCCTATTGAATAGAGATCCTGGATCAAACACAAGGATATCTCGTTCTTTTATTGAACGTTCAAGTTGCCGTTGGACACGGTGCGTGCATCTATACAAGGCTCTTTCACAACGGTAATAATACCTGCGTACAGCTATACGAATAATGCCTGAATGGGGCCAGTTCCCGCAAGAACTTATCGACGCAATCGTTGACGAGGTGCATCATCCCTGTGATCTCAAATCGTGCTCGCTCGTCAGTCGCGCCTTCTCTTCACGGACACGCGTTCTCCTCTTTCGCCATGTCAACCTGAGATATACGAGGAGTGGTGGAAAATCAGTTTTTACAAATTTCCACGACCTTTGTGTCTCGTCACCACACTTCTCGGCCAGCATCAAGATCTTAGGTATCTCCGAGTATCATCTAAGGACTCCACCGTCGGCCAGTGGTATCCTTGACCTCATAATCCAGTCTTTACCAAATCTGATCGTCATTAAGCTGTTTGACGTCCGCATCGGTTATTTTCTTAATGGTTCACTTGCGTGTCTTTCTTCACATCCATTCCTTGGAATCCACCTCGACAAGGTTACCTTTGACAATATAGATCAGTTCTACGATCTTATCTCTGGGTCACCGAGACTCAAAAGCCTGACCTTGTCCGGGGCTGTTTCAGTTTCCAACCCTGAAAGCCGACGCTCGACGGTATACCGTGCTCTACCTCAAGTCGAGCATTTGGTTCTCAAGTTTAATCATGACCCGGCCCATCGAGTGGGTGCTCTGATACTCGAAAGCATATTTCGACAAGGAGGCTGTCCATTCTCTGTAGAACGAGTGCGACGTCTCACCATCGAAGTTAATAACCTTCATAAGGTTCAGTTTGATCGCGCTAATGCGATTCTTGCTGCTACATCACAGACTCTTCAGGAGCTGACTGTAGTTCTTCATCGTAAGTGCAATGTTTAGCCCGACATCTCTTCATTCACACAGTTGCAGCGTTTACCCGGTCTTGCTCATCACCCTGTCATATCCTTTGCTTTGCGTCAATACGAAAAGTGTGCTTCTCGTTTATGCATGCGATAGTCGAGCCCCTTTGGTGGTTCATTCGCAATCTTATTCACGTTCGAGACAAAGTCGGACGCTCCACTGTCGAAGAGTTGACTTTACAAATAACATCAGTAGATGCGATTACACCCGCCAAGGAATGGACAGAGCTGGATGAAATACTATCCAGTACTCCATTTTCCGATACATTCCAGTCTCTCCACATCACAAATATACTCATACTCAAACCACGTCCTGAGTTGCAGCTTACATCCAAAACACAGAGGGCACAGTTTGAGCCTTTCTTTCCATTATTGACTCAGAGAGGAAAGGTCAGCTTCAGCTTGAGTAAGATTTATAATATTTCTCTTTATGCAACTGCTGAAACTGGAATTCTAGTGATTGAATGTGACGAGCGGGATCAGTACTTCACGAGCGGTGAGGATTAGCGTGGGTCCCGCACCTGACATTTGTCAGGGACTTCACGTCTATGTCCGTTTTAGCGGTCTAGAGGGAACTATGGCCAATTTCTGGAAGATTCTCGAGGATTTCGTGCAAAATTGTAGACATAATGATCGGTGGATAAATCTAGTATTACAATGTCAATAAATGTTGACGCATCAGCGGCGTTCCGGTCAATACTACTCGCCCTTCTTCACCGCCATCACTATTCGAATCGAGCCGACAGGTCAATACTAGACTGTGGCGAACCCAGCCCTGGTGGGGGAGAATTTTATGTTGACTGCTGTCAAATTAACTGGCGTAGAGCGTTCGATGGAAACCTCGTTATTTTCTCAGCCGTTTGAAGCCCTGATGAATGATTGTTATCATTCTTCGACGGCTTTCTCACAATTCTAGCACAAACAAGGGATTCTTTTCCGCTTCCGGCTCCGCTTTGATCAGGAGTCAATTCTGTATGAGTTATCTCAGATCTGTCCGGCCGGTCGCGCCAGTCGGGGCCTATGAGGACCCGCCAGCTATGCTTTGGGTATTGCAGTTCCTCTAGGGCAGTTTCGAAACCAGGTCGCTTAGACTGCTCGACCCCACCGTCGCCGGCTACTCCTAGGACCACCGACCGTATCTTGATCGCAACCTCGTGGCATGCTGTACCGCACGACCACTTCGTGGTGAAGATTTATTGGATTAAAAGGAGGACATGACGCCTCTGTCGCATCGATTGACCTCACTGACAAAAATATTTAGGTGGGAAATAGACTGTACATATGGCGTATCACCGACAGCATGAGGTCGGAGCTATTCAAGAGATGGAACTTCGTTATACCGGACACTCGTACGTCTCATACTACTACTCCAGTGTTGGGAATAGACGTCGGCAGGGAAAATGAACGTAGTGGTTGTGGCTCGAACGAAGGTATATTCCAGTGTAAATACGCAGGAGATGGTAGTACGAAGCCAAGTTGCCGTAGTGATCGGTACGAAAATCAAAATAAAGTAAAACAAAAAAACGGCGTAGCCATTAGCTGGTGGCTGTGAAACCACAATCCTCAACATCCAGCAATTCATTCAGAGTTGAGACGGGCTTGGCCCTTATGGATTATGTCCTCAACCGTACAGGTCCTTCACACGACAGCCTTTTAACGATGTCACGAGACATCAGGAAAATATGCTAGTCAATTAATTAACTTTTTTGACCATCTCGTGTCCATAGTTTCGTCAGGCGTGTAAGGCACGTCCCAATCCCCTGGCGGGAGTTTCATCAAAGAGTGGCGACGACTCGGCTGTAAAATTTGAACCCCAGAGTTATTGATTCATCTGATCCAAGGTCGTTGGAACCATCTCTTCTGTACGGGCACCCTTTTACGGGTATTCATCAAGACCGAGCCTTGAGTGAGAATTGTGTGACGAAGATGATCAAATTTCGTTTTAGGATGGCATTTGACCCGGCTCCAAGTAATGCTCACAGACCAACAAATCCCGACGTTAATAATGCAGCAACACTTACTAACGGCCTTGTGGGTTTAAATTTGTTGCCCTAGTAGCTCTAGAGACGCCATGCGACGGTTCAAAAAGTATCAAAAAGAGGCACACGTGCGAACTGAGGATTTTGGAAGTAATCTTGCCCCACGCGTGTTTTTGAGGTTGTCTTATATACATCCCAGTATAAAAACCACGAATCAGTGGATTTTCTTGTCCACCGGAGTGTGTTTATGGATCGGAGGACTTACTTTTCCTCAAACTTTCACTCCTTTGATGAAGATTCGGTTCCTTATCGGTTTCCTTCGACCTTGCAGTAGACATCATGCATGATGGGAGTAGTCACATGTAATGCGGGGTAGCCTGGCAGAATGGGGTTCTGGGGACATCTTTTTTCCGTCTTAATTCGGATCAGGAGAGATCAGGGGGTAGCCCTTATTCAAGAAGAGAAAGAAGAATCATCAGAGCAAACAATCAAGCGAAGAACGAAGCTCAGAAATGGTTCTGACGTTCATAATGTTGGTGTAAAATCAGCCCGTGCAAAGTATTACGCTTAACAGGGTCCTGCTTCTTAATAATTTTTGGAAGAAGGCCAAGAGCTCGATATTATTATATAACGCTGGCTAATGACCAAAAAAGTTTGAATACTGCAAAGGGTTAACCACGAATTATTTGAAGCTGTCAAAGGGTAAAAGCTCTTCCAAACGGCTAAGTAATATTATTGATACCCTGCCAGTGAATGAGAATAGCGCAGCAAGGAGTTAATGAAAACCTCGACTGTCAGAGGACCCCCTTAAAGATACACGGAACAAGTCCATCAACCTTGTTCGGTTTTAGATCGCCGCGTCGCAGCTATGTAGTCAGTCCTGCTAAAAATTCACCCTCGTCAGGCCAATAATGCAGGCGATAGACGCGCGACAAGACTTGTGTAGGTTGAAACGCAGGGTTCGTAGGCAGAGTAACCGTTTTTAGATCCACCAGCTGACCATCAGCCTGCTGTGTATATCTTGTCTCTCGGTTCCTCATAAACAAGCTTCCATATGCTCTTACGGCCACCTTCTCGAGTATTCTCCGCACCATCGTATATCCGGCTATGACCCTCAGGGTTGAATGGACTGGCGTATTCAATTGAAAGGGTGTTGAACGTATCAAAGACGCTACCGACGTTCGGACGATAGGCGAGTTTCACCACCTCCCAGGGCCCGTACCAAGCATGTACGTCCATTCCCTATGATAGCGTCTTGTACCTGATCTTGAGTGTCGGTCTCCTGGTGGACGGGGGCGACGACCATGGTCTCCGAACACCGCAAGATACTTCGCAAGAACATTCAAGCCCCCTGTGTGATTGTGGAATTTCGGACGATTGGCGTGGAAAAACAGAAGAGCATTTTCACTGGGCCCACAAAGTTCGTATATCTGTGCATACGCAAATAATAGCACGGGATGACAGATCCTCGGGTATACACGAGTTGGTAGGGTGGTTGCGATAATTGGTCCTACCGGGAGAGGTAAAGTACGAACAATTTGTGATGGAATATGAGTGAGAATTTATGCAAGTCTGTCTTCGACCAGTGGATCGGCGTATATTGAGCAGACCAGAATGTAGAAGGTGTTGACACGGAGACCAAAGCTAGGCCTGTACACGAGCCTGCCGACTCCCCAGCATTTTTCATACGAGCGGTGATACGTGCTTCATGACAGAGACCCATAAGGGATCTGGTAAAATGGTAAGGAGGAATAAGCCAGACCTGGAAGTTGACGTACATGAATGGGAGATGAAACTGCATCGATATTAGCAACTTCTCATAAATCGTCCACAATTGTACCCTGATCTTCCTGAGTTTGGCTCGAAGGCAAACGCGTTGCAATGACCTAGTCACCCGAATCCCGATAGACATTAACTGAGATGAAATCCGCATTGCGAGCTTCACGGATACCTAGTGCCAATGGTCGCCAGAGCCTGGCAGGTCCGCTCTTCGACCTTAGTTTTATATTCCACTCTGTCCATGAGGGTGGTATAGAACTGAAAAGCATCGAGAACAAGATTCCTCAATATTATGGGCGAGCTGATTGCAGTCAAGGCGGGGTGATGTTCTTGCTGAACAGTTGCATGGCCGTCCTTTGAGTAAAACTGCAGCGGAAAGATAAGGCATTCAGCAAGCATCAACAGAATATGTGCAGCTGCAATACCTCCAGGCTTTAACTGGAAGGTTTGACCGGTTTGATTCGCTGTTGGCCGCAAGCATCGAGTTTCGTATAACCAACTGCAGAACGGCTGTCTGATACTGGTGACAAAAATCCACCGTTGGGAAATTAATATCGTGCTGTCGCAAATAATGGCAATACTCGCTAGCGAGAAGCAAGCACAGTGAGTGGAAAAAATATTCGTGGTTTTTCTGAAAGCAAGACGTTTGCGGTGGATGGATTCGTGGGAAATTTGTCCAAATCAGGACTGATATACGTCGGTCCGATACTAAGTATAACTTCACTTTTTCCCACCAAAATATTGAATAGTCACATCGAACCTCTTCCTGTTAACTTCTTCTTCGTCATGAGACCAAGCCCGGTGGTACGGTCAACGATGCGAAGCGAAGATGTTCCGCTACTGTCCCACCCTCCACCAAAGTATACTCTAAGCGATGTCAGGTCTCGAAAGACTTGCAGGAAAGGTAGCTATTATTACAGGCAATACATTCTCTTTATAATTACATAGTTGCAATACTGAATGTCACATTTTGCAGGAGGTGCTGCAGGTCTCGGAGGAGCGACATGTATGCGATATGTCAAGGAAGGTGCCAGCGTTGTGATTATGGATCTTGACGTCCAGGCAGGCGAGGCCAAGGCGTTCACGAACCCCGAAAAGATTGCCTTCGTAAAGAGCGACGTTCGTTTGATCAACGATTGGGGAAACGCCCGCGACGTTGCTCTACAGAGATTTGGAAAGATTGATATCGTCATAGTAAGTTACTTCTCTCAGTCACTGATGCTTGTTAAGGACTCCAACTAACTATCTTGTGTCCGTCTAGAACTGTGCTGGGGTACAGGCCGAAGAGAAGGATTTAACCGCTCGTAGTAACGCTTGTTTGAGTGAAAGTATTATTCACGTCAAGTATACAGTTACTACACCTGGTATCGGAAGAGACGTATGACTTTCTCTTCAGTGTCAACGTCAAGGCAAGGTCCTCAACCCTCCCAGCTCTTGTGATGCGAAATTTCCTCTAGCCCATACACATTTCGGCTAAAGCAATCATTCCCGTCTTCCTAAAGCAGGGAAGCGGTGTCGTCATCAATATATCCAGGTGCCCCTGATTTCATCCTTTTCGCCTCGTTTGTTTGAATTCGATGTTGTTTCCTTTACCAGCACTGGCGGTCTCCGCCCAAGACCCAGCTACGCTATCTACAACGCAACTAAAGGCGCCGTAAATTTACTCACCAAAACAATGGCCCTAGAATACGCACCCACTGTCCGGGTATGTGCCATCGCTCCAGCTCTAGCGACCACCTCCATGTAGATATTCCACGTTTCGGCTCACTCGCTCCCGTAACTGAAACACATGCCTAGGCTACAGGCGACGCTCGGTGTGAAGGAAGACACGCCGGAGAACCGTGCGCCCTTCTTACAAAGTGCGTGTATAGCACGATGCATCACATACGTCAGGTCATTAAGTAGGCGCTTCAGCTATCCCCATGGACCGCCTTTGTGATCCGGAAGATATCGCCAATATGGCAACATTCCTGGCTTCGGATGAAGCTTCATTCATTACCGGAACGATCTACGAGGTTGATGGCGGTCGGTGTATTGTGAGTTTTTTCCTTTTCTCCCTGGAGTTCGCCAATTTATCCCCCTTTAGTGATGGGCACGAGGGCTCCATGTCATGTAGCATTATCAAGTTATTTGAACTCTGCGCTTCATGCTATTGTGCATCTTAATTCGTAGCACAAAAGAATATACCACTTAAATAATGTTCTACTATCTCGACACCAAGTAAAGTCATGAAGGGTCGTTTCAGCTACAATACGTATACATCGTACTTAATTATCGGAATGCTGGGTAATCAGTATGATCCTGCGGACGACTACAAGTAAAGAGCCACTGGGTCATGACGTTAAGTCGAACAGTAGGTACTCCAAGGATCCAACTGATACTATTACAATTCCTCTATGAAGATGCATCTCTGGTTAGAATAGATCACTGACAGATATGTACCAGAACCGAATGAAGAATAATTTTAAAATGATATGTCCCATGCAAAGAAAAAAGCAGATAAAAGAGCACACGTGCACGCTCAAAACCTATCCCGGACTGAGGGCTGCACTAACCGTATCCCACCTCTGGCACTGGACGCCGAATCATCCGAATCATCGTCCTTCCCGCCCTTCTGTACTAAGCTTACACTCTCCTCTCTGTCTACATCCCTATCGCCCTTGGGATACTTCTTCGATGATCGTCCCCTCGTCCCAGTCTCATCAACCTCGTCGCCATCCCAACTCCGCGCTGAATCAGTGACACTTGGAAAGCTCAACAAGGTCGCGGTACTTGGGCTATTATTGTCACCAAATATATCCCGCGAATCCACCCTCTGTTGGCCAGATCGCGCGAGTCGGGGGTTCATCGACGGCGGCGCACTGTGCACTGTATGTTCGTGTATATAGCCTGGCGGCACCGGTACTGACTGCTCTCGCATACTATTGGAGTTGACGTATGACGTCGGGCTCTCTGCGAAGAGATCAGGTTTGCTGTCGATGGTGGTCTCGAGTGGCTGTGTCCGTACAGCGGGCGGATATCCGCTCCCGCTCCCACCTCCGGGCATTACTATCCCTGGAATACCCAAAGCCAATCGATGTTCATGCGTAGCTGCTTGATCATCACGCTGACCGTTCCCGGTAGGATGATACTGATGTACGAGATCTTGGCTGCCAAATTTAATCGTAGGTCGTTTATTCGTTATGTGGGAATCCGTCAAGGAGGGGCTCTTTATTGATGAAGAATCGTCTCCTCTGGTTGCACCAGCTCCAGATGACTCGGAATCACCGGTGTTCGTTCGAGGAACTGGAGCATCATACAATTGATGCCGCTTGACTCCCGATAGAAGGTCAAAAGCCGTGCTTGGTGTCGTATTGTTGGCTTCAGGCCACTGCTGACGTGATTGTTCAGGGTCGTAAGGAGCCGCAGCACCGGGCGGTCTTGTTCGATATGACGAAGCACGATTAGCTTCACTGACACGCCTGGCACTCCTGGCTCGAATAATGCTGCCCATAGCACCGAAGGAGCCTCGTAAGGCGTCCATTCCTGGATCCTCACTACCAATTGCCCCCTTTTCTTCTACCTCTGTTTGTGATCGTGCGGCTTGGAGAAGCAGGGTAGAGCGTCGATCCAATTTCGACAGATGAGTAGGGTCCACTTTGGACATCTGCAGGATAGTGATGCCTATGCAGATGACAAGGAAACCCATGACGATTGTGATGATCTCTGACGCGCTGGAGTCAAGACCTTTGAATAGTACCTGCGAAGAAAGATCGGAAAAATGACAAAGGAAAACCTAGCTCGAATCTTACCACAGTTGTTACCATCGAGAAAAAAGTGACTAGAGGGAGGGCATAAGCATTGAAGTACCGAATACCTGAACCTAACTAATGCAAGCTTACATATAACATAATATGTCGGTGTTACTGAAGAGCATGTGAGTAAATTGATATTTTGAAAGAAAGGCAGGTACCCATAGCTAGATATACGTTTCATGAGCCAAATGCTTTAGAACTGAACAAGAAAGAACGGACCAGTGTTGAAGAGCGCCAGCGCCTTATTTAAGTAGTACACTTCTGTAACTGTAGAACCACTGTGTCAGTGTCCGAAAAGGGAAAGCAAAACACGTACTTAAGGTTACCGCGACGAACCCAATTAAAAAGTACATGAACCAGTGTTTGAACTGGTTATCGCCTTTCGCCGTCTCAACGACGGCGGCGCCAACACCGGTAGTGACACTGACACTAATACCACCAATCATACTGCATACAAAAATGTACCACAGCATGCTCTTAGTGCCATATCTGTCGAAGTGTTTATTAAAACGCGTGCGATAAAATGGGAGAGCGCGCACTTTGGAGCAAAGAAAAAGATGATGACAAGTGATGCGGCTATTAACACAGAAATGTAGACAAGAAAGCCGGGGGACAGAAAGAGTTTCTGAAACTCTGTTATCTGGCCAACAAGAGCTTCCTGAGGGCCTGCATAATAGATTGATTGGGGTCGTCCGTGAAGAAAAACCATGACACACCATTGAGGGCAATAACGACAGACCCGAGCTGAATGACATCAGGGATGATTCAAGAAGTGAAAGACAGGTATTACGCACTATACAGAGAGCACAACCCAGCCAACCAAATATTGTCAACGTCTCTTTAAGGAAGATAGAAGATAGGATTGCGCATATAACGACAGAAAGTGCGCCGAGGGGTGTCTGGGGGAAAACGGTTTGGTTTCACCGTACTGCTGCGGAGAGAAATATAACGACTGACCACAACGATGGCCTCAATAAAGGCGTAGGCTTCGGTTCGGAAGAAATGAGTGGCTAGAAATGATGAAGAAAAGGAGACACACCTGCAGAATTGCAAAGCTCGCCCAGTATCATCACTATGACGAGTTCCTACTAGTCAATGTATGCACTAGTCCCACAAGAGAGATACTCACTCGTCATCCCAATCCACCATAGTGGCTAGAGGGAGAGATAAACAAACGACGGAGGAGAGAAATGACGAAATGATGCTTGCCGACTTGAGATATGCCACACCCTGTCCTGCTACACAGCCCGCCTGCGAGCGCAACAAGCCCTTCTTCTTGAAGACAAAGCTGGATCCTATGAGAAAGCCACTGACAACCGCAAGGATAATTCCAACGACCTGAGGGTAATATGAACATATGATACGATTCTAGCGATCAATGAAGTGCGACCTTGAGGTTGGAACTAGTCGACGAGGAACTCGACACTGACGACGTCGCTGACGCCGTCGCAGACGATGTCGACGACGCAGATATGGAGGATGACATTAGTTGGTGAACGTCGGGATGATGGGTGTCGACGTTGAAGCTTGGTAACCGCGATCATCACGCTTGGCCAGGTCTGTCATCTGGGATTACGCTCCTCTGGCACTGCTCTGCCCGCAAACTCTCTTATTAGTGCCTACCGCTAAGATACATTACTTAACAGCGGCAGAGACAGCGACACGGCACTCAGGTTCCGGTTGCTCAAGCAGGACCACTGAGGAAGCAGGAATACACATGGTTTCTTTCACTTAGCTATATTCTTGCTGACATTTTGCTAGCGCAGTGGACCTGTTTCAGGAAAAACTTTTTATATCCAAAGAATGTAGCAACGTTGTCCCCTAAGCCGGCTCTCTTTGTCCGGATTTCCAACGGTAAGTAAGGGTAAATACTGCGGTCACAGCCCGGACGGATATTACCAATAAATATTGACGAAGCAGAACCAAGCGTGGCATAGCCAGGGTAAAGTAACCAGCTCAGGGAGGCTCAGGGTGAAGTAACCAAGCTTCGCCACTGTTCTTGGCGATGCCGACCGTCCTGTCCTCCTGCAGGTCGCGCTGGCCTTGATCTGAAGTTAATAAACAAATGAGGGCAAACCCATCGATTCTCCCATCGACTACAGACGCCCGCTGGTGCAGATGGTTCTTCCTTGCTCCAGGTCGACGCGTCTGTCCGCTTTAATACCGACGTTACCGTGATGGCGACTAAATGAAGGCTTTCATTGTCTAGAAAACGTGTCACAAGCTCGTGCCACATCAATACACCGTCCGAAGGCAGCGCACAGTATTTATTTAATTTTCGTGAGTACTCATAGACATTGAGATCATCTCTGGACTGAGGTATACGTTATTTGCCTTGTGAGCAGATCTTTCCTATCTTGTGCTGTATAGGAAAACTAGGTTTCAGGTCACGCTATTCAGCGTCTTCGTTGCTATTCTGGTCTTTTCTTTTCCTATTGGTATTAAGATTAGAAGAAGACAAGTGTCGCCGAGTTCTATTCAACTCCCTCTACAAATTCGATTTCTGCCGAATCATTGGTTAGCCCAACCCAAAAATCTAAAATATCTTAAGGTCCCTGCTACAATGGTGCTCGGTCTACCCGCGGATGAGCTAGAGGAACCCGCTTTAGAGAATCAATGTCCATCATCTGCTTTAGGTCGTCTGATATTCTATGGTAGTGCGTCGAGGGCGAGGCCTGCCGACACAGGCAGGCCGTATGTTTCGGACGCTTTGCTTCAGCTCTTATATCCACATGCAATATAAAGGTATTTCCGGGGCTTGTAGGACCTAGGGTTAGGTTCAGGTAAAACGGACCGTCCGCAACGTGAGTTATTCTTCTGCTCTCACGCCTTAAAACTCAAAAATGACAGATCATTTCCCTGAGGAGAGAGTCACTCGAGCTTAGTGCAACCGTGCCCTTCTTCCATCATAGCGGCTGCGTTTTTGATCGAAGAGAAGAAGGTACCTCGGAGACCAGTTGCAGGCGTAAGTCTTTACTTCATATTAGGCGCCAGTCCAATCAAATCATCGCTAAAAAGTGTTACCCGCGGCACCATTCCTACGAAAAAATTCCAATACACGACAGGGACCATGACGAATGAAGGAAGAATAAAAGGTTGTTAACGACCTGCCCCGGTTCCGGAATTTCAACGGAAGCAAATTGTGACGATCTTCATCATGCGTGGCGATAGAGATTCGAAATAGCTGCGCCAGGGCACAGCGTCGTTGTGTCTCAGGAAAAACACTTAAGAAATTCGAGTGTAATTTGTAATGACCGGCCCTGGTATCCGAATCGCCGGCAATGGGGCTCAAGCCCTTTACCTCCAACAGTGCATCTCAACAGTGGATTTCTGTCTGTAAACGAGGAGGTTGAAGTGGCTGCATTGCTCGTCATTACGAGAGGGGATACGTATATGATTAAGATGTGTGAGCGATAAGATTTCATCACTCTCAGGCATGCGCTGAAAGAACGATCTACAGTAGGTCCATAAGTATTTCGGCATCTTTGATCTCATCACGAGGCCGGGCCAGAGGCTCAGGGAAGCCGTGTCCAAGCCCTCATTGTGATTTATATTATGCCCAGATTGCTCTCTAAACGCCCACTCTGCTTTTTTACCACCCAGGTTCCATTCAGTCTGTGTTACGTCTCGTCGTCGATTACTTGATGCTTCGCGATTCCAGTTCTGCTTACTACGCGATGGATGACATGCATCACCGTGACCATCCTAATCCCATGATATGGAACGATGCACAGAGAACCATGTTTAGTGGCCCTTGTCGTACCGCTCCATCTCAAGGTCGCGATGAATCGCTTCCATCCGGATCGTCCTATCAAACGTATTCAGAGGTGCTCATTGTCTCTTGATGTTTGTTGTACGGTTCATTGACTTTAGGGTTATGCAGATGCAGGCGTATGCGAATGAACCTCTTTCCCCGTTTGCCCAGACACAGAAGGAAGAGGATGAGCGCTTCTACGCCACCTTTCCTGATGCCAGACCCCCTTTCTCCTCCCTCAAATGGTTTCCATCCACGGTGGTGTACGAATATAGCCAACTCCATCCTTACTCTGGCGATGAAGGCGCCTCCGGGTCATCGAGTACAAGAGTTCACGATCCCTGGAGTGTAGCAACAAACTATGATTCTCGTATCCCTTACGTGGGCGTCAGCGTCCAGAATGGGGTGGATGCTGGCGTCAGTGGTTATCAGGACATACAGATGGCAGAAACATACGACTCACAACTTCCGGTGCGTAGGCTTCCTTTCATTTCCCTAAAGCCTGCTTATCGTGCCACAGGATGTCAACAATCGGCCCCAGCCTTCCTGCGATAGAACGCCATCACTAGCTCCCTTGCGTATTTCCCAATCCTCTTCGGCTTCTTCTCCCATGATCTTTGCCCTTCCCCGTCTTGATCCGGGGCTAGCTAGAGATACTAGCCAGTCTCCATGCTCGGATGATATTTCTCATACGTCTCGAGCTCGCAACGTTCTCGCCACTACTGATATCTCTCTCGAAATACTTTCACGCAATGATAATCATCTGGCTTGCGACCTTGAGGACTCTCAATCGGATTACGCATCCTCTCCGGAATCCGTCTATGCCCCAGGTATACTTCGTATACCAACATTATCCACCCTTGACACCGGACACTCACCTTCAAAGCCGGACGACAATCAGGAAGTTGTTGATAAATGTTTTACTTCTTTCAATGGCACATGGCCTCGCCTCCGCGTCAGGACTCATACTACTCTCCCCCCACCACTTGCAGATGAAAAAAACTTATCGACATCGCAAGAGTCTTCTTTCCGGGTCGACGAAAAGCTTGACGGAGCGACTTTGAAGCGTCAGCTTTCCACTACTCTCGCGAAAGCCATGAAGCAGCCAGTCAAGGCGTTACCTGCCCACAAACGCGCGGTGGGTAAGAAGCCTTCTCTAGCTTGCCTATTTTGTCGGGGTAGGAAGATTGCATGTGGCCCGCCTCTTCCAGGAAGCACAGACAAAACTTGCAAGTATGTTGTTTCTCCACGTCAGCTTTTCATTACCGACGCTTGATCGTCCGAACTCCGGGCTCCCTGGTCGTTGTTTCTTTCGTTTCATTCATATCATTGAAGATGTAGGCTAACATGAATCTTCTTTAGCCAATGTCAGCGACGATCTCTGAAGTGCGAATTTCCTCGCGAGAGCCGAAGGGGCATGAGGAAGAAGAAGGCCGAGTCAGCCGCTGCAACTCCCGCCGAAGAACCGCCTGTCAATGCATGAGACCTTGGACCCACCACCACGCATTCGGCAGCGACGGGACGCTCTCCGGCTAGCCGCTCCTGCTTCCTCGGTAAAGGCGGATTACGATGAGGTATGCGGGGAATATCCAATCCTGGCCTCTCTATCCACGCGTTTCTGAATCTTCATGTTTTCCATACACTACTTACCATATCTAGACTGTTTCGTAATGCTTTCGTGACGCCACGGCTATTATATCTACGCATTTTTTTTTTTGCTGTCGAAAGAATTGCTATCGCTGTTGTACAAAAAGTAGTATCTTACATTACTCTATGACATTTAGAATGAAACTACTTAAAATCCCTGAAATGAAGTGAAGGGACGTGGACTATCCGCGCTTCAGGCTAGTAGGGCGAGACGAGAAATATCAATTTAAATCGTCATCGAAAACTGTTATTATACTTACCCCATTGCTCACCTCAGTCAAGGGTGGGGACTCGTGGGGACATAGATTCCTTAAGTAAACTTAGAGAGAAAGAACACAACAAATTGGTGCCTGCCATTCGAGACACGGACATTACGGGGGGCGGCCCGGCTATTATCCTTTATGAGGTGTAAACCATGTGAAGAACTACAAAGCAGCGTTGCGAGGTTTTTTTTCCCGTGTACTGGAAGAGGCGACGTGCGATGGTTCCTTGACAAATTAGGGTAAAAGCGTGCTAGAGTCGGCTCGGCATGCCACGTTGCGCGCTTCAGCTTAGAACCGAGAACGGCCAAGTTTCGGCAGGTAAAGCATAAGATATATTTCATCTGTTTCTTCCTTGAAACGTCTCTGTCCCGTTAAAGCGAAGACCCGTATCAGACAAATGATATTAATAGCTTTTCCATGGCTTCAGCTCGCAATTTGCAAGTGGAGTTGTAGTGCCTCGTTGCCTAGCTGTCATGGATCTTCAGCATATATTTCAGGGCTTCGAAAGGGAGCAACAATAGATTCTTAATCACAGAGACACAGTTGAATGATGCGATCTGCAATATATTTTTCCACAGAACTCTGAAAGTGAGATCGTTGAACGATCGGCGATCAAAAAAAAAATTGTGGATAAACTTGCCTCGCAGTATAAAACACCGAGAAAGAAAGGCTTCTGTAGAACTTACTACTAAGATTAACATCCTTCTCCGGGAATAGTACCTTGGAGACCCGAGAAATCATCGCAAGTCATGGTGAGTAAGTTAAGCAGAAATAATGGTGAAATAGAAAATAATATGTCAAGTAGTGGAAGACCGGACCGCGCCAAGGAGTCTTGCCGATGATTCTGAAAGTGATCTGCAACCAGTTTCGCTTTCGGAGCGCCACAGTGTCGACATCGGTATTGATCAACCACCGCGTACCGCGAAGCGATAGTGACCTTCACTGAGCCATCGTGGAGAAGCTACTACAGAACTTGGACCTGGCGGCGTTTCGACGGTGTAATACCTAAATGATGAGGCTGAGGCTTTACTACTCTTCAATGGAATTTCTCGGTTTCCTGTAAGTAGACACAACGCAGAACGCTTAGTCACTCAAGCGCCAGTGCTTGATGTTTTTAGGAGCCCAAAAGTGCTTGTACTCCCGGAATTCTCGGATCTGAAGCGGATGTATCGAAAAGTCCCAGCTTTGGACGACGCTGCGGTTTTTGACTAGAATATCGTCGTCCGGAATTCACGCTGGAGAGCCTAAATGTCGACAGTGATCATTTAACTGCGTTGGCAATTTTTTGTGTCGAATTTGTTGAGATCTGAATGTATAACAAGGAAGTTGATTCACCAACTAGTTCAAGACTCTTAGTTCAGTTGTAAGTAAAAAACGCGGCTTGCTTTAAATTGACAGAGCGACTGAGAAAGATATGAAATCAGAATAGTACAAGAGAACGGTCAAGCACACCGTGGGATTAAGTAAATAGCGCGTCAGTAGTATTACGCCACGGCTTCACTATTCCTGATGTTTTCCGACAGAAATTCATCAACTGATTGGCCACATAGCTGCTTACCGGTCCGCCTGGAGGGCAAAGATCCGGATTTCGTCGATGTCTCCGAGACACTTCCACCAGATTGTGCCATGCCAATGAAGTTTGAGAGTTGGCAGTTAAAATTAACGTGCACATGCTGCAAAAGGGTTCCACTACGCGTGGTTAGAAGACTTGCTATTTTACCTCAGCCTGGTATACCATTTATCAGAACTTTCGGGTGGATATCAAAACAAGGCGACCATCGAAACAAAGGTTCCTAGGTTTCTGCAGCTGTGGCCTGTGTTTCACCTGTTAAACCAGTAGATCACGATATCGAGATAGTAGACGCTGGTCGATGAGCTTTCAGGCGTCAATGAATAATCAATTCTTCCAGGCTGGCCTTTTCCCCGATCATCGCTGGATTCTAGTATGCAAAGTCCAGCGTCTGAACGCAAGTAGCACGCGTCCTCGTGCGTCACGTATAACTATTATCCTGATATGATAATGGTGCCCTGATCAGCCTGGAGACCACGATAACGTTGAATAACAACACTGAATCTATGTCAATAAACAGGCCGACGTTCTAACCAGCGACTGATAATCGACGAATACTGCTGCAACTCGAAACATCGCCTTGCAGGCATGAGCATTAGGATCGGATGAATAGAATTCTAAAATGCTCGCCTGTCGAAGAAAGGGTTCCGGCAACGAATTTCTCCGTTCTCGTCTAGTCGGGCTGAGTCATTAGGCTCAACAGCTAGCTTCAACATGGAGGGACTTCTGTTCTCAAGCAACATAAAGCTAAATTATGTTAGTAAGCAAGTCGTGAAATATCATCAAATCAATACATACGTGAAGAGCTTCCGACCGGTCGGACTGTCTCGAAGTTTCTGCAGTCAGCGTTGCGAGCAACGATGCGTTAAAGAAGCCAAGACTCGTTTGTATGGAGGCAATCTGTAACCTGAAGACGCCGGTCATTCTTAACCAAAAAAGTATGCGATCAAAGAAGGCACAAGGCTGCAATTCATTGGTCGCAAAGCAAGGACTGTGAGCGACCACTCTGGACCCCATGGGACCCCACCCTGAGGAATTATCAGTAATCTCTTATCCGTGGTTACAAACGCCGACCCTATTGTCACAAGTTAATAGAGCCAAACGATGGATATTTTGGGACTCCAGGCTTTACCAAGACTAGAAAATCAAGGGCCTCCGTTCAATAAACGTGGGTCCGTGTGTCGGAAAGATTTTGCTTGGCAAATCGTATGTGTCTGTAAGGTGATTCGTGGATGGATCAGCAGAAATCTGCGAAGTGAAGCGAGGGTACTACTACGTTCATCATTTCTATCCTAATCTAATGGCCGCAGACTCTACTTCAGCCTGAGTAGCTGCCCATGCTACCATCAAGAGTGAAGAATATTATTGTCGTTCGTAGCTACTAGTACCTCTTCCAAAAATAGATATTACGTCGAATTGAACGCGAGATGAATCAACTCGTGGTGTGATTTCTATCGTTGTGCTTTATAGAAATTTCGAGCGACATAGAGAGCAGTGATAACATCAGGTATAAATGTAACAAAGGTAGTCTCCTTGAGTATCTAGGACTTGTCCGACCTATCGGAAGGTGAGAACTCAGAAGCGATACGGCAACACTGGATACACGCGGTTCCATTGGGTAGGACACCAAACATGTTTAACACTGTTGCTTCCTTGGTTTCCTGGTACATCCTGTTATCAACTCGCTTCAGCCTGCTTATGATGGAGTGAGCATACCACAAAACCAGTAAGAGGCTCTACTTGTGTTTCATAGCCCGCTCCCTCGGGATCATAGATCCTTGTTTCATTGTTACCCTGCCATTTCCACCACAGCTTTATGAACGTCTCAGTTAAATGTCCCCAGATTCAAAAACGAAGGAGACTCGCGTAGTCTATATATGAATGGTGTAGCCAAAAAAGCGGGTCGTTAGGCGCCGTTTGTATGTCTGTCATCTACAAAGGGTACGGTTCTAAATTAGGCACGAATGGGAACCCATGGAATTGCCAACTCACATCCCCACCAACGGCATTGTGGCCATCGAGATGAACAGTCGCAAAGAGAAGACTTTGAAACCCCGCCAAGGTGGTACGGGCGTTCGCCGCGTCAACGAAAGTCTGACCTACTCGAGTTGAGTTCCACCAGTCGCATTTCCGTGTCAGCAGATGAGGTGTATTAGTCTCCCCAGGACCAAGATGAAGGGTTGTATTCGCGAAGGGGCCGTCAACAACGGCGTAGTTGTTTTCCTTGCAACCTTCACCTCCAAATTCCACTACGAGAGCGGATTCATTAAACGCACCAGCATCAGGGGCTTCGTTCCAGTAAGGCATCTGTTTAATGATGGTATGAGAAACGGGCTAGATGCACAAAGCGATATACTTACACGGCCGACGTACCCGCACTCGTTGCGCATAAGTGACTCGAAGATATGCAGATAGTATCGATGAACCTGACATATAAATCTGTGAGACGCGGAGAGCAGGTGAAAAACTAGAACCGACAGCCAAGAATCTAGGTGGTACACAGGTCAGTCGGTTGATGCTGTCGGGGACCAAACGACGCACTGTCCGGTCACATGCCAGAGATCAGCACCGTCCTCAAAGTTACTTTGCTGGGCATGGATGCCGACCTAATGGGGGGATGAGTTGAGGCCCCTAGGACTTGAAATTGATCGTTTCACAAGATCGTCATAACGCGAGAGGGTACCTGCAATGCCTGTCTGTGCGAGCGCATTTAAAAGACACAAGTTCGCCGCAAAGTAGTCCTCCCTCTCTTCCTTAGTCAGAGTAGACCTAGGGCGCAGCACTTTAGTAAGACAAGGTATATGAGACCAGAACAAAGCGTACCACTCAACCCGAAGAGAGTGGATAGCCTTGTAGTTCCGAAAATGAATTCCATCCTCTGCGTGTGGCTGGTGTGGCTGTATCTAAGTGAAAGGATGTTGCACACGGAACGCCAGGACTTCATCGAGCATCCTTTGAGGTCGTTCACCGTTGAGGCCTTCAGTCGGCGAAGATTATCCACTAAATATTGACAATAACCTTGCGAAGGGAGAGCTGAGTTTGCTAGGCCATCTTGGTCCCGCGGATGAAGCCCCTGAAGCTTTCGGTTCCTAAGCCAGCTCTGACCGCAATCGGATGCCTTCCGTTAAATTTTAGCAACGCCATTGCGAGGAAAATGAGGAAAATTGGAGCTGCCCAGCTGCGTCACCATGACCGTAGCCATTGGATAGTGTAGACGGAGCCAGGCTAGTCATTCTGCTACCTGCGCAGTGAGCCTACAACGTTGCCGATCATTGTTAGCATATTTGGCAGGCATTACAGACTCACCCATTCTATTCGCGACATTCGCTATTGGCCACGGGATCCAACGACCGGATGTCACGGTTGTCAGCAGGACACTTGGGACCAGTGGCGCTCTGTAGGCCCGTAAAAAACTGTATGTGGCGGTTGTCCTCAGGATCGGGGCGCGAATTTTTCTGCAGGTAGTGCCCCCGTCGGCAGATACTGGGACCGTAAGCGGGCGCAACAGCCAAATAAACCTTTGTTGACAGCAGCATATCAAATTTCACTGTCAAAGTTGCCTTGTCGCATTTACTTTTACTGCACTGTTCATGAAAAAGTGCGCTGGAGGACTAGTAGCGCTGTTTTGCCAAACGCCATCACGTGCTAATCTTAGCTCCTTCCTTTTCGTGCAACTTCACGATTGCATCTTTGTTGAACGTGGATTCATCACTGATATCCCATCTGCGACACTAATTATCTCGAGATTATGAATTATTATTGTTTGTATGGTGTCTCAACCTAGATATGGAGACTAAAGTCGCACAACACCGCCGCTAAACGTAACTAGCACCATTTTGCTTGTGTCGGGCCGACTCCAGAGTCTGAAAATACACGGAGAACTTCCATTCCTTTATTCAATTTAGATCTCAATTAATCCTCTCCTAGCAGTGTCTCTCATGACAACCTTGCAGTCGTAGCCCGAAGTACCTGAGCATCACAGCCCCTGGGTCCGACCTTCCCTCAAGAGACAAGGGTCCACGTCGAATAGCAGAAAAAGGAAACGAAAATTCCAGGAAGCGTCTGGGCTTGGATACAGTAAACCCAAAAAGCCTGAATTTTTTCTGAGGCGTTTTATTTAAATATCTTACGATCACAGTGTTACCTTTGAATGGATTGATTATCCAAGAGGCACAGACGATCTAGACACCCGGAAGTCCTCTGCGGCTTCCGCCCAATGGCCGCCTATTGACTTGCCAAAATAAGAGACAATCTATTACTACCGTCGGGACTCGGAACAGTAGTTCTTCACCTGGTCCAACTTACTTCCAGGCTTGAAACGCCATATATTGGTGAAACGGCCTAAACTACAGGTATAGCTTCCCGTCGCATTATTTTCTCTTTTTTCAGTCGTTCTCTTGAATTTTCTGAGTACACTGTGCAGATTTGTACCTTATCCACATGCATCGTTTCATAGTATTCTCCTTCCTGACAACGATCAACGGATGGACAACAAAACTGAGAAAGGAAAGAACAAATGTACGATATTTAACACCTCTACATCAATAGAAGTATGTGAATTTAGACAGCGTTACACGTGCAGCCCTGCTCACACCATCGAGCCCGTAGTTAAGTTCCGCCGAGTGAAAACAGGACATGTTTACATTAACGCCGAAGTCTTTGCGGAGTGTATAGCTCTTCTACATACTGAATTTCTCCCGGTGTTAGTGTTACGTTTATACCGTCTGTGGATATTCATTAATGATTACATCCGTGCGAAGGCAAGAAGAGAAGGAATGTGATACCCAAGGCATTCAGGAGATGATCGGTCGAAGACGCGCCGACAACCAAGGCACAAATTCCTGAACGATGTACCCCAGTACAATATAACGAGAGACTGCAGTCACCAAGCCATACCTTCTCGAGCCAAAGACCATGCTATGGCCACTTGTGTCATAGTGATATGCCTTCGCTCAGCTATCTCCTCCACCCTAAGTGAAAATTGTGAGTGAAAAACAGACGAAGACGTCAAAACTCGAGCTACCTACTGATGGTCGTATTGTGCCATTCCTGGCGGCCTCCAACGATTCTGCAACGCATCATGGACGGTGGAAGAAGCGATCATAAAGGAAAGATACCTATCGTCATTAGGCAACGCAAGCTGCCGGCTGAGGGGCATCACAAGTGCTCCACGAGCGAGTGCTGACCAAGGTACAGAAGCAACCCCGAAATGCTGGAACTATCATAAGGGATGTTATCTGGTTTTTACACAATATGAACCGTTAGCGTTGGGAACATCTCGTCCTCGTCTTCACGGTAGAGATGGTTATAGTCATTCTGCATTGAAATAAAAGGCGTAAGACGATTGTGCAGCACATAGTCTGGAGATGCAAAACTTCAGTGTTCTATTTTTTGACTCAATAACCTTACTTTGCATAACACGGACTATACGCGAGAAGGATGATGTCAGTATGAAGCTGTATCGATCATCAAGTCGCCTACATTGCCAAGCGCGATAGTTCGACATCCTAATATACCGAACGTATCCGGCTTTTACTACGTCATGACGGGCTTGCATCTATTGGAACTTGATAAGATATGGGTGAGTTGAGAGTCGCAGATCGTTTCATAGATTGGAGTCAAGGAGTCAAATTGGTGGCAGTGAAGGATGTCGACATAGTCCAGCTGCAGAAGCTCCAAGCTCTTTTTGACTGAATCGAAAATATGCTGGAATACAGGTGAGATTACAGGCGGCGGAAAATAGGGCTCCGAACACCTTACGACTGAGCCCGTACTGGTTCACATATCCAATGGAATCGACGTAAGCTGCTGCCCTGCCATCGATGCGCTCGTTCATGTGTCGCGAGACTGGGTGAAAACCTAGGAAGATTTGTTACGTCAATATATGCCATCTGTCATTGATAAGCATACCTTGGTCATTACAACGATTTTGTCCCGCGAAAACTTGTGTTCCTTGATAGCCTTTCCCAAGACCACCTCCGATTGACCGTTGGAATATATCTATGCAAAAGATGAACAAAATGAACTGATAAAATTATGTACATATCTTGTACATTGGCGGTGTCAAAATCGTTAATTCCAGCATCGTAGCTATAAGCCAGTAGCACAGCGCAAGATGAATATCGGAGATCTGAGAGGAAAATGAATTATTACGTACGCCGCCTTAATTTGTCTGATGCTCTCCTCTTCGTCTTGCACCCAATTGAACCAATCGGGACTCATGCGGCACAACCGAGGATAATCCTCGACACCTTCAATCCCGACGCACCAAGGGTAACTAAGATGACCTGTGAGCAGAAAGAACAGAATTGTTGGAGACCAACCATAGGGCATGCTGAAGAAGACATTGCAGAAGCGAAGTACAACCGAAGAGTGTTTTTATTGGTGCGTTCAGCCTCTTGGGTGAGCATTATAAAGGTCGCATCTTCGGTATATTTACACTGCAGGTCCTCGGAGGCGACCCAACCTTCTCTTCGGCATAAGCTCAAAAGGAAGTACATATACTTAAATCGGGTTTCAGGCTTAAGATGACATCGTTCGTTTTAAGTCATCCAGGCAACTCTTCGCTTCGAACTTTCATCTTGGACCACGGATCCCAGGGTTGCATGCAGGAGCTAGAGCATGAGAGATCTACGAAGCAAAGGTCGATCCAGTCACCAGGTAGTTCATTTCAACCCAGCGAAAGCGACGTGCAACTCGAAGGAACCCTTTCAATGGCACTCTGTACCAGAACGGTATTCCGAATCCTATATCATAAACTCTTCACGTTCCAAGCCTTAAAAGGCATGGATATATTCATTTTTCAGTAATGCGGTATGATGCGCTTATGCTTGAAAGCAGCCCATCCTCTCACGCCGAGGCCCAGGCAATTGCTGCATCGTCCAGATCTAAATGTGCAAGTTTTCATCCAACATTGACTCCCCGCATGTCCTACACCGATAGAGAAAAGATGGCATGTGTGTACGTCTTCTCGCGAGGATTGAACTCCAAGTGATATTAGGTACTATGTGGCTGTGGTAAAGGGTATGCCCATTAGCCGTGTCCTTGTGACGAAATTTTTGACTAACTGCAGAGCAACCAGGTTCAATGAGGATCACACCCCAGAATTTGATTGATGGCAGTCTTAGTCTGAGAAGAATTTTATCCGCAAGCTTTCAACAGAGGATTTGGGCCTGCCTAGAGGAGTGTTTAATTCCCCGGTGCCTAGTTCTCGATGGACGGTCATGGCGCTAGTTCATCGGTTGACCCTACGGAAATAGTTTTCCTGCGCGAGCTCCAGAAGCGGCCATCGCGCTCCCTCGATCCACTACAATGGACACCACCCTTCTACAAATTCAACTTTCTTTAGCAGATCGGAAAAAATATCGCCTTGTTTCCGCAAAAAGCGGGGTACGCATTCATCATGACGAGCAGAGGCTGACGTGCCTGCACCAATGCTGGCTACAACAGAGGTCCCATCACCTCGCTCATACGTACCCTGCAGACGAGGTCGTTTTTAGGGTATCTTCTCTACAGAATGAGGTGTTTTCCCAAGTTCGCACACTTGCCCATGGGGTGTCGGCGGAGTTCCACCGCGGACCGCAGCAGTGGTAGGATCTGCCGCCAACACCGGACCATTGAGCAATGATGCTCTGCTTTGTCGTTCTTAAGGGAAGAATCCGACGAGCCGCACAATTTTTTTAACACTCACCGGCGCCATATATCCGTCAGTGTACTGCGTGTGTGCGGTGGACGTTGAGATATAGCAAACCAAGTTTCATTATATGGGATGAAGGCAACAGTAATTGGTCGGATCAGACTAGGAGTTCGAAATCAAGGGCGATTACCTTTTCGACCGCAGACCCCATCTCTTTTCTCTCACTCACTGTATGGGCTGGGTTGCCTTTGCATTGCGGCCCTGCTATCGATTTTCTCTAGTCACGAGTCCTACGTCGGCCAAGAAACCGTTAAGTTCAGTCTGGACTGTCTTTGTCACAATCCGTATTCAACGCTAGACTCTTGATGGGTAGCAACTGGAGACTGGATTCGAACTTCAGCGAAGGGGTGAAAATGACAGAAGGTGCTTCTATGTCAACGGAATATGGCAAAAGTTCTTTGTGTGCCTTTATGGTGCATAAGGCGCTCACCAGCTGACTCTACTTCACCCTTTTAGAATGTTGATCCTTTTCTTCAGTCAAGGCAGTATTGTAACAGAGTTATTTACGACGATGACATGACAACGAGTCCGAATGTTCTCATCGAGGGCGTTAGAATCCTTCAACTCGGCCGGGACCACCGATGATTCTGCAACATAAATCGATTTAATAGGGAAAATTTCTAGGCATTCTGTACTCATGATCAGAATAATGGATCCTCAGGGAACCATTACTTCGACCCAATGGTGATACCGTTGCTTGGGCGGGAATTTGATGGAAAAGCACAAGTACCCCAGTCATGGTCGAGACTGATGAAATCTCGAATGATCGTGTCTCAAAAATATCTGCTGCTGCGCCTAACACACGTAGGGCCGTAAAGGCTGCCTAGATGCAAGCTTCATGTCAACGATTGAAGAAAGTCAGACAGACATTTGACATAATAGGGCTTGTCGCATGCAGATGTTAATGGTCTCGCCAAAGGGATGGAGATGAACGTCAGGACGATGCCTTACTGAGGCGAACAGTTCGTCCCCGGGAGTCCTACCCATTGGATACTCTCCTGTTCGGCCTTTATACTTCGCTCTGAGTCATCCACTTCTCTGGCTCTGCATGAAGGCATACGCCAGTCAATATTAAGCAATGCAAACGTCGATGCCGCATGCTAGACTCATCGAATCCTGATCACATCTGCCAGAGATGTAAGGAAGACCGTCCTTCTCACACTGGTTGGAGGCGCACATGAAACACGGGGAACCCATGTAAGGTTTTGTGTTGAAGAAGTCTGAACAATCATCTACTTGTGTTCATTGCCCAGAATATGGTGTTTACGTAGCTTGCCGCTGAATTGTACCCGTCGAAAGATCCGTTCGCGCGCAAAGGTAATGGACCTGCTCAAGTAATTTGTGTGGGATTCACAAGACCACAGGCTACTGGGAAGAAATTTTTTCTAGTATTGTATACGCAAAATTGATGGGCTGAATAGCGCGGTCCGGTGAAATGCAGAAGCAGTTCAGTCTACGATATACTTTGACTCGGAGCCAGAACTCCGGATGAATGACAATAACTTTCCTTGCGACCTTGGGCCCCCGTTTTGTCCGCAAAGTCAGGCGACGAACTTTGTGCGTCCTAGTAGATGATTACATTACATATTTACGAGGGAAATGGACACAGCCTTTGTGACGGAGTGCACCACCAAGGGTATGTAAGTCCCCGATTCTTTCTCACAGATATTACTCAATGCTTACATGGATTTTTTACGTTGAAAAGGATTGATAGATTGGATTTATTCAAGAACTATAGTTAAGAACACGCTGTACCACTGCGAACTCGTGATAAGCTAATATAATATATGTATTCTCTTGTATTCTCATCCCAGGCCAGCGGCATCAACAACACGACGCGTCAAAGATGACCATCACATCAGTACAGGCGATGGTCACAAAGAAGCCGCTGGTGGCTGAGTCCTAGCCTCGCAATAGACGAGATCGCAGACGTTGAGCGAGTCGGCCCGGTGGCGTTGGGGTGGGGCGGCGGCACGTTGATGGGTGGGGAAGGCGGCAGTTGCCTCAAATTCGCCCTCCGTTACCGTGATGTGACGACCTGAAAAGGAAGTCACGCAATGAGCTGGTTCGGCTGAGGCGCTATCCACGTGGATTCGGTCCTCCACGCGTGCAAGCCACTCATTGTTCAAAATTTTGACTTAGTAGGAATTATAACAATGCTGAATTTAGGACGAATTTTTACCAATTTACAGAAGATTTAAATCATATACAACAGGACTTGTAGTAAAAAGTAAGAGTATTTGTTCAACCTAGCTAAGATATACTATCTATAAGCAAAGGAGCATCACTCCTGTTGAACAAGATCACCCCCTGGTTGACGGTGTGATGGAGGTACGGGAGGCGGCGGCGTGTAAACGTTGCAGAGCGCATGTTGGCGCGCTGGACTGGGACTGGCCTGACTTGATTGGCTTCGTGACTCGTGATCCTGAGGAGGAAGTCGGCGGTCCTGGAAGGGGCTGGCTGGGGCTGGCGTGCGCAGTGACGGAGCAGAATCGCAGGATGGTGGTGGAAAGTGGCAGACATGGTTGAGACGAGCTGACCCGTGGCACGCGTAGGCTCAAGTGCCATTATCCTCTTTTGGGATTCACGTGGTGGCTGTACGAAGGGCGAATTTTCAAGAACTGAAGGAGGCAGCGGCGGCGATAATGGTGATGGTGATTTGTCGATTTGAGCTGATCCATAGTCAGAGGAACTTCTTGTTTAGAACTCATGTGGAGTCTGTACTGGAGGGCGAGTTTTCAAGGACTAACTTGGTCCCCGGATGTGACCATGCCACATCACGCAGGAAATAATCCAGGCGCGCATCATCCTCGTCCCCAAGAATTCTCTCTACATACTCTGCCGCACCACTCTAAAGCACGCAGCATGGAGTTCCGGATACCGAGGGGGTGGCAGGGAAAGATCTTGGGATGAGGAATTAGCGAATTCAATCTCGCGTCGGGCACCTGCATTGAACATGAGCTGTGGTACAGGGATTTCCACTCGATAGCGATTGGAGTCTTAGTCTCCCTAGAAGATAATCTCATTATTGATCGCCCCTAGAATTTGAGAATACACGATGCGACTGCAACATATCACAGTGGTTATGCATCTTTGGTGCGAAAGTGAAGACATTGCTCAAACGATGTATGCCACTCCATTAAGCTCGGGGAAGAGAGATTCATATTCGAACCGCTTGAGAACTGTCCAAGTACTGGCGGTATGGTTATATGAAAGAAAAATGTAGTGGACGAAAACTTTCACGAATCAATTCTGTACCGCCTTCTCCTCCAGTCGGCCCCGGTGACATTGAGAATAGTCGAGTCGGAGATAATGTGAGTGCACTGGCAGTCATCCCATTCAAGCCAATCGCTGCTCCCTTTGGTGGCGTTTTAGAGGAGCTCGGGATTCTTTAAGATACTATCGCCGTCCCATACTTTGATTATAATACAACGGTAACCATCTTGAGCCGGAGCCTGCCGTAAGTGAGGAATTGCTCTCAGATTCCATAGGTGTACGCGCGTTGGCGCTTGCCTGGCAATAGTTTTCGGGAGAGGGTTTCAAGTTCCCAATGATGTTTGATGGCCGCGGTCCATTGCCGATTAGTTTATAGCACAAATATGAGGCATGAGTAGATCTCTCTCAATGCCGTCGTAGACGAACAGCCAGCCGACAATTCTTGAATCAACGTTCCTTCCGTCTCTAATCTGTCCTTTTGCGACAAAACCTGGTCGAGTCTACGCTTCAAACTGGCTTTCGCACGTTAGCAAATTCCATATGCACTCACTTGAGCCTGAGACAGATATTGCAGTTGGGATGGGAGGTCAGTCGTCTTCCAGATGGCCATGACGCGTCGTGTAGTAGTTAAGTTGGAAAGCTTACATAATCGCTCGCGTCCACGAAATCAGTCGATGACGAAGTGCGGCTTGCACTTCCCTTTTCCTGTACCGCCAGCACCGTCGAACAACCGGCACGAATTCACTCTCGTTGCCCGCCCTTCCTCTGCTAGCATCGTCCGAAAATACTTCAGAGGCAGCCGCTGTTATCTTATTAACTATTGCTCCAAAATAGTCTGACCTTTTGGGTGCCAATACGTAAGACAGCTGCATATATGCGCATGTATCAATCGCAGGGTAGGCTCTCTCTCAGGATACTTACTATGAATGTGTATTGGAGATCAACCACAAGAAAATGTCGTTCATTAACCATTTTTGCACAGCAACCAGGATCCAATGCTCTACCTGGGAACTTCCGAACCGGATAGTCGCAGAACAACCCTCGAAAGGTGAACATTCGAGTTTCGTCCCTTGACTGCTTGGGCCCGCTGCTGACCTTATTGGGTAGCTCTCTCTCACCGATGGAAATAGAAATTACGCCATCATCCTCCATCATTTCTCAGAACAACGATGGACGTACAGATTGTTGCCGCAGATGTTTCAGTGGGAAAGCATCAGTCATGAAGAGGTTGCATTCGAATGCCTGGACCGGTCGCAGACGTACTATTGCCTACGTACTGTTCACACCGATGGATCTGCACTCGAACTCATGGACATCGGTGGAGTTTTCATACCTCTACGAGTATGGACATTCCCGGCGGTCGAACCACTTGGCGCCGACATGCACGCGCTGGAGCGTTGGACCGTGGAATAATGTTCCTGTTCCCCTACCGCAGAGGATCCCTGGGATTTCGCGTCCAAAACTCAAGGTGCCGCTCTCCGGCGCCCTTTTGCCGTCATGTTTCCCTCTCTAACCGTTTTTCCAGAGTCACGGTGATAGTACGAAGCCAAGATCGAACGATGAGAGTCCCAGCAATCAGTTCAGAGAGTGTCAAGACTCAAGACACTACTTACGTACACAGTGCATCGTCCTCTCTGCCATCTAGACTACCAGCCAAGGCAGAAACGAGAAATCAGCCTTGAACCGTAATGAGGTACGAGTATGTGAATTTTTTCATTGCTAGAATTATTTTTCTGACATGAGCCAAAGGTCAAGCCTCTTGAACGAATATTCTTGGCATATCTTGTACGACAAAGAACCCGTGTCTTAACACCATTGGAGCAAGGCATTTTCCACGCATCGCTTTCGGTTCGAGAGCTGGTCTATCACGACCGCTAAAGTACTCCGCTGGTACCAAGGGAGTCAAGCTTCGCGTCGTATGGAAGCGGAGCGAGCCGATAATTTTTTTCTTACGACGTGGACCCTCGCGTGATGATTCGCTCGCTCCCATGTTGCAGCTTCCTCCACCACGAACTGACGTTGCGGTCTGACGAAAATCGCGGTGACAACAACTCCCAGCACCGGTACCCACGTTTGCACTCGGAAATACGCGATGATATCGTAGCATTGACCTACGTGATATATGAATACAAGTTTTTGAAAGCCGTATCTGCCGGAGGTGTTCGCTTGTGTATGTTGTGCCTCCCATAGGACTGCTCCGTTCCGATGTAGAACAACAGGCTATATTGGGGATTCATCCAACCTGTAGGCGAAAGGAGGATGAACCACACGTGCAAGGTGATTGCCTAGCGTATGACGGTCAGGCTGCATGTCGACCGCCCTCCCCATAGAAACGGTGTCAGCTTTCGAATTAATGCTCGGGGTTCGAAGTTGGGTGTCTTCGATACAAAAAGCCTCATATATTCGGAATTATGGAATAGATAACGCTGCTCCCGGTCACTGTGGGGACATCAGATCAGTTGTCGCCTTTCCAAGTCGGTCCTCACACGTCCTCAACCATGCCAAATGCTCTCGCCGTCTCGTAGATCGAGGTTCTCGTGTCGTATTCCATCGATGTAATCTGGCTGTAGACGCTCCAGGCTCGTGATAGAGTCGCATATCATGACTCACAGGATGGAATACCTACAATGTGGCTCGCTTGGGGAGCACAAACGGACTTTTGTCATTACGACAATCTCATTTCGTGGTAAAATTTCCTGCTTGCTGGTCTTGCCTAGGACGATCACATATTGTCCATTGGAGTCGACCTAGCGACGGATCTCGGTCAGCTCTCGCACCTTGAGGCTAGTCCAGCGATTGACCACCATGACTCAACGGGAAGGGCCGTGACGTAACGCAACCACCCATAACGCTGCTGGTCGCCAGCCAGCCAGCCACCGTATAGCCCACTGACTTTCCACCGTGGCACGCTGCCAGCACCAGTCAGCTCAACTCCCATTATATCTTGTGGTCAAACGGTCTCTCGACGTCTAATCATTCCATTTCTGACAATATTATGTTCGTTCTCGATGAACGAGAAGTCGCCGATGATGCATGACAGTTCAGAGCCGTAATTTCTGGTAATCCTTTCCCGACGGGTGGATCGAAAATGCTCAAGATTCCTTGGGAAAAAAACCAGATTCGCCACTCTCCCCTTGTATCGACCTAGCTTCTCAACGTTCGAGGATCCAAATGCTCTTGTTGATGCTCCTGGAGAATTGAATATCTCTTGGGATGGTGGTGCACAAACTGAGCTTGTAGTGATGACCCGGATCAAATATTTTTGTGAATATTGCGATCTCTCACTCCACGACAGGGTATCTTCAGACAGCGATTTTCATGGCTATATCGACGAGTAGGAGCTTTCTGCTCATTTCTTGCCATGTTACTGGTCATCCGAACACCGAAAAGACAGCTACAATGTATAACGCAAGTACAACATTCATCGTGCTCACAGTATTTTGTGTCGAAGAACTTTTTTGATAGAACTAAGCGGGTTCCCCACAAAAGGAGCGACGACAAGTCGATTACGCATTTCAATTCGATCTCTTAGACGCATCTCATTAACTAACCTGGCCCCTACTTAGTGCATAGGTACATCAGAATCTATAGCACCTTATAGCGCGGAGCCCGGCGGTGTACATTTTTTCTAAGGAGTAATAGGCAAATAGAACGCATGGACAGATAATTGGCACGTATATTCATTTTGGATAGCTACGAAAACAACACGAAACATTACAGAGATACGTGAGACGAATGATATTTTTTGAGTAAAACTGTTGGTAGCCATGAAGAAGATAGTATTTGCCTGCCCTATACTCAGTGGCGAAGCACCTGAGGAAGATACGGCTCTTCCAGGTACTGCATCTCTTCTGCGGTCAGTACCACATCTCTACCACCTACATATAATGTTTCAGATAGAAATGACAAATGACAAAAGAGCGGCGCACCAATAGCATCCAAAAGTTGCTCAGTCGCAGGAGCATTGATAACCAGAGCAGAAACACCTAACGGATATAAGAGAATGAATATCACATTACTTGTGACCTACATTCTCGACCAAGGGTCCACGCTATGGCTACCTGGGTCATGGAGATATTCTTTTGGAGGGCTATCTCTTCAACCCTTTTCACAATGTCAGTAGAACTTGGGATGGTTAACTTCACCGTCGTGTTACCTGGCAATGATCACATTGTGCCAATCTTTACGTCCTCCTGGAATCCTATGCTAGAATATGAGTTGGGAATCGGGAAAGAGGATATGAGACTTGCCTGCCATCAAAGGGAAGTGCGAGTTGTTCTTCAAGTGTCATGACCAACGCCCCGCGAGCAAGTGAGGTCCACGGGATGGACCCGATGCCAAAATACTTTGATAAATCATCAAATAAAGAACCCAATATCTGATTAAAATACGAACTTTTAAAGTAGGCAGCATCTCATGCTCATCTTCGCGATAGAGAATATTATAATCATTTTGCATCGAGATAAACGGCGTGAGGTTATTGGCGACTGCGTAGTCTAGTATGGCTCTTTAGTGTCAATCCTGTCCTCTCACGGATGGAAAATTCACTTTGCATAACATGGACTAGAAAATCGATGAATGATATGAATGATCTTACTTCAATGAAAAGTGTATGGCTCACATTGCCAGGCGCGACAATTCGACATTCCAATATATCGGACCCAACCTGCTTGGACCACGTCATGCAGAGCCTTCATCTATAGAACAAATATGAAGCTAAGCCCTGACAGAAGAGACGACTAGAGGGCGACCAAAGAAGGTAGCTGATACTCGGAAAGCTGCTCTGGTCACGGTGGTGACGTCAGATCAGCAGTCATCCTTCGAGTCGGTCGTCACAAGGCTGCCGTGCTAAATGCTCTCACCGTCTCATGAATCGGGGTTATCGTATCATATTCCTGACAGTGCAGGACGTCGATGTAATCCAGTTGTAAACGCTCCAGGCTCTTCTTGATAGAGTCGAAGATATGCTGGGCGTTCGTCAATGAGCATACGGGCTAGCAGGCTAACGTCGTGTAAAAACCTTGCGACTGAGGCCGTACTGATTGACGTATCGGTGGGCATCGGCGTATTCAACTGCCTTGCCATCGAGGCGCTCTTTCACATCACGGCTCACAGGATGGAATACCTACAACGGGTATGAATCCAGGCTCGCTCGGGGAGCACAGACGGACCTTTGTCATTACGACAATCTCGCCTCGCGGTAAATTTTCTTGCTTGATGGCCCTTCCCAAGACGATCTCGGATTGTCCGTTGGAGTAGATCTGGCTATGGTCAGCTCACATATAGACGGAGGCGAAAGGAAGGCCTGCATTAGCTGTGTCGAAAGTGTTGATTCCAGCATCGTAGCTTGGAGGGGATCAGGCTTGGATCGAAGAAAGAGAGGAATAGGTATGTACGCTGCCTTGATTTGCTTAATGCTCTCTTCTTCATCCTGTACCCAGTTGTACCAATCCGGACTCCCGTACACAGCACAACCGAGGACAACCTTCGATACTTTCAATCCCGAAGTACCAAGGGTGACTGTAGACATCCTGTAAGCTCTATGTTGCACAGTTGCTGACGACGAACCGTAAGACATTTCTGTGCTTGCAGGTGAAGACATCACGTTAGTGAGGACTGGAAGAAGACGATTCTGCATCTCCCACCATCCATGGGAGGGCGGGCGGCTATGGACCCGGCCATCCTGATTGGGACCTTGGTGCCGGTAGCACCACCAAAATGAACTATAACACAACCGACAGTGCCGTAGGACTGGAAAGCAGTCTACCAATAATGAAGTCGCCAGTTGTTCAGTTGGGCTTGGCACCATGCAGATTGCCGTTCAGTTCCAGGCAAGCGATTTCGTTAAGGGATGAACGGACACGTCAGGATGTAAGTCTCCCAAAGACCGCCGTACTGATAACTAGGTCTGTTAGAGCACCCAAGTGCCACTGCAAAAGTGCAAAGCTGAACTGACACTCGCGACGTTTTATCCAGTCCGGCTCAAAAGCAATAAGGAATCTGAATGACGCTCTGTGATTCGCATGTGAGGGGATGGGAGAATACTCGCGGGTGCCCCTCTACGCCATAGGTCCATTCGTTTCTGCTAGAAATGTTCAAGTTTGCGCTCCGCCAAGTTCGCGTCCATTCTTCACGACAATACCGGTGGTACACCATCGAAGAGCTAATATCGTTTCAGAAGATAAGCACTACTAAGTCAAGGTAAGGTCATCAGTCGGTATTGATGAGGGAAATATTCTCTCACCTGGCGCAGGTATTATGCCTAGGTGAGGCATCCTAATAAGTAGGCTAACATGACCGTGACGCGCATGTTCTCGCTCGCCGCTTTGCGTGCATCCTGGGCTTAGTAACAATCGTCTCATTGCGTTGCGAACTATGGAGCAATTCGACTCCATCGTGACGGTCTGGCAGTTATTGGTGTTGTGATGAAGAACACAGTCGTGCCAACGGTATTATGCCAGGTGGCGAACGTGAAAACAGTTCAGAATCGTGTCGTTGGCTAGGAGATGACATAGGTACGACCCCTCGGACAAGAACAGTTCGCTACTCACCACTAGTAGTCTATCCATCTGTTCAAGGTTTCAAACGCCCTATCGATGCTCCCTGAAATTTAATGGCAGTGTCAGCGGTAACGCAGACAGGCCTGACTGCATCGGCAAGAGGGTTTTGCTATGCAAGAGATCGATTCCATGCAGAGGTCGAATCCGGCAAACATCGTCACGAATCCGCTGATCGCCCTCACAGTCGCCAAACCTGGAAGGAAAGTAGATTTTATTAGTCGTCGGTGCTCCTGAACAGGAACACAACGACGTCCGTACTACAGCAAGCTATTTAAGGGTATAATAAAATCTACTTCCTTCTTTCCTAAGGAATAATGATATTTAGCTGCTACGGGACCGAACCAACCCTATGCTCTGCCGCTTTGGTCAAGCCCCGTCATGAGTACTCCCTCACGGCCTCGGCAATAGGGAGGTGAAGATAGATAAAAAGCAAAAAGAACGAAGATCATAAACCATGACAGGCGCTGATCTAGTGAGCCAGTGAGCTACGAGTTTGTCTCAAGTAACTTGAGTCTTGACCCGGAGTCAAGTTGCCTTAGGCTGGGCCTTTGGCCAAGGGAGTCGCAGCATCAAGCGCTTGCGACATCGCCTCCTTCGTCATAGTGTGGTGGTATTGCGACGGAACACAGACAACAGAAATCACTGAGGGGGCAGAGAAGTCTGTGACCTTAACGAGAGACGCTCGGAGGCCATTTGAGGGAGAGGGTCAAGCAAATGGCACCCCGCAAGTATCGATGATGGTGGACATCGATACTGCTGGGAAAGATGCGTAATGGTTCGTATGATCTAATCAACCATCTCAAATCGATGATCCTTGTAATCCCTCCCAACCCTTTCCAAACTGTAAGAATTCGCGAACTTATAATGAGGTGCCTCCCGCTTATTTCTATGTCCAGATTAGAAGCAACAAAAATAGTCGCAGTCAGACCAGGGAGGTCGACACTCGGATAGAGCAGGGGGGTGGTCGGGTTACAAATATTTCCAAGGTGCCTTTCACTATTACCCATCTGTCTCTTATATCAAGCTGATTCGGGGATCCCGAAGGACGCAAAAAACGGAGCCTTAATAATTTCTTTCGCGTTCCCCGATTTCACTTATTTCTGCATTCCAAGGTGTGGCGTACTAACTTCAAATAGTATAGTATATGTGGGTCCTTCAACTCACATGGTTCTCCGGGTGTTCTCAGTGCGGTATCACGATTTCGGGAGAACAGGCAACACACGGACCAATACTTGGTCGTGAATTCATTCATTCCTGCCAGTGATACAAATACAAGAAGACGAAACGATATTCAGATAGGTGAGACGAACTTTTTTTTTATGAAGCGCTTTAGCTATCATTGTGCAGACAGTATCGCATATCCAATATTCAGTGACGAAGCATCTGAGGAAGATACGGCTCTTCCAGATACTGCATCTCTTCTGCGGTCAGTACCACATCTATACCACCTACATATAATGATTCAGATAGAAATGAGAAATGACAAAAGAGCGGCGCACCAATAGCATCCAAAAGTTGCTCAGTCGCAGGAGCATTGATAACCAGAGCAGAAACACCTAACGGATATAAGAGAATGAATATCACATTTCCTTGACGCCTACATTTTCGACCGATGGACCATGCTATTGCGACCTGGGTCATGGAGATATTCTTTTGGAGGGCTATCTCTTCAACCCTTTTCACAATGTCAGTAGAACTTGGGATGGTTAACTTCACCGTCGTGTTACCTGGCAATGATCACATTGTGCCAATCTTTACGTCCTCCTGGAATCCTATGCTAGAATATGAGTTGGGAATCGGGGAAGAGGATGTGAGACTTGCCTGCCATCAAAGGGAAGTGCGAGTTGTTCTTCAAGTGTCATGACCAACGCCCCGCGAGCAAGTGAGGTCCACGGGATGGACCCGATGCCAAAATACTTTGATAAATCATCAAATAAAGAACCCAATATCTGATTAAAATACGAACTTTTAAAGTAGGCAGCATCTCATGCTCATCTTCGCGATAGAGAATATTATAATCATTCTGCATCGAGATAAACGGCGTGAGGTTATTAGCGACTGCATAGTCTAGACAGCTCGTCAGTGTCAATCCTGTCCTCTCACGGATGGAAAATTCACTTTGCATAACATGGACTAGAAAATCGATGGAATGATATGAATGATCTTACTTCAATGAAAAGTGTATAGCTCACATTGCCAGGCGCGACAGTTCGACATTCCAATATATCGGACCCAACCTGCTTGGACCACGTCATGCAGAGCCTTCATCTATAGAACAAATATGAAGCTAAGCCCTGACAGAAGAGACGACTAGAGGGCGACCAAAGAAGGTAGCTGATACTCGGAAAGCTGCTCTGGTCACGGTGGTGACGTCAGATCAGCAGTCATCCTTCGAGTCGGTCGTCACAAGGCTGCCGTGCTAAATGCTCTCACCGTCTCATGAATCGGGGTTATCGTATCATATTCCTGACAGTGCAGGACGTCGATGTAATCCAGTTGTAAACGCTCCAGGCTCTTCTTGATAGAGTCGAAGATATGCTGGGCGTTCGTCAATGAGCATACGGGCTAGCAGGCTAACGTCGTGTAAAAACCTTGCGACTGAGGCCGTACTGATTGACGTATCGGTGGGCATCGGCGTATTCAACTGCCTTGCCATCGAGGCGCTCTTTCACATCACGGCTCACAGGATGGAATACCTACAACGGGTATGAATCCAGGCTCGCTCGGGGAGCACAGACGGACCTTTGTCATTACGACAATCTCGCCTCGCGGTAAATTTTCTTGCTTGATGGCCCTTCCCAAGACGATCTCGGATTGTCCGTTGGAGTAGATCTGGCTATGGTCAGCTCACATATAGACGGAGGCGAAAGGAAGGCCTGCATTAGCTGTGTCGAAAGTGTTGATTCCAGCATCGTAGCTTGGAGGGGATCAGGCTTGGATCGAAGAAAGAGAGGAATAGGTATGTACGCTGCCTTGATTTGCTTAATGCTCTCTTCTTCATCCTGTACCCAGTTGTACCAATCCGGACTCCCGTACACGGCACAACCTAGAATAACCTTTGATACCTTCAGTCCCGAAGTACCAAGGGTGACTGTAGACATCCTGTAAGCTCTATGTTGCACAGTTGCTGACGACAGACCATAAGACATGTCTATGCTTGCAGGTGAAGACATCGTGTTGGTGATGGCAGGAACAGGACAATGTTGCGTCTCCCAAACCCGTGATGCTAGTCTTTTGAGGGGGGCTGGGCCCGGCCATCCTGATTAGGTCCTTATTGCCGATACCACCCAGCAAACGGTCATGACACAACCGGCAGCGTCGTAGGAGGGAAATGCAGTCCAATGGGGTGGCTGGTCGCCATTCCGAGTCCAGCACTGTATAAGCTACCGGTCCAAGCGACGTGGCTTTGGGTATGAAGAGACGCGCAAGGGTTGTAGCTGTCTTAAGACCACTGCACCGACAACCAGGTCTAAGAGAGCACCTAAGCGCAGTACGTAGAGCAAGGATGGGACAGCGCCTATCCACTGCCGCCTGCCTTTTTATCTCAAGCATTATGGGAATGAGGACCAGCGAATTATGAGCCGCGAGAGGATCCTAGGCATGCCCTCATATCACAGCCTCGTTCGTTGCCACTTGAAATATTCATGCTTTTCTCCGGTCTTGCGCCCTTTAAGCTTCAGGTTTTTGTCCATTCTCCACGACAACACCAACCTACGCTATCGACAAGTTGATGTCGTTTTCACATGAGATCAACACTAAGCAAGTGAAGGTATGGTTATCGGTTGGTATTGATCAGGAAAATGTTCTCTCACATGGCGCAGGTATCCTCCTCTGAGTGAGGCAGCCTAAGAAGAAGACATGCATGTTCTCACCCACCGTCTTGCATAGCGTTTCCTGGGCATGCTAACAATTGTTTCACTGCCCTGTAGAAGATCAGGCAGCTCTACTTCATTCGCAGACAAAACGATTCAGATACGCTGACTCCACGGTCTGGATTGCTAGATATCGCAAAGAAGAATCCGATCGTCCCCTCTTTAAGATTGTCATGGTTCTCTGGAAAATGTCACAGTTGTCTTGGAGGAAGACCCCCGGGCGAGAATTACACACCACCAGTGCATCCGCCTCATTCAATCTTCAAGGATCCAAATGCCACCCCTGACGATCCCTGAAGATTCGGAAATCGTATCGGATGGCGGTGCGAGTGACGGCGAAGCGCAGACTGAGCAAACTAGACCGGCAGCGACGGCCTGAGTTCCAAATATTTTGCTCTCTGGCCGGATTCGTCACAGGTGACAAATCGAGTGATGTGCTCCTTCCTCATAGCGACGACACCTTATAAAGGCCTAGGCGCACAAACACATCATATTTGTTCTCACCATTCTAGTGGCCTTGGTTCACTGCCTTCAGAACTTGGAATTTCTCGGCTTTCGACCCCGGGCTCGGTCAATGGCACTATTAACATGAAGCAAAAAACTGTCGAAAATACATCCATGGAATCAAAACCCAGTATATCAAAAGCAAGAAATTTAAAACAAATTCCATCCAAGATCCCACCTATTCCTCAACAGGCGTGCTGGCCCCTTCTCCATCGCTACTCAGCGCCATCCAGTCCTCTTCCGTTGGAACATACGACACCGACGGAATCTTTGCCCCCTTTTCTCTCAAAAACCTCACAACCTCAGTAGCGCTTCTCCATCCTTCTCCATCCTCCTCAAACCCATATAGACTCGCTAGATGTCTGCTTGCCTTCACTTTCTTCCCTGTCCTCCCACGCTCTAGCTGTTCAAAGAACACGGCGAGTGCTTTCACAGCCTCCACCCGCGCACGCAGGACATGTCGCATAATCCTTCGGGTAGGAGGGCGACGCTTCCTGCGCGATCTGACAGGTGGTTCGTTTGCTGTGAGAAGGTCAGATGGACCAGGCAGCACCGTTGGAATGTTGCTTGGTGTGGTGGGCGTAGTGGAAGGTTCCGGCGTGGAGCTGTTTGGTTTGTCTATCCAGGGGTTCTCTTTCGGAAGAACGGGTGTGGTATACTGGGATAGAGCAGCGAGGGAGAGATCCATGCCCTTTGGAGCCCAGACACCAATGAGCGTGCGCCATGCTGCGTATAGCCGTTTCGCGCTGGAAAGCTTAGTATTGGCATCCTTGATTATCAATAACAGACAGAGAATACATACTGTTCATAGTTATCTGCAGAATTCCTGTCAGCGTGGGAAATCGATTTAATAAAGCAGTATCACGTACCATCAATTAGCGTGTTATGATAGCGCGCGAAAAGATACACGATAACAGCAGCCGCCAATGCCCCTGCCGAAGAATACCAGAGGAAGGCCCACAAGAAGAAAAAAGCTGCGGGGTAAACCATCATCATGGAAAGTAGGCCAAACACAATCTTGTTCTGAGCTTGGGTCTCTTCCTCATCCTCGACCAGACGTGCACCAAGCCTACCCATGATGTACACAGGTAAATGAACTACAACAGGGAAAAGGAAGAATGGCAGGCGCGCAAGGCAAGCTAACGTATCCCGTAAGAGTATGAGGAGGGTGATGAGGCGACTGGGGAGAGGCGTAGGCACGCTGGGGTCTAATGACCGGGGCAGTGGCATGTGCGAGAGGACAGAATTAGTGAGATTGGCCGATTGTAGTAATGAATAGTATTCAAGCAGGTTTCGCTGCACTGACATAAAATTGGCAGTAACATCTGTAGTCGAAAACAAGTCGACAAGCCTATAAAAACGTCAGACTATACACGAAATAAGGATGATATCACGCACGTCTGAGATATGATCACAAACTCATCCATATTGATGGATTTTTCGTCCGTCCACATCAAATCACGCGCCATACGAGCAGTGTACAGCGTGTCCCTTTCGACATGTTAGTTGCAAGATGGCAGGTGGTGCATGGAGGGTCTACCAATCGGGTGCATTTATAGTAGATTCAATCAGCTCATTCTCGAGCGTCCTCGTCAAAGATTTCGCAGCCAAGCGAGGCTCCCCCTCTGTCGGGTCGTTGAATTGCTCGAGGTATGCGTCCATTGGTATTGGTCGCCCAAACCTGTAGCAGAAATCATGAAGTGAAAAGCTGAGAAAAAAAAGTAGAAAACTTACTCAACAATAACCTATGAAGATGGCTACATGTCAGCTCCGAACGGCTATGCGACCGACTAAGACACGCACGTTACTCCGATATTTGGACTTGTTCGTGTACACGATTGCTACAGGTATTATTTTCACCTCACTAGAGGATGCTTTTCCCAGGTTTGCCTTGAGCCATTTTGTGTATTCCAAAGCTGCCCAAGCTGCACCGTCCTTGACTTGCATGATCCGTGGCTCCGTGTAACTGGTTCCTTCAGGGAACAGCGCTACAGCACCACCCTTGGCTAGCGCTTCAAAGGTTCCTTTGAACAATACTTGACGGTCCTTGGACTTGCGGTCGACAGGGATGTTTCCGGTTGAGAGGAGGATGTATCGAACGACCGGGTTGGCGTAAAGGCTCGCTGCGGTCAAGCTCAATGGCCATGCATCAATAAGAGTAGAAAAACGCACCTTTGCTCCAATAATGCAATATCCGCTTGTACGGAAAACTTGTCGCTGTAGTCCCCCTTAACACGGAAATGCAGACGAGGGCAAAACAACGCACAGAGAATAATAGGGTCTAGTATCATATTATGGTGGGTCGCAGCACTGTTCATTGTCGGTAGAGATACCAATAAAGATAGGATAACCAACGAACACGATGATAGGGCCATCCTTGGGCACATTCTCCTCTCCGATGACCCGTATTTCGGTGAAAAACGAGGCTGCAGCGACGCCAACAACGTATCGTATAGCCTTATGAAGGATAAAATATTCACTTGAAGACATTGGCACGTCGAGAAGCAAACGGGGGTTGGGTATCGACGCGTGTCGCTGGCGGTAGAAGAGTATGGGTGAACGTGCTGGATTACCCCAAAGTTCAGATAGGGGGAATGCTATTTTAGCTATGAATCAGGGGAAAAATATCAAATGTCTGTATTTGCGCTGATACTTTTCATGAATGGATTGGTTGCGGACTAAAACGCGGCAGACTGCCCAAAACAGGTACTACCGACTCTGCAACGAACTACGATAACACAGCGACCCATACATACTTCTCTGCTGTCCTGTGAAGCGCGATACATTGCCAAGATAAATTCAGACACTTACTGTACGATGTTCAGCATTTCTGCCTTTGAATTTTTGTCCAGGTTCTTGTTGTTCCAAGCCGTAAGCGCGGAAGCTTCCTAGTTCTCAGGCTGGATCGCGCCCGAGACTCGATTGAAGAGTCAACCCGCTGTTTTAATCATCACCTGGGCTCCAGAGGGGGTATTAGACACGTACTCCTGGAAAGATGCACCTGGCCACTTTTGCAGGGTCTGGTTGGCTTGGCAAACTACTTCGCATCGCTATTGCAGCATTGATAAAAAGCGACTATCATCGTGTTTAGGCACTTCCTTATGGCTGTTTCCTATCATTTGTCGCACTTGGTGGTGGTCCAAACTTCTGTCGTTGCATCCTGGACTGCCGAAACTTCGAAAAGAAGACAACGCTTGCTTTAACATTTTTGGTCCTTAAAGTCCTCGGACATCAAACTCGCTGCATCGAAAATGTGTCAATTCACACGTTGCAGATGTAGACGGTTTGTATCAGCGACAGCACAAACCCCCTTTCTAACTATCCTCTCAGAGCGAAATATCTTTGTTATCTGAAAAGATAAATAGCAGCGCAGCGGTAGTGTATCAGCCATCTGCCGTGACGCGACCTTGTTTCATCTTATGCGGTCGGCCAGCGCTTTGATCTCTAGCACAAGGTCCTCGGTCTCAGAAAGTCCGTATCATTTCGAGAATCACGAAATAGATCTTTTGACTAAATGTCCGTTACTTTCTGCTTCCACACCTTACTCATTAATCCGAATATCCGTCTAGTGTCTTTATTAACGCGAGTCTTTGCCAAGTAAACGTAGCACAGCAGGTGCAATCGCCTCTTCGACTGCACATAATAACTAACAACACGGTCAGTCGTTGGCATCAACTCTATCATGCGTTCCACACTTATAATTTTGGAACTTAGGCATCATGTATGGCGGCAGGACTTCACCTTGTCCACTCAAGATCATAATCATCGGTGCAGGAGTCTCGGGCCTTTCCGCTGCCATTTGCTTGGCAAAGGTGGGACACACTATCACCGTCCTAGAGAGCCGATCTGACCTTCGAGAGATCGGTGCAGGCATTCAAATTGCTCCCAGTAAGCTCATCTCAATTTTGCACGAAGGGAATATATATATATAATAATCTCCCAATATAGACACATCTCGCCTACTCATTCGATGGGGTCTTAAATCTTCGTTAGATGAGGTTGCTGTCCATCCCGAGAACGTATCTGTGTACCGGTGTACGTGATATGAGCTTCGGTGTGACCATATTTACCTAGTAATAATGCACACCAGACGACAACGGAAGTGTCTTGGGCTTTGTGCCCTATGGATCTGGCATAGCCGAAGCATACGGCGCTCCGTATTATTGCCTACACGTATGTCTGCCTATTCCTCTATAGTATCCCAACCTAACCGTCTTCATACAGAGACGCGATTTGATCGACATATTGCACAACGCCGCTCGTCCCCTGATGAAAGCCAGACTCAGCAGCAAAGTAACTTCAATCGACCCGGCCACCGTTTCTGTTACTCTACACACGGGTGAAATCCTTGAAGCCGATCTTATCATTGGCGCCGATGGTATCAATAGCATCACCCGTAATATTGTGGCAGAAGCACCAGTTCGTTCTGTACCCAGCGGACAGGCCGCATTTCGCGCTACCATCGATACTGCTCAGATGCTTCCTGATCCGGACCTTCGCCCTTTAGCCGAAACGCCGCAAATGAATGTATGGTTAGGACCCCATAAGCATGTAGTAGGATATGGTATAGTGTGTTCTGTCTATAGCTTTACAAGAGAAAATCCACTGACAAGCGAGTTTTAGGGGAGAGACACATATAATTTTGCTATACTACACGAAGATGATACCGAGGAGTCCATGGCCTTGTGGACTCGGCATGGAGATATCGAACAAATGAAGAAGGAGACTGCTGATTGGGAGCCTCGGTAAACTTCCCTGTATAGTTGGTTGATTAATCTAACGAATTTCTTTAAGGGTTAGCAAATTATTGAACCTTGTCACGTCTTCAATCGTGGGCTCGCTCAAGGGTCTCGAAACCCCCCTCCAGTCCTTGGGTGCATAAGAGCAGGACGCATCGCTTTAATCGGGGATGCTTGCCACCCAATGTTGGTAAGTGTACCAGTATATGTTTCCAGTCGAGCTATAGAACCTTCCCCGCAGCCTTACCGAGCGCAAGCCGCCTCGATGGCCGTCTGTTTTTCCCCATTATCTCTGCAATCGAAAACACCTAATTACTTGTCTCTCAGATCGAAGATGCCGCCGTACTCGGTAACCTTTTTGTTCGCATCACAGACAAAGATCAAATTCCGACACTCTTGGACGCATATGAGAACCTCAGACGCCCTCGTGCTACCGAAACCGCAGATGGTTGCTGGACTGATAAAACAACGTTCCAGATGGAAGACGGTCCGGAACAGCGTGCGCGAGATAATGCCTTCAAGGCGATGATAGGCAAGACTGCTGGGAGCGGCCAGGACAATGATCTTCAATATGGGTACGATGCTGATGCAGTTGTGAACGATTGGTGGAAAGAACACAACTACGATTTCATGTTTGCGTAATTCCATCAAGCGAAGCACTGAAATAAATATTTCGAATAAGTGCTTTGACAACAAATTTTATGTGCCGGTTGAATCGAGCAGGTAGATCTGATACAGGCAGACGAAGAAATAGAAAAGTACTAGCCAAGGTGTAGTACCCGGTCTGGCGATACTAGAAGCTCCCGCCACTCTTTTAAAGTCTAACGTCGCGCGCGTGGTGAGAATGGTACTCATGAGATTATCGTATATGTACTCAATACCCGTGAACCGAATCCCATCCACGATTTAGAATATATTCCTAGGTGAGCTACTAAGTAACGATGGGAATAATCGACACCGGCCCGACTACCGAATTTCACCTTGACCTGCCACTACCATCTCTTGTACCTGTTCACGTCTCAACGCTGGATCCATGGCCTATGAATGCGCGATTTGCCTGTCTGAATACCAAGATCCTGTAAGCCTACCCTGTGGTGCGTTGGCTCAAGGACGGTGACAGCTCTACCTCGCTCTCATCGTACTCATCAGGGCACGTCTATTGCTCTCGATGCGTATCGGATCACATTTCGAAATCAACGATGGATGGATTCACGGCGCTGTGTCCGACATGCAGGAACTCGTTTCATATAGGTCAGTTGCTCTAACTGTTCGTCGCGTCTCACGGTCATGGGCGGTGTTTTAGTTACTCCATCGGTATGATTCTTGTTACCCTTTATCGTGTAAGGACCAGCTGAAATTTTAATTGCAGCTGCAAGGTCTGGCCTCGTCTTTCCACCGATATATCATGCCGAGCGTTCGCCGCGTTTACATCGACGTCGAGGATAATATAGGCAAATTGAAGGAAAATGCCCGAGCTCTGGAGGCGCAGGTTCGTCAGCTGAAGAAGGAAAAGAAACGCGTCGTGAAAGAACAAAACAAACGTCTGGAGGAGAAAAGCGAGGAGCTCGAGCGCTACAAGTCGAAATATCAGAAACTCAAGGACACGAAGACAAAGGCTTCTTTGACGAAGAGGTACGCGCTTACTTATGATGGTCATCCAAATCGGTATTGAAGATGTACAGATCCTCTGGTTCCTGCTCAACGAAGGTTGCTAAACGGTCTCGACCAAAAAAGAGCATCAAGTTTTCCTCGCCTAAACCGCTTTGTTGATCTTCCCTCTGCCCAACCAAGTCTTGTTACTTCCCTGCTTTTGATCCTGCAAGTTCTGTACTACCTTACTCTCGCTGCTGTTCCGTATTGCTCATCCGATACTCTGGCTTAAACTTCCATTAGGCGTTACTTTTTTTCTCCAGGTAAGACAGACTACAGCTATTCTAGGGGCGTATCTAATCATCCATTCGTATCAGTGCTACGGCGCTTTCGTACATAAAGACTGTTATTTTCCCGGGAATCGCCAATCAATCTTATGCTACACGAGCACTTGAATCGAAACATGGGTCGATGTTACAATGATTGTATTATTGAAAGAATGGAAGCATCGCTAGGTACAGTTTCGCGTGTCTCTTGCAAAAAATATTTTGGGATCCGGCATGAATTGGTCGCCGTCTATTCCTTTTCGCTTCTCTTTTCTCATACAGTTCCTTCGGATGGTACAAGGTGGCGATAACCATTACGAGCGTGTCCATGTTGATATGCCATTACTGCTTGGCGTATGTTCTGTTCTGCCCAATTGCCGGACGAAGAGATTACTACTTGCAGCGTCCACCCAAGTCAGTGGTATTTCTAGGGAAGTTTCCGGTCTGTATTCCGGATCGATGCCAGTAGTGAGGGCAACGTACGAAATGTGGAAGACAAGAGCACTGAGCACGCCGCACCCCGGGTTTCGTGTGCACCAGTCCGTGTCTTAGAACCGGCCCATGACACTTACTACCTTATTTCCGTTCGCGGCTCATATGAAGTGAGCGAAGGTCGAAGAATGATGATCATTGTCATCTATATCTAGCCGAACTGCGCAGCTAAAATTCATAAATACCGCAGCATCTCGAAACATTTTTACTCCTGGTACGCAGCACCTGTGAACTGTGCACACGACAAATACCAGCCAATTTGATTGACACCTCGGTTCTACTCGGTCTGCTCTCGATTCAAGAAAAAAATGACTACCAAGATAGGTTCAACTATCGACGACATACAACTTGAATGTACAGAACTACTGAGAGGGAGGGGACTCTGCCCAGTAGCTGCGTGAATAGTTAGAGAAAGAACGATGAACTCAGACCTCAACCAGCTGAAATGAACAAGGGCGCCGGACAAGGGGTAAATCTTCGCTGGACGAGCCCAAAGACGAGTAATAGGCCCGTCTGCTGAGAGTGTGTTGAATGGAAATATACGACCGTTCTAGGGTCAGTCAATAGGTTATTGTTCAAGGGGCCGGAGGAAAGTGATGAGGTGGTGGGGGAGGAACGGCAGAAAGCAGTTCATGCTCTCCGTGGATGTTGATGAAAGAATACTGTCAAGAGATGTCAGACGGACTTGAACATAACGACTCGGAGAAGTGGAAGACAATACTCACGTCAATTACATCGCGGGAATTGCTTGGACGGGGCGCAGCAAAGAAGGGCCTCAAACCCATGCGTTCGAGCTTCTCGAACCAGGTCCCGAAGTCGCTGATGCTTATTTCGCTCTTGTCGTCATCAGAAGAGACGGCGACGGAGAGAAGGAGCTGGCCGAAGGGAAGGACGGGTGCGCGCTTGGGAGGGGGAGAGGCTTGGCGCGGCGGCGGGTAAGGAGCACGGCTAGCCAGTTGAGGGAAGTCGTATTCATTCAAGAAAGCGTCGAGGACGGCGAAATCGGATTCGGAATTGATATCAAACTTCAGTATGTCGATGAATTTGTGGCCGTTGGTTTCGAGAAGTTCATTGAGAGGATTGGTCGGGACTTTGACGACGGGGACGTCTGATTCTTCGGCGGTGATGGTCTCTCCCTCTTCAGTAACGGCATCAGTCTGAAACATTGGTCACTACATGCGACATAGATTGGGGGTCAGAAAGGCTCTTACGTTCTCTGCCTTGTCAACATAACCGAATACTGTGCATGCGGTGGATCGGTCTTTTACCGTTGTTTCGAAGGACGAGCCGTCAGAGCCTGAGAAAGAGCAGATTAAATGGATATTTGATAAATGAAATGAGGAAAATGACATACCGATCGAGTACACGACGCATTGTTCCTTCGGAGCGATGTGTTCGAAGCCACAGACCCATTTGCCATTGTCCTCCGGCTCACCGAGGAGTTGGAGATGATGGGGGCAACGGAAAGCAGGAGCAAAAGATTTCCCTTGAAATTAGAACCAAGTCAGATTGAGTGCAATTATATTTGCAAAATTGAACTCACAAAGCGGAGCTGCTTCATCGACAGAATCTTTACGATGCTCCACGTAGTCTTGATAGTGCTTTTCGCTGATCTCAATCGCGATATCAACGGGAGGACGAGGTCGCGGCCGATGCGTCTTGATACCTGCTTCGCCTTCAGGACACGGCTTTCCGTGCTTGTCGTGCTTGTCATGTTTGGAAGGCCGCGGTGGATGATGAGGTGGTGGTCCATGGGGAGGGTGCTCTCCGTCATCTTCGCCTTCTTGCGAGGCGGGACGATAACCATGTTGGTGTCCAGGGTGAGGTGGCGGTCCCCAGAACATTGGCGGAGGTGGCCTGGAATCCCCGTGACCGTGAAATTCATGATGAGGCGGAGGTGGTGGACCCCAGTACGAATGCGGCGGATGAGGAGGCATACCGTAAGATTGTTCACCACCTGGCGGAGGTGGGGGTGGGGCCCACCAGTGATGCGGTGGTGGTGGTGGCGGGGTATCGTAAGATTGCGCGTCACCAGTAGGAGGGGGAGGAGGAGGACCCCAGAACGGAGGCGGGTGGGGCGGGTGCTTGCCTTCTGGGCCGCCGTGCTCCCCGTGATGCATCTGGCCGAACGGGGGCGGGGGCGGTGGTCCCCATGGGCCGGGAGGAAGCGGCCCGTAGCCCCACGGATGATGGCCATGGTGATCTGGATGCGGCGGATGTCCTTCGTAGCCGTGAGAAGGCGGTGGTGGCGCATGCGGTACGACCTGGAAGCCATGCTCCTGAACTGCTCCTTGACAGTAGAAGTCATTCATGTGAGCGCGAGCAGCGTAGTCATACGGAGGCGGGCGACCGCCCCATGTATAGGCATGAGAACCAGAGAAAGGGGAATCGGGAGAGAAATTGACATAGAGAAGAATGATAACGAACGACAGGGTGATAAATAAAATCGTATAACGCGGGTGACGCGCTGAGATAGACTCGAGTTTGGAGCTCATCTCGAAAAAAGATGCTTTCGTCGCACAGTGAGGTGGGCAAAGTTGACGGCAGCGATACGGGGATGGACAAGGACTTCATCAAGGACCAGAGCTTGTTATAAAAAAGATTCCTATCCGCAGCAGTCTACAGCTTCGCGCGCCGTAAAGATCCCGTTACCCAGTATAGCAATTCCAGCCCCTGTGGCCTCCGACCCTCCGCACGCTGCGAAGTCGGACCCTTCAAATGAAAATACGTTGACGTGTCAGTAAAATGGCGGTTACAAAGGATAAAATGTGTACCCATCTAAGATACATACTTCGATAAACATGCCGTTCGTTTCTCAGCTCAAAGGCTGCGAATGCTGTTGCTCTGAGAAGCCCCGGTAGGAAGTCACCAGCTACGTAAACGCTTCAGCTGTAAATTATTTTTTCCTCAGGGAGCCACGAGCCAACAGAAAGCCTTCCCGGCGCGTAGTTGCGCAGCGATTATTGTGATTAGGCACCCCGAAATGCCATTGGATTCTTGATCGGTGCAGCGGTTAGCTGATAAGAGTGCATGGTAAGGCAACATAAGGAGCCAATATTCCAATGGTCGCAGTTATTATGCACAGTAGTTCTGCATGTGAGAAGTACAATGGCTTGAAACGCTGCGTATACTTCGCAGCAGCGGCCATTGAGAGTGAAACGTCGCGGTAAAGGTTCTCAACCGGCGGACGATCACGGGTCCCGTGCCTCTTAAGGTTAGGGCTATGACGAAATAATTATTTCAACAGCAATTAATTCCTTATCAATTCTCTCGGACCCACCACCATCATGCCTCGCACAGCAGAAACAGCAAGTTTTGCGGTTAGTTCTAACGCCTGCAGGTAAACGGGAGGCTGATTATGCGCCCATCAAGTTCAACCACACCATGATCCGGGTGAAGGATCCCAAGGTATCCCTGCATTTTTATACCGAAGTAGGTTACATCGTGTCCACAAACATTTGTCTTTACTGAGCTTCCAATGCTGCGGTAGATCATTGGGATGGATCTTCTGTCCGGTACATCCAATCGCAGCCAAACTTACTACGACGTCTTCTGTTGACATCGGTATAACAGAAAAGGATTTCGGTGACTTCACTCTGTACTTCCTTGCGTTCGATCACTCCAGTGGCGCGCTTAGCGCCAAGGAGAAGGAAGAGACAAGGTTCTCTCGTGAAGGTTAGTCTTGGTAACCTTCCTGCGAGCTTAATCGTGACGAAACTTCGTCTTGATTTAGGCGTGCTCGAGCTTACTCACAACCATGGCACCGAATCCGATCCGAGCTTCCAAGGATATGCCAGTGGAAACTCAGATCCCGGCCGGGGCTTCGGACACATCGCTATAACCGTTGATGATGTTGAGAAAGCTTGTGAACGATTCGAACAGCTGGGAGTTGTCTTCAAGAAGGTAGATGTTATCCACTCATGGCTTATTGTACCCGTATATTGACATTATCCTTCTTCAGAAACCCAGTGATGGAAGATGAGACACATTGCATTTATTCTGGACCCTGATGGGTGCGTGTTCACCTCGTTCTTTGCTGTTTGAATACTGATATGATGGATTACAGCTACTGGATTGAAATTGTACCCCGCGTCATTAAGTTTGATTGAGATCGGAAAGAAAAATCAAGTAACAAAAGTGTATTAGTGCGTTTTAACATGTACCGCCATATCTGCCAATCAGAGCAATAGTTCTGTGCCCCATTCATCAGCAGAATCAACAGATTGGCTTTTTTGTGCTGTTGCTCCTCCGTCAGCGTCTGCAAGTTGTATTTTCATCAGACTGGTTCCGTTTGACAGATCATCATTTGGTGTGTGAAACGCAGTTAAAAAGACAGTATGAAGACCTGCCTAGATCTTAACTTCGGGAGAAATGGCATATCCTTTCCTCCCGCTGTGTTCTTGTATGAACGACACCCTTTCTCCCGTTGTTTTTCGCCAATGAGAGGAATGGTTCCAGTGGTACTTTTCCGACACGAAAAGGTGAAACAATTCTTACCATTCCACAGCTAGAAATAAACGTTGCATCAACCTCGATGAAGTCCGACAAGTTGGCCTCATAGCCTAGTTCTGCGCCACTTGCAGAATGTTCGCTTGCCATACCAAACGAACACATGCATTTCCGCAGGTCCAAGATGGCCACCGCAAGCATAGTCAGAAAATAAGAATCCGTACCGTCAGGCTCTCACAGGACAGAGGTACAGTGATGGAGATAATCGCAAGAAGTAGCATCTAATCCACCTACATGATCCGGTCAGTTTCTTTCCCGTGAGCTGATATCAGAGGCCGGCGTGGGCTCCACACAACGACAGTACCACCTGGTCAGTGTGCTGCGGTTTTCGAAGCGATCAAGTGTACGACATTTGACTTCGAATGTGGATTCTTGGACGATATCGGACGGTCCCCGACTCAGGAATGTGGTGGTATCTCGGATGATCGTGGATGATCCAAAAGATCCGGGGAGAGGAGGTGCTAGGGGAGCAGGGGCCAAGTGGACCTATGACTCGGAGTACTCTTGCAAATGGTTTGGGGTAAGTATAAGCGCGGTACTCACACTGCTGTCCCTCAATTGTTTCCGCACAAAGGAAATCAGATGGAAATGGTTCATCGAACTGAAAGGGTTTCCTCAGATAGATTTCCTTCTGCTGGAAATCAGTGTTTTGCAGGGAGAATCCTGTTTCTGGCTTGACAAAAACTGTATATGGAAACGTTTTCAGTGTCACTATATGTTTCCTTCGTGCGGAAACTTAGACATGACAGGGGTATCAGCCAAGACAGCGAGAGCTCTGCAGACCATCTCATCTCAAGGATGTTCGAAGTTGGCGTAGTGATCGAATCCAAGGCTAGAGCGACTCTCTCGGCCTTGTTTAGGCAGGGGCAGGTCTACACTTGCAGCGGCTCATAAAAAAATGTCCGAGTTGTGTGCAGCGCGACATTCGCCAGTATGTACAGCCGGACAGAATCTCTTCGTACAGAGAGAGGATCTCCGTGGGTGTTCAAGTTAACAAAAATTCTCTAAAATCATCCACTGGCAGCTGGAGCCAACAATCAACGGAAGATGTCGTAGCTCATAACAGAGTCTTGGGAAGGGGATTGCGGTGTCCTACCTGGCGGGGAGTTGAGAAATTCGACTCAGAACGCAGACAATGGAAAAAGTCTCTGAATCTGTTACTACTTACTGACACTGTAGCCGGCACCGGCCCTCAAGGCCTTATCATGGTAGGTATCATGTCACACACACGTGACTGTGACATCCCCGCGTCTTCATAACGTCGTCGACGAATATCAATCAACCCAGCCCTTCAACATTCTCTTTACCTTACTTCACTCGAGCGCACAGCCGATTACTTCAAGATAAAGATCAGGGTTCTGTCTATTGACTCTCGGTGTATCTTGTTAGTCTGTGAATGTTCGTTTCAATTTTCGTCTCAGCCGCGGTTCATCTCTGGTCTTCAAATGTATTGGAACTCCAAGCTTGATATTATCGCGGTATCCGAGAGTGGCAGCGAATTACGACGTACGTCCTCAATGCCAAGAGCTCTGAGCATATTCTAACTATGAACTTTGCCTCCAGGATACTCCTTGTTCATGGATCCATCATCCTTTGATCTCGCATTTGTACCGTCCCTCCTCAGTATCGATACCCACCCCGCTTTACCGGAATCGCAGAACTTCATCAGACCGGCGCATCGCTTCTTTCTTTGGGACAAGACGTCTTTACGATTTCAGGAGACGGTTATTTCGCAGGCATAGAAACAAGATCGTTATATTCACACGCCAAATCCTCCATTTTCTGTCCACGGAAAGGGACCTTTCTGACACGGAAACTCTGGCCCATCCCATTCGCCAACTCCCGGACGATGTCTGGAGTGAAATTTCCATTCATTGTGTCTCAGCATTTGATGCAGAGATGAATTCCTCATCTCTTGGATCCTGTAAGGCTCCACGAGAACGGCGACCTGTGGTCCACTGTAGCAGTTAATACGCAAAAGGATGTTTTGTCGCTTTCCTGCTCGACACACGGTTATCTAGGGTGCAAGGACATGCATTATCTGTTCACTTTTTTCGGTCCAGTAGCGGGTGGGAGGGATAGATGGCCGTCTCTGTGAGCTGATCACACCTAAGGCAGCCTCGGTACTTCCCAGCCTGCGACGACGTTAATTACTGCGTTTCAACCTCCTAGAGGACTCCACTCGCAAGCATCCCTTTATTTGCTTCACGGTACGCTTATTTTCATCACTAAGTGGCTGACATACACGATCGTAGTTAGCTTTGAGCGTCTCTTTAATTAAATAAGACCTTTTTGTCAACCCCCAATGAACTTTCTTAAAAGCGACGGTGGACAAGATGAGGATCACATGCTTAATGACCGAGAGACACCTACTTAATGCCGACAATGGCAGCTCAAGCGTGGATAACATTACAGCCATCTGAAGAGTCGGGATCAGGTGCTGTACCCCGAGGGTGGTGTTACATCAATCTGAACCTGTGTCTAGTTCTTCCGAAATCCATATAGAGGACAATCTCGGAAACACGCCAATACAGTGTCGTCTAATCTCCCATGATTACCTTCTAAATCCTGACGTCCGAACCTAGACGTACAGAATAGAAGTACCACCACGGGATGAGGAATACAGGGCGTTTTATGCCCGGAATCCTCGATATGAGTAAGATCCATTACGAACAAAGCGATTACTAACCAACTCCTGCTTCATAGAACTGTGCTCTCGCGACACATTGTGTCTTTCCCGATACATACGAAGGACTTTAACAGGTTTGACGAGCTTGTCCTCGTTCATTATCTCTATCTTGGAGGAATCATTCGACGGTGACAAGATATCTTATGATGTCCGTGGGAAATCCACACACAGTATGCTGACAAACTGCCATCTTTATAAGACGATGTGAAAGCCATAAACACGACAACGGAAGTACATCTCCGGTTGCTCACATGAACGGTCACCTTTTATTACACCCAGCGAGAATTTAAGTAAGTGTCGCTTCCTCAGCTTAGACATAATCCATCATGTCTATCTCCTTATCCCCAGGACTTGCCTATCTATCCAGACTTACTCTCACTGTCGTAGTTCTGCCTTTCGCGGTTACTTGGATTCTACGAAGCGTACTCGTAAAACGCGACGTCCATATTTCTCCATGGTTCTTCTTGGTAGCTCCCGTGGTCCTGCAGTTGATCGTTCGTGTTGCGCACAGCTGGTTCACAAGCTTTATCATTCACAGAGAAGCTGCTGCAAAGGGCGCTCTCATGATGCCCAGCGTTCAAGAGAGCAGAGTCTCAATTTTGACTCGCATTGAGGATAGCTTCAGGAATGGGTATCCAGGTTCGCCTGAAGCTATACTCTTCATAGCGCTCCGTGCTGACGATCGGGGTATCAGAGGAGGTTTTTCAGAAATGGAGCGAACAGTACGGGCATACCTTTTCATTTGGCACATCGTCCGATAGACGGGTAAATGGCTTCACGGTTGCTTGTGCTTCTGGTTGTAACGGCTATACCAGATCTTTACGACTGAGCCAGAACATATCAAGGCGAGTACTGGTGCCTAACATTGAATGTTATTTCCTGACTTTCATCAGGCTGTCCTAGCGACACAATTCCAGAACTTTGAAAAAGGTCTTGTTCTCGTTGGTCGTCTGCCCATCTATTAACACAGGATTCCAGGTCTGGTCATCTTCAACGCTGCCAAAGCTCTTTCCGGTGTAGGCGTCTTCAATTCCGATGGTGAGTTTAGCCAAATTAAATGCTCCAGACAAGTGTGTTTACTAATTCATGGCAGGCGAGATGTGGAAGTAAGCATACCCCACATGTTCTTCACGCCTTAGGCTTATCCTTCTACTGCCTCCGATCAGGTTTCATAGGACGACCGCGAGGCCTTTCTTCAACAAGGCTCGTATTTCTGACTTTGACAACTTCGAGAGGCACACAATCAATACGATGTCACAAATCAAGGCGAGGCTGAGGGAAGGATATCCTATCAATTTCCAGGTAGGGTTTTCAATGACCCTGGTGAATTTTAGCCGCTATCTTATAATGTGCCTAGGACGCCGTCGCTCGGTTTACGATGGACTCCTCCACTGAGTATCTCTTTGGCAAAGACGTTGGTTCGTTGGCCGCTGGCCTTTCCTACCCTCCCGGGTCGCCGATGGCGGGAAATCCTCATTTTGTTAATCATCCCTCTAACTCTTTCGTTGAGGCGTTTGCGAAGGCACAAGAGCAAACAATTGTTCGACTTCAGAGGGGACCATCCTGGCCCCTTCGTGAATTATGGGCAGACGGAGTTCACCCGCTGCGGCAAGTCATGAACCATTTTGTCCAACCCATGCTCTCCGACGCATTTGATCGAAAGGCTAAAGGAGTGAAGCCTGTGGATTTGGAAAAAGACCTCGAGAACATGTCCTTGTTAGACCGTCTTGTTCAGGACACCGACGGTAGACGTATTCTGTCTCATGTTCAAATGCTATGGTATACTAATTTGATGTTCTTCAGACCCTAAAGTCATTCAGGACGAGCTCATTAACATATTGGTAGCTGGTAGAGACACGGTGAGCTCTCCAACTTGTGTGGCTTTTACTTGACGATGTACTCACACAGTATCTACATGTAGACCTCTTCCCTGCTAACCTTCGCGGTGTATATGATGTGTGAACATCCCGATATGACTGCTCGGTTACGGTCCGAGATCCTTGAGAAAGTAGGCAACGGGAAGCCCACGTACGAGGACATCCACGATATGAAATATTTACGAGCATTCCTCAATGGTACAAGAACCATTTCCTATCCTCCTCGTCGAAATAATTTCTTATGGCATATTTCGTCCAGAAACCTTGCGCTTGTACCCAACTGTGTATGTGAAGTAGCCTTTTGAAACTGAATGCAGCTGACCATGGCATTGGACTCCAGCCCAGAAAATAATCGGTATGACATGCTATGCCTTTTTCCTAGTGCTTTTCTTATGTGGCCATTTTTATCAGCACCTCGAAAGTGGCGACGACTCTTCCGAACAATGGACGAGCACCATATTATATTCCAAGTAGTACAAGGTCAGTATCTTATCTTGATATCCTTGATGGCTGTCGGATGTCCCGCCTAGAGTGGTGTATTCTGTTTTCCTGATGCATCGACGTACAGATTTATGGGGCCCGGATGGTGAGATAAACACGATCATTAGTCCTTTGGTGCCGTTGATCCATCCCCCCCAGCTCTCGAATTTGATCCGGATCGATTCCTTGATAGCCGCGTTCATAAGTATTTGACTCCAAACCCATACATTTTCCTCCCCTTCAATGCGGGTCCTCGAATTTGCCTAGGTCAACAGGTGAGGATGCTTGGAGCTCGGAGTATCAATAAGACTTGATAATTCTTGCTAGTTTGCATACAACGAAGCCTCGTACTACCTCATTCGACTTCTGCAAAACTTCTCTTCGTTCAGCCTCGCCACGGATGCCCAACCTTCTGAAGGTATTCCCCCAAAGAGCTGGACGCCAGCGCCGGGGACGACCAAAGGCAAGGATAAGATTATGTTAGGAATACATATCACGCTATTTGCCAAGGTACGTTCTTTGAGAATTCCGTCGGTGTGAAAAGCTGAGTTGACCTTTTATTTGTCAGGGCGGGTTGTGGGTCAAGATGGAAGAAACGAAGGAAGAAGCGGCGGTATGATTGGTACTAACCGGTTTTTTCTAGCCTCGATCTCTCTCATGTACTTAAATTTGAAAGCCGTATTCACCATGATTAATACTGTCGGTACTCACCGTAACAGATCTGTGCGTGGACCGGGTTTTTATACCTGCTGATATCTGGCGCAGATGTACCCCGAATGCCAACACATGGATACTCAAGTACTTATCGACGTTGCTTACCATTGTGATATTGCGAGTCCCACAAAATAGATTAAATAACCTCCTCACCTGATATCCCGTGTCCGACCTCACCCATGCACATCTCTGGACTGTACTCATAAAGCCGGGGAAGAGATACCAGACTCAATATATGGAACATCCTGCTAGTCAACGGACCAATCCCAACCATCTGGGCTTTGTCCATAAACCCACAGTCCACCATCCCAGCAGATGTCTAATGCAAAACCACAGCGGCGAAGTGCGGGTGAAAGTTTTCGTAACTTGGAATCAACAATAGACCAGCGATTCTTTTGAATTTTGGCCATGGAGCACCCTTGAAGCAGAAGAAGATCGGACGCGAACAGCGATCTCCACAAGATACGAAAAAATGAAAACCCCGTCCCTCGTAAATTCCTCTATGACATTCGTTCAGTCAGTCAATCAGTCGCGTCGGTATCTATGTCTTTATCTCCGCATGATGAAGACGGTATAAAAGACTCAACAAATTGAGGAATCTATATTCTCAACTCGCAGCTTCATAACATGTTTGCTCGTATCTCTGCTTTCTCTCTTGCCATCCTGGCTTTACCTCTTCTCGTGGCCAGTAGCTCTATCCCAAGACAAGAGACTAACACGACCGTCACCGGCGGCAAGTGTAACACCGGTTCAGCGCAATGCTGCAAGTCTGTTCAGGACGTGAGTTCCTCATTATCTCTTTCATCTTTCTCAAGGAATACCACTAATTATCATATACTCTTAGCCCAAGTCTGACGCTGCCCAGAATGCCTTGGGTCTTTTGGGAATCCCCATCGGTGCTGTCACCGCCAACGTGTAAGTTGAATATATTTGTTCGCATAAATCGATGCTGATTGGATCTACAGTGGTCTCACTTGTGACCCCATCACCGTCATCGGCCTCGGTACGACATCGTGTGCTAACCAGCCCGTTTGCTGCGAGAACAACAGCTTTGTGAGTACTCACCGGCTGTGCGACGAGAAACTCACTAAAATTCATCTTTTGTAGAATGGTGTGGTCGCTCTGGGCTGTACTCCCCTTAACGTAGTAGCTTAATAGAAATGCTCTGTTTATTCAGAATTATATCCAACATTCTCCTTCAGGCTACAGCTGGCTATGCTTCCTTATGGAAATTGAATCCGTAGTGTTCTCCTCATTACAACAGGCATTTTATCCAAAACATGGACTGCCTCGTCAATAACCCAGTCAAGGAATGCGATGAGCATGACCTCCTTACCCACTTGCCCAAGCACGTCACTGGTATCGTAAGTCAGCCGCACGTTGAATTTATCCAATACAAACCGATCGAGCGCTTCAAACACCTGCAAAGAGACCTCCTCCGATAGCGACGGTTCCAGTGTAACAGAAAGAAAGTCAGCTCTGCGTATAGCCCTATCAAATTTGTCTTGACATCCCTGTAAAGCAGCATGGAAATTGAAGATATGCTCCGATACAAAGATGCAGGATTTGCGCAGGGAAGGGTTTTTTACTAGCTGGAAAACCGACAAGGCGCGGTTGTAGCGAGAGATGAAGGGTTTTTCATTGAGCAGTATCCCCATGAGGGCTGCGTAGAGCTCTGCATCGACTGGATCGCATGATAATGGCACCTGTGCCATAACTGTCGGGATCACCGATAAATGTCGCATCAATGAGATGAACTTTTGTCGATCATATTTGTTTACTGGTTCATGATCGTAAACACGTATGGTACGCAGCATACGTTCTTTCCCCAGAAACGTGATAGCACCATCATATTTGACATTGGCAAGAAGAACGTTATTGAAAGCATCGGTCTCAGAGAGGGAGAGCTTCGTTATGGGAAATGTGAAAAGATCATCGGGTAATCTGAAAAGGTTCCAATTGGTTGACGACGACTGGTCCATGCCCTCAGGGAACACGAATGCGCTTTCCCCATTGACGAGTTTGACGGTAGGTTTCTCCTGGCGAATTTTGAGCAGTGAACTGTTCACTGGGATAGGCCCACCCTCGTACACGTGACTGACGGAACGTAAGACGACAGCAATCCGAGGGCTGACGACAAAAATACGATGAATGTGGTTGCCTATTCCCGAAATACCCTCCCACAATCCAAACCCACTAGTCAGAATGAATTCTGACGCGGCATTAGCCTCCCATATGCACAAGAAATAATCCTCAGCCTGCATATAGTACGCAACGGCCTCGTAATGCTCGAAGTTGGGATCAATATGGGTCGCCGCCGCACTATCGACCTTCTCCCGGCCATGTTGATCATACAACGCCTGGGCATGGTTAAGAATCTGTGGATGAGGGGTATCCAAGTAATAGCGGAGGACGTGTAACCACACATCGGTATGCGTCTGACACTGATGTTTGGTTTTGTAGCACTCAAGCCATGAACGAAGAGGCGGGCCTCCAGTGGGATGATCAGGATTGAAGTACGACCCTCGGACTCCTAATTTGCGATAATGCATTATGAATAAGAACTTCCGCAACCGTTGGAGATCATGCCGTTTCAGAATGGCTTTCCCACTGGAAAGACTGGAATGAAGACCTTCGATGATAACAGCGGCGTCTCTTTCTAGCACGGAAAGCTTTTCCTCCAGCTCATTGACGTTGCTGGGGTTGCTTGCGTCCCTATAAAGATTCTTGAGCCCATAGATGGTCCCGATCGAACGAACATCAAGGCTCCCTGACGCCAAGTCGTAGTAAAAGACATGGTCAGGATCGATGTGTGTCCGTTGATACTCTTTGCGTCGCTCTGCTTTGGATCTATAAACATCAGTTAAGAGAGGGGCCACGTGGTGCAGGCGTTCACTCACTTGCGAGGACCAGTATGAAAACGCCGCAATATGAATCTCGGAATGGAGTGATGGAACTGGTCTCTGGGAGCGGGTGAGGGTGTGATGGTAGATACGATAGTTGTCCTGGCTCGACGAGGCATTGGTGCTAGTGGTAACAAAGTAAGCGCCAGAATCGCGTGGCCGGGTAGGTAGTAACAGAGTCTGATGGGCATTGCCTTACTTCGTTTCCAGGGCCTAGATACCCTTGAGATGCGTGATTTCTTGGATCCGGACGGCGGCGTCACATATCGATATTAAAGAGCTATTCATTCTCCTCGTACAAAGTCCATTTGAGTGCGTTGGATCGTATCGGAGTTCTCAAAGTATCTGAGTTTTGGATTTGTTGGAAACGTCCACCATAGATTAGTAGATATAGTAGGCCAATTTCAGCAGGTTCGCGTGTATGACCATAATCTATAGAAAAGTTAATAAGCTGTGATGCGTTTAGTATGGGAGGGAAGAAAAATTGTAAGAAACGAATACTTACCGTTAGTCATGGTGAACCACTGATGTAACAGAGCTACTATGACGTAGAGATGACAGAGACCCTTCGTGTGTACAGCTGCTATAGATGAGATCAGCAGATGTGTCCTAGGCAGTTTGTAGAAGAAAAGCAGGATGGAGTAGTAGGGTACCTTGTGGTCGGGGGTTACGGGCCGAAAATTCTCACGAGTCACTTTTCCTAGCGTTTCCCTTCTACAGTCATCAGCAGTGGCGTCCAGATTTCATTCTCAGACGAGCGTCCAGTTTGCGAACATTGGTGACGTCAAACTGCTATACTTACCCATTGGAACTGGTACCAAATGATTCTCCACACGAGTGGAGGGACCAAGGTACATAGTACACGTTCCTAATCCTTGAGCCGAATACGCAGTATATGTACTCCAAGGTCTCCTAGGGCGAAGTGCCATCGGTCGCGATAGGTATCTGGCCTATTTCTCACCGATGTTGCTTTGACACTGACTGTACTTCTCTGTTTTTCAGCGGACAACGTTGGATTTTGAAACACCTAGGATTGTCGAAGTCTTGGAAATCAAGGTGGAGCTGGCTCGAATTACTGTTCTCTTCCCTATCTCATACTCATCCAAGCTGAAATCATGACGGAGTTCTTTCCTCAAGAGCTCATCGATGCAATAATCGACGAGGTTCACGACTTCGATGATCTCAAAGCGTGCTCCCTCACCTGTCGCAATTTTTCCTCACGTAGCCGCACCCTGCTCTTTCAGCAGCTCAATCTTAACGGGAAATCCCATCTCGATGCGTTCCAGAGATTCCACGACCTATGTGTGGTATCCTCACATATTCCTTCCCTCGTGCGGACACTCTGTATCCACGAGTATCATCGTGGCGCTCTTCGTCCCAGGTCCGACATCGTCAACTCTCTCCTCCGATTAATGCAGAATCTCGAAGTCATCAAATTTTATGATGTCACTAGCTTCGCCGACTTCTGCGATGGATCGCTGGCGCGGCTCTCATCTCACTCATTCCGCGAAATATATCTTTATGACATCTTCTTTCTCAAGAATGGGTTGGACCAGATGTGCTCCATATTACAAGGGTCCCCAAAGCTGGAACGGTTATTTGTGCATCATACTAGCCCGTATACGATATCTATGTTTGGAGGCGATGAGACGAGCCAGCCAAGACTGGAGCACACGCACGTTACACGTCGCGGACCTCTTATCCGAGACTTGAGCGTCGTGAGCAGCTATTCATATAGGTGTCCTGCCCTCATCGAAGCGATATTGGAGACAAAAACCTGTCCTGTATCTATCAACGAACTGCATCAGTTTGCATTTAGTCTTAGCAACATTATCGACTTCCAGCATCTCGACAAAATGCTCACACTGACATCAGACACGCTTCGCGTTCTGTTGTTGACATTCAATTGTTGTGAGTATTTGTATGTGCACCTCTTTGCCTTATGTTCTTATCAGAGATATGGCAGCAAACGCTCATCCATTGGACAGACTTCCTATCGTCAGAATGGGGCATCTACGAAAGATTACTTTCATGATCACACATGGGCTCTATGGATCTTACTGCTTGCTATGGTGGATCCAAAGCCTGAAGAGAGTGACAGCTTCTGATGAAATGCCAGCCTTGCGGATAATGGACATCGAATTAGGGCCTTCGTTCAGTTTGGTGATCCCCGCGTCGCAGCCAGAGTGGAACGAGTTTGACCAGATCCTCGCCAGCCCACCATTTGACGACGTGTTTTCAAACGCTGACGATCGAGGTTCAGAAGAGGTCGTCGGACGAAGAGGAGAATCACTGGGACCAAGGTTCGTTATCCTTGCCGTTGATGAACTTTCTGCGCGCCCCTCGGAAGAGCCTCGAAGTCAGGGCGGAGGATCTTAAAGCGCAGTTCCCCCGACTTGCAGCAAAGGGTAAACTTTCAGTCAAGGTCATATAGTGCGTACCCCAGTCTTGTATTTTTAGAATTTCGAATGCTTATTACGGGATGTGCGATGTAGATAGTCGACGCGATGGTAATTCTGGTTCTGCTGTGTATTAGCAGAACTCTTTTTTTTTTTACGACGGAAACTTTATAAAGAGCGGAGTAGTGTACAGACAGAAGTATTTGAATCTAGCAACGAAGCAACGAATGTATTATTTATGTGAGTCTTTGAGTCGTGTTCTGAAAGTATATCACCTTGGTGTTTCTTCTTGTAAACATGGGTATATGCAGCAATAGTGCCAAATAAATGTGAGGTACTGAGCCTGGGAATTTTCTTCGCTTGACACCTTTCCCTCGTCATCCATCCACAACTTCAAGCTTCATCTTCAAGCAACCTCCTTACCGCCATGGACAACACCCAAATCTTTGAAGCGGCCCTCTAGTAATTCCATCGACTTGAAACATTCTCCCAACCTCTTACTATTTTCTTCGCGTTCAAAACCGAGATTCTATTGCTGATAGCGGAATGTCGCGGCAAAACACGTACAGTTGCCTTGGCATGGAACAACACACGGTGCGTATAGGGTTGTTACTGCTCCTCTGACCGCGTACTGATGCCAGACCATTGTCTAAAGAATACACGCACATCGTTCATTTTCGTCACTGCCGGTCCTCACTCATACCACGCTGGAAAGGCGAACAAGGCACCAGAGAGCCTGGTGACGAGCCTAATAGAAGGGATGACGACCGTTAGGGCCCATCTACAAATTTTCTTTCCGATAGGCATATGATCCAGTTCCGGACCGCTTCTCTGATTGCGAAGCTCAAAACCTACCCCATGGCACTACCACGGAACGGACTAAGTTTGGCCCTCACCATTACGATAATCCATCGATGAGCGACTTCAAGCTAGCTATCGAGACCTCCGAGTATCATGTTGAAGGGCCTCGTCCTGGGTTCTTTGGAAGGATTTTGAAGGCAGAACCTGAGCGCGCGTTGTTGGATGACCTGGCACGCATGAACGAGACCGTGTTGGATCCGGTGGTCGTTAAGAGGATTGAGCGAAGGGTTGACTTGCTGGTTATTCCTGCATTGGCCGTTTGTTATATGGTGAGTCCGCCTAACTGTTTATTCCCAGTCATTCTAACATTTGACGCTCTAGTTTTACTATATGTATGTGGTGTTTTACGATTGTGAAATTCCACCACTGACCAGGTTTACGCAGCGATAAGACGACGCTTTCGTATGCTGCGATCTTCGGGAGTGAGTTGCCCTTGTTCGCTTCGTTATAATCCTCTCATTTTCGTCGACTACAGTCAAGGAAGATCTAGCTTTAGGGAAAACGGAATATGTACGCGTGCTCGTTCCGCGTTGTTTAACTCGTCTTATCGTGCAGTAAACGCCAACAGCAATGGCTATCAAGTGTCTTCTACTGTGCGCATGAGCCTTCTATATTCTTCTCCGTGAACTCATTGAATCTTCAGTTGGCTGGCTGTTCTGGGCTTTCCCGACAAATCTCCTTATGCAGAAATTTCCTATCGCAAAATACCTCGCTGTCAACGTGTGTTCACTTCTGCGATACCTATTAGACCCCACCATGACATCGTGATTCCTGGCAGATTTTCTTCTGGGGCGTGCTTCTCATGGCACAAGCAACAGCGAAGGACTTCAAAGACATGATGATCCTGCGCATTCTCTCTGGCGCGGCAGAGTCTACAGCTGACCCTGCCTTCGTTCTGATCACCGGGCTGTGGTATACACGTAGCCAGCAACCCATCCGAATCGGACTCTGGTATAGCGCAAATGGTATTGGGATCGCCCTCGGTGGGTTATTGGGATATGCCATTGGACATGTATGTGCTCAATTCTTCGGACTAGGATGGTTGTCTTGATGCGCTCTTCCTCAGATCAAAGGTGCTCTTCCGTCGTGGCGCTACGAATTTCTTATCATCGGAGCGCTCTGCTCGTTCTGGGCGATCGTCATGTTCACGTTTGTTCCTGATTCTCCATATTACAAGTCACGGTGGTTCAAGGATGAGGATCGGCTTGTAGTTCTGAGTCGTAAGAGGGATGATCAAGCTGGTGCTGATACTCACAGGTCGGTACTTTATTGGTAATGCTGGTGATAACGGTCTGAGCATACTGTAGAGTGAAGCCTGATCAGATTGTCGAAGCGTTCTGCGATCCCAAGATTTATCTCTTCTTCCTGCTCGGGTTTTCTTCAAACATCCCGAATGTGTGTTTCTTATTTGTCCCGGGACTTCGTGGAAGCTAATGATACCCTCTAGGGCGGAATTTCGAACTTGTAAGACTCACGTGGGCTTCGATATTACAACCATTTCTTATCTTTCTCTGCCAGCGGAACGCTCATTATACAAGGCTTCGGTTTCGACACACTCGAGACGAGTTTGATGCAGATCCCTTACGGTTTCTTCATCTGCTTCTGGTGTGTTCATCAGTGATACTCCATGTCGAGTGCTCAAACACACACAGTATCCTATTTTCTGTGTGGCTTAACACCAAAGCACCGAAGAATAGCAGAACCCTCCTCATGATCGTCTTTCTCCTGCCTAACATCATTGGTAGCTGTGTAAGGTCGTCAAACCAACCTAAGCTAGTCTGCTGATCTGATCCTTGGGTTTAGATGATGGCTTGGGGTCCCGCAACCTCAAAGCCTACGCGTTTGGTTGGGTACTGGTTGACTGGGTCGTATAACGCTACGTTTGTCCTCGGATTGTCACTTGTATCCGGAAACGTCGGTGGTCAAACGAAGAAAGGTGGAACTCTATGATGTATGCGGGCTTTGGTTCTTTCTCACTCTATTTATTCTAGCTATCGCCAATGCGGCTGTCTTCCTAGGTCTATGTACAGGGTATGTAGACAACACCGTTAAAGGCATATATGCGGCTAAACCACCGGTGATACCTAGAAACATTGTCGGACCCTTTCTCTTCAAGACTTCAGAGGCACCAAAATACACTACCGGCATTGTAGGTATGCTCGTCGCCAACATCGTTGAAGTCTTTGTTATTCTGGCCTTGAGGACCCTGTTCTTGACGTCGAATAAGCGGAGAGACAGAAAGTTGGCGGAAGGAGGAGTCAAGTGCACAGCGATAGTGGATGATATAACGGATTTTGCGAATCCTGCGTTTAGATATGTAGCTGTAGGTTCCAAGTTCGTTTTCGGGCATTGGAAATTGACTGATGATGTTACAGTGAGATGGCTGTAGGCCATCATTACTGTGTGCTTATGGGTACAGATGTGTTCTATACAATCTTAATCCTTTCGGGTGAACGCAGACGCATTGCTGTAACTTGCCGGCACCACCACGCTTACGAATGTCTTAACTCGTACTGAAACAGCTCCGCGACCACCCAGCCTCTATCGCGCCACGGTCCATCGACATCCTCAAATACCATTCTGTGGTAAGCGTGAATCTTCAATACCGTGCGACCTATTAAGTAGGGTGATGTGACATGGTGTGGGACTTGCTATGTTCGAGAATTCGGCCCGAGGTCCGGGTCCAGCGTTAAGACGTTTTCAGCTACTAACGGCAACAGGACTACAACCATCATGAGTCTAACGAGACCGTCCTCTGTTATCGATCGTTTCCCCTACTTACCAATCGAAATCATCGCGCTCATTATCGAGGGGATATGGGCTCTTCCCTTGAGCAAAAAGGAGCGTCATTTCTTCATGAGGGCCTCACTTCGCGTTTGTCGAATATGGATGCTCACTTTCCTACGAGTCTCATTCACACATCTGCATATCGTTTCATATGCTTACTACAAGTACATCGTACTCCTTCAAACCGATCCCGTTTTCACTTCTAGCATCGTCACAGATTCCGACGGTGCACAGCTCTCTCTAGGCGCTTATTTCTGTCGCTGCTGTCGTTCCCTCACCGTCTCCGTCCAAGACACATTATTCTACGGCTTCCCCCTAATATTCACAAATCTATCCCATATCCGACATATAACACTCCTCTACCATAATGTCAGCCAACAAATGCCTTTTGCCTACATCAGCCGGTTCAACACCCTCTTCCCCCCTAGAACCATCGATTCCCTAGAAATGCGATTCACATACGACGTCCAAGACGCCGATTACTCTGCCCGTTTCCAGTATCTCTACCACTCGAAAGAGTTCTACTACCCCCCAAAGTTCTACTCCCCAGCAGTCAACCACGGAGGTGTTTTACAATCCAAATCCCTCATCTTGCCGTATATCCACCATTTGACTATCAACGGCGCCAACCCGGCGTTGGTGCTCCTGGTCAAGTGTATATGCCCAGCTCTAGAGAGCTTCGAGACGGATGGAGACCCGGTGGTGCTTGAATTGGGATTCGACGCTGCGAACGTCCGTCCGCCGCCTGAAACACCTGAAGAGCAGTTCTGGGCCGATAACAGGTATACGAGCTGGGACGAACTGCCGGAGTGGATAAAGGAACTGGAACCGCAACATGTGGAGGAAGAAGTGGTGACGGAGTACGTAGATTCCAACAGTGACACGTATGACACACCGCTTCCGTTGCCGGTTCCGGTTCCGGTTCGCAGAGAGCGAAATAATCTCTGGATCGATGCGATCAACTTGTGGAGGCTCATTTGGGATATAAGATGTCTAGTCGGGGTGTGGTGAGAGAGAAAAGGGTAGTCATGTTCGAATTCTCAGGATCTGGCTGAACCACTGTCTTCGGTGCGAAGGGAAGCCCTTCTCCCATAAATCCCGGTCAATGAGATGGTGCCTCCACGGAGCGTTCCTCTTCCGTCGCAGCATAGCGAGCTCGTAGGCGAGATACGGAGGGAGAGGTGGTCGTGGTGGCGCTTGGACGTGGGCCTTGAGCGCAAAGACGCGGCAGAACCAACACATGCTGAAATGTGGGGCCATGGTCGCCCTAGCTAGTAATAAAGCGCGTCGAAAAGGAGACACAGACCACCTGATAAGATGAAAATGTCAATTATCTTGTCCCAAACGTCGACGAGTTGGTAACGCACTCGATCACGGATGGCTGCGTTCCCGAATCCTTCCGTGGCTTCACTTTCTTGGTCTTCTATCCTCCTTGTGAAGGGTTTTTTTTCTGCCATGACTGTCTTGAGGCTGCGCAGAGATGTGGAAATTGGACTTCTTCAAGTTCGAGGGGAGCTAGCTCTGATATCAAATCCCCTGAGGCGTTCGACCATTTGTTATACTGTAGCACCACATGACGAGAATTTGAGAATGGGAGGTACAGTGTCCAGGAACGCTGAGAAGGACCAGGGTAAGGAGACGAAAGCCAGTAATTGGGATATATAACGAGTCGGAGTCGAGGACGTGGCCTCGAGGAGAGCGAGCTGTTGTGTGGAGCCTGGCCTGTTGTGTGACTGGACTGGCCCCAAATTGGAATCGGCCTGAAAGCCGAAAGTACTGGCGAGTACCTGTAATGCAGGGCGCTGTGGTGTTAATGCATGTTTCGTCTCGGGGATGAAGTTAGAGATGTAATAAATACTCGTAATATGAACATGGAGTCGAGTTAGAAGAGTAATACATAGGTGTACAAATGAATCGAGTGCGACTCATGGTAGGCATGCCAGTTCAAAGAGTAGCATAGCTTGTAATGAATGCCTATCAGACATAGTAATCTTGCACTGTCAGGTTCTTAACCTGGAACACCGCATCCGGGTCATTCTCAGCGATACGTGTCGCCTTCCGGTCATGGACATTCTTCACCCTTGCACGGACATACTCTGAAAGCACAAACCATGAATACTACGCCAACAAACTTGCAGGACATAGTACGTACCATACCCACTGACTGAGTCCTCAGTAACCTTCGTTTCATCTTCAGTCACCAACCCTTCGCGGAAGAGCACAGGACTCGGAGCGGGAACCATCGGTACGTCATTACCCGGTCGCGCAAAGTAGAAGAGCCCGAGACGTTCGAGGTGCGATGGGTCGGGAGGTGGACGGACGACGCGGTGGATGGTACTCTTTATGTATCCCTAAATCGATGCAACGATGAGTTTATAGGTCATTGGCAACGAAATTGCTCCGTCGTTCACCTTGGTTAGGAATGATAACGTGTCGGCAGCATTGCAGGTAATGCCTCCTGGGACGTACTTGACCCATTTTCCACTCGTTATTGGGATCTTTGACTTGGAGGCTGAGCACATAGTCAGTGCATGTAAGCGCTACGAAGAGTTGACCTTACGCTGCAACGGGCTGCGAGAAGAGAAGGGTAAGAGAGCCTGTTATGTACTTTAAATTCCGCTTTCATGGTCATAAAACAGAAAAAATATACCAAAGTCTATATTGTCCATATCAGCATAGTACGAACGGCCTACGAAACCAGCCTACCTGTATGGCCAGCAGTCCACTGGTCTGAGATCTTTTTATCATCTTCAACTGTCCGAGGATGGTAAATCATCTACCCAGATGTTACCAATGAACAAGCCGCTGAATTGAAGAACCAACATAGCGGAGATGATCTTCTGATGGCGCCTCATAACCATGACGATCGACAAAGTAGTTCTCTGGCAGCTCCAATATTATCGTGAACAGGACAAACAGTTTCCGGATGACATCGTCCCACACTCTCCGATGGAACTGGGCAATCTCGTCGTGATAAGCTTTGACGAGCTGGTGCTGAGGGATGCTAGCATAGTCTGGTGTGAACTTGGGCACGTTCAGCTGAGGTAGAGAATACGTGAATGGCTGGAACGAGATGAGGAACGAGAAACCCCACCATTTCCATATTCTCTTTAACATCCGTACGACTGACGAACCGCGTTGGCTCTCTGTACCCAAAGTAGCTAACCGAACACTCGATAAATAAACCATAAGATAACAACAATAAAGGACTCACTTCCCAACCGAGAAATCACAAGCGAACTTCCTCTTCTCCTCAAGCGGGAGCTTGAAAAACGTGTTCCCAATAGCAAGCTGGCGGTCCAGCTCCTCTTGGGTGAAGCCTGCACCCACTACGGTCCAAAAACCCCAGCGTTTCACCGCATCTTTGAGTTCAACTGCGAGGTCCTGTTTACCGTTGGGTTCCTCGAATTTGGAGAGGTCGATGATGGCGAGCGGGGCCCAGTCGAGGGGGGCTTGAGTTGGTGAGGGGATTGGGTAGGGCTCTAGAAGGGGTTTTGGGTAGACTGGAGCAGGCATTGGGGTATGGACTGCCGGGGTGATTTCACTGGTACATTTTTAAATGAGTGAGAAAAGGACGATAGTCTCGTGCTCAGAAGGGACCTGAGGCAGGCCCGAGAAACGAGATGAGGTGATAGTTGCACCATTTCCTTGCCGTTTTTAGCTATCGTCCAGGAATAGTTGCACCTAGTGGTCACTGGCCGTGGGATGACGATGGCGCAAGAGGAATCGTCGATGATGCTAGGTTTCCATGGAGAATCTCGTCGCGATCCGCTGATAAGACTCGAGAAATGTGAACGAAGATGCAGTATGTAGACGTTGAGGGCCTTTGTACAGACTCGTCGTAGCGGCAAGAGACTGAGGAGGACCGGATGAGGAAGGATAGCAATCACGTGGATCCGACGCGCAAGGTTCAAATTAAAATTGAAACTGAGACTTCAGCTTCCTTTATCCTGACCGGGGCTGTTACGGAAACCTAAGGCTATATTCCTTCCTTGGCCACGGCCCCCATTATCCTGCTATCCCATTCGGAATTCTGACATCCACATTTCTGGTCGACATGAAAGCATCCCAAATAAGGCTAACATCTTTTCATCAGAAGCTTCTTCGCGGCGAAACCATATACTTACCCCCAGCAGTTTCTCCACTCCGCATTTCATAATGGGTTTCGACATGAGCTCGTCTTCTGAGCTCCCAATGATGAGGCGTATAAAAGTCCTTCCTTGCGGGAACAGATCCCTTTGAGGTGTATCCTCGTTTACCATTTTCCTGGGAATGGATCTTGCAGAAGGGAGTGTCGATAGCGAAAAGGCTTCCCATGGACCTGATACGCTTTTATCTGACGAAGAACTCAGGAAAGTCCAACGGCGGATTGGTATGTATCCAAATTGAAATCACCCTGGTCTTTGCTGACTTCCTCATAACAGATGTTCGCATCATCCCATGGTTATGCATAACCTACCTAGACATGCGCATCGACATCAACATCTCCAACGCCGCTATCATCAACATCGAACAAGGACACGGGATCAAGAAACAGCTGCACCTGAGTACGCAAGATTGGAACTGGATTGTTTCGTGTTTCTTCTACCCCCATGCTGCTTTTGAGCTGGTCTCTACGCTCCTGATGAAGCGTACAACGTGGGTGTGCTTCACCTAGCAAGGATACATCGTCTGATAGCCTTGCTAATAGACCGAGCTTCTGGATCGGCTAAATCATGATAACATGGGGAGTCATCGTCATGTGCATCGCATCCGTGCAAAATTACCGTGGCCTCATAACTTGCCGAGTCTGTACGTGTGTTTCTTAGTGTCATTCCCGCTGGACTCTGAGCACTTCCAGTACTGGGTGCCGCCGAAGCGGGGTACTACCCCTGTGTGATATACTACCTCGCATTCTGGTTTAGACCAGAAGAGCCGGCCCTCCGAGTTGCTGCATTCCACTCGTTCGGCCAGGTTAGCGGTTTCATAGGGGGTTTCCTGGCGTTTGCGATTTCATATGCGGATGGGGTTCTAGCGGGATGGAGATGGCTCTTTATCATCGGCAAGTGTGTGTTCATTTCCTTTTGACTTTTTTTCCTGACGCTGAGCAGAAGGTATACCGGCAATCCTAATGGGGGGTGACGACTTTCTTCATACTCCCCGATTTTCCGCAGACAGCTACATTCTTGACAGAGCGCGAACAAGCGAAGATAATCGATCGGTTGTCTAGAGATGCCCCTTCGAAGGAGGGAAAGACTTGGGATAAGGGCGAGGTGTTGAGGCTCTTTGCGGATCCGACATTTTGGACGTTCTCTGCAGTGTGGTTTTGCCATGCAGTGGGTGGATTTGGGTTGTCGTATGTCCTGCCTACAGTGATATACGAGCTTGGTAGGTGTTCTGTTGCTCCCGGCAGTGAAGTATTGAAATCTGTTGTAGGATCTACAACCACGGCGCTGAGCAACGTACTTTCTATGGCCCCGTCACTAAGCGTGTTTGTATTACTGAACACGCTAGGATGGCTCATCCAGAAGCGTTTTTGGAACTCTTTCCAGATAGTTATGGGGCGTGCGTGGTTGGTTCTCTGTCTGTCCAGATGTAGTTGACTGATCGTCTGGCGGTACTAGTGGAGTTTACCAATATCATCTACTGTATAATACTGCTCACCGTGAACGTGAGTCACTCTCGACGTCCGACACATCGGCCTTTTCTGACCGGGCTCCAGGTGCCTGTGGTGCGCTACTTTGCACTGCTCGTAGCAACTGCAACCGCTGGGTCTGTGTACGCCGTGCTCTGGCCAAACCGTTTGAAGCCGCCCGGGGAACATCAGCCGCTGGGATGGTGATAGGCATTACTAATGCCATTGCACAGTTCCCGGGTATCCTTGGGCTGCAAGTCTTTTCTGGTTAGTCGCGTCTTTTGATGCTGAGGGCACCCCCCAAGTTGACATGCCGCTGCTCATAGGCATATACGGACCATCATACAAGGTCTCGTTTTCTGTTTGTGTGGACCTTTTGGCGGGTGCGGTGGTGTGGATTGGGACATCTGCTGTGTTGTTGCATCGATTGTGGGGAGATGGGAGGACTGGTGGTGTCTCGTCGAAGAGAAGTATTGAAGAAGTGAAGTAAATTAAATTCTTGGGAGATAAATGTATGGGTTTAGCTGCTGGCTGTTCTTCGATATTTCCATTTCTCACGTGTACAACTCACCCAAGAATGCACTTGAGCAACATTGAGGCCTGAATTCACATTTTAGTCTCGGATATTTAACACAGAACTCGAATTCTCTGGAAGTAAAAAAAGTCCAGAAGGATATTTTGCGCGAGCCAAAAGATAGCTTGAGGCATTTTCACCAGACTCGGGCGTAGGAAGTAAAAACGGGAAGGACCTTGAATTCAAAACGCGAAACACCGACAAGTCTCAAAACTTTACAGCAACACATCAACGTTCACCTAAAAGGATTAGGATTATATAGAACCCGTAACCACACAGTAACACATCTACTACAATATCATCAGTCAATTTCCCACACTTGAAAAGGATTGAACCTACAACCCTACGCTACATATCTAAACGCAGGATTCGCAAAATCCGTTATATCATCCACCATCGCTGTGCACTTGACTCCTCCTTCCGCCATCTCTCAGTCTCTCCGCTTATTCGACGTCAAGAACAGGGTCCTCAAGGCTAGAATCACGAAGACTCCGACGATATTGGCGACAATACCGGTGGTGTATTTTGGTGCCTCTGAAGTCTTGAAGAGAAAGCGCCTGACGATGTTTCTAGGTATCACCAGCGAGTTAGTTACGCATATTCTTTTAACAGCTTCGCCTGCATACCCTGTACATAGACCCAAGAAGACAGCCGCATTGGTGATGGCTAGAATAATCGAAGTGAGAAGAGATCAAAACCTGAATAATCTTTGGACTCCTACCTTTCTTCGTTTGACCACCGACGTTTCCATATACAAGTGACAGTCCGAGGACGAACGTAGCACTGTACGATCCAGTCAACCAGTAACCAATCAGGCGCGTAGGCTTTGAAGTTGCAGGACCCCAAGCCTTCATCTGAGCCCAAGGATCAGATCAGCAGACTAGCTTAGCTAGTTTGATGCCCTTACACAAGCTACCAACGATGTTAGGCAGGAGAAAGACGATCATGAGGAGGGTTCTGCTATTCTTTGAAGCTTTGGTGTTAAGTCAGACAGAAAATAGGATGCTATGTATGCTTTAGCACTCGATATGGGATATCACCGATGATAAACGCACCAGAAGCAGATGAAGGAACCGTACGGAATCTGCATCAAAGTCATCTCGAGTGTGTCAAAACCGAAACCTTGTATAATGAGGGTTCTGCTAGTAGAAGAGGATAAGAAACTGCTCGATTAGCAAAGTCCACGCAAGTCCACGCAAGTCTTACAAGTTCGAAATTCCACCCTAGAGGATACCATTAGCTTCCACTCAATGTACCGGGATAAACAAGAGACATACGTTTGGGATGTTTGAGGAAAAGCCGAGCTGGAAGAAGAGATAAATTTTGAGGTCGCAGAACGCTTCGACGATTTGATCAGGCTTCGCTCTAAAATGCGCTCAGCATGTAGCAAACAGCTGATGTGGAAATAACCAGAAAGTCTACCCTTCGCTCAATCCGCTTCACAACTACTAGATCCAACACAGTCTCATTCATGCGTGCCAAGTCATCCAACAATGCGCGTGCTCAGGTTTTGCCTTCAAAATCTTTCCAAGGAATCCAGGACGATGCTCTTCGACATGATACTCGGAGGTCTTGATAGTCGGCTTGAAGTCGCTTATCGATGGATTATCATGTTGGTGAGGGCCAAACTTAGTCCGTTCCGTGTGGGGCCACAGGGTACGATTTGAGCTTCGCAATCAGAGAAGCGGTCTGGAACTGGGCCATATGCTTAACGGGAAAAAAAAAGAAGATTTGTAGATGAAGCCCAATGGTCCACTAGGCTCGTCACTGGGTCTTGTCTGCCTTTCCAAAATGACGCATAGTAAAGACGAGCAGTGACAAAAGCGAACGATGGGTGACCTTCAGGTCTGTATTCTTTAGATAATGGTCTGGCGTCAGTACGTGGTCGAAGGCGCAACAAGAGCCTGATACGCACCGTGTGCCGCTACATATCAACTGTACGTGCCGCAACACAACGCAACATTCCGCTGTCTGCGATTGGAACTTGGTGTTGAACGCGAAGAAAATAAGAGGCTGGGAGAGGGCCTCAGGTCGGTGAACCTATTAAAGGACGGTCTCGAAATCTTGGATGCTATCCATGGTGGTAAAGCATATTGTTGGACGTTGCTTGAAGGTGAAGTTGTAGATGGATGGAGAGGGAAAGTGTCAAGCGAAGAACATTCCCAGGCTCAGTACGTCACATTTTATTTATTACTGATAAGACCCTCCTAGTTGCCAAAAGACTCGCAATTTGCCTAGCATCTACCAGTGTCTAGCATATTTTCCGAGAGTGTAAACTTTCCAGGGGATGCTCTTGGCTGTCATCTTCATTTCGAAGGAAACCGGGGCTTGCTAAGTGCGTCGTTTTTCTTGCTTTCATGGCTCATCGTCATTCATGCAATATATGCCAGCCGGGTATTGCGGCTTCTTACTGTAGCTAAGAAATTCTTTTACGAAATTCAAAAGTTATGTATTGATTGAGAAGAACTTTACGACAGCCCTTTTCTACCTTGACGCTCCTCACCATGGTGTATTATCCCTTCACAATCTTCATACCAGGATATGGGACTTCGCTGATAGGCGCCAGCGAACATATCGCTTCCTTTCACACAAACCAAGAGAACGGGTCAACGAAGCCATGGTCATATAGCATGGTTGCCTTCTCTGTGACCTCCATCCTCACTCTTGCATTTGTCTCCGAACAACTATGACCGGGAACAAAGCATTCAGAACTAGCGTCGTTCGCAGCACTGCTGTCGCAAAGCTCGGATCTTTCTGAACCCTGGATGTTTTGCCTGTGAGATTGTGAAAGGGTGAGGGTGTCGATTGATGTCGCTGTCGCTGTCGATGATATTGATCTTTGTCACACAGCTTCTGCACTGCGTATTTCTGCCATTGGTATTTATTAATAACCTCTCTTTCATAGCATCTTAAGTGATGTACTGCCATACTCCGATGTTGGCCATCACTGGTACAGGTCATTCAAAGCTCTCAGAGTTCGTACTCGGTCTCGGTTGATAGAACAAGAGCTGTCTGCAGGACGGGTCAAAGCTCGTCCATTCGTTGTCCTATCATTCACATCTGGAAACAGGGAAGTGAATTGAACAAGCGGCTATTTGTGAGTCTCCATCATTAGCTAACTATGAGATGATTGGAGAATGGTCTAACTGAGTCGTTATCAGCCGCGGAATCTTTGTGCTTGTGCTTGGACCGTTGGTGGGTTAGTTCATCTTCTGTTGATAATGTAAAGGGTAGGCAAAACCTGTGGGCTGTTTTATTCCGAGTGAACGGTTTTGAGAGGTGAGATCATCGATGCGCTTTGATGTTCTATGTCTGCTGATGTGTAACATTAAATACCTCCATCATTACGACCACCTCCCCATCACATGTACGACAGCATTGGCGCTTAAGATGGAGAGGAAATGAGATGTGTAGTGGGCGAATACTACTATATCTCGGTGCACAACTGTGTATCGAGCGTTGGAGCTGGGAAATCGATTCATTCCATATGCATTCAACACATTCACTGTCCTTATTGAAAAATATCGACACATCTAAGTTCAAGTTGATCGGGCTATGCCGCTGTATGTAATTCAGCTGTGGCCGATCACCTCATGTGTTGTTCTTGGCACTCGCAGATGCCTCATGTATTTAAGCCAGACCATAGAGGCTGTCATCTGCTTCTTACCCTCTTGATTACACACCTCGACGACTTTGCCAGAGCAAGGAGCATTGGAACTTGTCTTTTGGAATCATCTACCTGTTGTGCTGCACATCTACATCTTACTGACACTTAACTAGGTGAACATGGGAAACAGTATGTATCTTTCATCTACCTTTGTGGCAATTCCTCAGTCCAGCCACATTAGGAATATCCAAATTTCTCTTCCAATCGCCTTTGAAGAGTATGAAGTTGATTTGGAATGGCTTGAAATCTGTTTTTTTGGCAAAAGATCTATCTTGTGAACAAGAATCTGGTGCTGATCAGGATGGGATAGAGCTGAATTCCAGATCTGTTTTAAAAGGTATGTGTCCTGTCCTAACAATGTCAGATGTGCCAACCAGCTGGCATCCAGAATCCTTCTCATAATTATCATTTTTAGGACCTCACAATGCTCCACTGAGAGAACCCTTGCTCATCACAAAGCCATTGTTGTGCCTAATATGACTGGGGTCATTTCGACGGGCAGCTTATGGCCTGCCAAATGAAGATCCTAAGTCAGCACCTCGTGCTCTAATAGGACCTGCTCCTAAAAAGAGCCAGCCCAATGATACCATCATCACTGCTTTGACTGAGACTGACAAGGATGAATCATCAATCAAGGTTCCATTGCAGTTGGCTTATGCTGGTGGAAAACCTGTGATATCATCCTCCCTTGCTGACACTCCCTGTGCTATCCTTGGTACTCAGGGCATCTTAGATAAAATCAATGCCACTCTTGGAACAACATACACTTTGAACATTCCATCTCTCTCTTCTATCCTTGAAGGAGTATATCTCAAATAACTATGACTTTGGGACTGCATATAGCTATCTTCGCTCAGTGTGGTTTACCAATGACTGGAGCACTATTCAAGATACACTACACATGCAGGAAGAGAAGGATAAAGAAAGAAGACAAAAGGCAGTTGTTGATGGCAAAATTGTTGATCCATACATGCCACCTCGACGTGTCTGGGATCTTTACAGCAATCGTGTAGTGCCATCATGGATTGCTAAAAAAAGACCTCTGCCCATATCACATGCATGGTTGGATGAGGAGAATCGGATTGCAGTGTATACTCCTATTAATGGGAAGGAGTGGCCTGTGCCAATGCCAAAGAGTGCTGATCTTCATCTCATTCGCATTGAGATGTTAAACCTGGAAGCTGAGTATGTGTGGTTGGATGTGCTCTGCTTAAGGCAGAACAGTAGCTTAGATCAGCTGAAAGAGAAGCTGCGTACAGATGAGTGGAAGCTGGATGTACCAACTATTGGAAATGTGTATGATTACACAATAGTGGTAATTTACCTGAGTGGGCTTGGGCTGCCTTTCAGTTTGAAGGAGGGTGACTTTGAAAGTGAGCGGTGTTGGTTTCAGCGTGCATGGACACTACAGGAGATTGGATTAAAAAGGATTATTGCTGGAGATATGCCTTCTGGACCTCTACATGTGTGTCCAGTGCATGGGAGCCAAGACTATAAAGGAGAAATACTGATGCAGTTTCAAAAAGAGCTTGAGTTAGTGCATAATATCATGTGGTCACCAACAGGAAGATCATGGGGTAATCTTTTCACAATTCTTGCTGAGATGCAAAAGCGAAAATCAACAAATTCTATAGATAAAATTGCAGGACTATCATTCCTTTGTTGGTCAGAGAAAATACCAGCATACTATGAAAATCAGTCTGTGGAAGATGCATGGACAGCACTAGTCAATGTAATGGCTATGGAAAAGCGAGGAGAATTGTTCTTCTGGTATCCTGAGCCAGGAAATTCAGATGTAAAATGGAGACTAACATGGGACCAGATTATGACATATTTTCCACCTGCAGATGTCTCAAATGAGATGCTTGTTTGGTGGGATGAAGAATGGGATGTAGACTGGCACCATGGACCTTGTATTGAGAAGGGGTTTGTGCAGGGGTTAGCTGTGCAAGATGAGGAAATAATTGATCGATATGGAGAGCTGATTGTTAAAGATAACAAAGAGAAAGAACATATATTTAAAATCATTGCATCTCACAATTATCTCATACCTGAAAACACATATGTACTACTTGGTACTCGGCTGAATCATGAGCTGGATCTTGAGTGTTCAGTGCAACATTGGGCTATTGGACATAGAGTGCCATCTACTAAACAGTTTGAGAAAGTGTCAGTATTTAAAATGGCTGATAAAGAAGCATGGAGATTAAAACATCTGAATGTTACTAAAGACTGTGATATTGTTTTTATTTGAGGTGAACATACATTGTGTAGTAGCTTTAAAGTACTATTTTCAAGTTAAGTAGCTATAAATCTATTACTCACTATATAATATAGTGAAAATGTAAAAATTGTATTATAAATCCAACATCTACTGATATATCTGCCAGGTGAATAGTCTAGAAATTTGCTATTATATTTATTATAAGAAAGAATACAATAAAGCAAGAATATATATAAGTAAAAAACACTGGTAAGTAGCTGACAGTGAGATTTAGTCAAAACAAGGTCTTCTGAGTAAAAGCTTGCTGAATAATGTGCAGCCTAAGGTGTTAGTGACTGATTGAACAAACAAGATCAAACAACTACATGTGACTCGCATTTTGGTCAGGCACATATGAGTTGCTCATAGGTTTGTTCTCAGGGAGCATGCATGCTTAGTATTTGAGAGTGAGTTCTAGCCAAGTTATCGGGTGAATAAACTTTAGTTTGAGACTGAGGTTTAGGACCTGCAGTTGAGCTACTTATATACAGTTTGGGTCATGCTATGTATAGTACAAGAGTCTGTAGCGGTGTGGACAACACATGGTACCAGCATAGCATGATGCGATCAAGGTTGGAATATTAGCATAGCAGGATTATGATGGGAGCAATAAGATAAGATATCCAGTGAGATCGTGATATTACCCCCCTGTTAAGGCAGTCATCCTGACTGCAAGAGATCTTGGTAGTTGCATGTATTTTTTGAGGGCTTGTATGAGGAGGTGGTCAATTTCAGATTCCATTATAGATTCTGTTTTCGACTAGCTGTCAGATTCATCTGAGTCCTCCCACCAGTCTGCTGAGGGTTGAGTGATGAATGAGACTTGTTTGAAGTCTTCAATTGCCCCCCTTGCATTGTCTAGTTCAGCTTCATTTACCCATGAATTCTCCTCTCTGGGGTATCCTTTCCATTTGATGAGGTACTCTGTTTCAGTACATCATCGACATCCTCTTCCCTGTCATGCATTCCTGTCGATCTACCACTTCTTCAACCTCATATTCTTCTTGTCTGTCTATTAGGTCTGAGGGTGGTGCCATAGGCTGTATTTGGATTGGAAACTCCAGCAGTTGATAGGGAGTTAGGAGCACTTCATTGAACCAGTCATGGATCTTGCACGAGGGTGGTAGTTTTAGCTTGTAGGCAGATGCGCTGTGTTTTGATAAGACCTTGAAAGGCCCAACTCATTTGTCCCCTAACTTCTTCATTGGGTGAGGAAGGTGTAGATTGGTGGAGTCTAACCAGACCTTGTCCCCTGGTCGGTACTCCACTGCTGGCTGTTGGTGTTTATCATATTGTTGCTTCATGGTTTCTGCTGCCTTTTCCAGAGCTTTTGCTGTCTGCTCATGTACTTTCTGTATGTCAGCAATGAACTCCCTGGTGGCCGGGTTACTGCCTTCCTTAATCATCATGGGAACTAGATGCAGTCGCTGTCCATGATTTACTTCGAAGGGGGAATACCCCATTGCAGAATGTTTTTGGTTGTTATGCTGGAAGGCTGCAAGTGGTAACCATTCACTCCAGTTGTTTTGGCAGTGATTGATGAAGATCCAGAGATACTTTTTGATCTCCTGATTGGCTTGTTCAGTTTGTCCATCTGTTTGAGGGTGATAGGTGGTGGACAGGTTTCCTTAGATTTGCAACATATTGTAGAGCTCCTTCATGAACTTGGAGATGAGCTGGGGTCTGCGGTCTGAGATGACCTTTTGAGGCATCTCATGTTTGGCCCATATGTGATCTTGGAGAAGGCAGGCCCAACCAAGGGAGGTTAAATTGGTCAAGCAGGGAACGGGGATGACTTCCTTCAAGAACCAGTCTACGATCATGAGGATGGCATTGTACCCATTGGAGTCCAGTAGTTCACCAATCATATCTACCGTTATGTGTTCCCATGGTCTGGAGAGTACTGCATTTGGATGTAACAGGGCCCTTTGATGCTATGTGCTGGTTTTGGTGTGTTGACATGCCTTACATCCCTTTACATATCATTCCATGTCATTTTTGAGCTTGGGCCACCAGTACTCCCTTTGGATGAGTTTCTTGGTTTTTTTGATGCCTGGGTGTCCTGCAGTGATGTGATCATGGTGTATAGCAATAAGTTCTCCCCAAAGTGCAGTATCTTGGGGGATGTACAGCCTCCCATTGTAGTACATGAGCCCATCTTCTTGCATTATTCCCCAAGGATGATGAAGAGAGGCCTCGATTCCCTTGTCCCACCTTGTAATGTCTCTAAGGGCGGTTCAGATTTTCTGATGAACCTCCTCCTCCCCCAGCATAATCAAGGCTCAGAACATTTCTGGTTTAAGTAGCGTTACTTCCTCATTGTCCTCCTTTTCCTGATCATGGTCTGCCTGTCGGCTTAATAGGTCTGCCTTCTTGTTGGCTGTACCAGGTTTGTGATGTAGGGAGAAATAGGTACTCGGCAAGTTCCGATACCCATCGTGCTTGTCTTTGGTTGAGTTTCTGGGGCTTGCAGAAGTACTGCAGGTTTTGGTGATCCATCCAGATTTCGAATTCCTGGTGGGCTCCCATGAGGTAATGTTGCCAATCTTCTAGGGCCAACATTATGGCCAGCAGCTCTTTGTCATAGATCTCATAGTTTTGTTCCATTACTGTGAGAGCTTTGGACAGGAACACCACCCGTCTCCACCTTCCTTCTTGTTCTTGTTCTTGTGATAATACCGCTCCTATGGCACCTTCGCTTGCATCTGCCTCCACTCTGAACCTCCCAGTCCTACTGGGAATGGCTAGTACCACTTCTTCTGCTAGCCTCCTTTTGATTTCTTGAAATGCCTTCTCCTGCTCAGGTTCCCATCACCAGTCCATCTTCCTGGTGAGCTGGGTTAGTGGCCTGACATGTTTGCTGTAGTCTCTGATGAAACACCAATAGAAGTTGGTGAAACCTAGGAAGGACTGTAGTTCCCTCTTCTTGGTTGGTTGCGGCCATTCCATTATCCCTTTCACTTTCACAGGATCCATGCAAATCAATCCTTGACTTATGATCACTCTGAGGTACTCTGTCTCTAGTACTTTGAATTTGCATTTTTCTGCTTTTAGGAATAGGTTGTTTGTGCACAGCACAGCTAGCACCTCCCTGATCATCTGGCAATGCCGTTGATGAGGCTGGCTGTGGGCACCTGTGGAATAGTGAGTGGGCTAAAAGGTGAACCTCAAAAACCCACACACACTCACACAACTACACAAACTACAATCACCCTCGTAAGTTCTAGGGGGAGCAATTATTTCTAATGTGATCCAACTATACTTCAATATCTCGAAGAGTTTCTCTTATTCTCAGCACTCTTAGCAAAGCTAAGCTTTCTCAAATGAATTCCTAAGTCTAGGAACTTTTTACAGGAAGGTCGTTCACTGGTGCGACACAACCTTCAAGGCAGATTTGAGTTATAATACACAAGGGACACTGATCCCGACAGAAACAGAGGCAATACACGCTGAAACTTTAGTGAGCTTGCTAAAAGAACACCACAGGCAAGCACTGACTTAGCCCGCTCGCTACACAACTGTATGTAGGGGTTCTCCAACTAACTCCAGCAGGTTATCTCAACTCAAGAACACTTCAGAAGCGCTTGGAAAAAAGATTCAGAAATGGAACTTTGAACAGAACTGAAACAGAACAGAACAGAACAGAACAGAACAGATCTCAGATTTCCACTTCAACACATTCTCCGAACAGACTTATCACACTTAACAGAACAGAAACAGCATCACTGATTCGTATTCACTCTGACTAAGTTCTCAAAAGTCTTATCAAAAGGGTATCTCGTATTTCTCTGAGTGAGCTTGCTAATTCTATGCACAGCTCGAAGTCACAAACTGATCCTTTGTTACAGTACTGCCTTCAATGCGTGCACGGGAACTCGGGGGCTTGAAACTTGCCTCTACCTACTGTAACCAACCTACTTATACTACAGGGGAATTAGAATTACAAACGTCATGCAGTACCCAGACTCCTACATGCGTAGCACGTTGCCACCTGCTGCCTTACTGAAGCATCCGAGTCGGACTTCCCAGTTTTAGTCTCATTTCTATAGTGAGCTCGCTAAACGCGTGCCAAGAGGTGCTCTCCCTGACACCCACGAGCTTGTTCTCTAGCAACCTGACAGGTCTAGGCACATGGAACTATCAGTTCTGGCATATGTCGTTCAGGACTTCTTTCTTGGATTCACAGAGGCTTCTCAGTAGACACGGCAACAAGTGAGTCTTCGAACAATGGGACTCAGAACAATGGAACACGGGCTTGTGGACTTCGGCCGAAAGCCCATTGCCCAAGCTCGTGCCGGTGATATCTGTCATCTCGCTTAAGGATTTCCCCGGATTTTCAGGTATGGCGCGTCACAGTTAGCGAGCGCTGCTAAGTGTTCACAGTGTCAGTGCAATCTTCAAGGTTTTATCTAGCTCCTGTGAGTGTGCTTGTAAGTTAGAGCCTAAGGTATTGGGTATAGGGTTTGGCCTTCTCATCATGCATGCCCATCAGGTACAGTGCTGTGACTAAGTCCTGTTTAGAATCCCGTTGCTTCTTATGCCATAAGTTATATTCCATATCATTGCACTGCATAGCATTAGTGTCGACACTGTAGTTTTAGTCCGCTCGCTCACTATTTCTCAGTATGTGTGTAAAACACTCTAGATTGCAAAATTACACATGTAAATAGGCTGCAGTTGCAACAGCGCGCTAAGTGTTCTCAGTGTCACTGCAATCTTCAAAGTTTTATCTAGCTCCCACGAGCATGCTTGTAAGTTAGAGCCTAAGGCATTGGGTATAGGGTTTGGCCTTCTCATCACGCATGCCCATCAGGTACAGTGCTGTGACTAAGTCCTGTTTAGAATCCCATTGCTTCTTATGCCATAAGTTATATTCCATATCATTGCACCGCTGTAGCATTAGTGTCGATGTGTAGTTTTAGTCCGCTCGCTCACTATATCTCAGTATGCATGTAAAACACTTTAGATTGCAAAATTACACACATAAATAGGCTGCAGTCACAACACCGTTCTTGGTCCTTGGTGCAAATTAGGATGTTGTCCAAGTATACTGTGATGTCTCCTCAGGCTATTTGCTCCTTGAACAAGTCATTCATCATCCATTGAAAAGTTGCAGGGGAGTTAGTGAGGCCAAAGAACATAACCATGGGTTCAAACAAACCCCAGTTGGTTC